GATGTTGTAAGCTAGGGAGGCTAGCTATTGTCGGGTGTTTTTGCAGGTTGGTGTTGTTGTCACCTGACACCAAGATGCCAGGCTGCTGCTCGGCAAGCCGAGGCCATTTTTTGGTGTTGTCACCTGATGCCAAGGCACTAGGCTGCTGCTCAGCAAGCTGAGGCCATTTTTCTTGAGCTAGGGCTCATATTTTTCCGGGCCGACCCCGCCTTACCCCTCCATGTGGTTTACCTTTGACGGCTCTGGGAATCGAACCCATGACCTTCACATGCCCTAGCACATGATGCCACCGGATGATCTTACCACTAGACCATCCCACCGTTACCCATGACCTTCACATGCCCTAGCACATGATGCCACCGGATGATCTTACCACTAGACCATCCCACCGTCAAGCCCAGCGGGTCCATGTGGCTTATTGATCACAGTCGCCATGCTACACCCTCGGCAAGATCCTGCACGAGGTCCCGCTAACTGGCAGCTGAGCTGCAAGTAATCAGCAATCCCTAAGGCACTATTGGGCAGTATAAAGGTATGTACGTAGCCATGTAACTCCCGCCTGTCTGGCCCGGGTCTCCAACCGTTTGAATTCCAGGTATCTAAGTGGTCTACTTCACCTTCTTCCACGCGGAGTGTTTATTCTAGTCTCCAAGTAGTGCTTATTACTTGGCTTTTGTACTACGCCGAGAATGTCAACGTCCGCTTTACGTGAAGACCAAAACCTCTCATGCTGGACTGAGCGAAAGCGAAAAAGCGTTGCAGAAGAAAGTCCGACAGCATGCACACACCATCCACGACACCCTACACGGACTTCGCTCGAGTCCCTTCCTTGACGCAATCTCACCTGCCCAATCTGGTTCTCAATCCTACCTCGTCTCCGTCTACATCCCGCCCTTTGAGCAGCATACGTCGACACCGATCATAGGCCGCGCTCTGCATAGAACAACCTTCATCCGCACCACACTCACTACCTGCGATGTCTTTGTGCTCGCCATCAGTTTCCTAGATGCCAACAATAGCATTACTCCGGAGCAGGTAGTTGAATGCGTACAGCCTTGGTTTATTGATACGGAGACTTTCTGGTGCAGGCGGGTCGGTATGAGTTGTCGGTGACGATGGTGCTGGAGCTGCGGAAGAAGGAATCATACAAATATATATCACGCTGGCTCACCAGTTGAGAACACTACATCATGAAGGTAGATTAGCAAGGAGGCAGTCAGATAGAAATGTGTGGATACTTGAGACGGGCAGTGGCTTGATTTTGTCGCGTGCGGTCCATTATCCATAAATCTTCCATATAAATGGTTAGAATCTATATAGAAATGATTGATAGGAGATCCACGCTCTCACAGCCTCATCACCGGTCTCCCATCGTTGTCTGAGAAACGGCCTGCCACCGAGTAGACCATGTGCCCTCTCAATATCAATGATATACCTAAGACGAAGCAGACCACGCAGGTCAGGACCATTCTCTGCTCATACGCTTGGATACCGTTGAGCCCAGATATGCTCCCCAGAAACTCCAAAAACGCCACAGACGGTAACCCCGGGAATGCTCCCTCATTCCCCATTGCCATCGCCCAGCAGCCTCGCAATCATAATGTACCCCAGAATCAGGCACGTCAAGATCTTCCACTTGTGCTTGCCCAATAGCCCCTGCCCCACGTCCCTAGCCTGCTGTCCACCTTGCACCACCGCATCCACACCCGTCGCACTTGTATTCGGTCTCCTCCTCAGTCCCGCGACCTCGGGCAAACAATGCGGTGCCGCAGGGGCCGCCCCAGTCACCAGATCGATCTTGCGCTCCTTCAACCACCTGAGATTCTCCTCATCCAGCTCCGGCCACTCCTGTCTGAACTTTGCGCCCCCATCCCCGCTCTTGATCGCGCCCACCCCACGGGATCCCCCCGCGGGTGTTGCATTCCCCGAAAACCGCGTTCCCCCACCCGTACTATTCCACCACCTCGTCCGTTGTGCAAACAGCCGCCTCTCCTGCTCCGACGCCCGCACACTCCCCGTCGTCATCTCCTCGCTCGTCATGAAACTCAGCAGCCCGTTCAGGATCGTGCTCACTTCCCACGTCGGGTTGAAGCTCTTGGGGTGAAAATCCGAGATGCTGAGGCACAGCCGCGTCGAGGGTTGGAAGCGGCCCGAGGGGGTGTGCATGCGGATCGCGGGGGGCGCGAAGGGGTAGTTTGGAGGGAACAGGAGGGTGCCCCAGTATTGGCCGCCTTCGTAGGGGGTGTCTGGCGGACCGGTGAGGATGTAGTGCCATTCTAGGATGTTGGAGTCGGAGGGGTGGGCGATGATGAAGGGGGGCGGGGATTTGGAAATGCGGGCGTATTCTTTGGTGAGGCGTTTGGTTGCGCCGGGGCTGGCCATGGTGGGTGGTGTGGTTCGTTAGCCGTAGAGGTGCAGTTGTCGGTTTGTGGAAGGTGAGGGCGATGTGAAGGGGGTTTATGTGGAGGGTTGATCGGAGGGCGAATCTGATGGTAGGTTTTGGAAGGCTTCCCGTTTGTTCAGGTAAAACTGTCTTGCGTGTTTCAGGAGGTGAATCGGGACGGGAGAAAATAGGCGCTCAGTCAGAGGAGATGAAAAGGATATGAAGACTGGAGGAGTGTTTTTGGCGAGACATAATACTAATGCGCTCAGCTGCAGTCAATTGACCTTTCGGAACCCGCCCGGATGGCGTTGCACGTGATGATCGATCGGAAGCAAGTCTTGGCAGGAATGCTTGAATGATGCAAGTTATTGATGTGAAGGAACGTCAACAACGCGGCCATGGCTTCTCCGGGCGATGACGAGGTAATTAGGATGCATTGATTTCTACTTTAGCTTTATGCTGATAATATTTGCAGATTTTCGAAAAGTTGAGCCAGAAAACGGACCCCGCCGAGCTCAAAAAGCAGGAAGATGAGCTCAATGCACGGCTGTACGCACAACAACAGAAGGCTCAAGAAAGAGTAGCGGAGCTGGTATGACCGCAAAATGCTCATCTCCTATCTACGAGCACGCAATTGACAATTCGACTAGATTGTCGAAAATACCACCCTCCCCGTTACGATATCCTCGGTCCACATTCTCCATGCCAATCGAACTCGCAAAAGCTTTCTCCAACGTGTTGTCAACCCCCTACTGAGCGCAAATAATGAGGAACCGTACACTTTGGAAGAGGCTCTGAGAGAAGTGGGCGTAGCGGCTGATAAGCTCAATCGCTTTGGTACGCCATGACGCAAGAAATGGTTGACGATGTCTAACGCAACGACAAGGCATTTTCAAATCTCCGATCTCAGTGTTCATCGACCGTCCCGATCCCACAAATCCCTCCAGCTCCCCCACCGACATCGACGTATATCTTTCCGCTGTTGAACGTGGGACCTACACCATCAAGACTGGAACCGAGGCCGGTCATTCGGAAGCCGATGCGTATGTTAACGCAGAATTCCGCAACCTGTTCGGCGGCGCCGAGACGTTAAACGCTCACGCATCTCTGGGTACCCGGACCCGATCGGCTTACTCGCTCTCCGCCAGTACTCCTATACTTAGCAACCCCGATTTCAAGTTCCAGCTGAATGGCTTTGCAAGCTCTACGCTGAAGAGCTGGGCAAGCCACGAGGAGGTCCTAAGAGGAGGGAACTCCATTCTCAGCTATTTGACAAAGAACGGACACAAGCATGAGTTCAGCTACTCCGGTATCTGGAGACAAGTTACCGGCCTTACGCAGAACGCATCTCCCACTGTCATTGCAGACGCCGGTGACTCTTTCAAGTCCAGCCTTACCCACACATGGACCAACGATAGACGCGACTATGCTCTGCTACCCAGTAAAGGCTACGTCATGAAGACGGTCTCGGAATTAGCCGGCGTGGGACCCTTGAGAGGAGATGTCTCCTTCTTCAAGACGCAGGCTGAATCGCAGATCGCGTTACCCTTTGGTGACACTGGAATTACGTTCACGGCAGGCCTTCGCGGAGGCATCCTCTACCCCCTCGCTTCCGGCGGAAGCAGAATTCCCCAACAATCCCGCATCAATGACCGCTTCCAGCTCGGCGGACCCAACGATGTCCGCGGTTTCCGCATCTCCGGTCTCGGTCCGCACGATGGTTCCGATGCTGTTGGCGGAGATGTCTTTGCTGCGGGCGGCGCTAGTCTGCTATTCCCTATCCCACGTGTCCGCAAGGAGACGCCTCTCAGATTGCAAGCATTCGTTAATGGCGGACGGTTGGTTTCTCTCCAGAAGCAGGATAAGGAAGGTCAGATGGACAGTGCGGCTGTCAAGGACAGCATGAAGAAGGCAATCAGGTCGTTAACAGACGGCCTCCCTAGCTGTGCGGCGGGCCTGGGTCTCGTCTACGCTCACCCAATAGCGCGCTTTGAGATTAATTTCTCGTTGCCGCTTGTGGCGAGGCACGACGAGGCGACGAGGAAAGGCCTATCGTTTGGTGTTGGGATCGAATTCATGTAGTGTGAGATACCTTGTATGAGTATCTGTTGAGAGTATAACAGCTAGCCTTTGTTGCACTTTTGGGACTTACGATGTCCCCCAATTCGCAATAACGCCTTCATCTCAGCTGTGCCAGCCGTCTTACCCCATCCTCAACGCCCGCCTCAACTTCAGAACCTCATGCTTCGTGACAAACACGTCCTTGATCGCTGAACTGCCCACACTCCCATCATTCGTATCCCCCTTTCCCCCATGAGCGGCAGCAAGATTGTCCATGGCATCGACGAGATCGCGCACCTTGGCTCCTTCCCATGCACCACTGCTGGTCGTCCAGAATACGCGCTTGATGCCTACAGTGGCCATGCACGATATGCAGCGGTAGCAGGGACGGGAGGCAAGGACCGAGGGGCCGTCAGAGAAGTCTGTTGCGGGGGGTGGTGGGGTGCTGCTTGTTGGAGGGCCAGGTTGAGTTAGTTCCTCGTGCAGGGAACCAGTCTTTCGGTGGGGAGTAGCTGATGGAGAGGGATTTGTTGGGATATCAATTTCTGCGGTGGTGCAGCAAGGAGTTGAGTTTGCGGGCGTGGCAGCGGATTTGTAGCCTAGGCGGGCGACGTAAAGATCCGCTCCGTGGAGTCGGGGGTACTTTTTGCGGTCTGAGAGGGAGCGAGTGGATCCTCTCGGACGGCCGGTGGTGATTACAGTAGGTTGAGGTTTAGGTTTGGAGCTTAGAGGAGGGTTAGATTTGGAGAATTCGCACTGTCTGATTAGCCTCTTGGGTAGAAAGGGGTAGTTCCTGCGTATTGCTTACGCTTTTTGCACGCTTGGATGAAGTATTCATAGGGGCGGCGGGGTATGGCTTGTGTTCCGGGGCAGAAATATCCTCAGAAAAGCAAGGCGCCACAATACCTGGAATTGGATTATGATTGCGATGACTCTTCTCACGTTGTCCACGGATCTGTGCCCGTGCATGTTCTTGTTGTTCTCTCTTGCGGCTCTTCACCTGGTGTTTCTCCATACTGGCCTCTGCGTGGGAACGTAGTGCATTGATCTGCTTGGGCCGCGAGAGCAGCATTGCACACGGTCTCGACATACACTTTGAGTGCTTGTTGCTGTTGCTGTCGTAATTTTCGTTTAGAACCACCCTGTAGTTTGACATTCGGTTTTTGAGACGACAGAGAGCTGGAGGCGTGCGTGGTGGAGGCGGAAAGCGCAGAGTGGATGGCCATCATCTCGCTGTGCATGAATAGGGGAGTGTTGGCCTGGACACCAGAACCCGTGGTTTCAAAGGGCGTAAATGTTCCCTTGCTGGAATTGCTTCCAGCATTACAACTCGGGTTTATTTTGTACTGGTCCTTTGCAGCTTTCTTTGAGTTCGACGCATGGAGGCTGGTAACGGAACGCGTAGGCAATCGGCCAGACTTCACGGTACCACCGTTGAAACCCGGGCGATAGTCATTATAGCCCTGGCCAATTATCTTACCACCTCGGACGATGATACAGCCATGGCGGAAGTGGAGGGGGGATTTGGCAGCCTGCTCGAGGCAAAGCGTGAGATAATTGTCAGTCTTCATTTTGGGAGTGGGGGAAGTTTTAAGTCGTAGGTATCGTCGAGCCTTAGGGGTATTGATACCCAAAAGACGTGCAGTTATCGTATCTTCGAGTCACAGCAAAGTGTGTCGCTCCAAATGCCGAGTCTGACGGCGAAGCATGGATGCGCCGTTGGAGATGGATTGGGGGATTGCGCTAGTGATGATCCGGACTAGTGAAACCCCAGACCGAGTCTAGCGGATAATCTAAATTAAACCTCACTCTCAGACAGCTCTGTCTGATGAAGTGCTCAGTACATATTGACGCCCATTTGCGATGAAGCATCTGCCGTTCGATCGTCTGTACAGAGTGACTATGGCCCCTCGGCAGCGGTCACTTTACCGAACCGTCTCAACGGCCGTCCGCTTGGAGTGCGAGAGACGCCAGAGTTCCTTAGTGCTCGAGAGAGGATCTCTTCCTGAACATACAGAGCTCTTCCCGGAGCATGATATGTTACCCAGAAAGGGAGTATGTTACCCGACCGTACAAGAACTTCTCGGTTCCAAAAACTTGCCACCGCTAAACGTCAATTCATTGACGGTGGAGCGATGATGCGCCGTGTAGCGTTGCCACCATGGTAAACGCTACAACCCCGGGGTAAAAACGTAGCATGATGGAGACTTGATGGTGAACAATACCACACCCGAACCGAGCAGCAACACCACAATTTCCAAAGGCAATTGGAGAATATGTCTTCCTGATATAGCACGCAGCGGATCGCAATCAGCACAGGTATCACGGCTACCCCACCCAGTGTCACCAGTTCACCCACCACAGGCGGACAAGGTGCTGTAGCATTATTGTGGAGCTATGGAATCAGATACACCATGGTGATAGTGATCGTAACGTGGAAACTTGTTGGCTATTTTGTGGTGAAGTGTCGTGGAAGACTGAGGTACGTTTTCACCGTTGCCCGGCTAAATAATAACGTCCTAGGAGAGCGGCGATATTAAACCCCTGTCCACCCATATCTTCCCCTAACTTACTGAACACAGTAGACCGCGGATACCGGCCGCAGCTAAATTAATTCCGTCATTGTGGCTCGGGCAGGGGCACAGGATAGCGACCGCATTTACCGTATCATCCTCCCGGCCCCAAATGATTTACGATCTTTTATGATCTCTTAGTATCCTTGGCGGATCGTGCTTCCGGGAAACTGCCCATCGCCCCAGACTTTTACCTGGCCACATGGCCAAGTTGTCAATTGATATTTTGGCGTCGTATCCGGTCCATTGGAATAGAGGTCCAGACGCCTCACCACGCATGATCTGAAGCCAATGGCAGCACGTCTCCATATGAGATCCGGCAAACGCAAAGTTCCCCAGGTTTCTAGGAGTGAGCCGCAACGAGGTTCCGGTCGAGATTCATTTGTCTTCGCCTCCGCGTGGATCGCGATTTTCTTAGGCGAACGCTGCTATGACGTTTTGGTAACACTTTCCCTTACGCGCATATGTACACTACCCGTACGTTGATGAGAAGGGCTGATGTGCACTGGCCTTATCTGGACAGTGCACCGAATCCTATTTGCAGGTAGTGCCATGTTCACTTTACTGTTACCTTGCACCCATGGCTTCCATGTGCCCGTCCTAAGCTATATATCTTGGTAACGATTCCCCAAGATTTTCGTCACCGTCGCGAGGACAATCACTTCCCTTGAGGTTCAGCAATGGGTCATCTCACCTTCCTCCTGGCCGCGGTCGGCTCTCTACTCCCGTTTCCCTCTGCCGCAACACCACTGGACAAAAGAGCTGCTGTCGATACATGTCTCTCCAAGCTCAAGGTCCCTGTGCTCACTGCCGGTTCCGCAGACTACGTGCAAGCCCTCAAGCCTTTCAACAACCGGGTGACATTCAAGCCCGCGGCCTATGCAGTCCCAAAGACAGTCGAGGACGTGCAGAATGCTGTTTCGTGCGGCTCACAAAACGATGTTAAGGTTACAGCAAAGTCAGGAGGCCACAGCTATGGATCCCATGGCCTTGGCGGAGAAGACGGCCACTTGATTGTCGATATGAGGAACTTCAACAGTGTAACTGTCGACCAGGCCGCTCAAACCGCAGTCATCGGCACAGCAGGACGACTTGGGAACGTTGCTACCGCACTTTACAACCAGGGGAAGCAAGCTATCAGCCACGGAACGTGCCCCGGGTGAGTCCACAATCATCATGTACACAGGATTGAGACTGACTTAGGTGTCAGTGTCGGTGTTGGAGGCCTTAGCTTGCACGGTGGCTACGGCTTGATATCGCGTAGCAAAGGTCTGACTCTGGACAACATCCTCGAGGCTCAGGTCGTCCTGGCGAACAGCAGCGTTGTCACTGCCTCTCCAACCCAGAACCCAGACCTCTTCTGGGCTCTCCGTGGTGCCGGAGCCGCCTTCGGTATCGTGACCAACTTCAAGTTCAAAACCTTCAATGCGCCCGAAAGCAACCTCGTCTTCCAATACAGTTTATCCCCCAGCTCGGCCAGTCAACTCAGCACCATCATCACCGCCCTGCAAGACTTCACGCGCAACAGCCAACCCCCCGAGCTCAACATGCGCCTCTTCCTCTCGGCCTTCACCACCTTCTCCGGCGTCTACTACGGCACTCGCGCCAACTTTGACAAGGTGATGCAACCCCTCCTCACGAAAATGGGCATCGGCTCCGGCGGCTTCGCCCAAATCACTGAGAAGAACACCTGGCTCAACACCCTCACCTCCTTCTCCAACGGCCCCCTCGAACAACCCGCCGTATACGACACCCACGAGACCTTCTACGCCAAGTCGCTCATGCCCGAGTACCTTTCCCCGGCCGCCATCGACGCCCTCTCCAAGTACTGGGAGAAGAACGCCCGCAACCTTAATCGCGCCTGGTACCTCCTCATCGACTCCCACGGCGGCGCGAACTCGGCCGTGTCGAGCGTCGCCGGTGACGCCACCTCGTACGCGCACCGGAACGCGACGTTCAAGATGCAATTCTATGACCGCGTGTACAACGGGAACTACGACCCCTCGTGGCAGAGTTTCTTGAATGGCTGGATTGGGAATATCACGGCGGCGAGTCCCGGCGTGCAGTATGGCATGTATATCAACTATGCGGATACGGGGCTGAGCAAGGAGGAGGCGCACAAGGCGTATTGGTTGAAGAATTACGATAGGTTGGTCCAGGTGAAGAATGTGTATGATCCGAAGAAGCTGTTTACGGGGCCGCAGCTTGTGGGGAGCTAGAGGAGAGTCAGGGTGCGGATGAAGAAGATCTGCGAACGGGTTCGGTGAGATAGATTGATATATATTTATAACATGGAACATTGTACGCTGTCTGTCTTCTGCGTTGAGGTTAGTTATCAGGGCATGGAACAGCCGTCAGCTTATTACACAATTCCGGAAAGTAATGGCGGATATACAAGTTCAATACATATACATCTGGCAAAATCGTCTGCTGCAACCCGCTACTAAGGCCCGTCTAACCCTACATATGCATCCCTCCCCTCCTCCAAACGCACATTACAAACGACCCTATGGGGCAAGTTCCTTGTCTCCGCCGCGGTCCAGAGGAACAGAAAAGTCAGTCCATCTGCTCGACCATGCATGAAAAGCAAGCTTGCGACAGGAGAGGAACGTCTAAGATCAAAGTACACAAACAGCTAGCAGATGGGACTCTAAATACCGAGGGTGAACTCGACGCCAACGTCAATGTCACGTGCCATCTTGACGACCTTGGAGAACTGAACGGATTTCTCGGCGGCGGATTGGAGGTCGTCGATGGAGAAGATCTTGAGACCAGAGTCGTTGATCTGAGAGAATGAATCAGCCATGTTCACTGCAACGATGGTAAGAGCAGCTTTAGACTTACCAGTTTATGTGCCTGCTCCATGTTGGTACCCTGCAATCTCGCAATCACCGGCGTCCGCAGGTTCATGCTCTCCACGACCGAGATGAGGCCCTTGGCAATGGCGTCGCACCTGACGATACCGCCAAAGATGTTGACGAAGATGGCCGTGACCTTGGGATCGCTGGTAATCAGCTCGAAGGCGAGTTTGATGGCCTCGGGTGTAGCACCACCGCCAACGTCTAAGAAGTTGGCTGGGGATCCTCCATTCAGCTTGATGATGTCCATGGTAGCCATAGCAAGACCGGCACCGTTGACCAAGCATCCGATATCGCCGTCAAGCTTGATGAAGTTGAGGCCTGCGGAAGCAGCCTTCACTTCATCAGGGTCCTCCTGAGTGATATCCCTCCAGCTAAAAACCTCCTTCTGGCGGAACTCGGCATTGTCGTCGAAGTTTAGCTTGGCGTCCATGGCAAGAACCTGGTGATCGGTCGTCTCGGACAGAGGGTTAATCTCAATCTGCGTAGCATCCCGCTCCATGAAAACCTTGTACAGCTTCTGAATGGTATCCTTTGCATCCTCAATGCACTGTTCCGAGAAACCAATCTCCGTTGCGATGTTACGCGCGATCTCGTCGGTGACGCCGGTGTGGATATCGATGTGAGTGGTTATGATGGCTTCGGGGTGTTCTTTGGCGACTGTCTCGATGTCCATACCACCTTGGGAGGAAGCGACGATGACAGGACCTTGGGAGGCGCGGTCCATGAGCACAGCCAGGTAGAACTCGCGGCGTGCGAACTTGCGCTCGACGATGTACACAGCATTGCACAGCCGGCCTGCGGCTCCAGTTTGCTTGGTGATAAGTTTGTGACCGATCATCTGGTCGGCGAGGATGCTAGCTTCGCGGGGCCTGAAGGAAGCTGTTAGCTTTGCTTCCAGAGTTTAATGGACCAGGCCTCATGAAGGGAACGTACGAGTAGACCACTCTCACGCCACCCTTGAAGCCATTATCGAACGTTCCCTTTCCTCGTCCTCCCGCCAGCACCTGTGCCTTGATAACCATGTCATCTCCTCCTATGCTAGTCAGCAACAGCAACAGCGCAGCACTGGACCCACATCATACCTATCTGCTTCGCGACAGTCTCTGCTTCCGCTGCACTCGTCGCAACCTCTCCCTTTGGTACTCCGATGCCATACTAAAATGCCTCATTAGATACATGCCAAGCCGCCGCGTCGAAGCAGCTCTCCTACCTGCTTCAACAAATTCGCGGACCTGTACTCGTGTATCGACAGCGCTCTGCTCTGTTGTATCACCGACCGCCTCAATGGTTTCTTCTGTTCGCAATTAGCATCTGTCCTGACGTGAACCGCCCGCACCGGCATCATAGGGTCGACCGGTCCCCCGAGAAACGTACGGCAGCTACCCGAAGGGCGCCCGTCAGCGTCCGGCTGCGAGCGAGCTGAAACATTGCGCCTGGCGAACAGACACGCTGGGAGATTGGGAAGAGAGGAGTGGAGAGTGTGGATGAGAGCTGATGGAGAGCTTGGGGTATGCTCCAGTGCGGTTTTCCTGGGGCATTGCGGAGGTGTTGCGCCAAGGCCGACGAAGCCTTTCCGGATTCTGAACGCAGGCAATGGGAAAAAGATTGCCGGGTTGTCCTCTACCACAGCACACCTGCTTAATATCGAAGGGAGCCCAACGAAAAAGCTGAACTTAGATTGGGGAGTATACCAGTATGGCCCAGCGGAATCTGGAGGGCGATATCCTCGTGAACCTTCTGAGCATCCACCAGGCGAAGGAGAAGAAATTCTTTGGGTTCCTGGGTGAGCCGAGGAACGGCGCAACTAGAGACGCTCAAGACGAGGACAGGTCAAGAGACAAGCCCCTTGGCGGGGAGGAGTGCGTATTCCTGTGCGTTTCCATTTTGATTGTTATACTCACATCTGATTTTAGGGTTGGAATTGGAGCGAAGATACCCGAAAATCTTCAAGATGACGTCTTTGCACAAGATGACTTCTTCTCGCAGCCGTTGACTGCTTCATCAGAGAAGCTGCTGCAACAGTTATTAGGGAAGAAGGCTGCCAAAGGCCACATCGCAGCAAAGCAAGCTCCTCAGAACGTCAAAACCTCTAGAAATGGAAAGCCAGTGAAGCCCACTAAGCAGGAGGTGAGCGAGGATGAGGAAGAAGGGAGAGCCGCTGCCTTCGGATCGAAAAGGCGCAAGATAGCAAAATCTGCCGAACCGTCAGAAGCGCCAGACCCACCTGACAGTCGGGAGCATAGTCTCATGATGGAAGAGAATGTTGACCCTGCCAGCGCTGAAGCTGAGCTCGACAGTACGAGGGCAGTGCGTTCAGAGAAACAAGTTACCAAGAAGGATGGCGTCGATGGAGAAGATCCAATAACCTCTGGAACCAAGTCAAAGCCAGCCACCTATCTGGACGAGATCCTAGCAGAGCGTTCAAGAAAGAAGAAGAAGAAGAAGCTGAAGAACAAAGAAGGTTCGCAGCCGTGAATGCATGGACTGTGAGAGTAGGTTGGAAGGTTGGAATTAGCAAGGTCTTCGACGACGACCATGGTGACTTTCGCATTATTATATTCAACGAGATACCCCATGGAAGACCTAGTGCCATTCAGTAGACTTTACCCCGACACAACGGGACCATCTATTCTCTAACGATCAAACTTGCCATGCCCATGCCGGTGCCGATGCATTTTGTTAGCACACCGAGCTTCGCCCCGTCTCTCTCCATCTCATGCAATAACGTCGCCAACATGCGGCCTGAAGTAGCTCCCAGCGGGTGCCCCAGCGCAATAGCACCTCCGTTCGGATTCACGTTCGCATTTTCCAGCCCAAGTTTCCTGATGCAGTAGAGAGCTTGGCTTGCAAAGGCCTCGTTGATCTCCCAGATATCGACGTCATCCTTCGATATGCCAGTATACTCAAGGAGCTTGGGCACCGCGAGGGCAGGCCCGATACCCATCTCATCGGGTGCGCATCCCACTACCTGCGTGCCAGCCCACTTTCCGATGATCTGGGAGGTCAGTCCCAGTTCCGCAGCCGTAGATCGTCGCATCATCAGTGCCGCGGACGCTCCGTCGCTGACCTGTGAACTGTTCCCTGCCGTGCTGGCTCCATCGGGCTTGAACGCCGGCTTCATGCTGGCAAGCTTCTCTACGCTTGTGCTACCCCTGATTCCGTCATCTTTCGTGACAGTGATCTGCTTCACATCCTCCGGCTGCTCGGGCTCGATCCACCGAGTCGTCACAGGCACGATCTCCTTGTCGAAGAAACCAGACTGTTGTGCTTTGAAAGCTTTCTTGTGCGATTCCGCGGCGAATGCGTCCTGATCCGCTCGAGAGATCCCGTACCGCTCAGCCACATTCTCCGACGTGATACCCATGGACATTATACAATCTCTTGCTTCCTTCACTGGGCTATTCCTCAGTTCGTCCCAAAGTTGCGTGGGAATCGCTCGGCTTGCATAGTTGCGCGTCATGCTCTCCATGCCGCCTGCTATGCCCACATCAATCTGGCCAACGGCAATGGAGTTCGCAATCGAAGTGATAGCCGAAAGACCGGATGCGCATGCCCGGTTTACGGTGGAGAAAGTCGTGGTTACGGGTAGGCCGACGTGGTTCGCGGCCATTCTACCAGCCTTTGAACCGCCTAGCTCGGAGAGTACGGTGCCGATGCAGATGTCATGTATCTTCGCAGGGTCCAGATTAGGGAACTTGTTGGTGGTGGCTTTGAGGACCTGCTCAAGAGTCAGAAGATAATCGGAGGCATTTCAGAGAGACGGCATACAGCAGCTAGCATTTCATGGTCATACGCGTCCCGTAGTCCGCCCTTCTTCGCTCGTGTTACCGGAGTCCGGAGGGCTGAAAGGAACACCACATCATGAGGGTTCTTCTGAACTATGTTTTTTACACCCTTCTGTATGAACGATGCCATGGCTGGGTCGGGAAGGAGGTGAGCGCCAATAGTGAATGTCAATCAAGCCCACAACCAGGGGAGTCGCAAGGAAACGCCGTTATATCGAAAGAGCGTGGCAAAAGGGAGAGAGGTGGAGAACAGCCGCAAGAGGAATTCATGGCTGCGATGGACTATCGCTCAGGGCTCATGGCATCAGAGTCGGCAATTGAGGCAAAGAGCTTATCCCCGGTCGGTCTTCAGGATTGCGGGGCGCACGTGATGGGTGGAAACCCGAGGTATTTATGTTTCCAAGGTTCGCATCCGAACGTACCAAAACATTGCTACTCCGGACGACAAAGGAGGACGCCAGCAGGATGGTAAACATGATATACTCGACACCACATATCGGCACATGGACTATAGATGCAACCCCCGTCCAAAATGTTACTCCGACCCGACAAGAGATGCAAGCATAGTCAGCCCGGCTCTGAACGAGCATTCGTGTATTGTCTCGCGACCGTGCCGCCCAATAGTGCACCCTCTCCTATATATGGGCTCCTTACTCCATACATGCCCGCTACCGACGTCGCAGCCAGACTCGAGCTTGGCGGGATAGGGTCCGCCTAGGCGCAGATGACCACTGCTTATGCCGCAGGATAGACGAGACGGAAGATGTCGTTGAATACGAAGTAGCTGCCGCCAGCCTGCTTGAGGTGGAACGTCTGGACGAAACTCATTGGTCGTTCTTGGCCTTCCGTCTGTTGTAACATTAGTGTATGTTCAAAGAGTCGTTGGTACTTGGCTAACCAGTAGTGCGCCGGTGACCAAGACCAAGATGCCACCCTCAGCGTCCGCGGGTTGGGCGTCAACGCTGTCGGTCTTGTGTTCAACCTTCTGGAAGGGAAGATTCTACTTATGTCAACGTCTGTATACGTTGTTGCGTAAGGGCAAGAGCTACCGTAAGCTTTTCTACAATGGCGGCAACACCGGCGATCTTGTCCGTCTCGAAGGTAAGCATCGACTCGTCGCGCTACGAGGCTCGTATTAGTGGTTCGAAGGTTGAAGGCATCGAGGGACGTACGTAGAGTGAGGAGAGAGCACTCCGATTGGTGTCGAATGTGGAGTAGTAAAACTGGACAAACTGCTCTTCATGGAGCTCAGGTCAGCTCTCCCTTCTGACCACCAGCGATTGTATTCCGGGCAAAGGGGGTTCAAAAGCGATTGAGGGACACTCACTTCCGATAGCCTCGAAGTCTGCACAGGGTCATGGTCAGTAAACAAGACAACTCCCAGGCTCGGTAAGCTCTCGTACCTCCCATTTTGACGGTGTTGTAAGGCGGTGGTGAAGCGATTGTTTTGGGGTAAGAGATTCTGGATCGAGGGTGAGGTTGATTTTTGGGCGCCCAAGGAGGTCTAATCGTTTGAGGGGCTGTATGCTGGCAGCACCACCGACAACGTGGTTCGGGGATATGGTGGGGCATCAAATCGGCGGTCTCACTTTCTTCCGGGCTTAGTCAGCAGTCCATTTTCTTCCAACCATCTGCCATGAGTTTCTCGCTCATTCTCCTCCACCCACCCTTCATCTCCAACAAGCGCTGGAGCGCAATTGTATTGGCTTTGACGCGGCTCCCGTTCGCTGGCCCTTCTCAGCCAGATTGTCATACTGACACATTGGGTAAGTGCGTAATTCTTTTTCGTCCTGTCTCTTCATGCATAGATGATGACCAACAAAACGATAACTTCTGAGTTTAAACGACGGTGAAGTTCAAAAAAATTCAAGCTCAACAGGCTGATATGCTTTGTCTCCTCGCAAGTTGCGTGTCGCTCTATTTGCACACTGCTAACCTCCTCTCAGCACAAGAACACGTAAGCTGCCTACTCAGAATCCATCTCAGCACCCGAAAGATAGATAATCGACTTGAGCACATTGTCTTCTAGTCTATTAAGCTTGCTGCGAAAGATGTATCTCTCTGTATCTGAAGAGTTCTTAAATCTATGCCTAGGAGAGCAATTGAAATTTACAACCCCACTGCCTGGAACGACTTGACTGCGTCGACTATGCTCTCCTCCAATGTCCTGTATCTCAAGCCTAACACGTCGATCGAGCGTCTGTTATTGTAGCTGTACACAGCGTCCTTCCCGCCTTCAGGATAGTCGCCGCCAGGAGTAGAGTCGGTGGGAAGGTCCTTGAACTGAGGGAAGTGTTTCCTAACAATATCGACAATTTCTCTGTTCGAGAAATGGCCCGCGGTCGTAAAGAAACGCTTGTTGGCAGCGTCTTCCTTTTCCATGGCGGCTACATGAGCTTCGGCGACATCGCGGACGTCCACCCACAGGTAAACCCCAGAAGGCGGTATCTCATCCTTGAACTTGCCCTGACAAGTTGACAAGATGCGCTGATTGGATGTGTTCATGTTCTCCAGACTGTCGAGACTGTGGATCTGTACCTTGGTCAATGGATGTGGCGGCGGATATAGATGGATCTGCACTTACGATCGGTCCAAAGACCATTGGGGGATTGATGGTTGCAATGGTGAAATTGGGCTTCTCCTTGGCCAAAAAGTCCCAGGCTGCTTTCTCGGCGAATGTCTTGCTTGCGCGGTAACCACACATGGCGTTCTCCTGAGCTTGCTCGTGGGTGATGGGGTTCCAGTCCTCCTCCGAGTATGCATGTCCAGGCCAGAGTCCCCTGTTTCCGTCCACTATCGCGGCGAAGGAGGATGTGATGACGACTCTCTTCACCGATGGCGCATTTTTCTTGATCGACTTCAGAATGCCCGTTGTGCCAATCACGGCCGGATCCAACAGATCTTTCTGGACGTCGGTAACGTTGAAGTGGAACGGGCTCGCAGTGTGCAGGACCGCCTCGAACGGCGGATCCGACTTCACTGCTTCGTCAAAGGCATCGGGCTTCGCAATATCTGGGACGATGGCAAACCCCAGGCGGCCCTTCTCGACGTAGTCCTTGTAGGCTGCCCTGATCTTGTCTGCCTTCTCTTGCGTGCGGACGGTAGTGACGACGGAGTGGCCATAGTTCAGCAGCACAGCTAGCGTGTGTGCTGCAATGAAGCCGGAGCCACCGGTAAGGAGCACCTTCAATCCGTTGTTCTTGTCGCTCATCTCGTCTATCAATGCAATTGAGGAACAGGAAGCAGAATGTATGTGGTGAATTGTAGAAATCTTTCACTGAGACCTGAATCAGTCAGGAACGTGTTTTCGAGGGGATCTCGCACCATTATTTGTACCCGTTCAGGAACACCCCACCGCGGGGCTATCGGAGCTAAACAGTTTGGCTTTTAGTGACGACAATCCTCGTTCTTCTCCAAAACTCTGCGGGACCTCCATGTTGACAAGCCACTTCTCTCAATCCTCTGCCAACACCAGAAAACTCGTTGACTGGCTGGTGTGGCCACCCCAGGGATGCTCGAACCGGTGGTGAGGCTTGACCGTGTCCCTCTCCCCGTGGCAGCCCGACTCTTTGCCCGCTCACTAATACATTGTATAGCTCTCCTGAATGTCGGTCGCTTTACCATTGGTCGATCCCTCCACATTGTCAGATCGTATTCGGGCTTCACCAGATTAACCACATCGGACTTTACGTTCTACAGACTGCAGTACACAGTAAATGGCCAGGAATCTCCATGAGCTCCATCATTTGAACACACGTCTTCAATTTATCCTTCGCTTAATCAGGCATTCCGAGCCCGGCGTAAGCCTCTCAGCGCATATCCAGTCTGGAGCCTACCCTGCACTATACAAACAATTGAGGCGAGGTGGGGCAGCTGTGCGGAGATGAGGGGCCGAGCTCTTCTCCATAGATCCACTTTCTTTTCTAGTCTTGTATTTTTCTACTAGTTTCTTCCTTTCCAACTTGCTTTTGACTTTGAATTTCCACTGTATCATGTCGTCCCCCAAGCGGAACCCTCCTTTCCGGGCCGAGCACTGCGGATCCTTGCTGCGCCCCCAAGAGCTCGTCCAAAAGAGATATGATGTTGCGGCGGGGAAGGCGCCTGCCTCTGAGCTTGAGCCTCTCGAGGACCAGGCCATTGCGGACGTTGTGAAGCTGCAGAAGGATGCTGGGTTCCATGTCATCTCGAGTGGGGAATATGCCAGGTCAGTTGACGAGGCGTACACGCTGTTGTGGTCTCTGGGGTCCCTGACATGATATCCCCTTAGACACATGTTCTGGGGCACGTTCTTCGAGGAACTGAATGGCATGAAGGAGCTTCAGTTGGGTGTGTTGAAGGGATATGATCAGTCCATCTTCCGTCCCTATGCACCCGACGTCAAATCATTTTTCGAATCAAAGGAGATTCCCAATGCTGTCACTGTGTGCGTGGGTCCAATCAGTCACCCTGGCCATTCGAGCTATCAACGCGAAGTCGATATTATGAAGAAATTAGTGCCTGAGACCGAATGGAAGAATATCAAGATCACGATGATCTCGCCTAGCTGGTACCACTTTAGGTACCGTACCGGACGCAGCTATCCCAAGGACGTATACGCGAACGACGAGGAGTACTTCGCGGATGTGGCCAAGGCGTACCAGGAGGAGCTTAAGTATCTGCACGGACAAGGAATAAGGAACATCCAGATCGACGACCCCAATCTTGCTTGTAAGCGGCCCTGATATTACAATCTTACGTATAACTGACTTGAACTCAGACTTCTGCTCCGAGTCCATGTTGGAAGGCTGGGCGGCGGACAAGGACAATGACAAGACCGCCGATGAGATGTTCGATGCCTACGTCAAGTTCTACAACCAGTGCTTCGAGAGGCCTGCAGATATGCACCTAGGTATCCACCTCTGCCGTGGTAATTATGTTGGTAGCAGGCACTTCTCGGAAGGCGCCTACGACAACATTGCGAAGAAGCTCTTCCAGGTATGTATATGAGTTCACAAGCCCGCAGAAGAATCATGCAACTTTCTCTATGCCTAGCCAGGGGCTCACCCGTCACAGGACCTGAATGTAGACACCTACTACCTCGAATACGACACTCCCCGCGCCGGCGGCTTCGAGCCGCTAGCCCACCTCCCCAAGAACAAGAACGTCGTGCTTGGAGTAGTGACCTCCAAGTTCCCCGAACTGGAGAACAAAGACGAGATGATTGCGCGGGTCAACCAAGCCGCAGACTTTATCGCCCAGGGCACCGGTCAGACGCACGAGGAGGCGCTAAACCAGATTTGCGTCAGCCCGCAGTGTGGATTTGCTAGCCATGCGGAGGGGAATGCGCTGGGGTATGAGGATATGAGGAAGAAGTTGCAGTTGGTGAGGAGTATTGCCGATGCGATCTGGCCGGGCCAGCCGTGAGTGCTGAGGGTGTTCATTCGGTGCATCTGACGGTGGTTGAGGGAAACGGCGTATGGGAGTGCTTGACATGTTAGTGCGAAATGGCACTGGGTTATGCACTGGATGCTTGTTTCAACAATGAGCGTGCAAGGAGTAATTTGGTCTTAGGAAAGGTTCTATTTGGTTCAACAGCTGAAGGTGGGAATCTTACTTTGTAGCATCAATGTGATCATGGTTTCAATTTAACATCTCGAACGATACGTACGCATTCTTTCCGGTGAGAGTGTTTGTGAACAGCGTTCACCGAGACTTCCGTCAGAATAGGTATGTTATTTTCACTGATACATGCCTTGACTATTGAGCAGTTAACATTCGCCACAGTTTGAGATTTCCACTGCACCATGGACTTGACTGTGCTGCCGTCTATGCCATGGGTTGAAGAATATGCCAAGGCCACCAGTCGAGCATCGCTCCTTCCTCTTTCTTCCACACCATCAATCCCGCCATCACACTCACCTACACCCGTGGAGAGTTTTTTCCTCGCACATTTTCTTTTCACTCACCGCTTCTATGCTGCTTCACATTCACCGATGACAATATACTCAGCTGTGCTATAAGTTTGGCCAGACCCTCCCTCTCCGCCTCCAAAGCACACCGTCTGCTCCTGCCTCCTTCAGCCAGGTAAGGTGCACCCAAAGTCGACAGACATGGCGTCAACCGGCCAGGAAGTACAAACCACAACCGTCGCCATTTCAAAAGATTCCGATCTCACGATTACTGTCAAGTCGCGTGACAAGGACAAGCTCAATACTGGCGTCTTCCACGTGAAGACAGAGTCTGTCAGCACGAAGTCTAAGTTCTTTCGCGGCAGCATTCGATTCAAGACGAGCAGCAATGACGTTGGCCTTGTTCTCCACGACGACGACATTGATGCTATGCGCATCTGGCTCACACTGATGCACTCCAGCGAGGACATCGCTCCGGGATCTGATTTGACCCCTCGACTGGGGGCTATTGACATCACGACAATTTGGCATGTCATCAACGCCGGTGACAAATACCTCTTCTCCGACGACGAGGAACTCGCCGATCCCGCACGAGAGTTCTTCAAGTTGTGGTATGCGCAAAACGTGGACCTGGATAGTTTCACACCAGACCTCGCGACCACGACATTTGCTCGGCAGCTGGCCCTTCCCTGCCATTTCTTCGACCACCCCGAAGCATTTGCAGCGATCACCAAGTGGCTTGCGTACAATTGTGTGGGACACATTCAAGAGTCGGTACCAGTCAAGTTCAAGTTCGTTCACCTGCATCTCTGCCCTCCAGACTTTGTCGGTAAGTATGCACTCTCCCTCGAACGATAGGCCGGTGCTCACTCGTATAACAGGTCCAGTAAACCATGCGCGCGGCAGCCTGAAGACGACGCTTCACCGCGGACTCTGGAACCGGGTTGGCGACCTACTGAAGAAGGGCAGTAACGGCATCGCTTGCGCGCACTGGGCAGAGACTGCTGGCCGATACTTTGGCGCACTGACTAAACTTGAAGTGTACCCGCTCGAACTCAGCTTCTCCAAGAACTCCATCAACACCCTACTTGGCTGGCTTGGGGATTTCCACTTGAATAATAAGATTATCGGTTGCTACTCTTGCAAAGCAGACTGGAACCGGGAGGTCAAGTCTGCAGTCTACCGAACTAGGGGCCACTTTGACGGTCTCTGTATCGACTGCATGGACAAGAGCAAAATCAAGAATGGCCGCAACGATGAGGATTACTGGGAGAAACTGGGGGCGGTAGACGGGAGGTTCGACAAGGACTGCCGCATCAGGCACGCAGACAACACTTGGTGGGTCTCTTGGTGTGGGCGCGATGAGCATCGCCGGAAGCTCATGGATGAGAAGCGCGCACAGGAGCGACAGGAATGATCGTAGCATGGTCTACTGTGTAGTGAAAGGGTTATGGTACTATGTAGCGGAGTACGACGCCGAAGGTTGCCACATGGTCAAATGGCGATGCTGGAGGCTGAGAGCGGTGGTTTCTTTCCAAGGACGGTAAACTTGGTCGGTGGGATATGCGCCATCTGATAATTCCTCAACTGCCCGGCCATGTATGCGGATGTCGATCACACGATAGGGGGTGTTGGAAGGGGATCCATGGGATTTGAGCTGGAAATACCGGAATCAAAAACGAAGGAGTGGATGCATGTAGAAACATGTGATCCCTTCAATTCCGAAATCTTATGAACGATTCCATCCGTCGTTCGCTGCACTGTTCCTGTTTCTCTCTTGGTAAGAAGCTATACTGTTACAGTATCACAGAGTACTATAGTAACTGGTGCAGAAGATGACGTCTGTGGTCGTCGGTCCAAAGTGCAGGTTTAGCCGGGGATCGTCGATGGGTTTTGCGGGAGGCCGTTGCAAGCGAGCGAGCCTCGGCTGTGCGGCCAATCACCGCATTACGATAGCGGTTAGTGCAGGCGCCGCGGGAAGCTATCGGTGGTAGGTTCTTTTTGCCTCCACTCTTACTCTTACCCTTGAACAACAAGGTCGGAGGGTAGTGGGAGATGGGGAATCAACATCAATTGAGAAGTGTAGCGGGAATGTGAGAATTTACAGTGTAACATGGAATTGATCGTCTTTGACTATGTATCGAGCCTATGGGGAGTGGAATTGCACTGTGCCATCTTCAAACGCACGGCCGCTCTTTGCCAGGGAACCAAAGCATATTTTCCATGGATGGACGCCGAATGGCCGGTTTCCTCCACACTTCCTCGCCTTTCCTTCACCGCTCCATTCCTCTCCCTCCCTCCCATACTCCCATACACCCCAATCTACAATTTGACTCTCCTCTATTCTCCGTCTGTAGTACACGCCTCTTCCGTTGCTGGGCTCCCAGCAGGCCGAACGCACAGAGAACACTCACACCCGCCACCACAGCCCGCCTCTACCATCTCTGCTCTCTGCGTGTCGGCGTAACCGTAAGAATATCACAGTACAGCCGGCCCCCAGGACATGTTTCTCACCAGAACAAGAACGAGACCTGACCCTAACCACTTTCCCACGGCCCAGCTCTTTCTTCTTGGTGAGTGCCACCGCTTCAAGTGCACACATATGCAACTAAGAGTAACCTAACACAATGCAGCGCTCGTCCGAGTAGCAGAGCCAATCGCACTCACCTCCATCTTCCCCTACGCCTGGAAGCTTGTCCAACATTACCATGTGGGCTCCGAAGCCAACGCCGCCTTCTATGCTGGCATCCTCATCTCCGCCTTCAGCCTTGCCGAAGCATGCACCGGCATGCACTGGGGCGCCGTGTCCGACCGCGTCGGACGCAAGCCTGTCCTACTACTCGGTTGCATGGGAACCATAACGTCGTTGATGCTCGTAGGGCTGGCGCCCAACTTCTGGGTTGCACTGTTGGGCCGGATAGTAGGGGGCTTGTTGAACGGGAATGTCGGCGTCATACAGACCATGGTGGCCGAGTTGGTCGTGAACCCTGCGCATGAGCCCAAAGCCTATGCCATTATGCCTTTCGTCTGGTCTCTGGGAACCATCATAGGACGTAAGTAAATCTGCGCTTCGTGTACGGATTCTGCTAACCCACGCAGCTTCGATTGGCGGGTGTTTTGCCGAACCGGCTGAGAACTACCCTCACCTGTTCCCACCAACAGGTTTCTTCGCAAAATTTCCCTTCGTTCTCCCAAACATCATCTGCTCCTCTTTACTTGTCCTTGCCATCATTGCGGGATACTTCCTCCTCGATGAAACCCACCCGGACAAGCAGCCATGGAGCCGCCCGCAAGACCACCGGGAGCGCCGCGAGTCGGTAGCATCCCTCCAAATGCCAGGCGGAAACATGAACGCCCCAGACTGCATAGCTTCGGGATGTTACGGCACCTTCGACCAAGTTAGCACCGAACGCGACCAAACCTGGCGTGTCACCTCCAACGGCACCTGGGTCAACGAAACAAAAAGCAACGATAACGATAACAACACCAGCGAAAAGGCCATCACCAGACCTGTCGTCATGTTCGTCGTGGCCCTTGGAATCTTCACCTACCACTCCATGACGTACGATCATCTCCTGCCTATCTTCCTGCAGGACAAACGCGCAGACGACATCTCCTCCTTCGCAACCAGTAATCCCTTCGCCGGCGGCCTCGGCCTCTCCATCCAAGACGTCGGCATCATCATGTCCGTCAACGGCATCATTGCGCTTTTCGTCCAAGCCGTCATCTTTCCGCTCCTCGCATCTTGGATCGGCGTTTGGCAGCTCCTCGTACTGGTGACGATCGGTCACCCGCTAGCATACTTCATCGTGCCCTATCTGCCTCTTCTGCCACCCAGTCTGGTCTACCCGGGCATCTACGCCTGTCTCGCCATCCGCAACCTCCTCGCTATCGTCGCTTACCCCTTACTCCTCATCATGATCAAGGAAGCCGTCCCCTCGTCGAACCACCTCGGGAAGATCAATGGCCTCGCTGCGTCCACGGGAGCCGCCTGCCGCTCCGTCGCTAGCCCGATAGCCGGATTCCTCTATGGCAAGGGCATAGAGATGAGGTTCACGCCGCTGGCATGGTGGGCGAGTAGCGTGGTCGCCCTCATGGGGACGTTCCAGATTCCGTGGTTGGCCAAGGAGGCGAGGGGTTTCACGGGGGCGGTGAATGTGCAGGGACGGGGATGTTTGGGCTGTCTGGGGAGGAAGAGGGAGACTTTCGGGGGCGGGAGGGAGGTGAGAATTGTGGTGGAGGGAGAGGCGGAAGTGGAGGGCGAAACGACGCCTCTTGTTGCTGGCGGGAGGAGGGAAGGGGTGTGAGAGGTGCTAATCTCGCTCCGGGAGATTTATGGATACTCGTCCAAGATTCCACAAAACAAGCAAGAATTGGAACAGGAGGAAGGAATGGAGTGATACCCCCTTCATGTATCGCCGCTCTCCCTTCGATATATGACGTATTTACGGTAGACTATAAAATAAACAGTGTACAGTAGTATGGCTAGCAGTGTCTACGTCTTATCGTGCCGCTAGAGGGATGCTGGTGGTTGGATCGATTTGTGTGCACCTATGTGTCTAGAGATACGGCATCTTTTATTAATAAAGTGGAGGTGGACGAGCATGTAGTCCCCTGAACACGTCCCGCCCCTGCAAAACAGGTCGACGCCGAAGTGAGAAGAAGAAATGCGAATGAAATCTGGTCCTCAATTCGGGGACTTGGGATACCTACCATACCTGGTTACGTAAAAGGCTTGCCGTTGTACTACAATGACCATCTCCGACCCGGTAAAAAGATGGGGGTGGTGAAGTCGTCGCCATAGCAAGGTATATCATGACGCACGTCTGCCGAACGAAGCCACTGTAGCATGGGCATTCGTACCCAGCAGACGGCCAAGACGGTGGCTTTCTTTGAAGTGCTGTTATGGGATCGAGAGCTCAGCTTCCATGTACTTACCTTGGGTTATCTACATATACTTCTGAGGAGCCGGACTAGTAACAAGGGTACGTACCACAGTAGTTACTGGAGATAAGCTGACCAAAGGAACAACAGGGTCAGGAATCTAGAGAAAGAGACCAAAGTAGACCAACATAGACTTACGTGGAGCGAAAGGAGAAGAGGACCGGACTTCAAAATTCCGCATACAATGTAATCAATACCATCATCGCCGACTTAAACAACCCTGCTTTCCTTGACGGAGCCAGGCGGCGGCACGCCTTATTACTCTGTATCACAGTACTTGTACAGTAAGGTGGAGCGAAGGCAGTTCCCGACAGAATGGGTCATGGATGAGCGGGCTTGGTATACCTACCAACAAGCGTACCACTTGACTGGCTACGGCCCGGGAAAAAAGAATGGAAAGCCCAGGAAGGGTCTCACTTGTTCATTTGAAGAACTTTGGCGCCAAGGGACGGCCAAGGTCTTGCGAGTTTTGGAAACGTGCTCAGGGAGTTGGATGGGAGCGAGGTTACGGTTGATTTTGGGGGATCAAGCTGTGTGGGAGTCAACTGCTGAAGATTCGTATGCGGGACCATTGTCATGACGAAGGTGAAGGATGATGTTGCTCTGCCTTGCAGTTCGAAGGACTTCTGCGACAGGATTTACCCCAGTAGTCCTGATGCTCCGCTCACGCACTTCTACAAAGTAGCCTACTATTACAGCAACGGAGATAGTAGAAGATGGCTCCGGAGGTGCGGCGTCCTCCGTCGAGGCGGGAGCTTTGCTTGACAAGGACAAGTGAGTGTATGCTCACCCGCATCCGGAGCATGACGCTGGGCAACAGGAGCCTGGAGTCCGTGTCCAAATCTGGTCTTTTTACTTGTAGAATCGAGTCCGATGTGGTGAGGTGCGAGTGACCAATGCGGAGTACGGAGTATTCCGGTTGGCATGTCTTGCGAATCCTCACGGTACTCTGACTCTCGCCAAGCGGGTAAGGGCACCAAGGGTGTAAGGGTGGCTGACCTCAGCCAGGAGCCTGGAGAGCACCCTTGAATATCGGTAGATTTGGCACCGAAAGTTTATTATAATCATCGCAATCCTTCCGTTGTGTACTCCATACGGAGTACTGTACCTACTCTGGACATCTGGCGCGATCGTGATGTATGAACGGGACGCTGTGTGACCAAGAAACTGTGGTCCTCCACATTCGAGGCGCTGAGATGAGATCCAACACGGAGTTAGATAAGGATGCTACTCTCTGCAGTTTCGAACTGGGCAAGGCAAGTGCAGAGCCATGTGAAAGGGTACTGGGCAGCAGAGCAGAGAGAGGTGCCTGTCGTTTCCTGGAGCGGTGGGTTTTGAAGTGGATAACAAGCATAGCTGGTGATAGGCTCCCGCCGGCGGAGGCATCTTGGCTGCAGCTTGATTATCTCTTGAGGCATGGTCTTGCACGTTGGCAGTGCCATACATACACCAGCTGGCCCAGGCTGCTCACATTATTGCAGGCAAGTTCGGCATGTAGGCCCGTGACGACAGTCGTGTGTTGGGCTTCTGAGTGGCCCAGCAGAAGCCTGGAGGTGGAGTACTGTGTTAGTAGAATTGGACTGATAGTGTGTAGCGTGTGCGGAGTCCTCCGTATGTGTGCGTGTTGTTGACGATCTCCTTGGGCGGGGTTCTCATGGGAGGCTTGACGCCAAGTTTGGGCCAAGGTTTCGCCAAGATTTCCACTACTTGGCAGGTGACAGGTGGACAGCGGAGCCGTCGAATCGACCGGGAAAGGGGCGGACAGTGCATGATGGCGTTGAGGCTGTGTTGCTGGGCACCGGCTTTTTGGGGTTTTGGCTGGACCAGGCGTGTGAGTAGGGGTGCCACGAGCCAGTTTTCATATCTCTCACGTTGACAGGTTGACATGTCTGCGAAACCAGGGTCCTGGATTATTAAGGAAAAGTACTGGAGCGTTGGCAAGTCTGAATAAATGAATAATGGACGAGAACAGGGAAGAGATAGGGAAACCAAAAACAGGAGGTCGATCTGTACTGAGCAGGATTTAGTCTGACGAAACGTCTTACCGCAGCTTTTGGTGCCGTGGTAAACCATGCCTCAGACAGGGACAGGGAATGACTTCATTTCCAGCGGGTCTTGGGTTCTCCTTCTTGGGCGAGCTTCCCCTCATTACCAAGGCGCGTCTTGAGTCTTGGATGCAGTCGTTCAACAAGTTGTTGGAGCCGATCCGCGGCCGGCCCCCTGGCCGGTGTCCCTTTTGCCAGAATGCTCTACCCTAGCGCCAAGGTTGGAGGTGAAGCTGGGCCTTCCGACTACTCCTTGTTGGAGGGGAGAAGGTTCGACGGACGCACCGAGCTTGCGGGGACAAGACCAGAATTAAGGGTTGACAAAGAGACGGTTAGTCTAGCCCAGTCATGGCGGCGGCCACGTGAGGGGGGATTTCGGTGCGCCCAATGCATGTTCGCGTTTTGCTGTTGAGACCAGACATGTGGTGTGAATGCTGGGTGGTGGTTGGAGGCGAGGAGAGGAGGCCCACGGTGTTGGTGCTGGGATCTGCTCAGGGGGCTTTCATCAATGATGTTCCGTTTTCCAGCTGCACTCCAATGGGCGGCGCTCGGGCCATCATCGTCGCGTGCCTTCGCTCGTCTTCCCGGGGCCGCGATGGGCTAGAGATTGGGAGGTGCGAGGAAGATGGGCTCGATGCCGCTTCAGGAAGCATCAGCGTCCGCCCTGGGTGCCTTGGCTCTTGGGCCTTGGGTCCATGGCTGCCCATGAAGTTACGGCAGTAGGTATATCTCCTTGTCATAAGTACAATGCTGGGCCCCCTTACCACCCTCTTCCATCGCCTTGCTGCAGCATCGGCATCCCGAGTACTCCGTACAACAAAAAGAACCCTAAAGGCTGATAAATCCCCAACCCCCTATTTCCTCTTCACCTTTGCCCGGCTCCACGGAACGTCACTCTTCTGCCGATTTGCACCACCTGCTGTGCGACCTACTTCCTATCTACTTTCCCTGTCTAGGCTGCCAACCACCACAAACAACCCACCGCTTATCAAAGCCTCCCGTCCTGTTCCGCTCTCAAACATCTCCTTCAACGTGTCCGCTCCTTCACCGTCGCCCGAGAGACCAGATATCCTCCCTCGACTGTCGACTGTGGTACCTGCGCCGCCGCCCTGAAGGAGGAAGAGGCGCATGGACGTTTGAGAGCTGCCCGACCTATCAGAGCTCATAGCCTTGGCACACCCTCCCCGTCACTTCCACTCCGCTTGGTCCAACATCAAACGAGTTGCAACGCCACTCGAATACATATCCAGTATAAAGAAACACATCTCCCCACCAGGAGCCAGCATTGTTGTCGACTGCACTCTGCACCTCTCACGTCGATAGTAACCCCAGCAAACACCCACTCCCTACTCCCTACTGCTGCTGTCATCACATCCGAGCCCGCCTTCATAACACACCCCATCCACCAAAGCACAAAGTAGCCCTAGGTCGTCCGACTTTATTCACCACGTCGTCGATTCAGCTCACTCGCCTGCCCGACGGCAGGCTCGCTCCCAAGCGAACGTACCTCGACATCACCTGACTCCTCAACAAGCACAACATTGAAACCCCATCACAACATGTGCCTCGCAGAACTCAACGTCAGTCTCCTGCCCTGCCGCCATCGCTGGTTCCACCTTTCTCGCCCCTGCAACCCTTCCAGCAACCTGTCCAACTGCGCAAACAAGCTAAGCCTCTCAGGATGGGAAATCAAGTGCGAGTTCTGCCCCTTTTGCGCAGCATGGAACATCACTCCGGCCGAGTACCGACTGATCGGGAACGACGTGACTCCCGCTGTGGGCGGACTCACCCGAGTCCCGTCCCTCACGCTAGCCGCTACCCGTCGCGAGACTCGTAGAGGCACCGTGTCTCGGACCGAAAGCACCAACAACACCATCACCATGATGGCATCCGAGAAGAACAAGGCCATGAATGCAAGGGTCGAAGCGTACTTGAGGGCAGCACCTTCCGAAACGTCTCCACGCCCTGCACCGCTGCAAGAGGTCGACGACGAGAGCGAGTTGGGCATCACGTCGTCTCCAAGCGACACGGCCAGCGAGGGCCAGGACAGCATCCGTCAGCCATCGACGTCTTCGCAGCTCGACCGCCCCAATTTCTTGAACCGGATGCGCCAGAGGTCGAGGAGGTTGTCGCGCACCATCTTCAAGTGAGGCGTCTGTCGCCCGCGCGATGACGATGCTCCGGGTTCACCAGCTCTAGTCCTTGAGCAGGCGAAGCAGTGGCTCTCCTACCCTTCTAACCGCCAACCCTCATCATCTCGACTCGCAACACTCCAATCTCCGCTCTACATTTCGGCTGTGTCATTGGTACCTTTTTCATTCAGTATCCACATTTTTCCTTTTGCTTTCTCACCTCTATCTGATACCCACCTGGCCCCGCTCTACGATTCTACTTGGGCGGTCACAGGGCACATACATTGTATTTGTTTGTTTTTCTCCGTTCCGGCGTTCTCAGACAAAAGATTGGACAAGCGGGCAGTAAAAGCAAGGGCGACCTTTTACCTATCCCGGCCTGCGCTTTTCGCTTTTCGGTTCCGCGCAGGGAAGGATGGCTTGAGGGCATGCATGGGATCCGGCGTTGGTTTGCGACGCTGGCTAGACCTTTAATTGATTATGGGTCGCTGGCGTCGGGCAGCAACTGACGCTTTTCCACGGCATCCTGTCTGCTCATTCGTCGACTACATGAGGACGCTTTTCCTCGGGTATTTGTTTTTTGGGGGGAGACAGTTCTTCGCTGGTCGTCCTCAATGCAGCGAGCATCACTGCGTCTGTTGGTGTCGATCGCTTTTGGGATTCGGGTAGCTTCCGTAATTCATCCTTTCCATCTTCTTATCCATTGTGCTTTCTGTGTCCGCACCACCATGGCCCCTGCTGCCATCCCTTTTAATACACGACTACGCAAGATGACGATGGCATGCATGGTGGGTCAACCTTCAATAATGGTTTCCCTCGTGACGAAACGACCCGTGTCCTTGGACCTGGTGCTCGGGTGCCATGCGGGTGGGCGCATGCGCTTTCAATTTAGTAGACCGCGTGGCATCATTTATTATATAATTGTTGCGTTCTTGACGTAGGTACTCTATATTCGGGATTGGTGCATGTGAGGCGTGTGCGAGGTGGCCCGCGGATAGTCCTCCTTGCTGCCCTCATCCTTCGTCCGCAGGATGCGCGAATGAGAGATGTCGCTGCCAACGGAATACGTATGTACGCAGGCCATAGATAGGAAACCGGAATAGCAATTCCATCCGGCTTTGCCATTTCCCTTATGGGGAAGAAGGAGAGTTCATATATGCATACTGGCCCTAACCTCTACTGCCCGTTATCTATGACGGTAGACCATTATTCCAATCCGGATCCTAAGGATGATGATGCCAAACACGTAATCTCCACTTGTTGGAATCGATTGTGCATACGCGTAATCCTTTGACCAGTTCAGCGTTGCTAGTTGCCCCTGGAGGAGGAATTAGTCGGTATTGCAATCGGGCACATCGGCCAGGTTGACGGGAGCTGAGAGTGGAGAGCAGACTCAACAGAACAAATACAGGAATTGCTGGGTGGCGATTTTGGTGGAGCTGCCCAGACGATGGACTTTTGATGGTGGGAGGGATCGGTGGGATTTTCGTAGTATGACTAAGTGTTTCAGAAGCAAACACAACCTCCTGATTGGCCAAGCACACCCGTGTTTCAGGGGAAAAGCGGGACCCCTTGCAGCGTGGCGCGGGCCGGAACCACACTGGGCAGGCACTGCAACGGCGGACTCCGGACAACACCCGACAAAGAAAGACCATCCTGACGCCTTTTTCTCCTCCTCCAGTTGAATTCTCTTCCCCCCCATTGCTTCTCGACAGGCATTTTCCACTGTCACTCGTTTTTCTCCTTGTCTTGCCTTCCCTCCTTCCCTCCCCTTTCCGTTCTTTTCGTCTTCATCGTCACACTCGCTGAACCGCGGCTGGTCCTCCCGTTCACCCTGACAGTCGCTACTCCATACATAGTACATACCCACCCACACGTTCCAATTGAATCATCGACCCTCTCCATTCTGCCCAGTCCCCGCATTCCGCCCACTGCTAAAAGCCACATTCCACCCCCGCCTCGATTCCATTCCCTTCCCCTCCCCGATGACACCACCTCAGAGCTTTCGACTCTCTCGTCAGGGCTTCCAACCCCTCTCCAACGACCACCCGGCCGCCATGAACTCGACCGATATCCCCCTCCAGACTGTCGTCAGCCAACCGCTTTCACATGTACCTACGAGCCGTGACGAGGAGAATGAGAACGAGAAGTCCGGCTTCTTCCAACGAGGTCGCCGGAAGGTACACAAGGTGGACTCGCGTGGCACGGCGATCCCAGGCCAGGATCCGGATGAGGAGAAGACAGCCCTCAACCGCATGGGCAGGCTCTACACCAAGATTCTCAACTTCAGCATCGTCACCCGCTACATGATTTACGTCGCTCCCCTGGCCCTCATACTCGCAATTCCCATCATCCTGGCTGTAACCGTGTGGAGCGGCAAAGATGACAAGGGCAGGCCAAAGCACACCGTGGGAGGAGCCGACGTGAGGCGCTTCTTCATCTGGATCGAGATTGTCTGGCTCAGCCTGTGGGCGTGCAAAATCGTGGCCCATTTCCTACCCAGGATCTTCGAGTTTCTCGTCGGCGTCGTGAGTCCCGGCGTGCGGAAGTATGCCCTGCTGCTCAGGTCTCTCGAGAAGCCCATGTCCGCTTTCTTCTGGATGATCGTCAACCAGGTCACCTTCCCTGTGCTGGTCAACACGGATCGTGGATGGTTCCGCAAGATGCAGTCTGTCCTCCTGGCTGCACTCATCTGTTCCGCCATCATCCTCGCCGAGCGAGTTCTTATTCAGCTCATCAGCATCAGCTATCACCGGAAACAGTTCGACCTGAAGATCAAGGAGTCCAAGAGGAATATCCACCTCCTTGGTCTCCTCTACGATGCCTCCCGTGCCCTCTTCCCTGCATATTGCCCCGAGTTTGCCGAAGAAGACTACCTCATCCAAGATACGATCGCTCTCGGGCTGGGCAGTAAGAAGGGTACCTTTAAGAATCACAAGCGTTCTGGGTCCGCTACGCCGATGAGACTGTTTGCCGACGTGCGCCGTGCTGGCGACAAGGTGACGTCGATCTTCGGCACCGTCGCTCAGGAGATTACGGGGAAGAAGATCCTGGATCCGAACTCCGCCCACTCCATTGTGCTAGAGGCTCTCGAAAAGAACCGTTCCGCTGAGGCTCTTGCCCGACGCATCTGGATGTCCTTCGTGGTGGAGGGGAAAAACTCGTTGTACCAAGAGGATCTCATCGAGGTCATGGGCCCCAACCGCCAGGAGGAGGCCGAAGAGTGTTTCAATTGTCTCGACAAGGACGGCAATGGAGACATCAGCTTGGAAGAGATGATCTTGACAGTCACCCAGTTCGGGCGCGAACGCAAGGCCATCGCCACGAGCATGCATGACGTTGACCAAGCCATCAATGCTCTTGACGGCTTGTTGTCCACCATCGTCTTCGTCATTTGCGTCTTCGTCTTCGTCGCCTTCCTGAGTCCCAGCTTCACTGCAACGCTGACCACCTCTGCGACGGCCCTGCTCTCGCTGTCCTTCGTCTTCGCTGCCACCTGCCAGGAAGTCCTGGGCTCGTGCGTCTTCCTATTCGTCAAGCATCCTTTCGACATTGGCGATCGCGTAGACATTGCCACCGATGCCCTCACCGTCGAGCACATCTCGCTCCTCTACACCGTCTTCAAGCGCGTCGCCAATGGCAAGATGGTACAGATCCCCAACATTGTCCTCAACAACCTCTGGATAGAGAACATCACTCGTAGCAAGTCCATGAGAGAACAGATCTCCATCTTTGTCGATTTCGGCACATCCTTTGAGGACATTACCCTCCTGAAGCAGGAGATGCAGAACTTTGTCCGCGATCCTCAGAACAGCCGCGACTTCTTCCCGGACATTGAGATCGAGGTTGTTAGTATCGCTGAGATGAACAAGCTCGAGCTCAAGTGTGAGATCAAGCATAAGAGCAACTGGTCCAACGAAGCCCTTCGTTGCGCACGTCGTTCCAAGTTTCTGTGCGCTTTGGTTCTGGCCCTGCGAAAGGTTCCCATCTATGGCCCTGGTGGCGGAGACGCCGCTCTGGGTGACGCTGGACATCCTTCGTGGTCCGTGTCCATTTCCCCTGACGAAGCTATTGCTGCACGGAACAAGTTCAATGCAGACAAGGATGCGAAGCGTCTCGTTCCTACCATGAAGCCGGATGCAGACGAAGACAAGGGCAAGTCGTCGAGCACCGACTACCTCTCACCTGGTAATGCTGAGACGTCGGCTATCCACATTTTGAACAACCGCAAGCCAGGCGCTGACCCGGTTCGGGACGATACGTGGAACCGTCGCGACGATGTGAGCACTCTGGGTCGCCCGAGCACTGACACCCGGCCCGATCTTGACGAAGTGCGCGGCCTCTTGCACAAGGCCAGCAGCAGCGGAAAGCGCAAGCAGTACATGCATTCAGAATCCTCCTCGGATATGCAGCCGCCACGCCAGACAATGCCTCCAATCCCCATTCCCGTTATCCCATCGACCCAGCCCGCGACCGCGGGAAGTGCATATGCTCAGGCTCCGCAGATGCGTGCTCCAGTATCTCCTACCTCCATCTCTACGGGTAGGGTAGAGGAGTACCAGTATCAAACTATGGCACCTCCGCCGCATCCCATGGTTTCTCAGTCGTCTGCGGCCGATCCGTATGGGTCTGCCGCTTCCCCGCCACTGACGGGCGCTGCACCGGATAGATCACGCTCTCCCATTAGCCCTGCCAGCCCTTCCGATCCGACGAACCCGTACGGCTCCCCTTCGCCGAGGGGCCCTCCGCCGGCCCAGGGGCAGCATCCTTATAAGCCTTGAGTGAATCACGGCAGGGGGTGGTGACGGAGAAGCGAGAGGAAATGCATATATGGTGTGGTGATTTAGGCGTTGGCGGCTTTTTCTTTTCTTTTCATATTAGCTTCACTTTTCAATCCCAGATTCGGGATAGGATTTGCATGACGGGCTGGAATGCTATTCCGGGAGGGGGCCCATGGGTCACTCGAAGGATCTAGTCATGTTTCAGCGGCATCGAAGCGTAGGCCATTTACAAAAGCATACATCTCGTAGCCATGAACCCGTTGGCTGTACAAGGGAGGCAGACGTTACCGGCCAGAAGTTTTGGGGACATATCGGACATGTGCATGCATGGATGGATCAATTGATCTAGCTAAGGAATCTTGGCGAGATAGACAGTATCGGGAAATGAAATTCAAAAAGATAAATTAAAAGGGGCTCTTTTTGTCTTTGAATTTGTTTCCGAATGGGCTTGCTGGACTGAGTGTTATTGAGTAGCGCTAGTGCTTTACTTTTTCACGCGTCAGGCTGGAGGAACCAGAGCATGCCTCCTTGTATGTAGACTCTACGGTACTGTAAGTGGGGTTCATCATGTATTTCCATATGTACCAAGTAAAAGTGCTACGAGCTCCACCATCTAATTCCAATCGCCATAGCCCTTGCGAATGCATCACCGCTTGCTATGATATCCAAAAACCGCACCCATTGACCAATCCTTAGGATCCTGCACACTCCTCCTCCTCCCTCTCATCCTACTTCTTCGCCGGCACCTTGGTAAAAAACGCACTCAACTTCTTCATCCCGCTCGTATCCACCTTCTTCAACTGCCTGACGCCTCGACTCTCGCTCTTCCTCCTCCTCTCCTCCTCCTCCCTCTTGCGCTTCTTCTCTTCCCGCTCCGCCATCTTTTCTTCGTCATCGTCGTCATACCCGCGCTTGCGGCTCATGTTGTCGCTTATGCTGCGCAGGGCGGCGGCTTGGGCTTTGAGTTTGGAGAGGGTCGCGAGGTGTGTGTCTAGGGGGGTGAAGGAGGGGAGGTTGGGGGAAGAGGAGAGCAGGGCGAGGAGGGGGGTGTGGAGGGTAAGGGGGATGTAGGCGTTTAGGAGGTAAGTGATTGCTGTGCGGAGGCGGAGGAGGGGAGGGATGGAGGGGGGTGTGGTTAGGGGCGGGGGATCGTCTTCGGGAGTTGTGAGGGCCGTGGTTTGCGAGTCTGAGGATGGTGTTGCTGTGGGGGTTGTTGTTGTTGTTGTTGTTGTGGTGGTGGTCGAGGATTGCGATTCCGCTGCTTCTGCTACAACGATGGGCGCAATTGTGTCTTGTTCGTCTGCAGCGGAAGTCGTCGTCGTGGATACAATGCTGATGCTGGTCTCCTCGCGCCGGACACTCATGACGGGCATCTCGAGCGCGGGCTTGACGAACTGGTCCTCCATGCTTTTTGGGAATCCAGCCTTGCATATCCTCTCTGCCTTTTTCACTAATATGACGAGCAGCTTCTCCGTCGATAGCCGGTACATGGGTTCCTCGCCTGCGTCCACCGTGTCGCAGCACGCGGCCATGCGCTTCTCCATTTTCGCCCGTAGGAACGGATGTTGCGCCAACAGCGCTCGCAGATGCCGATTCGAGGACGTCAATGCGTCCATGTGGTCGTCGAAACTGAGGAAATGCTGTTTCGCCTGTTTGGGGGATTTGGGCGCCAGCGCGGGGAGAAGCAGGAATAGCGTGTCGATGGGGGTCGCGACGAAGAGGTCTGGTGATCGCGTTATGTAGGCTGATCCCAATCCTCCGTCTCCTCGTTCTCCTCTTCCTTCGTCCTCCCCTGTCTCCTCCTCCTCCTTCATATTCTTCTGCACATTATGTTCGTTCTCGGTCGTGAGAAGCCAACTCCTAGGCTGCCTCTTCGGCGCCGCCAACCGCGTGAACTCGTAGAAGCCCGAGTCCGGGCAGAATAAGTACCGCGAAGGTGTGCCGTTTGCGGGATTCTCCAGCGTGACGATTCTGGAGCGGTGGTGGGATGCGGATTTGGGCAGGACGAAGAGTTTCGGGGGGTTGGCGACGCTGGGTGGAAGTGCGCTGCTGGTGCTGGTGCTTTGTGAGGGTGTGGTGTCAGAGGTGGTGTTGGCTTCGTTGGACGGTGGTTTTGTGGACTTGGAGGAGCGTGTGCGTGGCATATTGGATATTCTGCGTAGGTCTATAGTTGTAGGATATATCCTTGAGAACAATTGGAGGCTTTCTTTTTTTATGCCTTGAGGGCTGGGTGGAGTTATGAGGAGACGTCGCGTAGCGCTGCTTCTTCAGACGCGTCTCTCGCTTCCCCGCGCGTCATCCCTGTCCACCACTTGTGCGACGTTTCGTTTCAGATTGCGGACCGCCGGCCAACCTTATCCTTACGACAAGCACAACAAGTCCCCAAGTGAATTCTCCTCCGCGACAAATACATCGCCCTGGAGCCATCCCAACCGCGACCGTCTACCAGCGCTCTTGGCGCGGATATGCGCGGATCTCGAGCCCTAAACCTCCCCCCACCTCTGCAACCATGATTGTGCGGGAGAGCCCCAAGAGCGGAGGTCCGTTCCTTAGCCACCCCAAAATGGCACTGCACAGGTGAAACTGACTCACTTCACTACTAGGCAAGAATCCGCCCGCGAATTGGCCTCCAAAGAACCCGCACGAAGCGCTGCTCAGCTCACCGTCCGGCCGCCGCAAGTATGAGCAGCGGCGCGAGCGCAACTCGGTTTCGCCGTCGCCTGTGAAGCGCCGACCGCAATCGAGGGCGTTGTTGGATGCGCATATGGGGGAAGAAGAGGAGGAGGAGGAGGACGAGGAGACGCTTCAGTTGAAGTTGGCGCAAATTGAGGCACGCTTGAAGCTGAAGAAATTACAAAAAGCAAGGGAAGCGAAGGAGCAGGCGGCGCAAGGTGGAGATGGGGATGGAGATGGGGCTAGGACGGCTTCAAGGGCAAGCAATGCACTGGGTTCGCGGCGGCCGGAGGCCTCCAGACCCCCGTCAGCAGTCGAGGTTCCCATGTCCCCCGTGAGGAACCGACGAGAGCCGGAGGAGCACACAAGCCCTAGGAGAGTGCTGCTGGGAATCGATAAGGGACTACGGGCGCAGGATGTTAGTCTCAAACGAGCGTCTAGTTCCAAGGTTGCCTCTACGGGCGTTCGAGGAGAGCGAGAGATTCCCAAGATCAAATCGTTCAGCCAAAGACTAGCTGAAAGTAGGAATCAGGACAGAGCACGAGAGGAGAAGCGAGCCAAGATCGAAAAGAGTCGGAGTCGGGGCTTTGGGCTGAAGGATCTGGAGAGTGAACGCACGCCTTCAAGGGCGGCGTCGTCACTGTCTGCCAGGGAGGCTTCGCCTTTCAAGAGAGAGTTGTCAGGAACAACCGCAAAAGGACCCCAACAACAGGATGGTCAAGTTCCACGGCCCCTTTCCAGCCACTCCTTACGACCTGAGTTATCCCGCGAAACTTCTGCAGCCTCGACTACCCCATCGCGCCCGGAATCGCGGTCTGCCACCGCATCAAAATACGCAGAAATGGCACAGCGAGATAACAGCACCGAAGCCCCCAGCTTCGACTCGTTCTCCCGCCTCCATTTAAAGACGCGCAACATGGAACACAGCAAGCTCACTCGTGTACTTGATGGCAAGACCGTCTTTACCATTCCGCAACTCCTCAAAACCGTCAGAGCCCCCGAGTACGATCCACCAGACATGGAAAACGACTATGTGGTCTTCGGCGTCATATCCTCCAAATCCTCGCCTCTGACGCCAAAGAATGCGCGCTCGAACCAATCCGTCGGTAACCAGGACGTCGACGCGAATCAGAGCGGCAAGTTCATGGTCATCAGACTCACGGACCTGAAGTGGGAGCTGGATGTGTTCCTCTTCGACACCGGTTTCTCGCAGTTCTGGAAGCTACCCCTCGGTACCGTCGTGGCGATTCTGAATCCAGATATCATGCCCCCTCGCAATCGCGACACGGGCAAGTTTTCGCTGAAACTGACAAGCTCGGACGATACGGTTCTGGAGGTCGGTACCGCACGCGATCTGGACTTTTGCCATGCAAGGCGGAAAGATGGCAAGGATTGCGGTCAGTGGATCGATGGTCGGAAAACGGAGTATTGCGACTTCCACATCGAGCTGCAGTTGGAGAAGAGTAAGAGGGGTCGCATGGAGGTCAATACGATGAGCGGGACGGGTTTTGGGAAACCGGGCGGCGGGAGATCTGGCATGTTTGGTGGGGCGGGAAGAGGAGGGGCGTTCAAGGGCGACCAGCTGAAGAGGGAGGGCAGGTTCCATGATGCATTCTTACACGACACAATGTACATCACTCCGGGCGTCGGGACCGCTGCTAGGCTCCTTGACAGCGATGAGCAGGGCTTCGAAAGAGGGGCCAGCCGCGCGGAGCGCCATCGGAAACAACTTGCTGAGAGAGAGAAGGAACGGGAGCTGGCGAAGAAGCTGGGTGAGACTGGAAAAGGAGCGGGAGCTGAGTATCTGAGGGCGAAGGGGGCCGGCGATCAACCTCTTCCTGCACGACCTGATGGCTCATCGCAGTCAGAGCAGGGCACGAAGGGTAATTCGAACTTGGCGATTGATGCTCTGGGCCTGCTTGGTCGAAAAGCAGAGGATGTATCTCTGGCGCCTGTTAAGCGCAAACGGCCGACATCGAGCAAATCCATCACCTCGAACGAGCCAGTCGGTTGGAGTGGGGCCTTCAAGAGAGGTTTGCTCCTCTCTCCTACCAAGGGAGAGGCCTCGACAAGAAACGGTCGTGAAGCCAGTCCAGTGAAAAAGAGGGCCCGATTGTTACTCCCTGAGAAGGGGATCCGAGAGCCAGGAAGGGATAGTTTGACGCTGGATGTTGGACTTCTGGCTGCAATGGACGACGACGACGATGATGACTTGGAAATCATTTGAGGCATCCAACATTGGGTAGATGGGGTTATTCAAAAGCTTCAGGCGTTTCACAGGGTCGGTTGAACTAGGCGGATGGTTCAGGCGCTTTGATTGGTTGGCTACCCTGAACGGCTCTCTGATTGGCCCACATAGCCTTGGGTGTTTAAGCGAGTGAAGGTTTTATGGCGTGGCGTTGTACAAATACCCTTTAACTGCGGACTGTCGGTAACGAGTCCATAGAGAGTTGCTACTTGATCCTTTTTACATTCACTTCATCACTCGCTTGTGCTTTTGCGTACTTCTACATTCGTTTTCCTTCATTGAAACGTTGAGGATCCCTTCATTCAGAGTTCACAAAGAAACTCAGGAAGAGATATTTCAGGTCAACAGTCAACCAATATGGGATCCATATCAGCTCCAGACTCCAAGGTCTACGCTCTCATTATCTACGACGACGCCTACGTCCACCCCATCCTCCTCGCGGCTCTGAGAAAGCGCCTCCCACCCTCCTCCTACGAGCTCATCACCAGCCTGGACCAACTCCCCTCACCCACCTCCAACCTCCTGCAATGGCTGCAATACGAAGAAATCGATTTCCAGCACCACCTGTCCCACCCCGAAACCGCTCTCTGCAACGCTTACATCATCCGCAAAGCCCTGATCCGGAAACATTACCTCTCCACTACAGTGTCCAACTGGATTACAAAACACCCCGATTCGCTCCTCCGCAAGCACGTGAAACCCAGCGTGGAATTCGAAGTCGACTATGCAGAGTTCCTCGACGATGCCCTCGTCGAGGCCTACGAGCTGCGGGAGAGTTGGCAGAGAGGCGAAGGGAAGGAAGGGAAGGATCGCGAGTGGTGGATCTTGAAGCCGGGGATGAGCGAGCGGGGCCAGGGGATTCGATTGTTTTCTTCCGAGGAGGACCTGACTGAGATCTTCGAGGCGTGGGATCCGGAAGACGATGAAGAAGAGGAGGACGAAGAAGAGCAGGAAGATGCAACGGCGAGAAGCGACTACGGTGATGCAGACAAAGAGGAGAATGAAGGAAACGGCATCATCACATCCCAACTCCGGCACTTCGTCGCCCAACCCTACATCCACCCGCCTTTGCTACTCACACCCCCTGGTTCCGCGCCCAATTTCCCGCCCAGAAAATTCCACATCAGGACCTACGTCCTCGCCTTCGGCGCGCTCAAAGTCTACGTCTACAAAGAAATGCTCGCCCTCTTTGCGGCGCGCCCTTACATCCCACCGTGGGAATCATCAAATGACGAAGAAGCACTGAGAGCCCATCTAACGAATACCTGTCTACAAGACACCAGCGAGCGTGAAGGCTCCGTGGGTCTGTTCTGGGATCTACCCGACGACCTCCCCTCGGGATGCGCTCCCCAGAAATCGCCTTGGACAGAGCAAGTCTTCCAGCAGATTCTTGATATCACGTCCGAGACGTTCAGAGCAGCCGCCACGTCCATGTCGATTCACTTCCAAACACTACCGAACAGCTTCGAGCTGTTTGGGCTAGACTTCATGGTGGGTGTGGAGGGAGATGGAGAACTCAGGACGTATTTGCTCGAGGTGAATGCTTTTCCGGACTTTAGGCAGACGGGAAGCGAGTGTAAAAGGGTGGTAGAAGGGCTGATGGAAGGGGTTGTGGATGTAGCCGTTAGGCCGTTCTTTGGAATCGAGGGAAACGAGGAGGCCAGCGAAGGTGCGAGGAAGCTGATCAAGGTGTTGGATATCGACCTTGGACGGAGATGAGAGCGAAGACGATTCACAGCAGGATATGGCCATCAGGAGATTAGAGAGAGTATGGCTCAAAGGAAGTGAGCCTGAACTGATTCTCTAGAAATCGACAATGAAACCTTCATCCGTGGTCCGTAATGTTCGGTTAACCGCCTACATCAAACACGTGATGTAAATCTTGCCTCGGCCATTGCGGTCCTCATTTCAAGCTGCGTCTGTCTCGCTGATTGCGATGCTGAGGTTTCGGACGCTCCATTGTTTACTCGAGTCTCTGGTGGGGCATCGCTCGGAATGGGCGTAATCTCCATCGAACTCCTGCCCACGCGTCTGTCGCGGCCATGGACTTGTGAGCCACTCGGCGTTGCCGCCCTCCCTGCGACAGAGATCAATAATGAATGAATGAAGAGGCCAGACCACTTACCTCTGCTTAGATCGCTTCGCCTCATTTGGATTACATCATCCAGAATACTCGTCATAACGATCAATTTGAGCTGGTTATCGGCCTTATTCATCAGAGAATCTAAATACGCTTTATCCAGGTCTCTCCCATCCCTGCGTGCCGGAGACGCTAGCACTCAGGTCAGCGACTACACAGCGCTTTGCAGGATATACGCACAAGTGTCATCCGGCTTATGTCCCATAACTTTCTCATAATCACGCCCCAGGAGCCTGCGCAATGCGTCCTGTCTGCACTCAGGACTGAGAGAGCGCCGCCATAGGGTTTCTACTATATTTTCCAAGTCTTTTGGGTCTGTTGTGTCGAGAAAGGCCTTGCGTGCCTCTTGATATCGAGGTTCGGCCACCTCCGAGAGCCTGAGGAGAATATCTATATCGCGGCTCCATGTGTCGAGGCCACTATCTGGGGCTTGACCTGGAGCTTGAGGGTCCACCGGCGAGGCTTGAGGGTGCGATGACAAGGCTTGAGGATGCGACGACAAGGCTGGAGGGTGCGAGGACAAGGCTGGAGGGTGCGACGACAAGGCTGGAGGGTGCGACGACGATGCTTGAGGGTTCGACGTCGAGTCTTGCGGCTTCGAAATTGAGACTTGAGGCTTCGAAGATGAGACTTGAGGCTCCGAAATCAAGACTTGAGGCTTCGAAAGTGAGACTTGAGGGCCAGAGGACGAGGCTTGAGCGTTTGATGAGGAGAGTTCAGCATTGGATGACTCGGCGTGAGGGATCAATGGGACGACGTCATGGCCTTGAGGAGCATTTTTTGCCTTTTTTGCCTTTCTCTTCGCTCGGAAACCACGGAACTGGGTTCTCAGACCCATGTTTACGATAGAAATGGATGTATGAATGAATGGAAGAATGCGTGTGTCTGTGTAGCTGTCTGTCTGGTGAAATGGCTGCGAAGGAACAGCTTCTGCAAACCAGACAAGTGACACTAACACAGCTGTGCTTCAGCAGGTACGACTCTGCATGCCACGGTAGAAACAACCACGCATCCGTGTTGATAGCAGCAGCAACCCCGGAACAGAAAGAGTGACCCATACAGGACAGACATTTCAATTCTAGAACGCCGACGTTGGAAGCATCGAATTAGCCTTGGGTATCCCAATCGTATACAACATAGCATCATAACAACGCATATCCATGCCTGGAGGAGACTCATGCCGTTTCCACTGACTTCAATGCTTGCATGCCGAATGGCGGGGCACCGGTATCATCTCCCATTCCGGTCGGGAAGACATCGCCGCCATCCCCTATACCATCGATCCTGCAGCCCGGGCAAGTGGCGTGGTCGCAGCCGGTGGGCTTGGTGAAGTCGTACTGTTCCCAGGTGATCACTTCCTCAATCATATCGGTAGATTTCGCCTTGTCATCTCGCTCCTCTACAGCATTTTCTGTCTCTTCGAACCTGTCGTCAGTTTCGTGTTCTTGTTGATCCTGGATTAGACCCCTGGGAGGGAAGGGTTCGTCAGCAGACTGCTTCTCCTTGTTCGCATTGAGTTCCTTGAGGCCCTGAGGCCCCTTCTGAACGCGGTCTTGCTTTTCCAGCAGCATCGCTATGCGATCGCCATCTCCTTCCTTTGAGTTGTGTGCAGTGGCGTCCGCTTGCTGGCTCGCGCCTTCCGCTGGGGTGCGCTCTGGCTCAATCTTCGTCGTCGACGGAGGGGGCCCGACCTTGGTGAAGCGTGCTGATGTAGCACCGGTAAGCGCCGTATCTCCTACTCTCGTAAATCGGGGAGCCCCGGCGACCCTCTTGCTAGGTCCATCAATTGCCTTCGAGTGATCGGGTCCGCGCTTGCGCTCTCCTCGCTCTTGCTCGCTGCGCGCTGTAATCTTCTTCATGTCGAGCAGACGCTGCCGATGGTTGTGATCGTATGAACGGAGGTGGTTCTCGAAATCGGGTTGCCGTGGATACCCTTTGTCACATATGTCGCAGACGAACTGCCTGACGGCATTGGGCGGGGCGACATTCCTGCGCTGGGAAGGTGGTGCTGTCAGTATGGCGCGCTAAGCCAGCCAGTATGGAGTCAAACTTACAGGAGGCATGATGGTCGGTGTAGGCGGTGTGCAAGGGAAACTCTGTGCTCCGCCAGGCTGTTGCTGTCGTAGTTCGAAAGTCGAGGGAGGGCCAAGCCCGAGATTAGACGCGCGCCTAACGACGCAGGGGCACGTGTGTGGCGTCCAATCGCTCAAGCGAAACAACGTCACCGCCATTCACCCACACGACTTGGACGCACCACGCTCTGCAACACGCATAACACAACACCATGGGCGACGGGCTGCCGGAGACACCAGACGCGGGCATGGAGGTAACGGGGCTCACGGAAGTGGAACCCTCGCCGGTGGAGGAGACTCCTATAGAGTTCAAGGAGGAATATTTTCCCTTCTCCACCGTGCGGTCCGCCTCTCCCACAACGTCAGTGTTAGGGCTGGGAAGTCATGGCCCGGCATATTACCGTAGGGAGCCGTGTACGGATATGATCTGTTCCAGACTAACTTTTCATCAGTCACACGCGTCCAGAAATACTCCTCGTACGCCTTCACCGTCTTCACAGCATTCCACATCACGAACACTTCCATCATCCCGCTCCTCACCAAGTCTGTCACTGAAAGCAACCGCTACCTCCTTCTCACGCGACCGTACTATCAATCCGCGCTTACTGAGCCGTTACTAGTCGCTATACCCCTCGTTGCTCACATCACTTCCGGCCTAGCATTGCGGTTCTACCGACGAAGCCAGTCACTGCGCAGATATGGAGCGGAGACGAGACGAGATAAGAAGACGATACCGTGGCCGCCACTAAGTGGGACGAGTGCGCTGGGGTATCTGAGCGTTGTGGCCGTGGGCTCTCACATGTGGACGACGCGAATACTACCGCTGTACATGCATGGGGATAGTTCGCTCATAAACCTCTCCTACGTCAGCCATTCGTTTGAGCTGTTTCCCTATCTCGCATTTGGCGGGATGACAGCACTGGTTGGGATAGCAACATGGCATACTGTATGGGGATGGGCAAAGTGGCTAGGTTTCCTGCCTTCCCAGGTCACTGTGACTGACTCGAGGAGACACTTGATCAAGAAGAGGCGGTGGTACATGATCAATGCAGCTTCTGCGCTTGTGGCGGGTCTCTGGATGGCTGGTGGATTAGGGGTAGTGGGCCGCGGCGGCCGGACAAGCGGGTGGGTTGGAAGAGAATTTGATGATTTGTATAGAAGTCTGCCAGTGATTGGCAGATGGGCGCTGATAGCGACTATACCCTAATAGTTGATATACACTCTTCCTTCATATGGCTGAAGCACGTCCCCTGATGTCTTCGAATACGAACTTACCAGCATCGTCATATCTTCACTGGGTGAAGGAACAGGCTGTGGAGAGGCAGTGAAGTTGAGTGCGACGAGCGCAGTCTTCTCCTGGTGATGCTTCTTGAACATGAAGGTGTTGAGGTCCTCGGGTTTGAGCAACTCGAAGGCACCGTATACGAAGACATCGTTATGTTCTTTGCGCATCCGTAGCATGCGCTTGTAGAACGACAACACACTATTAAAGTCCTTCTCTTGAGACGCCGCATTGATCTCCTTGTACAGATCGTGGGTCCGCATCCAAGGCGTCCCTGAACTGAAACCGGCATTGGGGCTGGAGTCCCACTGGAAGGGGAGTCTTGCATGATCCCGCGCCATGAGCCGCAAACCATTCATAATGCGAGATTTGCGAGTCGGATCACTACCATTTTCCTCTAGCCGCACTGCTTCGCTCCAGAAGTTCAGCGACTCGACGTCTTTGTATTCCTCAATAGGCCATTCCTTGGGTGCGTTGATCATCCCGATCTCTTGCCCCTGGTACAAGAAGAGCGTCCCAGTTTGCGTGACTAGCCACATGGCGAGCATCTTTGCGCTCTTTTCTCTCCATTGAGGGGAGTCGTCTGCGAATCTTGATACACTTCGGCCATTATCGTGGTTCTCATTGAATACCGTCGTCCATCCGTCGGTGCCTTCGATGAAAGTCTGCCACTTATTCACAATCTGCTTCATTTCGGGTAATGTCCACTCCGTGAAGTCGTACTTGTCCGAGAAACCATTTGATTGACCCAAATGAGTTAGATCGAACTGGAACACCATGTCCAGCTCTTTTGCCCTCGCACTGACATACGAAAGCACGCCCTCCGGGTCCGGAGTCAATGATAGCTCACCAACAGTGACTACAGGCTGGCCATCAAACGTCTTGTAATGTGAAAGCACTTTGCTATTCATCTCCTTGATGAATTCATGAATCCTCGGTCCGTTGCACCAAAACTGTGCGGCAGGTTGGACAAAAGTATTAGGGTCTGTTATCGGGGCATCGGGAAAATCGATATGCTTCGAATATTTATTGACAGTGTCAACGCGAAAACCATCAATCCCCTTGTCGAGCCAAAAGCGCATGGCAGAGTCGTAGATTGCTTTGCGGCATTCTTCGTTTTCCCAGTTCAGATCGGGTTGCGACTTGTCGTACAAGTGGAGATAGTATTCTTGTGTGTGCTCGTCCCAAGTCCCTTTCACCAGTTAGCTTCCTTGTCGCACGTGTGTATCAAGGCGGGCAACTTGCAAGTTCCACCAGCAAAGTAGCTCCGGTAGTTGGTCGGAGGCCTCCGATTACCCTGCTCATCATACCGTGCTGGTCTCCAGAAGTACCAATCCCTCTTGGGGTTATCTTTCGAACTCCTGCTTTCCTTGAACCATGCGTGTTGATCTGATGTGTGGTTCACAACCAAGTCCAGAATCAACTTCATGCCATTGTCGTGGCATACCTTGATCAGTCGCTCTACATCTTCCACCGTGCCGTAGGAGGGGTCGACCGCTTCGTAGTTCGAAATGTCGTACCCCATATCGACTTGAGGGGATTCGAACATAGGGGATAACCATACGCAGTCCACTCCCAGGGAGGCAATATAAGGAATCTTCGAAAGAAGGCCCGGAATGTCGCCCCAGCCGTCGCCATTGCTGTCCTTGAAGCTCGCGGGGTATACCTGATAGAAGACGGCTTCTTTCCACCATACTCGTGTGTGGAGGAGAGGATCTGCGTGAGGAGACATACTTCAAGACCGTCCGTTTGCAAATGGTAACGGAAACGTGATTCTCTCCTTGCAAATGCCTTCAGGAACAGAAACGAATGTATGAAGCAAGAAGGGTACCAGGAGACAATGCGAAAACACTGGTATTCTAGTTCCCCTTCATCTACCCTATCAGTGAAGATCCACTTCGCCGCCCGTTCACCCGACTCCCGACCAATCTACCGTGAGCATCGCCGTGGTTCTGTTCACCTGCCATCGTTTTGGGATCTGCGCTGGAAACCATACGTCTTTGGGGGAAAGGACGAGGGGGTTTGTACGGGGGAACGTTTCTCCACATGCAATGCCCCCCACTCATTCATCGCCGGGGTCTTGGCTCCGCGTTCCCTCCGCGTTCCCTCCGCGTTCCCTCCGCGATCCCTCCGATTGCCTCTTCCAGTCTTGTCTCCACACTCTCAACACTCTCCCCGCAGCAAATCCCCCAGATCTCGTATCCGAACCCTGGTTCATAAAAATTCGCACTCCCGTGCTAGCGACGTGCTCGGCAGTCCGGGTGCAACCTGGCCTATGGCTTTGTAGCTCATGGCGTACAGCGGGGAACGTTTGGAAAAGGGTCAAGCGTGGAGAGGGTCGCTAGCCCGCAGGTCAGTGAGACATGGAGTCGCCTCTCGATTGCATACCTGAACCTAATTTTCTCGAATGACTTCTCCAGTCCTTGCCCAAGGACGAATATGTATATAAAGTCTGCAGGACTTCGGACTTGATCTACCATCTCAACATTCCTGACAACTCAACATAAAATGACGACCACTGCGGAACGACGAACCAGTGGTGCTACTGCCAACGAAAAGAATGTCGACCTCAAACACCAACCCGTCGTTGGATCTGACGAAGACGCTCACCATGCCGCTGTCGACGAGAAAAACATGCCCGTCTTGAAGAGCATCAAGCTCTACCCGAAGGCCGTGGGTTGGTCCGTCGTTTTCTCCAGTGCTTTGATCATGGAAGGCTACGATCTTGCACTTTTGGGCAGCTTGTACGCGAACAATATGTTCAAAAAGAAGTATGGTGTTCTGAACCCTGCGACGGGCAAGTGGAGCGTTCCTGCTAGTTGGCAGTCGGCTTTGTGAGCTGTACCAGATCCAGAGATTGATTGCAGTTCTGATTGATCGATGCAGGTCCAACGGCGCACGCGCTGGCGAAGTCATTGGCCTCATTCTCAATGGGTTTATCAGCGAGCGTTTGGGTTTCAGGAAGACCATGATTGGAGCTCTCGTCGCCATGACGGCGTTCATCTTCATCCTATTCTTCGCACCGAATGTGCAGACCCTCGTTATTGGCGAAGTGTTTTGCGGCATTCCCTGGGGCATGTTCCAAACTCTCGCGCCGCAATATGCTTCGGAAGTTGCGCCGGTAACGCTGAGGCCTTATTTGACTACCTATGTGAATATGTGGGTTTCGTGTTTCGCGTTGACAATCTTAGCGCTGAGAGGAGTTTAGGTGCTGGGTCATGGGACAGTTCATCGCCGCTGGCGTAAACCGTGGCTCCATCACCCGTGACGACCAATGGGCTTACCGCATCCCTTTCGCAATTCAGTGGATTTGGCCAGTGCCCATCATCATCGGTTGTCTGCTCGCCCCGGAGAGTCCTTGGTGGCATATCCGTAGAGGCGACCGAGAGGGTGCGCGTGCAGCTCTTCTGCGTCTTACGTCGCCCGAGAAGAACCCTGATTTCAACCCCGACGAGACCATTGCCATGATTGAGCACACCAATGAGATGGAGAAACGTATGGCTGAGGGAACACGGTGGCGCGACTGTTTCAAGGGCGTTGATCTCAGACGAACCGAAATCGTGTGCGGTATCTGGCTTGCACAAACGATTTGCGGTCAGAACATCATGGGATACTTTCCCTACTTCATGAAACAGGCCGGCCTCCCATCCGTTCAATCTTTCAACTTGTCCATGGTATCTCTCGCGCTCGGCATGGTGGGTACCATGGGCTCCTGGTTCCTCATGTCCAAGTTCGGTCGCCGCACCATCCATCTGTCCGGCGCCTGCGCCCTCTTCCTCCTCCTTATTACTGTGGGCTCAATGTCTTTCGCCGGGACCCAAGCTTCGCTCTGGGGCATCGGCGCCGTCCTCATCTGCTTCGTCTTCATCTACGACTTCACCATCGGCCCCATTACCTACAGCATCGTCAGCGAAATGAGCAGCACCCGCCTCAAGGCCAAGACCATCGTCCTGGCCAGAGCCTTGTACAACCTCAGCAACATCGTCGTCAACGTCCTGACGAATTACCAGCTCGGCGAGGCGGATTGGAACTGGGGTGCGAAAACGGCTTACTTCTGGGCGGGGACCTGTGGGTGTGTATGCATTTGGGCGTTCTTTCGGTTACCGGAGCCGAAGGGAAGAACCTACGGCGAGCTCGATTTGCTTTTCGAGCAGCGCGTTTCAGCGAGGAAGTTTGCGAGCACGAAGGTGGATCCTTTTGGACATGGGAATGGGCTTGAGAATAAAGAGGTGGTGAATGAGAAGGAGTATGAAAAGTAAACGAAATTAGCCTCCTGTTTTACGATATCCCAATGTATTTGTTTGCTTTGAAGTGATTGAACTCTGTTCTTATCCCGCATTTGGTGCACAGATTAGAGCAGCAATGAAGTGTAACAGCAATGCATTAAATTCATAGGAGGGACTCCTCCTGTGGATGGGCGGCCCAACCCGTTGCAGTTCCTATTTGCGGATACAAATCATCCTATGGGAGCGAGTGCTGTTCACGTCTACACCGCCCTCATATCCTTGTTCATCGAGAATCATCCATACCCTGTTTCATGCTATCTTGAATATCGATAGTCAGTCCCCTTCCGTCATCCGGTTCAGCTAATCCGCCTGAGCATTGTGTGGAAGTACGGTACCATATTTACGAGCCCTGGAGCAATCCATGCGTCCCGAGCCGTCAAAACATGGAAAATCGTGGATGCAGGTCGATAACCCAGTGTGGAGACTCCATCGTCTTCATGGCTGGAATTGATGACATGCTATTGAATAATTGAGTCAAGCGTTGGGCCTCCCACCGCGTGACGTAAATCCGCAAGAAGGGCCCTGTCCCTCTCCTCCCTTGAGCACTGTGGAAGGGCGTGGATATCTTTCACCGACTCTCCTTTTGCGTTGTCCCGAATTGAAGTAACCAGCGTCCGGTGTGTTCATCACTTACCCCTCCTCAAGTCGGTATACAAGTTCATCGGGACCTCCTGCTCATACAAAAACTGGGAGTCGGGGCTCAAAGGATGCATCTGGACAACAGGTAGCTGGATGGCTTCGCAGACCGGTTTTACCAGCTCAGGCAACAAGTCATTCACCTTTGCCAGCAGCAAGGGAACAAACTTTGAAGACCCGCCCGGCAACTTCGTCAGCAGAGAGGTAGTCTGAACCAGGTAGTCGACGGGACCAAGCTCCAGCTGGGATGCGGCGAAGGATACGAAAGGAAGTACGTCTGCGAGCGCGCACGCTAGGTCAAAGATCTTTTCCGTCTGCCAAGGTTAGTTGACGCCTCGTTAAAAATATGAGCAGGTCTCACCATGCCAACACCATGGATTTGGAGGCCTCCAATCGGAAGCTTCATTGCCAGGATTGTCAAATCCCGTGCCAGAGTTATAGGGTATCGAAACGTCAAACACTCATTAACGGACTCGCTGGAGAGAAACCCGAAGCGGGGAAAGAGCTCCCACAGCTTGACCTGAAGCCACAACTGTGTTACACGTAGGTTCGCTACCTGTTCCTTGGATAAGTCGAGCGTCTCTGGCAAAGCGGTTCGTACGTCGTTTTCGACACCTAGAAGCCATTGCTTGCTGCAGTCCCGGCGACTGCCGTTCCAGACGGCGAAGAAAATCTCATCAAAAGGTCGGAAGATATCTGCGAGATAGCGCAGCCCCAGCTCTTCTGGGTCATCAAGACGAGGGGCTTCAGCGGTGAGTTGCAGAGTTATCGGACGGTTTTTGCGAATACCGTGAGAACTAATGCGTGTTAGAGGAGACAAAATGGAGCAAAGGTGGCACAGACGCACCGCTCCGAGACCACAAGAATCCAGTACAACCGTCTGAAAACAGCTGGTGAGAACCAGTCCGCTTCGGAGTCCCCCATTTGTAACATGAAAAGTGTGGTGGCTTCTCTGAGGTAGAACCAGCCGTTTCTGTACTCTCCCAGTCCCGCATAGGCGCCGTAGAGGAAAAATGATATGAATATTGCTTGTGGTGACTGCGTCGTTACTCGATCAGCGGTTTGAAATCGGAGAGCTACATCAAGGAGTTGCCTGCCCAAATCCGAATCGGGCATATATGGAGGTAGAACGGTGTTATTCAAGACGCCCCCAAAGCCGACGACGTAGGCACAGAAGGCCGCCAGGAATTGGCGGCTGAGCGGAGATTCGGAAGCTTGTCTAGCTTCCCTCTGAAGGATCTCGCGGGTCAGGAATGGAATCACCGGGTACACACGCTGTAGATAAGCCTCGATACACGCATCAACGATGGCAGGGTCCAAGGTGCCGCAGCTGGGGGATCCGTTGCTTGGGCATGTAAGTCGGTGAGGGGAAGCCGAAGGTGAGGTGATCTCCGGACTGGTCTGTTGTTCAATCCGGCCGTCACTCTGTTGTGTGCGTAGCTCATGTAAAACGGTGGCTTTTGCACCCTTTTTACCACCTCTTCCATGTGGAATAATGAATGTGCAAGCCAGTCCCGAGGATTGACATCCAGCACACGGTTGCTGCGCGTTGCATCTTATTTTCCGTCGACGGCAAGCGTCACACGCCTGTGACACAGACTTTCTCGCCGGGAAAGGCATATATACTGGATTCATTCCGCCAACAAGATATCGCTTCTCCCTCCATGATGCTGGAAAGGATGGATTGAGGGGATAGGTATGTTTGAAGAGAGGTCACTCTGGAAAAACATTTCACCGGACACGTGATGCGTCTTTATTACACACCCAGGTGCAGGAAATGTTTATGGGTAGAAATGCAAGTATGCGGCTGTCAGGCAGCTGTGCGTTGCCAATAATGCGGGGAGAGCGGAGACTTAGCTGATTTGAGCTCACAGTCCGATATTCTCCCCAGGTCTGGGTCAGGTTGGAAGGGGAACGGTTCTGCATGGCTGACTTTGTCCAATGCAGTCCCATATTGGAAGGTAATCGAGGTCCAGCAAAAGTGTTGAGCGCTATTAAATGAAGCATTCCGATTGAGACAGAACTCCGGGAAGCGACACTTCGCTGCTACAGTCTACGGTCGTACAAGTAAACGAGTCATAAAGGTATTTCGAAAACATCGCTTGCCAGTGCCATAACAACCACCCTGGATGAAAGCAATTAAATCAAGACTAGGATCATCAGTCGTGAAAGTAGAACAAGTCGCCAAACAACGCCGCGCTGCTGGGAATGAAGAGACCGAAACCAGGGTTGGAAAATCATCTTTCATGTTGAGCGTAGTGCGAATACGACCCGGTCTGTCCGTAAAGCGGGGCCTGTGCATAGGGCTGGGGATTTAGGTTCACGAAATCTTGAGGATTATATCTGTACTTTCGATCTTCCGGATAGGGCTCGCCTTTGAGTCTCTTGCGGGCATCTTCATGCTCTTCCCGAGTCTCCTGCATCGTTGGAAGCTCGCTCGCGAAGCCTTTCTGATCTGGGCCTGGGGACCGGAAGCCATCAGATGCGTAAGAGCTGGGACGCGAGCTAATCGAACTCTGGTTCGAAGCGTGTGACCACCTGCCATTGGATGGGTCCGGCGAGGGCTTGCCAGTGTCTGAATGTGCTCCGTATCGGTTGTCGGGGATCAAGTGGGTAGGAGAGGATTGTGGGTAATAGAAGTCACCCGGTAGCTCCATGACGATTTCGTTGTGAGCAGGCTCCGCCGGCTGTGTTTGGGAAAACGTTCCCTGCCGGGGAGACGTGGGAATCTTATATGGCAAGCTGGGCGAAGCCGTTGGAAAGCGTGCTTGACTACTCGCAGACTGAGGTCGGCCATGGGATTCTCTACGATCAGCCGGATTGATCGTTTTCAGCTTCCCGTCCTCCATCATCGCATGCAGCACGCCCGCATCCAGCAGCTCGGCCTTCTTGATCAGCCTCTCCACGAGGACTTTTGAAGCGGCCTTTGTCTCCTTCTTCACAAATCCGACCATGGTCACATTGCAGGTGATCTGAATGTCCTCACGCAGATAGAGTCCTTCCGCAGGAGCATCTATCCCCAATTCACGGGCCTCCGGCGGCTCGCCAGGCTGGTTTCCACAGATCTGCCACTTGTTCCTCAAGTCCACACCCGCAGGCGCGTATATGTGTGTCTGCAGTCCCCATGGCATGTCGTGAAAACAACCCTTGAACTTGATCTTTCCTGATCCAAGCTTGCCCACACCTGGGATATACTGTATGCGCTCCGATATCTCGTACCACGTCGAGTAGAATTCGTCGGCGGGCGCATCGCGCGGGGCTTTGATGGGCTCGAAGCCAATGACCAGCGGGTTCAGCTCGATGATCTCGCCATGGCTGTGAAGGATGTCGATAGCGAGTTGGCGGGGTATGAAGGATGGGATGGGCGTGACGTTGGTGTAGTTGATCTTCTTGCGCATCATCCTGGCGGTTGAGGAAGCGATATTGATGGTTTAGATGGTCTGGCGGTCCAGACGGAGAGGTTGGAGGGTTTGAGGAGGCGTGATAAACTTGTGCTTACGCCACGCATGTTGGAGAGCTGAGGAGGGTAACAGCGAGATCCGTCAGCTTGGCTGAGGGAGGGTGGCTGGTTGGTTGCAACGGTTGGGCGATACATGGAAACTCCCGAGCCGAAAAGTGCCCAGCTACGAAGCGTCAGAGCACGTGGTGAGAGCTGAGAACCTTGGAAATGATGTCAGATCGAATGGCTGTGCTGGCTGGGCTGCAATCCTCTTTCTCGACACAGTATCTCGGTCCAGAGCAGTCCAAACACGCGATTAGCTTCGGATGCCGCCGAGCTATTATTCGACCTTTTTTTTTCCTGTTCCGCTCTGTTCGCAGGCGTTCAAGCTACCCTACCCTAAGGTAGCTGATACTGTCATCCATCTACTCAATCTCTACACAATAGGCCCAAGTTGACATCAATCTATTCTTAGGACGCGACACCCTGAAATTGAAGACAGATTTGAAGTTGCACGACAGGACTCCGTTCCAAGGCGAATATCTCACTCCCAATCGAAATGCCTTGAAACACTCTATTAATATGAGCTTTTCACACCTAATGTGTACTGTATACATATGTATCTGTGTCGGGGGCCTGCGTTGGAACGCCTGCGGGGCAGTCCTTGTTTGACAATCACTGTGCCGCCCGCAGGACTTGTTTACCCTAGGTGAATGATTCGTCTTTGAGTAAGGCGGCCAGTTCCAGGCAATAGGCTGCGCCTTTTTTGCGCTGCCACTTCACTGCGGCTTCCCACGTCTGACTGAACATCTGGCTGCAATTCCTCTGTAGCTGGAATACCTACCTAGCACAAGCTAACTAGCTACGACTTAATAATGCGACAGGAAGAATTATCGTTTTAAACATACTACTATACCTATGTATGTAGTGGCGCCCTACATAGCTGATTGCAGGACCTCCCATATTGCTGCGCCTGCTAGCTGTTTAAATTAGATGTGGAAAACAGCAGTACAGAGGAAATGCAGGGGGGTGTTTAGTCGGATGTGAACAGAGGCAGTAGGTGCAATCCCTTAGCAGAGGAGCGTAACAATCAGCGACCTTCTCTAACCCTGCGAACGCCTTAATATCCCGTCCAGCTAACGGCTCAGGGAAAACGGCACCCTTTAGCAGAGGCCGCCTTCAGCATCATTCAAACGATACTTAAGAATCCGGAGAATTGGCCAGTACCAATAGAACGCATATCGCAACTGACCTTCATCGAGCTAGTGACTCCTATTTCACTTGCAAAAAGACTCCAAAACTAGTCCGTGACATGGCTTATGCTGTAACCTCATCCTTTTCAATCCAGCCTACCCTATCCAGCGATATGGGTTGTTCGAAAATCATGGCAGAATGCATGGGGCGATTAGCCTGGAGAGCTCCCATGGTTTCTTCGTCGGTGCGGAGGGTAGCTTCGATATTATTGCCTGTCGCAGACGAGATGGCTCCGATCTTGTGTTTTGAGGTTATGGGCAATGACACACTCATTGAAGACAGCCTGCTGCGGTGAAAGACCTGACTGTTCGAACCGCAACTGAGCCCATGAAACTTGCAGTGCAGAAGACGAATTTTAGCAAGCACTGTGCACTTATACATCTTGAAGCAAAACAACTTATGCGTCTTAATTAACCCTAACCAAATATAAAGAGCATGGAGATCATTTCGTGCCGCAGTTAGGCTTGGTAGTATGCTGGTGGTGCAGTGTTATCTGGCCCCAAAGAAGCACCAGCTCCGGCGCCGCGCCTTGTACAACCGAATTCACAGTACCTTTCTTATCTGTGATAACATAGCTCACTGCACTCATATTCTCTTATTACTGCCTCTTTTCACGTCCGACTGAACACGGCCGTGCGCGTAGGGGTTATTAATCTTCTGATTGGCCCTTTCTGGGCCTCCCTCTAGATATAACTAGCCTTAAACTCCGTGCCCTCGTAGCATAACTAGAATATAGCCAATTAGATTTCTTAAAACACGTATTCTAACTTGGATTAGAAGAACTGGGGGTTGTTTAGTCGGACGTGGGAGGAGGCGGTACTCCTCTCCAGTCCGCAGCTCCTGATCGCATGAAGACTATCAACCTGCCAAGACTACCGGTCGCCATGAAGAGAAGGATCTGCTTAAGGGGTAAAAGCCGTACTGCAAAGGGGTCCACTCTGTGCGGGACACATGGATGCATTGGATATTCAAAAGGTATATTGGGGGACTACCAAAAGCACAGCCGTGCCAAATGGACCCTTTGACTCCAAGTGATATAATTCGCCTTCCATCCAAAAAGCTCCAGTTCCAAACTAGGTGTGACAGTATAATTGCAATACGAAGCTGAAACGTAGTTGGTCTGGACAAAAGTGAAGATCCCGAAGGGTTGCTCTCCGTTATAGACTGGGAAGCAGACCTTGCCATGCTGTCCCTTGACGCCATCGCTGCAGCTATCTCCAAACTTTCCAGCGGGGCTGCACTCTAATTCAGGCTGAAAGGTCATATAGCCGCTCCCTCCGGCAGGGATGACGTATTTGTAGTTCCCGTTCCACGATGTCTGTTTGGACTCCGACCATTGATGGCTCATGGAGACACTAGCAGTGATTGCACCCCAAAGTTCGCCGCCAAGTGAAGCTGTATAATCGGTCAGCTATTTGGAGTTCATAATCTTTTTGGTAGATTTCACAGTACCTTCAGCCCCCCAGCTATTCGTCACTTCAACGGAGTACCCGATCTGGAACTCCTGTTCGCAATCATTGGTTCCAGGGCAGTTATAGGTGTTCGAGATAATAACTTGTGGGCCATACTCCGTGGTGGGTTTTGCGTTGGCATCGTCAGGAGTAAATGTGCAGCCATCTCGTCGAAGGAGTGGCGATTTCTTGACGGCAGCCACATTTCGTTTAGCACGACTGGAGGAAGTGAACGGATTGTTCTTTGCAGCAAATGAACAATTCTCGTCCCCACAACACATGCTAAAAGCAATGAGCTACATTCTCAGGGTTCATATACACTTAGAGGAGTGATACTTACGCGTAACCAAACTCCTTGCGAAGGGATACTGTAGTGCATGCATCGGCTGACGGCACACGGCGGACGAAGGTGGCGCAGTTGTCTGGCCCGGAGCTGCTACTACCGGCGGGGAGTTCTACGTAGAAGACCATCTCACAGTCTTCGGGGATCGTGTTTTCGTCGATGTGAAGGTTGTATTGGCCATTTTCTTCCTCGAAACCTGGAACTGACCAGAGTTGCCGCATGCAAGCACCGTTTGGCTTCCCATCTACGACTTTGATTTCGCTGACATCTTTGAACTAATTGTGTAGTCGTTAGCGAATGGAGAATTGAGAGGAAGAATAGTCGCAACAACATACAACTGTGATCCCAGAAGAAACTAGGTTAGGGTCGTTGGCATCCTTTCCACATGATTCAGAGTTATAAACCATCACATCTGCGAGAACGTCTTGAGCAGATACACCGGTAACTGCCACGAGGGCGTTGAGGAGGATAAGAGTGGTCTTCATGACTTCAAATAAGATGGAAGAATAGTTTCAAACGATGTATGTTCAAACGATGGAGTGCTTTGAAATGGACTTGTTGTCGGGCTCGTCGTAGAGGCTTTTATATCCTGAAGAATACTTCTAGAGTTTAGAATTGGGGTCCAACCACTGTCCATTCAAGCTTGCGGCTCATGTCCACGAGTCTCCGGAATCCTCTCTGACTGCCATTGTCGCCCATTCTGGCTGCCTACTCGATGATCTGCTATGGAAATCTCGATCTCAGCTCTTGAGTATTCCCGATCAGCGGTCACTCTGATACAAATGTAACGTGGGGGTTAGAAGATCTCAAGGGCTTACACCCACAAGTCTCAATAACGAAGAATACCGTGAGCTGTATAGCTAGGACGATGTTAGAATCTACGTAATAAAGATGGTATACGCGTAAAACCTAACAAATCGGTCTCGTGAAACGGACACATCTGTTTGGTCCTTCTCGCTAGGTTGCTCAATAATGCTAGGATCTACACCCTCACGAATTCGTTCCCCGTAGCGGTCTTCCTTCGACCAAGTTTCGCTTCGTCTTAAGTGACATGTTGATCCAAGTTGGGCTTACCTTGGCGTAGGCGATTGACTATAGGAATAGTCCGTTGAGGTATAATCGATAGTCATGCCCTGAAACAAACAGGCAAACTGATCGACGCGGCCCCTCGTTTATATCCCCGATCGGGATTTGTATTCCCTTATTCGCTATCCCTGTTACCACGCGAGAAACAAAGGACCAATGGACGATTGGTGGAGCTACGGAATGATCGACACAGTTGTAACCTTGCACTGTCATGTTCGTGTATTCGGATATCGGCATCCTTCGACAGATGGGAATGTGCCTGAATCCTTCGAGATCATACTTTCCCATCCACAGCCCCACAACACAGTAAGCCGACGTCATAGATCGTTATGCGTCTACACAGTAGGACTCTTGACTATTCATCGCACTACATACTATTGTAAACAGTAGGCATATATAAGTGTTGCTGTCACCCAGATAGATGGGCATAACAATCAATTGTTTCGAGTTCCAGACTACACAGTACTTCGAATCGGATTACCCACTTTCACAACCATACTTCGTCCGACCTTTTTAAAATGGTGACCTTAAGCAAGCCCACGTTCGTCACCATGGCACTCATTGCCTCCCTCCTTGCGCCTCAAGTGCACGGCTGGAGCGTCGGCTTATGGAGCACAGCGGTACGGAAAGAGAATGACTAGCCATTCCATTAAAACCTTGCCTAACGTAGAATAGAATTCCTGCGGCCAGAGCGGAGCTGCCGACACAACTCGGGGTGGCGACTCTGCCGTGAGCAGCAGCTGCCAGGGCTTCGGCTTCAACGAAATCCAAGCCATTGAAGTTACGGATTGGGCCGATAACTGCAAGATTGTGGCGTACGACTCGTGGTCGTGTGACAACGTACTGGAAGAATTCACAAAGGACAAATATCCGCCATCCCAGGCCGACCCGAATTGGACTTGTATCAACAATTTGAGGAATCATGAGAACCTGGTCAACTGGCAGGCTTTCAAGTACGAATGCGCCTAGGAACTTGGTAGTGGGCGATCTGCAAGATATGTGGTATTATCTGGAGTTGCTGGACCACTGTTTTTTATGTCGATTCGTAGTCAGCTTCAAATTCCAACCCTACCCTCTAAGAATCTCTCAACCAAAGTGAAGTGCTTGCCAGTCGCGCCGAATTCTAGGGCTTCCGACAGTCAGCACTGCAGTGAGTATTTGTCATGGTAAATGCACATACGAATGATTATGTCGCTCAAATGAAGCTATGCAAATTTTAAGGATAGATAGCAGAGCACATTTAACCGTCTTGTTGAATTTTTTTCATCGCAGCCTATGATACTACAGCACTGACATTGCACGCAGCGGAGAGCTACAACATGTGTAAATACAATCCTGATATAGTACCGGGTGCATGGCTTTCCGTGTATCGGATGCCCGTGCAATCTTTATGGTGTTCTTGTACGTGTACTGCACCCTATGCGACTGAAGAACCCCTTGTACCGCTGCTCTGAGCTAAATCACCTCATTCAACCATATTAATTAGCACAAGTCTAGTTTACGCCACTGGAGCGCGGTGTTTCAAGGCTAATGATACCTAGAAGGAGGCCCTGTAAGGCTAATTACAGTGTTAGCTATATCCCAGCGACGCCTTGCTGTTCAGTCAGACGTAAAAAGATGCAGTACGTACGGGGTATACGACAATCCATACCTCAGACACCGCCCAACGAAGAAGCGCCGCGCGGTGCCTCAAGGTCTCCAAGGGTGAAAAGGAATGAACGGCTACGGAACATTCTGCAGGCTTTGATGGGCAGCATGTGGTGGTGGCAGACGCTGAGCACTTGGCTTTGAAAGCGGCCGAGTGGGTGGTTGTTAGGATGGCCAAGTGCGATACAAGGCACAGTGCGATATTCTCTCTTCCTTGCTGCTGCCCCGTTGAAAGACGGTGTAGCAGCGAGCATTGTACAAGGGGTTCAAGCCTAGATAGAGCGGACGTTGTGGCCTGGGCCAAAACAGATGCTAGTGAAGGAACTCGCGAGTGAAGTAACACATCTATGAATACACTGTGCAGACAGGCGTGTTTGGCCTCAGAGCTCATCGTGTTTATTTGTAGGTGTAATCTACATGCAGGCCGCTGTTTATCTGCGACTGTCGACTTGCCTGCCCTCATTGACCGACGACCCCATCATCCAGTTTGACCTTAGTTTGACTGCCCAATGGTCAGTGTTCACGACACGTCTTCTCGACGTCAGTTCTCATGTGTGTGTGTGCGTTCCTCTTTGACCTCCGTTTCTGGCTGTGTGCAGCGACTAGAGAATTTTACGCGCAAGCTTGTTCCCCGTCCTGACCCTCTTCGAAGCAGGGCGCTCCGGTGGCCCCCGGGGGTCTGAAGGAGAGGGTGTGGAGCGTTTATTCGGCGACCCACCAACTGCACCCGTTGTCGACGAAGCTCCCACTCCCAACGACGTTCCTACTCCCGACAGATTGCCTGTTGTCGTTGGCGCCTTCGGCTCATCGAGGGCGGCAGTCTGCAGGCCGTATTGAGCAGTCTTGGTCCCCTGAACAGCCTTTGCAGCACTAACCGACACTGCCTGTTGTTTATGTTGCTCTCCAAGTCCTGTCGGCTCTTGAGGTGCCTGGGTCGCCGAAGGTGTTTTGGGGTCGAGATTGGCGTCCTTCTCCTTGTCTTTACCCTTCGGGGAGCCCGTTGCCGTCGCGGCGTTCGACTGACCTATCTGTGGATCGCAACCATGCGCAATCGACACGTTGGACACGAGGACGACATTTTCCAATAGGGGGAGGTTCGTCTCCAGATTGAAGGACTGGTTCTCGACAAGTTTGGCGGCCGTCTCTCTCTTAGTACCTAGCCTCTCAAGCAGTTGCGCGCAATTCACTTTATCTTCGGGCACAACGGGATCCCGTGTAGTCTTGTCGAAGCGGCGCGCGTCTGTCTGCAACGCAATGAGATCCTGGCTGGGTTCCAGGAAACTAGCCGTGCCGGCAACAAGCAGTCCCTTATATGCGGCCTCCGCACACCCTTTGCTAGCGCGTAGAAAGAGTAGTTCCATTGAGGCCTCTATGTCTCTCTCTAGCTCTGCATGATATTGGTCTAGACCTTTGAATTTTTGCGCTACTTCTTGGACCTCTGAACGGATTTTCTGGAACTCTCCGTATACGCCGTACGCGAACAATAGAAACCCCGCCATCAGCGCGTTGTATCTGGCTTGGTGCTCATCTTCGCACTTCTTGTACATGGCGTGGAATTCGACTGTAGCCTCAAGGTATTCCTCTATTGTAATCGGCATGGTTGCGGAGAGAGTCTGATGTAGAATCCAGTGTCGAGTGAGGTTGCGGGGTTGGGAGAGTAGGTGCGGGCTGGGGGAGGTTGCTGGCTAGTAGGGGCGGTGTGGAGAGGGAACGCATCACGTGATTAGAATAGGTGAAGCACGAGACGATATTATACCCGCCTATCGCACTCTTACCTCCAGCATATAGACGCACTCGCACCACGACGACGCCTACTCTTTCCTTGGTTGGAATGAATCTAGCCAGCTGCAACCGAAATTGCGGGCGAGACTGCGGAGATGGAGGTGCCCAGATCTCTCGACAATGAGAGCACTCCTTGGATTGATATGCCGATGTCTGACAGTGGCGACGACACGGAGGACGACAATTTTGCGGAGATTAGAGGGAATGAGTACTCAGCAGAAAAAGAAGAGAAGGAGGTAGGGGAAGAGGTAGAGGAAGACGAAGAGAGAAGCAGGCCGATGCGCCAGACCAACAGAAGTGCCGAGGACCGGCGCTTCTCCAAGGAGGGAGAGAGGCTGAAAGAAGCCCTTGAAAAGAGCGAGTGGCGGGCACCGACCAAGAGGCCGCTGCTTCCACTGCCTCGACCTGTTTCCGACTTCTACAAGTTCAGGACCGATTACCCAGGCCGCACGTGGGCTGATACAAATGAGCTGCCCGATGAGCTCGAACACTGCGTCGACGGCAATGATCCCGAGCGGGGACTCCTTCTATGTGACAGATGGCATCCGGCAGGGCAGTACCTTCATCCACATTTCAGGAAGGCCTGCTCTGGTTGTGGCACTGGGTCGTACATGCTCTTGATCGACATTCCCATCAAGTTCAAGAATCCAACGGCCAAGAGCTACCTGATCTGGACTGGGTGGGCGGAAGACTCCTGGCGGACGCCCCGAAAGGCTAAACCAGGGACAGCGCGATGGGATGTAGCTAAAGGATCCCTTGTCTATCAGCATATCAAGTCCGCTGTCGGCGTGAAAGAGGCTGTTCGTCACGCAAGCCAAGTTGTTACCTACCGCGAACCAACGAACGCCGAGAAAAAGACTCTTGCTAAGCTATCCAATGAGCGCAAGAAAGGCGGCTACGAGTGGTTTACATATGGCGAGCAGGTTGACGACAGCACGACCCCGCACATTTGGGACGATGGCGGGTTTCCGCAGGTTGACGGAAACGACACCGAGGAGGACGAGTTCGCGGAGCAAGGGGACGTCGACGAAAACCTCGCCGGAACCTTCGTCGATCCTCTCCAGGGCTGGTGCAGTGGAGGTACTCGAGATCCTCCTCGATAGGGTGGAAGAATTGGATTTCATATGGAGGGGGCCAAGAAGCCCATGCGAAGACACCAACGAAGCGATCTTCATGATGTATATCCTGACTCTCGACGATCCCTTACAAACAACGCTTCGCGATCACGACCTAGTTCTCGAGAACTTCTTCCTGTATATGCAGCGTTATGCGCCCGTGAAGCCTGTGAAGCCCGTGAAGGCGGACTATTGCTCCCCCGCGTTGCTTAGCATGGCCAATCTCTGGAGGCTGCACCGTCGCACAGTGCCGTACCTCACGCATGTGTTAGCGGACGAGAGGAAGGAGGAGGGTCTCGACATGTCCCTGCCCTGGTTCTGGGGTCCGAGCCCGAACATCGTCAAGAATCCCCATTTGAACCAGGCGAGGTTGGAGGCCGTGGAGACAGTGAGAGGCCATATCGAAACGATGCGACTCGGGTTCCCAACGCAGAGCATGCTCGAATATGTGCTCTTGCCCGCGGCGGTCTGTGCGGAGATGCGGCAGGCCGAGGAGGCAGAGGGCAAAGGATACGGACAAGGCCCCGATGAGATCGTTATCCTCCCAAAGGACCTCTTCTGGGGCGCGCACATTCTCATGGTTCTTGCTCGGCATATGAGATGGGACGAAGGTCGCTTCCGGAGGTATTTTCTCAACAAAGGCAATCCATATGACGACAGAACAGTGTTCGGGGAGAACGAGGCCAAGAGACTATCCGACGCGCTCTTGGAAAGGGAGAAGTGGGTAACGCGGCGCTTCGCAAGGGCGTGGAATCGGATAGAGGATGAAAAGGAGGGGTAAGGGCGAGGGGGCTTGATGGGAATCGCCAAATCCATTACAAGCGGGACATCTAGGCGCACTAGGAGAGAGAGGAGAGGGCTGGAGACGGGTTGCGTGAGTAGGAATGAACACGAGGCCTTGTACTTACAGCCTCTGTTCACATCCGACTGAACACCCCCCTGCACTTCCTCTGTACTGCTGTTTTCCACATCTCATGTAAACAGCTAGCAGGCGCAGCAATATAGGAGGTACTAGCAATTAGCTTTATAGTGTGCCTCTACGTATAGTAGTATGTTTGGAAAGGAAATTCTACCTGTCGCATTATTAAGTCGTAGCTAGTTGGCTTGTGCTGGGCAGGTAATTCCACCTAGAGAGGAATTGCAGCCAGATGTTCAGACGGACGTGGAAAGCCGCAGTACACATTATGGATCCCCACTTAGGCCCTCGACAGCTTCCATGTAGACTAAGTAGGGCCCGGGCACCGAAAGAGACTCCTGTTACTGTCAGTCAGGTTGCGCTTCATAGATGCGGCCTCTCGCTCTCACAGGAGCATCATCAACCACAGACGCCTCCGATCTCCAGAAACGTCCGGTAGTCGATGCGATTCCTTCACTGATCCTTGAATTCTACGAAATCCCTTGTAAGGCGAATGGTGGGTGGAAGAGTCGATAATAATACAAGTAATCATGATGGTCAGCCCAGGTGTCTCTACTTATGACATAGGAGAGAGACTGTACTACTGTGTAAGCGACGTCTGAACTAGTACGAAAGGAGCAAGTATGCCGGTGCTATATCTGCATAATCCCCCTCGGCTAGAAGGGTTCTATTTTATTATTGCCGTCTCGCCTACAAGGTGATTCCTTCTAGGATTATTATTGATAAGCACCGTTTTCTTCCATCTCTTGTTGTCGTTCGTTCCGTTCGCGCTGCGTGGAGTCTGTCAACTGCTTTTGTTCTTTTCACTTCATGCTACATTCACTCCCCGAGGGTCATCGTTCCTTTCAGTCATGGCAAACCTATCTTTGCTCCTTTTTCTTGCCTGCCAGTTTTTCGGTTTGAGTGAAGCGCGCGACGCCCGGTTCCGGCCCAGCTACAGGACATGCCCCGAAGTGTCCTCCGCATGTCCGGTTGAGGCCACTACATATGGGTACTACCCTATTCTCGGAGTCAACGCCTTCTTTCTCGCACTCTTCGCCCTTTTCTTCCTTGTTTCGTTGGGACTAGGCATTTGGTCCAAGACATGGACGTACACCGTCGCGCTCGGCGGCGGCACACTGTTGGAGGCCCTCGGATACCTTGGGCGGGTCCTGTTGAACCAAAATCCCTGGTAAGGTAGCCAACCAGCTGTCTGCGTTTTGCTGACCCACCGGCGAAGGAACCGTCGAGGGTTCGAGATGCAAATCTGCTGCCTTGTCCTCGGACCATCGTTCCTCGCCGCAGCCATCTACCTGACACTGAAACATTTCGTGCTGTATTGTGGACCTCAGTACTCCCTCCTCAAGGCACGCCTTTACCCCTGGATCTTCGTGGGATGCGACTTTGCTTCCATTGTCCTTCAGGCCATTGGAGGAGGTGTAGCAGCTTCGGGCGGCGGCTCTGGCAGTATGAAGACCGTCAACGCCGGCAACAACATCATCATAACCGGTATTGCGGTCCAGGTGGCTACCATGAGCGGATGCGGGCTGTTGGTTCTCCTCTACCTGTGGAGATATCGCCGAGCGCGCCCTGAGCGAGTGGCGGCTGCCGAGAAGAGCGACTTCGAGTTGAGCAAGAGTCAGGGCACGCTGTCGCGTAAGCTATACATCTTCGGAGCCGTCGTGGTTCTTGCCTACATTACAATTCTCATTCGCTGCATCTATCGTATCCCGGAGATGGCCGGAGGCTGGGGCAATCCGCTCATGCGCAACGAAAAGGAGTTCCTGCTTCTTGACGGAATGTAAGGGAGCGGAATTTGAAGGCAAAAGTCACGTACTAACGGGCACAGGATGATTGCTATTGCGAGCTTGGTTCTGACCGTCTTCCATCCCGCCTTCTTCTTCGCCCCTTTTGCCGCTTTCCGCAAAGCCAAAACCCATCCCAGTGCCGGTTCCGAGGTCGAAGTTTCGAGCGGATAGGGAATAAAGAAGGAACTGTATGTACTGGCATTGAAGACCATTCAAACCCAACCCTGGCAAGATGTGGAACTTCGTTGTACCCGGAAGTGGGAACCGTGCACATCAACGGCAGGGTGTAGGCGCATGGCGACCAGGCTCCGAGAGAAGAAGAGCGTTGAATGTGGCGAGGGAGGTACCGACGGGGCGTACATCAGCATAAGTGGGCATGGGGCGTAGGATCTTCCCTCATATAGAGTGTACAGGTGCGTATTCAGCCCCAGTCTCTATGTTAGCGATGGCTGGCCTTTCTGAGTTCCTTCACTTATACTGTTCTGAAAAGATTCAATTGATACCTACCGCTATATTCCCTGTCGCCGATAGAAGGTCGGAGTAAGGGTCAATCTGGAACTTCCTTGATACCCAGATATGTTCTAATATACATTCACACATTGGAGCTCATCAGGCCTCCGTTAATAACACCTTTCCTGCCATGGATCACCGTGATTCTACCAATTATTCCAGCAAGCATAGGGAAGGGCACAGGTTTATTAGGTTGTCTCCAGCTGAACATGGTGGTCGAGTACCTCTTCGCAGCCGCCTACAGCGTCTAGAGGACAAAGGCCGTTTTTATTGGAATCTAATCACCATCGCACGAATGTGTTATGATAGATGGCCAATCTCTCTCCATCGCCTGATATATTCGACGATCAAATCCTTGCTGATTGCACCGCTTGCGCGCAGGTGCGTCGACACGCTCCTGGCGACTGTCGTGTCCAGGATGACGTCACCATTAGCGAGGGCCTGGAAGTCATTCCTGAAGAAATCCAGGAGACTCGCTGCATAGCCAGTGTTACTCACACGACCGAGCCACGCATCAAACGCGATCATCTTATCCGCCAGCTTCAGCTCATGGACTACAAACGCCCCAAGGTCAGACATCGGCTGGCGAACCGGGTTCTCCAGGTTACATGTGAAACTCCCGGAAGGGCTCTCACTGAAGAGGATATCCACGAGAGATTTGGCTGCGCGATCCATAGGAAGCCACGACATTTTCTGGGAGAAGGTCAGTAGTCACTTCAGATGCCATGGTGGAGATACTTACCCCTGTCAGCAAAGGAAAAGCGGATACCATCTGGGAGGCCTTGATCAATGCCGGAATGTGTTCTTCTACCTTCCAAAGCCCCTTTCTGTGCTCCGGTCCGCTGAGCTGCCCAATCCGGACGATCATGGGCGTGCATTCATCCGAGAATTCCTCTCCTACATGCGATAGCACCTGTTCACATACCCACTTCGCCTCTGCATAGCCCATTGCTGTGGTTACTTCGGGGTCGTCGAGCCGCTTCTCCGGAACCGGTGCCAGCCCGTCGCGGAAATATCGAACTACGGATATCGATGATGCCATCATGATCCTCGGCTTCAATTGCGGGCGTAACCTGTGTGCGGAGCGAGCAATACGAATGAGCGACTCGAGGGCATCCAGTTGCGGACGGAAACTGAAAAGCTGGCGCTGGAAGTCCATCGGCCATGCTAGGTGGATGATATGGGTAACATTCTGCTCCAGCCTTCTAAGCTGATCGTTAGAGAGACCAAAGTTCGGGGCCTGCGTATCGGCCGCCAGCAACTCGATCTTGCTCCACGCCTGGCTGTCCAGAGCAATACCGGCCATGGAGTTGGCACGCTCTTGACGTACCTTCAAGTCTTCGCCATGGCTGGCCCTGCTCAAGCAGATGATGCGTTCAACATTCCCGTTTCGAACCAAAGCTTCCAGTGTATGAGCCCCGAGATTCCCGGTACTCCCAGTTAGGAGAACCACTGCCCCCGAAGGGTATCCATTCGCATGGAAGGACGCTCCGTTTGCCGACCGGATGTCGTTGTGGAGACGTGTTATATATTCTTCGGCTAGAGCTCTCATCTCGGCGCCCCGGTCTCGCTTTGGAGAACTACCGTGGCCCCCCTCGATCAGTTTACGAACAGCGCCGACAAGGCTGATTAATGATGGGTGCTGGTAGATAAAGGACGGTGTGAGGCGATCTCCGCGAAGCTTCTCGGGGAACTGGAGCTCAATAGAGGACGATAGGAGACGGGCCAATCGTGTAGCTTGGAGCGAGTCCATTCCCAGCTCAAACAAGTCATCGGACGACCGCCAGCGATCAACTCTTGCGAGCTTTTCGTGCATCACTTTTTCTATCATGCTCTTGATGCTGTCCTCCAGGTTGTCCGCATCGAGCGGTTCTGCATTCAAATTCTCCCTCTCAAGAGCAGCATAAGCTGCTTCGATCTCTTCCTTGAACACCAGGTGGAGTTCTTTTCTCATTACTGAGCCCTTGTCGGAACGCGGAATTCTCTTGTCAGCAGGCTTGATGATGATGGCTCGCTTCGAGGATATTCGGGCGTGGTGGTCCAATGATGGATTGACTTCCTGGATTCTCTGCCAAACATGGTCGATGAAAGCATCCGCATCCTCAAGAGGCTCGCTGGATGGTTCCACTATGACGGCGGTTTCGAAGTATCCCTGACCCACACACGCCGCGGTCTTTATTGCAGGGTCTTGGGACAACGTCTCTTCCAGATTCCGAGGAAGAACTTTCTCGCCATTTTTCAGCACAATGACGTCGTCCCGTCTTCCAAGGATTTTAACGTCCAAATGCGTAGAGTCTGGTCTTAACAAGATCTCATCCTGTATCTCAAAACTCCTACCCCAACCAAACGGATACCCCACGAGTTTGTATCGTTCAGGACTCTCCTTAGAGTCGACCGGATGGAGTTCCAAGCCGAGGTCTGTCCGTAGTCGCAGATACCTCCAGTCATAGTCTGGACCGGGCTTGAAAATTGGAGCAATTGCCCCGATCTCCGTGGCCCCGTAATGGTTGAGCAGGTTGACACCATTTTCAACCAGCAGGGAACCGATATTGGGGTTTAGTGGACCCCCTCCCGCTGCCACAAAATGCATCCCGCGCAACAGTGAAAATGCTCTTTCTTTCTCCGCCTGTGGCATGGTCGCGATATCTTCGAGAATGCTGGGTACAGTCATCAAAGACTCCACATCAAATGTCGAGACGAGTCCCATCGTGGAGTGAGCAGCTGGTATGACTGAACTTGGCGGAAAGACACAGCTCATACCCACTGATAAACTAAGACAGGGCGCCAGAAGTCCGAAGCCGTGATATAAGGGTAGAGTACTTAGGTTCCTCCAGTTGATGGGCTCTTCCGGAGGGAACTTATGGCAGGCCGCATAACCAAGGGGATAGCGATGCGTTAGGCGAATCGGCTTCGGTAGGCCTGTCGTCCCGGAAGAGTGGAGTATAAGGACCCCGGTGTCATTTTGGTCGACCTTCATACGGGAACTGCTTCTTACGCCATCCTCCGATTCATCTACCACTTTTGAACGGATGAAACGGCTGTATCGCTCCACCACATACGTATCCACCAAGTCAGCCACTTCTCCTCTTATGAATGGCTCTGTTCGTTTTGACAAAAAGATGGACTGGGCACCCGTCTCTTTTAGTAGATGGCGGACGCTCTCAGAGCTGAGTCTGGCCGACAAGAGTACCGTCTAGCATTTGGTCAGCAGAGTCATGTGCAGGGATATCGGAAACCTGAACATACCGGAATATTTGATGAGAGTAGCGCTGCAAGATATATGAAGAGGCCGACATCGCTTTCCAGGTACAGAGCTACTGGCGCAGGCTTCGAATCCCGGGGCCCTTGGGGAATTCTTTCGTCGCACCAAGCGGCACAAGCGTCCACCGCGTGCTTGAGCTGTCTAAAGGTAACGACGTCGGCGTCGTACCTTTCATCGCTGTCCTCTACGGAGTTGCGAGTATCTGGAGCCTTGGCTTGGAAACAAAAGATATGGTTCGGATTCGTCTCAGCATTGAAGTTGATGAGATCGGGCAGGCATCCTATATTGTCATGGCCTCCATCACTTGTGAGCTCTTTCCCGAGAGGGTCGAATCGCGGGCGCCGGAAGGCTGGAAGGTCACTGCTCCTCATCGTTTCTGGCACTGCGGCGTATGGTCCACACTGGTTGAGGTGGAAGGTTCGCCAATGGAAATATTGGTATTGGAAAATTGGTATTCAGCGCGAGGTCTGATCGCCTTAAGAGTTGCAAGCGTTTATCCCTCCTCGGCGAACTCAGGGTCCAGCTGCAGGGCTGCAGGGTCCAACAGGGTACGTCATCGACGGCGAAATCACTAGAAACCATCAGAACTTCACAGGATATTCTCTCAGGCAGAAGATTTTGTTTCACACATACAAAGTGCGGTGGTTTTCAGATGCGATGTTGCTCTTGATAGGACCAGAGTAACCGCTGATGTACGCGGGCCCCAAGAACAAAACAACAGTGATCGGCCACTCAATCACCACATCTCCAGAATTGCACACTCACCAACCCCGTTGCCGTTCGAGACTCCGAAGAAATTTTGGTACTCGTCGTCGTGCGTCCGTGCTGGCACACCATGACGAAACCTCATGAGGATGAGGAACTCTCTAGGCCCCCCGACTATAACAGGAGGCTTCTCCCCGCTATGACAACCACAGCTTAGCTTCAACTCTTTGCGACACGCACTATTCAACATGTCAAGAGATATCATCTTATTCGCCGGCCAAGGATCGGACTTGTCCTTTGACAAGGTCGACATCCTTTCAGTCTCCGCCATAGCTACATCCTTTCTTGAAGCATGCCACAACGCACTTCAATCCGACTTGAAAAGTCTAACAGCCGCTGAAAAGCGTGCTGCAGGCGACCTACTGGATTGTTTTCCATCCCCAAATAGCCTCCTCGATACCCGCTTGCAGAAGAACCCTGTGGTGCAAGGGCTGTCATTGTATACCCACCAGATACTGGAATACATCGCATACTGGTCAGAACATACAGAGGAACCTCCAACTATTTCCGAGACTGTTGGTTTCTGCTCTGGTATTCTGCCGGCAGTGGCCATCAGTGTTTGTCCGTCACCGGAATCACCGGATTTTATCGAAGTCGCAGTTGATGGATTTAGGTTCGCATTCTGGATCGGTCTTCGAGACGCCCTCTTTTGTCGCAAGGTGGTGGGAGATAAGTGGCGATCTTTTCCTTGGTCTCTGACTATACACGGGCTATCCAGGCCAGAACTGGAGAAGCTGTTGCTTGAGTACAGTCAAACGGTATGTCAGCAACGCTGTTTATTCCGCCCGGCCGAGGTTCTTGCCTGCAGCCTGGGTGTTGCGCAGACCCCATGAAGTTAACAGCAATTCTAATGGAGACAGACTTCCGCAGAGTTGGCCCCACGGATAGCCGCCATACTCTCAGAGAAGGTTATCTCAGTCTCAGGGGAAGGCGAAGCTCTCCGCGAGTTTAAAGCCGAGTGTCTTCCGGAAGGCACAAGATCACGCTTCGCCAATATTCATGGGTTCTACCATGGTGGTGAAGCCCTCCATGAGGTGCTCGAGGACGTCAAGCGTGACGTGGACGGACAAGGCATCCGAATTTCTTCGTGGAAATCCCTCAAGCTCCCCGTTCGCTCGGCGCTGAACGGAGAATACTTCAAGCCTAATACATCCTCAGCCACGCTTCTGGAGGCAGTCCTCAAACATATCCTAGTGGATCAAGTCGACTGGAGTACGACCTCCGATGCGATTCTCAGCACTCTGGTGCATCAACTTCATCAAGACCAATCCCTCCAGTACAAGATCATTCCCGTTGGGCCGAACACCAAGCCGCTGTTGCGGGCAATCAAATCTGGACGGGAGCACCCAAGGCTTCGCATTGCGAGCCCCACGTCTAAGCCCATCGACGGCCCCTCTGCAGATGACATCGCAATAGTGGGGATGAGCGTGAATTATCCCTCTGGCCAAGGGCCCGAACAGCTTTGGGACACGTTAGAGAGAGGTCTCAACTCGGTCCAAGAAATCCCTTCTTCTAGGTTTCAGATATCCGATTACTACGACCCCTCGGAGTCCAAACATCCGCGGAAGATGAAAGCACGACATGGCAACTTCCTGGAGAATCCTTTCGAGTTCGACAACAATTTCTTTCAAATCTCGCCCAGAGAAGCCAAATCGATGGACCCACAGCAGCGCTTGCTTCTCCACGCGGCTCTCGAGGCCTTGCAAGACGCTGGGTATGCTCCAGACTCCACACCCTCGTTCCAGAGAGAGAGCACTGGCGTTTACATCGGCGTTGCCACTCTCGATTACGTGGACAATATGCGGAACGATATTGATGTCTACTACAGCCCTGGCACTCTCCGGGCCTTCCTGAGTGGGAGAATATCCTACGCTTTTCAACTCAAGGGGCCGTCAGTGGTATCGGATACGGCCTGCTCCTCCTCCACAGTGGCTCTCTACCAAGCTTGTAGAGCTCTGCAGTCAGGAGACTGCAGTTCCGCCCTGGTCGGTGGTGTGAATGTTATCTCCAGCCCGGATATGTATCTTGGCTTATCCCGCGCACATTTCCTAAGTCCCACAGGACAGTGTAAACCTTGGGATGCTTCCGCGGATGGATACTGTCGCGCTGAGGGATGTGCTATGTTTGTGCTTAAGAAGCTACGCGACGCTGTTGCGGAAGGCGATCGCATCTACGGAGTCATCCGCGGGATTCAAGTCAATCAGTGCGGGACTGCCAAAAGTATCACGCACCCAGACTCAAGCACGCAGGCAAAGCTATTCAAGAGCCTTATCTCGCGGGCGAATATTAACCCTGACTCCATCAGCGTCGTCGAAGCACATGGCACTGGCACCCAGGCAGGCGACTATGCTGAGGTCAATAGCCTTCAATCCGTTTTCGGAAAACGCGACTCCCACAAACCTCTGGTGGTTTCCTCCATCAAGGGTAACATCGGCCACGCAGAGGCTGCCTCGGGCGCTGCAGGACTGGCCAAAATCCTTCTCATGATGCAGAAGAAGCAGATACCTCCCCAGGCCGCGTACAAGACGCTCAATCCGCGACTTTCGACCATTGCTGAGCACAACATCATCGTCCCTACCCAAACTATGAAATGGAGAACGCCAGCTGGTGCGCCTAGGAGAGCGATGCTCAACAACTTTGGTGCGGCGGGTTCGAACGCCGCTGTGCTCATCGAAGAGTATATTCAACCACCGAAACAGAAGCTGCCAGCACCATCCCACCACGTCTTCAACCTCTCCGCAAAAACTGTCAACGCTCTTGAGCGGCTTCGGGACTCTTACTGTGCGTATATCGAGGAGAATTCCGAGAAGTCGTCACTCTCAAGTATCTGCTACACTGCAAACGCGCGCAGGCAAGAGTTCGATGCGTTCCGCCTCTCGGTTACTGGACAATCACCCGCCGACCTCATCCAGAAGCTCCGCCAAAGTAAACCACCTGCACGGGGGCAGACAAGAGATAAGTTGACCGTTTTCGTCTTCTCTGGCCAGGGCAGCGTCTACCAGGGCATGGGTGCCGAACTGTTAGCTACCGCACCCATTTTCCGTGATAATGTGCACCGTTGCAATGCAATATTGGCCGATCTTGGGTTTTCCGGCGTCAATGCATTCATCGGAGATGACAAGAACGCATTCGAAGCATTGGCGCCCAAGGAGCGAGCAATCCTGTGTCAATGCGCTTGCTTCGTGGTCGAGTATAGTCTTGCGCAGCTCTGGCTGGCTTGGGGTGTCAAGCCTGATATCCTGATCGGCCACAGCCTTGGTGAATATGCTGCGCTCGCCACGTCCGGGGTTCTGAAGCTCCACGATGCACTCCTTCTGGTGGCTCGGCGAGCACTGCTAATGGCCGAACTCTGTCAAGAGGGACGTACAGGTATGGCCGCAGTATGCATGCCATCTGCGAAAGTGGAGGAACTCCTGTCGTCCAGTACGAGTATGACGGGTCTCCAAATCGCTTGTTACAACAGCGTAGAAGACTGTGTGGTTGCTGGCCCACTTTCTTCGCTCGATGCCCTTGTTCACGCCTGTAAGTCCTCTGGACACAAGGCGAAGCGGTTGGATGTACCCTTTGGCTTCCACTCCCCTGCTCTGGATCCAATTCTGGAGCCATATGCGGAACTAGCCTCAACCATCAAGACTAGTGCTGGCACCATTCCCATCGCTTCCAGTTATCTCGGCACACTTCTCTCGCCTCACGATGTTGATGCGGAATACTTCGTTGGCCACGCGCGTCAGCCGGTGGAGTTCGTGCGCGCTACCCAGACGATTTCTCGGATTGCGGGCGACAGAGCGATGACGTTCCTCGAGATAGGACCTTCACCCATCAGTAAGTAATACCGCGGGACGGTCTAGAAACTGTACTGACTCGTGCGTTAGCTTTGCCAATGCTCAAGGCCACCCTGAGGCAGAGCGAGCCGACTTTGCTCCCATCTTTGAAGCCTTCAGAACAGCCGTGGGCCACAATGAGCAGTACGCTGAGCTCACTTTTCCTTCAGCGCTACAGTATCCATTGGCGCCAGATTTACGCTGCTCTCGATGCCCAATTTGTTCCGGATTTCCCTCACTACCCGCTCTCACCATCCACGTTCGTTGTGCCCTTCAGAGAGTCTACGCTCGGCGCTAAGGCTGCAGAGCTGGAACCAGCCGAGTCACCGTTTTCCTTTATCGGCTCGCGAACATCTTCGAAGGAGGGAACGATGTTTACATCCAAGATATCGAAGCTGGCCGATTACATCAAGGCTCACAACGTTGGCGGCGCTCCGCTTTGTCCAGCCTCTGTATATATTGAGCTCGCCTTTGAGGCGCTCAGTCTCGTTCATCCCGACAACGACCAATACTATCAAGTTACCGAGCTGACCTTCGATAAGCCACTTGTCTACTCCGAAGGCAACGACGTTGAAGTTAACACCTTTCTCAAGGCCGATGGGTCATCGTTCCACGTGCTTTCCGAGGGCAGCAAAGTTCATTGTACAGGGTCCGTGACCACGAAACCTGATAATGCAGTTGTCAAGAACTTTGGATTGAAGGCCTCCTACGTCAAGCGACAACGAGACTCCGTATCGTTCGTCGACACCTTCTCCTCCCGGATGATCTATCAGGTCGTCTTCCCTCGGGTTGTGAACTACTCCGAGCCCTACACCACGATCAGCAGCTTGAGCGTAGCAGCATCGGGGTTGGAGGCAGTAGGTAGATTCCGACTGCCGATAACCGGAAGCGACGGCTTCGTCTGCGCGCCCACCTTCACCGACACACTTCTTCATGCCGCAGGTTTCGTTGCGAACAGTAGAATCAAAGCCGACGAAGCCTGCATTTGTGCCAGACTTGAAAATGTAATCGTACCCAGCCCCGAGGCCATAAGATCTCTGTACAACTCTGAAATGGGCCTATATTGCGGCTTGGTCGAGTACTCTCAGGACTTCATTATTGGGGACGCATACGCGCTCGATGGAGCTGGAAATGTCGTTGCCTGTGTAGAGGGCATGCACTTCAAGAAGCTACGATTGAGCTCCTTCCAGGACCAACTCTCCCGTATCCTCAAGCCAAAAGCCTCTCCTCAGGGAGGAAGGCGACCTCTAGCAGAGCAGGCTACGGCACCCAAAGCACAACCCCGTCCTGCGCTTCCTGTTGAGGAGAATGGGCATCACGATGAGAGCGGACCCAGAAAGGCTGAGTCTACCGAGGACGTTCGCGGAACATTGCACACCATCATATCCGAGCTGTGTGGCGTCCCTGGGCCCATAGACGCGCAGAAGAGGTTGTCAGAGATGGGCGTGGATTCACTCCTCTTCATCGAACTCACTGCAGCGTTGCAGAAGGCATTCCCCCAGTTTGGGCTAGGTGACTCCGCGTTCTCGAAGTGCGAGACAGTCCAAGATGTGGAGAAGGTTCTGCAGCAAGCGAAAGGCCCAGATTCAAATCCGGAGGCTCCAGCAGGTCGGAACGGTAGGGCATGTGCGGGACGTGAGGTTTCAAATGCAGAATCGATTCGTGCAAAAGACGAGCATCGCATAGACGAGTTCTTCAAAGAGGTCTGTGGCTTCTCAATCAACGGCATGGACGACAGCACAACCTTGGACTCTCTCGGGGTAGACTCTCTTCTATCCATCGAGCTAGCGGCAAGCCTGCGGGAGGGCTTTGGCGTGGAGCTGGATGAAAACAGTGTCTCGAAGCTTAGCATTGGTCAAATCAAGAAGGCAATGGCCTACAGCGCAGCCTCTACGCCGCCATCGGAGCCCCTGGACCAGCCAATCGAGATTTCGGTATCGGAACCGGATTCCTCCTACGCTTCGGATGCTGAAGACCTTCCCCCGGCTGCGATCCCGGGAAGGGACACCTTTCCAGCCCCCCTGTACAGGGCTGCAGATAAGCCCGACAGACCCCCGCTCTTCCTGTTCCACGACGGCAGCGGATTATGCAACGTGTACGGCCGCCTCCAGAATATAGACCGGGATGTTTATGGCATCTTCAGCCTTGACTTCTCCTCGGTGGACACCTCTATCGGTACGATGGAGGAATTAGCATCTCGTTACATAGATCGGGCGGGATTCATGAAGATGGGCCCGATCGTTTTGGGCGGTTAGTGAAATCCCATGCGAGCTCTCTCTCTGAAGCTGACTATTCTGCAGGCTGGAGTTTTGGAGGTGTCCTTGCCTTCGAAGTATCCCGTCAGTTGCGCAAGCGCGGTAAGCACGATGTCTTGGGCGTGATATTGATTGACTCGCCCCATCCCGTCCGCCACGAGCCACTCCCGGAAGCTGTAATATCACACGTCTGTAGCCAAATGCCCGCTCACTCGCCCGCCTTGCGCAGCCTTCGGTCTGCCATCGCCGCGCAGTTCCGTCGTAATGCCAGTCTCCTTGCCAAATACGCCCCGCAACCGGAGAAGAGCTGGCAGTGTGTGATGCTCAAATGCAAAGACACGTTCGATACGAAAGAGCTGTGCGGAGTCGATTATCCCTGGCTCAGCGATGTTGAGTTCCGTCAGGCGAGTGTTGGAGAATGGGAAAGATTATCGGGAGGGAAGATTCCAGTCGTGGAAGTGAAGGGTAACCATTTCGATCTTTTCGAAAAGGGAAATGTACGTTTGATTGCTTCAGACCCCGGCATCCAAGCTAACGCTCCGTTCAGATCGAGGATGTATCGCGACAATTAGTGCGGGCGTGTAAGACATTAGAAGGTGATGACAGATGATGCCGAGTCTCTTAGGCAATTAATAGACTGCAGCCCAACGGTAAGCTTAATCCGCTCACGGGTGGGCCGAAATCCTAGACGAGATGGACGATCCCTGTTGCCTGCAGGTTTCCCCGCCTCCCAAAGTACCATGTATCGTCGTCGTGTACTCCGTAGATAGAGATGGATTTCCAAGTGATAGACAGCATCACGAGCAACCTGACTACATAATATCTTTTCAAATCTGGCACATATAATAGGTGGTATTCTTGTTGTGAATTGTGCCAAAAGTCAGTTCTGGGTGTACCGTTAGGAGAAAGCGTCCGGGTAGTCGTTCCAGGTGCATGAAGGCCCCAGTAATTTGCCCCCACCACATAAGCTAGTCCCATCTGCACCCTCATCGCCGATACGATGCGCACACTGAGGCTGAAGAGGAGCTGATTTGTCCACGCACCTGTTTGGAGGGCGTGAAGATTTCGGAAACTGTTTTGGCCGTTCTAAGACAGCGACAGAATAGATTCAATATGAGAGCCCCAACCTGACATGAGCTCGCCTTGCTTCAGACCAGCGGAATGACGTGACCGTGTCTCGCGGAAGAAGTCCGTAGAATGCATCTGCATCTCGTCGATGGGGGCTGCGTAAGGGGTCGAGCCGTTGTCCATTCAGATCGCTACGCAACAGGATCACGGTCTTGGAAGGCAGTAGATAGTTCCCGGGCCCAGACCATGCCCTGCAAGGCAAGGCCAGCCCTATGCGGGCGGGTACATAGATGAGTGATCATCAAGGGGGAACCGTGTGATGGGCTATACACCAGCTGGCAGGACCGGAGTACTACGGTAGTAGTCGTAGGTAGCGCATTTCGTCATCTACTATCTATCCGTCTATTACTCCGTCTCTGCCTGCATAGATGTCTCTAGAATCGAAGAATGGGCTCTCCTCTTTCCTACCACGCCGTTTCAGATACCCACCCTGGGGCACAATCGTCTACGGGAACAAGACTTCTCAGCCCAGACATCCCTGTCTACCTGTCCACATTTTCCCACGCTGCCGTGCATGCAAAGCATTCCGTTCCTCGGCTCATGCAAGAAGCCGCTTCCCGCAACCTCGAGCCTAGGCTTCGTCAAACATTCGTGATTAGGGGGCGTCCCTCATAAGGCTGTGTACTACGCCGTACAAACTTCACGCCAAATAGGCATGATAGACAACAGTACGTTTCTGATTCATGTACCATGAAGCCATTGCCACGATATACCGTAGTGTACGAGATGGGACAAGTGTTATCAATTATTCGAGTCTGTGCTGACGACGCCGAACCCGCTTAATGCATGCGTGCTGCATCGACAACCCCACGCACAGACTGGGGGGCGGTTACTCTTACAGAACATGGCCGTTCTTGACCGAACGACCTCGGGGTACGCGGACGATTTCCACTGCCCCGATGTTATTGGCCGACAGGGATCACTGACCGGCCGTTTCGATAGGATGGCATAATCCTTCCTGCATGCTGGGTAGAGAAGGCAAACGGGGAGCAAGGTCAGTCAGTGAAGACCTTGCAGGCTTTTAAACGGGGCGTGGGCTGGGCAGGTGTAGTGTTTTATGTAGGTAGACGCTCGAATAATCCTCCGCTTTACACCCTAACACCATAAGACTCCAGGGTACGCTGAACCACAAGACTGAAGGTGTCGATTTTGATGCTCAAGCGATGTCAAGGACCGTCAAAAAGTGGACTCCCGAAGAGGATGAGATACTATTGCAGCAGGTCACACTCCTGTGTGAGTACCCTCCCTACCCCGGCACGGGGTATATAGACAGAGCGGTTGATGGAACTGTTTACTGACCTCGATGAATCCTAGCTACGCAGAACAAAGTAAAAGACTGGACCGCCATCGCGAGCGCCATACCGGGTCGCTCGAACAAAGACTGCCGCAAGAGGTGGTGCAATCACCTAGTGGGAGGTCTGAGAAAGGGACCTTGGGATCCCAGTGAGGATCGGCGGCTTTCAATAGGCGTCAAGGAGTACGGTCCTCAGTAAGACCCCATACGGCATGCCTTTGACAAGTGGAGTGGGTCTGACTGGTGTTATTAGGTGGCCTCTGGTGGCTGAGGAAGTTGGTACCAGAAGTGCAGACCGTAAGTGTGTCCCTTCTTACAGGTCTTCAATGCTTTCCATCCTGCAAAGGCTCTCTAACCCGCGCACAGAGTGCGCCAAGCGGTGGCAACATTCTCTAGATCCATCGCTAGATCACAGCAAGTGGACAGAGGAGGAGGTATGTGCAAGTATTGCTCGGTACGATGTACCCATGACCTAACGTTTCCTAGGACAAAGAGCTTTTGGATGCTGTTAAGAAACACGGCCGCGCCTGGAAGCATATCCAAACACAGTATTTCCCAGGTCGAGCCACAAACAACGTGAAAAACAGGTACATTTCCCTTGTAATCTCTCCTGCCCTGTGGCTTGCACTAACTGAAGGTACCTATGTAGATACACCACATTAACTCGGAAGCGTGATTCGCAAACCCCGGGAGTGGGAGACCACAACAATCGAGAAGGCTCCGAGAGCAACGGCGATAACGACGACGAAGCGAGCAGCGCAGGGGTGATGTCTTCATCACCGTCGGTCACTCAACTGCCAAAATTGATCCCAGACGAGCCCACGATTGTACCCAAAGATACTCTACTCTATGCCACGCACCAGACATCCGATCCCTTTTCGGTGGATCTGTTCGCAAGTCAGGTCTCAGCCACTATGGATATCGACCTACCAACGACGGATACATTCACCGCCGATATACCCTTCGCACTGAATACCAGTATCTCCAATACCCGTATTGCCCTTGGCGAACCTTCCACCTCAACCAGCGTGGACCATACGCCGTCCTTGTTTACACCCACAACAACAACACCGCACACGCATTCATCGACATTGTTTGATTCTCGAACAGACACGCATGGGCCGGGTATGAAGCTGAATTTGGATTTCCTCAAGAATACACCCACGGAGTTTGTCCTCACGCTAGAAAGCCCTCAGCCGGATACAATCAAGGAGATAATGGGAGTGTTGGTTTGTTCCAAGACAAAATTCAAGATGGAAAAGCGGAACTAAGTAAGATTAGGGGAGGAATCGATGTCTTGTATTCAACAGGTTGGATTCAGCTTACAGTGTCGAAGTTTTATTTCTCTCAAGTTACGGCCGTATAATCGAGGGGCACTGGAAATATACATTTTCCTTCAAAACTATGTACCGTCTCACCAGGCCCAGGATAAACTATGTCTACCTCCTATATTTCATTATTCTAGGACAAAAAATGACCTTAAACCACCGTCTTTGGCATGGAACCATTGAGCTCCGAGGATAGGAGCTCCGAGTCAGGGAGAACAACCTCCACCAACGAGACTTGGCTCCTGCAGTCCCAGATCTTGCGAAGCTTCAGACCAGCCTTTTCTACAATGCTGCGGAACTCTGCCGGGGTGCGCTCGATGCCATTGATAATGGACATCATGGCCAAGTCGCGCTGGTGTGAGTATCTCGTGTAATACCCCCAATTCGCTGGCAACGGACTAGGGGCCGGAGGCAGCTCTGGCGTGCCTAGAGTGGTGTTCATAACTTGATCGCTGTTGCAGCAAGGTTAGTGGTCATATTTTTCTCGCAGGAAATATGCATGCAGAGTGGAGCAAAGAATCCTACCGTTTCCCACATCGGGGAAAGGGGGCCTCCTCGCATGGTACAGGTACATGTACAGTACTTACCAGATGAGAATCCTCGACTTGGGACCCATGCTAGCCCTTATGGCGGAAAGAATCTTCACGCAATACTCGTCGGACCAGTCATGAATGATGTACCGGAGCCAATACACTTCGGCTCCTTTAACCGGATTATCGGAGAAGAAGTCGTGCGGGGTAAAGGTAACGCGGCCCTGGCTTAAGGCCGTAGGGTTTTCCTTCGGCCAGACGAAGGTTTCGGCTTGCTGGAGGACGGGAGCGCGGTCCTGGACGACGAACTTGAGGTCCGGGTAGAGATGCGAGAGCTGCAGGCAGAATCCGCCTACGCCGCCGCCGACGTCTACAACGGTCGCGGAGCCAAGCCTGTCCCATGGGTAGTCTTTACGCGGGGACTGTCAGAATCCTACTCCTCTGGAGAGACATTTCATGGGAATACAAACCGTAGAGATGAGCCTTGCCAAACACCCTTCCTCCACCCAGCATGGCAAGACCAAAAACTGCATGCTCAGGCCGAGGCACCACTTCGTCGTCCGCCTTTCCCGCAATGGCCTTGTCGAGCTCCGCTCCAAACGGACCGGGGTAAGCGCTAGGTGCCCCGTCAGAGCCGCAGTCTCCATCTCGAAGCTTCTTCACCGTCGTTTTCTCCTCGAGCCATTCCCATCTGGGCTTCGAGGTGTTTGCAGCCGCCTGGAATGCCGTTTCTTCGACTTTGTACGACGAACCCAGCACGGGATCGTTGAGGAATCGAGGAAGCTGGTCGGATGCGCTGTAGAGGTCAAGGCCGCTGAAACCAGGTTCAGCACTACGTGTTTTTGTTTAGCACCAGGATTCCTACTTACAAGAGCAGTATATATGCGCGGAGCGGTTCGTTATCCACCAGTGCGGCAGAGATCCGGTTGTTGGCGAAAGTATCGTGCCCAACCTGTTGAAAAATATGAATCGAGCATAAGCAGCGCAAAACACGTGCTAATGATGTCAGCTTTTTTAATTTCATTGAGGCCAAGCTTGCATACATAGTTTGCGTGCTTCAATGCCAACGATTCTGCTGATCTCCTCAACATGCACTCCGGCCTTGCCAGCTCGAGCGAGGATGTCGGGGATCCGCTTATCGACTACAATATGCAAGCACCTAGCCTCAAAGTACTGGGACGAGACTTCCATGATGCGCACGCTCGGTTGGCTTATCAGTTCCGTCAGTTTGCCGGAGGCGGCGAGGAGAGCGCGCTGAGCGTCGAATAGGGGCTTCGCCGGCATATCTCCCTTGGTTGCGCCATTGAGTTTGATGACCGTCTCAATGGACGAGTTGATGAGGTCTCCGAGTTTACGGAGCTGGGCGATAGACTCAGCGTCCATGTTTGATAGATAGTGCAAGCAGAAAGAATCTGAGGAGGAGTGCTGTGGTGCTTCAAGAAGCAACGAAAAGGATACGCCTAGTAAGCTATTAGTATTCGGAAAGATGCTATGCGGCATATATTCTGTTCAGTTGAACCTATTCATTAACCCGGAGTAGGTGTTGTCGGACGATGAACACGAGATCTACGAACGTGACAGACGAGGACCGGAGTAGCAATGATAGTCGCGATGAATGATTTAAGATTGAAATAACAGAGTCAAACAGTATCAGAGACAAACCAAAGAGTATCCAGCGCTAGAATGGCAAAGTCAGTTCCACCATACACCTGGGAGCGTGGGTTCCGGGAGCCTACTTCCCAGCCCCAGTGGCTGGAGGAGCCTGCCAGCTCCGAAAGTGATTGTTACGTACCTCCTCCTGCGGAGGAGCTTGTTACATCGACGGTGCACAATGACCTGGGGATCAATGTTCTCCGAACTTGGCCGACAATGTATGACGGGACTAATTCCCCCCATGGGACACCGGAGTGGTGGAATCCACCAAGCGAGGTGGACGTTCTTATATGTGGAGGTAGGTTCCAATTTCACAGTGGATGTTAGATGCATAACTGAAGCTTCTAGCTGGACCAAGTGGCTTGGAAGTAGCTCTTAGTCTCGTCAGACAAGGTGTCTCATTTCGAATCGTTGGTGAGTACGCTCCAGGATCCTCGCACTTGGCTACATAGATATTAACAGCTCTCTAGATAAAGCGGAAGGCCCCCTTGTTGCGGGGCGTGCAGATGGAGTCCAGCCGCGTTTCCTCGAGATTCTGAACACCTGGGGCCTTGCTAAGGAGGTCCACGAAGAAGGTATACATGTTATCGAATCCTGAACCAGCGAAGAAGATGAATGAGCTAATTGGACATTTCCAGGTCCCATCATCGAACGTACTGCCATCTACAAGGATGGTAAGAAGCTCTTCTTCAATCGCTCACACCAATCAGACTCGCGATACCGCGGACTCCATATCATCACCCAGGGCCAGATTGAGAGACTCTACATAAGAGACCTCATGCGCCACAAAGTTCTCGTTGAACGCAGCACCACACTGAAGCATTATAAGGTTCAAAACGATGGTTCCGAGTACCCGGTCCATGCCACCTTGATCAACTCGCGTACTGGCGTCGAACAGAATGTGCGTGCCAAATTTCTCGTCGGAAGCGATGGAGCGGCCAGCCAGATCCGTAAGAGTCTCAACATTCCCTTCGACGGCATGAGTACGGACATTTACTGGGGCATCATGGATTGCATCTTCGAGAGCGATTACCCCCATGCTTGGGTCTTCGGATCGGTCATTAGTTCCAAGTACGGTGGCTGCGTCATTATCCCCAGAGAAGACGGATACATCAGGTGGGTCTTATAGGAAAGCCATCCGTGACCAGACCAGGCGCTGATAAGCTGCAGGTTGTACACACAGCTCGATGTATCCCACACCGGGGGCATCTCTCAATCTCGCCAGGCCAAAGATGCATCCTTCGCCGAGTCCGGCGGGAAAGTGGACGTGCACTCAATCACGCCCCAGGAGGTCCTCGAGCAGGCGAATAGGATCTTCTCGCCCTACAAGCTCAAGTTCGCAGCCCCACTGAGCTGGTTTGCCGTCTGGAAGAGTAAGTTATTACATCCTCCTCCTTATAAGGTCCGTTACTCATTCCTCGCAGTCTCTGAGCGTGTGGCTCGCACATTTTCATCCGATGATCTTCGCGTACACCTCGTCGGTGATGCATCGCATGTTCACAGCGTGATGGGAGCGTTTGGCCTCAACGCTTCCATCATGGACGCCTCCAACCTCGCCTGGAAGATGGGTTTGGTCGCCCAAAATAAGGCGAAATTCGAGACGCTCATGGCGACGTACACCCCGGAGCGGCGTGAGCATGCCTGTCGCATCATCGAGACGTCGGGAGAGTATCTGCGCTTTGTGTGTGCCACGAAGCTGGATATCGCGGACGTTAGAAGCTATGGGAATAACAACAAGTCGGCCAGCGGGACGAAGGGTACGAGCGTCAATGGCAGTGCGAAAGCTTCGGTCAACGGCACCGGTCAAGTTTCCACCAACGGCACCACGCAGGCCTCAGTCAACGGTACCACGCAAGCCTCAGTCAACGGTACCACACAATCCTCAGTAAACGGCACCACGAAAGCTATCACCAACGGCACCCACAAGCAGCCCCTGGCCACAACCCGCGAAGAGGACCTCAAATTCCTAGCCGATTTCTTCTCCCGAAACGGCCAGTTCCTGCTCGGCGTCGACGCGCCCTTCGAAACCTCTGTCCTGACCCCTCCCCAACCCACTGCGGACTCCCAAGATGACTGGCGCACACGACCATTGCGCGTAAACCACGGAGTTCGCGCCCCGAACCCCCGAGTCTGCTTCTCCACGGAAGAGACGGGCTACTTGTACGACAAGATGACCGGAGCGGCAACCTTCCACATCCTCATCTTCGGGTCCTCGCTATCTGGCACCGTTGGCAAGAGGGTATCTGCTTTCTCCAAAGCGTTCGCGCCGGGGGGATTCTACCATAAATTTGGTGGCCATGATCGTTTCAATATCATTCTCGTGATCAAGAGGCTTCCCTTTGAGACGGATGAAGTCTTGTCGACGCCTGAATTGCAGACATTGAGGGAGTATTGTACGGTGGTGTACGATGACCGGGCGCCGGACGAGGATGCGCATACGACGTGGGGGGCGAATCATGCTCAGGGCGGTCTTGCGGTGGTCAGGCCTGATCTGTGGGTGGGTATGACGGCGTTTCCGGATGAGGTTGAGGCGGTGGAAGAGTATTTCGATGGGTTCCTGCTTCCGGTACAGTAGCCCAGGCGTCCGAAGGATGGGGACTGTGGCTTTCCACGTCCGACTGACATCCGCTTGTGCTTTCTGTGCAGATGAGATTAGTTAGTCAGCGCACCTCTGCCGGCAACTACCTGGTAATGCTATAAGTAGAACTTTGTTTTAAAGCTTATTATACGTAGATAGAGGTGCTCCAAAGCTGATTGCAAGCTCCGCTCTATTGCTGCACCTCCTGGCCGCTTGATTGGACGTGGAAACCAGCAGTACGACGGAAGTACGGAGGGAGGTTCAGTCGAATGTAAGATGAGGCAGTAGAATCAAAGTCAGCAATATGCCCCTATTTGTACCTGGAATAATGTTTTATTATATTCCCCCCAACGTTCTCGCGCTGGCTACGAAGCTACAATCCGTTCAGCAGATACCTCAAATACATGGAACTTTGTGAAACTGGATATTTGTGTACTTCCCACTTGGAATATCCTTCTCCTTGATCTTGGTATACTTCAGTTCGTCTATTACCGGAATGACACATTACCATGGTTGAACCTTGCCGTCACCCTTTTCGGAGACAGAGTCGTTCGCCCAGTACCGCCCAGATATGCCGCCTATATCGCCGAGCGCCAGCTTCAGAGGAATACGAGCTCCTTCCGCTACGTTGCTTCGTTAGTGGCCAGGTTACATTACAACCGTTATCGGAAGCACTCACCTGGAGTTTTTGGAGCTGCGCCGGCCTGGCCGCCGAGCTCCGTGTTGACCCAGCCGGGACAGCAGCAGTTGATGAGGAGCCTGGGGTTGTCTCGTGCGAGAATACGTGTCGCTGCATTGAGCGCTGCCTTGCTGGTGAAATATGTCATGCGGGGCCAGCCCCTCTGGACCGCGTCCCCCTTCGCTGCTGCATCGCTGTATTCCCCAACGAGCTGGTCTAGTTGGTTAAGCGTCAAGTCTGGGTCAAGGAAGCGTGTTCGCAGATGTGGGGCGAAGTAATGGAGTTGCCCAGATTGGGATGACAGATTGACAATGCGGCCGCCGTCGTGCATGATGGGGATGAAAGCCTGGCACACCTGCATATGCGATAAGTATCACCTGGCTCAACACGAAATCCGTTTGGAGTTCCATTCACACCGACCTTGAGAGTGCCGCGGTAGTTGACGTCCAGTGTCTCTTTACGCTGCGCTGCCGTGATGTTCTCACGGTAGTAGTAGATGCCTGCATTGTTGACGAGCATATGGCAGCCCCCATGCTCAGCCTTGATTGCTGCAACGAGATCGTCGATGGAGCGTGGGTCGGTGAGAGATAGCCGTGCGCCCCTCAATTCTACTGAGGGGGAAGCAGCTGCAGGCGTAGGAGGAGTATCCCCCGAGCGTGAGGCGGCGTAGAGAACCAACTTCCCGCTGAGGCCATAATCCTGTCCCCCGGTCGCCACCAATCGGTCGATGATTGCTTTTCCAATACCGCGATTCTATCGTCCAATTAGCTTTGGTGAGGATATCATACGAAGTGCGGAACCTACCGCGCCTGTGACTACTGCCACGCGCGTTGTGGGAGACATGTTGAAGATTGAACTGCAGCTGCAGGAGGATGCTGTCCGAGAGCCCTCTTTGTACAAAGATAAAATGATAACTGCAGTGGTTGATGATGCAGGATAATTTGCACTGGGGGAGCATGTGCGGCTTGCCGGGCGGTGTTTAAGGCGTTAGGGCCGGGTGTTGACGACAAGGCCCGACAAGGGGCGGGCCGCACCGATCGAAGCCTTGGCAAACGTGCGAGTGAATGTACGGGGTATCGGATCCGGTTAGCGTATCAGAGTATGGTGTAAGTCATACTCCGGGCCGTGAACGATGAGCCCGCAACAAACAATGTACCAACATAAAGCTACTCGCTGCAACGAAGAATACGGCGGAATGGAAGAGCTCTCAGGACTGACATACGATGTATATCGCTGACGAGTGGCTGGCTTTGGAACGGGACGTGCTTGGCCAACGGCCTCTCATATCGGGGACCGTGGCCGAAGTGCGCGCAGCTTACGCCCAGACATCGGAGCAATTAGCAGGCCTTTACCCATCTCCCTCGGATTATCCAGTCAAGGATGGTGAGTGTGCAATTCTCGGATGCAACACATGACGTCATCGATATAGAGATGCAGTCGCTGAACAAAGGGAGCAGAGAAACTCGTGACCGACACGGGCATCGCAATCCGTCTGTATACCCCGACCAACACCAATAATCGTTCCGAGAACCTTCCTGTCGGTGTCTTGTGAGTTCATCATATGGCATCTCTCGTGCTTTGTCCTCCCTTTCTAACTCGACCATCTCAGCGCCCACGGCGGTGGAAATGTGAATGGCGGCGCGTGGGCATCTTCCTTTGAGGACCGCATGTGTCGCTACGTCGCTCAGCATGCCGGTGTCATTGTTGCCCAGGTTGACTTTCGGCTTGCCCCTGAGTTTCCGGCACCCCAACAGCTAAATGACACCTTTGAAGCCTACAAGTGGCTCCATGCGAATGCGGATAAATTCCACGGTGACCCCTCTCGTTTCTTTGCATTCGGGTCATCCCTAGGCGGCGGCATCGCAGTGGGAGTGGCTCTTAAACTGATCGATGAGAATCTGGGGCATCTGGTAAGGGGAGTCGTGGCGCTGTGCCCAGCGTTGCTGCACCCGGAGTTCGTGCCCGATGAGTTTGCTCCCCTCTTCAAGGCTTATGAGGAGACTGTGGACGCCCCACTGCAAAATAGCGAGTCCATGATGAAGTTCTACAACTACAACGGTGGGACGGCCCAGCGCATGAACCCATATGTCTTCCCGGCGTTGCATCCCGGGCTCCGTCGCCTGCCACCTGTCTACCAGGCAGTGTGTGAAGCGGACCCAGTGCGGGATGACTCGACGGTTCTCAAGCATGTTTTGGACAAGCACGGGTATGTTGATTGGAATTTTGACTGCATCGTGGCCTCGCTGACGAACCCGTACGCAGCGTATCAAACAAAATGGACTCGTACCCAGGACTCCCACACTATTTCTGGCTATGGCCGCAATTGAAAAGCTCGGAAAAGTTCCATCGCAATGTCGCTGAAGGTGTCAAATGGGTCGTGTCGACCATGTGCGATGTAAATGGCACTACTTAAATTTTTGATATAACAGATGATCATCCTTCCTCATTGGAAGTACATCTCTGGTGCCACAAGTATGGGTGACGAATGTAATTGGTGCCCTTTGTGCGAAATAGAGATGCAGAGACTATAACTTCCCCAAATTCTTTTCCCCTTTTTCTTTGTCCTTTCCATTCTCGGGAACATCTAACGACATCGATTTGCGAGTCAGGTACGTCCATCAAACCAGTTGTCCTTGCCCCATGCTTCAGCAACTGGTGCTTACTCAGCAGAGACGACATTCACTCTGAGAGTTGAAAAAAACATACGACTCAGAGTTACAATACGGCCTCTTTCCACGTCCGAATGAACACCGCCCTGCAGTTCATCTGTACTGCATATTTCCACGTCCAATGAGGCACCATGGAGTCAGATAAATCAGTCCCTGATGTTTAAGAGGATTTCAAGCGCCTATCTAGGTATGGTTATTCTTAAAAGCCTATAATCTTCTCGAGGCTAATCAGATAGTTAGCAATTACCTTGCGCTAAACAGCTACTGGGGGCTGCAGATAAAGCGTAGCGCGGTGTTTAGTCGGGCGTGGAAAGAGACAGCAACTAACATGTCAATGCGCGATTGGGCTCAAACAACAATGTGACGCAGGCATGAAACAGAAGAAAGAGAAGAAAGAATCTTAAAAACCACCATATCGCATTCCTATCGCCACTAGGTCTCTACACCACTACTTGTTCGAAATGCCAAGCCTTCTCTGCTCCCCACCAAACACCTTCTCCAAATGATCCGCATCCAAAAACGCCTTGGCCTCGACAATCTTGCCCTCTTTGCTCCATCGGCAATGCCAGCTATAATGCTGGTTATACGGCACACCGCTCTTGGTCTTGGTATCCACCGTCTTCATCTCAATGACGCTCCATCCATCCTGGCCCACGATGACGCCCTCCTCTCCACCGGGGACTTCGAGTTTGTATCCAGGATCGGCAAGAAGGAGATAAATGTTGGCCCACGTGGCGTCGTAGTAGTCCTTCTTGGTCTTCCAGTGGCCCGAGAAGCGGTGCTGGCCCGTCACGGTCCAGTCGACGTTGTCGTCGACGTAGTCGAAGAACTTCTTGGTGCCCTCGGGAGGGTAGTAGAGGTTGCGGAAGACGTCGTAGATGTACTTGCGGTCGGGGTCTTTTTTTTTCTTGATTAGCTCGAAATGTCCAAGGTAACGGTAGCATGTGACCTACAGCCGGACATTGTGGGAATGGGTGTTTTTTGCCGCGGGGCTGGTGCGAGTGGTGTTTCGTCGGGAGTCGTCGATGTCGATTTTGTTGTTCTTGTTGTTGTGATGGTCCACGGGTGGAATTGGAGGGCCTCTATATATCTTTTGAAATCTAGAGTAACCGTGAAAAGTGTGGAAATTGTGGCGTCAACTCTCGCATTCAGTCGAAAAAAAGTCTTTACTCCGGTCTCCTGGGCCCGCGGTTAACCTTTTTCGAGACACCGAGTAAAGTGACCCGAAGTATAGTACTGCAGTATGTGTGGGAAGGAGTTTCTCCCAACCCAAGCTATTCAAAGTACCCACAAATACACAGTACACATCATTCTAAGCTACTATCCAGAACGCATCTCTGCGCAGCTTGCCTTCCAGTATCCTGACATCCTCAGTCTCGAACAATGGGCGATTCCGCTGTGAAGAAAACCACCGGCTCCTGCCTCTGCGGCGCCATCACCTTCGAACTCCACGGCGAACCCATCTCCAACTGTCTCTGTTTCTGTAACAGCTGCCGCAAGAGCACCGGCTCCATCGGCATGGCCAATAGCTGGTACAAGAAGGAGGTACGTCCCACACAGTTCCCGCTCTATCCCTCCTCCACTGACACTCATTCCCTCAAAGAACTTCCGCATCCTCACCGGCGAAGACAAACTCCGCATCTTCTACGACAACACGCCCGACAGCGGCGGGCAGATCGAACGCAGCTTCTGTACCGAATGCGGATCGACCATGGTCGCGGAGAACAAGGGCAAGTTCCCTGGTGCTGTGATTGTGCCCGTGGGTGCTATGGATGTGGATCTCAGGGATGGAGAGTGGAAGCCGAGTCAGGAGTATTTCTGTAAGCGGAGGGCGAATTGGTTGGAGATCAAGGCGGAGACGAAGGAGTTCTGGGAGCTGTTTTGATGCGATGAGCCTTGTTTGGTCTTTCAGAGAGAGGACTGTAGATATTTAATGTAATATTTCGAACTCAGTTGAGTGGCCAACAGTCATCCTTCGAAATGCAGGTCTTACGGTCTGCGAACCCCTCGGCGAGGCCTTTGTGAGATGAGTCCCATAAATGGCAACGCAATCAGGCCGGCTATCTCTAACATAGATCTTGAGATCGTCCACCAGCCGACTTCAAACCAAAGGACGGAGCCGTCAAGCCTCACGATCCGAGTGGCACGGTGTGCGAATATGGAGTACTATCGATTGAAAGTCTAATTACGAGATCGATGAGGGACCCATCTGGTATCATGCCGCAGTATTAAACAGAGTAACCTATTCCCTTCCCAATCCATAATATCCTTTTCTCCGCTGCCCATACTGCCCATGTCTCCGTCCAGTCTTGCAAATATCCATATTTTCCCACCGTCAGACCCAGGAATTTATGCTCCGCCCGCGGCGACGACATTCGCTTTACCATTCTGCGCCGACGTCAGTATTGTTATATGAACAAAATACATGGACATCGCTTACCTTTAGGAAGATCGCAACTGCCAAGCTGGCTGCGGCGCCTGCGTAAACCACAATGAAGGTCTTCTGCCAGGAAGCCACAATGGCCTCCAAAGCGAGATTCCGCATCTTCTCAGGCAGTGTACCGAGCAGACCGTTGCTTGCACCAGCGACAAGCATGTCGATCTGATCCCGTGGTATTGACGGAAGTGCCTTGTAGAGCGAACTCTCGGCCGTGTTGACGTATACTGCGCCGCTGATAGACAGACCCAATGCCATTCCGCTCAGTTGAGCGATGAGCATGAGGGCAAGCCCGTTGGGGCCTTCAGATGCAGGAAGGGCAGATTGGATGACAGCGAATGAAGATTGTGTGTACGCGCCGGCGCCTGCGCCGAGGAACGCTGAGATGACGTAGAAGATCCCGACCGGCGTGTGGAGATCGACATAGTGTGCCATGAGGGTACCGGAAATGAGGGCAGAAAGGCTGCCAACCACGTACCAAGGCTTGTACCAGCCCCACCGGGACATCAAGATACCGCTCAGCTGGATACCGGTGATGAGCAGCAAGATGAACGGTAGCATCCGAACAGCGGTATAGATGGCCGTGTCTCCGCGGGTGAACTGGAAATAGAGGGGAATGTAGTAGACCGAGACGTAGGCTACCGAGGCGACGGATGAGCAGGCGACAAACAGGAGGATCGGCATTTTCTGCTTGAGCAGGTGCGCAGGGAACAGGCGCTTCTCGCGAGTCGTGAAGATGCAGAAGCCTTGCTGCAGAATAAACGCAATCCAAAGTACACCAGAAACCACGAATAGCGCAATCTCGGAGCCACTGTTCCATTCAAACAGTACGCCGCCGAGATTGATCGCCATGACGATGGTGACCATGGCTCCAATACTCAGGATCGCACCAGCCCAATCGAACATCATGAACTTCTCCTTCAGAGTCTTGTCAGGATGCGGGTCGGCCGAAGGGATGACGAAGAAATATGTGGGGACGAGAATGGCACCGAAGAGCAAGTTGATGTAGAAACCCCAGCGCCAGTCCCACAGAACGAAGCCACCGCCGACGCAAGGTCCAAGAACAGTTCCGAGGCCCCAAACCAGACCGGTGAAGCTGAGATAGCGAGGCCGCTCCTTGGGCGTCGTGTGAATGGAGAGCAGTGCCAACAGACCGTAGTACATTCCGTTACCGCCGGCACCGGCGAACACGCGGCCGACGATTTCAGCGTCCATGTTGGGAGCAGCACCGCAAAGTGCAGAGGCCGCTAGAAAGATGATGGTGCAGACGATGTAGATCCACTTGGAGTCGTAGATGGTGTACAGCTTTCCATATGGCAAGACAGTGGCCATACCGCCGATCATGAACCTAGAAAAAGTTAGTTAGATAAGATCCCTCGCAGCATCCAAAGGATACCTACCCAACAGACAGCCAGGGAAGTTCCCCTATGCTGTTGAGGTCATTGACAATGGCCGGCACAATGTTGGCGACGATGGTGTTGTCCAGAGAGTAAACGAAGATGCTGGTTAAGGTGCTGACAACGAAGATGAACCAGCGTACGCCAGTAATTTTCCGCGTCTCCTCCTCTTGCGGCTTTTCACTGGGGCTGACGGGAGCCTTCTCAACGTCGGAGGGCATCTCGTTAGGAGGAGTGATATTCTTGGCGGAGGAGCTGTCGCTCGCCTTTGTGGAGGATTCGCTGTGTCGAGTGGAAGTGTCGTGGTCCATGGCTGGGGCCGAAAGAGAAGCTTGAAGTTGAATTCAGCAAACTGCAGTGACTGCCACGAGAAAAGGTTAACGGCAGGGAGCACCTCCCGTGAAGTAGTTTTGTAGAAGTGGCTTAGTCAGGCACGTGGTACAGATTGTGTATGCCAAGCGCAGTTGCTCATTGTTTGTCGCGGAGCGACGGGGTAGTTGGTAGACATTTCCATTGACTTCGATGCGGATACTCCGGTCTTGTCGTGGTGTTGTGGTGTTACCGCCAGTGCAATTCCAGTTGCGGCTTGGCCAAAATGACGTCAGTCTGGCTTTCGGGAGTCCCTTAACGACAAGCCAAGCGAAGGTGTGCAAATGTACCGTGATGCAAGTGCCAGCCCTACGGGAGGTTGTCAGCACACCCTGTGCAAATCGCGGTCGGAGTTTAGACAGTCCTTCACTACTGGACATAAGCCAGGCACATGTGCACATTGCGGCGCCGCTTTGGGCGGATCTTGCTCTGTCAAGGCAAATGCTAACTAATAATGTGCACCCATCGATTTCCAATTCGCCGATGTCGTGCAACATTCTTACTAACTCCCTTTGCATCTTCACAGCACGTTGTGCTTCGGCGCTAAGCTGCGGGAGATCGGCCGCTAATTTGGGCTAGTGTGCACTTGTAGAACCACCATAACCTTAATTCAATGTCCAACAGTGCGACTTTCCCCTTCGACTTATCGAAGCGTCTACTACGGCACGGTGCAGAGAGTGAAGACCTGAAACGATCGAAGCAGCAGGAAAAGCAGCCTGAGTAGATTCAAAGGGCTTTGCTTCAAATGACGTCAGAGGGGTGCGTGAATGCGCCCACGTGGCCGCATGTGATTTGCGTTCCGACTTTCCCCCGAATCCGAGAATCCCCGCGAATTACCCAGAACGGTTGCGTAAGTTTTAGAACGGTCGAGACCCAATCGCAGCAAAGGCGCGCCCGATCCCAAGCACATGTCTGTCTCATCTCGATGCTGGCTGATGAGACAACCATAACACTTTGCTCAACAATCTACACTCGTTTGATTAAAACACAGCGGCCTCAGAGTGTTATGTCGCAGTATGGACAGCCTTACCGGACGCGAGAACTGCCCTGATGCCCAGAGACTTCGGCGCTGAATTCGGCGCCATCCATACAGTGAACACAGTATACTGTACAACCTGCGCCATAACCCGCCGTCACTACTGCTAACAGCTGGCGTAGCGGAGATTACATCCGTCAGGCCTCATTTCCTCTTCGCGTCCTCAGCAGTCCCTTCGGGTTTGTTTAGCTCCGAGGTGGGAGAATTGAACAGTAACGACCGCTGGCATTCCTTGACGTAGGACGAAGGCTGAGATTCTTTTCGCAAAAAGTGAGAAGAGGAGGTGATGCGCAGTGAAATATACCCTACGGCGGGCGGCATAAGGACGAGCGTATTGCAGTCGGCAGTCCCTTATGTAACCCCAACATGGACTGTACGCAGCTCTTCCTATAGGGTAAATGGATCCTACGCAGCTCTACACCGAGCGGCGCACGGCTGACAATCAGGTAAGCATTGCGGCACCACGTGAGCTCAAGTATCTTAACCCTCTCAGTGGACCATGGATCAGAGTACACGGACTTGAAGAAACCTCCCAGCGGCTGATCACGGCGGCACTTCTTTGCCACGCGCGATGTACCTACTGTCGTATCTCTCGCAAGACTTGACCGGTCTGGATCCGCTGACAATCCGACAACCGCACTGTTGTTCCCCCGCGTTTACGGAAGCTTTGTCTCGCTTGAGAATAAGGTTTTCGTACTTCTCCGTGCGGCTTATTACGACGAAACAGGCTGCAACAACGGAATCGCCCGTCTTGTAGGAGAATGGTCGGTGTAGGCATCCGGCTCCCCGTCATGCATCCCATACAGGAAGTAAGGAGTGTGGCGCAGGCTAGGTGAAGCCCCAACACCTTTCACCAAATTCAACGTTTGGGAGGCCATTGTGAGGTATGACGACGTAAGAGGGTGGCTACGATTCCTTCTGCCACGGTTCAACTAACCAAGCCAATAAGATTCACACAGAAGCGGTAGAATGAGTGGGTTGCTCGTATCATGTGCTGAAGCCCCAGAAGGATTACTACTTAGCGCTCGCCACATCTTGCGGACCTCAGTAATCCACAAGCCGTGACACGTCCCGGGCGAGACGCATCAGCTGTGAGCTCCCTGAGATTCAAGGGACTAGACCACTGACAATACATCCCGAGCGGCGGCTCTCATCCTGGACGTGCTCCCTAACTTTTTCCCAACGACTCCGTCAGCCTACCGCCCGAGTCAGTACTCATCTTCCAAACGAGACCATTTAATCTGCTATTGGCATCATTCCACTTTTGAGCATGAGAATACGTGAGGGCTTGTTAGGTTATAGGACATTTCGGGCTTTGCTATAACGCTTTGGCTATCCGCAGGGACTACCTAAGCGAACATCTGTTTTCTAATCGCCATTAGGAACCAACAAACGTGAACAGTTAACGTCAGCGTTGAGGTTTAAAGTTTGGCCATTGACCTATAGAATTGGATTAAGGGAACCCGTTCGCGGGTCCGCCTTGTACCCCAGTCTCGACGAAGAATTGTGAGTGATGTGAAGACCTAGTCTGCTTTGCCACACTGCTGACGCCTCCTTCTTGCAGTCTACGCTGTATCCACGGGACATAGACACTACTGACACCGAGTTGTGATGGCAATGTCCTTGTCGTTTCTAGCCATTCAGCAGCCAGGCACCGTGTTGCCATACTCAGTCTTGTCCTTAAACACATAGTGTCTCCAAAGCCTTTTTTCTATGTAAGCTATACTATGCTACATAATTACAAGTGTAGAGCTCCCTTCCCTTTACAAAGCTTTGTAGGACCCAGTTGGCAGTAACCAGGGTCTCAACTCACAAAACAGAGATGCGTCCAAATAATCAACCTTCTACGAAATCATTTCCAGAGCTCCTCACTGAGGAGTACGAGTCAGTGTGCTGATGGCATGATGGGCCGGGGCGTTCACCAACAGATGATCCATCACAATGGTCTTACCCTCAAACGAACACTGCGAGGCCTCCCGCCATATCATTGGGAGCAAAAATCACTCGCCTCGTATCTGACGTGGTTGGCACGACGAAAGCGAATTCAGTATGTAATTGCCGCACTCAGTTACGTACTCACGAGGAGACAGATTCGAACGCACGGCCACAAGGGACGACTATATAAGACCTCCAACGACCCTCAGAGTGAATATTACCATCCACACAACTTCCCTCACATACCATTCAGCAACCCAAAGCAACTACAGCCGCCTCTTTTAGAGATCACCACTTCAAACACAATGCAGACCAAGACAGTCCTTGCTTCCCTTCTCTTTGCCGCCATTGGCACCCAGGCCGCCCCTTCGGTCCATGCTCGTCAGGCCGATTCGATTCCTCTCAACATCTATGAGGGCGATGGCTGCAACCGCGGACCGCCTATCACCACCGCCAATGTTCCCACCGACGGAAGTTGCTTTGCCTTCTCGCCGATTCTCTCGTCACAAACCGACAGCGCCCGCATCGATGCAGCTGGGTCGTTGCCAGCTGGTTGCACCCGTAAGTCATCATTGCTTCAAGCATTCTTCAGTCCATCTGTACCCTTTCTATGTGCCTTCCTGCCAGGCGCTGATTGTGTTTCCATAGTCACCATCTTCAACACCAACAACTGCAGCCCTAATGGCAACAATGTTCCGATCAGGTCTACGGGCAACTGCGCCACTTTCGGGGCTGGCAATCCTCTAGACCCTTTTATCAGGGCCGCCAGGGTGTCGGGTACGTGCTAGAGCGGGGTGCTCCCTTGAGAATCTGGCGCCAAGTATGGAGGAGACTTAGGTCATAGATTGGGCAGCTTGAGCGATGAAGACAATGAAGAGATGAGGGGGATTGGAAGACCAATGTTTCATTCTAGTCGCTCGTTGCTTTATACATTCACGTAGAGGTTACAGCAAATTGATAGGGACGCCTACAGTTTCGCCTCACTATTTTCCACGACTGTCTTGACACACAATATCCAGAGCACCAAATGCGGAGTGATGTCACTTTTGATGTAGAGATAAGAGTTACTTGTTTCTTAAAAAGTGCCCTTGTTGGAGACAGTTGTGGTACCTCACATCTGCCAACTAACGCAAAGACGTGAAGCAAATGGGACGCTAAGTAGCACCAAACCTGGCGAGACACGGCTTCAAACTGGCTTGTCTTCAATGAATTTCTCACCATCCCACAACGGACCTCCAGGATAGGTATAATTAGCATCGAGCTGCAATCTATTGGCCATTTCCGACGAAGTCACCATGCCTGCATGGAGTTACTACTTGCCTCGGCAAAACTCAAGGCTCAAACTTACCAGGTGCCTCCGGGGCGAAAATGTCAGGAATCTTCACACCCGCTGGGAAAGGCGCCCTTGAATCGCTCTGGATATCCAGATGGGCACAACTCGGGTACATCTGAGCCAGGCTACCGGGCTCGCCGATCTTTATATATTGGTTGGTCAAACCGGACCAAACAACGTCCATGCGCATGAGGTATTTGCCTGCAGGTGTTTGGGGTGGGATTTTGAATTCGAGCTGGGTATCGGTCAGTATGAGAAGTGTTCCAAGCCCGTAGTGGGGGAAGACATACATGAGGAGGATCGGCGCGGTACAGCTCCCAGTTGAGAGGCCTGTCTTTGGTGTTCGCCAATCCGCGCGAATGGATCTTGACCCAGTCACCAGTGCCGTCGTAGGTGTGTATGTCTTGCCCTTCAGGTACTTTGGATAGATGCACCACGAGCGGACCGGGATGGTTGAAGTCCTATACGCATTGAGTGAGGACCGTGGTCAGCTGAGGGATCGGAGCATGAACATGAGGTTAAGTGCTCCCGCAGCATACACGTACCATGTTCCATCCCTCTTTATGATAACAGGTGCCTCGGTTATCCGGACAATTCTTGAAATCGTCTTCTGTCCATTCACTTGGGTCCCCACGATGCTGCGCTATCTCAATAGTGTCGCCAGCCCTCACTTTGAGAACTTCGGTGGCATTGGCATGATCCATGTTGCCGCGACCACATCGGACGGATTCTGGGCGGTCAACGTAATAGGTGGGCCAGTTGTAGTATCGGTAGAGGAAGTTCGAGTCGACGTACTTCCACTCATCGTACGGAGACGTCTTATTTCTGGCCATGTGAGGGTTTGACCCTGGGGACGAGAAAAGGACCTGGAGTTTACCTGATGTACTGCAGTGGTTCCTTCCATTCTCCATCGGCTTTCAATCGGACGAAAGTAACTGGCGTTTGTTAGAGTGTTGACATTCTGAGTTTTGACGCATGAGTCCTATACAGTGGCCGTTGACTATTTGTAGGACGGCTGCAAGCGCAGCAAACGTCAAGCGTAGCGCCATGTTGCCGTCAGATAGCAAGAGTTATTTGGCATCTTGTCAAATCCTCTACCTTCCCATGTTTATATAGTTTCTAGCTGGCGGAATACCCGCACAGCATACCTTCCAGAGATGAAGATCCCATGTGATGTTTCTCCAGAGCGGAAACCTGTCCAGTTCCTGGATAACTCATTTAATCCACTTCTTCCAACCCGGGAAATAGTTATTAACGCTATTTGTTGTACATGCAGTTAATAAATGTAAGGCTGGAAGTGAAACTTTGCCTATGGCAACAACAGCTATAACGAGATTGCGGGGAAGTGCGGCATTTCATCTGGGCTGACCAGTAGCGTTGCCCGTCCGCAATCTGACCTATTTTATAGCCGCTGCTACCCCATATTATTTAACCGAGAGGGTCACGGTCTCTAAGTGATCAGCACATCAACGCTTCTGGCGTCTCGTGCAGGAGTTAGGTTCCCTACTAGATCTCTGTACTTCGAACCATGTCCAGGAAGTGAAAAGCGCGGAAGTTAAGATTTACTTTCCCACAAGGCCTTTTTTTCTCGTTGGTATATGACCTTAGGACTGTGATGCTGGACATCTATGTTAGGGTATGGACACGCCATTTGCGTGATGCCCAGTGATACAGTAAATACAAAATCAAGTGATCGCGATTCTTCGTGGTCATTCTGCAGTAATTCCACCAGGAAGATGGGTCATCCCTACGATTCTGTCAATATATATGCAGCGCATCGAGGTTTGCACATACATCCATCGATATCTTCCCCTACTGTGTCAGGGACGTTGCACCGGTTCTTGACCGAGGCTGCAAGCTCCGTAAGCTGTGTGCAGTTCCGTAAGTAGCATTGATTGTCCATGGCAATCTGAAGGGAGTTGTTCTGCCAACCAAAAACGTAGTCGCCGTGTTGACCATATCCCGTACTTGCAGATATGTGAGCAAAGATGGCTCCCGTTCTCAGGAAGAATTTACCTGTCTCCAGTCGAAAGAACGAATGGCTGGCTTCCATCTTCCGGCCATTCATCCGGGTTGTTAAACGCTCTCGTGTCCCACATTACCTATTTAGTGTGTCCAGTTAGCCACGTAATAGTGCTCAACAACACACAACCGCACGACGTACTTCTAGCATCACTTGTGGAATCTTCACGGGATGGCTCTCGGGACACTGGCCAGACACAACAGAGAAAGAAGGCGGGGTTTTGCCGATTGTATGGGCGACGTGGTCTCGATGATTCGGGGAGTCCAAGTTGATGCCGTCCCAGCACCTTGACTACATATTAGTTTAAACTCTTCCATCCTCGTGGAGCAGCTGTTCACTTACTGAGGAAATATGATATTCGACCGAATTCCGCCAGCGCAGGGCCGAGTAGGAAAATGGTCAGTGTCGAGCACCGGATCCATGCACGGTGAATACATACTCCCTCCAAAGTTGGGCTCCGTGAAGCAACGGTAGCATTGCTGCGTGTTCTTGCCGAGATTTTCGGATGTGCGCCTCGACGCATCTCCTGTGAGCATGCGAAATCCCTTCGAAACCTATTTAGTGACAATTCGCAGCCAAAAATTCGAAGTCCTTACCGGCCTGAAGGCCACCGTCTTGTTTGGACCTGCCGAAGTGTAGTAGACCGTGATTCCGCCGTTGTCCGGGTCATTGAACTGATTTGCTATCTGCGGTACACGCTTATATGTACCATTACGGGCTTTGAAGTACAAGTTGGCCGTCCAATAATTCGACAAGTCCTCCTTGAAGTGGCATGTGGTACACGAGGCTTGTTTGGGGATGTCTTGATACGGCATCGATGCATTGAAGGCGTCCTGCCTCGTATCAATAATGGTCTGGAGAAACAAACGCCGTAAGGAATCGTACCCCGCCAACTATCTGGTGCATGTGCGATGATGGATTCGACCCTGGGTTTACCAGCCTGTTACAGCATCATTATTTATCAGCATCGAGCGTTTTGCCGGGTGTACGAACGGATCTAGCCTCTCAATAACAAGTTGTGAACAGCCGAATCGTAGCATAGCCTGTGGACCAGTTGGACGCCCCCCTCTTAGCATTGGTTCGTCCAGCTCTGCACCAGTTTGCGAAGCTGCTTGGTGAACAAGCGCTGAAAGCGCCACCAAAGATATGGTAAACATTGAGAGCGTCCAGCTCGGTTGAAACTACGAGCTTTCCAAGAGGAAAATGTGTGAAACGAGATGAAAGGTGAGGTCTGACGGCGGCGCTTAGCAGACTAATGGTGGTGTAATGTATACTATCGGACGTGGCCAAGAGTGACAGCGAAAAGCATATTATCCTTTGCCCCGGAGCACAAGTTCATTTCGATAAGGATCATCGCAATTCTTGTGATTAATTTAGCGATATTTGGGCCTATAGCCGCCGCTACGGGTTTGTAAGCGGTTGGGGCGATAAGGAGCTTTAACAGTAGAAGGGTTCTATAAAATAGATTCGCGATACACGGAGCAGAATAGAAATTCTTAGAGAAATTTTACTTGTTTGGGCAAAAACAAACTACGCTTTAAAATATAGATATCACTACCTATCTATATCATGAATTCAGTTGTCATCTCCGGTTTGAGCAGCATTGTTCCTGACTCGTCAACTTGGCGCTATGACGAATATTCTTGTAATACCACATTTCGAATGGCAAAAAAAACCGGATGGTGGTGGTCATAAGACGATAATCATTTATGTTTACGGTAATACAATACTTGTACAAAATATGGAACGGTCCTCTCCTAAGTATCCTACCTGAATCTGCTAAGTTTCAGCGACTAGAAAGGTTCTAGAACCTTAACATCCTTAGATATTCTACAATACTTAGCTCGAGGCACTATTAGGTAGCACTTACTACTGCAGCTTGCAGCCGCAACACTAAGATCTAAATAATGAACAGTTACAGCAGCTATAGGAGCCTTATTACAACTACGGACGGGCATACGGACTGTTGGAAGCGCAGATTCTAGCATGATTACGCATCGGTGCAAAGAATAAATTATGAGCATAGGTGTGATATATCCGTTGAATGCTTGTGTTGTTACCCTATCCATCAGAAAGCCCCTTCAGAAGATGCATTTGCATCTTTACTTAGCAATCTGACCATTGACTCGAGTCCCTCTTCCTGCGCCTTTTTGATCACCGCCACTCTCACATCATCAGCGAGCCTGGCTCCAATCTGTTCCAAAAGATTAAACATCGCAGTATCTTCTCGGTCCACCGCCATTGCAAACGCCCCCTGCACAGCATCGTCTTTATTCTCCCCATGCTCCCACAGTAACCTCACAATCGTTTTGGATCCACACGTTGCCGCAAATTCAATCGCATGATCGTGCTTTGCCCCAGCATCAAGCAAGATCTTGACAACATTTACATGCCCGTGTCTGGAAGCGCGACTGATCAGGTTAAAGGCCCGTTCATGATACCACCAGCGCCTCACAAAGAATTCAGCTGGGCGGCGAGACTGAAATAACGACTCATCATCCTTATTGTCATTAACGTCTACCCCCTCTTTTTCAATCAAATACTTCACGATATCTGCTTCATCCCGTCTTGCTGCAAGGTGGATTCGCATAGGGAGCCATCTCAGTTCATAGTCATCGATGTGCGGTTTTGCATCCCCTAACAGCCGTATAAACGTTTCTACATTCGAAGTTTCCTGCAGCGCATAGAGTCGTAGTTTATGGATGTCTCCTGGCGTAACTTGACCCCTGTGCCACGAAGGATCCAGCGCGAGATCGAGCAGTTCAGTGTGGTCGTTAGGCATGGCAAGACTAACGATCAAATCAGGGCGAAGGGATATGTGTGGGGCCTCGCCGGAATCGTCCACCATTAGGAATTTGACGATGTCAACGTGGCCGCGATAGGACGCGGCGCGGAGGGGCGATAAAAATAGAGAGCTAGCAATGGAAACATCAATACAAGGCGCACAAGACGGGGTTGAAAGAGGGTCCTTACGGGCGACCAGGATAGAGATTATTGCAGCCTTCTCCAACTAGCTTGACAACAAGGCTTTGCTCACCTATCCAAGCTGCAGCTCTGAGAAGAAGGTCTCTGAAATCGAGGGATGACTCGTCCAACTCTCCTTCGGTCACGTCTGCGAGCCAATCTTTAATGTAGAATGGCCCCCCGTTTTGTGGGAGGGTCACCATTTTGCACAGTTCCAGTACGCATTCTCTGAATTCCTCGTCGGTGATGGCTGCCGTCGTAACACATGTTTCATCTGCAGAGGCATGGCGATAACGGCAGATATGCTGCGCAACGAGGAGCAGTCTGTTCACATTCCGACTCTGCGTCTTCCGACGTGCATGCATGAGCGTTCGGTGCGCAAGGTACTTTGCCCAGAAATCCGGGGCTCTGTAGGTCCGGCCGGAGATTTCTTCGCAGTCGAGAATGCCGGAGTTGAACATGGCGGTGGTGGCGATGTTGGCAAAGCGTTCTGGTAGCTTAGTCAATGTGATATTGCGTTTACTTGATCTGGAAATATGGGAAACTAACTGCAGACAAGTCTCAACCGCAGAGCGCGTTTGATACTGCGCACGGAGGCGGCTTGGGTGAGGATTGCGAGAAGTAGTTCATCAGGTAATAGTGCAAGCGACACCATTGTACTCTGTTCTACCAGTCGAAGATGAATTCAGGAATGCTAAGCTGATTTTCGCTGTAGGCTGAGACGGAAGATTTGTGTACGGACGGGCTGGAAAGGTTATAGGGCTTAGGATAAGAAGACACAACGCTGTCCGAGACCTTGGCGCTAAATTACTGTGTAAGAGTGGCATTTAGGCCGGACCCTCGTACGGTGGACTATTAGCAGGTGTAGTGCCAAAATTCAATTGCACAACGAACCTGCAAACCTACTTACACCCTTGGACGCAGCATAGTTTGTAGCCTACTTGCGCAGTGTATGTACGCAGTGTATGTACGCAGTGCATGTACGTAGAAAGTACGCTGTATTTATATATATACCATCTATCTACCTACGCTTGCCTGCCTATACTACCTGCCTGTCTGCTTGTCTGTCTGCCTGTTTGCTTGCACTTGTTTGCCTGCACCTGTCTACCTGTACCCTTCTCTCTAGATCTGCACCCGTCTCTCTGTACCTGCCTCTCTGCACCTGTCTCTCTGCACCTGTCTCTCTGCACCTATCTTCCTGCATCTAACTGCCAATACTATTTCTGCCTATACTTACTTACTTATATACTTGCTATTTTATATAGATCTGCTGCGTAAGTAGGCTAGAAACTATGCTGCGTCTACGGGTGTACGTAGGTTTGCAGTTCGTCGCGCAATTGAATTTTGGCACTACGGCTGCTACCTAATAGTCCACCATAGTCGCGCCACTGGCTTACAACAGCCTCCCGATACTGGCGGCTATCTGATCGATGCGATATGTTGGCCCTAATGCATGCAAGCGCCGACGTCGACCTGAAACATCACAACCACATCTACAGTTACCCGCGCCACACGCCAGCAGGACGGGTACCCAATAACGAGGCGTCAATGGGTTAGGCCTGAGCATATAGCTCATTCGTACGCGTTAGTTTCTGCAGTCATGGACCTAATAAAGAGCTACCTCCCCGTCTCCCCCCATTCACCCTGGGGCAACCAAACCTGAAGTTTTCGAAATTGCAGTCACTCAGATGGCGTTTCCATATGAGTTTTACATTATTCCCATCTCCTCCATTCTCCTGGCTTTGTCGTCAATTGCATGTCTCGCTTCCAAATCGACTGCTTCCAACAGCCACAACGAAGACTCGACGGGGGCCATATTTCTCGATGCTGAGTTTCCCGATCAGGTGATTGCACTTGCAACCTATCCACGCTACCTTGGATTGAATGCAACGACTCCAGTCCTAGTGGCTTCCAGCATTGCTCTGGTCATTTCCATCGGGTTCGCTGCCCTCTCAGCATATGTGATGTTGAAATGCAAACCTGTCAAGGTAAGTCCCTATGTCAGCAATTCATTAGTGATGGAATTAATTATTCTCAGTTATTGTGGTACCATAGGCAAGTGTTGTTGTTCGCTCTCTTCGCCAATGCCTCACTTGCATTAGCAGCGTTTGTTACCAACTTCGTCCTGCATAGCAAGAGCGCGCATTTTTCGCTATCTTACCTCAGTATAAACGATGTTATTGGCCCTGGGAATGCCTACACAGCTGGTGTATTCGACCTCGAAACCTGGACGTGCGAGGTCAAAAATCTGCCGTCTTTCCGAGACGAGACGCCGATCGCTCAACAGTGCGCTGCGGAAACGGCTGGTCGGGCCTGCACTGTCATTATATTCGTCTTCGCCATAGCGCTTTTTCTGGCAGTCTGGTGGGATGCTGAGAAGCATCGGGCTTTGATTGTGGTAGAATGGGATGGGGATCGAATGGCCTGGGATGATGAAGACGATTGCGAATTGGATGATGCTGCAGCCATGAGACAGCTTGGACATATCGGCCTTCGCTCTCACGGTGTGTGATCGGCTTCGATTCCCTGCTATTGAGGTCGACTAGACTTTGCATTGTTGCAGTGGCCATGGTATTTTTCAATAAAATTCCAAACTTGGACCTTCAAGTTCGTAACAGAAGAATTCGCAACTCCGAAGTGTCACTCAATAATTTCCTCAAACACCTCTTGCGTGCTACTGTACTTGCTTGAAGCTCGTAATTCCGTCACGTTATGAGCAGCCTCGATATTTTTGAAGCCCATGGCTCGGGCGGAAAGGGGAATGTTGGAGTGGGAAAGTTGGTTAGCTCGCGAGGATGATTGTGTAGTTTCCTGGACAAGGACCCGCAGATTGGGGATGCATGCTGCCACCACAGTCACTGTCGATTCAGTGACATCCCATATATATAGCTCGACTTCGTTGTCTGACATCCGGTCAGTCTTCACCTCCATGACAACGACATATGACTTACATGAGTCTCCAGAGCCAAGGTTGGGAAGATAGACACTCACATTGCACCCATGCTCATCGCGATCAGTATTCCAAGCTTCTCCTTTTTCCTCAGGAGAACACGATAGAGATATGTCCATGGTAGAGCGGCCAGGACGAAGTCCAGGACCGCGGAATATGCTGAACGCGAGAGTCAAATTAGTTGTTGCATTTTCGACGGCGCGGCAGAAATAACTGCGAAAAGCGAAGGAAAGAATATGAACAAACCTCCCATGCCAATCCAAATCTTGGTCCCCACCTTAGGAGCCCAACAAGTCCCCGGTATGGCTGGATCCCACGTCTTAGCCAGTGGTGCGCACTGTATCCAGGGGACGAGGGCGCTAATTATCGTCGTGATGTTCAGGGATATGATGATGAACCAGACGGAGCTTCTGGTCAAGCCGGTCGTGAGCCTCAGGAGAGCTACCGCAAATGCCGTCTTGCTCCACCCGATGGATATGAGAGTGAATGTCGCCCGGGAACTGATGAGGATTATGAACTTGGACAGGTCGTAGATCTTGAGATCCCAGCTATGCCGGCCCAGCCCGAATTCGATGACCAGAATTGTAGTCAGGATATCCGTGACGAGGATGGTGAGCTGTCGCCAGTCAGCCATATAAGCGTAGGAAAAGAGGACGGCTTACGAGGACTCACCAAAGCAGCCATTAATATCCAGTCATCCCACAAGAGGCGCCGGTTAGTGATGCGCTTGCAGTATAGACGGAGGCCTAGAAAGATTACAGCCAGGCCTGTTAGGACCCAGTGCACAGCGAGGAGGGCGGGGCCCCTGTCGTCATGAGGGAGCTGAGCTAGTTGCTCCGGGGTGAGCGGCGGAGTCGACATGCGCTCAGCCTATGTGGAGACGAATCCCCACTGTACTGTGTTAGAAAATGCAATGTCCTTTTCCCTAGGTTACTACTAGGAGGTCAAAACGGAGCGAAGTGGGCCCCAGAAATTGCGGGGATTCAGAGCAGGACGACAAGTCTTTATTTCCCCAGGTTTTTCAGGGCTAAAGCCGGGAACCTTGGAAGTTCTAGGGTTGGACACTGCAGGTGCCTACATACTTTTAGGTGCCTCATAAACTTTATGCAGTAGTCTAGGCAGTATAAGGAGCCGGCTACCGATAAAGTTTGTCTAGTACGCCAACCCATGTGAAACCCTGGAGTCGCACTGAGCCAGGCGGGCAGGCATTAGGGAGCACCCACATAAGTAATCCAGAGCACCCACATAAGGCCGCCAGAGGCCTAGAACAGGCGCCTATTGGCTAAATCTTAAGGTTTTACGAAGGCGTAAAGGAAGAGAGAAGAGAAAGCCTACACTGCCCGTTTTTATATAGAAAATCTGCGATATTTTTGCAGATTTAGGCTGCGCGTGTTTATATTATATAGAGTAACTTACGTTTTCTTTACAAGAAAATCTCCAAAAAGATGCCCTTAAAAGCTGCTGTTGTACCGCTGTTTGTAGATTTCTAGGTGCCTCTGGTGGCCTTATGTGGGTGCTTCGGATTACTTATGTGGGTGCTCCCTAACGTCTGCCGCCAGGCGAGCCTTACTCAGGGATTCCAGAATCTATCTAATAATGCGACGGGTCGCTTCCGCAGATCATTGCCGATCATTGCCCGGAAGCATTTCACCTGTAAGCGTGACATCTTGGAAACCGTCTTTCTCGAGTTTATCTCATGAATCAGACACTTTGCATATCCGAGCGTGGTTTGAGCCCGTGCGAAATACGAATACAGTCGCGAAGTACGGAATCGTAGAGGACGGTATCTGTTACCTAGACGAGACAGGCTTCATGATAGGTTTTGTTCAGGAGCGCCCAACGAAACAATCAGGGTTCGTCTCTTCTCCTGCATTCCGGCCTTTCCCCTTCAACAAGCTGACAAAGCTGCTGTTGCGTGGAGTCATCTTCCGCATAGCTCGACCAATAGGTCCCTGTCCCTGCTTGGATGCCTCCGTCTCCGGCTGCTTATGGCTTGGAGCGGCAGGAAATTTGATCATCGTCCCTAGCAGTTTATTCTCCTGGCGGTACTTGTACTCAAACTCCTGCAGAAGATTAGAACCAAACCATTGCTGACATTCGGAAACATACCCATAGACTATCCGCCGCTTCTTTGGTAGCACAAAGGTCTCGAAGCTGCAGAAAGATGTAGCATGCGGCCATTCTCTCCTCGTCCAACTTGTACCCACCTAGCAAGCCTTCGGGTTGAAAGTCAGGCTCCATGGACGCTCTCATAGCGTCAGTTCGCCATTGATCGAGCCTTGTCTGAAAGCGTCCAGCCCACCAGACCGCTGGCATATATTCTTTAACCTGTAACGATGCGGTTATGTTAGCAAATGAGCCGCCGTCATTATTTGGACTGAAGGGTCGTGGAGGGGTCACAAATGCTGAACCGGTACGCGCCTCCTTCTGTGCCAGAAGCGTCATCAGATCCTCATCAGTGGACTCTATTACACTCGAGTCAGGATCTGTAATGAAAGTCGAAGAATCCTCACGTTTTATGAGCTCCCCCGAGGCCTTTTGTGGCGTCTGTGGAAGCGCCTTTGAAGTATTGTCCAATGTTTCCGTTACAGTGTAGTCGTGCGGCAAGTCAACCTTGTCAACAACACTTTTTGGAGGAGTCTTATATTTTTCCGGAATGGGAGGCATGGGAGGAGGAGTCTCATGTCTAGGAAAATGGTGGAATGTAGAAGAACGAGGAATTCTCACCTCGCCTCTACTACCAACCAGACCCCTAGATACGAATGTTGAATTCATGCGAGAGTGAAGCGTCCTCCTCGAGTAACCACTATCCGTGCTCGACCGGGGGAAGGATGACAAACTTGTCGACTCGGTCGGAGTTGGGGTTGGCGGATTGACTGGACCCAGAAGTCGAGGCTGTGTAATACGGTTTGCATTGGAGGTTCGATATGCGATAGAAGATTGTGCCGGCTGTGTACTACCTGGAACACGCTTCACTGTTGCCGGCGTACCTCCTACGGTGTTTGATCGTTTCGCGGGGCTAGATGATGCCGTAGTAGTAGCAGCTTGCTTGCCTTTATGGCCAGGGCTGTTGTTTGAACTGGGGGACCGTCTCGGAGACTGTTTCTTTTGCGATACAAAGCCCTCTCGTATCGATTTATTGATTGGTCTCTGTGATGCAGATCCTCTCTCGGTTTGAGTTGTAGGAGTGTTCTCTTTTAATATTGACATGGGGTTACTTGGGTGTTGTACTAGATCAATGTTATTAGCAGCTCATACAAGGAAAAGTGGGGACTTGGGTATATGATTTCGAGAGCTGACTAGGCAGACGACAGAACAACATGTAGGATACTTACTTGCAGAAGGCGCAACAAATCTAGCTTTCATAGCAGATTTCCGAGGCATCATGAAAGACTGTCCCACTGGTATCGAGGTCTTCCGGAGATTCGGCGTGGTATATGACCTGGATGTGGTCGACAGAGCGGGCTTAGCTGACAGACCGGCAAATGCGGCCCCAGCAGCGATGTGCTTCTCTTGTTGTACGGTGTGCTGGGCCGATGTACACTGGCGGGGGCTCGCGAGTCGGCGAGGATTCCCTGGAGGTGGGCTTGGAGTTGGGATCTTCGTCGCCGAAACACGTACAGACGAGTCTCTGGAAGAGCTATGGCGGTCGGGCTCGGTCGAGGACATTTTAGAGGTGAAAGCTGCAGAATCGCTCACTGGAGGCCGCGGTATGTGGCTCACTGTGCGCGACCGTGGAAGTGGTTTGGGGGTCAATTCCGGGTCAGTGACTTGACTGTTGACGCGTTTGTTTGGTGAAAGACTCCCAAGCAACGGTTGGGAGGAGGAAACAAAAGGAGGAGATAACAGGCTTCGAGAGTCGTCGCCTTGCCTGTCGATATTCTGGTGAAGGGACGCGCTGTGCTGCTCTTCACCGCTGCGAGGACCCCTGCCCGCCGTGACCTTGCGCTGGCCCAAGGAATTGGAGATCAATGAGAAGCCATAGCTTAGTTTTCTGCGTATGTTGCTACCTCCTGCGTGGGGTTCACCGGGTTTGGGAGCCTGTTGTCCGGCGTGTTTGTCCTTACGGCCGGCCATGCCGGACGAACTGTCGTTGAGACGCTGAGAGAATTCCCAGTGTGCCCGCAACTGCTCGAACCGTTGTCTATCGGGATATGTCAGCATGTCGTGATCAATCGTATGTGTCTTGCAGATATGGTACTCACTTTTGGGTGGAAAGTTGGAGAGGGAGAGAAGGGGTGGATGGTTGTAAATAAACATGGAAGGCACCCGTTGGCAACCAGATAGGCAAGAGCGACAAACAACACCTACGCAGCTAGGCGCTCCCAGGAAATGAAATAGACAGTTATTGAAAGACATATGCCCTCTCCTTGGAAAAGATAAATTCATGTCATAGGGATATACAACGCCCAATCCGAATTGACTCCATAGCCAGCATATGCAGGTATCGAACTTGGACGACCGAGAGAGACGTACACACGCCTTACTCGGAGTCACTGTCGTCAATAATAAACCCACCCCTTGTAGTCCTGGTCGGAGCCCTACGAACGGTTGGCCCGGCATCTTCATCCTCATCGTCCACGTCCACCATAACCGAGTCCATGTCGCCTGCCGGAGTTATTTTCGACCCGTCCCTACCGCCATGGTTGTCTCCAGTGGGCGCATGTTGAGAAGACAATGGAGTATCGGAAGCCTCCTTTTCGCTACTCGTGTCCAACACATCCTCAGCCTCCTGGGATGTTGCTCTACTACTAATACTGACAACGTCGTTATCACTCGCACCCTCGTCATCGCTTTCATCCGTATCAAAAGGCCCTGCCCTGCGTTTCGGTGGTGTCTTGCGCCTCTTAGCACCGTTCTCTGCTTGTGCGTCGCCTTTCCTCTTTCGTGACGAAGCCGGTTCCGTACTGTCCAGCGCGAGCGATTGCTTGAATTGAGCCAATGTTCTTTCACGGAGCGCTTGCTCTCGCGCGAAGAACTCCTTGTCACGTTCTTCGTCGTCTTCGTCGTCCGAATCGTGGACGAATATAGTACTCTTTATCTTCCTCTGCTTCTCAAGCTCCTTTTGACGGCGTTGCTTGGCTCGGCGGTCCTTCTCTTCATCGTCCAACTCTCGAGGAGTTCCGGCCCGCCGCCTTCGCTTGAGTGTCTTCTTTCCCTCTGACTTCCGTAAGCTCAGTCGATCTGGAGCATACTCTCCCCTGTCTTCCTCCGAGTCATCGTCTATGCCATCCGAGTCGTCGTCAAATTCCGCCTTGCGGGTTGAGCGACGTGTCGCAGTAGTTTTGTAGCGAATGAAATCTTGCGCCGTCTTTCCATCTTCGTACACTGGAGGATCAAACTCGAACTTGCGAATCAGGTCGATGGCTTCCGATAGCTCTGCAGCTGTAAGGGAGGAAGGAATGACCCAGGTCGCGTCTGGGTCATCATCTGCGCCGAGCCGACTGAACCCAACAAGTGTCATCAATAGCCTTAGCTTGTTGTCTTTGAACATCGCTTTCTGACGGTCTTCGTTATCCGCCTTGACCACTGCACAAGTCAGCATTTGCCTCGCATGTGAGAGAAGACAGCCAGGTAAACTCACGGATTGAGGGCGGCTTGACAGTTTCCGCCTCCTGCTCCCCTTCCCTCACGTCTGACGGGTCTGCCTCTCCTCCCTCAAGTGCCGCAGCCGCTGCTTGCTTCCGCGCCTCTTCCATTGCTTCCCAAGCTTTTCGCTCTTCCAATGCCGAAGACAGTACATCTCGAACCCACTGAATCGCATCCGACTTATTCTGATTGACCAACACGCCAACGGCTACACCGATCTGTTCCGGTTTCTCCATCCCAGGCTTGACCTCCACTTCTGCTGGGGCACGTGGGGCTCGAGTTGGCATCACCCTGTCGTATCCATGCTCCAGGAAGAAGAGCGTGGCCGGGATCTTGCTGAACAGCATCTCAACGATGAGCTCCGGCCTGTCCTGGACGCGTTTGACAACGGTTCGGAAGAAGTGTCGTATGAATTCTTCCCATTCTTTGAAATTTGCGGCTTCACTATCCAGTCCTTCGGGGCCCTTGATCATTTTGTAAAAAATCTGGAGGATGTCCACCCTGTACAGCAGAACTCCAAGCTCCATCTTGAACGTGACGCGATAGAAAAATCGGTGTGCACGTTTCAGTTGTTCCGTGTCGAGGTCCCTGTAGTATCTCAGAAAGGAGATGAATGTATTGACACTGCTCTGGTTGACAAACTTTGCCGCGAAGCGGGCAAAATCAAATTTTCTCTCGGAGGTGGTCCGTTGCGCGGCCGCGATGTCCTCCGTCTCCGACACGTGTGCCTTTCCGCCGTCGTCGACACCCTGTGCCTGGGCTTGCTTCTTACGAATCTTGCGCGCCCGCCTCCTGGAGCGTACCTGCAGATCCACATTCTGTTTGGCGTACCGTTCGAGCATCCGCAGGAAGACATGCGAGAGTTCCGTGCAGGCGTCTAAGTAACCGAAGCCTTGGTGTTTGTAATCTCGCAGGATATGAACGATTCGGTCATGCGTCGATTCTTCATAGAATATGCGGTTCTGTATGTTCTCCGCAATCTCTTGATCCTCTTCCAGTGCCGACTCCGACATCTCCTGAACTGTCAGGAGGATCTGTGTAAAGCACTTCATACCGGCGTTGAGATCTTGCCATGCCTTTTCATCCTGGCTTCGTTGCATGTACCTGTTGAGAAGGATGAAGGTCTCCTGGTTCATGACCTCGGCGACAAGACCATAGCTCTCATCCTCGGCGGTGAGCACCTCCGCGCTTCTTGGGTCCGCTGCCCTCTCCTTGATCATGCGCCGCCTTGCGCATTCAGCTCGCAGAAACCAGGACACGAGATAGAAGTATTGGCGGGAATGCCGCGTCTCCACCCGTTCGGCCTCTCGCTCGATAGCCTTTCTAAGATGCATGAAAAGCGGATTGAAGGAGGAATCCAGGAATTCTTCCACAAAATCCGTCAGATGTTTCCGCGCGGAAGAGGTAAGGGCCACCGGGAGATCGAATTCATCCCTTTCGTGATCATTGTCCTTCTTCCGTCCGCGCCACTTTGGCTTATTCCACTTCTTCGTCGTATCCATCTTCTGCATAGTCCTCTGAGTCTTTCCGAGGAAGTCCTGCCCCGAGAGGGTGGACACTTTGTCATCGTCCCGCTTTACCCAGACCATGGTTCCGAATCTGTTATGTCTCGTAGGCGCATGTCGAGCATATCCGGCGAGCATAGATTTCTCTTTCTGTATCAGATTCTTCAGCTCGTCCGTGTTCTTGGAGGTGAGATCCTTCTCAGTCATGAAAAGCTTTTCAACCTCGACACCCTTGAGCAAATAGAAAAGTATCTCGAGAATGGCCACATCTTGCTCCACAAAGTCTTCTCCAATGTTTGAGGCTACGGTTAGGAGAACCTGGAATATATCTTGTTCATGGAACGTGTCAATCGTGGTTGACCTTGAAATCTCGGCCTCGTCAATATCGGTAGGGACATTGTTCGGTGGCGACAGCATGGCAATGTTGCGAATGAAGTACAATGCAATGCGGATGATGCCTTCATCCCTTGGAGATCGCTCGCGCAAAGGGACGGTCATGGAAGGAAGGGCAATGCGAACCGCGGTTTGGAGAATGCGAGCTCGGTCGAATTGAAGGATCGCACGCTTATAACCAATCTGCGCCAGCTGCAGGTAAGGTCCATGTCGATAGTGATCGGCTGTTGCTTGGTCGGGATCAATTTCGAAGGGCCAGGTTAGATGTACAAGAAGTTCCACTGCTTTCGTCAGTCCGATAGCATACAAACATGAAATCCAGTCTCTACATACAGCAAGCAAGCGCGATCTTGTACTTGAGCTTGTCATGTATCAACTTCTCAGACACCTTCGCCAGGATCTCCAGCAAATCTCCCTTGACGAGATTCGCCTCTGCCATGGAGCGGGCGACATCGTGGCGGTTTAGCTTTGCGTCCACAAACTTCAGCCATCTTCGAAGATCCTTCAAACAGAGTAGGGCGTCGTCTCCCAGCGCATATGTTCCGTCATCACCAGTACCACCTAGCTATGCGGGTGTTAGCGCATACGCGGTTCTTAGAATTGAGTCTTTTACTTACAGCAGTGATGAGACTGTAAACATGTGCTCGGACTTCCGGATCCACCACTGGATCCTTCGCCCACTCGTCCAGCGTCGTTTGGTGGGCCATTGTGTTGTTGACTTTGGCATCGCCAGCAGCCGACAACTTCCCTCAGCAGACGCGTTCGCGACTTCTCACCACGCGTTAAGTGGTTGGCCCAAGCGCCCAGAACCAGAACGGCGCATGTCCGCCAAGAACGGCCCTCACGTCATCCATGTGAACCTCGGTTTCCCGCGGTCTTCAATGTCCGGCTAGCACCGAGCGGACCCGCCGCCAGAGACGTTCAAGCTTCACATGGCAACACAGCTCAAACTTCTTCGCTCGTCAAATGTCCTTTATCTTTGCAGTTGAGTTTGCGAATTGGTCGCCATGTTCTTCCTTGCCGCCTCGAGACAAGCTGTGCGCTGCGCTGCGAGGCAGCAATGCCGGAATTTCAGCAGCACGCCCGCTGCGAGGGCGGCCGCGGCCGAGGTGAAGAAGTTGGGCGTTATCGGTGCAGGACAGATGGTAAGGGAATACTCTCCCGGGACTTCAAGAGGAATTGCGAATTGACACGGATACAGGGCCTAGGCATAGCACTCGTTGCCGCGCAGAAAGCCCAATTGCCCGTCAAGCTCATCGACAACTCGCAGGCCTCGCTCGATAAAGGCCTCAAATTCGCAGACAAGTTGCTGGCAAAGGATGTCAGCAAGCAGAGGCTCACACAGGAGGAGGCGGATGCGACGAGGGCACGTCTTACGCCCGGGACTTCTTTGGAGGACCTCTCGGACGTCGACTTCGTCATCGAGGCGGTACCTGTACGTCTACACTTTCACTCCCCTCTCCATGTCTGTATAAAAGAAATTAACGCGACCTTCCAGGAAATACCCGACCTCAAAGCCCAAATCTTCTCCCAGCTCGCCAAAATCTGCCCCTCGCACGCCATCCTTGCGACAAACACGTCCTCCATCAGCATCACCCGCATCGCCGCCTCCACCACCACCGACCCCAACGACCTCTCCGCCTCCTCGCGCGTCGTCTCCACCCACTTCATGAACCCAGTGCCCGTCCAGAAGGGCGTGGAAATCATTACGGGCTTGCAGACTTCCCCGGAGACGCTGGCCACGGCTATCGAACTGTGCAAGCGCATGGGCAAGATCCCTTCGACGTCGGCGGACTCTCCTGGGTTCTTGGCGAATCGGATTTTGATGCCGTACATCAACGAGGCGATTATCTGTCTGGAGACGGGCGTAGGGACCAAGGAGGATATCGACAGCATCATGAAGAATGGGACGAATGTGCCCATGGGGCCGCTGCAGCTGGCGGATTTCATCGGTATTGATACATGCTTGGCTATTATGAAGGTGCTGTATGAGGACACGGGGGATAGCAAGTATAGACCTGCGGTGTTGCTAAGGAAGATGGTGGATGCGGGCTGGCTGGGGAAGAAGAGCGGCAAGGGCTTTTATGATTATACGTCGTAGACATGTAACGGTATTCTGCGTAGGAACATTAGAAGATCACTTCTGCGTGTCAGAAGTTTGAAATGTCTATTGGATGCCTACTTACTCTGAGCATCCTCAGCAGTATGTAATTATGTTCATTACTAACCAGATCCGGAGCCCTTGACAGGCGACTCTAAGCACAGGCCGTCATTCAGGTCGTTACCGTTCGGTTTGCCGTCCCATTGACTTGCACCTTCTCGGCTTTCATCTTGGCCTTCTCCGCTTCCGACTTCATCGACTTGGGCGCATGCACGTCCATGGGGTTGATCTCCGTCTTCAACTCCCTCGTCCGCTTCTGCTTCGGCTCGGGGGCCTTTTCGTTCTCCTGAACGTAGAATTTTCGCAGAAGGAGAATGGCTTCCTCCCGGAAGATGCCTCCATGGACAGGGTAAGGCTTGTCGACGCTGGGACTGGAGGGGATTAGCAGTGTCCCGTGACCATCCCCCGTTCCCAAGGAAAGGAAGAGAAAATAAAAACGAAGAAATGGAAAGACGTACTCGGAGTGAATATTCAGCACACCGCCCGTGCCCCCAAACCTCTCGTTCCAGCACCCGAAATACACCTTGCGGATGCCATACTGCCTCAACATGCTCGCACACATGACGCACGGCTCCACGGTGACGTACAGATCCGTCTCCTTGAGGATCGAAATGGGATGCTTGGACAGGATGCCGGCCAGCGCCACGAATTCCGCATGACGGGTCCCGTTGAGCGTGCGGTTGGTTTCATTCATGCCGCGGCCGATGATGACACCGTCGTGGACAAAGACGCAGCCGACGGGCGTTTCGTCACTGACGAGGGCGAGCTCGGCCTACATGGAAGTGAGTGACAAGAACGATTATCACTTTGCGGGGAGAAGAGTGAGAAATTACCATTTTGATGGCTTCGCGCATGAAACCCTCGTGCACCTTGCGCTCCTCGTCGTCCATGTCCACGCTTGGCGATGCGGGTGCAGGTGGTTGGTGAGACGCTAGGCTGGTTTCGGATTGCAGGGTGAATAGCCTCTTCAGGACCTGGGGAGTGGTGTAGTTGAGCGCAGCGAGGGCTACGGAGCACAAGGCCCATTTGAAGACCGTGGAAGGAAGAGAAGAAGACATGGCTTCCACATAGCGGTTTCCCTTTTCTCTTCTCCTGCTTTCCTGCTTTCCAGGTCGGTGTAGAGCGAGTGACGACGGGAAGGTGCGGTGTGGGGGTGCGAACTGAGAAGGAGCGCAGAATGAGCGTCTGGAAAGAGCGATGTATGGTGGATGTTGAGATGTTGCAAACAACGTCTGAATAAAATCTCAAACGGAAGTCGCGCACTCTCGAGGTCTCTCCAGGTTCCGGCCAATGGGTGCTTCTCCAAGCACTATGACCCAAAGCGGTAAGACCCAAGCTCCAGGGTTCGGGGCTGGCTGCCGGGCGCAACTACGCAACGTGGACCGACTTCAAACATGCAGACTCCGTTGCTCACAACAAAAGATTTCGAAAAGTTGCGGCCCTGCTACGCCACAAGCTATTGAGAGCAACGTTCCCGCCTTTCAGCAATCGAAGACACATTGCCGGTTCTATTGAGTCCTTTGACCACCCGCCGTTCCAAACACCTCATTCCGAGCTTCCGCCGCTAGGGCTGAGCTTCTGACCGCGCGTCGTTCGCCGCCGTTGAAGGTCGAAGCCTAGAGACGAACAACCGCATTTTGCTTTCAGGATACCCACCTCCTATACGGATATTGTAGCTCTGGGGAGCTGTTGAGCCATCATGACGTTCGCTGAGGAGCTCAAGTCGAGGAATTTCAGTGAGTTGTTCCTTGGTGAAGACGGTGTTTGGAGATGGCTAACCGGAGGATTTTGCGCAGGCATCTACGGTCAATGGTTCGTTGCCCTTTCTGTTCTTAACACTACTTGTCATCTTTCAGCTTCCGCTGTGGTATTGTGAAGTCGAGCTACGGAAATGCGCATGCCGCGATGTGCTTGCAGAGACGAGGATATTGTGCGACACCGCCTCGACTACACCTTGCGCCAGAGCCAAAACACACACACGCAGATATCGAATATACTAACAGTTACAGGATGGGCGTCATCTGCATTTTCATATGTTTCGCCGTCGGCCTCTCCACCATCATCACCAACCTGCTAAGCTGGCTCCTGCTCTTCTCCATCATATGTTTGTACGTAGCCGCACTTGCCCCCTGCTCAGCTCCCCATCATCCGGCCTTCTAACATCCAACAGAATCTGCGCCCCCATTATCCTGTTCGTCGAGGTGCCGTTCCTGCTCCGCATCTGCCCGACCTCTGCGAAGTTCGACGCCTTCATCCGCCGCTTTAGCTCCAACTACATGCGCGCGGCCATCTACGGCGTCATGAGTGCGATACAGTGGATTAGCATCTCGGTCCATTCATCGGCGCTGATTGCGGCGGCCGTGACGCTGTTCCTTGCGGCCGTGTGCTATCTGCTGGCCGGTGTGAAGGGGCAGGCGTTCCAAGGGAGCAAGGCGTTGGGTGGTCAGGGTGTGGCGCAGATGATCATATAAGTTGGAGGCAGACGCTAGCGAGATGGGAAGGAGGAGGAGGACGTCAACAGTGTACTACGGCTCCAGACTCCGAGAAGGGAGTGGGACGACGCGGAGAGATTGCAGGCATCAATTGAAAGAAGGACATCTTAGGCAGGAGAGGCAGGGCCGCAGAAAGGAGAGAAGTGTATCTCCTTGACGCAACAGGCAATAACGGATTGTTTCTTTTTGGGCGTTGTCGTTGGAGAACAATGTTCCATTTCTTTGTACGATCAGGCTCTTTGGACTCTGTATGAAGATTACGAAGCGCAAGTAAGCGATTTGGTATAACAGGAAGAAGATGTCATGCTCTCTCGACCGCCGTGAATGGGCTCCGTCCCATCTCCACGGAAAACGAGACAGAAGAGATCGGCAGCGCACCGTGACGACGGCGGGGCGACTGTTGGCATGCATCCATGCACACACTCAGCTCCATGGCGGGCTAGACTGCGGGCCAGGAACGAGCAAACTGTGAGATGGTCACGCAGGGCGCGGGGAAAGGCTAGTGGCGGCGGGGATCTGATCTTCTGTATTATTTATTGATACGCCAGTTTCTCGCCATGCGGCTGCGGTTGAGGGGTTTAACATTCAGTCCATGTTGGGGTTTCTTTTTTCTGTGAATCTGGTATCGAGGGGGATGAGGCCTGGTGTTTGAGGTTCGCGAATGCTTTATGATAGCACAAGATGCATGCTGTGAATAACAGTAGTTAGAGCTCTTGATCTATTCGGGCTAGCGCCAAAAGGCGGGGCCTGTCACCAGCTGCGGTACATCAACAGTCTCTGTAATAAATAGTAGATCTATGGTAGGTTCTATTCACCTCCGAGGGCTTGCGGTACACAGTAAATGGCAACACATCGTCTAGTCGTAATAAACGGTATCCGAGTGCCCTGATTTGCCCACTGGTTGTCATGGGTTCCGCTTGCCAAACGACTATATACTGAGTTTTAGCCTCAAGCTTGCATCACTGCGGGTCCACCGTCCACCCTCCGTACATAACCTGCCACTCTCCCCCGGACACTCTCTGCAAACAACTCACAGCTGCTTCCTGGACTCCTCGTGCTCTTCCTGCAAACGCCATTGACTCATTTACACCATTCTGGTGAGTGTTCCTGCCCCCGTTCCCCTTCGCCTGTTTTCCGTATGGCTTCGCTTTGCGCTCATTTCTTGATTGGCCCGCCATCATCCACCGCCTCCTGATAGCGGCCGCCGCTTTGCGAGGCCTGCGCTGTCCCAAAGCTTCCTTGCTTGTTTCTCCTTTTCCCCAGCCATTTGAGCAGACCGCTCCATTCTCAATTGCTCATACACGCTCTGCTTTGTCCTCTCACTGACCTCCGCCAGCTCTTCCCCTACTCAGCACTTCTTTTATCAATCCACTTCTTAGCGTACGCATTGAACAACTTCAAACAACCCATAACTACACTATGGCTACCCCAACGATACCCCCGCGTCCCTCACGCTCCCAGAACAAATCCCCGAGCGGCACCGCCAACATGGACGTGCCCAAGATCCCTCCACGACCCGCCAAGCGCAGCGTCGACCGCTCCATCTCGCCCCATCGAGACACCTTCGCCCGCTCGCCCTTGAACGATCCGACCTATCTCCACAATCAGGATAGCAGGGGCAGCCGTCTCAGCGTCGAACTGCCTCCTAGACCCCCGAGTGTGACTCTCCCGGAGCTGGGCCAGGAAGGGCTGGAATATGCCAGCCTGGAGGACCTCAGTAGGACTCTGTCCAAGGACGAGGCCTCTGCACCACCCCAGCAGACGAAGAACATTGCTGGAGATCTTCCGCTCCATGCCCCAAAGGCGTCGGTGCCGAGCTCGACTGCGAAGAGCAGGATTCAGACCGTCACCCGCACCGACTCGAGTCAGGCTGCCGCCGCTGGCATCGGCAAGCTGGCTCCAGACGAGGGTCCCGAGGGCACACGCTCCGGCTCCTCGGCCGGGAATCGCTCTCGACCAGCCTCCGTCTACAGAGGCGACGAGCACGAGGAGCACGGCATTCCCGAAATCGGCGTTCAGGTTCCCATGTATCCAAACGCGGGAGACGTCCAGGCTCCGACGCCATCGCCCTACCAACAGGCTGGTTCGAGTGGAGTCGGTCCCTCCAACAAGGGAGGTCTGCCCGCTGGCCGCCACCACGGACGCACCAAGAGCGGTCGTGAGATCTTCTATGGCCCTCCGGGTAGCTACGGTCTCCATGGCCATGGTGTCATTCCGAACGATGAGTTCGAGCAGCAGTGGTATGCGAAGCATCCAGAGGAGTTGAAACTTGAGCAGCAGGGCGAGTATGGGAGGCATATTCGGCAGGATCGCAAGGAGTATCATTGGGTTACGGATGATCTGGATAAGCTGGTGCATTCTTCAGCTGCTACGGGAGCCGGCCTTGGTATGGTTATGAAACACACGCCTGGGAGCCCAGATGCTAATCTCATTGCAGGTACCTCGAGAGAGGCCATTGGCACTCCCGACGAGCAGATCGGATACCTGGCCAGCGAGGAGTTTGCGTCGCGTATAACGTCCCCCAAGCCTCCGTCGGGTCGTCCTGGCTCAATTACCGCCCAGGGCGGAGTCCATGGGGAATCTTCACTTCGGAATGAAGCTCAATCCCCGGAACAGGCTAATGAGGAGCAAGCTGAGGTTGAGGATACAGGGGTTATTCATATCGATCCGCCCTCGCATCCTAGTAGCAGAATCCACGGCGGAGGATACGACCCGCCTACCGAAGATCTGGGTCCTCACGGGGGCAACACGCAGGAAGAAGGTGGTTTGATCACCGAGCGCGGCTATGGAGTTCCCATCCTCGCGTCGGATGAGGTTCAAAAGCACCCCGAGGTTGTCTATCGTCAACCCGCCGTGAGCCCTGAGCTTGAGCGCCGTGCTAGTGGCGAGTTCTCCCTCAACGAGCCGGACGGTCGACACTATGTGACCAAGCCTCGCCAGCAGAGCAGGAGCTCGAGTCGTGGCGCCAGCAACAAACTCACTAGGATCGCGAGCCCTTCGGAGCAGTACGATCGCTCCGGTACTCCCTTGGAGCCTATGATAGAGTACGAGCCACTCTTTCCTGAGGATGATGAGGCAGACAAGAAACCGAAGCCGGCTGGGGACAAGGTGAAGCGTCCCGAGAGTGCTCGCCACCACTTCCCCAGTCAGGATGTGTGGGAGGATGCTCCTAGCAGTCTGCAGCTCGAGACGACCGTTGAGACCCCGCAAGTGCCCGAGGAACCCAACGACGAGCGGACCGACCAGGATGCTGGAACAGCCTTCGAGGATACCAAGGCGGAAGAACGTCGCAAGGATCAGGAGCCTCCGGAGGAGGAGAAGTCTTTCCTCCCTGACTACACGAAGCGCTTGGCTAACAAGCACCTGAACAAAGAGCACTTGGGTGGTAGCCGTCCCAACATGCAGCAACGCTTCCCTAGCCACGATGTCTGGGAGGATGCTCCCGACTATGGACAGCTCGTCACCACCGTCAGCACTCCCCAGACCGATGACAACAACGAGTACGCGGATAACTCTCCAGTCGTGGACAAGCCATCCCCCTTCGCGGCCGCCAAACCTACCGTACCCGCCCGGCCTGAAGCAAAAGAAAGCTCACCTACAGAGAAGAAGGCTGCGCCTGTCATTCCCGAACGCCCGAAACCCTCGGTCCCTGCTCGCCCAACTAAGCCCGTAACCAAATCCTCGGAGAAGCTCGCCACCCTCGAGTCTCAGGGCGCAGAATCCGCCGCTCAGCCCAAACCTAAGCCTCAAGTCCCCGCGCGTCCCACAGGCTCCAAGATTGCCGCCCTTCAAGCCGGCTTCCTCAAAGACCTAAACAACAAACTCGGTCTGGGTCCTCAGGCGCCAAAGCCTAAGGAACCGGAGCCGGAGAAGGAGGAAGAGCAGGAGGCAGCTAAGCCGCTGCAGGATGCAAGGAAAGGAAGGGCGAAGGGTCCTCAGAGGAGGAAGCCGGCGAGGTCACCGTCTGCGGCTGCCGAGGGTACGGCCGCTGCTGCGAAGGCAGAGATTATCAAGTTGGATACCTCGAGTATTACGACTGTTTGGACGATTGAGGAGGATGGGAAGGTGGATGTTCCGGCTGCGAGGATGGCGGAGAGCATTCAGGCTGCTCTGAAGGGAACGGGGAAGGCGGAGAAGCCTGAGGGTGCGCGGGAGGAGGAGGAAGAGAAGGGAGAGGAACCCGAGGCTGGAGAGAAAGAGGCAAAGCCAGAGGAAGAGCCCGAAACGAAACCCGGCCTCCTCGCCGGAGCCACCAAGGCTGTTACCGACACCATCAAGTCCGCCGTCACCGGCACTGCTTCGTCTTCCGATGATCAGCCTATCAACACCCCCGAGTCCTCTGACGCAGAGCCAAAGGCGCAAGAGGAGACTGGCAATAGGGAAGGGCTTACCCCTAAGCAGTATGCGGCTGCTACGCAGGGCCCGACACCGGGGAAGATGCACCGTGCGACGCCCGCGCCAGGGGAGGTGCCTACAAGTGAGCCGGTGGATATGGCGTTGATGGAGGAGGGCAAGGATGCGGAGCGGGCGGAACTGGGCTTGTAGGTAGGATGATGTGAGGAGGAAATGGAAATGGAAATGGAAATTCGGGAATGGGCTTGAGGGTGAGAAAGCGACTTGATCGAGGAGGGAAGAGAAAGGACTGGGAGGCGTTTGCATTGTCCGGTAATTGCCACTGCTTAGATTTTCGCTTTGCGAATCGCGTACGGGAATGGACTGATGTTTGACGTTTGATTTTATTTGAATTGTGATGTTGCCAGGCTATGCATGCTCTTAGAGCTCCCTTGTGCGTCTATGTACATGGATGCCCTTCTCCGTGTCATTCGAATGATACTTAGATGCCCCAGACAGTGCCGTTCGTCCCTCAGTCACTCGGTCACTCCTTCTTCCCTTCCGCCCGCGGACTCAACTCCGCGGTGATGTTGTTGGGATCCTTCCACGCGAGCGAGATGTACTTTGTATGGCTGCCCCGGGCGAAGACTTCGTCCTGGGCATTGCGGAATTGGATCGAGGTGAAGGCTAGGGTTTTGCCGACTAGAGACATTGGTCATCAGTCATCAGTCATAAGTAAGTAAGGGTTATATCGGAATCCGGTAACATCAACACTTCCCTAACGAGGACTCGCGAATTTTAGACTAAAAGAATTGAAGGAGAGAGAGGAGAGCGAAACGAGAGCGTCATACGCACACTTGTCGCAGGTTACCTCTGCGCGGACGAGGTCGCCGACCTTGCCGCCCGAGGAGAGGTAGGTTACGTTGAGGTCGGTGGAGACGCCCGTGGCGAAGAGGCCGCGCGAGGCGACGGCTAGGGAGCCGCCGAGGTCGACTGTGTGGAGAGTGTTAGAAGTAATCTACATTTCTGTACCACAAACTCTCTATAAATATGTGTGTAGATGACCATATGTGGAGATTAAGGGGGGAGAGAAAAGAGGAGTGGAATGGTACAAGGCAAGGAAGTAATAGGTAGAAAAAATGGACGCACCCATGCTGGCTATGGTACCGCCGTGAAGTATGTTCAGACGATTCGTGTGCTCCTTTTTGATTTCGAGCTCGAAGGATACGCGCCCGGGGACGGCGTTGGTGACGCGGAGCTATGGAAGTAGAGGAGTTAGATGAACGGCTTTTCTAGATTTTTGGCTTCGATTGGATTTTTGGTTTCATAAAGGAAGAAGAAAGATTAGAGGACATACACCATCGAGCAATCTATCCAGAATTCAATATCAGCTTTTTCGTTTTTACCTATGCCTCATGGTAGATTTGTTGTAGTACCTGGGTTCCAGCCCGGAAGATGCTCGGAATGATTCCCAGACCTGCCAGATCGTTATTTCCTCTTCTCTCTAAAACTTGACCAGAAGTCCAAAACTTACAGATCTCACAAACTTCAGTGCCGACATGTTTTTTTATGGTCACATTCTTCGTTGAACCGTCGTCGCCTTAGTCTCCCCGATGCCTCGGCAATGGTAACCCCGCCAAGTTACGGTTCCTCGCTTACACTTGCAGCAATGGAGCAACCCTGTCCGGTCCTTGCGTATCGATTGTGGACGTCTGATGGAACGACAACTGAGAGTTGCAGACTCGCAAGCTTCTAACTCACATTCTCCCCGAGCTTTGAGGCATAAGGACCTCAAGCCCAGGCACTCCTAACATGATAAACAGGTGACAAAGGATCCTCCCACAGACCCTACATCTAAATCAAGATGTCGGCGTCGTCGTCACAGGCACTGGAGTACCTGGAGCTGCTGCCCAGACAAACGCATACGAAGCTGTATGAGCAACCGTCGACTGTGTTGGCCGTCTTCCGGTGCATGTTGCCGCATCTAGGTATGTTCATACTCTATACAGGGTTTTGCGGTGATCTGACACCTTCCTAGCCAAGTCTATTGTCATGGCTATGCTGTACATGCCTTCACCATTTCCCGCCGCTGACCTAGACGCCTGGTTCAGGCCGGAAGCAAAGAAGTACGGCTATTATATCCCTTCATTCGTCTATAGCTGTACTAATGTTCGCAAAGGGAAAAGGAAAAAGCCCTCTCCGTCCTCGACCAACTCCACATCATCGTCCACAGAGTCGACGCCTCGCGCCAAGTCTCCTACGAACTCTACAAAGGCTTTCAACGCTCGCTGCGGCATGCGCTCGAAGGAAGCGGAACACACGGCTCTTTTGGAGTCCCGGCCTCGCAGCCCGATCCGAATAAAGTGGATGTAGCGTTCCTGGACGACTATGCGAGGAAGCAGTGGGAGAATATCTTGTTCTACATGGTGGGGAGTACGGTGGGACTTGCGACCAGTGGGGCTTTGGGACAGGATGTCGGCACGGGGACGAAGCAGTTGTTGAAGATGGGGGATTTCGTGAAGGTGGTGAATGGGAGGGTGAACATTACGCAGGCCGGGTTTTCATTTGTGCTGCAGGATACGAACGCGCAGGTGTGGAGTCTGTTGATTGTCTATTTGAGGAATGCGGCGGCCGTGAGTATTCCATTTTCTCCGTAATATAATACTTTGGATGAGAACTGACCTCCGTCCAGCTCGGAATGTCTGAAACAGACGTCCTGTCTTTCCTCTTCATGCTTGGCTCGCTCGAACTCGGCCAGGACTACACCACCTCCACGCTCTCCCCCACCCAACTCAAACTCCTCGAAGACCTCTCACAATTCGGCATCATCTACCGCTCCTCCGACGACGCGCCCACCTTCTACCCGACCCGCCTAGCCACCACGCTCACCTCGGACGCCAGCGCCCTCTCCGCCTCGCAATCCCTCTCAACCTCGCTCGCGACAACCCACACCGACACTACTGCAAAAGGCTTCATCATCATCGAAACAAACTACCGCCTCTACGCCTACACCTCCTCCCTCCTCCAAATCGCCGTCCTCTCCCTCTTCACCAAACTCACCACCCGCCACCCCAACCTCGTCTCGGGCAAACTCACAAAGGAATCCATCACGCGCGCCGTCAGCCTCGGCATCTCTTCCGCCCAAATCATCTCGTACCTCACCGCCCACGCCCACCCGCAGATGCAGAAACAGCAACCCTTCCTGCCACCCACGGTCATGGACCAGATCCGCCTGTGGGAGTACGAGGGCGAGAGGATGGAGATCAGCACGGGGTATTTGATCAAGGAGTTTGCGACCGAGGGCGAGTACAGGGATGTGGCGGGGTATGCGGAGAGTTTGGGCGTCTTGGTGTGGAGGAATGATTCCAAGAGGGTCTTTTTTGTGGATCGGATTGAGCAGGTTTCGGCGTATTTGAGTAGGAAGAATAGGGCCGGTTAGAGAGATGGCGAGAATTGATTGATTGGAGGAGAGATGAGGGATGCGCATGGTTCTGGCGTTAAGAGCGGGATTTGGAATTGTGGTTCTGCAAAAGCTTGTTTTGATATATACCATATAGAGCGAGGATATCTCATCTTAAATCCAGCGTGAACTCTACATTCCGCAAAAGATGTAAAATCATATACTTTGGTATCATTAGATAAATCCGACTATCCGCTAGAGCTATACCAAGAGACCTAATCCTTTATCAATATACATTGGATCCCGTACTTTGCCGTGCCTCAGAAAACGACATCTTACTCGAAGGCCTATTTCCTCTCAAGGCCCTCAAAACATGACCCCTTTACCCTTAGACCCCCTCAACCGGCTCCTCTGGCCCCTCGTCCTCCACCTCCTCAATCGGCACCAGCACCTCCTCGACCCGATCCAAATCCTCCTCATCATCAACCACCATGGCGTGGCCCTCCTCCTCCCCAGCACCACCACCATCCACCACCAACTGCTGCAGCTGCGCCTCTCCACCCCCAGCCTTCAACGCCTCCACCTTCGCCTTCGTCATCTCATACACATATTTCCCCAGATGCTCTACCCCTTCCATAACAGCCGCCTGCGCCCCTTCTTCCAGCTGTTGAGAAACCCCTCGTTGCGTCTGACCGTACATTTCGCCCGTGACGAGCTCGAGCTTATCCGGTTTCTGGAGGAGAAGGTCGAATGCAGGTTTGAGCTCAAAGCAGGATTCAAACACGGAGCGGCGGCCGAGGATATACAATCCCAGACGAGCGCGGGACAGCGCGACGGTGAGGCGGCGCACGTCGCGCAGGTAGCCGATGGAGCGGGTCCGGACGAGGGAGAGGATGATGTCTACAGACCTGTTAGCAAGTTTCGCTCTCAAAGGCACCGTTGTCAGAGAGATGGACAATGAACGTACAATCATTCTGCTCTCCCTGATACTTATCCACCGTCGCCACAATCCTCGGCAGACCAAACAGCCTATTGCCCTTGCACCGATGACTGAGGACGTCCTTGATCAGCGCCCTCTGTCCCGCATACGTCGTCAAGATCGAGATTCGTTGCGCCGGATACCCCAGCAAGCGCATGTACATGAAGATGGCGACGGCGTATTCGGCCTCGCCGAGGTTCTGGAGGAAGTGCGGTGTAGGCTCCATTTCGCCCTTGCCCTTGTAGTCGGGCACGTTGATGAATTGGTACTCGTGCAGGAATCCCGGGTTCGCGAGTTGGAATTCGCGGGCTGTCTCGACGATAGGGAGGTTGCCCAGCTTGGGGTATCGCCATTTGTAAAGCGATGCGATGGAGGGGCGAGCACGACCTTGTTGGTCGAGCATGATGGTGGGCACGCCGAGGCGGACGAGGCGGAGGAAGAGGGATTGCCCGAGGTTCGCATACTGTCTGAAGGCTAGATTCTGAATCACGGGTGAGTTCTGCAGATGATCTCCAACCAGGACGACGCGCTGGAGCGGCAGCTCGCCGCTCTGGGGGTTCTGGAGGGCCAGAGGGATGAAGTTCTCAATCTCCGTGATCTGGGCTGCCTCTTCCATGATCACGTTGTTATAGTGGAAACCCAGAGATGCAATCTCCTGCCTCCGCATGGCAGCGTGCGTCGATGTCATCGCGATGATGCGCGCTTCCTTGATGAGGAGATAGTTCGCTTTATCTCGCCCACTACGCAAAATCTCAAAGGGACGGATGTCCTCGAGCTCAGCGAAGATCTTCTCCACATGGCGGTAGCAGCCTCTTGCGATGTCCAGTATCTCTTCTCGTGAAGCACTTGCTGGAAACAGAGGCTGCGGCGCATTGGAGAAGTACTGTTTAAAGGGGAACTCCTCAATAATCTGATCGACGCTCGACTCTGGGTCCTGGGCACTTTCCCAGTATTGCGTCCACGCAGGTTTCACATACACCAGATTGAAGTAATCTGCTGTTTCGCACGAGCTACCGTGATGCCCAGGCGCACCAAAGTTCTTCGCGAGGCGATCAACTTCGGCCAAGTAGTATGTGCCTCTCTCCAGGAAAGACTCTACGCGGCCATACTTGCTGTAGCTTGCTTCCGTCTCCAGCTCCTCTTCGCCGTGGCCTAAGCGCAGGAGGTGGCGCTCATCGATGTCGAGCGCCACAATCTTCTGGAAGAGCTGGTTGAGCGCCTGATTGCTGTGTGCAACCAGCAGTGTCCGCTGGTCCGGGAAGTTGTGGTATATATTGGATATAATTTGGGTCGCAACGTCCGTCTTTCCGGTACCCGGCGGGCCGACCACCACAGTGAGGCCAGGTTGTGTTCCTGAAGTAATCGCTTCAATCTGAGCAGGGGTGAACCTGACTGCATTCAGCTTGGGTGCATCTGCAGGGTAGGGCCCGGTATTTGGGGGCTTGTATGTCGATACATGCAGAGACTCATGCAGAGGTTGTGCAACCTCAACCTGATCGCGACGCCGCTTTTTCGATGGTCGTACAGGAGCGGACTCCGGCTCAGCTGTGGGGAACTCCACAACGTATGGGGGCCCAAAGGATGATTCCGCGCTTTCGTGCGGTTCAAGAGATTTGCCGGGAAAGGATTCGATCAGGTGCTGCCAGTCAAGGAAGGTATCGCGGAAATCAATCCGACGCAGACGGTTGGCGAGTCGAGTGTACGATGCCGAAGTTGGGTCGCCGTAGCCCAAGAAGACCTCCTGAAGCCAGGACGGCGCTGGTATGTCCGAAAGGGTGAGACGTCTGATGGATTCCAAAATAGGTTTGAAGTTGTTCTCACGTCCTCGTCGGCGCACGATCAAGTTGATGTTGTCGTAGATGTCCATCCTGCCTTGCTTGACACGGTTCATGTCTTCGTGGTATTGTCTGGCATCTAGGTTGAGCATCAGCCGACGTTGGCGTGCTCGGGGTGCTCCGTCCATTTGAGCCTGGTCTCGAAGCGGTTTCCCATTCTCATCCAGGACGGCCACGACTTCTGCACATCTGAGATACTTCAGACCCAGTTGCTGACCGGTGTTCTGTTCATCTTGATGCCCATTACGCATAGGCACGTCCTGCTGCCCTTCCAGAGCAAGTAAGAAGACCACATCGTCCGGTTTCAGAGACTCCCATTCCCGCCGCACAGGATATTGCAGGCGGCTCACGTCCAGGATCACCTCTGCTCGAACATAAGCGGGATGCTCCTCGCCCACCCGCGAAGGAGCTACGTCCAGAATGGCAGGCCGAGAGATCGGAATGGACATCCTTGAGAAGCCGCCAAACTTGGTGTCGACGCCTAAACCCCGCGGTTGCACACGCTTCGCAACATCCTCCAAGTCCTTTCGGATACCGTAGAAGGACTCGCATCTGTACAGAATGAAGGACCTCCATAAGAAGTCACCCATGGTCAGATATTGGAGGTTAAGCTTTGGTATTGCCAGCGGCCTCGATCCATCATACGATTCGTTCCGTAAGAAGGTGGGCTCATATAATATGTGCTCTGTCGGCAGAACCGCCATTTCCCGTACAATGTCCTTGAAAGTAGGTCTGTGTTCAACGACTGAGAGCAACGTCTCCGTAAAGAAGGATCGATCTTGTACCAAGAAAGACGACTTGGGATACTCGGTTCTCAGGCCAAACAAGGAGCATAGCCGTATAAGCTCCTCATCTCCTAGTGATCGTAGATGTCCCTCAAGCTCTTCCCTGTTCCCTATGCTACCGTAGTTTGCCAGAGCCAAAAGTTGCAGCTTCTCCGGGAAGTTGGCGTAGCCTATCCTCTGTAGCTTCGCTAGCGCATCATAATGCTCTTGATCGTATTCCAGCTTGGACAGCTGCCTTCCCGTCTGGTCCTCGATGGGGAAATAGGTGAAGTGGCTGAGGAGGTTGAACAGATCCCTGAACAGCCCGTTTGCGTCGTCTGTATACATTGGTGAAAGTCGGATGGCGGCGAGCAGATTGAGGTCCTTCAGGAAGGCATTGACATATCGTCTTGTTGGCAACTGGCTCTGTAAATCTGAAAGAAGCTCGAGAAACCGTTCACAATATGCCAGGTTATCCTTTATCTCTTCCCTAGTCTGACTGTTATAAAGCCGGTTGATGAAATCCTGTATCAGACTGTGCAGCCACGAGCGCTCAAACCGTAGGCGAGCCTGCAGTGCTTCGTCCCCTGACTCGAATCTCCGTGACGCCGCCCGCCATGCCTTGCGCAGCATAGGATTCTTCTCAAAGAGACCTTCCCGCACCGCTTCCGAATGGAGGTTCTGCCATATTGATATTGAGACCAAGGGCGCACACTCTTTGCGAACAAGACCGCTATCTAGCGACTGGAATGCGCCGATGATGAACGACAGGAGTTGTGTGCGAATCTTCGTAGGTTGCGACGGATCGACAGTCATGGAGAGGATACGGCGGAAGAAAGCGGAGAACTCGGCGGGCTTAGTTGCAAAGTGTTCTACAAACATGTTAGCATACATGGGTCGCCACCAGCAGCTCATTTCTAGCTCTTACCCCAAGACGGAAGATTCTCCCTCCTCTTTACATTGACCATAAGCGCCAGCAGGAGATGGTGGTAATTTGACGAGTCCTCCGTGAATCCAGGCCATAAGTACCTCTCCAGTAATTGCAGATTCTCCAACACTAGCAGTGACGGGTACGCGAATTGGACCTGCTCTAGTTCGTCCCATAGCTCTTGCTTGACCACCTCTGGTCTTACTTTGGGTGCCTTCGTAGTATTCAGCCAGTGTTTCCTCGCGACCTGCGCAAAATGATTCTCTCCTTGGAGATCGGCGACGGTAGGACGGGCGTGTACGGTCGTTAACTGTGATCCGGAGTCGCTACTTTGGCCAACCAAGACCCCATTCGCATTCACTTCCGCCATTTCCAACCAAGCTTAGCGCTATACTTCGAATATCGCAGGAAACTGATCCCAACTGGCGGAATGCGCACTCATTGTTTTCGCATGTTGTCGCATGTATGAACACGCCAAGAAAAAAGTTACCGGGCGGACGCCTGCGAAGCTTGGACCCGGGCAGGGCGGAACTTGCCGACCGCGCACCTCACCTCATTCCCTCGCGGAGTACCAGCAGCGATCGAGCAGCCATCCCACCTCCACACAATGGCGACAGCGCAGGAAACGCAGGGACAACCCATTGTGCCGGACAAGATCCCCACCGGCGAGTATCCGGTACGCAATTGGCATCTGTAGTCCCGATTTTGCCTTGGAAACAAGCTAACGTCAAGCAGCTCATCGACAATGACCCGTACGATTCCCCGCTCCACGACCGCATATAACAGATGCTGAACGATGCAGGCACATTTCTCGAGTTATTCGATATGCTCGGCCATCGGATTGGGCAACAGGGTTAGCCGTCGGAGCGCTGAGCCCCGGCCTGATGCTCTACTGGGAGAAGATATCGCCTTCCTACGTGGGCAAGGGCGGCTTCGCGCCCATCCTGCGTCTCAGCTGCGTTATCGGCCTCACCGGTGCCTTTATGTTCACCTATGCGCGCTCCTCGCGTATGTCAATGTCCCTTGAGTCGTCTACTGGAGGCCCCGCACAAGGGCGCATGCAGTCCGGACATATGACTAACTCATCTCTCCGCAGACCGCTTCTACGGGGCCCGCGAGAACCGCCGCGAAGTCGAAATGGACATGAGGGAAATGGTCGACAAAATCAAGCGCGGCGAGCCCCTCTACGGCGAGTCCAGAATGACGCCCTACATGCAGGGTGTGGCGCACAGGAACTCGCGCTACTCGGCCGTGTTCGCCCACGTCCTGCCGTGGCCCAATTTTGTCAACCACCCCTACCACGGAGTGGATACCGCAAAGTACTACCGACAGGCGGAGTTGGAGTTGGAGCAGGAGAGGCTTGCGAGGGAGGGCGGTGGGCTGCAGTAAAAGGGACGTTCACATGGGAGATTGGGCAGAAGCGGGTTGGGAGGGGGAATAAACAGCACAGATGCGTCAATGATTTCCTTGCATGTTTGGAGCTGTACATAAACTATGCCAGAGAGCAAAGACGGGGTGTATCAACATTCTTTTCGTTACGGGTCCTCCGGTCGAGGTCCTCCAGTCACTCTCACGTGATACGTCTCCTCTCTACCTAGGTAACAGATTGCGACAACTATCCGGCCCGTCACGGGCACGTTTCGATCTCCAGAAATATCATGGGGCATGTACAAGTACACTCCAGAGACTAGACAATGACATGGGACAAGACCACCCTACTTTTGAACTTTCTGAAATCTTGAAGATCCTCTAGATTCTATTTCTCCTCAAACTGTGCAGCAAAGTGAAAAGAGGTATCAACGTAAGTAAACCGTATATAGACATCATATCTTGGGGCCATCAGCTTCCTCAGCAGTCAATAGCCGGCGCACCAATCGTTAGATCGCCCATTGAGCCCTCTCTAGGTCTCAAGTTCGGCCTGCCATTCTCCTGAGCCAGATCCTTCTCCTTTGTACATATCCAGGTCGACGCATACATATTTACCCTATCACACCGTTAGCGCAGCTCCGTTGCATTCATTGCTGAATGGAGAACTGGAAACCAGCAATACTCACCGATCAATACACGACCCGGGGACTCTACACGCCACCCTCTTGCACGCAAACCCTTCCTCGGCAAACACCTCGAGATACCACGGCTCCAACCCGGCACTCCTAACCATGACCCTCCCGCCCACCTTCAGCGCCCGATTCAAACCACGAATCTGCCTCCTCGCCTGCTTCCCTTCGCGAGGGAACCAATCCATGCTATCCATGACGACGACAATGGTCAACGTACCCGGCCGCATCCGCGCAACGACTTCGCCGAGCTCGTCGGTATGGATGCGCAGGCCGGAAAAGGCGTTCGGTTTTGAGAGCTTGACGTGCGATTTGGGACTCAGGTAGGTGGGATGCGAGGTCGGTGTGTAGTGGCCCAGGAGCGTGAGGAGGTAGTAGTGATTTTGGGTTGAGAGCAGGGTGGATGTGGCCACGGGTTCGAAGGTGTTGAGGACGTATTCATAGATGGCGTGGCCGCTGCTTCCGCCGCCCAGTTTCGCTTTTTCTCCGGAGCCGGTGGTGGTGGGCTTGCCATCCTCAGCGTCCGAGGCAATGGGCTCGCTGCATTGTTTCTGGTAGTCGGAAACGATCATGTTGCGCTGGGCCGGTGGCACGCCGAGGGCTTTCCAGAGCCACTTTTCGTTGCTGAAGATGGCCCAGGTGAGGATCTTGTTGTGCAGGACAGGCTTGATGCTGCGGTTCCAGATCTCGCGCTGCTCGGCGAGGGTTTGTGCGGAGCAAAGAGCGCGCACTTCGGCACTGAGACCTAAGAGGGAGAAGAGTCGGGAGACGAGGAGAAGAGCGGAGCCCGAGCAACCGGAGTAGTAGAGGCCTCCGCTCTTGCCGTTGCTGAATACTGACGGTCCGTTTTGCAGCCAGTACTGGAATGCCAGGCTGGACATGTGCGGGCTGAGTTTGTTGATCAGGAGGGAGCGGAACTCCGCGTGCCGGCCCTCGCCGAAGAGTTTCCAGACGTCCGCGTAGCCCAGTGCTGTAAAGGCAGCGACCTTGAGTTCGAGGAGATGGTTTTGAGTGGGGTTGAGATCGACTGCGTGGATTCTGCGCGGCTGTTCCAGCGCGAAGGCGAGAATGTTGTCGCCTGCACTTGTGATGGCGAGGATGACATCGTTGGAGGTGACCTTCAGGATGCGAGCATCAGCTCTATCGTCTTCCCATGTGAAGGCGTAGATGTAGCTGTCGTTGAAGCGGCGGTGTTTCGCAAGAGTCTCATCGAAGTGGATTCGCCAGTGGTGGTTCTGGTACCTGGAAATCCGTCAGTCCATGCGTTTGCGACATTGTAACACTACCCACCAAGTCGCTGGAAGCGGGAGACTGGACTGCAGGTTGACAATGGCTGATTCGTATGCTTTGGAATGGATCTCAATGTCAGTTTGCGTAGTGCCGGTCTGGAGGTCAAGAGCGTTGAGATAGGGTGACTCGGTCGCCGCAGCATCGATCTCAGCGAGTTTGGTGGTCGAAACCCCATGATCCTTCGAGCACCCTACCCACACGTAATAAGGCAGCTTTATCCCGAAGAAGTTGTTGCGAGCATTGACGCTGAGGACAGTACCAAAACGGTACTCGAGATAGTCCTGTGTACGTCAATCATCATTTCGGAAATCGACGATTTGAGGTAGAATACTCACCCTTCGGGCAGGCTCAAGATTGACTCTATCAATTTCGAACCATGTGCGCCAGAAAACTCTAGACAGCCACATACAATGACGATCAATCATGCCGCCGGTGTAATTCCTGCTCTGATAATCCACCCGATTCTGGACGTAGAAGTCTACCACGCCGATGACACCGTTAGGGGAAAGCAGTGAGGAGATAGAGTCGATGACGGGGTAGAACTCAGGAATCATGGACAGAGCATAGCTCATGGTGACGAGTTCGGCACCCCCCGCATCCGCATTCTCGTCGAGATCTCGCACATTGGACTTTCGCTGAGTTAATTCTTTTCGTCGGTATGCTTCCCGCTCGTGCTCGTGGAGACGGAAGGCTCGTGCGTCCTGACATATCACTTTGACGTTTTCCCAGCCAAGTCGTTGGAAACGCTTTCGTGCTATCTCGCACAAGCTGGGGGAGAGATCCACAACATCTGTCGAAGTTGGTCAGCGTGCAATGGCGGTTGTATCAGGCAGTTTCCGTACATACAAACTTCGTGGAAAAATTCTGGAACAGAGAGGAATTTGCCCATCTGCTCAACACTGATAATTATCAGTTTCTGCAATAAATGTACTGGAGTATGTGGTCGTTTTACTTGTGACCTGTACCGCCACCAATCTGGACGTGTTTAGTACGTAGCATTGAACTTCAGAGTAAAGCGCTTACATCAACCCAGACAGGTCTTTGCGAAATCAAGCCTGCCTCGGTGCGGTGTTTCAGTTGTGCTGCCACCAGTGCGAGCATGTCTTCACGGCCCCTGAGAAGCCTGGTGCGAGTTGTATCATAGACATCGGCTTGCGTCTTATAGAAGCTTTCCTGTGAAAGAAGCCATCAGCGTGTGTTAACTGCAAAGTGGCGCGGAGACCCACCAAAGCCTCTTGTTGACTGCCACTACCATCGCCAGTATGGGGTTTGAAGAAACAAGCGTAGCAGAACTTGAGGTAAGCCCATGGAGTAGCCGCCTTCCCTGAAGTCTTGTCCTTTGGCGTGAATGCAACAATAAAGATGGTAATCAGGAAAATACCAAGAATGAAGATTGACGCAGTTATCCAGTGGAAGGGGTTCTGGAAAAGAACCACTGAGAAAGCCATGATGCAGAGAATGGAAGCAAAAGCAAAGTGAGATCTCTGAGGACGGATTCGAACCTAGCTGGCGAACAGCTTATATTCGGATGGGCATACAAGCGGAGCCCACCCCGATGCCGGTTTCTCCAAACCTTTTCCCGCATGTTCCAGACAGCATAGATATACATATACCACAAGTGGGACCACGAGAGCCACTGCTAGCCAATCGAGCCATGCACGGGCGCATCAACGTTTGTGAGGTCACAGGGAAAGGTCTGGTGGTAGTCAACACCTCGACACGTCTCAGTCGCTAGCAGCGGGTGCGGATCAAAAATGGAAGCACTGATAAGCGCCTGGTTCGGTACATCCGGCGGGGAAGCCTTACGGAACGTGAACCTATCAAGACAAATGTTGAAGCCGCGTGGATGTCGACGGCAACGATGCTCATGGCGAGGGCCGTGCCAAGGCCCTTATAGGCCTACAAGTGTGCTGCTGTAAGCAGCCAATCATCAGCGGCGAAGTATGTGCGTGGTGAATCCAACGAACACCGTACCCACAGTTGGCTCTAGTGGGGTCTACGAAGCCGAACCACGACCGTAGACCCTTCAATTCCATATGCACGTCACCCGTGAAAGGATCATCACCTGTCGTGGCCCAGGTACCCGCTGCCCCTCAATAATATCTGCACTTCCGAGCCAAAAGCAGTGGACAATCGAGTTCCAGCCTCGTCTATTAGTCATCACTTTCAGAACATCCAACAAGCTCTGCCTCTGCGGATGGCATGCGACGAGTACTGTTGATTCGTCAAATCCTACGTCTACATCGTAGATGAGTACAAGCGCTTTGAGAGGCGCTCAATACAGCCTGCGACCGGTCCATACTCGCTGCTTTTACGCGTAGAAGTTAACAGTATCCTTCTTCTTGGCCTGGAAACAGTTAGCTTGTCATAGTAAAGAGAGGCAAAAACGATACTCACCTGGACTTCCGCAATGGCGTCCACGTAATGCTCGTGACTGATCTTCGATTGACCTGACCGCAGCGCGATCATACCAGCCTCCACACATACAGCCTTCAGCTGCGCACCACCAAACTCGTCCGTGCTCCGTGCAAGTTCGGCCCAGTTAACCCCCTCATCTACCGTCATCTTCCTAGAGTGAATGCGCAGAATCTGGGCCCGAGCCTCCTCGTTAGGCAGCGGGAACTCGATCTTTCTATCCAGGCGGCCAGATCGTAGCAGGGCAGGATCCAGCACATCGACACGATTGGTCGCTGCAAGCACCTTGACGCGGTCGTCTGAAGCGAAACCGTCGAGCTGGTTCAGAAGCTCCAACATGGTTCGCTGCACTTCTCTGTCACCGGACTTTTCCGAGTCGAAACGCTTGGTACCAACAGCATCCAGCTCGTCGATGAAGATAATTGAGGGCGCCTTCTCTTTTGCAAGAGCGAAACAGTCGCGGACAAGTTTGGCACCGTCTCCGATAAACATCTGCACAAGCTGGGGCCCGGCAAGCTTTAGGAACGTGGCGTCCGTTTGGGCTGCGCAGGCACGTGCCAGTAATGTCTTGCCCGTACCGGGAGGGCCGTACATCAGGGCACCTGAATGATGTTAGCGTTATACAGTACCGGTCGTACAAATCGTACCCTTGGGAGCCTTGATGCCAATCTTCTTAAACCGCTCAGCTTCCTTCATCGGCCACACGACAGCCTCAACGAGCTCCTCAATCTGCTTGTCAAGGCCACCAACGTCTGTGTATTTCTCTGACGGCTTCTCGTCCACCTCCATGGCCTTCACTCTGCTATCGTACTCGGCCGGGAGCGTATCGAGGACGAGATACGAATCCTTATTCACACCAATGAGATCACCAGGCTTCAGTTTCTCGTGATCTACTAGGCCGATGAGGGGAAGGAAGATGGTTTGCCGTGTTGAGGTTTTGATGACCGCAGACTTGCCAACCCGGGTGGCGTCCAGGTCGATGTTTGCACCTTCTTCCGCAGCTTCTGCAGTGACATCCAGGTCGAGTATCTCAACTACGTTGCCGACAAGGTAGGGAAGTTGTCTGTACTAGTAAGCACATGCGTGGAGCAACTGGGGTGGCGGTTAGCGTACCTGTTGTTCTCGATCTTGTCCAGGTTGTCCTTGATCTTCTCGTTCATGGTCGCCTTCTCATGAGATAATCTCTGGAACTCGCTCTTCATGATTCGCATGTCGTTCTCAAGCAACCGCCTCCGCGCAATGATGTCTCGCGTGCTTAAGCTGAGGATTTCTTCGTCCAGCACATCCTCCTCGGGCTCTGCGTCTTTCATCTCTTCATCCTTTGATCCAGGAGCCGCTCCTCCTGCGCTGCCGTCTGCCTTCTTGCCATCCTTGCCCTCGTCGTTGCCTTCATTCTTATCCTCTCTTTGCTCGCGCTCAAGATCATCCAGGTCTTCTAGAGTTGACATGGTGGCAGTGGTGTGTGGGAGTGGTGGGGTGGTTTTGTAATGCGGGTTTGTGTTTAGAGTTAGGGAGCAACGGTCAAAAGGGCAGGTTGACACTGCAGAATTACGATCGTGGTACGGGTGAGAGCAAGGACGCTGTTTGTGAGGCAGCTCTGGATTACGAACGTGAGAGCTCTCCGGAGATCTAGCGGCGGCCTTGGCGCGTGGTCGGTGCTTCCGCTGAAGGCGATCCAATCAATCATCAACCGGGAATCACCAAACACATAATCTTTCGGCTTACGCCATCCCGCTGTCAAGCAGTTTGCTAGATTTTAACGGCGCTGAGATGCGGTCAGAACATTGGATAAAGTCCTAATCCCCGTCCCGTTGCATACAATTGCTGGAGACTGTATATAAATTTCCTATATATGGGTAAAAAGTTGGAAAAATATTATATCACATCGTGAGGCACCATGGCCTAATGGTAAGGCGTTGCTTTCCGGTGGCAAAGATTGTGGGTTCGAGTCCCACTGGTGTCGCGATCATTCTATCTATTTTTGCATATTTTTTTGACTGGATCTTTTGGAGAGGGACAGCCGACAGCCGAGCTTCCAGGTGGATCTTCAAGTCACGGCACCACGGCGTCCCATTCGTTCCAGCTGTACACGTTGACGTTGTCTCTACCTGGTTGTTGCGTCTTCCTTCTACTGAATCTCTGGTTGAGGCAACATGGCTGCTTCGAGTAGATCGCTCGCTTTTTGGCAAAGGGTGGCCCCACGGTACGTTGGGTGTTCACATGTTTAATTAAACAAGCCATGTTTACGAAGTCATCATAGGGTCCCCTTCTGTGCAAGAGAACGAACCCGGACATGTGCATCGGTTTCCAGATTGCAGTCAAGCCCTCTCAGTGGCATTCACAGCCGTTCCACGCCGATTGCAAACGCTGTGCTCGTGAAGACTCAATGCCGATATAAATCCAGCTCGGTAGGATCGACATCCTCTGCGCCTGTGGAGACCGAAGACAATGTTCTCAGGGTTGGACGCGTTAAGATGTAAGCATATGCTGTGCAGTGGAATCCGGGACATTGACTAACATTATGTAGTCCCAACATCTGGCTCAGGTGAGCCAGCAATCCTGGCCATTGCACGAACCATATCTGATATTTCCAAGGGACAACTGCCAATGCAGCACCTGCTTCCACGCAGACACGAAACAACGGCTTCACGATACATTCCAGGTACTTAATTTAGCTTCATCCTACCGATGTTCATCTAACAGATATAGTAGATACCCCATAATCTTCGTATTAGATCCTCTGAGTCAGATGGAAAGACAACTGCCATAGAATGTAAATCCTCCTGGGCTCACCATTACAAGCAGATATCTGAACACTCACAGGGAGCGACGGCCACAGGAGCCGCTACGACCACTCCGTCCTTCGTCAGGCGGCAGCGCCCTTCAAAGAGCGTGCCATTATCCGTCAAGGCCTGGCAGAAGAGTGAGACTGAACTATTGTCTTCCACAAGATGTGTCTGGACATGTCTAACTAATATTAAAAGGCCCGTATATTGGGGCTCTGAGATCGCGTCTTCGCCCCCTAAAGTCCCACATGACGCTCCGAATGCCATGAGAAAAATCCTTGAGAATATTGTACGTTCTTTTCTCATTCACAGATGTACTCTTCTCAGTCTTCCTACCAATTCTCCCTCCCCCAACGCCCGCTAACCGTCTTCCCAGCGTAACTACGGCTTCACCTACATAACCAACGTCCCCTTCCATTCCCCCACCCCGACAGAGGAGATCCTCACCTCCATCGCCGGCTTCCTCCGTCTAACCCACTACGGCGGCTTCTACGTCTTCACCTCGGACCTCGCCTCCGCCGACACGGCCTACACCAACATCGCCCTCGAAGCCCACACCGATACCACCTACTTCTCCGAACCAGCCGGTCTGCAAGCCTTCCACCTACTCTCGCACACGGACGGCGAGGGCGGCGCCAGTCTCCTCGTCGATGGGTTCAAGTGCGCTCTCGACCTCAAGAGCCAGGATCCGGAGGCGTATAGGATCCTGAGCGAGGTCAACGTGCATGCGCATGCGAGTGGGAACAAGGGGATTTCCATCCAGCCGTTCCGCGGGTTCCCCGTTTTCTCGCACGATCCCGCTACAGGCCAGCTCCTGCAGGTGCGCTGGAACTCGTCCGACCGAGCTGGCATCGAGCTCCCCATTGCCGAGACACCCAAGTGGTACGCTGCGGCTAGGAAGTACAATGCGCTGCTGAAGAAGAAGAGGAATGAGTATTGGGAGCAGCTGACGCCGGGGAACATTCTGCTGTTTGATAATTGGAGGGTGCTGCATGGGAGGAGCGCGTTTACAGGGAAGAGGACGATTTGTGGGGCTTATGTTAGCAGGGATGATTGGGTGAGTCGGTGGAAGATTGAGAGATGGGGGGATGAGGCGGCAGGGAGGGCTATCGCGGCGAGTTAAAGAGGAGACGAGTAGAGGACGGGCAGTTACAGGAAGTTCTGCGTCTTAATAAATACCTACTAGGGTAATCTGGCTCACTGTCTTGATTCCTCTGTAACTTAAAGGCTGATATTAATTTTCAGATTTGGTTTTCATTTCCATTTTCATTTTCATTTTCACTTTTATTTCTATTTCGACTTCGCTTTTCTAGGGCACGTAGCTCGCGCCTGATATTTCTACAGAAATAGCGTCAAACATCTCTACCTCCCTTACTCATTCTTCCACTCAGCCTTCTTCTTCTCCGCAAACGCTCCCATCCCAATCTTCTGATCCTGGCTCCCAAACAGCCCATGAAACACCCTCCTCTCAAACTCGACGCCCTCCCGAATCCCCAAATCCTGGCTCTTATTCACCACCTCCTTGGCCGCCTTGACCGCCACCTGGCTGTACGACGCGATCTTCTCGGCCGTCGCAATCGCGCCATCCACACACTCCTGCGGGGTCTCAAACACCTTAGCCACGAGCCCCCACTCCCCCGCCTGCTTCGCCGAAATGTTGTTGCCCGTCAGGATGGCCTCCATGGCGCGGGACTTCCCAATCGCCTTGGTGAGGCGCTGGGATCCGCCCGCCCCCGGAATGGTGCCGAGTTTGATCTCCGGCTGCCCGAACACGGCGCTCTGGCTGCAGTACATGATGTCCCCCATCATGGCCAATTCGCAACCTCCACCCAGTGCGTAGCCGTTCACGGCCGTGATGAGGGGTTTCTTGAGGAAGGAGACGAGGTCGGACCAGGATTCGATGAAGTCGTCGCGGTAGGCCGCGCTGAAGGTGAGGTCCTTCATCTCCTTGATGTCGGCTCCTGCGGCGAAGGCGCGCTCGGAGCCGGTGAGGACGATGGCGGAGATGGAGGGGTTGGCTTGGTGCGAGCGGAGGGCGGAGTTGAGTTCTTGGATTAGGGGCGTGCAGAGGGCGTTGAGCGCTTTGGGGCGGTTGAGCTGGACTGAGGGAAGAGTTAGTAGGACAGTGATGTTTGATAGATGTGGATTTAGGTAGACAGGAAAAGCGAATTGTGTAAGGGCAAAGTACTGGAAGAAAGACAGAAGAATTGAATAAACTCACTCAAGGCTACGCCTGGCTTCGGCGTCGAGGAAATGATATATTGATATCCTTCATTTGTGGACGAGAAGCGTACTCCTCCGTAGGCAGAACGGAATTGAGACGCTACGCGCCTCGTCGAAGTCCGAAGTGCCTGCATTCCGGATATAGAGTTGGAACCTACAGAGTAAAAGCACAAACTTCTTTTTCGCCAGCCCCAATCGATGTTACAGAAAGGAGGAGCTATCTGCAGGTAGCTACACAGTACAGCTACTCTCACCATCCGACACAAACCGACCTCGGCTAATGACGTTCGACCAAGAGCTATCCAAAAAGCGCTAGTAAATTCTCAGTCTAGCGGCTTCAGCCTTGTGTGGCTGGCTCAAATCCTTTTGCGCCACAGCACTAAACTCTATCTGGCGTCGCATCCACGGGCACCGCCTGCCTCACCGAACGTACCAAGCAATCCGTCCATCGCCCGCTGTCACCACTCGCCTTGCACCAAATTCCACGTATCCGCTATCGCACGCCCAGTATTGCAACAACCGGTCGTTTCTCTGGACGTCAACGCCTTCGATCCTCCCCTCGAGCTTGTGCTGAATTTTGTATTGATAACAAGGGGGAAGAGTAGGATTTGCGAATTAGAAAAGAAGAGAGACAGGAAAGATGGACGCGCCGGAGCCGGATACCCCTTTCTCTGCAGTGTCGGCGCAGACGACGAAGTATGGACGGGTGCGTTGGACCTTCCCCTCATTCATAATCGCCCAAGGACTCGAATTGTTCGCATTCGAGCAACCGGGACTGGACAAACCGGACAGCTGGGTCGGCGATGTTCGCAACAGGAAGTTGAAGGCTAACGGAGAGAAAGTTATACCAAGCATACCTAGACAAGTCGACGCCATTTACCGCGTATAGATGGACAGGTACCGGAGTACTCTTTCTGCTCTTCGCGCTGAGGATATTCCTTGCACAGGGGTGGTATATTGGTATGTTCCCTCCTCCTATTCCCAACCCCGTCTCATGCCCTTCCCGGCGATGTCTTCATCCCCTTCCACTCCTCCCCATTAACACGTCCCAGTCGCCTACTCCCTCGGCATCTACCTCCTCAACCTCTTCCTCGCCTTCATCTCCCCCAAATTCGACCCCTCGCTCGAACAAGACGAAGGCATGGAAGACGGCACCGCCGGCGGCCTCCCCACAAAGCAAGACGACGAGTTCCGCCCCTTTGTGCGGCGCCTCCCCGAATTCAAATTCTGGTACAGCACCACAAAGGCGATTGCCATTGGTTTCTGTTGCAGCTGGTTCGAGGTGTTCAACTTGCCAGTCTTCTGGCCCGTGTTGGTGGTGTATTGGTTGATCCTTTTTGGCTTGACGAGTGAGTAATGCGTATGTTCATTGGTGTCGGGTATAGGAAACTGACGAAGGGATAGTGCGTCGTCAGATCCAGCACATGATCAAGTACCGCTACGTCCCCTTCACCGTCGGCAAGACGCGCTATTCGGCGAAATAGGGGCCTATTCTTCGGCGATCGCGTTGAACCCGCTCTCGCGGGAATACATTGGGCTCTCGCATTGGTAAAGGCGATGACTAAACTCTCACCTTTATAGTCGCCACTGCAAGGTCCGTACTCTTGGCACAGATGGGACAAATTCATTCATACTTGGCTGGTGACCTTATCACATTTTTTTTCAAAACGACCTTGTAAAGTATAGAACAAGACGTTTGTCCTTATCGTTTTTTCGAAGGGCATGCGTAGCATACTCTTCCGCCTCCTTCGGACTTGGCAATGGAAACACTAGGAGGATTACGTCGACTTGGGTTGAGAGAACGGAATGCCCTCTTATGACATGAGATGCGATGGAACCACCGGTGTCTCGCTCGCATTTCGGGCTGAAGTTGTATAGTAATTTTAACATAGAATGGCATGGAAAAGAAAACAGGATATTCAATGCCATAGACTTCTGCCTCGATGTGGAGGTCGCATTGTCAGTTTTCCAAACCCACCAAAGGCTTCTCTCCGTCATACTCAGGTTCGCCCACACGGGCAACTATCTATTTGAACCGCTTAGCAGAGAAAAGGAAGAGTAATCAAGCTTTCCACCTCGACAGCCCATTCATTATCCACAATATCTCCAACCCTCCGCAAATGCTTGGCCCCAGAAATTCACCATGTGTCTTCCCACTGATCCAATCGTCCAATTGCGCAATATGTTCGGCATCTTCGGCATCACCCACTCGCCCCCAGCCCAATCTAATACCGCGTTCTCCATCCTCACGTCCAGGATCAACTGCCTCAGTCTATGGTAATGGCGACTTCGACGGCTACAGGAACGGTAAGGCATGCACCGCCGACTAGCAAGCTATGCCACCACGGGAATCCCATTAGCCTGTGCCTCAGCCTGTGCTTGCGCAGTCGCCTGCTCGATTTCGCCTGCATGGTGGATCGCCGCCTGTACCACTTCTTGCTCGTCGGGAGAGAGCTTCCCAGCCAGTTCTTCGTAGAGGACGGGTTGTTCGTGTTGGAGGACTGGAGGTAATCAGTACACTGAAGAGGCGAAACCAGCAATTGTCCCCAGTTGCACTTACGGAGTAATGCCTGCTTGAACATGCCATAGGGCTCGATCTTGTCAAGGGGCGTCTCCAGGAGTCCCTCTTCCTCGAGATCGTCTTCATCGTCGTCACCGCCAACATTGAACTTTTGAGCCTGCCCCCTTATCAATATTCTGCTGTAAATGTACAGCTTTGCTTGTGCTTACCTCCTCGTTCAAGAACTCCAGATATGCTTGACTTTCATCCTTGACATCCTCGGCCTCATCGGGCTCTTCTGTCCAGTCGTTGTCTTGCTCCCACTCATCCTCCTCATCCTCGTTATAGTCGGCGTAGTCGAAGTTCTCTTCGCGCTTCGCCTCTTCCCTGTTCTTCTCCGCGGCAGGCAGTGTCTGGAACAGGCGAACGATGCCCTGGAGCAACCTCGGCCAACCCTGTTGGACGCTGACTGGAACATTCTGTGCGTTGATCGTCAGGAGCGCGCAGATAGCGGATATGCACAGCTTCTTGTCGTGGACGCGAGTGAAGTTATCGATGCTAGAGAACCACAGGCTGAAGAACTTATTCGTCCAGCCATTCTGCTCAAGCACGTGTAGCGCCAAAGCGGGGTTATAGTAGATAGCGTTGATGACAACTTCCATCAGGTGCGTCCTAAGGGACTTAACCTTGGGATCGTCGTTGAAAAGAGTTGTGCAAGCAAGCCCGATGAACTCTGGAATATAATCGTCGACATGTCCCCGGATATTGAGCATGATGATTTCAGCTAGTTTGCAGCCGCATATCCGGTCTACACCGCCGACCTTATCGTCTTTGAAGATGGTGCGGACCATGTCGACGATGGCCTCGAGATATGATCGATTCTGTACGAGCATTTCACTACCGTATGTGACATAATTTTCCAGAGCAGGAAGCATGTCTGCAACGGTCAGAACCGCATAATCGGAGTGTAAGACAAGACATACCTTCGAGGTAGAGCTCCGCACCAGCCTTGAAAGTCCGGTGGATCAGCTCGAATGCCCGCCACATCGTGGGTGAGATGGCCTTGGCTGCAAACGTGCAGCTGTCAATGATTTCGAACACTTCGTTATAAAGATCTGTTGAGACGTCAGTTTAGGAGCGCATTTTTTACGTGGGTGGTCATGGCATGTGGACGAGGAAGCAAACATACCGTATAGTTTGTTCTCCAGCGTCGTCGTAATGACGGGCATAAGAACTTCCTCAAGATGGTGGAGCACATCGGGTGTGCTCTCCAAGGTGAGAATCAAGGTCCCGATTGTTTGAAGGACACCCAGAGCAGTGATGCTCTTCTCGTCCAAAAAGTCTCCATACTCGCCATCCGCATCCCCGTTAGACTGGTTGCGCGCTAGCAGTTCGCTCACGATCCGAAGATAAGTATCCCGAAGTTGTTCGCTAAGAGCCACGGCGAACGGGGTAAGTTCTGGCGCAAAGACTTCCACGAAATCCTCCATTACATTAGCAAGGGCATCAACATCGACTTCATTCGCCAGTTTCAGGAGTTGCTGCATGACTTGAGGGATATTTTGCTTCATGTTCTCCCGGATGACGTCGTGTCTGATGAGCGGCTGAAGTGCAAGGGAGGCAGATACTCTCACGGGCAGAGCGGGATCAGCCATTGATTCCAAAATGTTCCGGTAGATGATTAAGAGATTGTTGGGATCCTTGAAGTCCATCTGCTCGAATTTTTCCAAGGTGTCACAGGCGCGCGCTCGGAGGAAACCGTGAGGACTGCGGAACTCTGGGAAAACATGCCGCACAAAGAAGTATTCCACGGAGTCGACAATGGGGCTCTTCTTGCCTAATATTACTCCAGAGAGTGTCCCTATCATGCGAAGAGCACCCTCCTTCTTCCTGGGATCTTTTTCATTGTCGGGCGCGGCCTCGTATGCGTTTACCACACCATTGACAAAGTTGAGAACGCTGTATGTCTGCTTCCGTCGGCTCTTGGTGAGCGTGACCAAGAAGTTCGTCGCCGCCACATCGGGGGCACTCGCCTCCTCATAGAAGTTCAGCTTCCGATGCAGATACTCCTGCGGCTCGGTCTCGAACAGCTCGAGGTCTTCGTCCGACTGACACAGGACGGGGAATATCAGGTGTTCGATCAAGCTGTCTGTGTGGGGCTTCAAGATGTCCCACATGGCTTTGGGCTTAATGCACTCGTCCAGATAGTTGAGTGTCTTGTGGAGACTGGCTTTGGACAGCCACAACGTCTTCGACACCCATTTCTCAATCTGCGCCATATACACCTTGAGGATCTCCGGAGCGAAGTGGGAGATGAAGTACTTGGCGACTTCGGCATACTCGTTGTCACTCGTCTTGCCGAAGGACTGCGGGTTGCCATACCTGGAGAAGAGTCAGCGAGTTGGACTAGATCAGAATTGTGCAGGCGACGAGTCAGTGACATACCTGACGTATAGCCGGTTCAAGTTTGCATATGCCCACTTCTTTGCTTTCCACCAGTGGTTGGTCTCGCGCAGCTCCAGGTCGTCAGGAAGAGAGCACTCTGGAGGGTCCTTGCTGACCACACTCAAAAACAGTGTACACCATCCAGCCATCGTTCCTTGTTCGCGTAATGAAACGGGAAGATCGAACTATGCATTGTCAGTATCATTCTCGACGTCCGGTAGCTCCGCAGAATGGGCCCTCTCCTTCGGCAAGAACCATGTCTGCGTTGGCTTGGGTTCCTCTTACATATACAGCATGCTTGTACACCTTGAGCACCGTTCTCAAGATTTCACCAGCTTCCAGGCTTGTCTCGTTCACCAGCGAATTTCCAATGTTGAGCAGCTGGGGAAAAGAATGTGCAACAATTTTATCGAAATCGGCACGGTTCTCGCCCGACTTGAACCTGTAGATTTTGCAAATCGCCAACAGACACTGCACGCCTGCAAACACGGACGCCGCATCCTGGGCGTTCAACAATTGCACGGTTATGTCGAAGAAGGCGGGCCATCGCTGGGGGAAGTCGTAGGAAAGGATCTTCTGTATGGTGGGGATAAGTTGGGCGCGTACCTGCGGAGGGGCGGCGACGAGAACGGGAACGATGCGATTGCGAAAGGATTCCTTCTCCTCCTCCGGTATGGGCTTGGCCTGAGAATATTCCTCTGCGGGCGACCAACCCTTTGAAACACGGTTCTTCAGATAAACCACAGCTTTAAATAGCAAAGTCAGCCGCACTTCAAGGAGCCGGAAGCAAGGGAATTTGCATACTTGACAGTCGGACGCCGGGGTCCTGCTCCGCCTCAAGGATGTTGAGCAGAGCGTCGGTGAAACCAGGCTTCTCTTCGGCCTGCGCTGTGGTCAGTCGAGTCCGCGAGTGTCATAGGCGCAGCGACGGGTAGACGCACATGTTTGAGGTCGAGCTCGGCCTGCTGTCGGATAGCGGCATTCGCGTCGAGGGTGGACTGGACGCGGTCCCGCAAGGCAGCGGCGTCCATGACGTGTTCTGTGCGTGGGAATGATATGAAAGTGCAGTGGACACTGATGCTGATGCTGCTGGAGAGGGCGGACCGAGCTCGCGAGGAATGAATTGAGGTCGGGAGCGGCTAGAGAGCGACGCCGTTGTACGTGGTAGAGGCGGGAGGCGGTCGAAGGCGAAGGAGGGGACGCTCCGAGTTCTTTTTCGAGCAACACTGCAATCGTGGCACAGAAAGCGCTGAGAACCCTTAAAGGTGTCGAGTGGGTAGTGGTATGGCGTGGTTTTGTCGACGACGAGGATGAAGGAGGGGACTCGGAAGCTTGAGCTCCTCTGAGGCCTGGCTTGGGATTTTGATCTCTTTTTTTTTTCTCCGGCAACGACTGCAGATTGCTGGGAGGACTCGCGTGCTGCAGGGCTCCTTTCTTGGTGGAAGGGGGGGTGCAGGCGAGGGTGCACGGGGTTTGGGGGTGGGTGAGCGAGTGGGATACGCTGGATGCGATTATTTAGCAACTTCAAGACGAGGGGCAGCTTTTTTGCGTGCCCAGGCCCGAGTGGTGGCCATCGAGGGCACATACGCTATTGGGTTTAGCGTGGCGGCTTTTAGCGGGTCCCTTCCGTCTCCACACATAACACATCAGGACTTGACGGACACACGACAGAACGCAGTGAATGTGTCTTGCTGTTACTGTTGCTACCGCTCATAATGCCACGAGGGTGGGGTGCTGTTGTGGGGTCTGAGGCTCGCTCCCCCTTCATGGTTCCATGCCTGGGCACGTGAGGGTAGCCCTTCACCTCAAAGCCGTTCCTTAGCACATATACCCAGCTATGTGTTTGAAATAGGCTGAGCGATGGTTAATACCTCGAGAATATCGAGGCAAGCAAGACATGTTTCACTAACATCTCCAACAAAATAACAGCTATAGGCGCCCGTTAAACATGCAAAAGTTTCAGTTGCTGCCTCTTCGAATCCTGGGCCCTATGGTACCTAGGTACGACATCTATCCCTCCTGTTCTGCAACATCTTGAAACACCGATCAACCGGACCAGTCGCCCAAAACCAGCCTCATGCAACCCAACAACCTACTGTGGAGTAGTATTATGCATATGCCTCCTAACGTATCCTAATCCCAAACACTAATACTTGCCGCTCGTTGTACCGTCTCGAGGATTGGTTAACCATCTATAGATACAAGCTTGCGCAATTGCAGATATCCCTATTATGTACAGTTAGTCTCGGCAATCTAAACAGGGGCGCCGGTTTCAACCGCAGCGAAACCATACCGTTTGATAAGCTCCTGGCACGTCCCCATCTTCTGGAACAGGGTCGGGTCGCCGATGATGCGTGCCGCGTTCTTGACCTCTCTGCATGTCTCGTCGAGTCGCGTAATGACGCGCACAATGGTGCCCTCCATGACATCGGTGAGGTCGGTGATGCGGTTGAACGACATGCCGCGCGCCCATTCGTAGACGACTTCGACCATGCCGAAGCGGGGTTTGCTGACAAAGTCATTCGAGTCGTCCGACGAGAGGATCACTTGGTGGAGAGTTTGTAGCTGATTGACCTTTTCCGATATCTCGACAATCTTGGCTATGCCACCCTCCAGCCTCTTGGTCAAAGTTGGTTCCACTTCCGTCTTCTCCTGGAACACAAAGGCGGAGAGCAACGCCACAATCTCTTCCGGCTCGTACTCGGCCAGGACGTTCTCGAGAATCAGTTCGGTGAGGACTAGCTCATCAGCAGAGTGGATCTGGGGAGGATCAGTAGTTGGTCAACTGCTGTGGTTTCAAACACCAACCTCGCACGCCACCTTGCCTTTGAGCTCTACCCTATTGGCCTCGTCAATGAACCCAAGGTCTCTCAATACAGCGATCCTCTGTTCGTAGTCGGGAAGTAACTGGAGGTTTTGATCAGACATGAGCTGCCGAAGCTGTTGGATATTCTCCTTGATGACCCATTCGTCATGCTGCATCGCAAACTGCTCAATGTTAGCAGGGCCCGAGGCAATCGAAGCTATTTACCAACATGTTTGAGGAAGTTGGGGCACTTCAGACATTCGCGCTCAGCGGCAACCTGGCCTCGTTCGCGTCTCTGGGCATCAATCTCGCGGAATGCGAGGTTCTTGATCCTGTCATAATCAATCTCATCCCAATCTTTGTAGTTCCAGGAAGAGCAAAGCGGAGCGAATTGGTCCTTGGCCAATTTGATTGCGTCTGCTATGGTCAATGACTGCCCAAAAATGTCAGCCGAGACACTTACGCTTTCGGTAGTTCAGGTTCTGGACGCCCTCGGGAATATCAATGACCGTCCTCGTGAGGCACTCAACATCGCTCAACGGGATCATTGCGGGCTTCAGTACCATCTTATTCTCGTTCTTCGGGAGGTTGCGGAAGTACTTGGCAAACGGTGTCAGGTATGGGAGTATATCGTCCTCTTTTCGCTTTTCGTTTCTGCTTATCTCAAAAACATGTAGTGCTGGCTCATTGCCCCTGGCAGTGCCTTCCTTGAGCAGCATGCCCACGCTCCTTTGACCATCCTACAGCTATTAGCAGAGTCCACGAAGTGAGCAGTGAGCTCGAAAGCGAACCTTCTTATATACTACCAGACGATTGATCCCCAGTAGTTTCCGCCCGACTGGGTTATTGAGTAACGCCAGGTGAAGTTCATGAGTCAGCTTCTGATAGTCCATGCAGGCCTGGTGGCAAAGCTCGAGATCAATGTCGCATATCTTGCATGGCTCTCGCTTAACCTTCTCAAGATCAGCCTCTGACAGTTGCACCTTCTTTTGATGCTCTGGGAGAAGCGCTTGAGTCGCATGTTCACTAAAGCTACGCTTGATCATTTCCTCAATCTTTAAAGCCTCGACACGCAGAAGATTGAGAATCATGTTGTACGTGAGCCTGAATTGCGACCTCAGCTTCGTTGGATCGCCCAGCATCATCTGTCTCAGAGTTGCGACTGGTGGAGCTTCCTCCGCTCCAGGAGCGACGATGATGACTGTTCCAACGGTATCTTTGCCTCTTCGCCCGGCTCGGCCGGCCATCTGAATGTACTCGCCTGGGAGGAGGTCGCGGAAGCCTCGTCCGTCGTGCTTACGGAAACCTGAGAACACAACGGTTCTTGTTGGCAGATTCAGTCCCATCGCGAACGTTTCCGTGGCAAACAAGACTTTGACCAGCGATTTGGCGAACAATATCTCCACAACTTCTTTGACAATGGGGAGCATGCCACCGTGATGAACTGCAATACCCCGACTGAGTAGTTCCCTCAGGCGCCGGATTTGTGGAAGCTCTCTATCCTGTGGGCTCAGCCTAGCCAGGGACTTTTCAATGGTCATATGAATCGCACTCTTCTCCTTGGCGGTGCAGTAGTCCAGGTTTGAGAGTGCATCGGCATTTTCTTCGCACCGCTTCTTTGAGAAGACGAAAATGCATGCCGGGAGGAGATCCTCTTTGCGTAGATGTTGAATGAGGTGGACCCAGATATTGCGGTCTTGCGCAGCTGTCGTCCTCCCTCCACCCCGTCCGGTTCTCGCAATATTGCCACGACCCCTCTGGGCGGGGGCACCGCCCCCTCGTTGCGGGCCTCCTCTCTGTCCGCCGCCTCTTTGACCATTCTGCTGACCTCTGCCTCCTCGCTGATTTTGACCTCGTCCCGACCCTCCGCGAGATCCGCCGCCCCGTGCAGGAGTGTCGTTGGTTGCAGGCAACGCCTTGACCTTGTCTTTTCCTGAGAGCACATCATTTGCATCTTTCCACCCCTTCTCTATGAACTTGTTGTCTGGACCGACAATCTTGTACATCGCTTTATTGGCCCATAGATAATGCTCAAGAGGAACTGGACGTTTGGCTGTGGAGATGACATAGATATCTTTTTTCTTCGTCCGACCGACCCATGAAGCGAACTCGTATGTGTTTGGCACTGTAGCGGAGAGCAAGATGAGCGTCACATGTTCCGGCAGCATGATGATCACCTCTTCCCAAACCACGCCTCGTTCCAGATCATTCACGTAATGCACTTCGTCGAAAATAACGAATTCTACATCTCGGATGAGATCTGCTCCGCGATACAACATACTCCTGAGAATCTCAGTCGTCATGATCAGACAACTAGCCTCGGGTCGGATTTGCACATCTCCGGTCAGAATGCCAACATCGTCGAAGGTCTGGCGGAAGTCGCGGAATTTCTGGTTGCTTAGAGCCTTGATGGGCGACGTGTAGATAGCTTTGGTCATATGCTTAGCCGCCAAAGCGATGGCATACTCTGCTACGACTGTTTTACCAGCCGATGTATGAGCTGCGACAAACACAGAATCCCCATGTTCCAGATGGTAGACGGCTTCTTTCTGGAAATTGTCCAGCTCGAAGGGATACTCTCTGGCCATTTCAGGAACTAGCTCGCGGAAGTTCGGAATGGCTTGGTTCACGTCAACCATATGAGCCCATTCCTTCCCACCTCTTCGGGACGTGCCAGCTGCGAGAGTACCATGCGGCGCTAAAGCAGGAAACTCGACGGGCAACAAAGCGTCAATCTCGTCTTCCTCTGTGTCTTCGATATCTTTGCCACCAGTCGGCGTCCCATTCACTTGTTCATCAGTCTCTTCTTCTCCAACTGCTTGTGCGGGTGCTTCTGCCAGCGTGTCTTCGACCTCTTTTGCAGCCTTCGTGTTCACAGGTTGTTTTTTGTCGAAGTTCAGACCACGCGAGAAGCCAGGGGGGACTGCAAGTAGACCACCCTCTGCCCCAAAGTTTATGACACGATCCAGACCTCCGGGTTTCTTCGTACGGCCAGCTTCCTGACGCGACAATGCCTCATCCTCGATAGCAGCAATGGCCTCCACGCCATCTAAACCTCCAGGAGCAAAGGGAAAGAACCCGGCGGCGCCCCGGACAAAGTCGGCCCTATTCGCAGGCTTCCTCAACAGAGAGGTGGAGTTTTTGGCTGTTGCGGAGTTTGCGGGCACGGTAACCTCCTTGTATCCCGTGACCCGGCCTTCTAGTCCCTCTCGAGTGAAGCGAATAATTGTACGGGTTTGGGTAGGGGCAATCTCGAAGAGGCCGCGGTAGTTAGTCGGAGCATCCCAACGCCGTTGCAGCTTGTTCAACCATCTAATGTTGAAGGAGGTCGATGGTGTGAGGTACTCTGATTCAAGCTCTTTCCTGATCTCATCGATTGGTTTCCGCGGTCGTTTGGCAGGTCGATGCTCGTTCCAGTCAGAATCCGAGAACTCGATAGAGGCCCCGGCCAGATGGAGCCTCTCCATCGCTCCTCGCACCTCCTCCATTTTGGCAGATAAAGAACGGATGTAACTGATGTTTGCCAAACAATTTGGGGCTCTGATGATGGCGAAGTCGGCTGGAGTTGACTGGTATTGCCAAGCGAGTCGGCTGCACTTGCACGGCCCACGGCGGGGCGTTTTAGGAGTTGGCCCGGGGAAAGTCCACGCAGCTGCGCGGTAAACCCCTCATCACCACGAGAGCACGAGAGCATCTGTGAAGGTAACACGTATGAGCTGACCATATAGTGAGTAATATACCATAGACTAACACGAATGCCTGACGCCGTGCTATGCTTATATAAGGATATCACCCTCCCAGATCATTCCGGTTTGGCAATCGGACCACAGTATATCTGCTTGTCCGTTACCACAGTTCCCCCATCTCTGCCATCGCTTCCATATCGTCGGCGAAGGGATCATCTACGTGCATTGCGGTATCTTGCCGTACTCTGGTTGTTGCAGACGACCTGTCAATCGTTTCGCTCTCAGCTAACAATGCATCCAGTTCATCATCATCGGGATGGTCGGCACCGTGGGGTGTTCGACTGGGAGACTGAGTCTGAGCCATGGTACGTTCCTCTCCTATATGTTGCGCTTCCGTCACAGACTCGTTGCCGTCTTCCAGGCGTATCCCTTCCATCCACTCTGGGTGTAGCTGAGTGGTCTCGGCTGGTACAGCACGGACTCCGGGCCCTTCGTCTTCATCCTCACTATCCACAGGAGGCCTTGGCTTTCCCTCGTCTATCCATGCCTTCCTTGAGATCTGTATTCGCTTCCTGTGCCCCAAAGCTTCAATCATCGTCAGAGCGTCGGCGAATTTCGCGCGGGGATAGAGGTCGTCCAGCCACAGTTGATACATGTTCAACATTCGAGCGATGTCTCCGTACTAGAGTGGTATAAGCGGTGGCAGGGTTGGGCGAGCACTCGCAGACATACCTCGTGTCCCTTCCCTTTGAACCGAAGCCGTTCCTTGGATATCCTCTGTAGTCTTGGAATCCCAGCATCGGATAGGAGTCTGACCCGATTTAGCACAGCTGTGTCATTCCTCCGCAGTGTCCTCTTTAGACCCACCTCTCCTCATCTAACTTTGGAATGGGTCTCCGCTTCTTGACGACTTTGATTTCCTCATCAATTCCAAGGTCTGCACTAGCAGGCTGTGGTCTTGACTCTTGCGGGGGTTGGATCTGTGGCTTTATGTTGCTCGTGTCGAAGATATCGTGGTCCGGGGTATCATTGAGGATGGCGTCTAGGTCATCCTCAGACGGTACGTCGCGAATGGTTTGGTTTGCAGGAGCCATGACAAGCGAAAGAAACGAGCCTAAGTCCCAGAATCCTCAATGTCGGTGAAGCAAACCGCAGTTGGGCAATCCACCTGGGTGAACGCGCTCCCGACGCGTCAACGCGTGCAGGCTCGCCAAGCACAATGACATAACCGCCAAGGATACGCCAACCGATATAGTGCGAAACCTTAATTGGAACTTCAACTTTACAAAAACCAGGGTCCAGACGACCTCCCAAAGCATCAACCGTGGTCCGAATCAACTTCAAATCCAAATACCACCTACAACCTATAAGAACCATCGTCCACGGTACCCAGTTCTATAGGCGAAGAACAATCTCGCCCAACTCACCGGAGGATTGCTGACATCGTTACCTCGTCTGACCGTCAATCGTGACCAAGCTATTGTTTCTCCTACCCATAACTCCTATCTGAGAATGGCGGTTGAGGGAGAGACTCCCTCCGCCACCATGGCCGAGAGACTACGGGTGCTTCTCCAGCGTGCGCGGACAGTGAAACAGAGTACTTCGCTGGAGCCGCCACTTCCCGTCTCTGAGCTCGTCACAAATACTGACCACATACTTGGTTCGGTAGTTGGAGATAAGGAGGTACATATGAACGCAATAGAAACAGCGGCGAGGAATGTTTTCTACAGCACACTTGTAAGCCATTAACCGTATCGTACTTGGTCATATCTGACCGCGCCGCAGGCTTCATGTCCAATAGGGGATCCCTCTTTTGTGGATATTTGGAATCTACTCGACATACTCCAGTACTGTGGCGACCGAGGTAAACGTGTCAATGCAACCATGTCACTTCACTCACTGATGCCTTCAGACTTATGTCCTGCTCAGCTAGTTTTATTGCTCATAGAGGAGCTGTTTGACAGTCAACCAATATCTGGATGCAGGATTGTCTTTACCTACCTAGAGTCACGGAGAGAGGCCATCATTGCCGTACGCCACAACCTCCACTTGGCGTGTCTCCTTTCCAGCTAACATTATTCCAGAATCCGTCCACCAACAAGGATTTGGTCATTTTGCGATTCTCCAATGAGCTCCTCCGTCGGCTTTCGCGTGCTGAGGATCCCGTATTCTGTGGTCGAGTGTACATCTTTATGTTCCAGAGTTTTCCACTGGGAGATAAGAGCTCGGTGAATTTACGAGGCAACTTCCACGTCGAGAACGTGACAACATTCGAAGATTACTTGAAAAGTACCGGAAGCGGAGAAGAAGGCACCGAGATGGAGACTGATATTCCCGAGGATGTCACAAACACTCGCGGCCCAGAAGTCACCGTGGTCCAACCAGATGAACCGGAGCATGCATCGCCCACCATGGACATTGATTCGCTCTACCCTGTGTTCTGGTCGCTGCAACACTGCTTTTCCAATCCACCACGTCTGTTCGAGGAGAAGAATTTCAGAGAATTTCAGAAAGGTTTAGAAGCAACTCTAGCGAAGTTTAAGGAAGTCCCGAAAGTCATACAATCGGGAGAGTCTGAACGGAAGTCGGGGGCCAAGGCTGGAGCTGCAGACGACGATGACGATGTGGCAAGCACGTTCAACCCCAAATACCTCACTAGCAGGGACTTGTTCAAACTAGAGGTGCGTGCGCCATGCAAGCAGAACGTGGAGTTGAGTCAACACTATTGACTGATAATCCAATGCAGCTGAGCGATCTTGCCTTCCAACGGCACATCCTTGTCCAGGCACTCATTCTTATCGATTTCCTTTTGACTCTAACCGAGAAGGCGAAAAAGCAGCCATACTACCAGAACGCTCAGAGGGCGATGCTGTACGCCTTCACACTGCGTCAAGAGGATGTAAGTCCATGCAACCCCCTACATCCCCGCAAAAGCGTTCTCTTCGTGCCACCATCGTGATCGACCATTCGGCTGACTGCAAAGCACAGACCGAGTGGGCGTTGGGCATCAAGAACTCCATCGCAAATTACCTGCAGGACGGTCCAGATGGGAACTACTACTATCGAATGGTGGATACCGTGCTCTCCCGTGACAAAAACTGGGTACGATGGAAGATGGATAACTGCTACCCTATCACTCGTGACAGAATCCCTACCAAGGAATACTTGGGGGCAATGTCGGGGACAGAAACTGAGCTCAGGAAGAAGGATGTTAAGATACCCGGTCCCAACCAGAGCTTCAAGTTTCTATCAGAGAGTGAGGAAGGAAAAGGGGTCGCGAAGCTGAAGCAAGCGAAGAGGTACGTTCCGCTCGTCCGACTTCACAGCCTTCGTCGCGGGCGCTCACGAGACATCAGATGCGCAGCGCCAAGTATAGATTCATATGCAAAGAAGATCCAGATGGGTGAGCTGGATCTGGAGATGGTTTCATCGGAGGAGGAGAAGCGCCAACTGGAGGAAAGGAAGACAAGCAACACATGGCGAGGGCTTCGCATGGCATCCAAGCACCGATTGAGCTCACTTGATAGGTTGGAGCAGGGCAAAGGACTGGAGAAGCTGCTTCAGCCGGTCACGTCGATGGAGGTGGCTGGCGAAGACACTGGGCCTACCGCTCCGGAAGGCAGGGATTCGGTTCCGCAAGAACGGCATCAAAGCGTCGAGGAGCAGCGGCCCGACCAACGGAGTCAAGTGACTGCGAACGATGCGGCGGACTAGCAGCATCGTGCAGCGGGCGCATGGGATAGAAATCAATCGTCGAAGGGCAGCGAGGTTCTGTTGCAGCTGTCCATGAAGCTCTGCTCTTCCGGATTATGTGCAGGATCAAAGAGGCTGTGGCGGTTGCAGGAGAAATGTTACGGAAGATGGTATGGGCTAGCTGGCTCTGGAGGCTACGGACGTGCATAGCCCAAGCGGTCCCCCAGTGATTACGATGCGCCCAGACAACGATTGCCGTCTGCCCTGAAGACTCGTTCAACTCGACCAACCGACTGTGCCACTCTATTTGTCGCCGCCACAAGTCGCGGCTAAGACATCAACTGCGGCGCCGACAGTTATCTCGACAGTGCGGTGCCGCGACTTGATGAAATCCTAACGTGGACGATATGCTCGCACCTGGGAAAGCAAGGACGAATGCCGGGCTCACGTTGTGGAGTGTAGCCAAAATCCGAGAGGTCCGGGATATGGTTCCTGGCTGGCTATGTGTTTCTGCCTGGCACTGGAGAGGGGACCGTGGAGGATGGTGCCAGGGGCATGGCGGATATTGGCCAGTTCAGGCTCATTCTTTTGACAACGCGGTCAGCGCATTGGACCGACCAGCAGCGTGGGCGATGCTGCAGCAAGCCGAAATGAAGGGGACCTTGTGCGCGCGCCGCCTTTCGCAAGGGCGGACACCTGGGCGCACAGCCAGATGCTGACTGCACGCCGGCCAGCAAGGCCATCGCCAGCGGGATCAAGATTTCATCAAGCGAGCTATCCATGGCTCGCATCAAACCTCCGCAACCGCACGCACCCTCACCGACGCTGTATCCGCGGCGGCGCGAGTGGCAGAGGACTCAACAAGAGACGTCGCGGCGGCCACACCATGGCCGGCTCCTACTCATTTCCCGTTCGTTGCGCAACTAAGCCCGCCATCGGTGTGTTGCGACATGGTCTCCGTCTTGGGCATGCTTACCTACCTCGGTCTGGAGGCCGGCGAGGAGTGGTACCTACTAGTCCAGTTGTGGAGAGACAGAGGAAGGGTGCGGTGTGATGGAGGGCGAAACGACGAGCGTCGCCTCAGTGCTTCACTCGCCGCACCGCGCGCGCCCGGCGGTTCGCTTGTACCGTGTATCGTGTTCACAGTATCTGTACAGAGTACACATGTGTCGCACCGTCTTCCTTTTCCCAGGGCCTGCAAAGACGTCGAAGCCCATGATTGCACCTTGTCGTCGGCGGAAGAGCCTATTTGAGCACGGCGGCCGGTGTTCCCATCGTCCCCTGGCTGGTGATCGCCGCGGAAGACCGTCAGCCGTCAGCCAAAGCCTTCTCTGGTGGCTTGCCCGCATCGACGCGCAACGACCCCATGATGGCATGGACGTCAAAAGGAACGATGGAACGATGGGACGAGGGGCGCAGGCAGGCAGATCGCCCCTGCGTCTGATGAGAGGAGAGGGGGAAATTGCAGCCGCCTCTCGCAGCCAAGATGGAAGAGCAACCAGAGCCGGCGGTTGCAGACCTGCGCGCACCCTGAGCGCCCTGAGCATCCTGACAAGACAGCGCTGTGCTGCTTCGGAGTCGCTCCGGGAGATTGTGACGTTGTGCGCCTCGAGCCTGGTCGTCGCCGTCACGTTCGACGACCCATTATTATATTCAGTGTTCGCCGTTCGGCCGCCACCAGCAGGATGGCCGCCTGCCAGCAGCCAGCCAGCATGCTACAAGCAGCAGTCTTCCAGAAGCAGGCTGTTCCCGGCGCGGGCCGTGCTGCTGGCCGTTGGGATCGCGCGCAGAGCAGCACGCCAGCGGCCAGCCAGATCTGTCGCTGAGTCGCCTGAATCGCGCCCTCTCAGGAGTCTGTGGAAAGCGCCCGCATTGCCGTTATAAGCCGTTGCAGCCGCCGACTCTGTACCCTTGGCGTACTTGGGTGTTGCAGCCTCAACGTCAGGAAAAAAGATAGTCAAGCGCAGACAGAGGACAGTAGCAAGACATGACAACCAACAACAAAAAGTTGCGAGACGGCACGCACAGGTAGTCCACAACCGCCCGCCGGCATCTCCACACGCTTTCTGCTGCTGCTGCTGCTGCTCCACCAGGCCCGCGCGCTGTGACACGACCGCCCTAGCCCGCTTGAACAAGCCTGCGTCTTCATGCAGCTTCCTCCACCATATGCGAGGGGCGCCATGGGCGGCTCAAAAGAAGGTTGCAAGGCTGATGTACCATGTTCCTGACGCAATTTGGCCGGCTATGGCTGGTGTGTCTGGATATGTGTGGCCGTTGCGAATACTCCGTAATCGCCTGTGCAATCCATCCCCACGACGCCTACGAGAGAAAAGGTGTTTGCAATTGTCAAGCTAGACAACCCCCTCCTGCTAGGTAGGCATGCTCGCCCGCATAGTCTAGCTAGCAGACATGCACGGAGCAATTGTTGCTGCCAGGCCCAGCCGTGTGCCTCGAAAGCGGCACGGAACTGCTGTCCCTCAACACCGCTCCACAACACGCGAGTGGGCCGTCACTTCACCTCTCCACCCACCACACCAGGAGCACTCCACCACCACCACGCTTTTCCATCCACGCACAACCACACATTCTCTCGCTCACGCATCCCACCGTATTCGACTGAAAGCAGCGTCTCCCCGCAACAAGCGTTGCCGAGCCTTCCAGGCGCCCTGGAAGAAACCTTGCTCCCTTCCACCCTGGCCTCCCAGTTGGCACGACCCTGGAGCTTCCGTTGCGGCCACAGCATGAGCATGCGTCTGCCAATAACGGCCCCCCATCTGCTTCGACCTTCGATTTGCTCGACGCCACGCATCAGGCCTTGTCCGTCGGCGGTTTTCTCCACATTCTCCCCTGGCCCTCCTGCAAGCTGTGCGGTCCTCCATCTTCACCCACCCACCACTCCATGCTTCTTTCAGAACCCACCCTGGCTGCAGCCCAGCACACCTCGAGCCAGCCGAATCTCATTCGCCCGTGCTCGCCCGTTTTACCCTTCGCCTTGAAGGGTCACGTCCCGAGGTACCGCACCCCTGTGAGTTTCCTCCTAACCTTAGCCCGCCCGCCAGCCCTCGAGGGCAGTCACGCTTCTCGCCGTGTAACAAGCTGCTTCCAGATCCTCGAAGAATATCATGTTTCCTAAGAGGGACGGGTGCCCTGGCAGTGGCCTGACCCCAGCCTTTGGAACGTCCCTTGACGTCGATTTATCCGGATCGTCGACAGTAAAGTGCCGTCAAGCCTTTCTTGTCTGAATGATCTGTCCCTCGCTCCCCTGCCGCTGTCGCTGATATAGCCTCCGTGGTGTTCCTGAGCCTCCGTACAAAGACCTGGCTATCGTCGTCCAAGACGAGAATTCAGACGGTTGGAGTTAGCCCTCTGCTCACCTCACTGTCCGTCACCATCGCTCGGTCACCGTCATTCTTTATTTGGTCCACGGTATCACCCTCCCTCACCAGCTGCTATTTCGAGCAAGCGTTGCACCAGAACTCCGCGCCCCATTCCTGTGGGTGCGACATCAGCCATTCAGCCTTGGTCTCGCATCTCAGAAACCCGACCCTCTCCGACACTGCCCCTCAGATCTGTGCTTGCCCAAACAGTCCTGCGGCCTTGACGCGTTGAGTCTTCCATCCTCCTCGAGCACTCTTAAGACTATCCCGCCACCGCCACCTGCCCTCTTCGCTGACCAGCCGCGTTCAACCCCGCATCGGGTTTGGAAACCGTTCAGGCTTGTTTATCGCGAGCTGAATCGGACCCTTCCCCTCTACTTCGCCTCCCGGTAGTCAGTGCAAGTGTCCGCAGAAGGTGACCTTTGGATTTGTTTGTTTCGTTCCAGGAGCATCTGAACAAAGCTCTCTCGTTCCAAGTGCGAACAACATATTGCTGGTAGGCACTGCTACAACATCATCTTTCTCTAGCATTGCTAACCCACCAGCTAGGTGGAGAACGGGGCTAGCTGCAAGCCCATCCTACAATACTTCTCACAGCCTCATCCTTGAAGTTGCCAATGGTGGACGGAAACCTGTTCATCCCGCTTTCGCCGCCCAGCTCCCCGCGTATGTCTGCGTACAGCACGACTCCCGCTGAGAACGAGTGGCAAGCCTCGGATCTGAAAACTCTGGATCCGAACACCGCTCACTCGGAGGGCGACATGGCTTTGCTTCAGGCTGACATGAACGGCCACAACTTCGACCTGAAACGCCCAATGATCCGAACGGCCAAGAGTTTTCCCTACACGCTCGACACCAAGACCCAACTATCCAGTGGCTCAGGTTCGCCTGCGAGAGATCGCATCAGCATCAGCAACATCGACGATATCGACTCGAGCGAGATGCCAACTGTGACCTTTGGCGGATCCGCCCCTGCCAGCCCTGTCTCGAGGCTGACCCCACCGTCCCCTCATGACGCAACCAACGGAGACAAGAATGAGCCACAGGGTGATGAGATCGTCGTTGAAGAGAACCAAGAGTGCGGCGAGGATCAAAGCAAGGACGAAGAGAAGCCGCCAATGTCGGCCGCAGAACTACGAGCACAGAAGCGCAAGATGAAGAGGTTCCGGTAGGTATTAATCAAGAAGGCAATACATGCTGGAGCCGCCTACTCATATTTGCTAGACTCACTCACAACCAAACGCGGTTCCTAATGAGCGAATTTGCTCGACAAGCCCATCCCGATGCCGCTCATCGGGAGCGCCTGGCTCGCGAGATTCCCGGCCTGAGCCCCAGACAAGTGCAGGTTTGGTTCCAGAACAGGTCAGTAGTTGTTTGACACATCTGCTTAGTAGGCTCATCGAGGCTGACCTCATCCAGGCGTGCTAAACTCAAGCGCCTCACCAGCGACGATCGTGAGCGCATGATGCGATCAAGGGCTCTTCCCGAGGACTTTGATATGGCTTCGGCTCTGCACTCTCCATTCGGCAACACCCACGGGATCGGGACTCCCCTCACATCACCTGGATCATACCATCCGGGATTTCCGGAGGGCAATATGATGCGACCTCTTAGCATCGACACCCTTCGTCGCGGACCGATCGACTCCCACGTCTCTCCCACGGGAATAAGCCCAGCCTTTGGTGGTTTCACCTTCACTCCTCCTCAGTCAGCAACCGATACCCTGTCCCCAGTGTCCCAACATGGAGACTCCCCTTTTGGCTTCCCTTCTGCGCCTTTGGAAGGTAGTCCCAGGACCTCGAACCCTTTCTCCTCGATGTCGATGAGCGGGCCGCCCGCATACGCTGCCCATCACAGCATCCCTCGTTTGTCGATCCACGCCGATCGTATTGCCCGCAGCCGCGCAGATTCGCTGAACTCGCCGCTGCGAGCGAGCATGAGCTACTCGAACGGAAGTGAACACGGTCTGAATGGGCCGGCCGATGCCTCCAGCCATAACGGCGATCAAGCTTCACGGTCGTACTCGACCTCAATGATGCCGTATGGTATCGGATATTCATGTAAGTTGCGACGAGAGCGATCCGCTCGACTCAGCTAATGGTGATAGACTCTCCTGTTCCCGGGTTCCAAGCCTCTAGTGCGTCCCGAATGCGTTCCTTCTCCAGCAGCGTACCCAGGCGGATTGAGCTCAGCACCCACTACACTCCGAGTCGGACCGCAACCACTCCGCAGACGGCTACTTTCCCCACCTACTCCAGTTCTCCTCTAGTTACTCCCCAGAGCTACGCCATGCCCCAACTGAGCGCGCCACACCACATCACGTCGTTCCAGAATTCGTACCTTCGGAATGACTCGGGCCAAGGCGAGCAGTACCCCGGCGTGGGCACCGTGCTTGGTGAAGTCCTGGATAACTCCAACCACGACAATGACGAATCGAACGACCAGATATCGCAGTCATATTGACGGCAAGGCACCCTCTTCACCTTCACTTTGTTTCGAGGCGTTCGGTAGATTGCAGCGATTGGAGTTCTTGCGGGAGATTCTGGCCCGGTTGGAGTGGCAGGTTTCAAAGATGAATATTACGAACATTGATGGGCTGGCTCTACGAATCAGTACGGTTTAGCTTGCGCTGCCGTCCTTGCGACTATACATGTTACTTTTCTTCGGGCGTTGAGCGTTACTTACGGATCCCCTCGGTGGGCTTCTTCAGTTTGGCCCGAGGTTTCCATTGGGATAGAAACTTCGCCATGTTGTCGGATACGGGATATCCTGCTTCTCCTTTCCCCTTCGTCCGACTATTAACTTTCGCGTCTTTGTTAATAGCGACGCGCCGCTGGTATGGTTGGTATACCCTTCTTGTATGTACGTTTTTCAGGTTCAACGTCCCCCTCTGTCCGTCTGTATGCAAATGTGTATATCTTGGGGCTTTGGACCGCTGGATGTTGGATCGTTTTATTCATTTCTCTGATTTGGACATGTCCAATTTTCATTCTATTTACGATACCACCTCTCCCAACAACAAAACGACGCGCAAAACAAACGTACAAAAATCCCCTTCGCTGGTAGAAAGTTTCAACGTTCTTGGACAAAACACATATACGAGATAATGAAATCGGGTCAGGCAACGTGAGAGTTTGTGGATGCTCTCTCGCTCACTCACTCTCAACTCCGTCAAGTACTACTACTACACAAGTTTCCCAGTCTACATGGTTCTGCCTCTTGTGATGCCCACCACTTGCTCACTCACTCCTTCACACTCGAACTGGACGGGTAGTTGACTGTCCTCAGACCACCCCCAGCAGGCCTAGGGTCAGGGCTGAGGGCTCTCCATCCCCTCCCCTTCCCCTCCCTTCCATAGTCTGACTAACAATATTTCCCGATGGTAAAATGCGACGTCGGAGAATGGACGATGATCGCCCTCCCCAACGACGAGACGAGACTAGCTTCCGGGAAGCGGCTCCGGGGTGCTTTAGACTATGTATGTACGGAGTAGACTACCTAGCTTTGCTAGCCGTGGAAAGTATATCCGGTACAAGCGGGTAAGCGAAACCCACGTCTCAGGCGGCACTAGGACGACCGACCATGATTTTCTTGTCGCAGACGGGAAGGAAGGAAAAAGCAGGTACACACACACTAGGGGGCTTGGAGTTGTAGGAATAATGAGTAATTATGAGGAAGGGGGATGAGGGTTGTGGATGAAGAGCCAGACTACGGGGAGTGGAAACTTGGAAGTTGGAGACAATTTCCCACCGAGGAACGTCAACTGGGCGAGCAGTGTGTGGGTTGAGGCGGACGTGATAGGAGAGTCAACAAGATTGGATGGATGTTTGTAAAAACGGTCTGAGGTTTGTTGGAAGGGAAAAGGGCGTCAAGCCAGGGACCTGCGATGCGTTGTCGTTGAGCATTCCTGGGCGTCGAATCCCGTGCCAAACACAGCGGAGGATCGAAACACCCAGCCGAGACGGCTATGCCAACGGCGGCAAGCTTCGTGCCTAGACAAGAAGAGTTGAGGAGGAGCACTACTCAGGCAGGGTCCTTTTTTTCCCCATCCCCTCAACGGTTCCCTCTATCGCATCGCTCCCTTCCCTCCCCTAGCTAGCTCTTGCATCGGCGCTATCGCATCGACATGCACTCCGTACACATCAGGCAAAGCAAGGAAAATTCTCGAAACCACCCGACGTGGACCCCCAGAGACTCAGTCGTCGAATGAGCGCTCTGCTGTTCCTGGCAGATGGATCATCATGATGCGGGGTGTCACGAGGAAGACTGGAAGGGGTCCCGTCGAGGTGATAGCCTGATCTACAAGTATAGTCTTCTGCAACCAGCTGCTTCCAGCCGCCATGTGCAGGATTTCCAGACTGCTTCGCCAGCCGCTTGCAACCGCCTGGATCGACTCAAAATAGAGCGACAAAGGTTGGAAAGGGAAGACGGCCTGTCCTTGCCCGCGTTGCATCTACCTGTGTCACACTGAATCTTGCGCTCTGCGCGGAAGTTTCTGCGAATATTCACCCATCGGTCCTGTCATTTCCCCATTTTCGCACACCCGGATCAAGCATCGGTGGAAAGAAGGATGATGGAAGCGGAGACGCCCATTCTGTGGTACACCAGAGCTGATGCAGAGTCGGCCTTATTCGCCATCATCCAATCTCCCCCATCCGGTCCCCAAGGTTCCCCGGCTTCTTCATCTATCGCCTCCACATGACCTCATGCCTCTTGCCACGCCGCACGGCACCCGCGTCGCGTTTTTTTAATCTATACGTGGGCTTCTCCACAATCACTCGTGCGTGGTACAATGTATTTTCCCCAGACGGCGATCTCCCATGTCGTAGTTGGGCCTTGGATTCCATGGGGTCAGGGCGATCAGGAACCGCATTCCGATGGAGGGCAGGGTATAGGTGCTGTTGGCAGAGATTGGCCGCAGGCTTGCGCGGGGGCACGCTCTTGCTCTGCATATGCTAAGGCAGCTGTAAGGGTTGGGATCAAGGTTCAGGAGAAGGGAGGAGAAGAGGGTATGGGCCGTATGGTAGGGCCGTGTAAGGGGGGTGCGGGGAAAACAGTATATTGGTAGGGCCGGGCCTTTTGCGCCGAGGGGGTGTGTACATCCGGAGGGATCGAAGTAGAGGCGCTGCTAGGAGTTCCAAGTGTGCCCGCATGTGGGATGCGGATGGAGAGGTTCGTCTGAACTGACGGAGGCGTGTTACTTCTTGGAGGCCGGCGGCCTGGAGATGAAGGCAGTGTGGATGACGCTGGGCTGCGCTGGTTGCTGCCTCTGTATCGCTGGACGGCTCGATCAGCTGGGGTTCAGTAGTAGAGAGGCTGTGGAAACTGTGGACTGACCTACCGTTTACTGACCCACTTATTACAGCTTGCTGCAGCTTGCAGGATGCAGGTTCGGGGTATGGTCACAGCCGTGCTCGTTGGGCAAAGTTATGCCTAAGGCCAAGCTTTGCACGATACTGCTGTGGCACATTTTAGAGTTATTGCTTGGTGCATCGATTGATGGAATTTCCCGCGCGATGGGCGATACGATGCATGCCCAAGCCCCGGACCCCGTAGATTGACTCGTCCCTGGTAGGGAGGATAGATTAAGGTGCCTCTGCTACTGCACGCTTGCAGGGACATGGAGCCGCGGGTGATTTTTGTAGATCTTAGGCTTAATTGCGGCTGGGCGCCGCGTACTGTGAGGAGGAGCGAATTGGAGACGGCGAAGAGCGATCAGTGCGTTTCGAGAAGCCGGGCGGAAGAATGTGTGGAGTGCTTCTAGAAAATTGGCTGGGGAACAAGTGCGGGGATGCGGCCTGGCGTTGCTCAGTGTTAGACAGGTCAGCTGATGCTTCGCAGGGTCGGAACCTCGGAGCTTGCCAATGGGTGAGAAGGAGAGGAGATGCTGTAGCGGTGTGGTGTGTCGAAGTTGCTCTCCTTAGTTGTTATAGCTCGGGGGTCCATTATATCTGAGGTCTGGAGTGGAGCTTGAGCTAGTCCATCCACAATAGTATACCGCCTACTAACCGTTTCTCAGTCTGCGACCGGGCGGGTGCGAACGCTTCCTCGTAATCTCGTGACTCGTTTGACTCGCATTCACAAGCGTAGCTTGCGCTATACTGAGCCTGATAGCTTTGCTGAATGCGGCCGGCTTCGCGTAATAATCCGTGGAGCGTCTTGTGGAGTGCATAAGACCCTTACTCAATACTGCGAGCAACCGAGTATCCATGCTGGCAGTTGCGGCTGAACTACTCCAGCCCGACCGTGGGTATGACTGTGTTGGCCAACCGTAGGGGATCCTGTCCGTGTGAACCTGCATGCGTGCCCAGGCTGTGAGATGAGGGGTTCGGCGCGCAGTTCCTGATGAGTAAGAGTTAGCTTGTGGGCGCAGTACCTCCTAATGAACATGGGCAATCGTGAGACAGGTGGAAGCGCCAGCTCCATCGGACATTGCTAGGATGCTCGAATAGCTACAAGTAGGCAGTGCTGTGTACATAGTGGCAGAAGGAAGAGAGCAGCACCCAGGGGGTCCGGAGACATTGTGTGATGCGATATTTCCTCCGTGGCAAATACTCATCTGCAATTGGAGGACCCCACTGATCGGCGGGAGTGGATGTGACCTGTTCTCCTTTTGGAACGGAGACGTATTTTCCTCTTCGACCCTGATGGATGGTGTGTCACGTGCCTCCAGACACATTCGGGGCATGCAGTGTATCGTGAAGTAAGCTAAAGGAGGAAGTTCCCTACAGCTTGTTGGGTTGCATAATCCGAACAGTGCTCAGACTCGAGCGCTACCGTTCCTGGCTGATCGGTTTGGGTCTTGGGCTTGGGTCAGCAGTGTAGTTACACATCCTTTTTGTAGGCTGCCTAGATGCGTTCGGCCTTGGTGGTTGTTGTGGTTGTTTCGAAGGCCGTAGACAGCAGGAAACGCGAGAATTCGTAGAGCTAAGCATACCACCGAAGGCCGCAATAATGGAAATCAGTAGCGGGACCTCGTATTCCATCGGCATCTGCGCTATCAAAACACAATTGCTGTATAGCCGCTCCATGGGATTGAGCATCCGCACCTTGAAGAAAGTATGTCTTTTGCTTTCTGATGGACGAACCGCCATACCGAAGGCCACTATTCGTCTCAAGCTACGTTTGCTGCTTGGCTGCTTGTAGGAGTTGGGACCAAGCCTCACAGTCCTATGTGATTAATCTTCGATACGTGGTGCTTCCCCTACTGATGCTCCAGCTCTCTCTTCCTTTGTGTTCCTCGATGGTCCCGGGGTTCTGGAAGATCGTTGCACGCATCGACTGGATCAGAGGGACTACTGACTTCGTGAGATGCTTGCGAGGAAAGCAAAGACTAATGAGACTTCAGTGTATGTTCGGAAGTGAACAAATCAGAGCTTTCGGATATCTTCGCGGGAGACAGCCATCAACATGATAATGCTTACGTGTGCAACAGGTAAGGACCGTCGATATCAATCTTCCGGACAAAAACACAAACTCCGTACTCTTATTCGGGTGGTATTAGCCCAGACCACGAAGGTTCGTGAACCTGAGACGATTTGGTAAGTGAGGCAGTGATGTTCCAATGGAGGTGTGCACGATGTGCATGCTTCACAGATGTCATGGCTCTGATGGTTCATAGTGTTTGGCGCGTAGGTTTCCGCACCGCGGCGGTCGATAGTAACTCCGTCGATACAGTGTGCAAAGCCAGAGAATGCTGCGGTCACTACCTAGCATTTGGTGATTGTGATATGCATACTTGCGTCAGGCATGTACGCATTTGGAGCCCTGTGTAAGTCCGCCTGTGGCAGTGTGTTAGAACAACAAGTTCCCACGATGCTGATATCCGGATGAACTCACGGACGATTCCCCTATATTCCCACCGCTGCAAATGGTCTTGACTTCTGCTCGCGGGATAGCCACTGGCAATCCGTCCCTTCTGAGAGTCCGGTGTTGTGTACTTAACGGGGTGAGATGCATCCGCATGTGCACAGCGAAAGGAAGTCGGCCCGAGCCGTTGATGACCTCATAAAGGATGCGATAGAAGGAGTGGATACGGTGATGTGGCGTGAAGAATGTGCCCAGGTGGGTGCCTACCTAGGTATGTTTAGGACGGTAAGTCGCTCCCCACATGAGAGCATCAGGAAGGGACGACCCTCACAGAACCTTCACACTGAATAAGAATATAACGGAAGCTGAGGATGAAAGCGAGATTTGTAATCGCTGAAAAATCGCCTTCCTGGTCTGGAAGAGCTCCCTGATCGGATTGTTAATTGCTTGCGCCGCTGACCGTGAGATATCTGAATGTGCTCAGGACGCTGTAAGGAGAGACACTAGGGGGTTAGCAAGAGAAATTTGGTCAACTTCTAGAGAGTGGAGCGTTTTCCAGGTTACACCATTTCAGTGGCGTGGTGACTCGCGCGGAACTAGTATGCTCGTCGAAGGCTCCTGATTCTGGAGTTCCTCCGTTAGGAGCCAGGTGTGAGGACAACTATCCCTTTGAGGCGGGTGTCAATCGACCAGCAGCAGCTTGGGAGAGAGCATTGAGTGCATCTCTTCACCTGGAATATCTCTTTCCTCACTTAATACCATAAAGTCGTTTGCCAAGATATCGCAGTTGATTTCCTGTTTGGATGAAGACCAGTGCGAAAAACAGGTGTTGCACTACGTCACCGCAGTCGAACACGACCTCGAGCAGCAAAAGCGGCTAGGGCACCGGACACCATCGTCTCCAGGAGGCCATGCCTCGGGACACTGTCCTAGCGCTCCACTGAGTGAGATGTGTTTCGGTTCAGCAAGATCGTCGAGCTGAGGGAGCGCCATCATCCCCTCAGCTGAGAACCGCTCCCCAAAGGCTAGTAGACTCCTCCACACGGTCAAGCGGCCTCGCAGCGCCTGGTGGCGCATCATGCATCCTGCCATCGTCCGTCGGCTTCTCGCATGTCCCGCTAAGGTAGGCGGTAGAGATTCGGCGCGAGCGGCATCATGGGTGGGTTGCAACACGCTCCTGTTCCTGCGCAAATGCGATTCATGGTGACGGCGACACGGCATATGGCGTAACGTGAAAGTGGCAGAGTGAGGCGGTATATTGCAAGGAGGTAAGAAAGGAAGCTCGGTGGAACAGCGTGTTGACGGATGCCAAGTACATAATAGGGTCTTCTTCAGCGCTCTGGCTAGGGCTCATCTCTCGCTGCGCAATCATCCTTCTTCTGAAACGAGAGTTGGAAAGATGAAAGTATCCTCTTGTAGGGCTGGTTGGTGTGCTCCATAGACGGAACATCACGTGCCTGGATTTTGTCAACGGCTTCCAAGGTTCAAGTACAGTACTCTCGGTAGACAAATGTACTCCGGCATCAACACAGCAATGCGGCAACCGTCGAGTCCTGAAATGATGCATGTCCGTGGAACATTAGGGTCGGCTGAGTTTGGTGGAAGTCCTGCACCGCCCCTTGCCAACTTCAAAGAGTGAGCTGAGCGGGTTTGAATAGGGGCAAACTCGTGATCTAAGGGATGCTGATTGGTTGCAAAGACGGAGCAGGATGGGAAACCATGAATGGCCCGGCGTACCGTCATCATGCATACATTCTCCAGTGAGTCAGACTAATCATAGATAATCATCGGTTTCTTCTCATCGTTGCTTGACGGTCACCACGTGTGCTGAGGCGCAGAGTTGATCATGCCATGCAGCAGCAGCGGCCGCGCGAGGGGAACAATAGATGCCGGGTTTATGTCCTTGTCCTACAGTACCTCGGGCGCTCACGCTTTGTCTGCCTCTCGCTTCAAAAGCGTTTTGTTGCTTGAACAGCGAGTCTAGGGCCACCGTCAGAACATTTACTGTTTAGAGGAGCAAGTGTTTCTATCAAGCAAACGGAACCCAACAGGCAGGATGTTGTTACGAGCTCCAATGCATTGTCGTCCGTCCTGGACGTGCGAGTACCTCATCGTGGTTGTGGATGTTGGGCCGCATGGAATAGGGTCCACCTGGGCAGTTTTCCTTCCACGCTGTCAGGTGTTTTCTTCTTCTCACTTCCGCACCTCCAGCTACTGGAATTCGTCGACCCCATAGACAAACAAGCGGCAAAAAAGAGTTTCGCCGCAACAGTCCCGTACTTGTGAGAAAGGGAACAGTAATAAACAAGATTCGTGTGTGCTGGCCTTGTCGCTGTCGCTGTCGCTGTCGCTGTCATGTGAAGTCGATGAACCTGACGTGTGCCCCGTGTTATGGTCGCGCTCCGTTCCGTCGGGCCCCCTGCCCGCCAAGACCCGCTCCTCACATTTTGTCGCCGCACTCGCCTGCCTTTCTCAACCCTCACCTCACCTCTTCGCTACCGAAGACACCAACCTCATCCCCCCCATCCGCATCGGCCTCAGTGTTCTTCACAAGGCCGTTTGCTGATTTCGCAGGGTCCCCTCTGTCGAAATCCCTTATTGGGCTCCTCCCCACGCCCCACCCCTTCCCCGCGTGCAAGGCGCCGTTGCGGCCGCCTGCCGTTGTCCTTTTTCCCTGGAGAGCACGAGAATTTTTTTTCTCTTGCATCCCCCCATCCCCCAACTCCCGTCGTCCGCGAGCTGCGCTCCTCTGCTGCAGCCTCCTCATCTCGAAACTCCGAACTTCGAATCCTCGACCGTCCTTGCAGTCGCCGCTTGACACCGAGCAGCCGCGCTCAAGGCAACCTCGCGACCCGCAAACGCACGCACTAAGCAACCCCACAAAATCGCCCACCGCCTACCTCGCCCACCCCAACTTTCTAATGAGTGCTCCCATCCCATCCGAGCAGAACCCACCCATTGCCGATTCCCAGAACGCTACCGCTGCGCCCGTTCCCACTGCTGGGTCGTCCGCCAACGTGGCCGCTGGTTCGACTCAACCCACTGCCCGCTCGTACGCCAACGCGACCAAGAAGGCTTCGTCCCCTCCCATCGCGTCCAGCGGAACGCCGCCCGTGGCAGTGGGAGCATCTCAGAACGCACAGCATGGGAAAAGCGCGTCCGTATCTCCCATGAACGGCAAGAACCCAGTCCAGCCTGCCGTGCCCGCCATGGCTCCCACCATCGCGAATAGCAGTGCTTTCGCCTCAACGGGGGACCACAATCGCAAATCCTCTGTGACCATTCCCGCAACCGGTCCGAGTGGCTATGTTGCCAACAGCGGTACAGCTGCCAGCCGCCCGCCCTCCGGAATTCAGTTCGGCGCCATGGCCGGCTCGCCTGCGACCACTCACGCTGTACCTCACCAACCCCAAGGTCCCGGTTTGAATCCTCAGGCACACAATCCGCGCATTGCGAGCCCGGCACACTCCCCGTCGCCAATTCCTCAATACAGTGGTGGAAAGCCGAACAACTTGCGTGGTGTTGGCCGCCCAGACATTGCGTTTGGTGCCGGTGAAACCCCAGAGCAGAACGTATGTATTGCCCTACCCCGCCTTTTCGTTATGCAAGTTATATTGACATGCAAGCAGAATCGCCCCATGATGCCTGCGCAATCGAATGCACTGCCACCTCAGGGTCAACATTATCGTCGCGAGTCCCACGGCGAAATGGGCAACCCACCACCCTTTAATCAGAATCGCGGAGGGTTCCAGCCAAATGGTGGCGGCCGCGGAGGACGCAGCAACTTCCAACCTGGTTTCCATCCGCAACACGCCCATCCGGGTCAGTCCCCATCCATGGCGCGTACAGTCCCATATCAAGGTGGCCGGCCAGGACCCGCAATGGCACCGGCTTTTGCACCCCAGAACAGGACTTACCACCCGAACTCTCCCTATCAACCGAATCGAAGCCCCGCCATGGCAGCGGCCACGATGCAACCGCAGTCCCATCTCGCCAACGGCCAACCCATGCCGTTCTATCCCCAATATCCTCCGCAGCCAGTTCGTATACACTCTCTTAGCTCTCAAGTACATTGTTTCACTCTCGTGTCCGATAATTCACCGTCTCTCTCGGATTCTGCGAAAGTCTCTCCCTTCGTCTCTTCTACCGCCATTCTTCACAAAGCGGCGGCAGGTTCACCAAAGTGGCACCTGCCCCTTGACGAGAGGAATGCCTTTCTCCAGCAGATTTCTTTTCAGTCCAACCATTCTCCTTCGCGCTCTTCGTCTCCCAGTGTAAGTGGTTACGAACAATATCTGACGGAAATTGATAAACAGGGCTACGGATACGTGCCTGCCCCCATGGACCATTACGCGCAGTATTATGCTCAACCGGGTTATGGAGGGCACAACTTCCCAGTCCCGGGTAGCCCTTCGAGGAATCCGGCCTTCCCTCACCCTGTCCAAGGCGCTTACGGGATGCCGGCCTTCGTGCCACCCCAACATGCTGGAGGCATGGCCATGTCCCGATCGCCTTCGCAGGCGTCAGAAAGACCACCTTCGGCCGCTCCACAGCCCTCTACTCCTGCGATGACGAACGTGAACCAGGTCTCCCACACTCCCACGCCCAGCATGAATGCGAGCCCCGGACCCCACAGCCACAACTTCGTCCCGCCTAAGAAGAAGAGCACCCCCATCGTCATCAAGAGACCTGACACTAATGAAGTTGTCACGTTCGACCAACCGTCCTCGTCGCCTGCTCCTCCGGCCCCACCCCGCTCTCCTGCCATCGTCTCTACTCCTGGTCCAACCCCGCCGCCTCGGGTGCCTAGTGCAGCTGGGTCGTCGCACAGCCGAGCGGAGAGTACTCCTGCTGGAGGCAAGTCGGCAGAGGAGAAACGCGAGGAGTTCATGAAGCAAGTCCAATCTCAGATTGCTGGCAAGGAGGGACAAGCCGATGCAGAGAAGAAGGCTGAAGACGAGAAGAAAGCTGAAGAAGAGAGGAAAGCTGAGGAAGAGAGGAAGGCCGAGGAAGAGAAGAAGGCGGAAGCTGAAGCCAAGGAGAAAGCAGCTCAAGAAGAGGCGGATAAGGCGGCTAAGGAGGCCGCTGACAAGGCCGCCAAGGAGAAGGAAGAAGAGGAGCGGCGCCTTCGGGAAGAAGAAGAAGAGAGGATGATCGCTGAGATGGAGGCATTGGAGCGAGAGGAAGAGGAACGGGAGCGACAGTACGCGGAGAAGAGGAAAGCCGAGGAAGAGGCTAAGAAGGCGAGAGAAGCGGAGGAGAAGGCCCGTGAAGATGAACGTCTACGCGAACAGGAACGCCTTGCCGAAGAGTTGGAGGAGAAGCGCGCCAAAGGTGAACGGGATGCCGAGAGCTTGGCTCTGTTTGCTTCTTTGAAGAAGAATCCATTTGGCCCTCACTCCAGCTCTACTGACAGTGCTCCTGTGGAGACAGCGGCACCAGCAGATGCTGCAGCGACTGCCACAGCAACCGCACAGACTAAGGCACCAAGCACCGGTAGACCTCGTCCAGCTAACCTTCGGCTGGAAACCACGAAGAATGTGGAACCCCCTCAGCCTTCGGCCGCAATGCAGAGTCTGAAGTCTGCGCGATTCTTGCAGGTCCGCGATGAACTCGTCACATACCCTGATGGTATCAAGTCGCCGAATCCAGCACTCAATATGGGCTCCAAGAAGGGCAAACAGTACGACAAGGACTTTTTGCTGCAATTCCAGGAAGTTTTCAAAGAGAAACCATCCCCTGACTGGGAACAGAAGCTCAAGGAGCTTGTGGGCGATTCTGCTGAAGCGCGTCCACCATCGCGACCACACCCGATTGGCCCCCGCCAACCCTCCAAACCCGGCGTTCCGCCGATGGGCAACTTCATTGTCGGTGGTGGTCGCACTCTTCCTGGTGAAGTGCGCTATCAACCGGCGACACAGCCTGGTCGATCGAATATGGCTAACCCGTTGGCACCTTTGATCAACCCAAACAGATCAGGATCCTTCCCTATGGCCCGAAGCGGTTCTTTCACGAACATGGCTCAAGCTCCCAGCTCTCCGCGTGTGGGCAGTTCTCGGGGACGTGGAAGCCGTCGCGGTGATAAGGGCCCCAGCAAGAAAGAGGAAGAGCAGTTGGCTAAGGCCATGCCTCTGACAGCGAACCTAGCCCCCGAAGCGCTGAAGCTGGAACGTTCGCAGACAGGCTGGAAGCCCCAGAGCCTTACATCGGCTAACGCCAATGCCGTTCCACCCTCAGGCCATATGCCTCCCGATATGGTACAGCGGAAGGTTAAGGCCGCTTTGAACAAGATGACGCCCGAGAATTTCAACAAGATCGCGGACCAAATCCAGTCTATTGCAGCACAATCCAAGGATGAGAATGACGGCAGGACTCTGCGACAGGTTATTCAGCTAACTTTCGAGAAAGCCTGTGACGAGGCACATTGGGCAGGAATGTACGCAAGGTTCGCCGAGCATATGCTGCGCACAATGAGCCCTGAGATCAAGGATGAGACGGTGAGGGATAAGAAGGGCGATCCAGTCGTAGGAGGAGCTCTCTTCCGCAAGTATCTGCTCAACCGATGCCAAGAAGAGTTTGAACGCGGCTGGGAGGTCAATCTACCCCAGAAACCTGAAGGTCAATCAACAGAGGCCGCTTTGCTTTCTGATGAGTACTACGTCGCTGCCGCTGCCAAACGCAGGGGACTTGGTCTCATCCAGTTTATTGGCGAGCTCTACAAGCTCAAGATGTTGACACTTCGAATCATGCACGAATGCGTACTCAAACTTCTCGATTTTGAAGGACTTCCTGACGAGTCAGCTATTGAATCGTTGGTCAAACTACTGCGCACCGTTGGCAGCACTATGCAACAGGAAGAGGCTGGCCCTAAGATGCTATCGGTCTATTTCGAGCGCATTGAGAAGATCATGAATATGGAGGGTCTGCCTAGCAGGCTGAAGTTTATGCTGTAAGATTTTGCCAACGTTCTCGTACAGACATGTCACTAACACTGTCCCCACAGTCTGGATGTAGTCGACCTTCGGAAAGCGAACTGGGTGTCGAAGGATGCCAACAAGGGACCCAAGACCATCGCGCAGATCCACGAGGAAGAAGCTGCTGCACGTCAGGCTGCAGAGATGGAGCGAGCCCGAAGCAATCAGCGTGGCGGTCCTCGTCCACCCCTTGGACGCGGTGATGCTCGCTCGTTCTCTGGTGGTGGCATGATGCCACCCCAGGATTATCGCAGCAGCCAGATCCAGATAGATGACCTCCGCAAGCTATCCAAGGGTGCATCAGGTCGCAACGTAAACTCCTCTGGACAGCTCGGACCGTCTATGCTGGGCAGCCGGAGCAGCAGCCGCCGTGGCCTCGGACCTGGTGGCCTCATGGGCCGTGGAGACGAGTCTGGCGCTTCCTCCAGGACTGCCACGCCACCTCAGAAGGAGAAAGAGTCAACAACACATGTGAACTCGTTCAGGTAAGCAAAATCCAGCCCTTACATGTCAACCGGATAGAAAGGCTAACATCGATGTAGTGCACTTGCCGCTCTTGAGAACGAAGGGACACTAGAAGTGGGCTCGCCTCCGTCAACGGCCTCGTCGCCACCCGTGCAACGGGCCGCTCCTGTCAATGACACAACGGAAGCAAAGCCCTCGGAGTGATCGATTCCATCACTCATATCGCGACCACCTGAGCGGTGCCGACTACCTCCCTTATCCTTGTCCGCCTCCCTCGGTAATCTAGTCCCTGAGTTGCATAGACGGCATTCTAAACGCATTGCGCTGCATTTTGGCGGGTTCACATTCGACATCTTGTCTTTCAAGACCGGGCTGGCAAAAGTTTTGTTTTGTTGTATGGTCGCTGGGATGAAGGGTGGGAGCAGGAGACTCTTCATCTGACCATGCCGGCAGGTCTTCGCTTTCTGGCAGTATGGACTCACGCATGGCGTTATGGAGTCACGTCATAGGGTTGGGTGTAATTTTGCGATGCCTCTCTGTCTCCTTCGTTTCTTCGATGTGGAAAGCTCTCTCTGAGCTACCTTCCAACCGCTAGCAGCCGCGATTTTATTGAGGGTGCGGTTAGGCAATGGAGGTAAATTACCACTTCTCTACATGCTTTTCCACTTTTAACACAGTACATGTGTTCATATCCTAAGGGGGAACGCACATATTTAGAGCTTTTTCCGGGTTCTCTTCATCAGAGTTCTTATTCACTGACAGTTTCTCTCTTTCGCTCCTTTTCACTGTGATGATGTGATCAGTCGGCATCATGAGACGTTATATGTGTAAGGCCTGCCCTTCAGTTCACCACGATTGGTATACTTGTGTGGCTTGGGGGTATGAGGTGGAGTGAGATTGGTGGAGGGGCCGGTGCTTGCTAGATTACTCCTGTTCTTTGTTATAGTTTTGGCATCGAGATGTTCTGTTATGCAGGGGGGGGGGGGGGGGGGGGTGTGTGTGTGTGTGTGTGTGCGTGCGCCACCGTATTTGGTGTGCTCGTCGTGCTGTGTACCGTCGTGCGTGACTGCAGTTGGTCGACTGATCATTTATGCGAAGTCTAGATAGCGGTCCAACTCTTACCGATTCGACTCCATTTGACCAGTCGAACTGTGGACCCCAGCCCTTCTAGCCACACGCTCCTGAAAGATTGCAAACGTTATATAAGTCCGCTCGCAGCGGACGGCGCCGGAGACACGGTCCCGGAATGGAAGGGAGTCGGGGAGACGGTGGAGGGGGATCGAGGAGGGCCCAGGAGGATGATTGGGAAGACGTAGATTAGAGGGCCGTGACAAGGTGGCGGATTTGACCAGGGCACTGCGAATAAAGGTGTGCGGAAGGAAAAGTGATGATCAAATAGGTAGATGGTGTGTACATTATTATTATTCTTTGGTGGATTTTGTCAATGCTCATTCCTTGCCATCTAGCGTGAACATCCGAATATGCTCTTCGCTCAATTGACGATGGAATATATCATGTGCCTCCTTCAAAAAACGGATCTTCGACATCCAGCTGTCTAACTGGGACTCATGCAACAGCTCTGTCAAAATATTCCATTGCAGGTTCTGTGCCCCTTATCGATAACACCTCCTATCTACCACAAACAGCTTAGTCTGCGCCTCGCTTGATCCAAGCTCCAGCCTTATGACGCTGGCCGACCTCAACTCATGCGCAACGTGTTTCCTCGGGGGGTGACAACAATTTCTTGCTTCCTCCTACATATCTGTCGTGACTCCTATGATTATACCCTATTTCTTCCCGAATCGACCCTCATCTCTTCCGTCACATCAATCATTCGAAGACTCCCCAGCTTCAGTAGCTTACCGGTAGCCTGCGCAAGAGCTCAAACGAATACTGCATAATGGGACCACCGTCGGTCAGCAAAGCGAATGTTAAATTCCCGGTCTTTGTTGCAACATTCGCACACAAGTACGTCTGTTGCTCAAGCTTTGGAGATAGGACGAGAGCTGATGGTCTCTCAGCAATCCCTCGATTCTTGTCGTAGGCGGAGGTGAATGCGGAAACCCCCAACTCCGGAACCGTCGATTGACACATAACTAGGCGGTGGAGCAGGGAGAAGCGGCGTTCCCAACGCTATCTGTGCGTTTGACACTTCCTCACGTGCGCCAACCCTCGAACCATTCGCAAGAGCGGACCTATCACGAGATGAGGACTCGGTCACTAGCCTCGCATCGGTGTCCACGAAGGAAGGTTGCATTGTCTATGCCGGTATCAACTCGTCGGAAGAGGAGCGATTGAAGGGGCAAAACTCGCATTTCCGCGCCTACGAACTGGTATATCCGCGGAGGAAGCCAGGCAAGGTGGATGAGGAGCAAGAAGGAAAGATTGAGTACCTCAGTAAAGCACGGCTCTTGACCCCTTCCTCCGAAAATGCGAGAAGAGAAGGCTATCAAAGATTGGTTAGGCTATCACCACCCGCGAGCAAGTCCGGGGGAAAGAGGATAGGAGTTGTCGCCTCATCACTGCAAGGGGAAGAAAACGAACTTCTCATCTTTGCCGCCGTGTCCACGAAGCCTGCGACATCCGATATAATACAGCGAGTGAGTCTGAGGGATAGGGAGGCTAATGATGTGGACATCACCGTTGCAGAAGATGGTCAATTCCAAATTGCATACTGCTTGGACTCCGCGGTTTACGTACAACGGTTCGCGTACGACTTTGATAAGAAGAATGCGGAGAAGAAGCTGGAGCCGCCGGCAAAGCGCTATGAAGCTCCCCTTCCAGATGGTAATGCGTCACCTTCAGTCCAATATACAAGGGAATCCATATCATGCAACGCTGTGAGTATGGTTGCTAATAATTGTGCATTCAGTTCTGGGAAAGAAGGCCAGGCCGAAGCTACGAGCTTTACGCTGGCTCTCACCATCGCATCTCCTTTTGCTCGTCAACCAGCCCAACCGGACGGGCGTGGAGCTTCGTGTTCTGAGACTATACTCGGAAGACGGCATGGGGTCAATCATTATGCGAAAAAGCTTGGGTAAAGGGGCAAAGCAGGCCGTTGATATGGATGGTGGGATGGACACGTTTCTTCGGGGGAGCATAACTGACAGTCGCAGTTGTGAAACTGGATTCCAATAAGAACGGAGCTTTTCAGTCCGTCATAGCAGTCGCTACGCAAGACGGTGAGCAGAGCTACCCAATCTGGGATCTGTGGTTGCTGAGTGTGAATAGTCTCGCTTCATATTTATACTATTGACTATGACGGTAGCTCTCTGCACGGCCTGGCGCGGTATGCTGTCTATCATGACGTTCACGACGTGCAGTAAGTACTTTTGTATACGCTCCAAGACACTCGGACTCTCCTTCTACTTATGGCCACCATCTTGATGCTAACCTGCGACAGGATGACCAAAGTCGTCTGGTCGCCGTTTAGTCCTGCTGAGGCTGCACAGGTAGGTGTTGTCGGGCGTCGCCATGTGCGGGCGGCTGATGGTGTACTAGACGAAGAATGGCAAGCCGAGACTCATCCGCCTGGCATCCACGTCGCTTTCAGGGTCAATATCCGTGGACACTTTCGAGCTTAGGCATTCCAATGAACGCAAGTGAGTAACACGCGCCCTATCCACGAGAACGCCAACTGATTGGCCAGTGTTCTTCTCTCATCCATGAACCGCAGACTCTACAACACTGCCATATATGCCGCATGTGCTTTTATAGCGCTAATGCTGGCCCTCATGGTGCAGTCGCTTTTCGATCCGGAGGGCAACTTGACAAAAGGAATCATTCCTGCATCACTGCAGAACGCGGCTAGCGGCGCCAAAGCCCCGGGTGTCCTGATGGAAGACGCTCGTCGAGCACAAACCCACCTGGATCACGCGACGGCCCCTGTGGCTAAGACGTCACAGCGCATACGCGACATGCTCAGTCGGGATCAGAAGGACAAGGAGGAACAGGCGCAGAAGAGAGCTCTGATCATCCACCATGACCCAGAGGCGGACTCGTCGCTGAGCACTGAAGTTCACGAGGGTGAGGAAGAAGATATAGTGAAGAAACATACCAAAGCCAAACGCTGGCAGGAGCTCTCCCAGGCGGAACGCCAAAGATGGAAGGAGAAGCTGGTAAAGGCTGGTATGTGGGCGGTGGAGGAGGGGGAAACCATCTTGAAGGGCATCTTCTTCTCCGAGGCCGCGGGCTTTGTCGGAAATGTTGCTCAGGGGGTGATCAATGGGTGAGGGCGGTCACTCGATTGGGTTCCCGGTCAGAGTCGCCCTCGTCAGTAAGTGGAATGGTGCTCCACGGCCGTGCCCTGCAGTGTTTCTAATGGGAATTGGCTATTCGCGAGTGGTCGCAAACTCCCTTATAATTATGATATGCGTATGAGCGGAGTCTTGTAAATGTAAATGTCGTCGTTGAGACCTCGCCTTCCTTGACCGCGCTCTGGTTCAAATGCAGTCACCGAAGGCGTATCCGCATCCATCAATTCCAAGCAATCTGCATGACGTTCGTCGAGCGGCCCACCTCTTGATGGTCATCCTGTTTGGGAAAGCGGTGAACATTGAGGCCCGTGCGTTGACACAGGCTTGGCGGGTGATGTCTACCGCACTGGAGCTCATCCTCCGCAACCACGGCTTAAGACGTGCCCCACGCCGACTCCCTGCGTTTACTCTCCCTTCTTCCTGTCTATGGCAGGCAACCGTCTCTCCTTTTGCGCTGCCGCCTGCTCTGGGTGACGCCCGCACTATGGCGCAGCAACCCCCATTGACCGCGGCCCTCGACCGCATCACCAGCGAGCTCCGATCCAAGTACCAGCACCTTTAACTTTACTCTTGCGGGCTACCTTGCTGATCTCGAAAAGGAATGATGATACCCGCCAGAAAGCCGCCCACCAACTGCGGCAGACCGTCGAGGTCGCTCATCGAGGTTCGTCACCATCACTTGACATGTGCCAGGACTTCTCTCCGCTCACCACTGCAGAACTCCCTCCGAGCTCCTTCGCGAATTACTACAGCGATGTAAATAGTCGCATTTCTAATCTCATCATCAATGGAAACGACTCCAGCGACCGCATCGGCGGTATACACGCCCTCAACGCCCTCATCGACTTCAAAGGCGACGATGCCGGCCAGAAGACAACCCGCTTTGCCAGCTATCTCCGCAGCGTTATGCGGGGCTCCGACTACGCTGCCATGTATGTGGCTGCAAGAGCTCTGGGAAGACTGGCCAAGCCGGGGGGCACACTGACTGCCGAACTGGTAGACGCGGAGGTCAAAGGGGCGTTGGAATGGCTGCAGCTGGACCGCACCGAGGCTCGCCGCTTTGCAGCAGTCCTGATATTGAGGGAATTGGCGAGGAACTCACCCACCCTCATGTACCAATGGATCGCCCAGATATTCGAGGTCATCTGGGTCGCACTCCGCGATCCCAAAGTACTCATTCGCGAATCCGCAGCCGAGGCCATCAGTGCTTGCTTCGAGATAATATCTCCCAGGGACTCACAGATGCGCCAATTGTGGTTCGGCCGCGTATACGAAGAGATATTCAAAGGTTTCGCGCTTGGGACCAACGAAGCGATCCACGGGTCATTGCTCACGATGAAGGAATTGCTGGACAAGAGCGCGCTCTTCATGGATAACCAGAAATACAGAGAGTGCGTCGAGAAAGTCTTCTCCTACCGCGAGTGGAAGGAACCACTTGTTCGACGGGAGGTGGTTTTGATTATCCCTATCCTGGCTGCCTACTCGCCTACAGAGTTCGCAAGCAAGTACCTACACCAACACATGCTGTATCTCCAAGGGCTCATTCGGGCAAATCGCGACATGGATAATGCATTTGTGGCTGTTGGACGCATTGCCAACGCTGTCGGTGTCGCAATCGCACCTTATCTCGAAGGTGTGCTCGGCTTCATTCGAGAAGCTCTGACTTCCAAATCGTGAGTCTGGTTGGCACATACGACCCCGTGATGAGGCAGCTGACCATTTCCACAGAACCCGCAAGGTTCTCGTCAATGAAGCGTCCGTGTTCCAATGCCTCAGTATGATCGCTGCCGCAGTCGGACAGGCGTTGAGCAAGTACGTCGACCAGCTACTAGATCCGATCTTTTCGCGCGGCTTGAGCGAACCCCTCTTCCAGGCTCTCGTGGACTTGGCTCACTATGTACCCCCTTGTCGTCCGATTATACAAGAGAGGCTTTTGGACCTTATCAGTCACATCTTGGCCGGCCGGCAGTTCCTGCCCCTTGGGAATCCATACCAAGCGTCATCTCCGCCACAGATCTGGACCCGGGATCACAAAGATAGCGCGACCATCGCGCAAAAGGAACAAGAGATAGCCCTTGCTCTCCAAACGTTGGGCAGTTTCGATTTCACCGGGCATGTTCTCAATGAATTCGTGCGCGACGTTGCAATTCGCTATGTCGAAGCGGACAACCCGGAGATACGACGGCGCGCTGCACTGACTTGCTGTCAGCTGTTTGTGAAAGATCCTATCGTGCATCAAACGAGCACCCACGCTACGAAGGTCGTGGGAGAAATCATCGAGAAATTGCTCACGGTTGGCGTTGGCGATGTTGATGCCCAGATACGTTTCGAAGTCCTCATGGCTCTTGATGCTCGGTTCGACCGCCATCTTGGAAAGGCCGACAACGTCAGAACCTTGTTCCTCGCGCTTAACGATGAAATGTTCTCCATTCGAGAGGCCGCCATGACCATCATCGGGAGGCTTACACGTGTTAACCCAGCCTACGTATTTCCTTCCCTACGCAAGGTCCTCATCCAGCTGTTAACTGAGATCAACTATTCGAATAGCGCACGGAACAAAGAGCAGAGTGCCAGGCTCATCAGCAACCTTGTTGGTTCTGCCGACGCCCTCATCAAACCCCTCGTAGATCCCATCGTCAATGTGCTCCTGCCTCAAGCCCAGGATACTAATAATCCGGAGGTTGCCTCAACCACACTCAAGGCTATTGGCGATCTCGCGACTGTCGGCGGCGAGGATATGACCAAATATATCAAAAAGCTGATGCCGACTATCTTGGAATTCATGCAGGATCTGGGTTCCGATTCCAAACGGTTCGCTGCACTTCGCACCTTGGGCCAGCTGGCTACGAATGCAGGATATGTGATTGAACCTTATAGGGACTATCCAGAACTCATGGATATCCTTACAAACATCGTAAGATCTGAACCCGAGGGCGAACTACGAAGGGAAACAGTTAGGCTGATGGGCACGCTTGGGGCTCTCGATCCGGACGAGTATCAGAAGATCATAGAGCGATCTCCTGACGAACAATTGGTTTCCGAATCACAGGCAGTGACAGATGTCACTCTCATCATGCAGGGTATTACCCCCTCGAATGAGGAATACTACCCGACCATCGTTATCAGCACTCTCATGACGCTCCTCAAAGACACGTCACTCGTACAGTTCCACTCCGCTATCGTCGATGCGGTCATGAACATCTATGCCACCATGGGTCTCAAGTGTGTTCCCTTCCTCAATCAAGTCGTTCCCGGGTTCTTGACAGTCATACATGGAGCTCCAGCAGGACGAGTGGAGGGCTACTTCAACCAACTAAGCCAACTGGTGCGTATCGTTCGCCAGCACATTCGACCCTACCTTCCGGATATATTACGCACTATAAACGAATTTTGGAGTGGCAGCCCGCAGCTCCAGGCCACTATCCTCTCTCTTATCGAGTCGATCTCGCGTTCGCTGGAAGGTGAATTCAAGGTCTATCTTGCGGATGTCCTTCCTCTTATGCTTGGTGTCTTGGACATCGACCAGACCAGCAAACGGTTACCGTCTGAAAGAGTTCTTCATGCATTCCTCATCTTCGGTTCCAGCGCTGAGGAGTACATGCACTTAATCATCCCGGTCATCGTGAACATGTTCGATAAGACCGGTCAGCCCTTGTCCATTCGGAAACAAGCGATCGAAACTGTCGGCCGGTTGTCGAAGCAGGTCAATATATCCGAATTCGCCGCACGCATCATCCATCCACTTACTCGTGTGCTCGCTGGGACCGAGCAATCCTTGAAACAGACAGCTCTTGAAACCCTCTGCGCACTCATCTTCCAACTTGGGCCGGATTACATACATTTTGTACCAACGGTCAACAAAATCCTCGTCCAACACAAGGTTCCTCATTCCAACTATGCGCTGATCGTGTCGAAGCTGCAGAAAGGCGAGCCTTTACCCCAGGACTTGAGCCCCGACGAACGTTATGGGGAAGACGACGAGGACCTCAATCCTGCCGAGATAATGACGAAGAAGCTTGCGGTCAACCAACAGCACCTGAAACAAGCCTGGGAAGCATCGTCAAAGTCCACAAGGGAAGACTGGGTCGAATGGATTCGACGTTTCAGCGTCGAACTGCTTCGAGAATCGCCGCAGCAAGCGCTCCGGGCATGTACGCCATTAGCCAGTATATACAATCCGATCGCACGAACGCTGTTCAATTCGGCGTTTGTATCGTGTTGGACAGAGCTGTACGACCAATACCAGGAGGAGCTTGTGAGATCGTTAGAGACAGCACTCACCTCGCCTAACATCCCCCCCGAAATATTACACGTCCTTTTGAACCTTGCGGAGTTCATGGAACACGACGACAAGGCACTACCCATAGATGTTAGGATACTAGGGATGTACGCCGGCAAATGTCATGCTTTCGCAAAAGCACTCCACTACAAGGAATTGGAGTTCAATGCTGAACAGAATCCCAACGCGGTGGAGGCCTTGATAAGTATTAACAATCAACTGCAACAAACTGACGCAGCTTTCGGAATCCTTCGTAAGGCGCAGAACTATTCGGACGTTGAAATCAAGGAAACATGGTATGAAAAACTGCAGAACTGGGAGATGGCGTTGCAGGCATATCAGAAACGAGAACGCGAAGAGCCCGAGTCGTTCGATATTACTATGGGCAAAATGCGTTGTTTGCATGCGCTTGGCGAATGGGACGTACTGTCTAGCTTATCGAAAGAGAAATGGGCTACTGCGAGTCCGGACTACCGTAAGCTGATTGCTCCACTTGCTGCAACAGCTGCCTGGGGCTTGGGCAAGTTCGCCGATATGGATACCTACCTTGGCGTGATGAAGGAGCAGTCACCCGACCGAGCCTTCTTCGCATCAATCTTGAACATCCATAACAATCGTTTCGAGATTGCGACGGAAGAGATCGCCAAGGCCAGGAAGGGATTGGACACTGAACTGAGCTCGCTGCTCGGCGAGTCGTATCAGCGCGCCTACCTCCCGATGATACGTGTGCAAATGCTTGCTGAGTTGGAAGAAATCATACAATACAAGCAGAACCAGTCGAACCCTGAAAAACAAGCGAGTATGCGAAAGACCTGGATGAAACGTTTGAGGGGTCTTCAGCCAAATCCCGAGGTTTGGCAGCGCATGATGAAGGTGCGCCGACTTGTCATCACGCCGCAAGAGAGCATGGGCATGTGGATTAAGTACACAAATCTATGTCGCAAACATCGCCGCTACGGTCTTGCAGAGAAGGCACTGCAAAAGTTGCTTGACATTGATGGGGAGAACATCTTCAGCTACGTGCGTGAGCACAACGGCGAGATTCCGTATCCAGTATCTTATGCTGCCTTCAAATATATGTGGGCGTCATCAGGGGACTGGATAGACCGCAAACAGGAGGCTTTGGAATCGCTAAAGGAATTTACGGCCCGGCTCTCAGATGACCTGGCAATGAAAGCAAGAGCAAATGCGAATATGATGACGCAGAATGGAATGAACGGATACACGAACGGTCATATGATCAACGCAATGAACCCATTTGCGGTCGCGAATGGCGTAAACGGCGTTCATGGAATGAATGGCTCCAGCTTACTTACTGGATCAACCGCGACCTCTTCGCAGTTTGATCTGACCGAATGTCAACGCCTACTCGCCAAATGTTACCTGAAGCAGGGCGAATGGCAGACATTTTTGCATCACAGCGAATGGGACCACGACGACGTTCATGAGATCTTGTCGGCTTATGCCGCGGCGACGCGGTACAACCAGAATTGGTACAAGGCATGGCACTCTTGGGCATTGGCCAACTTCGAGGTTGTCAATAATATCACCTCGAAAGCGGATCGCGAAACAACTGAAGTCCCGTCGAATGTGGTCCACGACCACGTGGTCCCTGCGATTCATGGCTTCTTCAAATCAATCGCACTTTCGTCTTCTAGCTCCCTCCAAGATTCGCTCAGGCTCCTCACATTGTGGTTCAGTCATGGTGGGTTGCCTGAAGTGAATCGCACTATCAGCGAGGGCACGAAGACAGTCCCCATCGACACCTGGTTGGAAGTCATCCCACAGCTTCTTGCTCGCATCAACCAGCCGAATCCGACTGTCAGACAATCCATACACCAGCTGCTCATTGAGGTGGGCAAAGCGCACCCGCAGGCCCTCATTTTCCCCTTGACTGTCTCCATGAAGTCGGATGTATCGCGTCGTCAACGATCAGCCAGGGAGCTTATGGAGGCGATGCGAGAACACTCACCTAAGCTTGTGGAGCAGGCTGACCTGGTTAGTACGGAACTCATTCGAATTGCCGTTCTCTGGCATGAGCAATGGCATGAAGGCCTCGAGGAAGCATCTAGGCTCTACTTCGGCGACCGTGACATTGAAGGCATGTTCGCCACTCTGGCCCCACTGCATGCCATGCTGGATAAGGGCCCCGAGACGCTGCGGGAAATTTCCTTCATACAGTCATTCGGCAGAGAGTTGCAGGAAGCTCGCGACTGGTGCAACACGTATCGCACGTCTGGCGAGGCAGGCGATTTGAACCAGGCATGGGACCTGTACTATCAAGTGTTCCGGAAGATCGCGCGTCAATTACCGTCCCTGATGACCTTGGAGCTCCAATATGTGTCACCGAAGCTAAAGGAAGCGCGCGACCTGGAATTGGCCGTACCTGGGACGTATCAAGTTGGCAAACCCGTCATCCGCATCATGTCTTTCAATCCAGTGGCCTCTGTCATTCAGTCCAAGCAGCGGCCTCGCAAAATTGAGATGATGGGCAGTGACGGGAAGGCGCACACGCATATCCTGAAGGGACACGAGGATATCCGGCAAGATGAGCGTGTGATGCAGTTGTTCGGCCTATGCAACACGCTTCTCATGAACGACGCCGAGTGCCGCAAGAGGCATCTGAGCATTCAACGTTATGCTGCAGTCCCCCTGTCCACACAATCAGGTCTCCTGGGCTTCGTGCCGAACAGCGATACGCTTCACGTGCTGATTCGGGAGTATCGCGAGAGCCGCAAGATTCTTCTGAACATTGAGCATCGCATCATGCTCCAGATGGCTCCGGATTACGATTGCCTTACACTGATGCAGAAGGTCGAAGTCTTCGGATATGCTTTGGATAATACTACGGGACAAGACCTGTACCGAGTGCTCTGGCTAAAGAGTAAAAGCTCTGAAGCATGGCTCGATCGGCGTACCAACTATACTCGATCGTTGGCGGTCATGTCCATGGTCGGGTACATCCTCGGGCTGGGCGATCGACATCCTTCCAACCTGATGCTGGACAGAGTGACGGGCAAGATCATCCACATTGATTTCGGTGACTGTTTCGAGGTGGCAATGAACCGCGAAAAGTATCCTGAACGCGTACCTTTCCGCCTGACGCGTATGTTGACGTACGCGATGGAAGTGAGCAACATCGAGGGCAGCTACAGGACGACATGCGAGCATGTGATGGAAGTTCTCCGAAAGAATAGGGAGTCGGTTATGGCGGTACTGGAAGCTGTAAGTCCTGGACCCTCCAATGACTGATCAACACTAACGGTTCATCAGTTCATCCACGATCCACTGCTCACTTGGAGACTGGGCAACCGCGAGTCTCCTCCAGAACCCTCATTTCCATCCGAACGCCGGCAGTCCATCATTGGCGATGCGGAACGAGACATGAGCTCTCTGGTACGCAACCGCCCTCGTCTCAGCATTGCGCCGACAAACGACGCGGAGGCGAAGGAAGTGCAGAACGCCAGAGCTCTGCAAGTCCTCTCGCGCGTCAAGGACAAGCTGACGGGGCGCGATTTCAAGGGAGCCAAGGAATTAAAGCATACGGAACAGGTGGAACGGCTTATCAAGGAAGCGACGAATCTGGAGAATCTGTGTCAGCATTATATAGGGTGGTGCAGTTTCTGGTAGAGTTCGAGCAGGCGGGCTCTTGCAAATGCAAGCTCTCTGTCATACTCGGAAAAGAGGAGATTAGTGGTTGGGATGAGACTATCACGGCGAACTGGGTGCTCGGTATATCCGAGCTTTCGACCCGTATCTGTCGGAAGGGCAAGCACGGTTATCATGTAGGAGATGATTTGGCCAGTCCTTGGTTGTTGCAGCCATCATGGGCGAGCTTGTCTATAGGCTTGGGCTGGGGAGTATCGGTTCGGTGGCATTTCGTGGGGAGCATGGGTCGGTGTTCTTGTTCACTTGGATTGTTGGCGGGGTGTTTTAGTAGTGGGATAGGCACATGATGGAGCCTGTTCCTTTTGATGGATCAAATGATTCTGAGAAGATGTGGACTTGATGATGACTGTTGCGTTCAGGCCCTTTGAAAGATACAATGGCGTGTTACTACTGTGTATGTAGAAACTTCGTACGAGATCCTACATCGTCTCGCTCAACAACCCCCATAAGTTTCGGTCGCCGGCTGGGATCAAGCCACAGTGGAGTGGATCGGTGACGTCAGTAGCATGGCTTCACCTGATTGGTTTGGGCAGCGCATGTAAAGACACAGCAATGGCCTTATCTGAACTTCAGAAATTCACGCACCACTTTGTACTCTCTGCATTCTGATTGGAAAGGGCTGTAATGGGTTGCTCCTTTCGTTTTCTATCATTAACCCCAGAAGACTCAAGATTCCGGAGATAGAGATTTTTCTCGGCAAGCAGGAACATTTCCGAGGGCATTAACAATCTGCATCTACATTCATGGGCATTAGACATATGAAATCGACAAGGAAGTGCAATGCGCAACAGCCACAACGACAACGGCAAGAAGGACAACGATGAAGACGCTTTGTCTCACGCCTCAACGGCATCCGATTCGAGCGCAACTGCGAGATTGAAGTGGCGGAACCACGAGTCGCTCAGTACGCCTCTACCCGAAACCCGGGAAAAGAATCCGTTCGAGGACTATGGGGAGAGTCCTTCTTCGGGGGTCGTGGAGAGCAGTGGGAGCAGTGCGAGCACTGGATGTAATAGTACGCAGCATAAGGATGACAGGGAGGCAAAGGTGAAGAGAAGGAAGAGCAAGAATAAGAACGGAAGGAGCAGGGAAACGGATAATCGCCGCTCCAGCAGCCGTCGAGGAAACGTCGCTCATAGGCATCATGCACCGAAGAGGGACACCATTGAGGGCGACAAGGAGGGGCGTGGCATGGCGGAGAACCGAAACGACGAAATCAGAGAGGCGGAGTCGCTAGAGGGGAAGATTGGGTTCCGTGGGCGCATACGGCATTTCACTTGGACGTGGTTTACGATGACCATGGCGACGGGTGGGATTGCGAATGTCTTGTATACTGGTATGCATCCTCTTACTCCTTCACTCGACCCTTGTACACGAAACTAACAAGTCCCAAGTGCCCTTCCGTTTCAGCGGCCTCTATGCGATAGGGTGCCTCTTCTTCATTTTCAACATCGTCCTCTTCCTCTTCAACATCACCATGATCAGCCTGCGATTCTACTACTATCCGCGCACGTTCCGGGCATCGTTTTTGCATCCCACCGAATCGCTCTTCATACCGGCGGCAGTGATAAGCTTCGGTACGATCCTCATCAACATCTCCCAGTACGGGGTCGTTCACTCGAGGGTGTGGCTGCAGCATGTCATGCAGGTCATGTATTGGATTGACTGCGGTCTGGCGGTTCTCTTCTCCATTGGCATCTATCTGATCATGTAAGACTCTGATCCGTGAAGCCCATACATCCACAGTTCCACCCGCGATCTCCGCTACTCCCTCACTCCTCTCCTTGGATCCAGTCTCCCCAAAGCTAACAACATCGCAGGTGGTCCACCCAAACCTTCACCATCTCCCAAATGACGCCCGTCTGGATCTTCCCCGCCTACCCGCTCCTCATAATCGGCCCGCACGCCTCCAACCTCTCCCCCAAAATCACGTCCCCAACCACGGCCCTCTGCATCATCGTCTCCGGCTTCGTCATCCAGGGCATCGGATTCCTCGTCTCCCTGATGATCTACTCGGCCTTTCTCTACCGCCTCATGACGCAGAAGTTACCCAAGGAGAGCATCCGACCGGGCATGTTCATCAGCGTCGGACCCAGCGGCTTCACCATCGCAGGCGTCATCGGCATGGGCCAGCAGCTCCCCAACGTCGTGCCCCGGGACTTCATGGGCGAGGGTCTCGGCGAACTCGCCGGCAACGTGAGCATGATCTGCGCCAACTGGGTGGGACTCTGGCTGTGGGGTCTCGCGCTGTGGTGGTTCTTCGTCAGCGTCGGCGCCCACTGGAGCTGCGCGAGGAAGGGTCGCTTGGACTTCGCCATGACGTGGTATTCGTTTGTGTTTCCCAATACGGGGCTCACGACGGCGACGTTTGCGGTTGCGAGGGCGTTGGGGGACAATAGGCCGATTCAGTATGTCGGGTGTGCGATGACGGTTCTGCTGGTTGTGGTCTGGGTGGCTGTGTTTGCCATGATGATTCGTGCGGTGGTGAAGAGGCAGATTTTGTGGCCGCAGAAGCAGGAGGATCGCGATGAGGGCGGGTGGAAGGGGGAGAAAGAGGAGGTTGTCTATAGTAGGAGGACGGTGTCGGATGCGGAGAATGGGTTGAGGATTATCAGGACGCTGAGTAGGAGGAGTAGGCGGGCGAGAAGGGCCGATGGGAAAGGGAGGGTTAGGGACGATTTGGGAGAGTGAGAGACGATGTTGCTGGGTAGGGTTAGTGAAAATACGCACAATTACTTGCGACCTCTGGTGATATTGATCAGTTGTGAGATGGCATAGAGAAATGTTCGTGGATGTCTCGTACTTGGATGAATGGGTCTCAATACACCAACTGCCTTCAGCTGGTCCGAAATGCACGTGGGTATTCACTACCTATCAGAAGGAAATGGACGAGAGAAGAATCATTGATGGTTATCCTAGTGTAACACGTACGCCTGAAATGTGGTCCTGCAATGCGCAAGATGGGGTATCTAGCAATAAACTCAAGCCTTTGGTTGGCACCGGCCCTGAGATCAAAGTGGAACCCTTCCTGAGAACGCCGAAATATGCTGACTCCATGATTCTGAAGCAAAAAGAAGGCTCGGCAAACAGCAAGACCCGATCTTCCGAGGACATTCGACTTAGAAGTCATCCGGGATATCCTCGAACCCAACGTCTTCATCTGAGATGTACATTCCCGTGTCTTCCAACGGTTCCTCCTCGTACTCTTCCTCCTCTTCATACTCTTCCTCAACTTCCTCATCGCCTTTATCCTGGATCTCCACCACTTCCTTCTGCTGAGCTGCTTGAGGCGTCGCCGCGGCTTCAGCGGGAGTACCAGCCGACGGGCTGCTCTCCTCCCCTGTCTGCTCACCCGGTCCAATAAACTCCTGCAGTTTTGCGTAGTCGATATGGGAACTGAACTTCGCACGCTTCTGCATCATCTTCTCCACCGCCTCGGCAGAACTAGCTGCGGGTTTACCGCCAAGCACACTTCCGTCACCCAGGACCGAGCGCTTGTACTTGCGTTTCGGCTTTTTCGTCTTGCCGCTGGCCTCCTCGAGTGCCTTGGCCAGCAGCTTCGCTTGCTGAGCACGGAGCCAATCTTCATTCTGTGTCGTCCAGATCTTCTCCTTCAGGAGCACCTCCTGCGGCGTATTCAGGCAATTCCGGACATCCTCGTCGTCCTCGAATTCATCTTCGCCAACCTCCTCGGTGAGTCGGATGTTCCCGTTCGGCATATGCTCTTTGACAAGCAATTGTGCCTTGTCTCCCGCGGCCCGAAGCACAGGGTGGTTGTCGTTGGTGCTGAATTCCGAAAAGATGTCTTCCCATGCACGTATGTTCTCCCTGACTTCTCTCTCAATATCGGCTTCGATTTCAAGATCTTCCGGGGCGATCACAATGGGTGCAAGCTTCTTAGATGGGCGTCCTCGCCTCTTTGGGAGAGTCAACTCCTCCCCATCCTCTTCCACTAGGGCTTCGGGCGCTGCGGCGGCTGCGACATACTCCAGATGAGCCTCGCTCTCGAAATCCATGGCATCCTGGGCTTGGACCTCGGGATTAAGACGGATATCTGGGATCAGGAAGCCATCAGCATCTCCAGTCGCCGGACCTGAAGGCGGACCCGAAGACGTTGGCTGAGTATTATCGTTGGATGTTTTTCGCTTCTTGCTGGCCGTCTTGGCGGGCGCTGCGGCTCTCGGGACGACCTCTGCATCAGCTGTAACATCTTCATCATCAGGCTGGCCCGCAAGAGCAGCTGCTCGTTTTCTTTTACTCTCCTCCTTCTCCTGACGCTTATATATAGCAGGGGGAAGCATGTTGTCCTTCAAACGGAGGCCGTACTCTCGCCATTGCGCAACAGTCAGGTTGGAGCTTTTGGTACGCTTGAATTCGGTCAAGCGCTGATTGATTGTCGAATCGGCCACCTTGACACAGTAGACAACCTCTCGCACTGTCCGACGGAAGCCGTTCATGCGCGCCGCAATGATGATGGCGGCCCCGATGAGCCCTGCGGGCTGCCGTCCCTCTACCATCCAGTCTCTGTGCATGCGCTTCAGCAACTTGCAAGCGTCCTCGGCGACCCTGTAGGAGTCGCTCTCAAATTCTAGTCTCCGGCAGAACTTCAGAACGAGCGGTTCAAGCTGCGGCACCTTATCGATACCCTGCACGCTGGCCGGGTCGGTGTCCATGATGGTTGCCAGAAACTGCTTGTACGTGTCTCCAAGTACCCAAACATTGACACGGATCCTCTCCGCCAAATCCATCAAAAGCAGGGTTGACTCTCTCTGTTTGCGGTCGGCAAGGTAGATGCAACAGGCAGCGACGTTGCGAATTCGGCGGCCCTGGACAAAGTTGTTGATCGATGCAAGCTTGTAGAGGCTGTATGCCATGTCTTTGACGACCTCGCGCAAGTTCAGAGCCGCCACGAGGCCGATGATCTCTTGTTCGCCTTTGCGCAATGTCTTTTCTCGGTTTTCGAGGCCAGGTAGGCCGCGCACGGTCCCGCCCATGGTGTTTGCATAGCGCTGGTTCTCTCCGACAAAGCCACCTTGGACGACGGCAGCACCTGTAGATGTCTCTCCGAAGGTGATCTCGGCGCGAAGTTCACTCTCGAGGTTGAATTGTGCACCGCAGTTTGCACATTCCTGACCTCCACCATCGAGGCTCTGAATATCTGGCGCGTCGCAGCAGGTGTGGGTGGCATCTTGAGTACTTTTTTCACCGCGTGGAGGGGAGTTGCGGGGAGTAGGCCGACGAGTACTCGCTGTAACTGGCGTGTTCAAGCCTTCGAGACGCTCGCGCCGGCGGCGAGGGCCTGCTACGAGGGCTGACATGGTGAGTCAGGCCACATGCAGCAAGATAGAATATCAATGCAACCCGTCGGAGAGCGTGTGCACAAGCGTGAGAGTGCTCAAAAATGAAGAAGTGAGTGGAGAGTGGAAAAGGTAGCAATGCGGCATTCAATGGCCGGGGACGTTGGTGGGGAGCGATTAATGCCAAGGATCTAACCGCAAAAGTAGTAGCGTTGCCGCAGCGTACTTGGCGGCATTGGTTCGCTGGAAGAAAGGCGAACAGCCCTGGAGGCGTCAAAATGGGGGCACGGGCAACTGCAGAGAGTCGCGTTTATTGCTGTCGAGCCCCCAGCAGGCTGACGGAGTGCCGTGCCGGAAGTCAGCCTCTTTCAGTTCTCCCGTACTCGGTGAGATGCTGCGACAGATATCCTAATATGGACTGAGAGCCCATTGGTCGCACTGAAGGGAGCGGTCCCCTTGCGCACTGCCGCCGCTCTCCCAGCCCCCCCCAAAAACAGGACTACATGTTCCCCCTCCACCTCTCACGTTCTCCGCCCCAAACCCATTCCCATCCATTGACTCCCAATCTCTGTACCCACCTCAATCAGCTCCCCATACAAACATGTCCACGCGCAAGAGAAAGCAGGATGACGAGGAGCTTGTAGCTCTTCCGTCAGACGAGGAGGAGAGCGAAGAGGAGTGAGTGACGCCGGCCTCTTGACGTCATGCCATTGCCCCTATTCCATTCACTGCCTCTGCATTACCCTACCGCCCACTCTATTCTCTACTTCATATTATTGTTTTCGATTTCCAATGCACGCTGAATCGTGATTTGTGATGATTTGTGCCCAATACCAGAGACCGGCCCTGCAACGACTGACAATCATTGTGCCAGATATGACGAGTCGGAAGGCTCTGAGGCATCTTTTGATGAGGAAGAAGAAGAGGAGTCCGAGGAGGAGGAAGTAGAGGCTCCACGTAAGTATTTCTTGCAGGGTACTTCGTCGCTTCTAACTTCGTCGACCTAGCTCCAAAGAAGAAGGCCAAATTGGCCAAGGATGCCAAAAAGAAGGGTGAAGAGCCCCAAGAGGAAGAGGAAGAGGAAGAGGAGGTAGAAGAAGAGGAGGAGGAGGAAGAGGAGGCTGAAAATGGAGAGGAGGAGGGCAGCGAGGGAGAGGAGGCCAAAGCTACCAAGAAGAAGGCCGCTCCTGCGAAGGAACAAAAGGTGTCAGGTAGCAAGAAGGAGGCTGCCAAGGTTACCGCAGATGACGATGATGATGAGGAGTAGCGGTCGGTCGATGGGACTGACGTATGCGCTCCGAGTATGAACACTTCAGTTGGTGTCGCTATTTCCCTGGGCATCTCATGCCGCTGTTTCTACATGCTATAAACAGTCTGGAGCGTCCAATGCAGGCTCATGTCATAGCGCGGAGCAGATCACTGTGCAACTCTCGCCTCCGCCTCCTCTCTTCACCCTCTGCTCAGTTGTGGTGGTCGCTGTCTTCGCATCTGTTTCTCTGGTTGGCCCATGCCGTAATCCTGCCAGTCTTATTGACAAGAACAAAAACAGCGCGCCATGATCATGGCTGTGACTTTGTGATGCGTTTAGAAGCGCTGCGATGTTGTTTCCTTTTGGTCTTCACTGGTTTGAATTCAAGAATATTATGGATATTCCGACACGGTGCAAGACATGAGAATCGAACACGAGATAAAGACCGTGGAAGTGAATCAGAGAATATCCTGGTAAGATTGCCCACGCAGTATTCAGTAACGTAGAGCCGGCAATGGCTTCAGAGTATTGTCGAACTTGGAGCTCATCACTCACTTCTGGCTCTTCAGTCAACCTCAGCTCAACACTTCGCTGCTGCACAACCAGTAACGAGCCTTATGCAATCTCATGCGCCAAGGGTAAACGCCCTTCAAGTTCTAATAGATTGCGCACTGAAGCTGGCGTTCGTGGAGTACTCCCGTGGAATAGTTGATCGCTGACCACGGGGCGAGTCTGCAGGCTCACTGACGTTTTTCATCGGAACTTTGACGTTTCTCGTCTTTGATGATTGCTTTTCTTGTTTATAAGAGACTTGGATACTCTTACAAAGTATCTCGAAGACATCAAGCACCACATGGCATATCCCGCCTTGTCGAAGTGCTAATTCACCATCCTATTATATCTCGGCTAGAGCGAAGAGCAAACCTGACAAAGTTAATGGCAGGCAGGTGCCAGAAGTATGTATGCAGGAATGAACTTCAATGGGAGCCGCTCTGGTCAATTCATTAGATGATGGGCTAGTTGGTTCGACCCAGTCGAAAAGGCAACACTTCAATTGTTCAACCAGGGACTTGCCTAACACTGAAAATGCGCACCGTGCGTTCTGTCCTCATTGGCCGAAGAGTTGGCAACACGCATCAGATTGTGGATGAAGTCCAATGGGATGCTATTACATGCCACTGTTTGATATCTTGTGTTCTATTCACTCTCGCCTGACGCCCTTTGACTGGTCATAAACCCAATCCATAGACGTCTGGATCACTGGCCCTTGGTGTCCTACTGTATTGTGAGGAGTTAGAATGCATATCTTCAGATTGTGCTGATGTCTGACTCCAGGAACGTGTGAACCACCCGTGGTAGTGACCTTGCGGTATGAGTGGGCATCCATATTCAAGTATTCCTTTCCCTGAGTAAAATGGATTCGTCTGGACGAAGCTTGCCATGTATTTCTCGCGTGAAAAGTGCATGGCGACTAGCCACTGCAGTGCACTGTCCCACATGAGTGCTCGTGCCTGCCAGTCAAGTTCCGCTAAAGCGCAAAAGTACGTCTATCTGAAAACCTGGATCCATTCCCAGCTTAAGATCGTCAGCCTCAAGAGCAACATATGACGCTGCAACTTTCTGAACAAAAAGACCGTTCATGTGACCTTGTGAGAGAGGAGCAACCGTGCAGTAACCTCAGATGGCTGAGACAGGAGCAATCTGACACTAGGCGGTGCTCGGATGAGTCGATAAGAGGTCGCCGAGCTGGAATGAGCTCTGTCCCTGAGAGGACGATCGTATGCAAGCAAGCAGACCCTGGAACCATCATACTGGACTCTACCTCTCAACACCGCCTCACCGCAAGCGAAAAGACTTCAAAACACACAGTAACAGTACATATTTCCGACTTTGCGAGCGCGTTTCTCCAGCGCCTTGGCGCATCGCGACCGTATCTCGGAGTCGGCGGTGAGGCTGCGGTGAGGCGTTCAGCCTCCTCGCGCAAAGAAGGGGTCAGCGGTGAGTGCCAGCGCCTAGCGAGGGGAGAACCAGTGTATGGGGATGCGTTGTGCGACGCGTAAATGAACGAATGGGTCCAGGCTGCTTGCATGTAACCTTGACGGTGGCATAGGGCTGCGTGGTGTTGAGGGAGAGGACGGAGTACTGTGTGTAGAGCAGCGACAGACGAGCGAATAGGCCTACAGGCGCAGAGAGTGCATGAGAGCTGGTCACTGCAGGGTGTTATCTGTGATGGCTTTGGAAACTCCAACCTGAAGGGGAAGCAAAGGGCGACGGTGTGGTGGTTCCGTTGACAGCTGGGGAATGCGATCGATCGATGGTTGGTCGGCTTGCAGTCCCGCACGGAATACGGAAACAGTGCGATTGATATGGTACAAGTGCTCGCACATCATTTCTAAGAGATCAGTGATGTATGACGACACTTCAGGTCGAGACTCTGGTTACGGTCCTTTTTGACCACGCCATAAGCAGGAGACAATGATGCGGGGAAGAACCATTATGATTCATCACGCTTCAAAGGGTTTGTCATCTGGGATTGTTAAGCTGTTGACCAACAACCAATGGTGTGCGCAGCCTTGCTCAACGCTGCTCCAGTTAGTAATACGAGAAGACTTCAACACAACGTTATTATGAGAAATGACTGCAGGGCCAGACGGGTGAGGGTTCGGGCACAAAGCGGAGGAAAGAAGACAGACCGGTTGTTGGCGGTGACTTATGCGGTGGCTTTTTTGTTGCTGCACTGCACAGTCGGCTACAATGACTGCGACCGTGGCTGATGAGGGCCAGGACGAAAGCCAGCGCATCAACGCTCCAACAGCCCCCGCGGTGTGCCTGAAGATTGTTACAGGCCCACAGACAGTGCACACGTAAGGCTCCACGCTGAATCCCAGGCACCAAAGTGACCATGCCACAAACCGCCCTTGGTGAGGACTCAGGGAGCGCATTCTCAAACGGGCGAAATTGCAGCTGATGGCGGCGTGGACAGGCACAGTGTCTCTTTGGGAGCAGAGTTCGAGATCACAGGGGCAGAGAGTCGGTGATGCAATGGATGCAGGACGATATTTTACCATGGAGTGCCATTTGTAAACCCGACAAATGTTCGCAGCCTGCTCAGGAAAAGCCTGGGCGATGAATCATTGATGAGCGGAGAGAAAGGCGCGGCCAGGCGTGTTAACTCCACACGGCCAGTCCCAAAACCCGAGCCGAGCCATTTTGCGCGGGAGTCGGCCGATGCGTCAGCCCTGGAGCCCTTTTCTCTTTTGTCATCTGGCGCGCGGCGCATCACGGACGGAGGAACCTGGTCCATTACTGAGTGTCCCTGTTGCTCGGAAGGCGGTCAGGCCCTGCGGAGTTTCGCAGACGGGGGGTGATGTGTCCGACTGCCCCGGCTTAACTGCGCGTCCAGGTAGTCATGCTCATCAGGGCGTGGGAAACATAAGAAACACGCAATTCCACTCAATCCGTGCCTCCATCACCGACTTCCCAATTCACTTACTTGCACCAAACGGCAAATAGCATTTGTGAAGCACCACCTGGTTCGAGACACATCCTAGCCTCGAACATTTATACATACATAACCACAACGTCGACCACACACCGGAACCATCACAACCCCCTGCCTCGGATCGCTTCCCGCTGGCAGCCATTGGTCCCTTGCACCAGTCAGACGTTTTGACTCACTCAGGCATCACTTTTCCTGCCTACAAATACAAAAATATTCCGGCTCCAAAAGAGATCACCATGCCGTCCTCATCCCACCTCCGGTTACAGACCCCCTTCGAACCCTTCTCGGCTGAGACTACACGCTCGCACTTCATTGCAACGCCTCCTCAGAAGAAGCAAAAGATGTCCCTTACCCAAACATACTACATCGCGGCCACGGCCCGTTCGAAGCTGGGCCGGGAAGCAATGCGACCTGACCATGACCTCCGCCTGCTCGTAGGCCACGCCAATCTTCTCGACTCCCTCATGCTGGAGCTTGCCGAGGCAGAGAAGAAGCAGGAGGAGTGGTTCAACAACACTGTCCGCGAAGCCTCAAGAGGAAAGGAGTCACGGCACATCCAGTGGGCAGACAGGATAGCAGAGGAGGCGGAGGACGACTCGGACGCCGACTCGGATGCCAGCTCGGAATCAGACTTTTACGATGAGGAGGGTGACTTCGACATGATTGCTGTACCCCGCCATATCGTCTCAGCACCGGTACATATCTCGACCACAGAAGTTTCAGAGGAAGATGAGGATGAAGAAGATCAGTACGCCGACCTGGAGGACGACGAAGACTTGGCTCTCACTCGCGTTCCGTCACAATCACCACCGGAGCTCGTACATGACGAAGACTCCGACGACGAACATTCCCCGCCCAACACCCCGCCACAACCCACTCTGCAATTCTCGGAAAAGGAAGCCATGCTCACAACATCCTTCTACGACAAGAACGCACATCCGACCTACCTCTCGGACGAGTCGGACTACATAATACAGAACTCATCCGCTCCGCTCATAACAAGCTATTAAGGCCTACACCTGCATCCTTCTCGACCTTACTATTTGTTTCGATACGAGCATTTTGGCGAGCGAGTCGCGGATTTTCTAGCATGGCGCTTGGGCGGGCACGATATCACAACTCATTTCTTTGGTTTGCTTTTCTTTATTATCACGCAGCGCAAAAAGCTGCTATGAGGCACTCTACTCAATCCAGACTAGATGCATGGATACCATTGAGGGGAATATTCGGTTTTCTTTTTTCAGCATGAGCATTCGGGGCTCCAGATCTCCCACATTATGGTTGAGACTCCCCCACGTAGGATAGGAATTCAAAGATCATGATCATCATCTCAACAATCGTCCAAGTTGTCTGCCGTGCTCGCATCGCGATGATACCCTGTCCCCGCATACTTTGCACAGCACTTCGAATATTCTCGCATGAAGCACCCAAAGATGCAGCTGACCGCTTTTCTCTCCGCTTCTGCCGGCCACCCCGGCCCACCCTGCCGTGCAACCACAGCCCACGGCAAGGGTCTTCCAGTCATCTGGCGCGTTCAAGGCTGCCAGTCTCCGCCCTTTCATGCTCACCGGTCGGTTACTAATCTGAACATGATTACTACTCCTCCGAAGGGGATGAGGATGCGTTTGCGAAGGGGAAACACTGCCTGCTTGCGCGGCCAACGTTCGCGAGACTGCATTTGGAATGCGTATTTCGTACAGAGGGAATAGTCAAAGCGACGGAAGCGATAATGGATGCCTGGGGAGCTTGCGTATGCCTCTATTCCCTTTGAGAACCCTTGGATGTACCTGTGAGCCGTGACCCGAGGCAGCGTGGGTAGCCAAACACATCATCCTCCGTACGATTCCCCCATCTGCATCCCGCTCACCACCGGATACCCCTCCAATTTATCAACCACAAAAACGTGGACTGTCGCTGCACCCATGATGCGCGGATGCATGTTCGGGGTGGCTTGCCAAGCATGAATCGCTGTCCATCTGATGGGTGTTCGGTCGGTGTCTGTTTCTCTCCGGTCCCGTGAAGATCCGGCTGCCATCGCGGTTTCTTTCGCGCGGACGAAAAAAACTTGGATGTGCAAAACCGCGCGGGGAGGAGTATCTCTCGGTTTCTGTCGCAATCGCGTGGGGAGGGCATTTCATGGAGCTCGTGACCGCTGTTGATTTATTGAAGACATTTGTTTGGGATGGTGCTCATTCTCCCTCGGCATGGCTGCGCGAATGCGCAGAGAGCCGGATGGGCACCTCGTACGAGGGACTCACGTCCTTCTGACAATATGATTAGACTCCCTGAATGGGCAAGATGCTCCTCCTGCTCTCTCCCCGCCAACTTCGCGGGATGGTAGTCCTTGAGAATAGTGCATCACTGCCGCACCCACGCCTCTTCCCCCATAGACGTCGGCAGGCGTAGACTCCGACCCCAACCCCGGCAGCAAATGAAGTTAATTCCCGATCAAACATTGCAAACGAACATGTATCCCGAACCCCAAACCTGAAGTTTCAGGCCTCAGGCGATCTACTGTATTATTAAACAAAGCGCGTTTCTGTTTCGTTTCCCTTAAACTCCATGTGTCAGGCATTATTCGACAGAATTACTGCGGGCAATAACTCAACCCAACCGGTCCCTGCGGGCAAAACGACCTGGTGTTGAAACGCTGTGAGCACTGCGGCTCAGTGACGATGACCCTTGGCGCTGAGCGGCAGTACTTGCGCGACAGAGAAAGGGGTTTGCGAGACGACTGTGCCATATAACCAACACAATTATCAACTGTTTCAAACACCGTACGCCCTTTACGTGGATCCGTCCCTTTCGCGCCGCCTTCAAATGGGGGCTGGCTGACATGGTGAGAGACTCGAGAGTTGTGCGAGGCATTGCGCTGCAATTTAACCCAAGCGACAACATAGACCATCCGTTCCTGCTCGGAAAAAAGTGAGGTTGATACCGTGAAGATATTCCCCCGTCTTATTTCTGCGACAAAAAGGCTCTGCATGAGATCCGTGTTATTATTAAGGCGTTCGACAGCACAGTGCTGTCGTTGGTCCTTGCCATCTCCCAATTTCGTGCTTTCATCAGCCTCCTATCATTCAGTACGGACGTAATCATCATCCTCCTATCCCGATATGGGAAATGGATGGTAGATATGGGGCTGAAGAATGGTATCAGCGCTCTGAGGGCACACACCACATGGTTGAGGGACATTTGGTATTCTGATTGGAGGAACGCCTTGACATATGATGTAAATTGCACGTGCTGGCAGGTTGGGGGCTAGAGCTCCGTTCTCTGGCCAGCCCCGCGCGGATCTAGATCCCGCTGGTGGAAATTCGCTTGGGTTGCCGGATCTGGATGCAGTGAAAGGGTGCGGTGAATGTCGAAGTAGTGAGAAATGCTCCCGCAACGTGTGTTCGAAGGACGATCGTACTCTTCCTTCACGAACATGTTCAAACGAGCCTGCGTTTTTATGGGCGGGATTTCCACCACAGGCGGAGTTTGCGGAGTTACGGTCGGTCTACTAATACCACAGTAGACTGTGATGGGGGACCCGGCTTTACGCCAAACAGAGCATCAGATAAGATCTGATGGTAGTCCACGCCCAGTTCTATCATCAGACGCTTATTGATGCTTACTATAGCGAAGATTCTATCCCTCACTGACCTCCCCACGGAGGGGAACACGGCAAGCGATCGCGAATGCAGTTCTCAAGGGCCGATCAACTGATGAGACATCTTTGAAGCAAGAAACAAAATACTGCGATGCACCAAGTGTCGAATACACTTCGGTCTCGTTGGCCAATTAAGTCTAGCCACTGAGCTGCTTTCTCACACCTTATTCTGCTCCCCAATCCACATTGAAAACTTCTCCGAGCGGATATCACAAACCAGTACGACTACTGGCTGTACCGATCCGTGAATTTTTCTCACCGCAAACACTTTAAAATCTCTTCACCATTGACAGAAAATTTCATCACGAAAAGCCTGAATCCACTCACATCCCTCGGCATCTCGGTCCACTCAACCCGCTCGTGCACCGATAGCCGCGTGGCAGCCACGGCAAGGAAAAAGCTCCACCGCTCTTCAAGTTGCGGATAGCCCGTCAAAGAGCCACGCCAAACCGTCGACTATACTAGGATTGTGGCTGACAGAAAAGAAAAAAATTCAGGAAAATTTCTGTCACGCTAGTTGCGGCAGGACCAGTTTAGCGCGAGTATTGTAGTAGTCGGGTGGAAACCACAGTTTGCACCCGTGATGCCGAGCAAGGTTTTCACGATATTCGCCACCTGACCCACCATTGCTGGAAAAGCGATGAGCAGAGGGAGAACCGAGGATGCTCGGATGATCCGTCATAGTATGCATTTCCTTGTGGGTCTGAGGATACTGTGGATACTGAAAATTTAGGGTTGGGCCTGCAGTATAGATCGGTTGGTGGGCCCCAAGTTCCCCTTGGCGCAAGAATTCTGCCGTAGGGTAGCAATTCACTCACCGCAGCACCCACTCCACCGCCACGCTGTAAAGAAGAAATCTGCCAAACTCCGAAACGTGCGTGGGGGTTCTGTCTCAGCGATAAAAAGCTTTATGGGCATCAACGACAGTGACCAATTCGGAGATGTTGTCAGGGATTGGGTTCTCCAGGATGTCTATGCGTCACAGCACTCTCTTATGTTCATGTACGCATTAAACATTTCTACCTGATAATAACCAAACTCGTGAATGAAGAAATAAGGAGAGGGCAAGCACAGTACCGCTGTGTAGGAATACTTTGCCCTATGTCGCGAAGGTCGGATTCTGAGATTTCAAAAGGCCGTAGCGAGCTTTGCTGGCCGAATGAACGGACACAAACACCTACGTGGGATGCCTTTTCCTGAATCAGCATCGATCAATATGCGGTCATGCAGGTAACTGAACAAATGCCACTTGTACGGTTTTCGACTGTCAGCTAGTGCGAACTGTAATTGTATGGTTCAAGAACCTTGTTCAGTAGATGGTTATAGTACAACAGTCCGTCAATGCATCTCAGCTACGCTCTAGATGTAGAATATTACACCACTGAGGGTACATGAAAGGACGAAACGGCAACGGCCGTTTTCTATCACCCGGCTGGCACTCAGAATCAGAATGCACTGCGTGGTATGAGGCTCGTCGTGCCTATAAGTAAATTTCATCATTCAGCGGTGCATTCGGGCTTATCTACTCTATCAAACTTATTCATCATTACCTCTCACTTCTGCCTCTGGTGAGAAGAATCTCGCTCCTGTCAACCTACCTACAGCATCTTCCCCTTTTACATCGGTTTCAGTTTCGGCTGTGACACCTTCACCCTCATTCGCGTCTTCCTCCAGAGCCGTTACTGTCTCGTCAGTGACAATACGCATCTCAACCCATACTGGCTTCACTTCCTCGTCCATCAGCACACTAAGCCACAGACCACTCCTCATCCTTCCCAACAGGTCCTCGACTCCTTTTTCCTTTCCTCGCCACCCTGCGAAAGCTTCACGCCCATACTTCTTGAAATAGCTGAACTCATTGGTTCCGAGGCTAGCTAGCGCCCCCATTGTCACTGTCCATAGCAGCGCGTCCTCGCTGTCCACCCAGCGCGATGCCGGCGCTCGACCCAGTGCGGTTCGCAACTTCTTTACTGTCATGAAGAGCTGGCCTCGGAAGCCGGGACCGAATGGCTGTGTGATTCTTATGACATAGACGAGGCTTGCGAGAGCGATAGCATCTTGCATGAAACCTTGGGTCCCCTCCTCTTGGTTGTCTCGGTTGCGTGAATGGCCAGAGTACCACGATAAGAGTCGGGCGTTGAGGACGCAACCATGTTTTTGCAACTCGAGCGGGTCGACGGGAGAATGACGGTATGCATACCAGGACGATGTATCGTGCGTGAAGAGGGCGAGGTCGGTCAAGATATCGAGAAGAGACTGGGGGAGCTTGAGATTTCGGAAGAGATGAATCACACCCTCTCGTAGATTTGGGGGTGGAGAGGGAGCAGTGGGATAACGCGGATGCCGGCCAGTCGAGTCGAGGAGCGTGGTATAGGGGCTTTTGAAAGTAGTTGTCGCATGTGCTGTGCTGTGCCTAGAGAAGAAGAGATTAGTCATATTCCTACAGGTGATAATTTGCGGATGGAAGGTATGGTTGAAGGATCATTTCGGCCTAGGTTCGCCAAACCATGCAACAGGCCCTTTAAGCTTTGGATATAAACTGATAAGGTCGTATCAAGCTACATGTTATTGAGCCAGCTGACCTTGCAGCCTCGTGTTACCGCCCAAGTATAGTTTTGTGGATCGGGATTAGCTGTAATGGGAGGGCCTCGTGCATGAAAGTTTCGGAAAATAGTAAGGTAATAGATGGTGGAGAGCTCGGATGTGCTCCAATTGCAATCATGAAAGAGTGACAGCAGCTTACATCATGATGAATGTCTGAAGACACCTGTTCGTACTCAATGCAGAAAGCCCACCTCTCTGGCTAATCATAGTGCATAGGCCGTTGAGATGGATTTTCCTCTGCAGCTCGCTCCAATCAGCCTCGTCCCGCGACTGATTCCCTGGGACAAGTTGGTACTCTTCGAGGGTTAATAGGGTGAAGACAGCGGCGATATTGCCGTCAGCTACGCTGGTGTTAGGATCCGATAGTAGCTTGTTGATTTCTGAGATGGCTTTAGATTTGAAATAGAGCACTTCATCAAGGCGGCAGAGCCCTTGCAGCATAAGCAGAAGTGCACTCGAGGTGAGCAGGGCATATGCAAATGGGGGGCTTGTGATGTTCTGCAGTGAGCTTGCTACCCAATGGGTTTTGAGTAGGTTCGTTGATGAATGATAGATGTCCACCGGTATGAGCAGGGGACAGATTGCAGAGACGACTGTATTCAATCAATACAGAATCTCCATTGGGCTATACTTGCGGGCTTACAGTAATGAAGCATTGCGCTTTTCTTCTTGTCCAGTTTTACTGGCAGACAATCGAATGGGTCGGTAACCCCAAGGGCAAATCCGTCATGTCGTGCAAGCGCTCGCGGCGCGGCTGCCCTCACATCTTGATTGCGTGGAATCACTGAAGCATTCCCTTCGCCGGATGGAAGAGTGCCCCATCGTCTAGGCGAACCTTTACGAGCGCTAGCTGGTGTCAGGCCGGTCTGAGTATCCCTGCCACGTCGGGTAGAAGTGCGCTCCTGAGCGGTCGGGTTCGGGGTGGCGGAGACAACGGTTGCTTCGCGTGATTCCTGAGGATTCGTAATTGATGACTCTGCAGTTTTGGCTTTACTTTTCGGTTTCAAAACTCGGTCATGTTTCTTCTGGCGGGTACTCCAAGGCTTCGCTCGGCGTGCATGATGCATGACAAAAGACCGTACCGCCTTGTTTGGTTTGGCGTTGGCTCCATGACTGGTCGGATCGATAAACATAAATTTCTGTAGCGGCTTATTAGAGCCATTCCCAGCATTGGTACCGTCTTGGAAGTCTATTTGGTGTTCCATGTTGTATGTATATATGTTCTGACCCAAACAGGAAATCAGTGTAGCCTCTAAGGCGGTGCCGGAGAGGTATGGGTGACACGAGGGATCCGTATTCAAGAACGCCCGTATGCAAATGGAGTGGTCAAGAGATTCGAAAGAGGAAGCCCATAGCTGGACGTTGCCGGTCTTTAACACTCACAGCTGGGCCGTGCATAATGCTAAGCCTGATCAGTTATCATTTCCCTGTGTGGGCTAGCGCGTCCTTTACGCCCCTTTCATTCGTGTGTTGTGTCATCCCTGTCTGTGTTGTCATCAACACTAAAGCATATATGGATAAACTTGAGAACATGGTCGATGTCTAAGAGCCTGTCTCTTGAACCTCTCTTCGGGTCCATGATGGAACGCTTCCATTTTACGCAGTCGCAGATGGGAGTGCACGCATGTCCCGACTACTTTCCCTGCAGCTCTCAGACTCCCAGTGCTCCTATCCATCGCCAGGGGTCCCACGGCCATGTTCTCCTCCAGTAGTGAATTGGGAAATGCTGGCGAATGGATGATATGAGTTCCATGCAGAGTATCGTACAATTTGTACTTACCATTGTACCTTCAGGTCTTTGACAGCCAACATCCGGAGCAAACACTTCCATAAAGGAACTGGCATCGCACATATGACTACTAGGTCTCGCCGGCTTTTGTCTCCTATGAGGGTGTGAGGTCTTGCGCGTACCACCATTTCTCATCATGAGTGTCAAATATGTGTTGTCCACGCAACCGAGTGGCAGAACAATGTCACTGGCCTCCAGTATCAGAACCTACGGAAAGTAGGTCGTTGTAAAGATGCATTGAAGAGCTCATGCTTCAGCTATACCTATATCTCACTAAGTAAGAGAATTATATTTGTCTCAACTCTGTCACTAATATTCAGAAGGTTAGGCGCTCACAGCAAGGAAACCGTTTAGACCGTCAACCTGTGGCGACACACCACCTCCACCCAACGCTGATGGAGTAGCTAGTGAAAAGTAGGGCATTTGAAGTAGGAACAACCTGTTTTTGAGCGGGGTTGTAGTGTATGGGTATCAGGGGCGCGCGGCATCTTTCACCGACTGCACGTGATCACGCGTCCTCACTGCGACGTTCTGGCGCAGTCTCAAAGTGACGTGATAAAAGTTCAACTTTTCCTCCTTCCAGGCCACTCTCAGCTACCCTACCAACCACCTCTTTCGAAGCACGGTCACCCTTCCAACTCAACGCTCCACTGTCCTTTGTGGAATCGTCAAGAGACATCAACGGGCCCACTGATTCAACACCCGCACCGTCCCTTGTCATGGCCGACGGAGATCCAAAACTGCGTCTTCCTGCGGAGGATGCAGAGCCGGCGCTCACGGGGTACTCCAGTGATAGCAGTTCCTCAAGCTACGAGACAATCAGCGCCGACGCGTACCCACCGCTCGCAGCCGGACCGGTCCATACCACTCCAAGCACTCCACGATCCCGATTGATTTCAGCAGACGATTCTGGTAATGCAAGGCCAATAGATTATTGGGAGGATGACTCTGGCGGTCGAGGACGCACCACAACACGTGCTTGGGAAGGTGGAGAAGACTTGGAGCCATTCTGGACGTTTGATTCATTGCAAGGACTCAGCGCTCCTATCTCACGCATGCCCCTCATATACGATCTCCTAACGCCTTCACATTCCAGTCCGACGGCCAAATACATCCCCGGTATTCCTCGACCCATCGAAGTCACCGTCGGCGACTCCACAAGCAACGCCCACCGCGTCTTCTACATCTCCGCATCCCTGCTAGCCTCACACTCCGAGTTCTTCGCCTTCATACCGGCAAATGCAAACCCGACGTCTCACACTCGGGTCCACCTGCCTGAGCTGTCCCCCGTCCATTTCGCAAACTTCGTCTCCTACATCCATTCCAACGTCTACTCCGTCCGCGCTCCGGATGCCGATCCCATCATCTACAATACCGCGGCCTGGATCCTGGGCGATCAGTTGCGCGCAGACAAGTATAGGGACTCTGCCATGCGGGCGTTGCACTGCATCTTCGAACGAACTGTCAAGATGCAGTGGTCTACCGAGCACGACCCACAAACACAGAACGGCACCGTAGAGCTTATCACCCCAACTCACATCGACTATCTCTGCAACGCAACCATGACAGACTGTCCTCTCCGCACGCTTTTCTTCGACGCGCTAGCTGCATGCTGGCCCCATCAGCGCATCCGGAGCATCCTTGCAGTCAGAATGTCCTATGGACCCGACAAGGAATGGTTTGAGCTGTACCGCAAGTTTCCGGAATGCCGAAGTGCCATAATGAGTACATTCGAGGTGAGGGATCCAGGCCGGAGGATGATATTGAAGGAGCCGGTGGTGTATCTGGATCCTACTGGGAAGACGTGGCCTCCGCATTTGGTAGAGCACGCTCGGCAGGTCGAACGGAAGAGGCCTGGATCGGATGCGCGTAAGAGGCGGGAGTTGCTCAAAAAGATAATGCGCGGGGAGAACGGCCCGGATAGGATGTGGGAGGATAAGCCTTGGAAGGGGCTGGAGAAGCAGACGGATGAACAGATGAGGGAGCCGGAACCGGAGCCTATGGCAACTGAACCTGTCAACGACACTCCGCAGTTCTCAAGTAACGGCAAGGATGTATGCGATAACCCCATGGAAATTGACACACAGAGTGATGGCTGGACAAAGGCAGAGACCGAGGAGACAGGTCAGGACCTTCCCGATCGACCCAAGAAGAAGAGGGCAAAGTTCCTGCCTCGTTCTTTTACCTCTTCCAAGCTGAGGCAATACTCCTTTACAACCAACGATCAAGATGATGGAGACGTTGCGGATGATGAGTGGGAGTAAGAGTACTGATGAGTGGGAGTAAGAGTATTCACCTTGTGGAAGACTGTCTCGGAAAACGGGCCGCATCATCGGAAGTACGATCTTGGAGTTGAGGACAAAAGCTGGATTAGGAGGCTAAATCATGTGGATCACAATATGTACCCGTAGCTCCATGATGGAGACTTCAATCTGGTGTACTACCACTCACATTGTCAGTGGCAGATGAGCTTGAAGGTCTTCCATGTCGTGTTGTGACCGAAAGGCAGAATCGACCCAGTGATCCGCTACGCATGCAAACAACAGTGTAGCTTACCCTATGTAAGCATAAGCCAGATAGTACCATGATCATCATCAGGGACCACTTAACCTAAGCTATTTTACTTCCTCGCTCGATATCCCTACTAGCAACCAAGCGATCAACACCATTGCAACGAAAATTTGCACACGTTGTTTCATTTTCCATCCCTACCATGCAATGCCACAGTGCCGCCAGCCCGCGAGAACATCCTCCACGGCAACAACTACAAAGAGAAGAGAATGTGCGTCGCGCTGAACGTCATAACCAATGTATATAATGCAATAACCGAAGCAACGAACTAAGTCAACATTACGTCAGTCCCTCGATACCCTGCGAAAGGCGCTCTTCCATAAGCTTGACCAGCACGGGCGGAACAGCTTCGTCTGTTGCACGAACGGTGATGCGGAACATCTGCGCTTTGTTAGGCCCAACCGCCGGATGTTGGGTATGGTGGAACTAACCTTGCTCTCAAAATTTGGTTCCAACCGCAACAGGCAGCCAAATTTCCCACCTTCGCTCGTATGTAAAACCGTAGCGCCGACAATGTTCTTGGTGTTTGGATCCACATTGTCTAGGATGCCCCACTTGAAGCCTTGCACCACTTTCCTAACATATTCCATGTTCATCGTCCGTCTTTCGTTAACCAAACCGAATATTCTCTGAGCTTCCCGGGGCGCCCCGCCAATCTGCTTCCACCTCTTGAAGAAGTCCTCAGCGCCAAGTTCGGCGGCATCCATGTACTTGTGGAGAACAACGGGCAGTTGTAACGTAAGCCCCTGTAGAGCTCCAGCAAGGTATGATATTCGGAAGGTGGGCGCATTCTCAAAGACATTCTTCGCTTCGAACATGATAGTTTGCTGAGTCTGACCCTCAGGGGGTATGGTGGTGTCCGGCAGTCCCTTGATATCAGTCTTCAAGTTTTCGGCCGATTTGTTGTCTAACGTGGTCGTAAAAGAGCCCATTGGGAATGAAGACTTGTTGGTGAAGTAGAATATGACGCAACCTAGGTGCCCACGGTACTCTGTTCTTAGGCCCACTTGTATTTGCGCATCCTCGTATAGCACGCCCTCAGCGCGAAGCAGTAGGCGATTGTACCCAACTTCCCAATCGGGACTCAAATGTGCGGCACTGGCGAGATTTGGAGCCTTCGAACCGTTACTGGCTTCCATACTCATATCCAGACCAGCGAGATCGTTCGTAATAGAACTAACTCCGTTCGCTGCACTGCCATTGGCAGAGGCACCTTCCGCTCTTGAAGCACCCGCATTCGTAAAGCTGCGTTTCAAACCAGTGCCCTGACGCGCCAGATTGACCTCATTAGGATCGGCGTTCGCAGCCTTGCCACCGACCACCCATGTACGCTTATCGCTGGTTGTGGCATGCTTCTGGTGGAGTCGAGATAACAAGGCAGATGTTCTCTCGGGGAATGGTGGCATTTCATCGCACACCGTTCTCAAGAGGTCGTCGGTCGGCATAGTCGCGAGTGCAAGGTATTCGCAAGCTCGTTGCTGTAACTCCGAATCCAGGGAATGACTGAAGGCGTTGAATGCTTGCAGCAATTGCGGTTTGATTTCCGGGAACAAGTTGACGAACTTAATGAAGCAGGACAGGATGATTGCCCTTGTGCTTGAAGAACAACTCCGTATCTTGGAGTTCAGGGCAATGTACTGTTCAATGGGACTGCAGCCCTTGTTGTCTGCAATAAGATGCCCGAACTCCCCCAGAAGATAAGCTCCGATCTTGACGAGTGTTTCATGGCAATCTCCTTTGACGTACTGGAGGATGTTCTGTGCGGCATATACCTGCAGCTCCTCGTTATTCGTAACGATCTGAATGACGCGTTGCCAGACTTCGTCGCTGACGTGGTCACCGGCCATGGCTATGAGCCGCAGTGATATGTCGACATACCACTGCACGTCTGTAGCATATTTCTCTGTGAGAATCGCGATCTTCAACACCATTTCCTCCCTTATGGCATAATCGGCGGATTGCAAATACCTCAGAAGCTCGTTCACGATGCCCTGTGCGTTGGTGGGGTCACACATGCTGTACAAAAGATCGAGGCCCTGCCGGCGAACACTGATGTCTCTATCGCGCAGTGAGCCAATGATTATGCTCTGATGTCTCTTGATGGGATCCAAAGTCTCGGATCGTGCGGCCAAATGTGTCATAGCCTCAAGACCCAGGTATCGGACGTTGGTTTCTCGAGAGGCAATAAACTTTCCCAGTCGCTCTGAAATCTGCACCATCAGGTCCTGCTCTGTATCTAGGTGGATGATGAGATTGATAGCCTCAAACAGGACAGCGTTCTGGGCATTATTTTGTTGTACATTCTTCGGTATGTCCAGGGCGGAATCCATGATTTTCTGCAATGCTTCGCGAATGAGCTTTCGGATATGAGAGTCCTCTAGTTTTGTCAGTAAATGTCAGAGGGGGTGAGTGAGATACGAACCAGGAGGTGGATAGTACTGGAGAAGCCTGAGGAGTTTGACTTGTATCCAAGGACAAGGCACTTTGTAGTAGAAGTAACTCTCAGCACATTCTCCATCTACCACGATTCTCTTCAACCGGTTAGCAGCCTTGATATAACTCCCTTTGTACTGCTCTTGGTTGTCCTGCACTAGCGCCATGACAAGTGACGTTACGGAAAGCGCGACGCCCATGTCTGGATCGTCCATCAACGATATTATTCGCTCTGCCCACTCATTTTGGACGATGCTGGGGGACTTGCGGTACAGGCGCAACAAGGTCAGTGCGGCCTTCTTTTTCACGAACGCTTTGGACGCACTGTTATATGTCAGCTTGGATCATAGAGTCACTGAGCGAAAAACTCACGGAGATATCAGGAGGCGATGCACATCAGGGCTCAATGCCTCCCCCATTTCTTTGCCTCCCACGTTTGCAATAGCATGCAATGCCAGGCAATTATTGAGTTCGTTATGATCCAGGAGGTCTTTGCGAATGCTGTTGACGACGAGATGCAATAGCTCGTGCTGCTCGTGTAAGAACAATGTGACGGCGAGATAACCGATTTGCTTTTCCGAATACTTGGTGGCCGAAATGAGGTTGACCGCCTCAAGGTGTCCGAAGTCGACGTTCCAACCGAGAATGTATATATACAGAAGCTTGCAGACGTATTTCTTCTTTTGATAACCATTGAGACCGCCATCTCTGAACTTTTGCCTTATGTTTGCCAACTCCTTATTTATTCGCTTCTCTTCCAACTCTCGAGCTCGGGCATTCCTCAAGTCGGCAATGAACGATACAAGTCCTCGCATAGTGGGCACATTGCCGGAGTTGTTCCGGCTGAAGAGCCCTCCGCCCCCCGTTCCTGAAGACATTTTGGCAGTTACGGATGACGGGAGGTTCAGAGGCGGGCGATTCCCGCCGGGAAGGTAGCCGGACAAAACGACGACTTGAACAGTCTACGGTGACTGGATGTGAATTCGAGAGTCGGTCGCGGTTACAAGAGGTCGGGGAACGGCTGCGGGGACGGGGGTTTTGCGCAACGAGCTGGAAGGGATGACACTCGGCGGTGCGTCATGAGCAGTATCGCATGTTTGGCGGCGGTGTCGAGGCGGTCGAATGAGTAAATCGACGGGCCGGCAATATCTTCGAGAGCAGGACTGCAGCAATGCTGCGGGTGGGTGTCTAGACCATGCGATGGAGGATGGGGGGAGGTGATTAATGCCAAGCCGGTGTCCGAGCGTTCGCCTACTAACTGCGTTGGTATACAGGCAGACCAGGAATCCCATTTCTCTCTCGTCACACCTCGACTATAGATGCACATGTCTATACGTACTATATTTATTCGTATCCTCCGTACTGCTAGAATATCTGATAAGGCGATATTTTTCTCCTCAATCCTTTTTCAGGCATCCTGCGGATTCAGACGGCCGAATCCTACTCCACATACCGCTGCTAAATCGACGTCTTCTCTGGCGCTCTGCTCTCAACGTACCAATACAGCATATCCCATCACTATCACGCCTTTTTTTCTGAATTATTCATCATTGTTCATATAATCCAAAATATCCTACGTTTACCTAGAACAAGAACTACCACTAGAGGAACAGACAGCAGCACGACTTCCCTTCGTGCATCACTATCTTTTTAGACCGTTTCCCAACTCGATCCTAAGCCTGATGATAACGGTAGAACGCTAGATAAATCGGTGATAAAACACGATGGGAACCCTTCCGCAATCCTATCTTGCAGGACTCCATTTCAACACAGGGCCGCCTAGGGTTAACCCGAGCACTGGCTGTCTAGGTGGAGATGTTAGAGCAAACAGTGACTTTGGCCAACGGCCCTACCACAAGTCCATTCAATCCAGACATCAGAGTAGTGTCATTGAATTCCATTTCATGAATTGGTATGTATTTCGGCATCTATCACCATCCCAGTCCGACCCCACCGAAATGCATGCATAACCCCAGAATCACCAACGAACGCCATAACACCCGCTCCACTCCTTACTTTCACCTCAAATGGAATCGAGAGTCTACTTCTGAGTCGTGAAGTCGATCTCGTTGGCCTCATTGGCGGAAGCACTCTCATTCTTGGCGCGGCTGCAAGTGCATGCTCCTATTCCTCATCGTCAGTATGAGTTCCTCACAAACTATGTAGGCAGATAGACAGAGAGCCGGATAAAACCTACCTTCAGCGCGCTTACCGCACACGCAGGTATGCTCCGGGAGCTTGTTCTCGGTGGCGGCCTTCTCGCAGGCTATGTCATTGTTAGTAAACTCCTTCGTGAGGTAAAAGAGAGGTACGGTAGGTGAACGAGAGGCGTACTGCACTGGAGAGCAGGCTGCTTTCCACAGCTGCAGGTGGCCTCGGCAGCGCACACGCACTGGCCGTTATTACGTCCGCAGCAAGTCATGTTGATGTTGGTTGTAGGAGTTTCGTGGTGTTTGGTGGTGGTAACCGATTGAGCTTGGTCTATGAGAATGACTAGCAGCGGAGGAACAGATCTCAAAATCGTGGTTGTTGTGAAATCAGAGTTAGTGTGTGATAACGAAACCAGCTCTACGCAGACGAATCCTCGGTTTATATATACGTCCTCGATCAGATATGCGGTGATATCTATACTATCAGATGTACGGGGCGATCACCTGATCATGGCCAGTCAGCCAATTAGAGTACAGGCGTTTCTCATCACTGTGCTGCCAAGGTTGCCACGAAAAGCGGATACTTCGAGTGGCAGATCGCAGCGGGAGCAAGTATACATGGTACATTGCAGCATATGAAAGGTGTGGTTACTGCTGCCGTATGGTGACGCCTCGTCGAAGGACGTGGAACATGCCGAGTATACATCTATGACAGTACAGGACTACGGCCATGCCAACTCCGTGACTTGTACCGTCAAGGCAAACACCAAGCTTAGCAAACGCCGGCAGATAACTCAAAAGGCAACCGGGATGCAATCCGAAAACCAGCAACTTAACTTCCACAGAACGAAGATTTCCTCTGGTATAGCGGGTGTCCACGCTGACTAATTGAAAAGGGAGAGGCGGTTAAGATTTGCAAACGGCCTAGAGGAAGTAATGAGCAGCGCATGTTCTCCGGCACATACAGGATAGAATAATGTCCTGGACATGGGCTAACTGAGCATCGTCCAGACAAACAAAGGTCTCTCCGCATTGGAACAGCAACAAGTACAGGATCATACAGTCAATCAGGGCGCCACTCAGAGAGAACGATAAAGAGTATTAGCAACGTAAGGAAAGTAGAAATGATGTGTAGTAATGCCAATGCTACCAGTGGGCCACCTCAGCGAACATAGCCGCTCATCAACGCCACAACGCCATCCCTGCAACATGATGACTGCCCTGCACATGCATACCATATCCGCTCTATACAAGCAATAAGGACGTTCAAATTCTCACGCCCTCACTTCAATTTCTCCGCCGCCTTCCTTATAATATCCGCTGTCTTCTTGATTTGCTTCTCTGCAAGCACCCAGTCACCATTATCAATGGCGTCCCGCACAAAGGGAAATATGGCAGCATCGTAGCCAGAGCCTGATGCGTCGGGACCGAAGACGACGTGTTTGTACTGGTCGCGGCCAGGGATCTGTGATAGAGTCAGCGATGTAAACGCAATACCGACCGATAAGCCTTGCCGCTCGTTTCTTCGAAGAAACACCGAATAGGAAGGAGAACTACTTACCCCGTGAGGCTCCCTATCCTTCTCCCCCTCCGGTAAGTCCAACAACCAAGCGTCAAACGCCGCCATCGCGCCATTATGTCCTGTCCTCTGTATCGTCACACCCGGGCTCTCAAATCCTCCCGTCCCATACACCTGATTATACCAGAAGTCATCAAAGTGGTGGAACTTCTCCGCCCTATCCTTCAACACGTGGATCGCTTCTGTCAACTTTTGGAAAATCTTTGCATCGAACCGCGAACTCTGTTTCTGGTCCTCGAACTTCGAGCGCGACCAGTCGATTAGGGCGTGGGCTTCGCGCATGAGCCAGGTGGCGTAGTCGTCAATTTTGAAGGGAATGATGGGTTCTTGGGCGAGTTCCAGGATGAGGAGGGCCCAGACCTGGGCGAGGGCGCCATGGTAGGCGAAGCCTGGATCGATGTACTTGGAAACCCATTCGAACGTTTCGTAGCAGCTGTGGTACATATCACCGTGTCCTTCGCCGGAGAAGCCGAAATCGAAGCTGGAGCAGCCAGCAAGATCCTGAAAGGCGACGTAGTCGCTGCCAGCGCCTAGGCCACCGACTTGGCTGTTCTGCGAGGCCCAGAGCTCTTTCAACGTGACGTTCTTGTTGGGGTCGGCGACACGGTTGAGTGCGCGCAGCCACGCGTTTTGGAAGACGGGTGAGCCATTGGCCCAGAGTTTGGAGCCGGTAACGCCGACGTCAACGTTCAGGTAAGCGACTGCGTTGGCGCGTAGGTCGTCCATGTTGGCCTCGACGTGCTCGGTCGAACCGATAAGGTTGTACTCTTCTGCGTCCCAAGAGGCAAACTGAATGGTACGCAGAGGTCGCCAGCCTTGCATACGGAGCTCACCCAGCAAGCGGGCGACTTCAAGCATGACAGCTGTTCCGCTACCCGGGTCTGCGGCTCCAAAGCACCATGAGTCGCGATGGTTTCCGACAATGATCTTCTTAGCTTTTTCTTCCATGCCGATGAATGACCCGAAAACATTGCGGATGGGCTGTTTCTCGTTTGTGTCCTGGATATTTTGAAGATTGACATGAGGAGACCTTTCATTCCCCGTATACCACTTCTCCCCAACGTCCGGCACGGCACCTACCCAATCTCTGGGTACTTCTACGCCGATTCCAGAAATGGCTTGTAGAAGCTTCTGCGCGTCTCTCCAGGCAAGTGGCAAGCTTGGTATCTTGGGCAACGCAGGGTTCTTGTCCTTTGGCATGCGCTTCGCGTCTTTAGTGCTAGGAATACCAGGTGTGAGGGTGTCGCCGACGATCCAACTCGTTAGAGCAACAGTGCCCCGCTGGACGCTATCCTCGGGTCTCCAGCGTCCCAGTGGCCAAACGGCGCCCTTTTTGAAGCCATCTTCAGCTGGATCCGAGTAGAGAAGCACGCCTGCTGCTCCCGCCTCTTCTGCTGTTCGCACTTTCATGGCTCGGTCGGATTGTGTGCCATAATACCGCATGAGCACCACAGCCCCTTTCACGTCGATACCCGCCTCCTTGAGTTTAAGGAAGTCGTTCTTGTGTCCGTAATTGGCATAGATCAGAGGACCAGTAACATTCCCGGATGCCGAAAGCCCATGGAACGCTCCAGTCTGCGGCCTAGGCGGATTATACGCCGACTCCTCCTCCAGCTTCGCAACCCAGGCCTTCTCCGGCGGATCAACAATGGCGACACGACGTCCTCCGTCCTTGGCATAATTCAAGTAGACGTAGAAACTGGCTGATCAGCACACGAGCTACAATCGTCTGAGCTACTGAAACTTACTCGTCATGCGCCAAAGCATCCATATGCGCTTCGTTGAACTTCCCCTCAATCCACTCCCCAATGTAATAGCTCCCCTCCGTCCCCGCCTCATGAGGAAACGATGTGATATATTTCAGATTCTCTTGTATCCTCTCAACATCCACATTCTGCTGCACCTGCTGCCGAACCCACTCCGCATTGAACGGCTGCCCAAAATTCCCCGCTCCCATAGGCATAATCTCACTCACAACGAGCAGATACACCAGACTAATAATCAGCAGAAGACCGCATAGCCTCGCCAGAATAGCCCATCCTGGTCTGTATTCCTCCGGAATCGTAGGCAGCCTGTCCCGTAGCCAGTCAAGCCGGAACGAAGGCCAAGGTATGCGTATCCGGGGCCAATGAAACCGTGACAACCGATGCGTAATCTGTTGGAACCGTTTCGAAAACCGTCCGCGCGCTCTATCTCTTCGTGACAGTCCCGTCTCCTCGGCCTCCGGATCCAACATGTCCATCTCCTCCATCTCCTGTCGCAGCGCCTGCGCCTCGCCTTCTTCCCCCTCCTCTGGGCTCACCAACCCGGCGTCCTCATCGTCGCTCTCCCGCGCAGACTGCTCGGACGGTGGATGGTAGTACCCATTTCTCCGGCGCGAACTAGAGCTCTGGGGTGCAAGGTCGTGGCCTAGGAGGCCTTGCCTCTCGGCGTCGTCGCTGACTTCTTGTGGGCCGAACCGGGACCGCGGACGGGAGGAGGTGGCTTCTTCGTAGGTAGGGATTGGAGGGTCGGATTGGACATCGTAGAGGTGCTTTTCCTCACTCATTGGAGCTATGGATGGACCTTCGTGGTCCGGACGTCTCGATGTATGGCGCAGGGGAAGGGGGGTGGTGCAGCCGGTGGAGCGGGGATAGGGGTATATGGAACTTATCGTATGCTGAAATACATAGTGAAATGAATTAAAGAGTGGCAATGTTGCAGAGGGAAAACAAAGTCGTGCTAACGGCGTCGTCTCCTATGTCGATGTTGAGGAGCCCAGCGAAATGTCCGGGGTTCTGCATCAGGAAGTCCGAACCTGAAGCGTCCAACGCCCGGGGGGAACAATCCTCTTGGCCCAACGCGTAATCCTTGACAACCACCACTAGCGGTTGGGCAGGTCTCCAGCACCACGCAGAGGATACAGTATGCGTTCTTTTTTGGGTATCGTTATTTGTCGTTCATTATATCTACAATGGCAAAAGTCATACAGCCCTTTACAAGGCCAAGCTAGCTGCGGATTCAAACTCTCTAGAACTCCTTCCTACATGTTCCTCCCGCCAGTAACGCTTATGGTCTGTCCGTTCACGTAGCTGAACAGCGGGCTGGCAACAGCTAACACAGCACTGGCAGCCTCTGTAGCAGTACCGGGTCTCCTGAGGGGAATATCGAGGTGCTGCTGACCCGCGCCGGGCCCGCCAGCCTTCTGTGCCTGCGGTATGCCGATTGCGACCTTCTCACCATCGGGCGTTGTCACGAAAGCACCCGCCTCCTTTGCCGCCGTCAAACGGGTCAGAATGTGGCCGAAAGCAACAGTGTTGGCGCGGACGCCGAAGTTGGGACCCCACCTAAGAATGGTTAGGAACCATTGTCCGATTGATGGTAGCCGACTAGGATATTGTTACTTACTCCTTGGCAATGGTCTTCGTAAGACCAGTGACACCAGCCTTAGCAAGGGCGTAGTTGATCTGGCCGGCATTTCCGTGCAGGCCGGAAGTCGAGGAAATGTTGATGATATTACGCGGTTCGCCGTCCTTTACTCGGAAATATGGAGCCGCTTCGCGTATAAGCTTGAAGGGAGCAGTGCCGTGGAGGTCGACAATGGTGTGCCACTGCTTGTCGGTCATCTTGTGGATAACGCCGTCCCAGGTGTATCCCGCGTTGTTGACAATGATATGGATCTTGCCTTCCCCAAACTCAGCAGCCCTCTTGATGAGCTCCTTGATGTATTTGTCGTCAAGGACATCACCAGCAACTGCGATGGCTTTGCCGCCATTCTGATTGATCTCGTTGGCGACCTGTTCGGCCTTCTCTGTTGTTCATCAGTATGTACTCTCAAGTCTGTTTTGGCTTCCACCAGACATACTTGCGTCAACATCAGCAACGACAACCTTGGCACCCTCGTTGGCAAATAGCCTTGCGGTCTCAGCACCAATACCTTGCCCGGATCCCGTAATGATAGCGACCTGGTAGACATTCAGATTCTGTCTATGACTAAAATGTGAGGTGCCATACCTGGCCCGCCAGCATACCCTTGGGGTAGTTGAGGTGGGCGGAAATTTGAGCAACTCTCTGCGAGGCCATTTCTTTCTCAGTTGAGTGACTGGACGAGCCGATAAGAAGCTTGGTATTCCTCTGGCAGCTTCGCAATGAAGAAGATAAGACGGCGTCGCTCGGATTTCCAGTGCTCAACTTGCGGAGGCGGGTACCTTATGCCCGCGGAACGAGAGGAACCGAGGTTCGGGAGGAAATGGCGTTATGCCTGTTTTGGTAATAACGATGGATCCGCATAGTTGGGCTGACTCGACCTCGACATCGCTGAAGTTCCCCATGGCTCAAGCGGTTGAAATTGACAGTCGACCAGATTCCCGAAGCCCCTCAGGGCCTGGGTGAAAATGGCAAGATCTAGTCGATGCCAGTGTGACTAGCAATTATGGAATTCCTGTAGCGCTACAGATATCTCATTCGCATGAAAGGCCTTTGGTGTACAACATTTGGCGACCAAGTTTCGAAGACGTCAATGACCAGACATTGCGCGTATAGCCGCCCCTGTAACCAAGAGTTCTTCAATTTCGAGAAATCCTGGGAGACGGCAGCACGCCAGAGAAAGGTAACTGCGTCCATTACAGCCTGTGGATTCTCCGAAAAGTATACAGTGAAAAGTGCCACTTAAAGATGGATCCTTTGCTCCGGCGAAACGGATGTTTTCCAGTCCCAAACTATAGATGAAGAAAGTACCTGTCGACGTCCTCAAGGAATGCTGAAGACAAACGGTACGAAAAGGAGTGAACAGAATAGGCGGAAAGAGAAGGACAGATATCCGGAGCCCGGTTCATCTTCCTCAAGAGCCCAAAGCTTGCCCTGGTGGAGCCCTTCAGGTCACAAAGCCCCCACGTCATCCCGGAATGATTGATGGGACCACCATCCTCCGATACTGGATCTGCAGCCGAGCTGGACGCGGACATGGATCGATCTAGGCGGATAAGTATTTATCGAAGCGCCACGAATGGCATAAGATCAGGACAGGAATTTACCAGTAGCGTCCACGAGGCGGGTATCCATCTTCAAAGCCAGGACGCGCCGGGCTCCTAGGCCGACCACGAGGAGACGGAGGGCGGCCTTCATACGGACGCGCATGTCCATTGCCATAGGGGTCTTCGTAGCCGCGGCGAGGAGGTGGCCCACGGGCATCATAAGGATCCTCCGGGTAACGAGGTCGCGGAGGGACGCCGTACTCATCAGGAGGGCCACCACGCCTATCAGCGTACCTATCACGAGTTTCGTAGTAGTCGCGAGGAGGTGTGCGCCGTCGATAATCGTCACGTCGGGGACTATAGCCACGTGGAGGACCGCGGCGATCATAGTAGTCATCATAAGGAGCAGGAGGATACCCACGGCGTCCGGCTGGAGAGCGGGAACGATACCTATCACGACCTCTGTCATCGGGCCCAGCGCCATAGGGCGCGCGTGGCTTGAACGGTGGGGGCGGTGGAGGGTCGCTGATCTCCTGCACACACTGGACCTCCTGTCCCTTGAACTCGCGGCGGTCCAGTTTCTCAGCAGCCGCTTTGAGGTCAGCCGCTGTCTCATACTCCACGAAGCTATATTCCTGTCAGAGTGGATCGCAAGTGGCGATATGTAGGACTTACCCGGTACCATCGCGGTCGCGGCCGACTTCCGAGTAGACAACATCAAGGCCAGACTGACGGGCGAAGTCTTTCAAGTCCTAGAGTGAACAGGTTAAGCCGTGTCCCAAAGTCCAGTGCGTAACAACGGAAGGAGGAAGCACGCGAATCAAAGCCCCAGTCCAGGTTTAAGTGGTACAGGATATTGGCCTAACAGGAAACAGAGGAATTCCAGGATCGGGGAAGCTAACCTGCCAGCTGGTCTCCACGGGAAGATTGCTGATTCGCATCCTGTACGGGGTGCGGCGTGGGCGGGGAGCCGCGCGCTCATGGGGCACAAAGTTCTCATTCCGACGGGAACCGCGTGCGAACTGCACAATCAAACGTTCGCCCATAAAGTCGGATCCATCTATCAAGGGTGGTTAGGCGCATGTTGAGTGAGCGGAGGTGCCGGAGTAAAGTACATACGGAAGGCTAGACGATGCGTTAGCAGAGCAGAGTAAGCAGTGCAGCGAAGTTCGACTAACCTGGAACAACATCGCGAGCGTCCATCGCATCCTTGTATTCGATGAAACCAAAACCATTCATGAGCTTAATCTCAGTGATCTCACCAGTCCCATGGGTTTGAAAGTGAGCTTCAACATCCGCCTTGGTCGCGTTCCGTGGGAGATTCCCCAGGTACAGCCGGGTCGACGATACCTCCGTCATCTTCGGAGTTCCGTGCACGTAAGCTTCTATCCAGGGATTGTGGTAAGGTTATCTCTGCAGAAGGCGTGGTTGTGATGTTGGTGGGTGAGATGAGTGTGAATGTGGAGTGGTGAACTGTGAGGCGGCAAGAAAAGAGCGATGAGAGAAGGGGAGCTCAGACCGCCAGGCGTTGGTCCGTGCACAATGGTCTTGGCATATCCGCGGATATGGCATCGATAACGTTTCTGGGCAGTGAAGAGACTTGATGGACACACTCCCTGGATGGGGTGATCGTACATGCGACGGAGGCACGCTGGCAGCCTTTAGAGCCTAGCCCTATGTAGGCAGGTCGGATAGAAGATCCAGCAGAGATGGTCATGAATCCAGGTTTCGCCGTGCGTCTCATGAATAAGGGAGTATCCGGCCAATGATCAAATTACTGTATACTCCGTTCTATCAGGGAAGAGAAAGGGACAAGCACCCGGAAGTAAAAGGCATAGAAGTACATGCAAAGGCTTTGCCGCTGAAACTCCCAAGCTCAGCCTTTTGATACACATGCTCGGATGCAGGAAACGCCAATTGTCGTACGTCAATAAATCCAAAAAAGAGCGAAGGCTGCAGAAACATTTACACCCGCAGCAGCTTAGCGGCATAGTTGACTATCAGCTCCTCAGTGGGGAACGACATCTCTTCCAGCTTCTGGGCGTAAGGGGTGGGCACCTCGGCACCGGTGACACGGGCAGGAGGAGCGTCCAGGTAGTCGAAGGCATACTCGCAGGTGAGGGCCATGATTTCAGATCCAACACCGAAGGAGGGGAAACCGGACTCCACGGCCAGCATGTGACCCGTCTTCTTGACCGACTTGACAATGGCCTCAACATCAAGCGGTTTTATTGAGCGGAGATTGATGACTTCGGCTTCGACTCCGTAACGCTTCTTCAATTGCTCGGCAGCGACGAGGGATTGGCCGACACAGCGGGAGAGGGTTACGATGGTGAGGTCCTTGCCAGGGCGCTCGATCTTGGCCTTGCCAAACTGGAGACGTTTATCAGTGAAAGCGATGTTGCGATTGAATGGGGGGTCATACAGGAATAACAAAGTCATCCTTTTGAGCAGCTTCACTCATGGGGAAGGAGAGACCGTAGAGAAGCCTGGACTAGTGTCAGTCACGGCGAGTCGGGAAGGGGTGAGGAAGGGCTCACTCGTTCTCCAAGACGACTACAGGGTTGGGATCTCGAATAGCGGCCTTCAAAAGACCCTTGGCGTCCTCGGAGCTGTACGGCGCTACGACCTTCAAGCCCGGAATGCTGCCATACCACGCAGTGTAGTCCTGGGAGTGCTGAGCCGCGACACCAGCTGCGAAACCGTTGGGTCCACGGAAGGTTATGTTGCAGGGTTGGATACCACCGGACATGTAGTGGGTCTTCGCGGCAGAGTTGATGATCTGGTCGATTGCTTGCATAGCAAAGTTGAAAGTCATGAATTCGCACTGTTACTTGTTAGCGCCACGCATCGAATGCTCGCTTCTAGGCTGCTTACGATGGGGGCCAGTCCAGCTAGTGCAGCGCCGACAGTGAGGCCACAGAAACCCGACTCAGTGATGGGGCTGTCAATGACTCTCTTATCGCCAAAACGATCAAGAAGACCCTTTGTGACTTTGTATCTACAGCGCTGTTAGCTCCGTGAACGGCGCGTCATTGAAGCTCCGGCTCAGCACGACTTCAAACGTGCGGGCCTTTCATCCGCGATACGGTGGTATCCATCGCGGACTTGCAGGGCAAAAAGCGGGACAACGTACGCTCCGTTATACTGTGCAACCTCCTCGCCCAGAACGAAGACCTTCTCGTTCTGTTCCATTTCCTCGGCCATAGCCTCATTGAGGGCCTCTCGCACCGTCATCTCCTTGACGTTTCCGGAGGATGCATAGTTCCTCCTCGCAGTTGGGTGAAGGGCGGAAGTTGCGCGAAACACTGGTCGGGGCACGATCGCTGGTCTCGAAGCGGACACCAGGCGGCTAGCTGGCCGGAATAGCCTCGAAGCAGCCATTGCTGGGGTATCGGAGGAGGTGAGAAGCCGCTGAATAGAAAAAGGTGGTTGGCGGGCAGCGGCGAGGGTGTAGAAAGCTGTTGTTGGTGATGTTCGTGATGCTGATGGCAGGAGGAGATTTCTCGTAGAGACGCCCGAATCGTCGGATCCGCTGATTGGTCTACGGTCTTGGGGTCTTGGCGTGGACCACCCTGGTCGCGGTTGAAGTTTGCCATCCGATCAACAGCAAACCTCAATCTGTCGCTTCATTGAAGGTCAAGAGGTGTGGATGGAAAGGCATTTCTCATTCATGCTATTCACGTCTCTGAATGATAGGATGATGGGATCTACAATCGGTTGATATGTACTCAACCGTGGATAATGGAAGATAACACGGAGTACGCACCGAGCCAACTGCGTTGTGTTCACAGCTTGTTGCGAAGCAACTCCAGTGCACTCTGTGCAAGCGTTTCGAGGTACCTTCTACTTGAAATCAAGTGGCTACGGATCCTTCTAGACACTCTCAATCTCTCCAAACTTTTTGAACCTATATGAGCGACTGCCGCTCAAAAACTGGAGACACTGAAGGAGCTCCGCTTATCCCATTGCTTTCCACTCGGTTCTTGTGTTGAGAATAAGTACGTGCCGGTACAGCACCAGTGCAAAATTTCAGCACATTCGCGCAGCGTGTTATCTCTACACACCTGCAGGAAATGTAGGAGAAGCTTTGGCCACCTGCGGAGAGTTGGAGGTGATCTATCGACAAGGGTCTATTGATCGATCCGAGATGGTTGGCGTGAACCGAAGCCGCAGATGAGCAGCGGAAGCGGAACTCCCGCAACCTCTACTCCTCCATTGATTGCCTCCCAAACCCACCTCGAGGGAGAGTACACTCGACATACTCGTCATCCCTGCCAGAGAGCAGATTGAAACAGTCCAGCCGCCTCGATCCACCGTCTCACGCGCCTCGTCTCTCTGTTCCATTGTTCCGCGCCAACTATTAGCCCATCTGCAGCGATCCTTTGCGCAGCCCACCTCCACCGTTGGATTCTGCTGCTCAGCCTGCAGTTTTCTGAATATATCCACCAGCTACCATTTCCCATATAACCAAGTGACTGGTGCAGAAGTAAAAGCTACCATCGAACCCCTCGCCTCGTAGGGAACAGCCTTAGGACAAGGGAGATATATATGCCCAAGTCGCATATGCCATATTACCCACGTCGTTAAACTCCAGTCGTCGCTCAACATGGTTGGAAAGAAGTCTGGACGCGCCCAGCTTCGGGAGGAGGGTAGGCTTCTATAGCAAAACTGCGTCCTTCACTCGCTGACACTATCGCAGGTTTGGCCCGGACGGACAATAATCTGGATCTGACGACATGGCCTCAAGTGAACATGATCAACCAGAAGAACTATTACACGGAGTTTCTGAAACGCGAAGAGCAATATCTCGCCTTTCGAGCCCCCGCCGAAGAAGCGACCGCGCGTATGGTACAAGCAGCTCGTGATAAGGACCGGGCTCTCGCCTTCGGGGCCACACCGGAGGGAACAGCTGAGCAGGACGATGAAGATGCTGCTGAAGATGCGGCCCTGTCGTCCAGCCATGCTGATCCCTCGAAGCTCGTTATATTACATCCTGGTAGCCAGAACTTGAGGCTTGGTTTTGGCACAGATGCTTTGCCGAAGACGGTGCCCATGGTGATAGCGCGCCGTTGGAAGGAAGCAGAGTGTGAGGAAAATGACGGTGAGCCCTGCCCCAAGCGGCAGAAGGTGGATGGAGCCGTTCCGGCCTCCGCTCTACCGGAGAAGTGGTTCGGAGAGGACGTATGTTGCGATGATCTTATACACACCTTGCAGCGAGCTGACAAGCATGCACAGTTTGCGAATCAGTATCAGGCCATGTGCTCTGAGCTAAGAACGCGAATGAGGACTAATAAGAAGCGAGTGTTGCCGAACTCGAAAGAACTAGTCGTTAATTACAATCGCCGAGCGGGTGTCGAGCACATCAACGAACACAACGATGTGAATCGGATAGAGTGGACGGAAATACCATCAAATCACTCGGCCGCGCCAGACTACTTCACAGGTCAGGAAGCTCTTCGTATTCCGGAACAGTCGAATCCACGGTACAAGTTGTTCTGGCCCATACGCAATGGGACTTTCAATGAGACAGACTATACCGGCCGCAATCAGCTTTACCACGATATTTCCAAGATAATCGAGGAAGCTTTGAAGTCACAGCTTGGCCTAACGGACCTCAAGGACTTAGCCAACTACCGCTGCGTATTCATCATACCCGACTTGTACGAGAGAAACTATGTCACCATGCTCCTCGACATCCTGATCCGAGACCTTGGATTTGGGAAGGTTTGTCTACAGCAGGAAAGCTTGTCAGCGACCTTCGGTGCCGGAACCGGTATTGCATGCGTTGTGGACATTGGTGCGCAAAAGACATCGATCTGTTGTGTTGACGAAGGATTGTGTGTTGAAGAATCACGCATCAATCTGAAGATGGGCGGTGCAGACGTCACTGAGGCATTCATCAAAATGATGTTATTCGACCATTTTCCCTACTCGGAGATGAATCTGAGGCGAAGGTACGACTTTCTACTAGCGGAGGAGCTGAAGCAAAAGTTTTGCTCCATGGACGAAAACGATGTAACCGTTCGGACGCATGAGTTCCATCTCCGAGCTCCTGGCCAGGACACGAGGAAGTACACGTTCAAGACGTATGATGAGACCATGCTCTCCGTTATGGTAAGCTAGTCGCCTTGGTTTTCCGCGACATGCAGAAACTAAAAGTTCCAGGGGTTCTTCAAGCCGTCGATCTTCGATCATTCCCGCAAACTCGATGGTTTCAGATCGGTAATGCCTCGTTCCGTCGACCTCTACGACGGATCTCCAAATGACCCTTTTTCAGCCGCCCAGCAAGTAGTGATCGACTACGCGGCGGGAACGTCCACTTCAATGAACGGAACGCAGGACTCAACGAACAGCCTACCAGTAGCGTCCACTCCAAGCAGGTCCCAAACACAAAATCTCCTCAACCGTCTCAATGACGGTGAAGCTACGCCACGATCATCTGTCGCGAATTCGCCCGTGCCTGAAGGCACCCCGAACCCAGACCAGGAAACGCCAGGTGATGCAGACCAACCTCTGGTATTTCGGGATCCTGTCCTTGAGAAAACCAAGGCCGCGAACGAACGCGATAAAGTGCTTCCCGTCATGCCCATAGACGAGGCGATATTGCAAAGCATCACGCTGGGAGCGCGAGGGGATGATCGGAAACTGCGTGACTTTATTGGAGGCATCATGCTGATCGGAGGAGGAAGTAAGACCCCATCGCTGGGAGCCTTCCTTGAAACCAGGCTTCGGGAGTTGCGGCCGTTGTACGGCAAGGAAATTCTAGTGGCTCCTCCACCACGGGACTTCGATGCCCAAGTGGTGGTTTGGAAGGGGGGAAGTGTTTTTGGGAGGCTGTCGTCGCATGGGAATGACAGCTGGATAAGCAAGGCTGAGTATAACATACTGGGCAGCAGATTGCTCACTCACAAGTGCATGTTCGTCTGGTAGAAGCCGAAACATTGAGCTGGCTTTTGGATCAATACATATATCTTTACACTATTAGTAGTAAGCCATAAAGGTATTGTCAAACGGATAGTAGTATCGCGGAGAAAGCGGCTTAGTCATGATTTCTTGGCACGGTGAAGGTGAATCTCCTCTTCCGACGCGCGGTGAAGCTCGGACGTTCTTTCAGGACGGACAGGAAATCGAGCCCTTTCAGTCTACATTTGCGCAACCTCGCTCACAACCTCGCTCGCAACCCGCTCCCTCCGCCGTCACAACTCTACTCTGCATTAATTCATTGTTAACACTCACGAAGCTATGGCGGACCGACCGCGACAAACAATCCATCAGGATTACATCGCGCGCATCCGCTATTCGAACGCGCTCCCTCCTCCGCCATGTCCTCCGAAGCTCCTCGATATCCCCAATACCGGCCTCTCGAGTGGACTCTACACCTCCGCAAACTTTGCCAATAGGCTTGTAAGAGAGCAACCGCTGAATATCGAAGCCGATGCGGAGCTGGGCATGCCGATAGATTTGGTCGGAATTCCCGGCGTCTTTGATGGCGATGAATCCGGTGCGTACATCAGCGCAGTGCTAGACTTCACGTGTCTAACGTAGTCCAGCGATACAAGCAATGGAGAAAGCTCCGCCGCTCCATCCAGCAGATCGAGCGCTCATGCGTCCTCCGAATGCGTTGGGAAAGGCGTCGTCCGCCGTCGCATCTGGCATCAGTTTCTTGCGTCGCACCGAATACACGACCGCCTTCACCACCGGAGGCTCCAAGTTCGAGTCCAGTACCTCGTCGAATACCATGCGCTTGAAGGCCAAGCGTCGGAGAGCAGACTTGTCACAAGACGACCCGCTCAACATCGCAAAACACATCCAGAAGGGCTTCGACCTTGCCTATCCGGCCGACGCACACACTGGCGTGGACACGGAGGACAAACTCCGCGCAGCACAGATTGCGCCCGAGGAGAAGCAAGCCTGGAGGAACCCGAAACACCCCAGCAAACCTAACCTCACGCTCCTCGACTCGTACCCCTTACTCCCCGACTGGGACGCGGTGCCCGACACGGGGTCGTACATGATCTACCGGTTCGCCGCGCCGCCAGTGAAGGACACTGAGAGCGGCTACGACGAACGCCTGGACGTCGCCATCCTCCGACCCATGGGCGAATCCATCGACGACCACGAAACTTACCTAGCCGAAGTACAACGCCACAAAGAAGATCCGACGCTGCCCCTCCCCTTACCCAGATACCACTTCGAATTCTTCCTGCCGGCCGACAAGGACAAGGACAAGGTCCGGGGCATCAAGCGCAACTTCAGCACCTTCGACCCGGACAACGAGGACGAGATCCCGTTCGACCAGGGCGTCGACGACGAGGGCCGGCCCAGGAAATTCTTCAAGTACGAAAACATACGCACCTACGATACGCACAACCAGTCCGGCGACCCCAACGACACGTACGGCAACGTCGTCGCGCTGGCGCTGCACGACCCAGAGACGCACCCGGCGCCGCGGCTCCGCGCCACCAAGCTGCAGAAGGCGGCGTACTTCTACCCCATCAGCCAGCGCACCGTCATCAAGCCCAAGCGTCCTGGGAAGTTGGAGCTCTTGGATGGCGAGTACACACGTGTCGATGTCATTGAGGCTGTGGGCAGGGATCCGGCGCAGGAGGCGGAGAAGCGGACCGAGATACGGAGGCGGTATGATGTTCTTGAGACTTAGCGCGGGAAAGGAGTGGCAAGTGGATGGTGCGCGAGTTGTGAGGGCAGTGGGGACAGGATACTTGTTCTTAGCTCATTGCATGGTACTCGTGCGAGGCCAAGTGGAGGCGGAGAAGAGCATGTTTACATGGACTCCAGGTATTATATTAGCCTTCTGAAAGTGGTACTTCAGAATATCACCCTTATGGAAAGGCGGGATTCTGGTTCGGAGTCAAGTGGAAGCTCATTTCATGATACCATTTTGTCTGCATTGAAATTCAAGGCTCGTGGAGCAAGTGAGATTGACTGCTAGGCGCTGGAAGATTGCCATGGAGAAATAGCAGAATCTAGCATTGTCTCCATTGGTTGATAGATATACACAGTAGATGTGCAGTGACATCAATGTCTGCTTTGTTTGGAGCCATGGTCAAACTCGCGAGGAAAAACACATACATGATTTATGAAGTGAAGAAGAGAATCTCATTGTCCATGAATAAACCTATTGGATATCCCTAACTCCAGAACTCTCGACCTAATCCACGTCAACGACGTCCAGCCTATCTGCCTGCTTGCTATAACCCCCTACGAAGCCAGATAACACCGAATTCCAGAAAGGAACACCCCTCCACTTGGCAATCTGTCGCCCTTTGTGTGAAAAGACGCAGGAATCAAGTGGAAGCAGTAGCCTTGGTCTCCGGATCGGACTTGTTCTTAGCGCACCCAGCACAAGCGCACTTTCCCTCGGGGCATTGGCAGATGCCCGCCTCCTTATGGCAGTCGCAATGCGTCTTGTCCGTTCCGGGAATCTTCTCAACGTGACTGCCATCGCCGGACTGCTTCTTCAGATTGGCCAAGTGGCGAGCCTCGTTGTGGACGTCGACGACGGTCTTCTCGCTGGTTTCGTAAAAGCGTCTCAGCTTCTGGCCCGTGGGAGTCTCAGCCGCCCTATCGAAGTAGGAGGAAAGTCCGCGCCAGCCAGCTTGGACTTTCTCGAGGACGCCTAGCTTGGTGTCGAGAGCTTGAGCCCTTTCCTTGGCATGGAACTTCTCGTCGAGATTCAGGAGAACTTGCTGGAATCTGAGGGGTCGTTAGTCCTTCCTCAAGAGACATCAAACTCACATCCGGAGTGTGCTTACCTCGCGCTCACGCCGTGCTCCTTGTCGATAGCAAGCGCCTTTTCAATAGCCTTATCCGAGATGGCATAGCCCTGAGCCAAGTACTCAGCAATGATACGGCTCCGCGGCTTCTCCTCCTGCTCAAGATGGTCTCCCTCTTTGGCACCTTCGGCAGTGCCCTTCTCATCTGCGAGCTCGTCGATGGACTTGGCGGCGGTGACATGAACCGAGTTGGGACCAAGCTGGGTGCTGTCGAGGAGGAGCGCGGTCTTCGCAGCTGCTGGCTTCTCAAAGGTAACCGAGGCAGACTGCGTGTTTTCGTCGACCTTTGTTACTGAGATGTCCTGGATCTTTCCGCAGAAGCTGAAGAAGGACCGGATCTCATCGTCAGTTGTCTTGGTGGAGATGTTCTCGACGTGAACAGTAGTGGCCATTTTTAAGGTGAGTGTCGCTGGTAAGTTTGTATTGAAGTGGTGTGCAAGGTAAATGTCGGGTGTTGGGCGTGGTATTTGGGAATGAGGAAGAGGTGGCAGCAGTGAGACGTGGGGTGTTTATAAAGGGCTGGAGAATGAGTGACGGAAGGTGCGAGCATGAGACGATGACGTAGCTGCATCAGCCTCCGCAATGTGGCTGAGCACATGTGAAAAAGCCAGCGCCACAGCTGCAGTTCGCCACGCCAGCTGCAGGACAAGCTCATCCGTTACCCTGCAACGGAATCTGCAAAAAGAATGGATCGGATACTATGTATGCGTCGGGGTGCCCAGGTGGCAGGTCCTTCGGGGCCTTGCATTCCAGGCATAAATAAGCATTTGATCTCTCCCTTTGCTTTCCGTCTACTCGCACCACGGTGTGCTTGGCGAGGAGCACCAGCAGAGCAATACGATGCATGCATGCGAGCAGCCGTTGAAGAGCTACGTAATTTCTGTACCCGCCTCCATATTGGGTGGAGGTTCAATTGGCCTTCTTCCACCCCTGAACCGACTCGTCCACCTCCCTCCTGTACCGCTGCTGACTCTCGCACTGCTCCAAAAACACCTTGTACTTCGTCTCCAGCAACTTCTTCAGATACGCATCCTTACTCGGCTTCACCATCTTCCCCGGCTTACTGAACCGATCCATGATATCCCACAGCGGCTCCGTCTTGCCTTCCGAGTCTGCGCTGGCAGCCTTCGCGCCCAGCATAGCGGCACCATGCACCACAGCAGCATGTACGTATCGTGGAATGAGGACAGGCATGTCGCATGCGGCTGCTATGAGTTCCATGAGGATGCTGTTCTGGCATTGCGAACCAGACATGAAGATGGAGGAGAGTACGTGGCCGGCCTTGTTCATGGCGGACACGATTTGCCGCGTCTGGAGAGCAATAAACTCCATCGTGCCATAATAGTGCAGCGCCAGACTGTCGATGCTCTTGTCGGAGCTCAACCCGATTACCGATCCTCGCATGTTAGCGTCTGCGATAGGCGAACGGTTTCCAAAAAGGTCGCCGTAGAAGAAGAAGTGCCGTCCAAGCCACGAGACGTGAGGTGCGTCCTGGCTTTGGGCCATCTCTCGAAGGTGATTATTCAGGTATTCGTAGATATTCGTGTTCTGCGTCTCCGCAAGAGCTTGGGCCTCGTGGAAGGCTGGATGAGTCTCAATGACGTGTTTGAGCAACTCTCCAGTCGCACTCTGACCCCCTTCTGCCATCCAGTATTCCGGTAGCACAACATCGCGGTATGGGCCCCAGACACCGTTGACGAAGACCGGCTCGCGAGACATAGCAAGGTGGCAGGTCGAGGTGCCAGCTACTGCGGCAAGCCGGGTGAAGGCTTGCGAGACGTCATTCCTAGGCGTCTCCATATCGAGCGTCCCCTCGTCAAGCTCAACCTTCGCACCAACGGTGCCAATCCAGCCAGCATATGCATCAATAACCCCACTGCCAACAGCGATGCCGGGGTGCAGTCCCATATCGGCGGCAGCCTTCTCACTCAGAGTACCGACAAGCTCTCCGGCAGTGAGATATCTTCCGTTCTGTGCTCAAGTCAGTCAAAGCATTCTATGCCCAAACAAGGTGGACGTAACCACTTTGTCGACTCCACCCATGCGCTTGAAATTGTCCTCGCATAGATCTTCCAGTCCAATCGCCTTGAGGAAATCTTCTTGCCAGCCTTTCACGCTGCCGTCAACGCCCACTGGCACAAAACCTTGCTTGCACACAACGCTGCAGAAACTGCGAGTCTCGGTTCCCGTAGCCATATGCGTCAGTGCATCTGTTAGGTCGTAGAATTTGCATCGGTCAAATAGCTCTCTCGGCATATGATTCTTCAGCCAAAGCACCTTGGGGATTTCCATCTCAATCGACATCTTGCCTCCGACATAGCGGAGCAGATTGTGGTTTGTAGCATTGATTTTGTTAGTCTCCTCCTCTGGCCGATGGTCGAGCCATAATATCACGTTTCGGTCATTGCCATCTCGATTGTCAAAATGAGGGCCCGTGACACAAACAGGTTCATCGGTATCTTGAGCAAAAACTGCAAGCGAACACGTGGCGTCGAAGCCGATACCTCGGATTGTGGTGCTATCAATGTTGTGCTGAGCCAGAGCGCGGCGGACTGCAGTGCAGATACAACGCCATATGTTGGTAGTGGATTGTTCCTATTACGATTTAGCGTTTGCTCTCTCCGTTAAACCGGATGTAATGGGTAGCGATTGTGTTGTTTGGGAGTAGCATACATAGAATCCAGTCTGTGGTTGCCAGAGGCCGATATTTTCGGATGCCAATCCTACAATATCGCCCTTGTCATCCATGATGCAGGCTCTAGCGCTACCAGTTCCGACATCGATGCCAATGTAATGATTCACTTGCGGACGAAGCTCATTGCGAGTATCGCTGGAGATGCCCGAGATGGGCGAAACGACAGAAGTCATGTTAGAGGCAAAACGACTGAGGACAGCAGAACGCAAAGGGGAAGTAACACGAAAGTGATTGGATTTGAAGTCTCGGAGACTCAGGGGAAACGGAAGGAAAGCACAGCACACTCAGTGAGTGATCAATCCCTCCAGAGCTATCGGAAAAGCACTTTGGGAACCGCGGGGGTGGGGCAGCGGCTTAGAGGAACCTAGGCATTCTACGGTTTCGATTTGACAGACCAGTCTGGATCATCAGAGATGTGCGGGTTTCAGAGATCGCTACGACAGGAGCAGACATGGTAATTCTCGAGTGCAGTTTGTCGAACGTTGGGCCGGAAATACCATATCTGGTAAATCCCTCCTGCTTGTCGCAGATGATAGGGACGGTAATAATCTCGAGCTCCCCGGTCAGCGGGTCGAGGACTGTTGAAGGTCGCAATCCGGCGTCATCGGTGAAACAATGTTCCGTGGGCCTCCGCCCATAGCTCCATCTGATCAGCGCAAGGAGAGTGCACTCATCACCTGCGCAGAACAAAACCCGGCGCCAAAGCACCGCGAAAATGCTCCTGTCCAAACTCCTCCTGCTACCCGTAGCATTCGCCTCTTCGGTCACGCTTTACGTGCACTCCCTTCCTTCGACAGAGTCCCATCATTCGCCCATCCCATCCCCAATTCCACTTGCACAGATCGACTACGACGCAGACACATCAACGGGAACGCTAGCATCATATACCCCTCCAACGGGCTCCTACTCTCCAGATCACCTCCTACGCATCGGCCTAGGCGATCCCAAGATTGGTCACTGGCGCGGTGTCCTTACCTCCGCCGCAAGCTTCGGGGATGAATACAAGAAGAAGTTCACCGTGCATATCGATGAGAAGGGAGAGCCATATCACGTCGGCTTCAGCACTGATGTCAGGGGATCCGGGGATGAGGTGGAGGTGGAGGTTGTGAAGAGGGAGTCGGGGCCAAAGCCCGTCTTGAACAAGCCCGTAGTGTTGAATGCTGATGGCAAGCTGGATAACAAGGAACCCGAAAAGACATTCCTTCAGAAGTACGTCCTTCTTGCAGAGCGAGGGCAACGACTTGCAATATTGACGCAATCCCAGGTATTGGTGGGCTATAGGCCTCTTCCTCTTAATTCAGGTCGTTGCTGGTGGTGGAGGCGAGAAATGAGGCAGTTTGCGACGACCACCGTTAAGCTTACATTGAAAATACCTGATGTTCTCCTGAAACGCTTGTTGGCGAACCCCACGAGTTCCCTCGCAATGAATTGGGTTTCCAGCTTCACAATTCTAGACGGAACAAAAAAGCAGGGTCGACACAGACAACGCCGGTGTCCCCACACAGCGGTATAGATATCAGTCCGAGAGACAAAGAAGGGCGTGGTAGAAGCACGGCCACAGAAGGACGAAACCGATACTTCGATATCAGAAATACGAAATCTCGCCCGGTACTGCCGTGACGTTGAGGGATTCAAATTATTCTCTGACCCGTGTAACAGCAAGAGCCGTGACCCCGATATCCTGTTTCCAGCTCGTAACGTAGAGCCGGAACATAGCGCCCACCCCAAGTACTCCAGATCAGGCAACAAAGTGGATTGCGCAATTTCGGGTATCCTACAATAGCATTTTCGAAGTTGAGGGTTTCGGTATCATCAGTAGCGTCTACGCGGTCCCCGTGGAGGTTCCCTATATCCATTCTCGCTGAAGCCGAAGCGACCGTCCTGGTAACTGCCATTCCGAGCGCTACTGGTGTTGTCCACCTCCATGTCATCAAAAGATTGAGTGAGCCGAGCCGCAGGTCGTTGTTGAGGCGCAGCACCGGTGGATTCCTTAATGTACACGTATAGCAGCCTGCCATCGGCCTTTATAACGGTTAGCATTGCTAGCGATCACGCGATTCGATGGACATGCCTTCTTGTTGTTGAACATATCGACGATATTCTGGGCAGCGTCCCGCTTGTCGACTGTGAGCTCAACCATGACGGTGGGTTTGGCGCTGATCAGCCTGCAGCTGAGAACGGTTCCATCTCGCTCATTCGCAATCGGCACCATGACGGCCTCAATGTCCGCCGCAGTGGTTCCAATCGCAAAGTTGCTCGCAATGACGGTAAACGGACCTCCAGTGGCAACTCCCTTGATGTTGAAGCCAGACGAATCCGAACCCGAGACATTATCCTGCAGCACGGATCGGAACTTATTGAAGGTTCGGGTATTGCGATCGATCTGCGAGGCCGACGCCGCGCGGTACGGTTTCTTCGGAGGTCCCTGGTGGTTGCCGGCATCGTGGAGATCGTGCTGCCACTTCCCCTCAATATTGGCCGCCGGTTTCGCCGATGAAGATCGTGACTTGTTGACTCCGCTGCTGCTGCTCATGCGACTAACAAGGCTCGGTTTCTGCGCGCCATTCCGCGTGTTGGGAAGAGCTCCAGCTCCGGCTTTGCGTCCGCGGCTGCCCAGTATCTCCTGCGCGAGCGCCTCCCGCTTCTTCTTCTCGCGGGATTCCTTCACGAAGTCGGCGAATGACACCTCGGACATCTTGTAAAGTGTAAAGAATGAACCCGATTGAGATGTTGGTCGGGGGGGTTGGTAGAGAAAGTCGGAACGTTCGCTGGAGATTACTTTGTAGAGGTAAGGCTGCGCGGGACCAAAAGCGCGTCAGTTTCCCGGGCGCACGGACGCGATGTCCACCTTGGCAGCGCTACGGTGGAATGTTCCTCCGTGTAGGAAGGAAAAGTTCATCTGCAAACTGGAGGTTTCCTCCTTCGACATCACAACAACAATATGGTACGTTCAATCCGACTCTTTACTCTGTTTTACCTGATGAACACTCGTGTCGCCCCTATCTTACCATTGATGGTGAATGACCACCCAAGCCAAACGGGAATGCTGATCTTTATGCCCATTTACACCTTTTCTCATCCGGTTTGGACGGAGCACTTGCTGACTTTCCAGAAGTGTAGGATGGATTGAATCCATGAGCTCGGGATTTATGCTATGTTTTTTTCCAGTGCCAGGTGTACGGTTTAGGGCAACGAAAAGAGTGTATCATCCCAAGGGTTTCAGTCTGTCAAGCGAGTGGCATGCCTCATCCATCAATGTAAGTCTACCCCATCTATCCCACACGGCCTTCCCTTCAAGGATGAACAAAAACTGTGTACTATCAAATTCCGACATATCATGGGGAGACACACTGTTCGATTACCTGAAATCAACCGCACCTTCGCATCAACGATTCTCTCATCACCTCACCGACCATTGCTAATGAAACCTTCACAGATTCTGTAGACTCCATCCGCTCAACTAACCTGACAGAAGCCTCTCCGCTGAATGAACTCTTATCGCGTAAGTACCCGCTTTTTCTCACCGCTACTCGCTTTTTCCGCACTACATGATGAAGCAACTATATTTCCATGCTAACACTGATGGGCCCGCCCGCATGCTGTTACGATATAAGCCTTTTCATCTTTCGACTGATTTTGCTTCTTTCCCACTTGCTCTTGCCCTTATTGTGGTTGTTGATCGGCGATTGGCTAACGAAGAAATCAGTAGGGATATTCTTGTTTCTTTCAACGAGATCGACGAAGGTCGTCTTCTGTGTTGGTGAGTTCAAGGATACCGTCCGGTTTCATCGGTGCTCGCTCCTATATGCGCCATATGCATAACGTTAGAGAATATTATATTCGTCGTCAGGAATTACTCGAACGGAGCTTCCACTCTGATCGATGCTGTGTTTATATGCTATCTAGTCGTATAGGAGGTGGGTTGTGTGTTGAACTGCTAGCCTAATAGAAATCCTAACCCATACCGAGCGCCTCCTTTTCTTGCTAATCACTACGCATATCCATTCCCCCTGCCATTACTATTCCCCTGCCATTACGTCCTTTCCTCAATCCCCATCACCCTCCCCACGCAGCTACCATCTCCTCAAACCAACTTCATCCCCTGACCCACCTCCTTCAACTCGCCCCTCTTCCCACCATACTCCTTCGGGATATCCTCCCCCAGCTCGTCCCTCAACCCCTCCCCATAACTCAACACGGTAAACTTCTTGGCCGTCTCCTTGGCCACAATCAACTTGATGGCGTTATAGATCCAGCCCATGATGACGGGCACATTGACGAAGAACTTGCGCGACAGGGTCTCCGGGTAGTATCGACCGAGCGTCTCGATGGTCTTCTTGGTTGCGGCCTTGACGACGGGGTCCTGCCGAATGAAGGAGACGGAGAGGTAGTCGTGGACTTGGTAGGATTGGTAGGGGTCCGGGCCGGTGCCGTAGTCGGGGATGGGGACGGTGGCGTGGGCGAGGTCCAGGGCGTGGATGGAGCGTTCCATGAGGCCGACGCGCCATCGGAGGAAGCTGGGAACCAAGTGTCAGCGTCAGCGTCGGAGTCAATGTCCATCTCTCCCCGTGTGAACAGGAGTGGGGAGTAGAATGGGAGGGGGAAATCATGGACTTACCCATCCAAATCCCCAAACGTCTTCTTATTATCCTTCACCGCCCCGTAGATGTTAAACGTCACCACGTCCTTCTCATTCTTACTCTCCGGCACCCCTTTGACCTCGATGAGATACCCCAGCCCGTCAAACCGCTCCTTCTCATAGCTCGCCTCCGCCGCGCCAACCGGATCAAACTCCTTCCGCCATTTGAGCGTCTCGAGGAGCTGCTGCTTCGCCTTGTCCAGGTCGTTTGCGTTGGCGCGCAGGAATTTCTGCAGGATGAGTTTGGTGTGGAAGGGGTTCGAGTGCGAGAGCGTGACGCCGAAGACTTCGTTGTGCGCGGCTTCTTCTGTGAGCGAGGGGACGAGGTCGTAGAGCTTGGTGAGGGGGTGGTCGGGTCCTGTCTCGGGCCAGACTGGTGAAGAGGAAGCGGGTGTGGCTTCGGTTTTGGCTTCGGTTTCGGCAGCGGCGGCAGCAGTGTTGGTGCTGGTTTCTGGGACTGCCGGTGGAGGATGCAGCGTCGACTCTACGGCGGCTTCGAGTTTCTCGTCTTTGGCACCCGGAGCAGTTTGTTTGTCCTCGGATAGCGTTAGGTTCTCTGTTTTCTTTTCCAGAGTCTCGAGGGCTGCGGTCTCTTGCTTGAACTCCGCGGGGGAAGTTGCGGGAGCTTCGGCTTGCTGTTCTGGAGCTTCGGTCTGCGGCGCTGGAGCTACTGGCGGCTCGGTTGGAGCTGCCGCTGAGGTCTCTTCGGGCTTGGACGACATCCTGAAGAGTGCTGGACGTTCGGCAGAGGGACGAAGGAGGGAGCTTGCTGAATGGCAGAATGAATGGAAGAGGGCTCTCTGGTGTTTGGGTTCGAGAAAACAAGGTCAGTTATCAGATCTTCTGATTGGTGTAATCTCCGTGCACGTATCACCGAAGTGCACGTGATTTTTCCCACTCAGGACTCCTCCGGCTTGCTTCCATTCTACTCTGCTATATATGAACTGCTTAGCGAGATAAATGTTGGAAGGTTGAGTGATTGTGATCCAAATCCATTGAATTGCCTCGGACCATTACAGGCGTGGCACCATTTGACGCTCTGGAGGCATCCTCCAGCTAAGGGAATGTCAAGTAGTAGCTCTAAACACTATACTTATTCGTACTGGTTTAAATAATAAGAAAACACATTACGCTAGCAGGATCCCTCCCGCACTAAGCTTACAACAGCACAACCTCCCAATAAAGAACAATCATTACTCGTAACCATGCCCCCCTTAGGTCCATAATACACTCGTCCCCCAGTCCCCTTCAACTCATCAATCATCCTTCCTCTCCTCCTCCTTCGGCAACAACGCCCTATCCACCCACCCTTCTCCCCTGAGCACCCCCAGCCCCTTCCTCGCAACCCCACTATTCACGCTCCGCGGCTCAATCTCATAGAGCACATTCACCACCGCCAAACTCACGGTGAAGAGCAATACATCCCCGTTCTTGATCCCCCTCCACCATCCCCTCTTGACTCCAACCTTCCAGAACGAATCAATCGACATGCGCGCCGTGTACAGGAAATTGCTCCTCCCACGCTGCCGCACCAGATACGCCCACAAGCCGCCCAGGAACCCGCCGAAGAAAAAGCGCTGCGTGGGCAGGAAATTGCGGCTGAGGAGGTGCTGGAAGAGGCAGATAGAGCCCCAGCTCGTGCCGATGGCGCCGGAGATGAAGACGCTCATCCTCAGGATGGATTTGGCGAGGTTATTGAGCGCGCTGATGGGGGAGTCGAGGAAGGCGCGGTACTTGGGGAGCGAGAGGGCGGTGAGGATGATGGTGAAGAGGCGGGCGACTTTGGGGAAGGCTTGGAGCCAGTAGGAGAGGTAGGTGCGGAGGCAGGAGGGGTCGCTTGGGTGGAGGAGGGCGCAGGAGAGGGATCTTATGGCTGGGTGGGCGGGAGAGGTAATCGGGGAGGCAGCGGTGAGAGACTTGGGGAGGGTTTCGGTGTCTGGGAAGAGGATGGGGGAGGTGAAGGGGGGCCAGCGGGAGCGGGAGATTTGGGCGACGTTATCGACGATGGAGAAGGGTGTGGGCCAGGAGAGGCCTTTGGGGTATTTTTCTGGCCGTTTTTGGATGTAGGAGGGGGAGTTGTTGGCGAGAAGGTTGGCGTAGGTCGAGGGGAAACAGTCGCGGTCGAAGATGAAGGCGTGGAACAGCTGGCCGCAGGCTACGGGCATGAGCATCCAGGAGCCGAACCATTTTGGCCTGTTCTTGAAGTAGCCTTGCTCTTCCAGGTAGTTATAGCAGAACTCCAGCGCCCTGGTCATGACATATATGGCTATTGTTATGCGCAATTGGTCTCCGGGGTACACGGCCAGGAAGAATCCGGCCAAGCTCGAGCCTATGGCTGGAGCCATTCGAGAGGTCAGGGACCGCGATATGCGCGGATTGCGTCTCCGGAAGGGTCTCGCTTCATTGGTGAGCAAGCTTTCACGTAGTCTCAGGAAGAAGCGTCGAAGGAGCCGGTGGAACAGCAGTATAAGCGATAGAGAGCAAGTCAACCGGACGTTGGGTGATTTCCAGGCGGGTGTACGACGGCGAGGGCTGACAGGATGAATTAGCACATGCGCCTGGTTACTGAGGAACTGTTTACCTTTGCTGCGCTGCACCGCGTGCCAACAATTTGGATGTGATCAGTTCCCATGCTTTCAAGCTCGAAAAAGTGACGACTGCAAGCCTCAATGAGGCACGTATGGCGGCCGCGTTGTAATCATCGGATCCCTTGGAAATGGCATCGTACCGTCGAGGAGCGGGCGTTCGCTTTCGTACCGCAGGAGGCGTACGCGATAGAAGATACTGGTGAAGGAGCTGGTATTCTCTCGGGCTCACGGTATATCGTAACGCGTTTCGCAAGATGGGATCAATGCGCTCGGGCTTAGAGGAGGAGGAGGAGGATCGTGAGCCGGCGTCTGAGCTCTGCGAGGATGACATGTTTACTGCTGTGTTTCGGTGAAGTCCAGAAAGCCTTCATTATTCCCCAGCAAGTGTGCGTACCCCAGATTTCAGGGGTTAATAACGTTGAAAGCTAATGAGCTTGTTGCTTTGATTGACCTCGGCTTCTTGTTGCGAACCAGGAAACATGTTCCAAGGTTCCATCTTGACGCACGTGCATTGACATCAGCATCCATGGATCGGGAGCGAACTTGGCGATCTTCACATGTCGTGAGTTTGAAATACATAAACACCTTTCTTCAGGGTTGGCAATGTTTGATCTATTTACCACAGCAAGGACGCTTGAAGAATGACACACACACACACACACACAAACCACCCATGAAAAGATAAGTTGACGGATGATATATACATTATTTTACAACAACAATGGGTGCCACAACTGGCGCATGCAACAAAGGGGTATCTCAAAATCATGACAGCGTGATCGCATCTCCTCTAGTTGTCTACGTTGCACCAATAACAATATCTCGTTGAAAAAGCGAGACGACAGTATACCCACATTTTAAGCGGTAGCTCTCCACCGACCTACTACTCACAGACCTAAACGAATGTGGTAAATTCGGACGACTCCCGAAAACCAAATACAGACTCCGGACTTCCAGAGACACTTCAATTTTCCACGGACCTGGATAGAAAAGATAGGTGGAAGCCTGCGTGCAGGCCTACGATGAATTCCGTTGAAGCTCCACTTGCGACTCGCGCCTGAGACGCTCAACGCGAGCGGACATGCTCTCGATCATCGGATCGTCGGGAAGAGTAGGCACGTCGACGCCATCGTACTGGTGCGGATCAATGCGAGTATGCATTGCGTCAAAGATGGGCTCCTGGATATCGGAAGCCAGCACTGCCGTAAACAGCTCGTGGATGCCACTGCGTCCTTGTTTCGAGGGACCGTCCACAGCGCTGGCAGTGGGAATTGAGAGGGCTGGATCGGCGGCGGTTTGAAGATTGCTTTCTTTTTCCCTTTCCTCGCCACTTTGGCCTTCACCGTTGACTTGAACCTGGCGAGTCAGAGAAACCTGGTCTTCCACGACAGAATCCCGCTTTTGCGGCATCTTCTGGGCCAGGCCAACGCCGTCTATGACTTTCTCGATGCTCTGGAAGTACTGCGTGATGGTGAGCCCAGCGGCGTGCTATTCATACTTGTCGACTTACCTTGACGGTTTTGACCTGGAGCTCCAGAGTGGCATCCTCGTCTACTACGATCATTGGGTGTCGGTGGAGCTGCAAGCTCGACAGCGTCCACATGTGGTTGACACCACACTCAATCGACTTTTGGAGAGCCACTGCCTTGTGGGCACCAGTCACAATGATGACGACCTCGCGGGCCTACGGCAGTCAGTATGAGGATATGATATTCGAAGAGGATGACACTCACCTCCAGAACAGTCTGGATGCCAACCGTCAAGGCCATCCTGGGGACCTTGGAGAGATCGTTGCCAAAGAAGCGGGAGTTGGCAATGATGGTGTCGTAAGCCAATGTCTTGACGCGAGTGCGTGACTTGAGACTGGACCCAGGCTCATTAAAGGCAAGGTGGCCATCGGGACCGATGCCCCCCAAGAACAACTCAATGCCACCGACTTTCTTGATCTTCTCTTCATACGCGTCGCATTCGGCTTCTAGGTCGGGGGCATTGCCATTGAGGATGTTGATATTTGCAGGCTGGACATCTACATGGTCGAAGAAGTGCTTGTACATGAAGCTGTGGTAGGACTCTGGGTGTTCGCGCGGGATCCCGACGTACTCGTCCTATGCGCAGGTCAGCGACCCTGAAGCTGTGCCGTCGGATAGCTGCGGTGTAACGAGCGGGGAGTACAGAAAGTTCGGGTGCCTGGCGAAGTGGGGTGTCCCGTACCATATTGAAGGTGACCACATTGCGAAAAGAGACGTCGCCTTGCTTATGGCGCCGAACCAGCTTCTCGTATACAAGGACGGGGCTGCTGCCGGTAGGGAGACCAAGCACAAAAGGTCTCTCGGGAGTTGGCTTGAAGGCGTTGATGCGGTCTGGCGTAGACGGCTGAGTTAGCTGAGGGACTTGAGAGTTGCAAGGGGTCGGAAATACGAACCAATAATGTAATCCGCAACGTATGCAGAGGCTTGCTCCCGACTGTCTCGAATGATGAGCCTCCTGCAAGTGGTTAGTGCTGGGACGTTGAAAGTATTGGCGCTACGGGAGCCGGCATGTACATGATTGAAGGTACTCGATATCTGCGATGCGTCGATGTAGTTTCGTTGTTCCCGAAGATGCTTGGAAGAGTAGGAGGCACGGGTGTAGAGGGGAGAGGGGTGGGTTATGTTATTATAATCTGTGCCTGGGTGAGAAGGCAGGCCTGGTGCACCTTCACGTCACTCCCACGCGGTCCACAGTCACAGGACGCGTTAGCAGAGTACTATCAGCAAGTCAAGTCGATCTGGTCGTCGATGATGGCCCCAGGATGTGGAAACCCCGGACCAGAGAGCAAAGGTAGCTGTAGACTAGTTGTGTTGTAGGCATGGTCCATGCATGTCTTTGTGAGCTGACGGATATGGATGGCAGATGGGTTCGTTCACTCCAATAGTGGGCCCGGTTCCCATGGAGCATGCAGTGCGACACAGTGGGTTGGGACAAACGGTGGTACAGCACGTTGCCATAGCGGTGACGGGGTTTTGGCTTGGTGCTATGCTACAGCAGCATCTCCTGCGCTACGGACTAACAGTATCAGCACGGTGTTGGAGAGGCGCGCTTCGGCAAGGTCTGCAGGTGGCCGTTTTGGAGCGAGCCATGTGATGAGAGCGACAACTTCCCATGGAGGAATAAGGGCCGCGAGAAGCAGCAGTCACGATACGGGCGAAGATAGGTTCATGATAGGGCTGCGGAGTACCTATGGATAAGATGAGGTTGAGGTTACAGCAGACTAAATCGCAGCGGCGGAGAGCGTTACATATGTATGGCGGGTGGCGGACGGGTCACGACTGCTGATTTGCTGATTTGCTGTGCACTTGTGCACAAGGCCACGGAAAGTTGCTTTACCTTGACCCCCCCGTTACCCCAGCCCAGCCCCAAAAGAAGCCGCGCATCAAGATTCAAGCGAATGAGGCGCCTTCCAAACAATCATGGCGTCGCCAACTCGTGTTCTTCCCCGGTTGTTCCCCAGTTGGCATTTTCTCGACCTCCGCCGGGCCCCCAAAGGGTCCCCAAGGGTGTCGCGTGCTGCGGAGATGACAGTGGAGGCCCTTGCCTCCCTGGCTGGCTTCCTGGGGAAAATTGGAGAGAGAGAGAGAGAAGGGAGCCCTGGAGGGACCAGCTGCACCACCAGACCGTGACCACTCACCGCCGACCACTGACCACTGACCACTGACCACTGACCAACCTCCCACTCACCGACGGCTGCAAACCCTTGAACCTCCTCCAAACGGTCCTTTAAATCTGCGGTCTGCCCAAGTCCCCACTATCTCTGCTGGGATCCACCTTTCCGCCCGCTTCGAGCCTCGACGACTCGGTGACCCCCCCCTGCTTATCATCACACTTATTATATATTCACAGCGCGCGCAGCTCCCACCCCAAACACCCACAACCACTCTTTTATACAGACGGACGGCCGCCCCATCAGGAGGGAGCACTCCCCTCGCCCACCTGCGCGCCATCAATCTTCGCATCACCAACCCTTTGAAGTGGTCGACAATCCATTTCTCTGTGCACTATCTCGGATCCTGAATCTGCCCTCGTCACAATGGCCGACGAGAAGGGAGTGCCGACGACACCCGATGCCAAAGCGGCATCGCAAGACGACTCCGCCCACGACAACCCTTCGGGCACCCTGGAACTGCCGGATTCGTGGAAATACAGACGACTGACCCTGTTTGGATACAAGTTCCCATGGTATGCTTCGCCTTCGGTGCAATTGGTCATCGTCTCCTTCGTCTGCTTCATGTGTCCCGGCATGTTCAACGCCCTGAACGGAATGGGCGGTGGAGGTCAGCTCGACAACACGGCCAACAACCGAGCAAACACGGCCCTGTATTCCACCTTCGCCGTCGTCGGCTTCTTCGCCGGCACCTTTACTAACAAGCTGGGAATTCGCACTGCGCTTTCCTTTGGAGGTATTGGATACTCGGTCTACGTGGCATCCTACCTGAGCTACAACCACACCAAGAATCTCGGCTTCACCACTTTCGCTGGTGCCCTTCTCGGTGTGTGTGCCGGTCTGCTGTGGTGCGCCCAGGGAGCCATTATGATGTCGTACCCCTCCGAGGCTAACAAGGGTCGCTATATCTCGTGGTTTTGGATGATCTTCAATCTGGGTGCCGTCATTGGAAGTTTGGTATGTCCTTTCCAATTTAGAAGCTGTCGCCAGCTGTGACCGGCGTCATTGACGCTATGCCAGATTCCGCTGGGCCAGAATATCCACGCCAAAGGCAAGTCCGTAGTCACAGACGGTACTTATGTCGGCTTCCTCGTCCTCACGCTGATCGGTGCCGGTCTGTCTTGGTGCCTTGTCGATACAAAGAGCGTCATCCGCTCCGACGGTTCCAAAGTCATTGTCATGAAGCACCCTTCGTGGAAGTCGGAGATTGTCGGCCTCTGGGAGACGTTCAAGACGGACCCGTACATCATCGCACTCTTCCCCATGTTCTTCGCCTCCAACTGGTTCTACTCGTACCACTTCAACGAGGTCAATGGTGCTTACTTCACCACGCGCACCCGCGCCCTGAACGGCGTGTGCTACTACATCTTCCAGATCATTGGTGCCTACGTCTTTGGCTTTGCCCTTGATACCAAGGGCGTCCGCCGCACGACGCGTGCCAAGGGTGCTTGGGTCGCCCTCTTCGCCCTCATCATGGCCATCTGGGGCGGTGGATACAAGTTCCAGACGACCTACGACCGCGCCTGGGCCGAGGACGAGAACAGCGTGAAGAAGGACTGGACCGACCCCGGATTTGCGGGACCGTTTGTTCTGTACATGTTCTACGGCTTCTCCGATGCCGCATGGCAGACCTGCGTCTACTGGTATGTAAAAAATATATACAAAAAAAAACCTTAAAAGGATCTTGTATGCTGATGGTCAGACAGGTTCATGGGCGCCCTCACCAACAACGGCCGCAAGCTCGCCAACTTTGCAGGCTTCTACAAGGGCATCCAATCGGCCGGTGCGGCCATCACCTGGCGTCTCGACGACATCAAGATCCCCTACATGAACATGTTTGCCTCCAACTGGGCGCTCCTCGCCGGCAGTCTGGTCATCGCTCTCCCCGTCATTCTCTGGAAAGTCGAAGACTCGGTTTCGCTGGAGAAGGACATTGCGTTCGCGGATACGACGATTGAGGAGGTGGCGCCCAAGGAGGCGGTTATTGAGGCGCCACATGGGCACCATCAAGAGAAGGTCTAGGGGGTGTCCTTCATTTTGAGTAGTTATGGCTGGTTGGATGATCGGTTCTGCTTGGTCCTTTTGCCTATTGCCTTGCTTGCTTGCTTGTTTACTTGCTTGCGTGCATTGATTTCCCCCATGGGTGGGGTTCTGATACCACTCATCGATCCCTATTGAGATTTTGGTGTACATGGATGATGGGGGTGGAAGAGAGCCTTGGGAAACAGATATGGGGGGGATTATATATCCTGGACTGGGCGTGCGCGAGATGATGACCTTAATATATTTAAGTGTTTGGATTTGTTTGCACATAGGAATAATGATTGTTCTAGCTGCACGATTGGTCTACTAGCTAACAGTTCTGCTCACGACAAGCACCTTTTCACCCAGGTTATGACAGTTCCAGATGCGTGGCACATTCTCCTTAACCAAACGTCATAATTGATTTATTAATAGACGCTATGAAAGATGGCCCTCCTCAGCAGTAGAGAAGCCGGCTATAGGACGCTCCCTGCCTTGTATTAGCTACTACATGTACTGTCTGCTATGCTGACAGAGTATTCATTCTCCTTACTCCAGATCATTGCCAAGCGCATGAGCGTGCTTGACGTCGTCCATCCGTTTTACAGGGGAGGGGTCCCAAGGGATAGGATGGTTACACGTAGGCTCGCAGAGTGGTATCTCCTGTACGGAGTTTGGACCCTCGGTGAGAAGGTCGACACGTAAGAGCCGACTTTGGTACTGTGGTAGTTGTCATCCGCAGGGGGAAGCTTGGCCCGCGTCCGGTTGCTTTGCGGGATTCCTTGGTGGGATGACGAGGCTACAGTACTATGGCAGACGGCGGGGGGCGTTTACTTGTGTACGGTGCGGTGGAGTGGGGTGGTGGTCGCAAACATTGCTAGGACAGGATGGTAGTTGTAGGTGTGGGTGTAGCGCTGTTTATGCAGGTCAGAGCACGGTCCGCGCAGAATGTGGCACGATATTCCAGCTTGGCAGGGCTGGTTCTTGACTATCTTGGCAAACATAACATTCCAACTCGGAAGGTTCCCTGGCGGAAGAGGCACGTGCGGCCCGCGGCTTTCCAAGATTCGACTTCCACATCTTCTTGTTCCCAGCGCTCTTCCAACATTTCCCTTCCAAGGCTTTCCTTTCCCCCTCTCCCTGTCCATCAGCAATATCCGCAATGCGACGGCTTCTGATTGCCGTTGCAGTCTCTAATCAACATGTCGTTCGCCGTTGATCTCGCAAGCAATCTGGTTGAATCAAACGCTCCAGCGGAAGTGTTTGGAACCGAAACAGGCGGGCCTATCCGCGTCCACATTGGGGCTAGGGGTAAGCTGCCGGAAACAGCTTAGCTCCGAATGACCAAGGTAACGGTAGCATGTGCCCTTACGAAACCTGACCCCTCCGAAACCCAACCTGGTTGGAACCCAGCTCCATCAAAAAAACAATCAGCAGCAAAGTCCAGCACGCACCGCTACTCGCCAAGTCTCCCTACTCACTCCCACCTTGCGCTCCCTTTTCTACCTGTACCTATCGATTTCGCCTGCCACTTTCGCGCGCCGGGGTCGAGTAGCCCGTTATGCTGCAGTGTCCCTTCTCAAACGCTCGCAACACGTTATCAGATCCGACTCGCTGGCATACTCCCTACACAGTACTCGTACACAGTACACTACTATCTCACCCCTCTGCGCTCCCCACCCTGTGGGATCGGCCATGCGACCATCTGGCCCTGTCTGCCATCCTTCCCACCGGCCCCAAAGCACATCCCCCCCCCGCCGCCACCCTTACGTTACCTGCCTGCTGTGCCTCAGCGGTGGGCATTTTGCACCACACCCGAGCATTTCCCTAGGCGCGCTCATCTCTTAGCGAATACAACCCTCTCCTATATTCTCCGCCTGCCCGTACAACCATGATCAAGGCCCGTTTGCGACTTCGGTATTCGAATGCCACCGGCCCGCCTCAACCTTCTGTGCATTGCGACGAGAGACTGGGCCCTGGCCTCGGACCAAAACGTGTCGCGTTGCGGTCTTGTTGCTTCTGTTGCTGCTATTGCTGAGCTTCGGCTTCTTCTGTTGCTGCAAGCCTGGTGATATACGCTGCTGCTGCTGCTGCAGCTGCAATTCGCAATCGACACTCCCACCCCGCTGTCACCATCAATCAAAACACCATGTGTCCTGCCCTTCCCTGTCTGCCGCTCAAACGCTTCAAAAGGCGCCGCCTCACCGTCGCTCCACCACCGCCTGCCAGTACCCGCTTTGGTGAACACTCTCCCATTGCCGCCGCAACCAACACCAATCGTGTCTGGTATAAAAGACACATGCTGGACTTCTGGCGGAGCCTGCTGGCCGCCTTGAAGCGCATCGCCATGCTTCCCTCACTCCTTCACTGGCCCCTTCCCTCATTACTATCCCGGAAACGGAAGCGGGATGCCGCCGGTGCTGCCGTGCGGACCTACGAGCGCACCATGGACGACTTGCTGCAAGAAATCCAGACGCTGCTCGAGGCCCCGCTCGACGCTGCAAAGCTGCTGCACATGTCCGGCCAGCTGCAGGAGCAGTTCAACCCCAAGCTGCAAGCGAGCGACATATGTATGCTGCCTTCTTACAACCACAAACTGCCCACCGGCCACGAGCATGGCACCTATCTGGCCCTGGACCTTGGCGGCTCGACGTTCCGGGTTGCGGTTGTGGAGTTGACGGGGAAACAGTCTGGTGCCAAGAGTATGCGGATAGTCGCCATGAAGAGTTATCCGATTGATGATGCGGTGCGTTGTCTGAGGGGACATGACTTCTTCGACTGGATGGCCGGGAAGGTGGAGGCTGCTCTCTCGGACCCGCAGGTGGAGAAAGTCCGTTGTGACGAGCACAAGACATTTGGGATGGGTCTTGCCTGGTCTTTTCCAGTAGAGTATGTTGTTGTACGGCTATTCTGCTTGCCCTCTGTTGCTAAACTTGTCTGTAGACAAACCTCAATACGAAGTGGAAATTTGTCAGTCATGGGGAAGGGCTTCCGTGCCACTGAGGGTACTATCGGTCAGGACCTCAGTGAGCTCATCATGGCCCCTTGCAGGAAGAGAGTAGGTGATATCTCCACCCCCAAGCTCTTGAACCCTCACTTACAGCCTCTCCAGAATCTACCCGTCCACATGGACTCCATCATCAATGACTCCTCCGCCACCCTACTGTCACGTGCCTACGAGGACCCATCCACCCGCTTCGCCGTCATCCTGGGCACCGGCTTCAACATTTCCGTCCACCTCCCCGTCTCCGCCCTCGCTTCCTCAAAGTACAAGGGCTACCCTCAGTCCTGGTTCGACGAGGCCGACCACGTCCTCGTCAACACTGAGCTTAGCATGTTCGGCAAGGGCGTCTTCCCAACTACCCGCTGGGACGAGCAGCTGAATGCCGCACACGCCCGCCCGGACTTCCAGCCTTTTGAACAGCTGATCTCCGGCCGCTATCTGGGTGAAATCGTTCGCCTGATCATCGTCGAAGCGGTCAAAACCGCAGGCCTCTTCGGCGGCGAACTCCCAGACAACCTCTGCGAGCCGTACTCGCTCGACACCGGGACCCTCGCCGACATGGAAATGGACGAGTCCAAGACGCTGCAACGCGCCGCCTCCATCTTCCAGTCGCGGCACCCCTTGCCAAGCTGCATTCCGGCCAGCTACGCCGACATTTCGTTTGTCAGACAAGTAAGCCAGCTGGTCGCCCATCGCGCAGCGGCGTTTCTCGCCACTGGGATCCACTCGCTATGGGCGCTGAGGATCCAAAAGGAGGGTCTCACACCCCAGCAGGCGGGGGAGATGGCAATTGGATGCAACGGCAGCGTGATTGAGAAGTATCCTCTCTTCAGGGAGCTGTGCCAGAGCCATCTGGATGAGCTGTGTGTTGCCAGTGGGGCGACCGAGGGAGCGTGTAGATTGGAGATTGCGGTCGAGAGTGCCGTGTTTGGGGCCGCGGTTAGTGTGGCGTGCTTGGAGGGGATGTAGGAGGAGAGGAGTGCTTGGAGCGCAGCTTTTGGGGTTGGGGTTTTCGAGTATATACTTCTTTTTTCCGTTTTATTCTTTTTCCGCCCGCCTTCTTTGGCCTTGCAGTGCCGTGGGCAACATTGAAGGGCTTTTCAGCGGGCGGGCTGTCGAGGTGTGGGGGGCTTAAACGATGGGTTTGCATGAGGGAGTCGAGTCTCTCGGGTTTGAACGGGTTCAATAAAGGGCAAGGGAGTAAGTACCTTAAGTCTCTTGGCGTTTCGATGGGATGGGGTGGCCCGGGGGGATCTACATACTAGACTATGCCTATTCTATGAGAGTATACGGAGTTGTGTACGGAGTATCAAAAAAGCACACATTATTCTGGGGTATTGCGGCGATGATGGGCTACTAGCGATTTCCATCTCTGAGTTGTATGGGAAGAGAGAGATGGATTTGTAGGTACAGTCACGGGAGGGATCAATGTCGGCAGGTCCAATCCACAGAAAGGTGTCTCGACGGGAACAGGTGCTCATGTAAGTGTTTCTACATTACTACATCCTGCGAGCTGTGCTAACTATGCCCTCGAGGCCAAGGACACCGCCCTCTAGCCCACGGGTGCAGAGGATGATGCGCTGATCTCACTACACTCTATTTCCAAGGACCGCACTCTAAGGCCTATAGGGTGACTGTAAGTACTTTCACAGCATTACATTGTGAGCAACGCTAACAGGCCAAGATCAACCCCTCCCCGGGACGCCAGGTGTTGACCGATGCCGCCACCTATCATTCGATACCTTTAGAGGTCCGCGATAGAAAGTAAGACGCAGGCTACGCAAAAGGATATCGAGCTATACTTGCACTCGCCAGCATTCTGCAAAAAACCGCCAACGTCGACTTTAGTCTAGTTGTCAACGACATTAACAAAGCGGCGTTCGTCGCCGCAATAAGTTATGCGAAAGGGCGGATCTATAAAAGAAACTACAGCTCCTAGAACGGTGAGAAACTGAACAGTTTCGCCAAGACTCTCCATTCCCTATACCTACCTCTTGACGGTAACAGGCCGAAATAGAGCGCTACCCTGCGTAGTACAGACATAATCTACTTTATCACGGAGCATGCGGATTAGTGCTCGCGTTCGGATGGTAGTTGTGTGTAAGGGCACTGAGGCAGGGACTGTGGGAGATAGGTGTAGATTGCGCTAGTGTACAGAACATTGAGTCTGCTGAGTAGGAGAGGCGACGAGGCAGGCTCATATGGGTGCGACGGGGATGGAAGAACTATCTTCCGAGGTCATGTGATTAGTGTACATGGGGTTGCTGGGTAGGGCGCCAAGCCATCACAGTGTGCATCCAGGCCACAGGCGACACCTGCTCATGTGGTGTAGCCCAAGCGATAGTAAAGTCAGATTAGCCGACGAAGCTATCGTTATAAGCTCAACCCTAAACAGCTCCTCCCCTCTGATCACGTCGTCCCCTCCTGGGTCTCTAGAGGCGCAAGGATAACGTCGAGAACTGGGAGGCAAGCACATCCTGTATATTCGCACCATACATACCTTCGTTTTCTCCCTTTTTGGGATCAAGGTCCATGCAGGCGGCCGCCAGCAGCAGGATGGGATGCTGTGAGCAACGTCAACGTGATTGAGTGTGTTAGAAACATGCAGCCCGGCACTAGCCCTAGCTCTAGCTCCAGTGCATCATCGATCGATGAGGTGACGTGCTGCTCGCCCCGTCTTACCATTATCATTATTGCTATACGGTTACGACAGAAGCTATAGCTTATTATCACTTCCTTGTTATTAGCTGCCTAGAGCACTACTACCTACCTGTTGTAGGCAACCAGACACGCACCACGTACCTAGCGCATTGCCGGACAATCACTCCAATGTAACTCCGTACCGTCGTACTTTACTTTTTAACGTCCCCATCAATCCAGACATCAAATTACCAGCCCCGGTAACACAAATCCAGACATCAAATCACCAGCCCCGGTAACACAGACAGACAGGACAGACAGACAGACAAGAGACACTTGCATTCATTCTCCCTTCCTACTCTACGTACTTCCCTCTATCCACTAACAGCACTTCTTCCGAAAAACCATTATTCCCATCAACAACAAGCTCCTCACTCCCCTCTGCTGTATCCTCTGCTCCTGCTTCCGACCAACCGGGGATATAATATTCGTTCTCTCCTTCCTACTCCATGATCTCAAAATCGTATCCAAGCTAATAATACCAAGGCAAATCCATCCTGGATGCCAAAGAAATATAAAGAAACCCCAAAAGGAGAACGTGATTACCCAACGCAACCTGGAAAATATTCCCAGTCCAAAGATAAAACCAGATACCGGATAAAACTCGCGTTGCCGTCGTGATAGGCATAAAAATGGGAAGAGCGTGCGCATGACAGAAAGAACCATGTCCCAACATAGCAGCATGCACTGCGTACACCGATAGTACCGCCGCCTCCTCCTCGTCATCATCGTCATTGTCACCTCAAAAGGCTGCGATACTATGCGCGCGGCAATGATATCGAAAGAATGGCGAGCCATCGGCGTTATATCGTCAGACCGATAAACCGCTCCGCTCAAACAAGCAAATCTTCTTGCCAACAAACAAATCCCTCAAAAGCAAATACAAGAAGCAAAAGCGCTGCTCCTATACAGGTTCCTTCGGCCTTCGATTCGCTCGAATTCCGGAGCTGGACGGACCCATCATCTCGACCTCGGGTCGGCTCCGGACGGTTGGGCGATCATGCAGGTAATCCAGGCTCCCAGAGGAAGCAGTTCCCAGACGGACGTCGGGACGAGATATGCGCCTACGCTACGAGTCGCCGTATCGATTGAGGCTTCGCAGTACCAAGCAGACCCCGCGGATCCATCAAGGCACAATACGTTCAAGGCCACAAGATGATTTGATTGCTTCCAAGCTCCCCTCAAACATCGGAGAAATATCTCTTACTCTTATTCTTTACCGCCAACGCCTTTGGATCCTGCGGAAACGTCGTATGATGCACCACATGCGGCCGATACACCGCATCGACGGGTGGCATCCAATCATCCAAGCCCAAGGGGAAATACTCATACAGCAAATCAGCGCTCTCGTCGGGGCTGTTGATCAGATTGAGGGAGAACGAGGACGGGCGCGCGGGGGTTGCTCGCTTCCGGCTTTGCTCGGAGGGAGATTCGGGGTTCTTCTTAGGGGGTTCGTCGTCGGTGAGGGAGAGGGAGACGGGCGCCGGGGCGGCCGTGGGACGCTGCAAGGTTGTGTGGCGGGAGATTTCGGGGGTCGATTGCGCGTAGGGGGCCAAATTGGGCATGTGTACAGAGGGTGTGTCGGGCGGCATTGCGGTCATGGCACCGCCGCCGGGGAATTTCCAGTCCAGGAAGTCTGGCGAAACGGGTAGGCCGTTGGTGCTCATGTCAAAGGGAAGGTGTAATGCCTCGGGGGGTTTCGTGGTGGGGGTGTTGTTGTTGTTGTGGACATTGGTTTGGATGGCATGCGTAGTATCACCCGTCGGTGTTCGGGAGGGTTGTTGCGGGAGATGAGTCTTGCGCGAGGTACCACCGCTGATGGGCATATCTTTGCGTGATTGAAAGTTTCGTGGACTGCGGCCTCGCACGATGATGGCTCCAGATTGGATCTCGCAAATCGAGATCTTTTGGTTTGTTGCCAGGTGTGCCAACAGCTTCAAGCGTATTACAAAATGCTGTTGCAGCTCCTTCCTTCGGCCATTGTTTGCGGTTGCGATGCGGAATTGGAGTCTCTTCCAGCTGATGGGAAAGTTGACGTATTCAGAATCTATATCTTGCCCCTGCGAGGGATCAAGCGGGTAGGAAGGAGGCTCCCTCTCCGTCTTATCCTCGACAATACCGGCACCAGGTTGAAGGCCCGGCTGGTTCTGAGCAGACTTCCAGGGCACCGTGATGATCTTGACAGGATTGCCCTCTAGCGACTCCGTGGCCGATATCGTGAGCTCGTAGCCTAAGATGGGGATCTGGTCACCCGTCTCGGTCAGGATGGACTGAAGATGCCTGGGCATGGTGATGGTGCCAGTGATCTGGAAGAGGTTCCGGCGATAGCAGGTCAACTCGGTAGGAGGAGCCGCGACATCGCCCGAGGTGGCCCATGGCGACTCGGCGAGGAAGAACATGCCGTGCAGCTGGGCGGACATGGAGATGGAGACGCGGCGCATGGCATAATCGAGGAGCGCATACGGGACATTGGGCAGAGAGAAACTGAGCAGCTTGTTGTCGCGCTCAATGTTGGGGCTCTCGGGCGCAGCGCCATTCTGCTCGGGGTGGATAGACGGGTCGTAACCGCCGAAGACGTCGGAGAAGGGATCCTCGTAGGTGGAAGGGAAGCGTTTGAGAGGCGGGTGGTGGATTGGGTGCTGTCCGAATGTAGCATCTTCGCTACTGCAGAGGAGCGTCAGCAAAGAGAGGGCAGCCATGGATTGGGGGCGCAAAGGGGTGGAGGAAGCTTACCCGACGAAGGTTTCTGCGTCGTAGTTGGAGCGCTGGTCGAACTGGTCCATCTGCATCATGGGGACGGCCAGCTGAGGGTCAGGTGCGGTTACGGAGTGGAGTGACATTGGGCCCGCCAAGTAGGACACGGAGATGGGATCAAAGCCCTCCATGGCTCCTCGATTGGCGTCGACGGCCTGAGAGTGAGGTTGGATTGCAGCGAGGCAAAGCATGCGCTCATTAGAAAAGGAAAGGCGCCAGGAGCGGAGGGGCGGAATGAGTGGGCCTGGGGAGCAGAGACGAATGGCGGACGCCGAGCTGTTTCTGGAAGGCGACGAGGGAGAATTTGGCACGGATGGGGACGAAGGATGCGGACGCGGGTGCGGGCAGGGGGGGGGGGGGGGGTCCGCTGGTCTGTGAGAGGCTGACAGCCGATGGCAGCGGTTGCTTGGAGGAGGGGGGTTGATTAACGAGAGTGAAGTTTAAGTGATTAAAAGAAGTGGTGTTGCTTCGCGTGTGAGGAGAGAGGAGGGCGGAACCGAGTTTCAGTCGGCAAGGAGATGAGGTGTATTAATGACCAGCCAGCGATGTGGTGGTGGTGGTGGTGTTCGAGCGTCTCCTGCGAGTACTGTATTTATGTGAATGTTGGAGAGTGAGCGAGGAGCGGGCGGTGGCTCGCAGAAGAACGACCAAATAATAGAAAACCGCCGAGCGATTAAAGATGGATATCCAACAACGGCAACAGCACTTACACTTCCAAGGCGGGGGGGCTGTAATTGTGGGAGAGGGTGAGGGTGTGGGAGAGAGGGAGTGTGGTTCTCGGCGAGTGCTGGGGTTGTGCGACCAGACGCGCTGGGGAGGGGAGATCACATGCATGGATGCCAAGCCAGGTGCTATTCCCAAAGGGGAGGAGCAACACGCACTTGGTCGCATTTGAGGGGACAGCGACTGTGGAGAGGAAGAGACATCATTCACTCATCGGTGAGGGAGGGAGGGATGTTTGTTGAGAGAGCATGTTCACGAGTGGTCGCAATACAATACAATATCAAAATCAAAATCAAAATCACGGGATCCCCCAGCACCATCACCCAAAGCGGGAAGGCTTCTCGAAGCCCCATCAACGGCAACCAATCCGTGGCCCAACGGCGTCTCCATGGCGCCTTTTCCCTTCGCCTGTTCACTCTGAAAATCGACCATGGAAACGCGCCGCTCCTAGCCAGCCACCGCCATCTGTAGGTCGAAGGCAAGGTTTAAAAATAAATAGAGGCGGTTCTAGAGCCCGCAGCTCTATTTCAACGTCGCCTGGTAGACATATAATAATAATAAGTCTAAGAAGAAGAGAGATGTTTTTCAACACAACACATCTACTATGTAGACACTGCTAATAGTCACCTGGAGTAGCACTTCGCCTTCCACCGACGACCCCTTGACAGAATCATGTCGCACTGCTTGCGGTTCGCTGTCTACGCTCCGTTGCTTGCGCCCTGCACTACAACCTTGACCACCCGATTCCGCTGCGCCTGTGTTGCTACGCCTCCATTGTGCCCAATGGAACCGCTTAATCCCCTTCTCGAACCCCTATTGAGAATGTACCTGCGTCATGTCGTGTGCATTGGACCCTTGAACCTTGGAAATCACGACTTGCCAATAACTATACTGTGTACATTCGAGCCTGTGTAGGTATAACCCATAGCTATGTAGCAGGCACCACTACTATAGCAATAGCCCCAACTCCTAGCGCCCGCCTGTGACAAAACACCATGCTCCCCTATACCCAACCAATCCAATTACCTTCAATACCAATGTCGAGCCTGCTCCCTCATCGCCGCCATTTACCCTAACGCCACCAAGTCAAAGTAACGAACGCAACACATCGGAATCACACATTCCCCCAGTCTCATGTATGTTCCCGTTTACCCAGCAGGCGGAATCATGGTCCATGTAGCCGCATCGCAGCTTACCTCTTCAAAGTTGTGCAACACCTCGAATCCCATTGCCGAGAAGCCGTCAAAGTTGCCGTCGCCGTCCATCTGCCACGTACGGGTTAGTCCATCTCAAAAAGGTAGCGAGAGGTCTGCATGTGCTACTTACATAATCCAACAGGCAGGCGTTGCAGCGTTGTTGCTTGATCTGCTTCATCCCCAGCAATATCAGGCCTTGCAGCAGCGTGGAATATTCTCCTACACTGGGAGATATCACCGGCGAAGAGATGCCGCCTGCTGCCTCCTTGAGGTCCTTCAACGCAGGAATGAATTCGGATAGATGTGATTGGTGGTTGTAGAGCACCACTGTGCCGACCAGGACACCGTCCTCAGGCCGCTTGGCCCGAATGATGCCGCATGCCGACGGATCCGATAAGGCCAGTTTGTACACCTCTGCCAATCCTTGTCGATTGCTCGTCTTGACAAGGTCGAGGATCGGACCCGCATAGTCCCAGCCGTAGACCATGTCGAACTGGATCCCGGTACTGGCAAGACTCTTCGCCATACCTTCGGGCGGCGACCAGCTCAGGAGGTTGCGGGCCACCATGTTGCAAACCGGTCGCGAGAGGGCCGCATTCCACCCTAGGTTGGCGAACCAGGAGCGGAGCCGTTTCCGTTCCGCGCCGTGTCCTGTGGGAATGCCCAAGAAGATGCTGGGTAGTCGCGAGCCAAGCTGGAAGCGTCTGATTCCTTCTTTCTGTAGAAGTGTCCGGATAGCTCGGTTATGTAGGGAGTGTCCAATCGACAGCTTTCTCCTGGCGGGATCAACGAACAGTGCCCCTATGACACCGGTACCCGTCGTCTTGAAGAAATAGGTAGAGCAGAATCCATACAGAGCCTGCGTGCTGCTGTTGCGCACCACAAAGTGCGACTCCTCGACCTCTGCGTGGTTGAGGATGAATGAATTCGACGTAGCACTTGCCAGCTCCGAGCGGTGGCTTGGCGGAGTGCCCTCCCTAACCGCCTTGATGAGAGTATCCAGCGCGTTGGCGTCTCTATCCTCGTTGAATGTCTCCACCAACCAGTGTTGTTTCGAATGCTGCAACTTCTGGCTCTTACTGATTGTTCCAGGAAGTGTCCCTTGCGGCGTGAGCTCCCCATAAAGCACTTTAACAAGCGAGGTGAGGGCAGTTTCCGTGAAATCGTATGTGCAGATATAGGTCCCTATGGAGCTGTCCATGGCGAAGTCATAGGGTGAGCTGACAGCAACCACAATCAAAGGCTTTTCTCGTTTCTCTCCCCCCGTCGTATACTGCATATTGCATATCATGGAGACATGCTTTGTGAACCCATGTTGGTACAGATTTCGATTCGCGTCCGCAGTGAGCACAATAATCGCGCCTGCCCGATTGATGAGGTTTTCGTGGACCGGCCTGACACCATTGGCTGTATATGACGTGTGTAGAACACGGCCGTTCCGCTGTCTTGCCAGTGATCTCCCCAGCTCCCGGAAAACACGCTCTCCGCTCATGACAGACGCCGTGCGTTCCCATAGAGCTGGCTCGGGCGACTTTTCCGTCGTGAGGGATTCCGAGAGCGCGCGTGAAGCGGCCGAGGCTGCTAACGGCTTCACTAGTGGCGTGAGAAGGAGTAGCTCTTCTTCGTTATCCAGAACGTTGGTCAACGGTAGCAGGCGGTTCTTATCCCGCACCACTGTGATAGAGCGATTGTATGCTTTTGTCGAGAGTGCAGTATGCGAAGGCTGCAGGGTCTCCAAAAGAGCAATACCAGGAGGGTTGAGTGCCTTTTCCCACGAAGTACACTTCGCTTTCATCTCCAGGACACGGCGGAGGGAGTTGTAAATCCTCTTCTTTGATATCATAGCGTTCTCGACACCCGTCTTGAGCCCTTTTAGGGCCTCCTGCTGCACTGAAAAGGATCGGCAGAGCAGCACGACATCGCATCCAGCGTTCACGGCCATGACCGTGCCGCCACCGACGCCGATGTTGTGACTCAGAGCATCCATTTCCAGACACTCAGAAACCACCACTCCGTCAAACTTTAGGTCGGAACGTAATAGTCCATCGACTACCTGCTCTGAGAGGCAAGCGTGCATGGCATGCAGACCAGCTGACGACATGGCACATCCGCCCACCATCATGGAGTCGAGGCCTTGACGGATAGCATTCCGGAATGGTATCAGAGCGCTTAAACTGAGCTGCTCTAATGATTCCGTAATAATGGGCACATCAAGCGTCGAACCCAGGAACTCCAGGTTGCCATAGGATGGGAAGTGTTTGCCTAGGGTGGCAATTCCAGCCTCCTTATAGCCTTTCATGAAAGCAACGCCATAAGCAGACACTTCCTGAGGGTCGTCGCCAGCAGTCCTTACACCGAGAGGTTGATTCCGTGCGTTAGTCAATACATCCAGACAAGGCCCAAAGATCCAGTTGATGCCACAGGCGGATATCTCTTGAGCAGTAGCCTTTGCGACTTCGAAAGCCAGTTCAGTCGATCCCGTGGCAGCCACGCCCATGTTACTAGGATACTGTCGAATATAGATTTCGTCGAACAGACTGTTGACTCCGCCATTCTCCTGGTCAATACCAATGGCCAGGGGCACAGGATGTCCAGCATCATGTGCGATCTTCTGGAGCTCATAGCACAACTTGGTTGTGTCTTCTGCGGCTGAGAATTGGTTAGCCACCCGCTCGCAACTGTCCATATGTATGAAAGGGCTCGCTTGCTAAGGGGTCCGCCACTTACATTTCAAGTTTTTAGCTGTGAGTAAAATGCAACCAAGATGATGGTCTTCAATAAGTGCTTTGATTTGGGGGGTCACAGTTGTGCCATCGAAGCCCATCATAAACAATTGCCCCTTTGCAGCATCCTATTAGCTATTATTGTTCTCTCGGCCTTGATAGGAGTGCAACTCGAAAACGCACCATAGTCCTGCATGGCGCATGGTCAGCGCGCGAATTCCTAGACTATGCTGCATCCTTGGAAATAAAGTGGGGTGCCATATTCTCTCTCAGCCTTCAAAACCTACCTGTCAAGATCATCCCACACGGGATCCAGTTTATCGGATCTTCCTGCCATCTTGTCGGCGCTTCTCCGCGTGTGCTTCGGTCGAACCACGCGCAACCGACCTTGAGGTGTGGTTGAGGCTCGGACGTGGATTGGGGCGGACTTGTGGAGCGTCCGACGTCGAGGTTACATTCACCCATTGTCATGCCAAGACCGAGGCGCAGAGCTATGACCACCTCTTATTGGCACGACACGTCCGCCTTTGAGTCCGGGTGACACTCACAAATCCGTCGGGTCCACACCTCTTCGGTGATGCCACGCTGAGAAATGCTACTGCGACTACAACGGCTCCCCTGCTCGCCGATCGAGGCACCACCGGTTCCCGGCTTGGGCACTGCTTGGTTCGCCGTTGTGTGACATCAAGCAGTGACGTTCTCTAACGTTTCTCTAGTAGGAACTGCGCCGAAACCGTCAACTAATCAAACCTTCACGTGCCTCATGATATGGAGAGGATGGCGGCGTTTGGACTTGAAGATGACAGCGTCAACCATCTGCTTACCTAGGTATACCCACGATTGTATGTTGATATCGGGGACTCGCCCAACTTCAAACTCGGCGCACCGAAGATAGATTCACTTCCATTCCTCACTTTCCTTTGAACTCTGCAGCGCTTTCGTCTCGGTCCAGTTCTCTTTCATACTCCATAATTCACACCCCTAGCTTCCTATTATTGGACCCTATCTCCCTTATTCCTCACCCAAGATGCCGGGCATTATGCCCCTCAACGACGCGCAACAACCGCGGGCCCACATCATCAAATTCACAAACTGCCTCCTCGCAAAGGACAACGACCTCGTTCCCGGAGACCTCTTGATAAACTCGACAACCGGCAAGATCATCGATGGCCAGAAGGCCTTCTACGAGGACCGCCTCGGTCCAGAGGAAGTCATCGACCTAAAAGGTCGTATTCTAGCGCCGGGCTTCATTGACGTCCAAATCAACGGGGCTTACGGGCTCGACTTCTCCATCGTCCCTGAGAAGGCGAAGGGAGGCATCGCGCAATACCGGAAAGACCTGGCCATGGTGAATAAGAAGTTGATAGAGACAGGAGTAACCTCGTATCTGCCGACGTTGCCTACCCAGGACTGCCGAGTCTATCACGAGGTATATATCTTTCAGCATCATCGACTAAGTCGTCCGTCTGCTTGAGTTGGGGCTGACGCCGCCAGGTGCTCCCCGAGCTGTGTCCAACCGGCGATGCGCGCAATCCCAAACTCGGCGCTGAATCTCTCGGTGCCCACTGCGAAGGCCCCTTTCTCTCCCCGTCGCATAAAGGCTGCCATGACCCTTCGCTCATGCAGACCCCTTCCCACGGTATCCTCGACGTGGGCAAGTGCTACGGATGGGAAAACATGAAGTGGAACCTGATCAAGATGATCACGGTCGCCCCTGAACTGCCAGGCGCCCTGGATGCTATCCGCGACCTGCATACGTATTTCAAAGACATCCGAATAGCGATAGGCCACTCCGCTGCGACATACACAGAGGCGCAGGCAGCCGTCCGAGCAGGCGCGACCATGATCACGCATCTCTACAACGCGATGACATTGTTCCAGCACCGGAATCCCGGGATATTCGGCGTCATATCCGGACCTCCCTCGTCGCTGTCTTCCAGTCCTCAGCCCCTAACCCCGTCAGCCACCCCTTCCTCCTCTTCCTCCTCGTCATCATCCTCGTCCTCGTCGTCCTCGCGCACTTCCCAGGACATCTCACCCCCGCCGGTTCAACCTCCAACCGTCACGACCCCTCCCCTCAGCAAACCCTACTTCGGCCTCATAGCCGACAACATCCACGTCCACCCCTGCGCCCTCAACACAGCCTTCCACACCCACCCGGCGGGAGTCATCCTCGTCACGGACGCCATGTTCCTCCTCGGTCTGCCCGATGGCGTCTACCGCTGGACCTCGGGCTCGCACATTGAGAAGCGCGGCAACGAACTGCGTCTCCAGGAGACGGGCGCCATCGCGGGGTCGTGCGCCACGATGATCGAGTGCGTGAGGAATTTCGTCGCGGGGACGGATGCGAGTGTCGGGGAGGCGATTGCCAGGGCGACGGAGACGCCAGCGGAGATGTTGGGGTTGGGCGGGACGAAGGGGGTGCTGAGGGTCGGGGCGGATGCGGATTTGGTGGTGCTGGGGTGGAATGGCGAGGATGGGGTTGGGGTCGTGTTGGAGGTGGAGGAGGTGTGGAAGTTTGGGAGGAGGGTTTGGGGGGGTGGGGAGGTCGAGGGAGACTCGGCGGACGAAGTGGTGGAGAAGGAGGGGGATAAGACCGGATTGGAAGAGGCGTTCGAGGAGCTGGAGGTGGAAAAGAAGTGGGAATAAGGCAGGAATTGAAGAGGCGATGTCCTGAAAGTCGACTTTGGTTTGTTTGCTTCATCGATTCAGACTAGGAAGGATCAGGTTGTAGTTACACTCGCTTGCAGTAGGTTCAAATACCCACACTTAGAAGAAGCAGGAGGAGTGAGTGTTTTCACCACGCTGTTATGACCGGTATGACTGCTTACGGTTTACGAAATTTTATGTATGTATATATATGTATATTCGTAATAGACGGGAAGGCTGTATATAATCGGGTTAGTTACTATATGTAGATACTTGTAAATACTACTAGTCTAATTTCAGCGAAAATTGACTTTTATATTCATCGTTAGAAAACCTGACGTTTCCGAGTGAGAGCCTCGTAGTACAGGATTCCTGAGATGGGACTGCAGATGCCTAGGTCCGTGTAGGACGAATACCCATCCGGTAGGTTACCGAGGAAGGAAAACCAATGCGCGTGGAACTGTAGAACTGTTACCCAAAGGATAAAATGTTTTGCTAAGCTCTGCAAAAGCACTATGTACAGTGATCTACATCTCCATTCCCTCGCTATGCATCCCAACACTTCTATCCAATTCAACATCTCCCTCAAATATATACATATATATTCCTACACCTCCACCATGACCGCCCCTTCCAAGAAACACAAAAGCACCCTACAACTTCGGCCTCTCCTTTACACTCTTCATTCTCGGCCCCACCAGTGGATCATACACATTCAACCCCAGCGTATCACTCGGCACAACCGCCGTATGCATTCCCAACCCCCTCGTATCCACCATGCTTGGATTCAGATCCTCAATCTTCGCGGCCCCAATCAACCGCATATTCATCTCCATCTCATCCTTGAGCAACTGCATCGCGCGATCCACGCCGGGCAACCCATACGCACTCATGGCGTACAAGAACGGACGTCCGATGCCCACGCCCTTGGCCCCGAGACACAGCGCTTTGATGATGTCGGTTGCGCGCCGGATCCCGCCGTCAATGAAGATTTCGATCTTATCTTGCCAACCGCGTTCGCGCAGGACGGGCATGACTTCTGCGAGGACCTCGATCCCCGAGCGCGCGAAATCGAGTTGTCTGCCTCCGTGATTGGAGAGCACGACGCCGTGCACGCCTACCTCGACGGCGCGCAGGACGTCCTCGACGCACTGGACGCCCTTGAGGATGATGGGCATTTTGGTGACGGAGAGGAACCAGGGGATGTCTTTCCAGGACAAGCTGGGGTCGATGAAGGAGGATATGGCGCGGGCGGCGCCCTGGGAGCGGTCGACGGCGTCGCCCGAGGTGGATTGCACGTTGGAGCCTACGTCGTCGAACTTGGAGCGCATGTCCTTTTCGCGGCGGCCGAGTTGGGGCGCGTCGACGGTGATGAAGAGGGCTTTGCAGCCGCGCCTTTCGGCGTGTTGGATGATGCGTTTTGTCACTGCTCGGTCCTTGTTTACGTAGAGCTGCAGCCATTGGACCTGGCCGTCTTGGGCGGCGTCCATGATCTCGTCGAAGGAGCAGGAGGCGAGGGTAGGGATCATCTGGATGATGTTGTGTTTGTGTGCGGCTTTTGTGAGGATGACTTCGCCTTCGGGGTGGCCGAGTTTCCCCAGCGCGGTGGCGGTAACGTAGAAGGGCATGGAGGTTTTGGTGCCCAGCATCGTGGTGGAGAAGTCGACGTGCTCGACGTCGACGAGGATGCGCGGGCGAAACCAGATTTTGTGGAAGGCGCTGTGGTTTTCGCGCATGGTCTGGAGAGTTAATTTTCTCATTCATGGAGGGGAAGTCAGTATAGGGGACGTACAATCTCGTCGTCTGCACCGCTCGAGTAGTAGGCCCAAGCAGTCTTCTTCATGACTCTCCTGGCTACGGCCTCAAAGTCCATTAGGTTATAGCACTGCTCCAAGATGGGCATGTTCTTGATCCTCTCCTGCCTCTCCTTTTCCTCTGGATCCTCTCCCTTCTCCTGCTTTTCCACAGTGCTCATATCCACTTCGCCCAGATGCTTTGACTTGTCGAGATACTTGTCCAATGTGTCGGGAGGGTGAATGGGGTCAAACTCTTCAGTGGCATCTTTGCCGGCATACTTGAGGATGATCTTGGAGCCGCCGGGGTGCTCGGGAAGGAATTCGGTGACATCGTAGGCGCGGCCGTGAACAATGACCCAGCACGAGTCTTTGGAGTTGTGTTTGGCTATGTCAGCGCCGGTGAGCTTGACACGCTGAGTGTTGTTGCTGTCGTGGTTCATGGTTGGGGTGCCTTTGCCGAAGGGTGATGGGTGGTGGTAAATGTTTGAATTCCAATGTTATTCCCGACGCCCGACGGCATTCCCAGGATGATGACGGAGGCCTCGGTGGATATTCACAGTATTTACCGTTGCGAGCTAGGCCCGGCCTGTGGGATGTCGGAAAGGGAAACCCGGCAAATCACTTGTGGCGAGCCCACAATTACCTCGAGCCTCACTCGCGATGCGGTCTTTTGATGAGTAGTCTAGTGGTGGTGAGGGCGGAAACCAAAGCACTGTGCCTGGGCGGTGACGTCTGCCTTTTGGACCAAAGGGGGGGCAATGCGGGGAACCAATAAGATATTTAGACTCTCTCTTCGCTGGCAGAACGCTGGGCAGACGTCGAACCAGACGGGACCTCTCTGCCCGTACAATCGTCCATTCACCCTTCATCATCAACCTTCACCACCACCACCCCCGCATCGCCATTTCTGCCCCAAAAGGGCCATCCTCGCCGCATCCCTCTGCCGTCACGACGCTCGCAATCCGCCGCCAATGTCCGTCAAAGCGCATCACATGGCCAATTTGGCGGCCAAGGCGCCGCTCGCGCCAATCGTCGCAGCTGGTCCTCCAGTCTACCCCATCCCTCCACCGCGCCCGCTCCCATCGTAAGACAGTACACACAGCTCGACTGATCCGCAGTGTCACCGACAGACCGACCCTTTCATCTTATTGTCCTCTTGGTTCGCCCCGCAGCACACAATACGTATCCACGCCATGCCGTTTGTCCCTCGCCTTGCTGGTATAGCCCCGACTGCCGCGGCTTCAAAGTCTATCTGAGCAAACGCTACCCTGCCTATTTTTTGCGCAATTCACAAACGATAGACTACACGACACATACATACATATTATTTTCGCTACCACCGCCGAGTCCACGGTGACGCAACGACTCCTCTCCCTGCATATTCCTACCCCACGATCTCGATCCGAAAAACAATGTCCAAGGCGAGTAGCCTCGAGGCGAAGATTGTCGTGCTGGGCAGCCAGGGCGTAGGCAAAACCTCGTTGGTCAACCGCTTCGTCAAGAACGCATTCACGCCGCCCACGACCACGTCGACAATAGGAGCGTCGTTCCTCACCAAGCGCGTCGTCGACATCGACACCAACACCGTCGTGCGGCTGCAGATATGGGACACGGCGGGCCAGGAGCGATTCCGCTCTATTTCAAAACTCTACTACAGAGGTGTGTGTTCAAGCGGTCCTGTTACTGTGAGACCGACGACAAACCACTGACTCACTGATCCCCTCTTGCAAAGGCGCGAATGCCGGCGTACTCTGCTACGACATCACCGACCCACATTCGTTTGAAGAAATGGGCTCCTGGATGAAGGAACTCAAGCAGAACCTCGGCGACGACATCATCCTCCACGTCGTGGGCACAAAATCCGACGTCGTAGCCGAAGACCCTTCGAGACGAAAAGTCCCGTTTGAGCGCTGCATCGCCTACGTAGCAGAGCACCTGTATCCGGCTACCCCAGCCCAAAACGGACAAGCAGCGCCGAGTACGCCCTTCGTATGGCCCGGTGGACAGAGCGGAGGAGGCATGGTGTCTCCGCAGAGTAACCGGTCGAGCGGATTCTGGGGCCAGGAGATTGGATGGGATTGCTGCCACGAGATCAGCGCAAAGGACGGCGAGGGCGTCGACGAGGTCTTTCGCGTCATCACGCGCAAACTCGTCGAGCAGCATCAGAAGCGGATGGAGGAAGAGTTCCGGCAATTGGCTATGGTGTCGGGGGTGAATGGCGATGGCGGGGCGGGGCCGAACGGGTATTTTGATTATCCCGGGGATGGCAATGGGAGTTTCAGACTGGGCGTGGGCGATAGGAGGAGGAGTTGGTTGGGGTTCCCGATCACGCCGGCGGGCGTGGCGGGGGAGGAGCAAGCACAGTGGGAAGAGGAGTTGGAGAGGAGGAGGAAGAGTAAGGGGGAGAAGTGCTGTTGAGGGGTCCCGGACTGCGGCTTGGAGGTCTTGATATAGACTTTTGCCTCCGAGTCGTCCGACAAGCCCAACTACAATACCCTCCGGCGGACTCGCCTTCCAAGAGAAGGCGACCGTACGCCGAGACATGACCATGTCATGCCCTATCCGCGATGGCCGTCCGAAGAAACGGACTTCGCTCACTATTGTTGAGTGCGGCGTAGACAGAAACTCGGGCAGATACGTGCTCGACTCTCCGATTGCCATCCCTCTCTGTCTATCTCTTAGCCCTTAGTCCTTTCATCCCGTATTCTATTGCATGATGCGGTTCTTTTTTCTCGCATGCTCTTATATTCTGTTCGTGTCCGTATCCCGTCTTCATGTTCGTCTTCCTTTCCCTTTCTCTTCGATTGGAGTCCTGTTTTTCGCTTTCCTTGTCCTTCCTTTCCGTTAAATCGTTTCATGGATAGCGAGTGGGATGATGGCCTTTGGAATCGCCTTTCTACAGCATGTGTGCAGCAACTTGATGAGGCGGCGAGTGGCTTCGAGATGGGTGGCATTTGCAAAGGGGAACATTGGGCGCAGGGGACCATGGGACGATCCTGGCACGGCGGCATGACGGCATACTTGCATTCTCCCTCCTTTCTGCTCCTTCTGTTCATGTTACCCGCCCGAGGAAGAGAGTCCTGACTGATCCTCGGGACAATAAACAAATGAATAGGTACTGGTAGTGCGTAGGCGGCCAGTGACCAATTGACATAGCATATTCATCGACACCAATGACCGACGCGAGTCCCTTGTTTCTGTTCCAAGGTTCGTGCTTCAACGTGGAAAGAAGGAGAATATCACCACAAGACCCGGAAATACCGACTTTGAATAACCGCCATCGTAAATTCATTCATTCGTCGTGAAGGGAGAAAATGGCCGGGATATCTAATGTGTCTGCATGTGGGTGCCCCCTCCCTTCAAATCGGCCTTTCCCCTTTCCGATTCTCCTCTTCCTCCTGCTTTCCTTCCTCCATGCCTGAAAAATTATGCATCCCTTTGGGAAAGGAACGAACCAGTAGCAAAGATGCGTCCAGCCAGCCCGGAAAGCGCCTCCCCAGCCAGTGCTGGACATGCAATTAGTATGATACATGCGAATCGAATGCAAATGCAATGGACAAAAAACGCCGTCCGACTCTTTTTGGTCCCTTTCGAGTGGGATTACCTCTCCCGGTGATGCCTAAAGAACCGCCGACTCGCACTCGCCTTCCTCCGCAGCCCCATCCTCCCCTTCTTCTCCTCTTCCTGCTGGGCCCCGCTCGCACCCCCATTCCTACTCCCCACCTCCTGGACCGTCGCTTGCACCGGCCCTCCTCCCTTAGCCCTCCTCCTCGCAAAACTCCGATCCCGCGCAACCTGGTGTTCCCAAAACCCTCTCTTCTGCTCAATCACGTCGAGCGTCAGGCTTCCAAACCCCCTCTTGACAAACGCGATATCATGCAGCACATTGGGGTCCAGGCACTTCCGCGGCAAGTTCTGCACCGTCATGAACAGCTCCCCGTCGCCGGGGTGGAATTTGCGGATCTCAGGCTCCCCTAGCTTAAAGATGGCGAGGGCGTAGCGGAAGAGTGCGCGCGGACCTTCATAGAGGAAAGCGTCCCAGACGCGGAGGACGACTTCGATAGGCAGGACGCCGACGAACAGCGACATGAACCAAGATGTACATGACAGAGCGACTGTGGGTTGGCGCTGGAACTTGGATTCGGGGTGGGCGTGCGAGCCGAGGCCGTTGTTGATGATGTCGGTGTCGTTGATCGAGGCCCAGACTTTGGGGAGGTAGTCCTTGATGAGCATCATGAGGACATTGACTTCGGTGTTGGCGAGGCTGCGGGCATGCGCGCCGGGGAGGTGGGTTTGCGTGATGATGGTGAGGAGGATGAAGACCTTCTCGACGTCCTGCTTCATAAAGAGAAGGAGAAGGCCAGCAATGAAATTAAGTGACTGGCAGTATCCGATGCCAGGATTATTGAGAGCAAAGCACTGTAACACTTGGCGCAGGTCTCGCACGATGTGCGGCTCGTCTTCCTCGAAACCATCCGGATGTTCGTCCGTAGGATCGGGGCGGAAATGGATGTTGTCAGGAAAGGTGCGATCCAAGTCTCGTTCGATAGCCTCTCGGTCATCCTTGTTGAGCTCTCCTTGGTCCACGCGTGCCACTAAGGATTTATATACCCCACGCATTTGATCGAGCTTCTTCTGACCGTTGGCATAGAACCACCACATAGCTCCACGCCACTCAGGCGGGTACCCTTTCCGGGTATATCTTCGTACCTTCTCGCAAGGTTCTGGGAACCGGGTCGGGTCCGTCGTGGGTAGATTGTTTCTCTCCATCAGTGCAATCCATTTTCCACGCCGCCGCGCGACATATTGCTCATATGTGCTGTACCATGCATCATATTGTTGGACCGATATCTTGTCCGTCGCCTTCTTGAAACCATACCTGTCTCGCTCCGTTGCCCTCATCCCACCAACAGGCAATCTACCCTTTGGACGAGCCAGGGGAGGTCCAGCTGAGGACTGGGAAGGGGTCGAACCGATGTTGAGAACAGAAGAGACGGGCGACACAGGCGAATTGGCGACGGTTCCGCTTGACTGTCGCTTGACAGCCGTATGAATGCTCTTTCTGGACTCCTGTTCTTTGGTCTTGGAAGGGGAAGGCGGCGACACGGACAACACTTTCGTCAATTCCAACAAGGTGCTGCGACGGTCGAAAACACTCGTCGAAGCTCGACGGGGATATGCATCATCCTCGTCGACTTCTGGAAGCGGAGACGAGTCCTTGATAGGCGGACTGTGCATAGCAAGCAACGGGCGCTGTGGCGGTGGAGAGGTCGCGGTGCAATGATCGAGTAGTTGCACCGAGCCCCTCGAATTCTTGCGCGAGTAAGCCTGAATCTCCGCCCAGTCTTGCCGTGACAATCGGGACTTCTCCTTGGGCAGTAGTGGAAGGTCTTGTAGGTCATTATATATTTTGCCCAGCGGCTGACGTTGTGTGCCAGGACTCGTGGGGATATGCTCCTTTCCTGGAGCGGCTTTTCCATCATTCTCTGCGGCAGGCTCCGCTGTGGAAACTGGTAGAAGGCGCATGGGACTGATCACTAAGGGCGATAACCTAGGTTTCGTATGTGCTGGTGATTTGGCGCTATCAGTCTGTGCTTCGGAGGAGCGGTCACCATCTTCCGGTTGGAAAGAAGACACCGCGCCATCGTTCAAAGGCTGAGGAGTTTCCTGAGCCAGGTCAGGCTCCGGTGTAAGTTGCGAAGAGTCGCGGTCACTGTGCGAGCCGGATTGTGACAATCCCGGCACCTCTGACTCTGACCCGCCTAGAGAGCCCATTCTAGAGACCTCTTCGTACGGGCTCTCCCCGGACTCTTCCTCATCATCTTCATAACAGTACGAATCAATCACATCCTCCACACTCATAAAGTCGTCGTCGAAACTGGTGTCTTCCGGAGCATCATCCCTGGACCGGTCCACAGAATAGACACTGGTTGTGCGTTGGTCACTCATGACGGAGCTGCGGCCTGTGACCATACTGCTGCGTTCGGTACCACTTACGTCGACAAAGCTCGAGGACGCGTTCGTCCATGCAGAACGCAGACTCGTTCTGGATTCTACTGGGCGAAAGTGGGGAGGCGGAAAATGGTCGTTGTGTGACCAATTGGCACCACCTCGATCGGGCTTGTATGTTCCTGAGGGGTTCGACCTTCCTGTTGCACGATACTGCCCATAATCTGGAATAGACATGGCGGCTCTCAACGGCGGATGGGAGAGAAACCCTGGCTGCGATGAGCTCGTCAAACCTCGAGGGCGTTGTCTGGTTAGGGGTGGTGGATCCTCGCGTGAAGACGCCAAATCTGGCCCGCTCTGTTGATTGACCGGGTTGCTAGCGAGCGGGTTGAAGATGGTGCGAGGATCGCTAGTGGGGCCAGGACCACTACCTTGCCGTGTCACCGACGCAAACGTAGGAGACCCCAAGGGCTGCTCGGCACGAGGAAATCCGTCGTTGAGCGGGGAAGAAACAGCAATATGGCGAAGGAGAGAGGGCGCCCGCTGGCGGGGGAGGAGGTGGGGGGATGGCAGCGACGGCGGTAGGGTAGGGCTCGACGACGGCGAGGGGCTGTATACGGGACGCTCGTATGCGGGGCCTTGGAGGACGTCCATCTGAAGATTCGCAGGTCGTTTGGAGCGCAGGGAGTGAAAGCCCGCACTCGGCGGGGCGATGCTGGCGGACGGAGTTGCGGGACGCGGCGAAGCAGGAGGGGTGAAGTGGCTGCCCGGCGGTCGGTAGGCGATATACTGAGGCTGGGGCCCAGCAGGCTCATCATGCGCTGGCCCATCAAGGGAGCCGTTGAGAGCAACGCCGGTCATACTGGAAGCTACAGCAGTTTCGCTCATGGTCAATGCGGTAGAGCTTGAAAGGGGGGAAGCGAGATTCTCAGTCGCCAAAGGTGGGAAGGAGGACGAGATTTCGTTCGCGGTCCGCTGACATTCTCGAAACGACTGGTCGAGGAGGCAGGCAGTGAAGGAGTGAATGTAGGGGCGGAAGCTGGAGGCTCAACACACTGCAGAGCAGGAGGGCGTGGAGTCAAGAGCTTCGAGCGATTGCTGCGGAAGGAGTGAAAAGGAATGAACGGCTGGGCCCCGAGCGGAGCCAATGCCAAAGAGATGAGGAGTGAAAGGACGCGAAAGGTGGCAGAAGTGGTGCAAATCGCGGACGAGGGCTAGAAGAAAGGCTGTGGGTGATCTGATGGGAGGTGTGGAGTTCTTAGTTCGTCGGTTATGCCAAGGCTGAAACCGCCCGTGGACGTTCGCGAGCCCTGCTCCCTCAACCAAACTCTGGACGGGCTTCAGGCTTCCAAGGTTGACCAGGGAGTAATACCAGTTTATTATTAAGAAGAGCGCCGGTCGCTCTCGTAGTAGCTCCCCGGTCTGCCTTGTTTTTCTACTTAGCACCGGAGAAGTGACGGATTTGGGATTTGTTTGTATTCATGTACACAACTCCCTCTGCCCGACGCGTCCAAAATGGGAACCTGACTGTGCTGTGCATTGCTGGTAGTCTCAGCATGCAGTGATAGGAGGAGGCTTTTGCGAATTCCAGGGGGCATTGCTCCATAAATCAAATGCGTTCTGTTCTTTTGTTGCGGCAATACGTTACGGAGGTATCGCCTCAATCATCAAAGAAGAAAGTATGCTTGTTCCAGAACTGACTCGTCGGCATCATTTCTGCCTGCAAAAACAAGCCTCCGTCATGTCCGAGTTGCAACTTTCCGCAAATGATAATCTAGGATTGTTTTTGCTGACTGTTATTAGACCAAGTTTTTGGGGCCCATGCTTGCTCTTAGCTGAGCCCCGGCAGGATGCGAGATTAAAAGTCACTGCCGATGCGGAAAATGCGATCTGTACGAAAATACGTCACCGGCAACATGGCAGAAAGCATACATGCACTTGTTTTTGATGATTCAACCCTAACCCGAGGTCGGACTATCTGCTGGTCATAGACGATCCGGACGATGAAGCCGCCAGAGAAACACGACTCATATCCCGCCTCCGTTTGACCGTCTGAGATGCACACGTTTAAAGAAAATGGAATCGTCAAGATACTGTGTGAGGCCGCCCGTATGTAACATTCGCCAAACGCCCAATATGCATATCAAAAAAACCAAAGTATAGGTAGTGGTGACCGTTAGGCGCTGTCCTACTTCGCATAACGCTTGACCCAGTCCTTAGCCGTCTTGTCGAACTCGGCCCGATTCGTCTTGTAGTCGTTGGCGATGGAGAGCTCGATGGCATCGTCGGGATTCGGCTCGATCAGTAGGTTGCGGATGAGGTGGAGGACGGAGATGACTTTGTTCGGCGGCTTCCACTCCTCCGGACGCAGTAGACCCAGGCACATGGAGCCTTTGTCGTCGTTGCTCACGTTGGGGTGGTAGATCTTGGTCTTGAAGCTGACGACGGGTGGCTTGAAAGGGTATTCGTTGGGGAAATTGATCTCGAGCTTGTAATGACCTCCCTGGCAAAACGTCAGACTTGTTCCCGTTGTCGCTGCTGTCCGCACAACGTACAGCATACACAGATTGGTCAGGCCCGTCCATGAGGATCTCCCATTTGGTCATATTCTGCTCGTCGAAGTTGATCTTCACGCCCGGTAGCGGATCGTTCTGGCACTCTGCGTACTCCTGCGCGGCGTTAGCAGCTTGCCTGCATGTCGTCCCCAGGATCCCGTACCCTCAGTATGCGCTTCTTCGCTCCAGTCGACATTGCGGCGGTGTGAGTCAGGATTCAAGTTGAGAAACGAGACGAGGTAGAACTGCAGTTGTGGATGAGCGCCCTTAACAGAAAAGAGTAAACTGTGTAGAAGTCAAGGGAAGGGTTATTTATGGGGCGGCTGGGTGGAGGGCGGGAAGCGGTGGTGAATGAGAGGTCTGTGACGATCGAACACTTCCAGTTCGACATGGAGATGCGTTGTCGCCTAGACCTGGCACCAGAAGTCACAGTCACATCCCACTTTCGGGAAAAACGATTTTTGGGAAGGAGATTCAAGAAATTTATTGTCGATTCCGTGAGTTAATTCCATTCATTCACATTCAATGATCAATCTCGTATTGGAAATCTCTCTTGAGCTCTGCTCTTGACTGTGGACTTCGAGCCCCAGTCACGTGAAGCGGAGAGTTATACACCTGGGCACCTGCATGTTTCATTCCAAGGTTGATGTAGTCCGAGCCTACTGTACCTACCTGGGTAGGTACTAGGTAACTTCGTCCTTCAATGGACGTCTCCCGAACTTTCTCTCGTTTCACTTCTCCTCCGCACTATTTCTAGGGTTATCTGAGCCATGCCTTGTCCTTTGCGATACTTTTCCATTTGTCGTTCTCTACCAGCCCTGACAGTCACCTACGTCACTAGCACAGCCCTTTCCTAATCGCGTGTGCATTTTCCTTTTCTACTACCTAGGTATGAGTGCATCCTCTAAGAACTTAAAATAACCTTTCTTCGAGAGGCTAAACTGAACAGCACGACGATGCATTTTTGCCACGGATTTGCACAGCTGTTGTATCACAGCACAACAAGTCACTTTTCCAGCTTCTTCCACGTCTTTGTCCCTATCAAATCAGGATGAGCAACACAGCAGCCTGGCGGCAGTCTCTCCAGTTACAGCCAGTGCCACTGCAGATGGACGTCTCGAACCAACGAATAGGACTCGCGATAGGCTTGCGCAGCCCAACGCACGGCCCAGCAGAGGGCGCTGGAGGCTGACAAGCTTGGAAGTATAAAAGGCAGCCGTCCCCCCACCCCATTGCGAGGCCGGCACGCCTCTCGACAAGTCCCAGAGCCAGACAACGCCTGTGTTGATTCTCCACCACCTCCGTGTCGTGAAGAATCGCACAAAGCCCCTCGGACGGAAACGCATTTTGTTACGCAAAAGTGCCAACCCATCCGAGCCGGCTTCCAGAGCTTCCCCGTATGCACGCCGCGTCAAACTAACTAACCTGTCCACTCTTTGGAAATCCCTTCTTCCCGTCGTCGCTCGCTACTACGATCGCTCTCTTCGTTCCGAAATGTTCGGGAAGCGCTCTTTTGCCAGTTCAAAGGACCGCTCGTCGAGCAAGATAACCAAGCAGCCGAAGAGGTCGTTTCGCGACACGACCAGGCAGAAGCAGATGCTCGAGAAGATGGATGCGCGGATGGACAGTCCGATGATGGCGAGCAGCGTCTCTCCCAATCTCAACTCGGCCATCGTGACCATGGTCGTTGGTCCCGAACAGCGACTGTTCGCCGCGCACGAAGACGTGCTCTCGCACTCGCCCTTCTTCGCATCGGCGTTGCAGGAGCAGTTCTTCGAGTCCGCCAATCGCCGCATCGACCTGCCCAACGAGGAGCCCGAGATCTTCTCGTGCATCCTCGAGTATCTCTACAAAGGTGACTACTACCCGCGCCTGATGCACGACAAGCGCCGCCACACCTGGATGCTCGAGGGCGCCGTCTCCTCGCCCGACCCCAGTAAGAAGACCGGTGACCGCGCCGTCTCCACCGCAGTCGAGGCAACCTTCTTCCACCCTGGCGTGGGCGACGTCATTCTCCGCGACACCGCCGTGTACTGCGCCGCCGAGCGGTACGGCCTCGAGGACCTGAAGCGGCTCTCGCTGCGCAAGCAAGGGCTGCAGAGCGGCATCGAGGTCGCCACCATCCTGCGCAGCGCGCGGTATGCCTACGAGAACACGCCGGACAACGACTCGCGGCTGCGCGCTCATTACCTGGCGCTCATCATCCGTAGCCGGAAGACGTTCAAGCGTAGCGGAACCATGCAGATGGAGATGGAACAGGGGGGGAAGCTGTTCTTTGATTTGTTCGTGGCCATGTGCAACCATATCGATGACATTGTGGACGTGACGTGAGTGAAGCTCTCACTCTTGTGCTTTCTGATTCCATAGTTCACACATCATTCTCCGACAGACTGACACACTAACACACATCTCTACAGAAACGCTCGCACCCCAAAGTCCATCTAAAGGTTGCACATGCGCCTTCGAGCCCCAATCACCAGAACGCGCAGCAACAAACAACCACAATTTGACCAGGGCCCCAAATCTCAAATCTCCTAAACTCCAATTTGTACAATCTGGATGTGCAGCGAGCGTGCCAAATTGCCATCTATCTATCCCACTCGCCACATCCCCATCTCTCCCTTCTCTACAACGGAAAACACAATAAAAAATCGGACAGGAACGGTGGATCGATTCCACCCTCTTCCTCGGCGTTGATTGAACCCCATATCGTTAACTGGATTTTCCCCCCTCTCGGTCACCCCCTCAGATTGTTTGGTGTTGTTTACTTGCAACTCCCCCCTTTGCGTTTCTTCTTTTCCACTGCCATCAGTCGCTCATTTGATTCATTTTTGACTGTCCGGATTTTTCCAGATTCCAGATCCTTTCAGCTTCGCGCTACCTACCTATATACACTCGTTCACCTGCACTTCTTGCAACAGCGACAGACTGGTCGAAACTGCGTTTCTTTTGTCGTAGAAGAAGCTGGGTGTGTGTGGGTGTGGTAATGACAGTGAGAGAGGAGGAACAGGGAAGTTTGGCAGGAAAGTCGTGATGAAGAAGGGTAGATTGCTGGTGGTGGTGGTAGGAGCCGTGGTTCTTTACTTTCCAGACGCTCGTTTCCGTGATGGCTGGGTGCTTCTTCTTCTTCCTCGTGGGAGAAGGGCTCGTTCGGCTGAGATGCTTGAAATGGGAATTCGGCTATGGAGGATTGGGTAGCGGTAGCTTCTTAGCTGGGCAATGAGAAATCGTGGTTACCGCTAACCTGTGCCTTTTCTCGTGGTATTACAAGTAGTCTTCACGATACAGGGAGACAGGCCAATCACAAGTGGAAGATGCCCAACCGCAAATTTTCGAACAAGACATTTGCCTGCACCACACAGACGCTGATTCAAGGTGGGTATTCAGAATCAACCTAGTTTCATGTTTGATCCAGCGTATACACAGTTTTCCCCACCATTCCCTCCTATAGACAGTTCCCAAGGGACACTAGACAAAGACCTCGCTACCGGCTTTACTAAGATCGGGCCCCTTGGCTGCTGCCTGCCGTGCCTGTACATATCCTGTGTCTTCACTCTCGACCCGGTTCTGGTTGGCAGTAACATCATCGGGTCTTAGCCAGCCATGAATGACTTGTCCAACTCTCTCGTAGCGATACCCAATACCCAATACCCTCTCGCTCTCCCTTAACAACAACAACAACAACAAGGGCTCTCAAACCAACAGAAAATCGAAAAAAGCCAACAGAACAGAAAAAGCCCAGATATTAGAGAAAAAGGAGACGCTACGGGACGCTTTGCCCTTTCCTAACGGGCAAAAGCCTTCCGGATCTTTTGCAACGAGCAAGGAATACGAGACGCTAGCGTTTAGCAGCAACAATGAGAGATGATTGGGTATACAAGGAGAAAAAAAAACCGCCGAAACAAATCCAAACAAAGAGTCAAAAAAAAGGTACGGTACGTGTAAAAGACTGACAACGCTGACGCTGAAGCTCGATATATGCGGCGGGGAAAATAGCTATATAGCAAAGCGATATGCAAGTTATGCAAGTCCAAAACTGGTGAAGCGGTACGTTTGCAAGCTGTTGTTGCTGAAACTGTGGCTGTTGGGCCAAAGACTGTAGCGACGCGTGTAAGCAGTTTCGTGATATGGCGTTTCTGCGTTCTCTTTTCCCCACTCGGGCAATCTATGCTGAATGCTAAGTTGCCGTGAGAGAATAACCTGGGCAGAGCTGTAGACATTGCATGTGACCGTGAACCGTCTCGGCGGATCGGCAATAGTCTGAAGAAGAAGCAGACGCAAGTGGTCGTTTCCTGGATGGGTCCTGAAAACGGAGCGCCGGAGCTACTCGACCCGAGAGTAGTAGTAGGTGAGGACAGTCTAGTCCCCACATTCATGGGACGACACCGGCAGTCAAAGATGAAGGAGGAGAGATTCGAAATCAGCTCTCTCCACCACCTCACTGCAACCTCTTCCTCTTCCTCGCCTCATCCGGATCGTCCTCGTCCGCCCGCTCAGCCGTCTCAGCCGGATTCAGCAGCGAATGCACATTCGAGGCCATGCTCGAGCGCCTCGTAGGCGGGCCAGGCGTATCGATGCCCTTGAAGGGAAACCTCGCTCCAGGAAGAAGGGACCAGCTGCTGTCGGCACTCAAGTTGGAAGGCGTGGTATCGCTCGTCAGAGGCGGAGTGCCGTGACGAGACGACTGCTGCGCGTAGGGAGCGCGGGGGAGACGGTACTGCTCCAAAGCATCACGGAGCTGCTGGTCGCCGCCTCCGATGGGCGTCCGATGGGGTGACGAGGGCCATTGGGTGGAGTTGTGGCCAGAGGCATAGGGGGAGTGGGAGTGGGAAGGCGGCGGCGGTTGTGGTTGCCAGCCATGGGTGCGTATATCTGCCGAGGTATGTCGTCTATACAGATTGTAAGGCGGGGAAGCGTTATTTGCCAGACTCGCTCCCAGCGTTGCACCCGGGTGGTGGTGGATGGTCGTCGTCGGCGGCGGAGGTGGGGGTGGGGGTGGCTGGTGAGTGGCCGGGTTGCGGGATGAAGATGGCGAGTAATTACCCGTGCCAATTGAGCCGTAACGGCGACCTGCTGCTGCTGGCGGATTGATGCGCGGCGGCATCGGAGGTCGGAAGGGCGCCTGGCGGGACATGGCGGCCAGCGAGCCTCGACGCTGTTCATGGACGGCGTCCAGGGGCATCTGCCGTGGGGAGAGGGGCGGCGCATTGCTGCTGCTACTGTCGACGTGGGCGAAGTGACGGGCGGAGAGGGGCTCATGAGGTTCGTCCATGGCACGCAGCCTCTCGGTGTGCTGGGCAATTTCGCGCTGCATGGCGTAGACTGGTCATACTGTAAGCACGTCGTTGGATTAGAGTATAGGCAAAAAGCGAGCCTTACCGTCCTTGTGGATCTGATTCTCCGGGTCTGGCACCATGGCCCTGATGAAATTCGTGAGCTCGTGATTCCACTTGGTGGTGCACATTAGCTGACGTCGATCCGGTCCAGACACGTTGCCTTACCTGGTGGCACTTCAGCATTCCGTCCATTAGGAGGGCATTCCTTTGATTGAGATAGGCACAGCTGTCTTCGGAGCGCTGCATTCTTGCGTGCATGTCGTAGAGGCTATTCTCCAACGCCTGCAGCCGTGATTCGATGGGGTCGGGCATCGGTTCGACAGGCGCTCCAGCCGGCGGTCCGGCAGATGCTTTGTTCGGCGTCGAGAAGGAGTCTCGGTGGATCAAGGCATGTCGGGATGCGCGTCGCTTGATCTCCCTGAGGCCGGCCAAATCCCCCCTCTTGAAGCTGCCGTTGCCATGCTTAAACTCCCACAGTGGGCAGTCTGGGGAACCCGTGTGGAAGACATCATTCACTGGGGAGCGGTCAGCAAGGTATACAACAGATGAAAACAGGAATAGGAATGCAGACCCTTGTGGAAACCATACATGTTCAGCTGTCGCACAAAAGAGGAAATGTTGGTATGCTTGAAGTAGGATCTACGCGGCCCCGGTTAGATAGATTAAAAGGAGGCCAAAGCTTCCAGATGCACTCACGACAAAACTTTGGAGAACTCGCTCGAAGGGGACATGACAAAACTATCCTCTGACGTGGACCAGGAAATAAGATGTTGAATGCTTTGGTCCTCGAGCATACTGCCAGTAGTCAGTGAATCCGTTACATGTCGGGCGGCGGAGGCGCAAAACCCACTTGTAAAGCTTGTGAATGAAGGCCGTTTGGACGACCTTGGGCTGCTGTGCTGCAGCGGCGGCTCCCAACGGCGGAATCGATGCGCCGTTGCTTGCGCTCCCAGTATCCTTATCCTTATTATCTCCATTTGTCTGTTGGCCAGCTCCGATCCTCTCGGGAGCGGTAGTGGTCAGCAGGGGAGGACCCATGGACGGCACCGAAGACGGCGTGGTGTCCATCATGTCTCGAGGCGGGGTCGCTTTGGACGAAGTCGAAGACGAGGGCAGGATGGGAATGGATTTGTGCAGAGTCTGGTGGTGGGGAGGGTCGAGCTGGAAGGGACTAGGACGAAGTTCGGCCGCAGACGCCATCCCAAGCTTGACGACAATTCCCTCTCGAAGCTGGGAAGCGAGCAGACAGCCTCGTCGCAGATGGCTCGTCAAGACCAATGGCCTATGTGCAGGCTTGAAGAAGCGGGAGGGGAAGGCCGAGGGCTTGGGTGATTGATATCAGTGCTGAAACCGGGAACCCCTATACCATGATAGCCAGCGCAACTGGTCCGAGGAGACTTGGAGCGCGAAAGGCAGAAATGGAGGACTCAATAAACGGATATCTGAAGGATACGAGCGGCCAAAAGCGACGGGAGGTCGGGTAAGGGGCGCGTCGGCGGGTGGTCGCAAAGGGGGGAGGAACGCTGGACTGAGGATGAGCCGTGGCGGAAGTAGAGAGCTGGAAGGACTCGAGGAGGATGGAAGGAGTGCGCACTTCTAGGACCGTGTCGCAGCGCTGGGCGGTGCTGAGCAGAGAGCAAGGAAAGAGTGGCAGAGGGGAGGAACAAGGTGCGACTCGGCTTGATCTGTCTCTGTGGGTGCGTCTGTGTTCTGCGTCTTGCGTCTATGCGCGATGGAACATCCAAGGAAGCACGAGCACGGACAGCAGAGAGCGTCGTGCAGAAGCCACGAGGAGAGGCGCTTGGCGTGCGGGCCTCGTTCAATAATAATACTCCGTACCAATGCTGACTGTCCTGATGAAAAAGAAATGTGTTGTGGTGGGGTGGTGGAAGACGAGCTGTGCGCGGTTTCAGTAGTTTCGGTTTGGGGGTTTGGTGTCGTTCTTTCGCAGCAGAGGCAGCAGAGGCAGGGAGACTTCGCCGACTTCACATTATTGGTAGGTAGGTACACAGTAGACTATGTATGTATTCCAAACCAAGCTCCTCTACTCCCACCGGGACCTCGGATGCAGTACTGTGTCCCCAGTACATAATCGAGTTCCTCCGGCCAGGGCAGCATTTAATATGGGCCCAATCATCCATACACCGGGGAAGGCCTGCATGCGGGTCCCATGCCATCCATGCTCCCCTTCCCCGCTGTGTTGCCCCTCTGCGTGTGGCTGGGCATCTGATCTATCTATCTATCCGCTTTTGTAGCGTTCCGTCTCTACCGCTCCTCCATACTGAAACTGATCCTTACAGTACCGAATATTGTTTTCCTACCAACCTTGCGCTTATTTACCGTCATCGAAGCCTTCGTCTTTGTTAGTACACAAGCTCGCTAGTCTATAGCCCTTGTACTATAGTACTTTGTAAGTAGTCTACGGATATGGTTGCTATCGTGCCTGCTTCGGTACATTGTCGGGCCTTCCACTTATTATACACTACTTATGTATAACTACTGTACCTAGTTCATCCATGTCGCATCCTCTCATGCTGCTCGAGACATTGCGAACTCAGTGACATCTAGGCTGGACATGATGGGATGCCGACCATCAGATTTTTGACCGTGTCCAGACCTACTGTGTATTATACCTACCTTCCACCTCCTCCTTTCCATGCTTGTTGAGGCATCCGTCGACCCAACCTGCTCATACCCTAGGCTCTCCAACCACCAGCATGTCGCAACTCCATGATGCGCCATCACAGCGCCCACCAGGTGGGCTCACCGAACCGCTACCCTCCTGCGAGCCTGGCATCCAAGGAAGAGTGGTTTCCCTGGAGGGTCCTTCTCCAACCGGCGAAGGCCTGCCCGTGGACGACTGGATCACCAGGTTCCGCAAAGCAGACTCGTCGAGTCGCAGATGTCTGCTGTTTGCCCTGATCCCTGAGCTGACTGCCTCGGAGTGCAACGACTTGCGCAACTACCGCAGGACCGACATCATCGGCCGTCTGCCCTTGGAGCTGGTCCTTGCCGTCTTCTCCCATTTGGACGTGGCCTCGTCTTTTCGTCTTCAAACAGTGAGAGAAGCCCAGTGTCGACACCGTCCCTTCACTAACCTTCCATCTCAGGTCTCAAAACGCTGGCGGGACAAACTGCTGTCGCCTGCATTTTTCAATCAACAGCAAAGGCAATGGTATGGCTGCGACTACGTATACGCACCGATTTCTCAACAAGAAGACCACTTGACACGCCAGAGGAACGAGGCAGAACGCATCCATCGCATATGCACCGGCCGTCCCATCGAACGCTTCCTGTTGCCAGCAATGATTCACAGTACGGTAGAATGGTCCTTCTTGTTCTGCAATGACACCCTCTACTGGATCCACACTCCGCCAGGTCCCGGCCCGCCCGCCCACGGCCGCACCGTGCTATCGTGCAACATCTATACTGGAGCCATGCAGCAGTTCCAATTACCTACCCGGGAACGCATCAACTTCGTTGCCGTCTCAGACGAACTTCTACTCATGTCTGCGAGGAAAGGCTGGTACCATATTACCAATCTATCAGACGAAAGGAAAAAGCACTTCAGGATTCCTGCCACCCTAGGGTACTCTTATGAAAATGTAGAGTGCCAGGGACGAAGAGTAATAGTCAGCCGCATGTACGATACCGACTGCGTGGTGTGGGCATATATCTGGCACTTCGACACAGGTCGGGGTGAGATTGTCAAGGTCAAGCTGGCCGACGACTTTCACGATCCGGTTGGGTGAGTTCGCCCTTTCACTGTGTCGTTCGTATTAAGACGTCCTAGGTCTCTTCTAGTACCCATCGTTATGTCTGATCTAAACCGGATAGTGACCTTTCCCGTCACGCCCGGCACTCAGAACATTGCCCCAGGCCAACCAACCGAGTCCGCCAGGGCATACGATATGAAAGGAGTCCGTCTCGAAACCATCGCTTGTTCCGATGACCGGCCCGTGTGCATTCGATGCTTCGGCTCGTACTGTAAATCGCCGCCACCTGGGACCAACTCCCAGCCGCTTCCTTTCCTACCCACGGTTTCAAATGCAAACATCCTCAGGCTCCTAGGACCCTGCGTCCGAATTGCCACTTATGGACACTCACATGACTTGAGACACGGTCCAACACAGACTAACCCATGCCGATTTACCTGCTGCCTCGGAACACCGTATGCCGTTGCCCTGCTTTCCGTTTGCCTATGCATCACTGACCTCAACCGCCAGCACTTCGCCTACCCACAAGGAATTCCCCTGTGTGCCACCCTCGGCACCCGATGCGGGCCTCAATTTGGCTCGGAGCCGACCGTCGGTACCGACATCGACATACATGTGCTGCGACGACGACACCGTCATCGTCATGTGGCCCTCCCGCGACAACGACCTGTGGACCCTGGAGTTTCTCTGTTTCAACAAGGAAAAGCGTCTACATAGGGAGGGTCTGCAGGCTGCTGTTGATAGAACAATGGGGATCGTGGGGAGTTCTGGAGTATAATCAGGATGTGCTGGGTCGAGAAGAGGATTGGTCTTGGGCTGGGGAGTTCCCTAAGAAGAGTGACCGTTTGATAGACTGCTGAAAGTTCTAAATCATAGGCCGTCTGTCTCTTGAATATATATTCTCTGATTTCATGGAGCAGTGTTTCGACGTATTTACTGTCGCTGTATGCTCTGAACTGTGAGGTTGGCGTTAGAAGCGGGCTTGCCAACGTGAATATAGTTACCCCCGTACACATGTATCTTTACTATGTAGAATCAAGGTTATATCTGGTCGGTCGTACCCATTACGGCGTAGGCACGTGCGGCGGGCAGTTATCGATAACGCGTATGCTCTTGGCACCTCCCCGGTGCAGTTAGCGCAATGGAGGGGTGCCGAGGGGCAATTTGGTGGGCCAAAAAAGATTCACAGTTTATTATTCCTTCACTCTTCGTCGCTCTCAAGAATATTCCTACCATATTCCACGAGGGCTTCCAAAGCTCCCGTTACCCAACTTCCCCTGTCCCCTCTCTCCCAGTGTATTACCTCAGAACTCCGGCACCATGGTGGAAAAGACCTACGTCACCTATAACCAGGTAAGCCTCTCTTATGTGCGACATCGACTTTTTGTTACCCTCTGAAACGCACATTCTGCCCCTGCTGCAGCCGCAGTACTTCAGCACGTGCGAATCGCTCTCGCGTCTCTTCTTTTCCTTTTTCAGCCGATCTGTACTGCGCCACTTTCATGCAGGGAGTCTTCTCGAAATAGGAATCATGTTATGGCATGACACCCGCTGGCCCCAAGATGTTACACCTAGTTTGCGATTGTGGAGAGAGCCGCTTCCCCATCTACCCGGATGAGATTTACTTCTTGCTATTCCTGCTCCTTGCAGATTACAATCTCCGCACATCACTGACCCGTTGCGCTCTCAGGTCCACAAGCTGTGCCAGGAGTCGGCTCCCCGTATCCTAGAGGAGTTCCGTCCGAACTTGATGATCGCCATTGGCGGCGGCGGCTACGTTCCCGCTCGTATTCTCCGGTACGAAACGTCTTGAAACCCACACGTCCTCTGTCCCACGGCTCCGACTCAAGTCCACTATTCCGATCCTAACAACACGCAGCTCCTTCCTCAAACAACCCGGCCACCCCAACATCCCTATCCAAGCCATCGGCCTCTCCCTCTACGAAGCCCTCGGCACCGCCGACGCCATCGAAACGCCCGGCACTCGCGTAACCCGCACCCAATGGCTGGACCTCTCGTCCCTGGAAATGGCCAACCTAATCGGCAAGAACGTCCTCATTGTCGACGAGGTCGATGACACGCGCACGACGCTCGAGTATGCAGTGCGCGAGCTGGAGAAGGATGTACGCGAGGCGCAGCAGAAGGCGGGGAGGACGGGAGAGGAGACCAAGTTTAGCATCTTTGTGCTGCATAACAAGGATAAGCCAAAGAAGGGGAAGTTGCCCGAGGAGATTATCCATGGGAGGTATCTGGCCGCGAGGACGGTGGGCGACGATTGGATTTGCTATCCGTGGGAGGCGACGTAAGTGGATTTCTTTTCGTCTTCTCCAGTGACGGGAGTTAACTTGGAGACAGTGACATTGATGAGCACGATCGTTTGGCGAAAGAGCAGGAGCAGAAGCAGAGTTAGAAAGGACACGGGCAGATACCTTAGTGACGAGCATTGAGCCGGTATGCACTGAAGTCGCCGGACTGGAGTTTGGGATGGAGTTTCTGATAGGCGTGGAATTCTGGGAGCGAATCTTTGGAGGGAGCTTGGGTCTCCAACTCTGGCTATACCATGTGGTTTGAATGTCGTGCATGATGGGTGTATGTGGACTCCTGAAGCATGTGGTATGCGGCGGCTTGCATGCAGGCAATACATATCAAATGACAAGAATCTATGCATCTATTCTTTTGCTTCTATATGCCATTTGCAATGCATCTCCTAAACCCATACTTGGGCCCCAACCCTCCTCCTCTCTACCATCTCAATTACCCACCTCAAAAGCACCCTCTACGCACGCCCAAAACTCCTCCACAATCTCCCGCTGCCCCACCCCACCCCTCACGGCCAAATACCTCCTCCCATCCACCTTGGGCTCCCAGTTCCCGGGATTCGCATCCACCATGATCCCCCCAGCCTCCTCGAGGATCACCCACCCAGCACAAACATCCCACGCCCAGCACCCAGCCTCCCAATACACATCGAGCGCCCCACTGGCCACACCGCACAGATTCAGCGCCGCGGACCCGAAACTGCGCAGCCCATGCACCATGGCGCCGCCCTCTTCTTTGGTCGCCGCCAACCTCGCAAACGTCCTCGACTTGACTGCGAAATCGTTGCCGCTCCTATCGCTGCCCCACTCGACCGCCACGAGGCACTCGCTCAATCCGCGCATGGGTTCGGGAGTCCGCAGCGGTAGGCGCGCGGATTGGTTGAGGAAGGCACCGCGGCCTCGGATGGCCGTGTAGAGTGTGTCCGTGAAGGGGTTGTAGACGACGCCGATGGTCGGGACGAGGTTGTGGAGGAGGCCGAGCGAGATGCTGACATACGGGTAGGTGTGGACGAAGTTTGTCGTGCCGTCTATGGGGTCAACGATGAAGGTGGGGTGGGGGGTGAGGGGGGTCGAGGGCGTGTATGTTTCCTGGGTGTCATGTTGTTAGGGAGAGGGGATTGTTTCGTTTTATTAGGTGGATTGCTGGGGTATACTGGGGGCGAATGGAGTGGCATTACCTCGCCGATGAATTGGAAGTCTGGGTACTTCTCGCGCAGGGTCGTCGAGACGAAGACTTCGACGGCGCGGTCGGTTTCGGTGACGAGGTCGACGGCTGGTGGTAGAGTCTGTCAGTCAAGTGTTTCGCAGATTTGATTGTAAGACTGTAGGTAAGGGGGTTTGACGTACAGTTCTTCTTGTTCCCCGCAGCTTCCGTCGTGGGTCGCGCAGAGGTGATCATCTCGCCCGCCTTCTTCGCGACCGAGATCATGAAGTCGTGGATTTCTTGGAGGTTGAGTTCCGCCATTGTTGAGGAGTCGGAGCTGTGTTCGTAACCGTTGGAAAAGATCCGGAAACAAAGGGAAATAATAGAGAACGTCAATTGAAGAAGTGGAGGTTTGTGAAGCACTGTTGATGTTTGACGAAGCTGTTGAAGTTTCGTCGTGAACTCCAAGCCTATCAAACGTCAACGCCCCTCTTCCCCGATTGCGGGGAGCCGCTGCGCCACCCGCCCTCCATTTCCAATTTCGTACCTGTGGCTGTGTGCTTTCACAATCCCCAAACTGGAAATCTGACTCGGCCGGACATCGGACATGGAAACAAAACACCTCGGCTTAAACCCATAGCGTGCACCAAAATCGCTATTTGCATCTCCACCTCCGTAGACTATAAGACACTGAAGAAAAATTTAAATACAAAGACATGGAGCCTCCCGAATTCTACTTCAAGACTTCCCACCTAAACGAGCAGGAGCGACGATATCTGGACTCGGAGAAATCGGCCATGGAAAGGGCAACCGAGCATCTGCGCCAAACACCTTGGTGTCGCGCGCTGATTGACGATGAGGAGTGGGTGCCGACGATGACGTGGTCGCGCGTGAAGAAGGTGCGGAATACAGAAGATACGTTTTTCGCCGAGACGTTGGGGACTGAGAGGACAATACGGCGTTGTCTTACGTTGCGGCCCAGGAGGGAGAATGCCGGGGACGATGAGCCGGCGTTCAAGGAGGTGAGGACGATTATGGAATTGGGTGGGGGGCTGAATGGGCATCCGGATGTTGCTCATGGGGGGTTTGTGGCGACTATGTTGGATGAGGTTATGGGGGTGTTGATTCAGTTGAATTTGGAGAGGAAGGTTAAGAGGTTGAGGGAGAGGGAGCGGGGACATCCGGGGTTGAGCTGTTTTACGGCGTGTAAGTGTTTTGGGTTTTATTACGTTTCTCCCTTTTTCTGTTACCTTTTGAGGGAATGGGATGTCAGAGAATGGAGGATGCGCGCCATGAGCGGAGCCAATATATAAAGAGAATGGAGAGACGAGGAGGAGGAGGAGCAAGAGGGAAAGGAGGTGGAGAAGTCGCCGGGACAGAATAGGGAAGGAGATTGAGTGAAGAGGTACTCGGAAGGCAAAACAGGCTTGAATTGGAAGAGAGATCAAGGAAACGCCAGTCTGCATCACGCTGACATCTGACAGACCTAAATACGAACTACAAGAAGCCCGTACCCACGCCCACCACTGTACTGTGTACAGCAAAGTTCGAAAGACAGGAAAGAAACAAGATCTATGTCAGTGGCTCGATCTCGGACGGCAAGGGAACGATATATACGCTTGGTGATGGAATGTTCGTCGAAGTCACCAGAACGTCGGCGCACTTATAAAGGCCTTGACAACAGAGACCTCAAATCCCTTGGTATCTTCTGTAGTAGGCATCTCCTTTCCCTCAGGTTTCGGGCTTAAGTTTTAACGGCATCGTTCACGAGGTATTAGAGCTAACAGCTGAAGCGAAAGATTGCGGCTCTTCTCCGCATTAACATTTCAAGCCTTTCCCCCGCACGCTAATTACGGCCGCTCCGACGCACAAGATCCCGCTATAGCAGGGGTAGACCGCCGAGGGTGGCCCTGCTGTGGTTGCAGTCGAGTACGGAGTAATTTTGATTAGAATCCAATGGACGCATAGACATAGACCAAGAGCGCTTGAATCGCCTTCGCTGGGTTCTGGAACTGCATAAATGTACGTTATTTCGAGAGCACTATCCATACATACACCTGAATTTGACGGACAACGCAGAGACTGCGCTCTGGCTCACATGCGTATCCATGACCTCTACTGGACACTGCTTACGTACTAACAGAGGACAGCATTTCCACAGAGTTGCTGTTTCTTTAATCCCACTCAAGACTTACAGAGTTCTTGGAATTTTATTCCGCATGATTGGTTGGCCGACGAAAACAGAAGGTGGATATTCTCCGACTCTAACTGGTTGCGGGCACAGGCTCTAATTTGCCGGCCAATCTATCTCTTTCATCACCTGGACCTTCTTCACCCAACTTGCTTCTGGACATGTGACAGTTGTTTCTTGAGGCTGCACCGCATCTGGATACAGATTTGCAACAGGATAACGAATGGCTGAGTCCTTGAACAGGTGCGCGAATGAAAGTGCGGACTTTGTCCATCCACGAGTGTTGACTTGGACCTTTGGCAGGTTCGCGCTGCATTCTTTCTCTGCAGCATTCATACCGGACCTACTACTATACAAATCAAGGAGGCCCCATGTCGGGCGACAGTAGCCGTTGATCTGGTCCTCCGCGGCATGCTCTGCTTGTCAGTACCCCTGAGGAGCCACTGTAACCAGAGACATTTGGACACGAGCGTTGCACGCATGCCCAATTCCCGTTCTGTATTAGGGAGCTCCGAGATTCGAGTGACGATGCAGTACGACCTTAAGAGCGGGATCTTCTGTGTAACGATAGCATCATGGCTGGGGAAGTGAATGGCCTGGCTCTCGGGCCCTAGTCACACCGCCTTGCTGGTTTGCACATGGCGCTGTGTACCTCTACACCTCCCTCTGCACCCGACACAGACAACGTGGTTGCGCAACTTTCAATCAGGTTGGGATACTGAGGCAAGTTTGCCAAACCTATTTCCTCCTCAGCTTGTATGTTTGTACCCTACAACCATGTCGGTTCTCTTCTGTTGCCTGGGATAAGGCTGGCCGAGTCAATCTCGCCGCCGAGGATATATGAGGCTTTAGCAGAGCCTTGGGTGCAACCCACCAGGCAATTAGAAGTACCATGGCCGTTTCCAATGCCATTCCGCACGGCGTATGACCGAAATTTGGACGGGCGCGGGTGGCTTGTCAAGCTATCGCCTGGACCAGTCGTTCCCAAGCTAGCTGATCACCGATTGAGTGTCTGTTCGACCAAGGAGGCACCTGCCCCTGTCACGATGGACATATATAAGATACCTTCACTTCACTACTCCACACGAGTGTGGCTTCCATGCTTGAGGAACGGGCGCCTGCATCCCTACTTCAAGTTCTTCTTTCCTTCGGAAGCTTCCTTCCTGTCTTTTTGGCATAGGGTGGGCCTTAAACCATCGCTCACACACCCACACTTTTCAAGGTTCTCTCCCCATCAGTGTCCCATCCTCTCCAGTTAGCTCCAGCCCCAATATGTACAGCTTTCTCTTATCCTGTATGCTGGCTGTGGGGGCACAGGCCCTTACAGTACCCCGAATGACCAGTAAGTTTTCTACCAGAACCCCAAATGGTGTAGCATACCCTCTTCGACAATTTGAACTAACTTGTCTTTCGCTCAGATGGCACCATCCAAGGAGATTTCTCAGATCCTGGAATGACAGCTGCGGCCGCTGACCCGCCATACTGGCTGAAGGACATTCAGAAGCAGGGTTATGCGGCTTTCAACCCCAACCCAAGCGGCTACAGAGTCTTCCGAAATGTCATGGACTATGGAGCTAAAGGTAGGAAAAGCCATTTCCTGAAGCAAAGCCACACATGCTAAGCTGCATCGCAGGCGACGGCGTCACTGACGACACGGACGCAATCAACCGTGCCATCTCGGACCAGAATCGATGTGGACCGTGGGTGTGCGACTCCAGCACCACGACACCCGCCATCATTTACTTCCCCGCTGGTACCTACATCATCAGCAAATCCATCATTATGTACTACATGACCCAGATGCATGGCAACCCCAACAGCCTTCCCGTCCTCAAAGCGACTCCTGGGCTCACTGGACTCGGCGTCATCGATGCCAGCAAGTATAGCGATGTCAATGGCGAGCCTGGATGGATCTCTACGAATATCTTCACGCGACAGATCCGGAATTTTGTAATTGACCTGACCGCCATTCCGCCTGATAGGGATGCCAAGGGCATTCACTGGCCAGCTTCTCAAGCGACCAGCCTTCAGAATGTCAAGGTGGTAATGACTCGGGCTGCAAATTCCAAGCATACTGGTATCTTCGTTGAGAACGGTAAGAATGCCTCACACTATATGCACCTGTTTTAGCTTTATTCTATAACGGATAGGGCTAGAAAGTGGATCTTCCAAAGCCCCGTTACTACATCCTCGTTTCTCGCAACGGGAGTTTGAACACTGGATGTCTAGAATACGGAGCACCCATTTTTTCTTCAAGCAGGCGACAGCAAGCTAATTAAAATCACAGGATCTGCTGGTTACATGGTCGATGTTGAGACCATCGGTGGCTATATCGGCTTGGAAGTCGGCAATCAACAGTACACCATGCGTGGAATCAAGGTCTCTGGAGCTGTGATTGGCATCAGGCAAATCTGGAACTGGGGCTGGCTCTACCACGGTATCACTATTTCGGACTGCAATACCGCTTTTTCCATGTCCAATGTGGACCAGGGCAAACAGCTGGTGGGCTCCGTCGTCATCGCTGATAGTGACATCATTAATTGTCCGACTTTTGTGGATATGGTGAGTCTCTCTATCCAGTGAATGTGGATTTACTGACCTTGGCCAAGGCCTGGTCGTCCGGGTCTCAACCCATTGGAGCCGGACAACTCATCTTGGAAAACATCGCTCTGACCAACGTTCCCGTTGCAGTTAAGGGTAATGGAGCTACTGTCCTCGCGGGAGGTACCACACGAATTGCTGCATGGGGCCAGGGAACTCGGTATACGCCAGACGGACCGCAGAGATATCAAGGCGCCCTTACACCAGCAAGGCGACCAGCGGGCCTTCTCAACGGCGACCGGTACTATACCAAGTCGAAGCCACAGTACGAGCAACTCCCAGTCTCAAGTTTCCTCAGTGTTCGCACCCTGGGCGCAAAGGGAGATGGCAGAACTGACGACACTGCTGCTGTTCAGAATGCCATCAATCGAGCAGTCGCCGAGGGAAAGGTCCTTTTCTTTGACCACGGTGTGTACAAAGTAACGAACACCATCTATGTCCCGCCCAATGCCCGCATGGTCGGTGAGACGTATTCGGTTATCATGGCCTCTGGTGCTGCGGGCAACTTCCTGGACTGGAGCAATCCACAAGCAGTAGTACTGATCGGCAGACCTGGCGAAAGCGGCAGCATTGAATGGTCGGACATGATCGTCTCAACACAAGGCCGTACCCCTGGCGCAAAGCTCATCGAATACAACCTCAACAGTGCACGAGGCTCTGGCCTGTGGGATGTCCATACCCGCATTGGAGGAGCCGCTGGAACCGATCTTCAAGTCGCCAATTGCCCGACCTATACTGTGAAGAATGAATGCATGGTGGCTCACACAAACGTGCACGTTACGAAGCATGCGCGAGGAGCGTATTTCGAGAACAACTGGTTCTGGGTGGGTAAATCGGTGGTAATCTGATTCTTCCTGATTGCTGACTTCACCAGACTGCCGACCATGATCTTGATGACGCAGACAGCACTCGAATTTCTGTTTTTGCCGGCCGTGGTATGCTCATCGAAGGGTCAAACATCTGGATGTGGGCTACCGGCTCTGAGCATCACACTCTGTATCAGTTTCAGTTGTACGAAGCTGCAGACGTGTTTGCAGGCTTCATCCAGACAGAGACACCCTACATGCAGCCAGTACCTGATGCGAAGTCGCAGCCTTACCCAGCCGATTACGATACTTATCACGATCCCAACTACGCAGCTGTATGCGTCCCAGGTCAAATCTGCGACGCGTTTGCGCTCAGAATAGTCAACTCGCGCTCCATCCACGTCTATGGAGCTGGGTTGTACTCATTCTTCAAGAACTACGACGTCTCGTGCAGTAGCCCCGACGCGCCGAATGGATCAAGAGACTGCCAGCACCGCATCTTCACCATTGAGGGCAGCTCATCGGACATATTGATCTACACCCTGAGCGAGGTGGGCGCGACGGAGATGGTGACGATCGATGGCGTCGACAAGGCTAAATGGAGTGACAATCTGAGCGTCTACAGCAACACCATCGGGCTGTTCACCTACCGAGTTTAGGAGACGAACGGCTCAAGGTTGAACTTGCATCCCACCATACCTTCGCTGCATATATTTTCTGGAGAGGCGGGTGTCCAGCAGACCCCGCTGCGGTTCTATTCTCTGTAAATATCTCTTCAAGGTTTTTATCATATCCAAGGTTTATTGGTCGTCTACTGTGTATAGTGTGGGAATCCCAAGGAACCGAATTCTCAAAACTGAAGAATCCAAGGCACCTGACTCCTGGGTGTAACCATAGCAGGTTCTGCATGTGACAAGGTGGTGAGAAATATTGTAGCCAAAACATAGCCGCATTCCAGTTCACCGAATCGGGTGATTTGTTGGCTTGGCTTGTATACAGTACAATGTGCATCGAAAGACGGGAGAGAACGACTCCTCTTAAGTCGAGAACCTGAAATGTAGTAAAACTATGGGTACCGAAGGTATATCGAGAACGCTGTCCGCGACAGCTGAAGTGCATCCTCTCAAGCGATGATATCAATCGACGTTGATGTGCCAAAAATAGGCATGCGGCGTGCCTCCGGGAATTCTTTCTCAGGTTGCCCAGCCTCAGCCCCCTGTCATCCTGTTTTCTGGCTTGCGACCTGCACAACGCCAACCTTCTCCTCTCTCATCCACCTTGTCCTCGTTTGCCTGCAGACCCCTCGTTATCCCTCTATTCGACCATAGTTCCTTCTACCTGTCGCTCGTTTTTGGTAGTGAAGGGTTATCGCTAATCGCCAACTACTTTGTTAACCTGTTGACCCCTTGTTGACGCCCGCGAATACATAGTTCTCGATCCGGCACTGTCACCACTCCACGTCCGCCTTCGATCATCTTAGGAAGGATTTCTATTCTCTTCTGAGCCGCCTGTTGGATCATTCACACGGAAGGAAATGAGGCCCTCTCAGTTGTTCGCGGCCGCAGTCGCTCTATCATCCGTCTCCGCGGCATTGAGCGATGTCTTCCCTGGCGAGAGAAACGCAGTGGGCCAGGTCAAAAACGTGCTATACGGCCGACAAGACAGTATGTCCCTCTTATCCCGCCCCATCTCCTTGAACGTGTCCGCTCACCGTCCATTACAGACCCAGATTCACAGTCCGAGACTTCCCAGCCCTCCCAGACTCGCCCCACCGGCACCCAAACCCAAGACGACAAGCCCTCAAATACAGGCGACGCAGAGGCATCCGACAAACCGGAAGGATCATCCAAGCCCGAACAGACCGACAAGCCCACGGGAACAACCGACCCGTCCGCCAGCAAAGCCACGACGAAGAAGCCCAAATCCACCGAGTTCGACCCCCGCCTTCCAGCCGGAGGCATCTCGATGATCACGCCGGCCGCGCTGGCTGGACCGCAGTACTACAAGGTCGGCGAGTGGGTAACCTTTGCTTGGAACTACACGTCTCTATCCGTGACACCGTCGGCCATTGACGTGCTGGCGTCATGCTCGGCCAACCAGGCAACCTACACACTGGCAGTCAACCAAAGTGTCCAGGAAACGGGAGTCGTGCTCTGGGATACGGGCGCGTATCAAAGTACAGCCAAGGTGCCACTCCTGACGGAAATGTATACATTGGTCATTTACGACTCCAACGGTAGCCCGACCGATACCCCTAAAGCGGGCTATCTGGGTGCATATAAGCAGTTTATCTTTGGCATGTACACGCCGCATGCGTATGTGCCGCTCAAAGGTGAGCCATTAGCCCCCGATACCATTTGCCGTGTTTGTGGAAAGTGGGAGTCAAATAACTCGAGGATTCGCTAACGACGTTTTGACAGATTTTACATGCCCGAATTGCAACCCCAACGCCGCGTTTTCGTCCATGGAAGCCCTTACGCTCAAGATGCTCGGTTTCACGTGCATGACGACGATGGCTTCGCTGGTTTACTTTGCGTATAGCTTTGGCGTGTTCTGAGCGTAGCGACTCCCCTCGGTTTCCGACTTTGACATCGATTGAGCCATTCTTTCATCGACCAGAGCATCGTTTCCATCGCATCGCATCGCATCGCACCCTGTTTTTTATTCTGTCTTCGGCATGTGCATATTATATACACTCCTTTTATCAAAAGATTGGGCTGGGTTGCAGGATCGGGAAGGGCGGGCGTTGGACAGCATACGCGGGGTTTCATTCATTCTTTTGGGCAGCGCGGGGCGTTTTTGGGTTGCAAGTGTTGGGTAAGGGTTGGTTTATTATAAGCGTTTAATATGTGTTGATTTGGCCGTTGAGAATGGACGAAAGTAGTGAATTGATTGGTAAAGGAAAGGGTGCGAAGAGTAGGAGATGGAGCAGGGGTTGGGTGAATGGGAGAATCAAATGAGGAGTAATGCATGATGATGCCTCTGGTAACGAGGATTTAATCGGATATATAACTTAATCTCCCACTGAATCAATGTACCCGTCCTTATTTGTCATGTTGGTTGAATGCTCATAAGTTTGAATACGATATCCTATCCCAACTTGTAGGAACCCGAGTTCGCCCCTAATGAAAAGCGGATAGCTGGAAATGCTTGTTCTATGCCATACATATAGCGTGAAAGTGGTATCTCCCCGTAATCATCGATGCAAAGAACGCCTTATGCCATATCCTTCGTCATGAGACTCATGCCATGCGTCATATCCACCATCCCATACCGTACATAAACCCCGAGACTCCATCCGAACGGGCCACCTCTTTTTCATAACCACAATCCCTTCCTCCCTCTCCTTCTTCCCTCCCTCCCGCACTCACCCACTCCTAGGCTAAACCCTCCTCCTCCACTCCTCCTTAAGCACCCACCTCCCCCTTCCAGCAGACCCCCGCTCCAACCTCGCAATCAACTTCAGCATCTCCTTAAACTCCTCGCTCCTGCCAGGAACCTGCCGACAATACCGATCAAAGTGATCGACGAGCATCTGCGTCGGCACCGTGCCCCCGTGCGTAATCATAAAGTCGCGCAACTTCTCGAGCATCTGGCGCCCGCGGAATCCCGTGCCTGTGCCCGTGGGCGTCGATGTGCCGGAGCGAGACGAGGTCGGTGTGGCAGAGCGAGCGTGCGGGTCAGGTCGGCCTTGACGGGCCGCGAGGTTGGACAGGATGGATGCAGACGATGGTCCACCGCCGCCGCCTCTGGGGCCACCACGGCCTGCTAGACCACCTCTAGAGGACGACAACCCTCTGGGAGTCCGTTCCTCGGGCCTTCCCCCTTCACCGTACATGCCCGTCCATGTAGGGACACCGGCCGGCATCCTCCTAGCCTCCTGCTCCGCACGTCTTAGCTGTTCCGCCGCCGCCGCTGCTGCGCGCTTGGCCTCGCGCTGGATGAACGCTGGGTCCGCTTGGACTTTTCGTTTGCGCCCGCTGGCGGTCGAGTTGACGATGGCGTCGTGCTCCAGGACGGAATGGACGCCGGATTTGGCGAAGATGGTGGACAGGAGCCGCGAGTCGGATTTGCTATCGTCAGCTTTCTCGCCGTTTGAAGCTTCCCCTGCTTTGGGTGCGGGGTCTTCGTCCGAGGACGAAGTGCGGTATTGCTCTGTATGGTGAATGCCTGATAGCGCTGCCAGATCTTCTGGTGCTGTAGCGCTTTCCTGTGGTTCTGCAGGCTTGCTGCCGTGGGAGGATTGCCGCCTGTCCTGCTTCGCGTCAAACTTGACTTCAGACCCGCGGAACAGATTCCCAGTTTCCGTCTCGCCATTTGCGTCCTCCGTACCAAGCGTGAACAGATCGTGCAGATCGCTCATTTGGAATGTCTGCCTCTGCTTCGGATCCTTCAGGACCTTGTTTGTGAGGAACTGCTTGAAAATCTGTCGATGATAAATCTTTTCCTCGATAGTTCCAGCCGACATCAATCGGTAGATCTCGACTTCACGTTTCTGACCAAGACGCCAGGACCGCTCACGAGCCTGTATGTCGGTAGAAGGGTTCCAGTCGGGATCATAAATGATGACGCGGTCCGCTCCAGTCAAATTCACACCCAGTCCGCCTACCTTTGTGGTGAGCAGGAAGACGTGCAGATCTGGACTGTTGTTGAACTCATCCACCATATCCTGGCGACTCTTGATTGGCGTCTCGCCATCCATGCGTCTGTAGTTGATCCCAGGTAAGTTCCGGATAAACTTCTCCAAAATGTCGAGCATGATGCGGTGTTGAGCAAAGAGTAACGTCTTATGCCCTCCTTTCGTCCACAGTGATAACAACTCCTTCACCACTTGCATCTTGCCCGATTTGTTCGCGGCACCATAGCCTGGCGTCTTCGACTTCGTCTTATGCTCCACTAGGTCTGGGTGATTGCAGATCTTCCGCAAGTAGTCAATACCGTACAGCATTTGTCGCTTTCCTTGCGCAATGGACCTCATCTCATCCGAGTTCAGGAACGCTTGGTATGCTTCCCGTTGTTGACGGGTCAGTTTGCAGAAGAGCACTTGCTCCTTCTTCGTTGGAAGATCTGCTGCCACATCGACTTTGAATCGCTGGAGGAGATACGGGCTGACTGCATCTTTGAGCGTCTCAGCACATTGCATTGCCGTTTCGAATTCCAAGTTAGATGCATTCGCATAACCGCCGCGCTTGATGGGGAACTCGAATTGATTGCGGAAGTTGACTAGAGTGCCGAGACGCATCGGAAAGACAAAGTCGAACAGTGACCATAGCTCAGTCAAGTTGTTCTGCATTGGCGTCCCTGACAGGATGATGCGATTCGGCGTACGAAGTTCCTTGCAACGGATCGTAATCGATGTATTAGGGTTGCGGATCTTGTGGCCCTCGTCCAGAATAGCCGTCTCCCAGTCTATCGGAATGAGGAATTCAGCGTATGTTTGAAGACCCGAGTAAGTAGTCACCAACACATGACCATCCCGCTTGACCGTGTTGACAATCTTCTTTGCAGCTTTTCCAGCGGCGGTAAGAGTACCGTCATAATCCCCGAAATTGGTCATCTCCATTTCCCGTTCCATGCGCTCTTCACGACCGGTATCAAGCATCCCACTGCCAGAGGTGTGCAAGATCGAAACACGCAGTGGTGGCCACCATCGATGGAACTCGTTGACCCACTGTTTCATGACAGTGGCCGGGCAAACCACAATGACCGGTTTGGTGAGCTTCTTTGAGTAATGCAAGCCTGCAATGTATGCGATTGCCTGGATGGTTTTACCCAAACCCATCTCATCCCCCACGATGCCCCCAACGTTCTGCGTGTAGAGCTCGTATAGCCATTGCACACCAGTCTTCTGGTAGTCAAATAAAGCAGGGTAAATATCGCCAGGGATACGGAAGCCTTCTCCCAGTTCTGCATCGGGATAGGTGGGATGAGGAAGATAGCATTCATCCTCTCCTTCATCAGTGGTGTCAACCTGACCGCCCTGCTTCTCCTGAGCTCTCCTTCTTGCTTCTGCGCGGTTTTTCATCCATGATCTTAAGCGTCTCTTGTAGAGCTTCTCGTTGCCATCGTCAACCCCAGCGAAGTCCTCTTTCTCCTGGACCGGTTCAGCTACCCGAGCCTTTGTTGCCTTTCTCTTTGTGGCTTTGCGTTTGCGCTCAGCATACTCCTCGTCCTCATCTTCGGCGGAGAAATCATCTGATTCACCTAAAGCCGCAAGCTGTCTATCGTCGAGATCAGGCATAAATTCATCATCACTTTCAGGAGTTTCCCGTGCACTGCTTGTTCGGGCAGATTCATCTAACTCAGCTGGAGAACGTCGTCTACGCTTTGCTGGTAGGACTTCGCTGACAGATGTCTCTGCGTCGCGACTAGCCACTGATGCGTCGTCCTCTCGAGGGCGCCTCCGCTTCGCTGGTCGAGGACTCTCTGCTTCAGAGTCCGTGACTATATGCTGAAACCCCGGCTTCATAAGGTTCTGGTGCGAAGTCGGACCCTTCGAAGCCTCTTCTACCATATTCTCCAATTCTGCATCCAACATCACCTCTCCAAGCGCCGATGTACCCGTATGCATCTGAGCAATCTTCGAAAACGGCGTGATCTTTCCCGTCCGGATGAGGAAATCTCGTCGACTCTCATTTGGCAGAGGTTTATTAGCCCCATTCGTTGCCTCCTCTTCCTCTTCACCGGGTATCTTATGTCTATCATTGATGCGAGCCTGTATCGCATCCATATCCTTCTCCAAGTCCTCTATCTTCTTCTGATACTCTGCAACCTCGGCACGTAACTGGAGTTTGCGAGACTCCACAACCGGCAGAGCGAGCCGAGCGCGTAGCTTGCTCAGCGCAACCTCGCATCGTTTGATCTCCGCCTCTGCCTTCGCCATGCGCTTCTTGTCCCGCTCATCGGCTTGCTCCGTGAGCAGCTGGTCTGCTTGACGGCCGATATCTCGCTCCAAGTCATCTTGATCTCGTTGGCCGACGGTCAGGAACTTGAGGCGTGTTTCTTCATCGGCATCCTCGGGGATGTCTGCGTATCCGGGCTGGTCGTCGGTATGAGGAGCCTTATTATCAGCCGGAGATAATGCCGTGCCTGGCGGCGTTCTCGAGGGTTCACCGTCGGTCGTCGGCGTCATGGTTGGTGTTTGGAGTTTCAACGCTTGGAAGCGATTGTACGCCACTGATGCGAGGTGCGAGAGACACAGAAGAACTAATGAGACGGTCTTGAAGAAGGAAGAGGGTGTGAGCTATATTACAAAGAAGGGAAGCATGACGGCGTGGCGATCGAAATATCGTCTCCGTCGGGGGGAACGGAGTGTGAAGGTGAAGGTGAATGGCGACCAGCGTGCATCAGGCAGTAGTTCCCAAGTGAACGTCGTCTGCGTCATTTGACGCGTCAAGGATTTAGAAGTGGTCCGAGCAGAATCTCGAAATCACGTGAATCAATTCTCATGCTGTTTTTGGGTTAGACCCAGCCATAGAATGGTAGGGAAAATCAACGAGTAAGTGATTCTGATGGAGAATTTTCAGTAAGGTATCTATCCTTCGGTTCATTCCATCCCAGTCTATACCAGGGTATCATCCCAAAACTCCAATACAAGCACTACTAGGAAGCTCCGCCAAGTCCCAGCATTTTGCAGATGTTCCCTTACCTATTCCCACAAAGGCTAAGCCCAGCAACAACACACCAGTTCCAATCCCACCTCGTCGCCCCATCCAATTCGTCCACATTCAGAATCCCCACCCCCATCTCGCTCAACGTAAACCATATCTTCGTCCTGAGCGAAATCGGCCAGGACGGCGTGCCCCAATACCTCGAGACCAGACCCTTAGCAGCGGCGGCGTTGATCTGACGCTGCAGCGTCTCTTGCTGGGCTCTTGAGATCCGGTTGAGCCAGAGAGTGCTGATGGCCTTACGCATTTTCACGCTGGCGTAGTACGAGTTTGCGGAAGTGTAGATGGGGTTGGAGATGTCGTCCAGCGGGGCGTCGTAGAAGATGATGCGGTCGGTGTTGTTTTGCTGGATGCGCTCGAAGGGAGTCTCCCCGGTTCCTACGATGGTGAGGGGCCCTTTGACGACCTCCTGTCCATTGTAGTATGTGAGCCAGCCCTTTTCGTGAAGGGGTTGCAGTTGCTCCATTAGAACCGGCCAAATCGCCTCTCCATTGTCCTTGAAGTCGATCAGGAGAATGACTGATATGTTGGGATCCACCTCGAATACGCCAACTTCCTTCGCTTCCGTGGATGCAACGGACACATTTCGATTCGTCAGGATATTGGCCAGAGGATCCAGGTACAGATTTCGGAGGGTGCGTTCAGTCCTGATAGATCTCCAGGTATGCGAGACGCGCAGCTCGCCATCTTGCATCAGCCATATGTCCGCTTCGACGCCAACGCAACCAGCAGCTAATGCCTGGTACAAGGGAACGTCACGCCAGTAGTCGTTGTGCGAGTGGCAGTTTTTCGGAACTACATCGCGGCTGAAGTCATCTCTCCAGTCAAATCGGTAGGGTCCCGCAGCAGTCGGCTCTTTCCAGTTTTCGAGGACATGCTGTAATCCATTGTGTGGACGGGCAGGTGAGAGCCGACGTATCAGTGCACCCACAAGAGAGACATATGTACTTAAGAGCGTTAGACATGTTGTCCGAATTTTCAGATGATGACTGGTACTTACACTCCAGCCGCGGACCCAAGGAAGAGCAAGACGACGGCAATGATCAAGCATATCCGTAAACGCCTCCTTCTCCTCCTCTTCTTAGCCAGACTTGACCTTGCCGGTGGTCGGATTTCGAAATCATCCTTCTTGGAGTCGAAGCCCCAGAAGCGAGGCCTACTGCGATGGTACCATTTCGGGAGGTCTGCTGGTATTGGTGTCGACCTCTCACTCAACAAGGCGATGTCGCCGGGCAATAGACTCTCGCTGCTCTCTGGTTCGGAACTCTCCAAACCGCGGAGCTTCTCCAAAGCCGAATCCGATACGTCTTCCATTATGGGCTCTTGGTGGCTGCAATGAGGTATGAAACGAGACTCTTCTAATCAGTCGTCCTGCAGGTCAAGAATCTGGTACTTCTCCAGCGGCCTCAACGGAAGCAACGACCATGCATATGGAAAGTGAGTGCTGCGAATGCTGGATTCAGCACACCCTGCTACTAGAAACACTCCTGGACAGTCGAACAATCGGCACGGTCGAAGTCATAATGCGGGGATGGTGTCCATCTTAAGGATCCAAAAGTAGAGGCAGCCTCCCTAAAGGTTCCGCAAAAGCGCCGCCCTCGGCTTACGACCCCTATTTGCCTCGAAAGTGATCCTGATGGATTAAGTAGATTATTAGGCGAGGATACACTGTCCACAAGTGCGGCGCGGCCCCATCCGCTGGGCGCCAAACAGTTGCCGGCTTCGATCCGTCTCAGTCTGAATCCTCCCATCGTAAACTCCTTCACCAATAAAAGCGGGCGAAGATGAGGCGTGGCCCCCAGCCGGCGAGGCGGAGGAAGGGTAGGAATTTTTGGCTGCACCTCGCCCTGCAGGGCTGGTGCGGCGTCTGATGCTGCCAGGCACGGCTACGATTTCCGCCCGAGAATATACGCCTACTCGTGGGTTGTTTGGTTCCGCTCGGAGAATGTGGAGGTGGAGGACCAGGTCTAGGCCTACGAAACCCACAGAGCACGCCCGTGGGTTACACGGCCGACAAATTGCTCGAGAATCTAGCCTCGCGCGAGACCTGCGCGACATCGTACATACTATGGTACTCCGTACATATCCGCGGAATGTTCCATCCGCGTGCCTTGGGAGCGAACGCGTCCCGCATCATTTGCTATGTCGTTTCGCAAAGCGGGGGAGGACTGATGAGGTGTTCGTTGAGGTGTCGTTGGATGAGCGTCGTAATCGTCTCCTTTCCCAGACAGGCTAGCGTCGTAATCATCTCCTTCCCAGGCAAGCTAGCGTCGCGCTAGCCCCGATCCCTTGATCTACAGTATGCAGGGATCGGTGTGGTCCACCTCGCTCTCAAACACGGAGTATCAACAGGATGCTTACTCCGTACGCCTCACCCTGACATCCTTACCAAGAGGCGATTTGGCACCTTGTGTTCCCCCATTTGAAGCATCAGCGGTATCCGAAGCCCTTTCCGATGAAGGCACAGCAGTCACACAGCACAGGGTGAGAGGACACTTTGCCTTGGCAAGGTATATTGATCACCGAAACATGCCACCATGGCCAATTCGTATTGAAGCCCAAAATAATGAAACCTCGCGATGTAGATAAAACCATCTTCATCTTCTTCAGTAGTCATTCCCATGCTTCTTGCTCTTCAAGAAACGTCATATCCCGTCTGCAGTTACCGTTTCCTTCCTCCTTTTTCCTCTCCTTCAGTTCCCCTCGATATCCCTTTTTCCCCAAGTCATTAAGAATGACCAAAGACACCCCCTTCCGCCTCTGCCTCATCTTCCTCCTCGTCATGCAAACCATCTGCTGGGCTCTCGCTCTCCTCGACCTCTTCAGTCCCGGGAAACCCCTCTCTCTCTATCGCTCCTCCATGTCCATATACCGCAATTCCACGACCATGCTTTCGCAATTGCTATCGCGGCGCGCAGCAGCAGCGGGATGGCTGAGCTACAGGGATCTGCGGACGCGGTTTTGAGAAGGAAATGTTGAGTTGACGACGAAATATTGCCTACGTATCAACCCTTCGACGAGGTGTACGGACGATGACCTGCGATATAACCGCTACTCCAAGGCCTCGTTAAGGGTATTGCTGACGATGCGGCCCTTACGAGATGCTTCACGACTGGGTCACCGTTCGACCAACTCATACTTCTGCCTACTCATGTGGGTTGCAAGTTGCAACTCAGAACGGCGGCCGAAAGCCCAAAGACGAATACCGTGTATACAACCGACGGGAGTTAGAATCCAGACAAGGGGTGAAACACCTACCGCTCTGTAGCTGGCCCCTAAATCCTGTTAGAAGAAACGGGATGTGCGGAGGTAGATTCTAGGCCTGGCAAAGGTGAACATGTGAGTATATGCAGACGCTGCATGAGGACCATCCATTTCTAACAATTCACAGTTCATATGGCCTCAAATCGTCTTTGAAGAATAGTTAATAGAGGCGGAAAGACCCGCTAGTCATGGTATAAATAACAATGCTCACATCATCCCTCCCTTACACCAGTCGCATGTGTCCACTGTCACCATTCCCCAGGACGCCTATCCCTCCGCGCCCAATATTTCGATTGACAACCTGAAACATCCTCTCACGTGTGATACATCACTTGCACATTGCCCACGGGTTCCCGCCATTACATAGTCCATCCTTGCAAAGTCGATGTGATGAGAATGACGGGACCAAAGAAAAGAAACGTAATGGCTGCTCTGCTGGAAGCATTGCCTCCTCAAAGCTCTGCCTGCTCAGGGCTCCTTCAGCAGTTGTGTTATCAAGGAGGGGGGGAAATGACGAATCTGAAAAAAGTGGAGAGAAAACTGTGCCTTGTGGGTGCGCCCAATTTACTGGGTAGGTTGCTCATTTGACGTCGGCTCCGTTGAAGACATCTCTCCCACATGCTTAGACGCCCAGCTGCTCGGGAGGTCGCCTTCCGCATCGCCGGCGCGAGGGATCACCTCAACCCCAATATCATCGTCGGCATCTTTGCTTGGCTTGAGCGTTGCCGCGCTTTCCTGCAGGGGATCCTCGGATTCAGTTGGAGTGGCCTCTGAAGCATCATCAGCGGTCGCACTGCCGCGGGGCTGGATTGAGATATCGGGGGTGCTCTTGTTTGAGCTTTCTGCTGGTGAGGTGACGGCTGCAGGGGAACTACTCTTGTCCGCTTCACTGGAGCCAGCTACGTCCGTACCGTCCCCGCTTTCCTTTCGCTCTCCAGCCATCACCTGCTCGAAGCTTTCGAAATTCAACATAGGTTCCGCTGCAAGGGTACTGGTACTGCGCGAGGGAGTCTCATGTGGAGTTATACTGGACAAAGCAGGACTCAAATCAAACGGTGAGATAACGTCGCGCTGACTGCTCTGCCGAGAGGATACTCTAGGAGAATCGGCAAGCGAGGATGCTGAGCTTGATGCGCCAGAAACAGGCCGCACACCAACTCGTGACTCCTGTTGTTCGGCAGTCCCCGACGTCTCTGCTAGTATCTGCACCCGACTTTGTTCGAGATGACGCTGTGAATCATCCTTGGAAGAGCTGGCGTTCAAAGTCGAGGTAGGTTCCGTCAAAGGGTTAAAACCTGCTGTACCTCCTGAACGATCGACTCCTTTACCTTTGCCTGAAGAACTACCGGATGGCTCTTCCTGCGCATGCAGATTTGACGAAGAATTCGATGCGGAGAACAATCCACTTTTTCTTGACGCCTTTTCAGCTTTCTTCGCCTCCTTGGCCTTCTTCTTCTCTTCCCTCTTCGCCTCCTTGGCAGCTTCCTTCTCTTCCTTCCTCTTGCGCTCCTCTTCTGCGGCCAGGCTCAGCCGTATCGCCTCCATCATCATGAGTTCTTCGAGATCTTCCAATCTGTTACCGCGTCGAGAGCTGTGCCGCCCAGGGAATAGATCCGCGTGGCTTTCGCCCCTCTGAGACGTTCCTGCATCGAGCGTGTTTCCTTCACCTTCGCGCCGAGGCGTGCCTTGGCCGCTACTTGTTGCGCTGTCACTGCTGAAAATAGCCCGTCGCCGCCTTCCAATCCCAAAGCCGCGGCTACCAGAAGCCTCCAGGTTGCCTATCATATACGCGGCATTGTGTAGGGCAGTGGCTGCCGCGGCTCGTCTTAGGGCATGTGCCTTTGCATCGGCCAGCTTCTTCGCCCAGTCAGGGCGTACCATATCAGTTGTGACCACGGAGCTGTCATTTGCAGCAACGGAGGTGGCTCTTCTCCTTCCGGGGGACGCCGCTGGGAAGTTCAAAGAAGAAGAGGATGACATTGCCGAAGCAGCGTTGGCCAAGTGGTTATGCGTGGAGCCAGCATAAACAATGCCTCGTCTGAAAGGTGGCGGTTCATATGTTACACCGAAGTCAGGTTGGACGCAAAAAGGGCAAGCTGCAGGTTCCGATACTAGCTGGATCTCGTCCTGTGTTTCACCTGCAGGAGCCGAACTGTTCGGCTCATGATGCTCAGGCGGATGCGGGTCTGGCCGCTTTATCTGAACGAAGCATTCCGAACATATTGGCTGATCGCAACAACGGGTCCTGTTTAGGTAAGGAGGATAGTATAAGAAGCAGATGGGACATTCGGCGGCGTCTTTGTAGAGGAAGACTTCGATTCGCTGACCATTGACATAGAGGTCTTTGGGTAGTTGTCTCTCTTGCGGCGTCATTTCTGTCTGAGAGCTGTTTCGAGAGCCGGTGGTGAGAGCGGCAAGCGTCTTTGCGCGTCCCCGAAAGAAAGGCGACGACGGCGAAGGCGCGGACATTGGAGAGTTAGGGGATGGAAGAGAAAAGGCGGGATGTGAAGGCGAAGAACGGTCAGAGTTCTGGGACATGGAGCGGGAAGTTATGGGTACTGTGAGACTGTTTATGTTGGCATTCGATCCTCGAGGGCTCCAGTCGGCGCTCAAGCTACTGGACAGCTGGCGGAGCTCTTCTTCGTCTGGAATCTCATCCGGCGCAGGGAGAGGCTTCCCATTCACTACCGCCACCAACTGATGTTCGGTCCATGTCTCTGAGAAGTCGTTGAGGCCTTTCCAGAACGGTGCCAGACGCCTCTCGATCTGCACTTGGGTCAGTCTTTAGCCACTGGACGCTTGGCAAGGGGGCATACCTGCAACTGTCTAACAACAGCTTTGTTGAAATCTTCCGGCCCGGTATACGTGCCGAGCGTCACCAAGTAGCCGCCATCGACGGATTCCTCCTTTATGCTTCTTTCCCGCTCCTGGGCTCTGAGAGCTCGCTCTTTCTCAAGCTTGCGAGCCTCCCGCTCTGCGCGGGTCTCCCGCCGCGGTTCTAACGCTGGATCGCGGTCGCTGCTGCTACCAAGGCCAAGAAAGGAGAGGTCGTGGCGGCTCCCTCGGCCACTACGGGATGTATACATGGCATGAGGGACATCATGACGAGATGAGCCACCAGCTCCACCAGCGGCGGAAGTTGTGGGTACCGAGGGATGGCGCGATCCCGAGGATTGCGATGGCCCGCGCGAGGACCCGGGTCGTGACTCTCTGCCCTGACTATTGCCCATGGTGTCGTCTATGTCTACCAGACAGGCTCGTCGAATGAATCAGAATCGGAGTACCGTAGGGGTATGTCTGTAGAGCCGATGGGGCCCGCACGGGCAGTAACAGCGTATTACGAAAGAGTGAGAGGCTTATCGTAGGACGTGGACCGGAGACGGGAGGGCATGCATGAAGCAGAGCGATAGCTGGTGTCACAAGGTCATGGTAGGATATGTGGTTTCGAGGGTCCACGTGCCACGGTGATGCTGTCGAGCGCAAAATCGGTCCTGCGAAGTCCGGCGAAGCGGGTGGGCATGGGCGCAAACACGCTTTTCGGACGACGAGGGGGAGGAGATAGTGGTTGCAGGTGGTGGGAGGGTGAATAATGGGCGGTGTCAGATGCAGATGGGCAGAGGTGGTGGTAATTGTCAATGCTGGTTCCTGCCACCAGCCTTGGCAGATAGATGGCGTCGATGCCGTGGCAGCCGCGGGGAAACCCAGCCTGGCTGTTTGCGGCCATGCAATGCAGCTGGGGATCCGCACAGCTCTCTTTTGGGGCCGACGCATCCAGCGGCCTCCGTAATCAGAACGTGCAATCATCAGTCAGCATTGCACAATAAGATTATTCACCACTCGACTCATGGGCGGGCCTGATATCCATCCGCCCTCTGCCAACACCGTCGCACAAACAAGACTCGCGTGTTGTCGTACCCAACCCGCTTGCATTCGTTTCTACTACAAAAGTATCGCCCTCCGACTGCAGCGGAGATGAACGCTATTTACAAGGTGCATCAATGCGTCGTCCCCCTTCAGAAACTCAAATGGTCCCAAAGGTCCACGAAGACTCCCAGTGGTACTTGTCACCAGGACCGAAGATCTGCTTGTCCAGACGACCCCATTCAGGGCTGCGTATTGTATGAGTCTACGCACCACACGCAGGTTGATCAGGGTCACACTTACTGGTTGATGCCGTCAACATAGTCCTGAGCCTCAATGGCGATGCATCCGTCCCTGGGAATGAACTTATCCTGGCCCTTCATACCCTGTGTGCTCTTGAACTCCGTCTTTCCATCATTCCAGTTGCACGTATAAATGACAATGGCATCCTGGTTGGTGCGGAGGTCGGCCTTGATGCCACTCCACTCGCTCGACAAAGTGGCAACAACGGCATTCTTAGGGCGGTCAGCGTCAAATGCCCAGTTCCCGTTGTAGCCATGGCATCCTCCGCCGCAGTGGTCCTCAAATTCCGGTCGATCAGAAGCAAATCCGAGCTTCTTGGGCGAAGACCAGAAGTCATCAATGGCACCCTTGGGGATCTTCGCAATCACACCCGTTGGCAGCGCGTTCTTGTCAGCCTCCATGACGCGTTTCGCATACGGCATGTGGAAGGTGTGATTCCAGATGGTCCGATTATTGTTCGGGTTGGCGAACGCGTCTAGCTGGAAGTACGTGTGCTGGGTGACCTGGATAGGAGTCTTCGCCTCAGGCGAGGTCGCATCAATCTCAATGTTCCATCTGTACGGCGCCACCGAGTACTTGACCTTCGCTTCCACACGGCCGGGCATTCCGGTCGAGTTGGCAGGATCGTGTAGACCGAAAGTAATGGAAGTCTTGGTCACATCCTGCACGCTCCAGAAGCGGTAGGACCAGTTGTTGGGTCCACTGTGCAGCGTGTTGGGCCCGTCGTTCTTCACAAGGTGGTACGTGACATTGTCGATTGTGAATTGACCGTTTCCAATGCGATTGGCATATCGTCCGGGGATGGCATTGTACACAGGGTGTCCAGGATCCACGGCTTATGCGAGTTAACGGATTGCAAGTCGAGGAAAAGATAAGGAGACGCACGGTAGAATGAAGTGTTGTCATAACCCAGAACTATATCTCGCTCAATGCCATTCTTATCTGTTGATCAATAAGCATAAACCCTTACGCAAGCAGAGGTACTTACCCTGAACGAAAAGGTTGGTCAGGGTGGCAGCATAGGGAATGAACTGCCAACTATCAGTATCAATGATGACGCATGTTTAGGAACGATGTCGGGATCAACTGAAAACTCCTTTGGCAAAATCATAGAGGGCCCAATCGGCGTTTGAGAGGGACGATGACAGTTATGAAATGTGCATTGAGAGGAAAAGTAAGCACCTGTGCCTTGATGCCTTCAGCTTCCAATGTGTACTTCCCATCCGCATCCGGCTTAGGAACTGGTTTCTTAACGGCGGCCGCCGACGCCAACCCCGCAAAGAGGATGTGAGAGTACTTCATACTGTCTCCTTCGAGTTCCAGGTCCAGTTCCTCAAAGAGCGGACGAGGGATAGCAAACAAGCGGGGTGGCCTGGGACCCGACACCACGATACTTATACAAAGGCCCAGAAACCGCAGGCCCGTCGGTAAGGCACCGTGTTCATTTCTGGAATATGGTTATTTGCGCTGCTGTGCAATTGGAGGAGCTCTGCCGCATGCTGCAATATAAGGTTAATATGCTTGAGATGTACCCCGGTTTACACGAGGGAGAGGATGAGGTGAGACGGGCTTGTGAGCCCTGGACTCGGTGCCCCTCGTGCGATTCCATATTGAAGCGCTCTGGTGTACATGTACGAGCGGTTGGACCTTTGTATGTCATGCTGAGAACTTCATAATTTTAGACAGGAAGCGTCCAACGGTCCGCTAGTTCACGGGTTGACGTTGATGATATATTGGAGCTAGTCCAAAATGGGCGTCAAGGGTTCGTTCTAGAGAACTGCAATACGTATACGTACACTGCCCCGCAAGTTCCAGCCCTTCTGATATAATTGTTTTCAAGCCCTGACATTTCATTTCAAAATGGCTTCTATACAAATGTGGACGATTGTCAACCAGTGTACGTAGAATACCCTGGGACATTGACCACGAAGCACGACACAGTCAAAGATGTAGTTTGATAGTCGGAGTTAGGTGTCCCAAGCAGTCTCGGGTTGCATAACGCTCGTATTACTATGGAAGCGAGCTTAGTCTCATATACAGTCTACCCCAGTATCCGTATTACTTTCTCATTCTTCGTCCACCATATAGCAGCATACCGTAGGCATGCCGCTTGAGACAAGCCTAACATTATTAGATAGCTTTATATTCGCGAACCCATCCAGATGCAGAAATGTCTTAGGCCAGAAGAAGGACCTGAACAAGAACGGGAGAAAATCGAATCGAAATCTATCGCGCGCGCAGTGGCATAAGGGTCAAGAGAGAATCATCCACCCTATGCGGTATCTGGTTTCCTTCCAACCATCAAGTACATAGGCGTGAACAGCTTCTCTTTGCCACCTGCGACAAGGCAATCAGCAGCCAGTGCGAGACTGTCGGCCGTCTTCTGAGTCCCCTGGGGGGCCAGGCCGATCCATTCAAGCGCACCGACGAATTTGTGAACGGTACTGCGCCCAATCTTCGTCATGCGCAGAATCGTGGGAATATCTCCAAGAGTCGTGATGTACTTGAGCTGTCCGGACAACGGCCAGTACCATGGAGAGTAGTCCTCCTCCTCGCGATCCGCCAGATCTTCGTGGTGCTCGAGCTCAAAGCCGGCCGCCTTCATGGCCTTCAATGCGACATCCACCTTCTCCATGTTGGAGATACCATCGCCGATCTCAATACCCAAACGAATCTCTCTGTGATGGGGGTTGTCGTTATCATACTTGTCCGTCATGAGCCATTCGTAGACGCCAAACACGCCGCCGGGCTTGAGGACACGGAAAATCTCACTGTAGATGCCTTCCAATGACGGGGCATGGACAGTGGCTTCAATGGCGTAAACTGCATCGAAGGAGTTGTCAGGGAAGGACATTTGCTGCGTGGATCGCGGTCAGAATTGTGTTGGACTCCACTAGCGCATTCTACTGACCATGAAATCGCCCTTCGTGAATTTGAGCTTATGTGACAGCCCCTCTTTCTCCGCGTAGTGTGTCGCCCGCTGAATCTGATAGTCGTTGTTGTTAAGGCCAATGACATTGGCGCCAGTGAACTTGACAATCTCCCGTGCAGGGCCTCCGACACCGCATCCGACATCCAGAACACGCATGCCCTCCCTGATGTTCATCATATGGGCGAGGTAGTGCTCGTGACGGGCAATGGCCTGGCGGAACGGCTCGTTGTAGGCGAAACGACAGAAATGGAAGCTCTGGCCCCAGCCGTATTCGTACAGATCGGTGGCGAGATTGTAGTAACTGAAGGGACAGGGTTACGACGTGGACTTGTCAACAAGCGGGAGGTGTGAGCAACATACTGCCTTGTGAGAGTAGCATATTCGTCTCGTCGAGCCTAGCGCTAATGTTAGTATGTGGCATCTGGGGACAAACTAGGGGGTTGTTGGTTTACCTTGCGGGTCTCCTCAGTCTCATCGGCCGCCGCCTTATTGTCCCAATGCTTGAAGTACTCATCCACAGCGGCCTGCTGCGCAGCCCTGTCCTTCTGCAACAAGGCGGTCATGCCACCCTTTGACTGTGCAGACTTGCCATGCATGACCTTATTGAATTCGGCATCGCGGACATGGTCCTCCTTTTCAAGCGCAATTGGCGACATGATGATTGTTGGAAAAAGCAGAAGCGCGGGAGGACAGAGGAATTGGAGAGACTGTACGGTAGGGAAGAGAAAAGAATGAAGAGAAATCCGTGAAGTAAATATAAATTTCGGAGTAGTGCAGGGGAATAGGGACGCGCTCCAGTGTCTCCCCCCCCTATCACAAGCCTCCGTACTGCAGGGGAGCCGATTGGGCAGTTGTCGAGACCGAAAGTCCGTGCGCCGGGAAAATTCGCCACACCTGCCCTAGCCACATCCAAGAATCATGCCTCACATCACAGCTTCCACATCCAAGGCCCACTCTCCACCTACAATCGTGTTACTTCTGCGCCTCCACTTACGAACCGCCTTCCCCGTTCCGAATAGCGGACATTGTATTCTCGTACGATAGTGACAATACACGCGTCCTGCCGCGCCTCCAAGTACACCCCCCTGTCCCGACAAAGGAGCCCTCCGCCGACAGCCGCAATGCCGCCTCAGATCAAGCAGGACTTGAACCGGTCTGGCTGGGAGACGACCGACTTCCCCTCGGTGTGCGAGCGATGTCTACCAGACAATCCATATGTCCAGATGTTGAAGGAAGACTACGGCGCAGAATGCAAGATTTGCACACGACCATTCACAATATTCCGGTGGAAGGCCGACCGCACGTCACGGCAAAAGCGTACGAATATCTGCCTTACATGCGCCCGCCTCAAGAACTGCTGCCAGTGCTGCATGCTCGATCTATCGTTTGGTCTACCCATCGCCGTCCGTGACACCGCACTGAAGATGGTGGCGCCGGGTCCGCAGAGTGCCATTAACCGCGAGTACTACGCACAGGAGCACGAGAAGGAGATAGAAGAAGGTAGAGGGGGTTTGGAGGTATACGAGAAGACTGATGAGAAAGTTCGCGAGTTTTTACAGAGGTTGGCAACAAGTGAACCCTACTATAAGAAGCAAAGGCGACTGGAAGCAGAAGCGGCAGAGAACTCCCCAAAAGCACTTCCAGCACCCGAGGGCTCGGGTGGAGGCGGTAGGCATGCACCAGGTCCCATACGAACCAGGGATAGTAGAGCTCCTGCAAGCGTCCGCGCTGGTTTGAAGCCTGCTAGAGGTGGACGTTTACCAGGCGCTCAAGCTGCACCGAACCCCCAAGACTGGCTCCCTCCAGCCGATCCGAATATCGCATCCCTCTTCGTCACCGGCGTCGAGGACGACCTGCCCGAACACGAAATCCGCGTCCATTTCGAGCAGTACGGTCAGCTCCGCTCGATTGTGTGTTCCCATCGAGCGCACTGTGCTTACATCAACTACGTTAAGAGGAAGGATGCAGAAGCTGCGGCAGAAGCCTTGAAAGGCAAGGTGGTCATCAAGGGTTGCCCGATGAGGGTCACCTGGGGAAAGCCCAAACAACTGGACAGTCTGGACCAAAACGTTCGCATGATGTACGCAAAGGAAGGGAGGGCAGTGGCTGGTCCTGCGGGACGGTCCAGCGCCAGACAAGGAGTCATCGAGGCGCCTCCGCAGGACAATCTGGATAGTCTGGCGGCGATCGCACCACCACCTGGTGCCGATGACGAGGTCCAGTATGCGAGTTTGGCTGGCAATTGATTTCTTTGCTACGGTAGTCTCAAGGCGCTAGGCGGCAAACATTATGGGTATCACTGTAACTTTCGATGGACTGTTTTCAAGCCGAACAGCACTTTGTTCTCGTTCCTGCTAATGTCTTCCCTTTTCCTTTCTTGATATCCTCATTGTTTCCGCGCTCGGTATGCTCATGTATCCGTAGTCCTGGATGAAAAGTAAGCAGTGTCCTGGAGCACAAAATCTACGTGTCTCCGTAGCGCCTACTGAAGCTTTCCCCTTTCTCATCCACCGCTTGTCCCTGCACCACGTTCTCTCTTAGAAACTTGGCTACCTCCTCAGCATGTGCAATCTGTTTCGCCATTTCTTCGCTTCCGGCCGGTATTCCGCGGTTGGCTTCGAAGTTCTGGCGGGCCTGTAACCTGGCGGCGGTCAAGACCTTCATGTCGCCTACGGAAGAGGTGAGAAGTGGAGGTGTGTAGAATCCGTCATAAAGCTTACCTTGGAAGGCGATGCGGGTCGATCGCAGCAGATGCCTGTAAGCCTGGAGCGCCATTTCCAGTTGTTGAACAACCAAAAGACCGTCCGTCCTCTGCGAATGCCGACAAGCGATGTGGAAGTGGAGGTCAGAAGAAAGTTGTTTCACCGACAGGGATCCGAAGTAATCCCTGGGTCGATCAATCTTGGCTTCCTTCACCGGGTGACGTTGCAACTTCACACGAGCAGGCTTACTGTGTATTCCACGCTCTCTAGGTACGACCATGGTATTTGGGCCATAGAGGAGCAATTGAGCAGCTTCAGGGGCTGCGCAACTTCAATTCGCAATGGTCTCCTTCTGGCCTTGGAGGGTGACTACACCGAGCCTTTCACTCCTGTCATTCTGGACTAACCCAGCAACAGACGCGTGAGGATGCTGCCTCGTTCGAGAAGACATTGTCTGCCCTGTCGGCCAAGATATCGAAGGCTGCTTCTCAGAACGATGCTCGAAGACAGCGATCAAGGCGTGTTCGGGTGATGTGGACGCTCTACGCCGGCTTTGCTTATATCCTGGCCGCTCTTCTTCTGATCTTTGTCAGTGGATGGCGGAGCTGGGGAGCAATCGAAATCTCAGTGATAGCCGGCGGCCCACTGGTGTAAGTTCACAATAAGAATACGTCGCTTCGAGTTTCTAACCTCCTGCAGCATCTATTTAGTCCGAACTTCACTGACGACCTTCTACGAATACCGTATATCAAACACGCAGGCGTACCTTGAGAGACTGAACAAGGAAAGAGAGGATGCAATTGAGAGACTGAAGGCAGCTACAAAATACAATACCACCCAGCAATTGCTTGAAAAGTACGGTTCATCTCCGAAACCAAAGCAATCGACTTCCCCATCCTCCGCCAAAAAGGCAGAAGGACCCCATAAGCCGGCGCTGCCACAGGGGCCACGTACTGGGATCGCTCCGCCTCCGACAGCCAATATAAGACGACCTATCGAACAACGGCCGCCCACTCTCCAGAATCAGCCTCAGCCACCAGCATCTCCGCAAGCTCAATCTCCAGCCCATCCCTTACCTCCAGTGGAAGCCCCTGGGGCTGAATACGCGCCCAACGCTTTCGATGCGGCCGATTTGACTAGACAGTATTCGTCTTCTGCACCGAAGACCTTTACGCAATCCCATTGGTATGACAGGATCCTCGACGCACTACTTGGTGAAGACGAGACTCAGCCCAAAAATCGGCTCGCGTTGATTTGCAGTGAATGCCGACTGGTGAATGGCCAAGCTCCCCCTGGTACGAGGACCCTCGAAGACGTAGGAAGATGGCGGTGCGGCGGATGTCATGCATGGAACGGCAAGGAGAAAGTGGACGAGATCATGGTAGCCGATCTGGTACAAAGCTGGGAATCTGAGCGCAGAGCCAAGGAGAAGGACGCGGGTGGCAACACTGATGGTGGCAATGATTCTGATAACAGGGAGAGTGGAGACGATGCTGGGGCCATCGCCGGTGAAAGCCAGGATTCCGATGACGATATCGCAGAAGCTCCAACACCAACAAGCCAGCCGTCGAAACCTACAAAAGCTCGCGGCAAAAGCAAGGGAAAGAAGTAGTTCATGATTATGTAACCCCTCTCAGCAGGAGGGAAGCATGTCTTCGACGTCCCACTATACAGCCAGTATTGTCTCCTTTTCCTTTGTACTTTAATCTTTTCTAGGGTTAGATACCTCAAGCGCTCTCATGAATGCTTAACACCACTTAAGTACCAGCAACCGAAGAACTGTAGAGATGTAATAATCGCTAACCGACAGCAGGGTACCCTAAATTATAAACCAACAATGCTTGCAAGAAGATTCGATAGAACACTATTAGAAACAAGCGGTTTTCTAATGCAAACGCCGGTACACCTACAGTTACGCGCCTGTCGCTAAGCTAGATTACACAATGCAAAATGCCCTTTAGAATCTCCGATTAACTGTCCCTCGTCCCGGGCAAGGTTATAACTTCCATCCTAATAGTATCTGGACCAGAGCACGACTCCGGGTAGATGGGTCTACCAAGACCGCAGTTCGAAACAAGCCGCCTTGCTCAATGCCTTGCAAACTGTTGCTTGGCCAACGACTGTTACTGTTAGTGAACGTTGAATCTAGGTGGTAAGCAGTACTTACAAACGCACAATGGAATAACAATAGCTAGAGCCGTATCCCGCTCACATCTGTTTCGCCCTCGCTTCTGCCTCCAAGGAGAACGTTTCCTGTGGCCGGTGTCCTCTGGACTTATCCGCCTCGTTACTCTCCCAAGTGGTGCCAGCACTAATGCTGGCAGGAGAGCTGAGGACGTTGCGCGGCTGCGGGATTCTAGACTTAGAGCTGCTGGGCAACGGTCTCGAATACGCAGGAACCACCTTGGTCGACAGCGGCTCTTTGCCCTTGCCCTTGTTGCCAGCACTGAAGGCCAAATGGGAGCAGAACGGGCTGGACGGCTGTGGAACCTGTGGCCGGTAGGGTGACGGTCTGGAAGAGGTCGCTACCGCCCTTTTTAGCGGCGCCTCTTTGGCCTCCAGATTGCTTATTTTCCTGGAGCTGCCCGGAGGAGACGATCTAAAACCTTCTGAATCGAAGCTTGACAGAGGGGAAGACGCCGTCGACAGGTCGCATTCAATGAGAGTCGGCGCCTCGGTCTTGAGGGTCTCTGTAGAGACAGGGTCGGCATCACCAGCTGCTGCGGGTTCAGCCGATTCGAACTCCTCCTGAACGCTCATCGCTTCAGAGCGCTGGCTGGCAATGGCATGAGCATCAGGCAGCTCCAAACGATCAGGATGTCCGATCTCTTCCCAACCGCTGGCAAGCTGCCGCGCCAGGTGAGTTCCCCACTCTTCAGCCTTCTTAATCGCGTCAGCCTGCCACTTCTCATTGTACTTCTCCGCCGTCTCCTTGCACTGACGCAAAGCAGATTTTGCGGCAACCAGTGACGATTTCCCGGCTGCTTTGCCCAGGCGAAACCCAAATCTCCCAAAAGCTTCGAGAGCGTTCTTGCCCTCTCTTCCTGCCGCCTGCCATTCTTCTCGGAGACCTTCACCCGGTATCCCATTGACGGCCGTCTGATTGTCGGCGGCCTCCACCTGCAGTTGTCAGCATATATTCTGGTAGACAGCAAATTGACGTCTCTGTGGATCTGCATACCGGAGGAAGATCGAGAACGGTGTAGTCCTCTCCAGAATCGACATCATCATCGTCGACGTCGATGTTGTTGGCCATTTCGACGTACGGGTCGTCGGGGTGTACCGTAGATCTCATCATCTTGATCGCTCAGACCACGAAAGTCGAAGTAGATTCGAAATCTGCTATTCGCAACTGCGCGCATTAGAGAATTCTTTGAACATATCCCAAGGAAAATGAGGGGTATCCTCTTGGGATACGATCTATTGCGGGTGATTTGCCAAAGGCATGGCGAAAGCGTCAAGAACTTGGTAATGTGCGCCTTCTTCTTCACTGGTCGGATTTTGATGTTTAGCAAAGGAAATATGGTGACATACATGCGTTTACCCTCTCCTCTCGATGAGTAGTATGGTGACGTACGCGACCTTGCGCCGTGTTGTGGCTCCCACTGTTCTGTTGGCGACGGGACGCGAACGAGCGGAAATCGACCTCACAAAATGAGAGCGAGAAGTCGACGGAGGCGTCCTCGGACTTGAAAGAGGAGGTGTCCGGTTACCGTGGAGCTTGGTTGTGAAAGCAGCTGATGTACAGCGGATCCAACCCCAAATCTGGTGCGGTTTTCACTGGCCTCCAGCCTGCGACTTTCACTATATATGCTTTTCTCCTCTCCTCGATTACGCAACCAATGAAGTCCCTCTGATACCAACGAGCACCATCGGAAGCGCAGAGGCCCTCTTGGCGTCCGGTTGCCCTCGAGTATATATCGCGGTTTCTGGTGTTGAACCTAGAAACCCAACTCTTGCGCACAACCACAACCTCGCCCAAAAAACGACAACCACGTTTTGTGTGTGCCGAAAGGTTTACGTTGTCCCACTTCTCCACCGAATATATCTCAACTGCATCAATCACAAGCTTCGAGACTCGACGATGGCCCCATCCGATAGCGCGACCCCGCTAGTTGCGCGTTGCGGCGGTATGAAGGGCCGAACAGGATCTGCGAAGTCAACTCGCAAGCATGCACCAAAGGGGATGGATAGAACTTCGATTTCAGGTAGGTTCTCCGATCTAGTCGGTTGATCGCCATAGTTGGACAAGTGGTCAACTCAGTGATGCAGCGCTGATGCTAACTTCGCTATAGGAGCCGGGCCTATGACGTCCAGTGACACTGGACTCACCCAACCGCTGCCCATGACTGCCGACTCGAACACCCTTACTAACCGTATCGGTGGTCGTCCCAAACGCCAATCTCACGTCCGAGACGATGTTCCAGCGGGTCCTGGTCAACAGAAAAGCCCGGCGAAGACCAAGGCACAAGGTTCGTCGTCTACGTAGATCGATCTTAAAAATATGCTAATGTTATCCAGGCAATGATTACGCCCGCAATCGGTTGTTGATCGATTTTGAGGAGGCAGCTTTCCAAGGCGGGCTGGCAGAGAGTGAGCGCGCTATGAGCATTCTGAAAGACGTGCTCATGTACTACAACGTCTCTGTCAAGGCCGACGCCCCCTCGATGCCACATGTGATTGCTCCAACGGCAGCGGTAGCAGAAGCGGCAGACCAGGATCTCCCGTCTTCCGATATGGAGCCTGCAAGCAACGAGCTCTTCCATGAGTTCTGCACCTACCCCTCCGACTCCGACACGGACCCCTCTTCTCAGCCTGACGACAACGATGGAGTGATTACTGCATATGTCGCTGTTAACAAGGATAGACCCGTGAGCGTAGATGATCGTGTTGACGAGGATTGCGCCGCAGCACCGCCGGACGAATCCAAAACGAAGGACGTCGCCCCAACAACCATTGCCGCTGGTGACTCCGACGTTACTACGAAGGCACTGAAGTGCCTTTGTCGGGCACGAGTCGCCTCGGCACGTTCCGCATTAGCTGTTGACCGACCCTCAACGGTCTTTGCGCCGGCGCCTGCACTTCCTACTCCAACGGTCCCTGCCCATCATGCATCCCAGCTTGGTCCTCGTACCCAGGTCTCAACGGGCAAGGCCCCTTTCTTTACAGTACCACGGAATCTAACTGATTCCTTCTACCGCCCATCCGATGTGTTGGTTGACCATTTGCGGGGTGCTTCCACCGAGCCCCAAGCTGATACGCAACGGCCCATAGGGAAGCCGTCCTTCTTTGGCCCACCCCGGAATCTCAACGATTCATTCTATTGCCCGGATGATGACTTGGACATGCATATGCAGGCTTTGGAATCGAAGAAGCGGGCACAACCTGCAGCCATCAATCCTATCCTGACGACCGGAGTGGAACCGTCATACACCAGGGTACCACAAGGCGTGACGAACTCACTACGTTACCGGCCCAATGCGATGACCGCGCATACACAAGTCTCGGCATCCTCGAAGGCAATGCTCCCCACAATGGCGAGCAATCTCTTGCAATCTACCCGTAAAGCGCCGTACTTTACGGTACCCCGGAACGTAAATGATTCTTTTTACTGCCCACCGGATGTGATGGGTGATTATTTGAAGTCGTCAGGGTCACAGACGCCGGCGCCCACCCCATTGGCAAACCCACTCCTACGCAACGGAGCCCAATTTGGCGTGGCAACTGGTTCCGGCAACCGTGTGACCTTATCTTCTGGTACCAGGTACAGGATGCTCGTCAACCAACAGGGAGCCAGCATATCACCTGCCAGCGGCTTCGAAGCCAATATGGGACCAGTTTCTCGGGCTGCGCCCATGGAGGCCAACTCGCTCGCCCCTTATCACCTGCCGTCTCTTGACGTCTACGGGGATGCCACACTTCGCCTTCCCCTTCCCAACGACGTCGATCCACAATACCCGGCTGAGCTACAGGTGTTAATAGGCCGGCTCCGAGTCCAAGGCCGGTGGTGTTTGGAGAAGATTCGTCTCGTGACCCTTCAAGTTGGCCAGGCCAAGGGAGAAAGCCTTGATGAGATGGTGGAGGCGCATAAGAGGAGGGGCAGGCGCTACGTAAAATCCGTTCGAGAAGCTGAAGATAAACTCATCAAGGGATATCTAGAAGCGCGCTCCAAGCCCGTGAGCCAGGCCAGCCAACCTACTGGTGGGTATACCACGGCCTCACCCTTGGGCAAACGTGGACGTTCCTCCACCTCCGCAGCAGACGACGATGTGCAGCGTGGAGAAGCACGTCCTATCAAGCGCCCCCGCGATGAGGCCACCGAGCCTGTTGATGGGTTTCTCACCACTCCAGCACTGGGGAAGCGGGACCGTGCCTCCAGCCCGGCGGACGACCGCGATGAGCCTCCCAAAGAGCCGCGCCCTATCAAGCGTCCTCGCCAGCGGAAGAACTGAGCACGTGTCCGAATGGGACCATGACCACGTCGCAATACTACGAACGGAGAGTGCCCTACCATGGCGGAACGCGACGACGCCACGGATACATAAATGAGATTACGAACGACCATGACCCGTTGCCATCAATACGCCAACCTAGCGACGGGTATGCCCCGATTATCTTTGCATTGCACGGTTTCCTTTATTCTTCCAAGTCTTCAAGTCTCTTTTTCACGATGTAACATGAGCCTTTGCATCATTTCCATTGCTATTCTGGTTTGGGCGGCTAGGAGTCCTGTTTCTTTTGCTATGATACCCCCTGTTTGAAGGATGGAGTTTGATACCCCCTATGGAACGGATGGAGGTGGATGTCCCCTGTATAATAGGTGGAGTCGGCACGCCTTGCCTTACAGACGGAGGCAATGCCTCCTGTAAAGCAGGTCGAGGCCGACACCCCTTTTGTACTGATGGAGGTAACACCATGGCGTTAGGGAAGGGATGATACTTGGTTTGGCGATTAGAGAGATTACTACAAGAGGTTTGTGATACCCAGACTAAAATGGAGGAAATCAAAGTGGCTGCCTGTAGCGAATTTAAGTGATAATGAATGAATCTTCCAATCAAGCATAGACCTTGAAGCACTCCGTGAAGTAGACAACTTCATCAGATTTGAGAGTGGCGTCAGAGAAACTGTGGCGCACCGTGACTGTGGCTGTGCGCGCTAGTCGGACTTCAACGGTTCAGCATCAATGGATCAAATCTCCATCACAAATCTACTGCGAAGAGCTCTCACGGTGGATCCTCAAGCTCTGCATACTACAATTGTCTGATTGTATATTCTTTCCCAGTATCAGTAGACGAAGGTAGGAATCTTACTTCCTCACTCCCGATCGTCAATTCTCGTTCATTCAAAGTTGGCTTCACCTTGAGCACATCCTATCTTAATCCAACTTCGTTCCTTTCTTTTCTGCTCTCTTCTTTCCAACTTCATCGCGCCACCTGGGCAACCTGACCCACCATGGACTCCCCAACAATCACAACCAGCCACCCTCGCGCCGCCAACTCCATAAAGTCCACTCCGCCTTCCCGCTCGCCATCGGAAGGCACGACCCTCCAGGACACGCCCCCGAATATGGATACCGCGCGCCCGGCATCGCCATGTCCACCAGGAAACACCAACATCTCCACACGCGTCTACATCTATCCTCTGCCCTACCCGCTCCCGCCAAACACGCCTATCCCCTACTCCACCAGTCTCCCACACCGCAATCCGCTTCGGTTGCCGTACCCGCCTTCTGAACCCACCTCCACGCTCGTCCTCACGTCGCCGGCCTCCAACTTCGTCGACCTGCGCTTCTTCAAGCCAAGGCTTTTGGGCGAGCCGGAATTGCCCAACGAGACTTCTCCGACTGGTGAGGGGTCGGGGAGGATAGAGTGGGCGTTTGCGGGGCAGAGTGTGAGCGTGCCTTTTACGGGGAATGTGTATAAGATGCTTGGGGGTAGGGCGCCCGAGACTGAATCCGATGCTGGGACTGAGAATGCAGAAGCCGTTCCCGTTGGGGAAGAAAATGATGCGAACGATGCTATCAACGCCATGGACCCTCAATCGGAAGACGTTTCCTCATCATCCTCCCTATCCACCGCCAGCACCGTCGTTGCTGCCTCTCATGTACTGCACACCGCTCCCCTTCCCCACCCCCGTAAATCAACCTGGCAACACTGGCTCGACAGCCGGTACCCCCTGTTCTCCCCCTACATTCCCATCGACACGGGAGTCATGTACTCATTACCCAATCAGCCCGATCTCACGCTAGAAGTCGGTTCCGCGCCCTCCCCCTTCTCCGCCCATGGGCATATCAACTACGAAGAACTCTGGCGCGATGAACCTATCAAAGCGGTCGGGGAACGATGTAGAGACGCTGGCGGTGATGGGAAAAGGGTCGCTGTGACGTTAAGGACGGAAGAGCGTGGTGGGGAGGGAGCGAGAGGGTTGGTGGTAAGAGTGGGGCAGTTCGTACAGGGAATTATGAAGAGGGGCGAGAGGTTGAGTGTCGAGAGGTGGGAGTTTGTGGAGCAGAGGGAGGGGGTAAGCGGTCAACAGCAAGGCACTTTGCGTGGCGGGGAAGTATCGCAGGAAGATGCAGGGGAAGCACGAGAGGACAGGGAGGGTGGGGGAATGTGGACGCGGACGGCAAAGGTGGGCCCGGATTTTGTGCCGTGTCCCGTGGCGCAGAGGGAGCAGGACTTGTCGGTGTCAGGACAAATCGATGTTAATGGCTTGACATGGACTGTCGAGGAGCTTGTGGAGTGGTAATTGCGGGAGCGGCGACTCAATCTCCGGTATCGACGGGTCTCGCGAGGGATTTTCCATACCGCTTGCGCGGAGTTTCAGCAGGCGATCATCGAGAGTATTGTGCTTTCATATCACCGAGGCGGTTCTTACAGGGACATGGAACTTGAGTTATCAGCGGTATTCTGCGAGAAGGCAAATACGTTGGATTTCCCTGAGCATAGCAACACTCGGAGCACAATTGGGACGGCGAATGGTGGTGGCATTGTAGAACTAGATATCATTCACATGCTGCCTTCCCTGGCAGTGACCTAACCATTTGACGCCATCCATGCGAAAGTAGCCTTCACCAGGCCGTGGTAATCGCTTTTAATGCCCAATCAAGCCTTTTCCTGTCCTCTCTTTGATCGATCAGGGACACTTTATTTCTTCTTAGAAGCATCCTCCTCAGCCTTGGCAGCAGCGCGCTTAGCACGAGCACCCTGGTGGCGAGCCTCAGCGCGGGAGTCGCGAAGAACCCTGTACGCGTTCTCCGTAGCCTCGTAGTCGCCGATGGGGCCCTCCTCGAAGACGGGAACATTCTTGATGGGCAAGATGCTGGAGGTGGAGGAGACGACGTTCTCGCCCTTCTTGGCAGCCTTGACGTCCTCAGCAGAAGCGTCACCGCTCTTGGTTTTGCCGTTGCGACGAGGGAAGAGGATGAGGCGCTTCTTGTACTCCTGGAGGCGCTCCACGTTGGCCTTGAGGCTCTCCTCGGAGAGGTTCTGGCGGCGGGGGTCAACGGCGATACCGATGGTGGGTGCGAGCTTGCGGGGGATGCCAGCAGCCTTCAGCTCAGCGAGAGAGAAGCCACGGCCGGGGCGCACACGGCGGTTGTCTATGAGTGCTGTCAGCACCAGTCCCTTCGAATTGAGATATCGCACATACACTTGACGGTTGGGCATCGCACAACAGGTCGGAGCCGGTCAACGGGGCGAGGAGCGACGCGGGCGGCCTTCTCAACACGGGCATTCCTTCTGCGGGTCTTGCGGCCGGGCTAGTCGGTCGTTAACATCAGGTTTCGGGCGCCACTGCTCTCACAACAAGTGAGAGGGGAATTACCCTACCTGATCGAAGTGCGTCCGCACGCGGCGCTGCCTGCAACGTTGTCAGTAAAGTAAATCCGACGAAGTGGTGATGTGACTGACCAGTCCTTGTGGAAATGATTCTTAGGAATCTGCTGGTTGTGCTTGATCGCCATTTTGTTGACTATTCAACTATTAGTCTCCCGTCCAGCGGTAAGTTCCTTTTGGTCCGGCGTACCTTGACGATGGCAGACCTGGTGGTTAGTAACGTGCGGTTCGGCGGACCTGAGGTGTTGGACAATTTGAAGATGGTGTTTTCGCTTAACGTGCGGAGCGGAGAAACATAACACCGACATCAATCCTTGGCATCATCAACTTCCTCGACTACTTTTGGAAGACTACACTACACTCCACAACATAACACAACCTCTGTAATATCACGCGAGTGGTGATGACAAACGGTCCATTGTATCGCATTTATATTAGGCGGACACTGTACAAAGACCGCTTACTGCAGTTATAGGAGCAGAAACTCCCAACCAGATTCAAATCTTTTGTCCCGATCCTGCACAAATATTACACCAAGAAAGGTGAGACCCCCAAGGCAATGGCACTCTCTCGGAGTCCTTGATCTCGCACTTCTTACGTTTTCCCATAGGCCGACCCACTAATTATTAAAGACGCTATGATCAATCTCTCACAACTCCACCGATACCCAGTCCAACCCCTTGATCCACCCTTCCTCTCTTCGTGGGGCTGCCATGGTGGTCGGCAGGTGATGGCAAGCGTCTCTTTTCATACTCGCCAGGTTTTCTCGCGATGTTTCCCTTCTTGACATGGCCATAAATTTTACTCTGGACGAGTTGCGATTGCGTATACGATTGCGATGGTGGTGGTGCCTGCGTTGATGGCGGGACAGCGCGACGAAGCATGCTGGTGGCCATCTGACTGGCTTGTGATTCGGGGACTTCCTCGTCCTCGTGTTCGGTAAAGGCTTCCTCATCATCCACACTAGATGCAGTGATAGTCGAATTGCTGCTGTCACGGCGAGCAAGACCAGGCTTCTGCAGGTAGTGGGCAGGTGGTGCAGACTGGGGAATGTTATTGAGAGAGAAGACTGGAGGAGTCTGAGGTTGCACATGGGCCGTTCTGCGGTTTGGCGTCTGAGGAAGGGAGGACATGGACTGCGCTCCTCTGGAATGACCGAACCGTGATCGGGGCGCATGCGTCCTATTGGGAGTCGAAGGGGCTGTCGCAGTCTCCTGACTCAGCATCTTATCTGCAAGCAGCAACGCCTCGAAATTGTTTTGCCCTCGACTAGCTTCCCCACCTCTTTGGGCAGTCGCGCGATGGGTGCGACTTCGGGGTGTGCCATGATGGGGGGTGCCTATGACTGATCGTGGCGAACTCTGCTCGTTCATCTGTTCAAGAAAAGGTAGAAGCGGAGCAATGTGGTCCCGGTTGGCACGAATTCGGCTTTTCAACCGATTATTTTCTTCCATCAGACTGGCCAGCTCACCCTCCCTATGCTCGATCACGCGTTTCTGCTGCTCCACCAGGTCCCGATACCTCTCGTTCTCGTTTTGCAACACCTGGCACGTCCGGTTTAGCTCAGAAATCATGAGAGCATTGGCCGGGTTGACCGGAGGATCCTGTAGACTTTGGACAGGGGATGCCACTGCATTGCGTCGCCTTTCCTCAGCTTGCTGCAGGACATCAATCTCTCGTTGAGCCATAGCAAGCTCAACAGCCATCCGGCTGGCGGCCTCCTGGCTCTCCATCACGGCCATGTTGTATTGAAGCTTATAATGAGCAGCTGACAGTCGGATATCTCTCAAGGCGGCCGTCAAGTCAGTGACCATAACCCGGAGTTCGTCTGCGGAGGCATCATTGATTTGCTCAGGAGAATAGAGGGGTCCGGCCGAATCTGCGAGGATGGAGGCCTGGCTGAAAAGCTTCGTGGTCGGAGGAGGGGACGTCAGCTGCGGTGTGGGAGGTGTGGGAGTCCGGGCAGTAGTGCTTCGAACAGTAGGAAGCTGGGAGGACGGAGGGGGAGTCATTGAGGAAGCGGGCGGAGGGACAGGAGATGCGAATTTAGCTTGATTTGAAGGCCCGGGAGAAGCAGATCTGGAGACGGGCCGGTCGTCAGGAGTTCCTGGCCTAGATATTTCCGTCGAAGGCATGAGCGAGTCCTGGGATAGCCTGGGTAAAGATGCCTGCTGCTCCATTATGCCTGGATGTTGACGGTCCAAGCCTCGAACGACACGTCAGATCCGTAGTCGAGTTACAGATCTGGGATTGTTTGCGCGCTGTCGACCTGTCGTGGGAAAAGGTTGGTTTACAACCGCCGATGGCTACTGACTCTGTGGACAGGAGATGTGCGCGAGCCTGGGGAGCGTGGGAGGTTAGGGTACTGTATGAGAAGCGGGGGTGTGCGAAGAGCGCGTCGATGCGCGTCGAGTGGGTGTGCGTCGCGGACGCAATGCGACCAGTGCTGCAGGGAAGCGCAGGAAACAAAGAGTTGGAGTGCGACGTGGCCGGCGGGCGATGGGTGATTGATGCAGAGCGCAGATGTGGAGAGGAGAGGCTGGGGATGCGGCGTTGAGGCGGGCGGGCGCTTGGCGGGCGGGTGGTCCCTGAGCGTGTTAGCGTCGTAAACATCCCTCTCCCTGTCCGAGCAACGCGAACACGGGGGGCAACGAACACACCGGGGCACCCGCCGGAGATTCCCAATCACGCTGAATTTGAGATGGGCTTCAGTGTTGCCGTTGCGAGTCTATTTTCTGGCATTCAATCGTCAACATAGGCACAATCCGCGAATTCGGCGCAACCTGGCCTCAGCCAAAACCAACACTCACTCTTCGCGGTGATGGAGCGGCCCCAGTCCTCCATCCCCGTGCGGAGCTCTGGGATCCCCAGGCCAGCTTCACGGTTGCCAGTGCCCAAGCCCGCCGGTGCTAAATCTCAGCTCCGGTCTACATCATCCACGGAACAGCTGCGCAAGAAACCGTCTCTCAATTCCATTGGCAGACCGACACCGACTTCCTCCACCTCCACGCTGCAGAAAAAGCCCTCACGAACATCCCTCGCTCGCCCTACCTCATCCTCCACCACTGGTGCAGCGGGTGTGGGATCAATCCCAACATCTACCGTTACCAGGAATGGTCCTAGCGACACCCAAGTACGGGCACCGACGAAACCCGCGTCCGAAAGACCCCATGGACGAAATGTGCCACCGTCGTCAAGACATGCATCTCATTCTTCTTCGATCACACAGAGTACAGAAAAGGACGGGGATGGGCTGGGAGATTTGGATGTATTGCAGGAGGATGCGGTAGGCGCTGGACTGGCGAGGGGTGACAACCCATCCACTCCGATATCAAAAAGACCCCCTCCATCATTGGCCGACCGGACCATGGAAAGCCTGGCCTTTGTTCAGACGTCTTCGCCAGCAGGAAAGAGTAGACGGACATCAACTTTCTTCGCTACAGACAAGTCAATGCCGCCACCTAGGCGTCCTGCAGGGAGCATAGCCGAAGGGCAACGGCCGCGCTCGAGTGACGGTACTCCGCGTGGGCCATTGACACCCCGTAGGACCGCTGCTATTGGGCCGGGCGGAGCAATGACGACTCCAGGCAAAAGAAGTGTCAGTGAAACAACTCCTACAACCACTCCAGGTAGGACACCATCCATGGTGCGGCAGCTCTCGCAAATAAGGAGAAACCCCAACTCCCAATCGCCGAGTATCATAAGCGTCTCTAAAACGAAAACTCTCAAAAGCAAGCCTTCCCTAGATGGAACTTTTGGCGCAGCAATATCGCCGCCGGGAACTGCTGTTACTGTATCTCCCTCGCCCCGTCGCGCAAATGGGGCTCCTATTGGCAGTCCGGACAACGTTCGGAGCGTGTCCAATTCCTCCGCCGCGTTTCGTGAACAGATCGCGAAGGCCAAGGCAGCGCGTCTTGCAAAACCATCGTCAGAACATACAGCAGAGGCATCCAAGAAGACGTCTAACTCTTCTGCTGCGCTGCGGGAACAGATCACCAAGGCAAAGGAAGCTGCCCGACGGGCTCATACGGCCAATCGCATTGGTAGAACAACACCGCTCAAGGAAGTACCTGCTGTCACCCAGAACGATTTCGGAATTGAGCCGGACCCTGCTGAAATCGCCGAGTTCGACTTCGGCTTGGAAGACCCTTTCAATCAACGTTCCAAAGGGAGCAAATCTTTGCTTCGAAAGCGTATCGACGCAGCACGTGTTGGTGGCAAGCTCAACATTGCTGCCATGGGCCTGAAGGAGATTCCGGACGAAGTGTTGACGATGTACAAGTACGACCCAAATGATGACAGCGTTGCGTGGGGAGAAGCTGTTGACCTCATCACGATCATCGCGGCCGACAATGAGCTTGCTACGCTTCCAGATCGAATGTTTCCTGATGTAGACATGGACCTCGAGGCTTTGATGGACTCGGATGAGGATGGGCCTCAATTTGGAGGTGTGCAAAGCCTAGATTTTCACGGTAATCATCTCCTCCAACTACCGTCTGGGCTGAGGCGCCTCACACAACTGACGAAGCTCAACCTCGTAAGTGATCTTGACATATATCAGTATGGAAGCTAACGGTACCAAAGTCCCGTAACCAGCTTCCTATTGCGACTTTTGAGCTGATAACCCAGATCATCACACTGCGGGAACTAAAACTTGCCGACAATGTGCTGCAGGGAGCGCTACCCGCAAGCTTAGGTGCTCTGACCCAGCTAGAAGTTCTGGAATTGCAGGGAAATAAGATCACCAGTCTTCCCGCAGAGATAGGGGAACTCGTACACCTTCGAACTTTGAACGTGGCGAACAACGACTTAAGGGAACTGCCATCGGAGCTCTTCACCTCCGTCCCGCTGATCGAGCTAATGGCAAGCAAGAATGCTTTGAGCGGAGCGCTCTTTACTGTCGAGAGTATCCCCACATTACAGCACCTACACCTTGCGCACAACTCCATCTCGTCTCTTTGCAGCGGTGAAACACTCGACCTCCCGGCCTTGAAGACTCTGGATCTTTCCGCGAACCGGTTGACTGCGCTGCCCGACATGACGCCCTGGACAAGTCTCGACCAGCTCTTGGTTGGAGAGAACAAGCTGGAAGCGCTTCCGACAGGATTCGTGACTTTGAAGCACCTTCGCACGGCTGATTTTACTGCAAACAATATACACAAGCTCGACGAACAAGTGGCACTTATGGACCGGTTGGAATCTCTAACGCTGGCTGCCAATCCGCTTTGTGAACGAAAGTTCCTTACCATGAACACAGAAGATCTCAAACGGGACCTCCTTTCTCGTCTTGAGGTTGATGTCACTAACACTGCGGAGAGCGAGTGTGTCGCTGTCGACGACCCACCCCCCAATAATGGTTGGGTATTGAGACCATCCGGGATATTGGACCTATCGTTCCAGAACCTCACTGATATTGACGAACAAATGCTCATTGAGTTTGCAAAGGCCAATGATATACGTCAGATATCCCTGCAGCAAAACTACTTCCAGTTTATCCCTGCTGTCTTCTCACAACTCGATCACCTTTCAGTTTTAGACCTCTCCAAGAACAACATTGAGGAGCCTTTTCAGAAGAGCATTGAATTTCCGAAGCTGCGAGAGTTACGGCTCACCGGTAACAAGATGCAGTCACTCGAGTCCATGACGACTTACCTTTCGGCGCCTCTGCTCCAGCATCTCGACGTCTCGAATAACCATATTTCCGGTGCCCTCCCCTCTCTGGTCACCAGTTTTCCAGGCTTGACTGTCCTCCTTGCTTCTAACAATGCAATCACGGAGGTGCAGGCAGATTCGCTCAAAGGTCTCAAGATAGCAAATCTGAGCAACAACGAGATCTCCCGTTTGGACCCTGAGATTGGCCTTTTGTCTGGCAGTCTGACGAGCTTTGAAGTCGAGGGCAATACATTCCGGGTGCCAAACTACGCTGTGTTGAGGAAAGGCACAGAAGCCGTGCTGGCGTGGTTGAGGGATAAAATTCCCGCGCCCGTGGAAGCGTCCGAAGGGGTCGATACGGAGGAGTTTTAGTTCGTGATAGACTGGGCAGGGAATTCCTTCTTCACTGTATATTGTGGCGTGCGTTTGTAAGACTTTAATCGGTATGTATATTGTTCGGATAATACATATAGGCTCAGTCCTATTGCCGTGGCTATTCCTTTTCCTTGGGGTGCAAGAAATGGAATTGTACATTGGATTTAAACTTTCTCCTCTCTCACTGCTGTCCCGTCTCCGCTGCATAATTAATGATCCAGATGGCCCGTACCTGAATGAAGTGGAAGCAAAGAATCAATACTCGTCAGCTACACATGTTGCCAATACCTGTTTAACCCGCTTCTGAAACACTCAAATTCCTCTAGCTTCCAGTGCCCTATTCAATGTGTTGGAAAATCGCGACACGTGCGTAGGGCTGAGCATGGTATAATGCTCACCACCCACTTCATGAAATCTGGGCGAGGTCCGGCAGAAGTCCTCCCACTTGCTGAGATGATTCTCGATCCAATCTGCCCTAGACGATGCCGCTACCCTCAACGGAATTGCGTGGAACACGTCTATTGAGCTAATCATCCCAGAAGCTTCATAGTCAACTGCCATGTTCTGTAGCCCATATGCAACGTCCGTCCATTTGGTGAGCTTTTGCTCGTCCATCCCCAGTTCTGCCAGTCTATTGGCATCGGAGATGTTCAAGAGTCTCTGCAAAGCTTGTCTGCGATCTAGACGTCGCAGTTCGCCTTCGATAGATTCAGCATACTCGTCGGTTACCAAGTCCAGGAAACAGGCCAAATAAAGGAGACACACGTTCCACGTCAACTGTCGCATTCGTGTTTTGATATGTGGTGGCAGATTGAAGCTCCCGAAGAAGGGTACCTCTGCACCACGGCTTTCGAGGACTTTGACGATCTCAAAGGCTAGCATGGTTCCGTAGCTATAACCTGCAATTGCATATGGCCCCTTTGCTTGATGACTCGTAATGGCAGTACAGTAAGTGTCCACTGCTTCGCCGATATTCGCGAACAGCGGTCCATCATCGAACCCCCGCGCTCGCAGTGCATACACTGGCCTATCATCCATATGATTCGCGAGACCGAGAAAGACAAGAACCTCGCCAATGCCAGGGTGAACGAGCCAAAGCGGGGTCTTATTTCCTCCACGTCGAAGTGTCACAACGGGGTTATATTTTGTGGACGACTGTAGGTCAGCGATGGCCGCAGCAAGTGACCTAGCCGTTGGATTATTGATGAGAGCGCTGATGGCGATGTCGATGTCTAGTCGGCTGTCCAATTGGCGTTTGAGTCGAATAAGATCCACAGAAGTGATTCCGACTTCGAAAATGCACTCGTCTACTCCGATATCATCGCAACGGTCGCCAAATGCAGTACGGAAATCTTCAAGCAGCATAAGCTCGGTTTTATTTGGGACAACGTTTGAGGAGGGGAATTCTACCCCACTGAGAGTCTCGTGATAAGCCTTGATATCTTGGTCGAAAATACCGCCTTCAAAAAGGGATCGCATTTTCGCTCTCGATATCTTTCCTAAAGTCGTCACTGGGAGTAGCATTTCACTAGACAGGGCGAATGTAAAAGGTGTTGCCCCTGAAATAAGGACTGAAGTTTGTCGAATGATGGCGTTGATTTTGTGAGCATCATTCGGATTAGTTGGAAAGTTCTGAGGTACATATGCGACGGTAATCTGCTCAGTGCGAGTCCGTGATGATGTTGACGGGAAGCAGATAACACGGCGCACAAGACACTCGAGAGACTTCTCGAGTGACGACTGTAGATCCGCTGGGCTGATCTTGACACCATTTATGTTCATGACGTCCTTGGTTCTTCCGACCATGTTCAGGTGACCCCCCGAGTCGATGAAGGCCCGATCGCCGGTTCGGAACCACCCATCCTGAGTGAAGGCAGCGGCGGTTGACACGTCATCATTGAAGTATCCATCAAAAACCACTGCACCGCGTACCTCCAGATCTCCAGTCTCGTTGATCACCGCACAAAATGATTCGCTACAACTGTCCGGTCGCGTAATCCGCATCTCAATGCCCTCTATGCAAGTGCCCACAGAGGCAACTGCATATCCATTTTGTAAGTCATGTTGAGGACAATTGACGTTGTATATAGCTCCCCCGCAAATCTCTGTCATTCCGAATCCCGGGGAGAGCACATTTGTTGGAGCACCAAATCTTGATAAGAGTGAAGATATTTCACGGCAGATGTCGATATTATTTGCTTCCCCACCGGACACCAACCACTTGAGGTTGCTGAAGTCCCACTTCTGTGGAGTCTTCACGTCTGGCGAAGACAGCAGTTGTGCCAGGAAAAAGTTCGGCGCGAAAGTGCGAGATACCTCATGCAGGCTCAGCAGATCCAGGAAAAGCCTCGGAGAACAGAGGAGATCTGAAGCGTGAACATGGATCTGGTCAACGCCATGGTACAGTGCATGAAGGTGTAGCTCCGTCAAGGCCGCCACGTGATCCATTCCTGTGAAGTTCAAGAAGGGTGTGTCTAGTCCGAGACCTCGCACTGACGCCTTCCCAGCAAGTGCAGCGAGGATTTGGCTATGCCGCAGTCGTACCGCTTTCGCATTGCCCGTGCTTCCTGAAGTGAGCATCAGCGCGGCCAGGCCTTCAGCGTCGGTGCCAGTCGTTTGCCCTCCCATTGAGTCCGAATTTGGAAGGTGCAGTCCGAATTTCAAATCTCGTGTAGTGTAGAGCTTTATGCCATGATCACCAGCGAATGATGGGATGAATTTGGTAGAGGTGATACATATCGGCGAGCCCAAAAGTGAGGAGAGCGACTGGAGATGCTTTATTCGGTGTTCGGCGACATTGCTCAAGGGAGGCGTTGGTACCGGTACCCCGTTTGCTAGGAGTATCGCCCAGAACCATAGAATATTCTCCCAATGACTGTCAAAATGCAGTAGGACAGGACGACCGGGGGCAAACTCTTTTAGTTGTGCAACCCTCTCACTTTTTTCTTTGGCCTGGCCCAAAAACTCTCTGTAACTAACCAGCGTTGGTGCAGTTGTGATTGAGGATCCCAATGGGTAAAATATAAGGCCGCGAGATGGGTCTCCCTGGGCAGCCTTGCGGAGGAGCTCGGGAAGTGTATGACAACGCATATTGATGCTTGACGTGGGTATCTCGGACAGTCCTATTTGCTACAGCGAGAGAGGAAGTTGTTTGAAATACCTGTGCGCAAATAGTTGTTTCTCCCGAATTCAAACGAGGTTCCGTCACCGTGCATATTTCAAAGTTCGAAGGTCAACACCATATTCAATTCACAGCATTCACACGGAGGGGCAGAGCAAATGAGCTGCTTCGGATAAAGTTAATGAGGTCATACAAACGGCCCCGGCCATCCCTCTATTCACATGTGGGACTCACCGACTACCTCACCGATTTGGCCTCATCCTCGAGCGTGAATGTGGAGAAAAATTGTGCAGGATTGGATGCTAATTGATAGGCAATAAACTCGAGACAGCTCTTGACCGGAAGAGATAGTCCTTCGGAGCTGCGAAGGGAGCGGTGTGGTTCTAATGACCAAAACATGTTTGATGATGTCTCAGTGACTAACTGGGCGTGCCCGGTTCCCCTAAACTTTTAAGGCGCTGCTAAACGCCGCGATAATTGCGAATGCATGTCCCGGAGCTTGAGATACTGCATATCACAATTATCTCACAACAGTCGCTCTTCTTGATGTGCATTCATTGGACACGCTCTGTGGAACGGGGAACAAACTGGGCAACCGAAGCCGGCAAACAGGGCATTGTTGTCATTCAGGGAAACTGTAGCTTACTTCCTTTCAAAGCGGAAACGGAAATTGTTTAGCTATCTATCTATTCATTCACTTTAGTAAAAAATCTTCACTTTTAGTAATTTCAGGCTCGGGCAGGAGATGTTCCCTTCACAATCCGACTTCCGCATGAACCTTTGGAAATTGTCCTTTCCCACATGAGCCCCTGACTTCAGTCGTCAATTTCGCAGTGAGCTCCGGGGTCTCACTCTTATCTGCGCCCCCACGGGAGGCAGTATCATATTCAATAGCGCTTTCCTCTCCGGTACTGGTTCTACAACCTCAACATCATAATTTTGTACGAGATGTGCAAGTGCTTGTTTCATAATCTGCGATGCAAGCCAACGGCCAGGACACGCGTGCCTGCCATACCCATAAGTCAAGAAAGACTCATCAAGGTCCACGCTCAATTTCTGGGACCTGGAGCCGCCAGTGGCATCGCATGGCCCTTCGAAAGCTCTGGAGAACCGAAAAGCGTCAAACTCGGAGGCATTGCAGTATCGGGATTCGTCGTAATGAATAGGCTGGCACGGAACACCTATGCGGACACCGCTCGGAATTCGTATACCATTGTTTAGATCCAGTTCGGTGCCCGGTGCAACTTCCCTGAAAAGTGCGATGATTCCAAACATCGACGTTCTCATGGACTCCCTTATTGTTGAGTCGACGCGGTAGAGTTGGTCGATGGCAGTTTTGGTAAGTAGACCGTTGTGTAAGGCGGCGCTCTTGTCGCATTCAGCTCGGAGTCCAGCAAGGAAATCATCCCTGTTGGCGCTGCTGTATAAGTCCAAAATACAGTTCGAAAAGGTGAAAGTGGTTGTGAAAATTGAGACTAGATTGAGAATCAGCAGCCTCTCAGCCACCTTGCCAGGGACAGTCTGCTTTGGTCCGGCCTTTGCACAGCGCTGAATCAACCATTGTAGCACATCGTTCTATTCCAAATCAGCTTAAGACACGTTGTGAAGTGTCACAACTGATGGCATCTCACCGGCATATCATCGCTGCCACGCTGGAGCATGTCGAGTCTTTCCTGGACGAACGGGATCAGGATCTTCTTGCATTTGTAGAGCGACCACTGCGCAGGCAGTGCTATCAAATGCCCTAATACGGGCTGCAATATCGGAGGAAGTGCAGTGATGACGGTCGCACAGCCGTACACATTCGTGGCATAAACGCGTGTCTGTTCCAGCAAGGTCTCATCCCGACATAAGGGGAGTCCCACGAACGCCCGGTTGCCAGCGCGTGCGATAACCTTAGTGCAAACGTCCCACAGATTAACTGTGGCCCAATCTGAGGAGCGTCCGCAGTAGTCCCGAAATCCAGCAGCCAACTCTTCGTCAGTCATACGTACGAAGTGCCCAACGTCCTTCGAAAGTTGATTGCGCACAACATCGTAATGAAGCATGCTTCCCCACACCTCCGGATCCCCCATGGTGTAGCGGGGTTGGTGCGACTCGAGCTGAACGTGAAAGGCTTGAAGTTCGTTCTCCGATTTGTTCAGGACATTCAGGTGTGACGGTGGTAGTACGACGATAGCCCCGCATCCAGTGCTCGGAGCGACGAATACCAAGTTGCGGAGTGAGAATCTCTGATAGCCCTCAAACGCATAAGTCGCGGATCGTGTAACGGACCAGAAGATTGCGCGCAACCAGGCATCGTCTTGTACGCCCACAGCAGGTATGCGTAGCGTGTGCCAGAAGTGTGCAGCACGTCGGTTATACTGCCGCGTCCAAAAATATAAGGTTGTGTAAATGAAAAAGAGCGGTAACAATAATCCGGAAACAATAGTGATGGAAGCCATGTTGAAGTTGACCTTCGAAAGCGAGTATTCGATGACCTTCACCGCGGTGCGTCTTTATCTGCTCCTTGGGCCCTACGCCGCCCCCTGCGCCTTGGACTCGAGAGATATCAGATGGCTTCTGGCAAGAGGACGGTGAGGTAATTAGCTGCCCAGGTGTAGACATTACGAAAGTCACAATCATGAATCACATGGATAATCGGGCACCCTAAGGCAGGGCTAGATCAATGTGCGACATAAGCCCTCAAGACACGGGAAGTTCCCTGCTTCTACTCTGAGATTCGATCGAGGCAACGACTATTCACAAGAAGTCTTCGGGGATAGGGCTGTCTGTAGTGCACGTAATTCTTGTGAAGGCGGGAGGGGACACTGTGACCTGAGCGGCCACATACATGAACCTCAAAGCGAACTACCACAACGCACCCAACGAAGCTCTTCCTCACTTTTGCAACACAACTCAGCTCGCTACCATGAAGAACGCCTTGGATTACATTCAGCAGCTGGCTGCAGGTTCTAATAGGACCCAGCGGCGGGAGTTAATGGCTGCATTACACAACCTTGCTTTCTCACTGGAAGACGCCCATGATACTGTCAATAGGATAGGATATCTACACCTGCAGACTGCGGCTGTCAAGATCGGCTTCGATCTTGGATTGTTCAGGTTGCTTGTCAAGGAGGAAGGTACCCTGACACTGAGCGATATCAGTCAGATTACGAAAGCAGATCCGGTCTTTCTAGGTACATGTACAGCAAAAGGGCTCCGTGAGCAGAAGGGCTAACCTATTAGCGCGCTATCTACGATATCTTGCTGCTGTCGATGTGATCGCAGAAGTCGGTCCAGATCGTTACACGGCCACCAACATCACGCGGAACCTGGCCCAACCAGTGGCTGAGGCTGGTATCTCCCATTGGTGAGTCTATCCCAAACCTCAGCTTACACGATCTGACACACGATAAGCTTCGAAACCATCGGTCCCGAGTACCAGGCGTTGCCACGTTACATGAAGAAAACGGGCTACATGAACCCAAGCGACGAAATGCATACCGTATGTCAGGAAGCGTGGAACACCAAGCTCCACCAGTTCGCTTGGTTCAAAGACCACCCTGAGAACCTCAAGTTCTTCAACGATTACATGGCTCACCGCCGTGAGGCTGAAGTATCATGGCTCTCGGTGTATCCTGTCCTTGAGCAGACTAAGGACTGGGATCCTGCCAAACCTGTATATGTTAACATTGGCGGCGGGGTCGGCCACCAATGTGCCCAGTTCAAAAAGAAGTATCCAGATGTGCCAGGCCAGGTTATTCTTCAGGACTTGCCGCACACCATTGAGAATGCACTGACGACCCCTGGGGTCGAGAATATAGCCCACGATTTCTTCCAGGAACAGCTTGTCAAAGGTAAATTGCTCTGACTACTGTCACAATGAAGGCATTACTCACTACGTCTCAGGTGCGAAGTTTTACTTCACCCGCGGAGTTTGCCATAACCATCCTGACAACAAAGTCAAACTACTTCTCCGCAACATCATGTCCGCAATGTCCCCAGAGTCAATTATCTTACTTGACGAGTGGGTCTTACCGGAGACGGGAGTAAGCGAATATGCTGCTTGCATGGATCTTACCATGATGGCCGCGTTTGCTGCGATGGAGCGTTCCGAGTCCCAGTGGCGCAAGATCTTCGATGAGGTCGGTCTGAAACTTGTTAAAATCTATTCGTACAACCCGGAGAATTACGAGTGCGTTATGGACTTGCGCTTGCCATAACATGCTACTTGTACAGCACGGAGAATTACGATTGCGTGCTTGATTTGCGCTTGCCGCAACAGTATCGGAATGAGATCGGGTATGAGATGGTTTGTGCTGTGACACCTGAACGTGGTTTGTTTAAGCGATGTAGGGGATCATCTCTTGGATTGAATGGTATTATCAGTACACAGGAGATCAATCCGTGAAATTGAAAGGATGTCAATGTAATTTAAATGGAACAAGTGAAGAAGTCGTAACAAAGGAATACCCTCCAGAATTCATCAGAAGTCCGAGAACCTCTTTGACATGGTATATGTCCCACTCCCAACGCCGCAAGGATTCCCATTTGAATATCTCTTTCTCCGAGGTTTTCTGTGCGTATCTCATCTCCCGACGTTATCAATCATAGGACACTTCATACTCATCAGCTCGATGAATAGCTCCAGGGCCCGGTTCAGTTAAATGTCGAGTGCTTTCCGTGTCGGGTTCCTTAGCAGAGGCTCGTGCTGTCTCCAACGAATTGCTATATGGGTCGCGCTTGCGTGAATGCAATTCCACATCCGTATTAGTTGCCGTACTGGTCCCGGCTTGAGAATTCTTGCTCCCAGTAAATCTCGAGAGTGTTGATCTGATTGATTTCCAAACGGGAATTTCGAGTCGCATGAGCACACGCAATGGTGGGACGCAACCCAAGCTAATGACGAGGCCTTGTTCGACGGCGGACCAGAGGACTGATACGCTGGCTTTGTATTGCGCTTCTGGGTCGAGTGCGTTAGACTGGGAGGTGACTGTCTTCATGACGGATGCCATCATGGTGAAGATTGAGAGGCCCAATAGGGTGATGAGGCCGAGTTTTTGATGTGTTGGCATGTTCAGTCGCCAGATGATCATAACAGGGAACAATACATATGCCAGATCCGAGAATGTGAACAAGGCTTTCAGAGCATTAGCAAGGAAGCAGAGAAGATTTGGAACCACTTACACTGGCCAACAATTGCGGTAATTCGCTGAATGTCTGGATCCCAGCGTCTTGCTGGAATCGTAGGGTTCCAAAGCCCTTCAACCGGGTCTACTTGAAGCCATACAAACAGGATAATGAGGATCCCACAAATAGTTTGTAGGGTAGTGAAGGATATCAAGAAGTACCTCAACCATCGATGCATTCCAAACAGGCGCATCAGTAATACGGCGATAGACACCCTGGCCACAGTAGACGTAAGAATCGCAGGAGTAGAGGAGATCCACATCCACTTGAGTATTTCGATAAGCTGGTTGATAGTGAGGTTCTGATCTCGCTTCCCTAGACCATGGGTGTATCCAACGGTGATACAGGCCTGAAAAGCCACTTGAAGGATCTGTGGACGTCGATAAGCAAGCGTGATATAGGACAATGGAGAGTACATACGCCCGCAAGCACCATCAGCCAGTCATCGCTGCCTGTGCTGTGTGTGATTCGTGCTCTAACATACATTCGCAGAGCAATGAACCCGATGCAGAGCGATGTGAGCACCCACGATATCGCCATAATCATAGAGCCACGGCCTGGATCACTTGGGTCCATTGTGACGGACGGTTGGTGGCTGCTCCCTGAGGTTGGATCAGACATGGCTTTCTACTCGTATGAGACACCGACAATTTAATAAGAGATTGGGATGTGTCTTGCAAAAGGTAGTGGGAGATTTGGTCCGCAATTGTACTAGCTAACGGATCACAATGCTTAGACTCCTCGAGCCGAAGATTCCTTTGTCCGATTATCTAAAACAGCGGTGGCTGATGGAGACTCCGAAAGACCGGCCGATCGTTACCACATCTCCGGACCGTGAGTACCATAATGCGTCCCACAAGTGTGTCGAGATGTGTGACAAACCCCAAATAAATGGCGACACACTGCGGTGGCACCCGCTGTATCTGTCATGAACGGTAACATGGCATCACCCCAACCCTCATGTTCTCCATCCGAGTCTGGGAGGTGAGAGGATGGGGAGCCGCTACATTCCGGACAGTTCTCGCCTACGTTTTTGACCCTTGCGGTTACTCTCCTTCAAGTCCCACGTACTTTCCAAATACGCTCCCGTTGGCGACGGATCGTGCCAAAATAGGAAAGTTACACCTGTGCGACGCAACTCGTGGTGTGTAGCTCAATTTGCGAGGGACCCTTAAACTTAGGGAGACGCCTCGAAACCGGCCTTTTGCGTTTGTTCCATGCATATGGTCAACCTCATCCTTTGTCCCGCGGCGTGATCGCTTCCCCCTGATACTGGGCGCGCCACAAACCACGACAATGCTTCAATCGGTCAAAACCAGCTTGGGACCGCTTTCTTCAGATTCAAGAACTAATCTGCCAATCCGTCACCTCAACATGGAACCCTTAACTCGAGCATCATCTCTAGTTCTGCTCTTAGTCTGTTGGGCCATCGGACTCGGGATTTACCGCCTATTCTTTCACCCTCTGGCAAAGTTTCCGGGACCTAAGTTAGCCGCAGCCACGCGGCTCTATGAGGCTTACTACGATGTTGCAAAGAACGGGCAATACACCTTCAAAATTGCGCAGCTGCACTCAAAGTACGGACCGATTGTCCGCATTAGCCCTCACGAACTACACATCAATGACCCTAGTTTCTACGAAAAGCTCTACCGTCAAGATGGACGCTGGGACAAGTATTCCTGGAGTTACGATGCCTTCTCCGCTCCCTACTCTTCAATCTGCACCGCGGACCACGAGCTACATAAACGACGTAGAGCGGCTGTGAGCCCCTTCTTTTCAAGAGCGCAAGTTTCAAAGCGACAGCATATCATCAAAGCCGCGGTAGACAAGTTGTGCGCCCGCATTTCTGAATATGCGGATTCGGGATTCGCGATGAACTTAGGGACTGCTATTAGCGCCCTTACTGGAGATGTGGCCACCGTGTACATCGTCGGCAAGAGCTACAACAATCTTGACCGTCAAGATTTCAACATGGCGATGACGAATGTACTTCGAAGCTCTGGGGCTATTTGGCGCGTTACCAAGCATATCCGTTGGCTAGGACCTACTTTGAAAGCTCTTCCAATGTCGTTCATTGAAAAGTGCGGGGATGACGGGGCCAGAGCATTTCTGGCCTTTCTAAAGGTCTGCAGTGCTTGATTCGTGAGCTATTGTACTTGATGTTGAGGAGGCTGACATAGCTTTTCAGGAGGTAACGCAGATCACAAAGGACAATATCTCGAGCCACGTCTCCAAAGAGTTGGATGCAAGTGAAGATCGTACCCTAATACACTGCATATCGCGATCCCATCTCCCTCTGAAAGAAAAGTCCTTTGACCGCATTAACGACGAAGTTAGCACGATTATGGGTGCCGCGCTTGAAACGACGGCGCAGACGCTGCGGGTGATACTTTACTACATCTACACGGATAAAGAGATACTACACAAGTTGAGGGCAGAACTATCAAGCGCAAGTCTAACACAGGCTGACGGTCTTTATTTGAGAGAGCTCGAGCAGCTGCCATACTTAACGGCAGTGCTAATGGAAGGCCTCCGTCTTAGCCCCGGCCTTGCCACGCGCATGGCTAGGATTGCTCCTGATAGGTCCATATATTACGAACAATGGAAAATCCCTGCCGGAACACCAGTAGGGATGACCACACTGTTGATACACACGGATGAGCGTGCGTATTCTCAACCTAAGCGCTTCGATCCAGAAAGGTGGATGGACCCAAACGCCAGGAAGAAAGCCGATAAGACATTTGCTCCGTTCTCAAGAGGGACAAGGATATGTCTTGGTATGCAGTACGTGGCGTTGCGTCCGACTTTTTCTTTGTTCTTCGGTACTAACCTTGACACTAGTCTGGCTTGGGCTGAACTCTACATGACAACCGCAGCGCTCGTGCAGCGCTTCGACTTTGTACTGGAAGGCGCCGGCCCGAAGGATGTGGAGTGTGTTTCTGATCAATTCATCATCGGGACCGAAGATCAAAGCGGCATAAAGGCCTTTGTGTCGGAACACGAGGCGCAACGTTGACAGGATAATGCTTGGGGAAGTGTTACCACCTCACGCCGCGGTGCAGCAGGATTTTACAAGGCGCATCGATTCAGACATGATCAATTGTCTTACAGGCGTATATTATAGAACCAGCATGCGATTATGCGAAGATACAAGCCTGGTTCAGGCGGCCTCCCAGACGTATTCGGTGTCGCAGATATTAGATCTGCACTAACTTCTCATCAATTGGATGAAGCGCTCACTTCAGGTTGAACAAAGTAGCATAGCCCTTGAAACCTCAAGTGCACGATCCTTGCCAATTCTGAAGCCGAAAAAGCCTTTGACTGTGGCTTAATTGTGGACGACCAGAATGACACGACCCGGGAACTCGAGTTATGGCAATACCACTTTGTTTATCTCAGAAGCCACACCGTCCAAGCTGAATCTGGTTTGGTGATGATGAAGGAGTCCGAAAAACTATCGACACGACTGGGTGAGCTGAAGTGCGATAAGCTTCTTCAAAGCCGTCCGTCAATCGCGAAAGGGCCGCTACGAGCAAAAGATGGCCACCGGACACATTTCGGTGTCCCACCTTCGCTTTCGTGGACAGGGACATCGTGCGTAGTGGGCATCAAGTGTATACGCTGCTCGGCGGAGCGTCCTAATCCACTGTGGGCCTACCCGGGTCATGAGTGTAGTAATAACGCTTTGGCGATAGTTGGAGTAACACCCCAGAACGATTTGTGTGAAGACAGACTCTGAGCTCTCACGGACACCGTCCATACACGTCGCAATAGCATTGCTCATGAGAAGGGCAGCTGTGATGTTGTCAGTCTCGTGGCACACGGAGAAGAGCTTCAACTTACTAAACAGGACTGCGACCGAAAATAATATGCCACAGATATTCAAACACTCTCCCAGAGACATCGTCAGTCAGAGGGGTTTGGATGAGCCAATCCATATAGCGTTGATAATCTGACAGTGGTCTCTTGAGAACCTGGCTCCGAGAGACGGCAAACTGGGCGCAGCACGGTGTCCCTATTTTCTCAGGAACATCTGTATTATTGAACATGTATGCCCAGGCATCTGGCATGGCGTGTTCGGCAGAGCGATGATCCTCTCTCGGGTTCCTGAACGGCTGTATCTCATCTGGGCAGCCAGGGATGTGAATGCAGCGAAGATTTGCGTAGCCGTTACGTTGCACAAAATCAATGTTGAGCGTCCGCAGCATCTCAACCGCATCATACCCGTCCTCGCCTTCGTTATGCCAAGCCAAGGGGTAACCAGCGCGATGAGCGTGGAGGAACGCAATAGTGGAGGGGAGTTTGTGGTAATGGTCCAGCAAGTACGTGAGATAGGGCATCGCCTCTCGTCCTTTGTTCATTGTCGTATGCGGGTGAGTGCTGTTGGTATCATCCACGATGTATATGGCATGCTGCCAGTCCCGTAGTTCCTCGCCTACCCAGCTCGTGTCTTCACTTTGTAGCCTTCCAATGACAACTACACGGTCGGGTACTGGTACGTCTGGTGCAGCTTCGTTCACTACATCCGTCTCTGTCGGATGTACCGAGTAACTGTGATCAGTGAGCGGGAGAAAGCGAAGCAAACTCGCTGGAACAATGACCTGCTGGTCAACCGCTCCTCCGCTGATTTCGTGGGATGATCGAGGACCGGTTGGTTGTGCAGGTCTGTTTTCTGAGCAGCTCCATCAGCAACATCCGGCTCCTTCGCTTCATATATCCAGCCAGGGGAAGAGTGATTTCCGGCCTCGACGTCACTCCAGCTTGATCGAAGAAAGAGGAAGGAGGACAGCAGAAGAACGGCGATAATGAGCAGATGTAGCTGGCGCCCGATCCGCATCTTGCAGGGCAGGTTGAGCACTGTCGAGGTCTGAACAGCGGCAAAGGAGAGCCTCAGGGACAACCGTAGAGCGACAGCCTACGGAGTACATGGTTAATAAAGTGTTGCTCATCTTCGAGGCAACGTCTGCGATCAAAATGCGGCACAGCTCACTCTCTCTGGCTTTGCCGATCGTGGCGGCTGTATCAAGAGACGCCCAGGGGTTCAGCAACCTACGTGATAGGTCCGTTGGCTGGAGTTGGGACGAGACGGGCGAGGACGGGCGCTAGTCTAGCCCATAACGGCTCTGCGCGCTTCGACCCGCCTTGGCATCATGCCTTGGATTCAACTTGTAGTGCTCAACAGAGTACATTCACGTTCACCTCCAGGCTCTCCTGCTTCGCTCGTTGTGCCACTCGGTGCGTCATGGTATACGTGGCCTACATACACAGTACTCCATACCCATAGGCGAGAGATTGACCTTCTACGTCCGCTCAAGCCGACGTACAACAAGTCAACATAAGTCGGGCCTAACTACATCTTTGCAAACTTTCTCCCAGCCGTAATAAGGTGTCATTTTTGCCTTCGGAGACAGCAACTGGAGCACCATAAAGCCTTAGGCAGATTCTAAGCGCCCGCACTCGTGCATAGGCGGGCAAGCAAAAGTAGGTTTGGCCGTTGTTGTGGTGCTACGCCGCACTCCTGCATCGCCAGTTCCAACGTACGTTAGCTGGGTAATATGTGGAGCCGTGCGCAGCGCGACTTGGACCCTCCATTTCAAGGCTGCGCCTGCGTGACTCTCTTTTCTCTGTCTCTTTTGCGTCGTTGTTTTGTATATACGTTCGTTCCTGTTTCAGTCACACGGTCGACATGATCGCTCGGGCTTTGTCTTTCCTTCTGATACCCTTCTTGTTCGCCGTTATTGTGTATTCCAAATGTGCACCAAAGCCGTTGCTGCTTCCCATCAGCGATGTAGAGCTGTCTGCTGGAGCCAATGTTCGAGGCGTTGGACTTGCAGTAGGCACCCCTTCCAAAAACATATCTTTCCTCGTCAATGCGCAAGTGGCCCCAAAGACCTTATAGGATTTCTGTTTCTAACACACTACCGCAGCGGGAGGAACGAGACCTACATATATGGACAAGACGGGCTATGCGATGATAGCTTCTCCGATGCTGGCTGTTTCACCTACCGCGGCGGACAATATGATATCTCGAAATCGTCAACGGCCTCAAAGGTTGACAACTACCGTGACAATGATGGCACAAGTGCAGATTGGTTCAAGGACAATTTGTTTGCTCAACCGGATCTTCCTATCAATGGTATCACCATTGGTGTACCCAAGAAGGACTTGGATCAGCAGTACAAGCCGCAAGCTCAGTTGGGCGTTGGCAAAAATTCGTCATTCTTAATCTTCTTGAAAGAAGCCGGGAAGATTGGAGCGCGTGCGTATTCCATTTTCTGGGGGCTCGCTTCTGGTCCTGCTGATCAGCAGACGACTGGATCACTGATACTGGGCGGCATCGATGAAGCGTTAACGGGAGTTGACACCAAGAAGTTCACGTCGGGCTTCACGTACGACTTTACCTGCGGGACTGGTATGCTCGTAGCCTTGAACGACATATCTTTGAATTGGCCGAATGGTACAGATACCAGTATCTTCCTGGGACAACGATCCACTGTTATGCAAGCCTGCCTTCAACCGGACTACCCCGGTCTCATGACTATGCCTCTCAAGCATTGGGAGAACTTTGTCAAACTGGCGGGAGGAAATTATCCTGGTGGTGTGGAGTCTCGAGCACTCGGGTTCAATTTCTGGACTATGCTCTTCGAACCCGAAGGAGTGTAGGTCTCTAGAAGGATCCTAGTTTCTGGTGTACTGACTCGGGCTCTCAGCTTCTATGGCGATTTGACACTCTCACTGCAGAACAGCATCTCCATCCGAATACCCAATACTCAACTTGTGGTACCGGACAAGTATGTCGACGTTTCCACCGGGAAAGTGCGGACAAACGAGACGGTGCGGAATCTGCCCATCGATCCGATTCAAGAGATTAACCAGAACGACCTTCCAATCCTTGGGCGGCTGTTCTTCACCTCTGCTTATCTAAGTGTTAATCATGAGACGGAAACATTTCTATCTGGCAGGCCGTAAAGAATCCAGGAAAACCTAAACCAAGAGCATTAACTGCGGAGAATACCATTGCAACTGAAATCTGTTCCGAACAAGGCGCTGAACAACCCACTCCTCCCGATCCAACACCAGTACCCAGCTCTGACCCTGTATCTCAACAACCAGCAAGCAAGACAAAATTCTCGGGCCCGGTCATTGGGGGTATCGTTGCGGGCGCCGTTGGAGCGATAGTGCTCCTGGTCGGCACAGCATTCATCGTGCTAAGAATGCGAATGCGACGCAAGGCCCGTGAAAAAACCGTGAATGCGGCGGATAAGCCCCCTACGCCGCCTTATCACAGTCGGCCAAATATACTGGCCATCCCCTCCGAAATGCCAGCGACCATGAAGTATGCGCCCGAATTGGCGGCTTATACGAGTCCGGTCGAAGTACAGGAACTAGACAGTAGAGAATATAGACCATGAGGGAGCCTCACGAATCGTGCACTGACAGGCTGGAGCATGATTTCTGTTCACGCTGTGAGCTTCTCAAATAATGTCGACCCATTGATTGTCAATGCCTGGAAGTTCAGATTCCCCCTTAAAGATTATCACAACCCAGTTTCCTTTCGTCAGACATGCCGTCGCTTCTTCACTTCGTCATATATGCACATAAGGAGGTCTTCGTCTGTCTTGCATGTATAGCACTGTTAAACGATATATTTGTTGTCATGATTACTTCAGTCTTTTCAAGTTTACTGTGTACTCACACTCCAGATGAAATACCTAAAATGCGCTCGTTCACTTGATTTCACTTGAGCGTCGCGCCATTATCAACCACCTCCCTCCCACCGCTCCTTCCCTTTCGACTCCGCCAACCTCTCAACACAACTGCGATAAATCCAGCTTGAATCGCTATCGCAGCTCTTTTCGCATGCGCATGCGCTCTAGCCACGACTATAGCAAGTAGGCAGAATTCGGAGATCATCGCGCGCTGGGACTCTCATTTGAAACAAAAAAAAAAAAGAAAACTATAGACCACAGTAGGACTCGAACAAAGGCCCTCCAAATGCCAAAAAGGTCGAGCAGCCGAATCAGTGCAATACTGCGTGACTCAGCCTCAGCATTGGAAGCTGCTAGACCTTTCTCGCTATCCTGTTTCAGGGCGATTGTAATAAGAATAATTGTAGTTTATATAGGAGACGGAAAATTAGGTGTAGGTGCGGAAATGCTGTTGGGGATCGGGGCTGGGAGGGGGAGGTTGGCTGGGTCCCGTGAACTTCAAAGACGTAGCTAACTCTTACAAGACACCTGAGTTCCAGAAGAGGCCGACCGATCCCGTGGCCAAGGAAAAGGATAATCACGCTTTAATAGAGGGGGGTAACACTTATAGGTTCGTCTAGATTTTGCAGAATCTGGCGCGACTGATATCTGCTAACTGCGAAATCAGGCATGCCAAACGCAGTCGGCACGGGCTATTTCCTCATGCAACACAAAGCAGAACTCGGTGAAAAGACCATCGCCGGTGTGAGGATCTTCCACTGCAACTCGCCAGGAGGCCGGGAATACCCGTGTCTTTGCTATGAGATCAGCAACGTTTAAGACCCTTCTCCACGGAAGTGTGAAGGCGAACAAACTACGAGCGAAAAGGTATAGTAGAACGGTCTGAAGAAAATCACGTCTCGAAGTCTCGAATCCAGGTTCCTGTGAGTTCTAAGTGCTACCACTGATCTGAGAGACGAATTGGAATGCATAGAATGGTGGTATGTTTTCAACTTGAGCGAACTGGAGAGCTGTGCATGAATACATCGTAAGCAGCATCCGAGATGTCGACGACAATATCTGATACATGACGGTGAACGAATTGAAACTGCAAGACGAGGGGCGATCAACCCAACCAAATGGATTTAAACACAATTGCTCGCACCCAAAGATGGATGTTGAGGCTCTGCAAATCTGGAGAGATTGGAGCATAAGAACCTTGCTGAAATTTGGATATCACAACTAGTTTCTTCATCGGTATCGCATTTCTAACGTCACCATTTAGTTCTTGTCCGTTTGATATGGGAGGAGATACAAAGACAGCACACGTACAATACGAATGTGGTCTATGGGAGCATAGCCACACGCACCAGCCACACTTGGCGGGGAGTCCTTTCTGCCTCTGACATCGACTTTTTTGTCTCACACACTCCCCTCACTTCCCTTATCGCAAGTTGCGGCAATTGGCTTCAAGGTCGTGGTTGACGAATAATATGGCCACGTTTGCACAACATTTAGCTCAAAGCAACTGGGGAGTCTCATGTCCTCAACGTCAATGGCGTCATGAATTCCTTGCAGCCTCGGCGTTAGTCGACCCCAGGCCATCATGAGGGCTGGTGGGGTCAGACTCAAAACTCACTCTCCGCCAGCGATCGCCGGCTAGATCTAGGTTCCGCGTTTACCGTGTACCTTATTTATACGTCAGAACTCTCTTCCAATCTTCAGCTCCTGTATGAGTGCAGAATTTCTCTGTATCTTCTCACACTACCGCAACATACTAGACCGACAATCCTCCTCCTCGGACAGGCGTACCCCTCCACATCACAATGGCTTCTACGCAAAGCCAATACCCTTTGGACCCCTCTGGGCCCTCAGTAACCACTTCCGCTGTCCCAAAAATGCAAAAACCGATCCCCTACTCCTGTAGCAACGGTCACCGCACCCCGCTCTCCTCCATCCTCCCACCACTCATCTTCGGCACCGCAACCTTCAACCACCAGTACAACTCCGACCCCTTCTCCCTCGACACGACCGGCCTCGTCGCCTCCGCCCTCGACTACGGCATCCGCGCCTTCGACACGTCTCCCTACTACGGTCCCTCCGAGCAACTCCTCGGCGCTGCCCTCGCCACCCCTTTCGTCCGCTCCACCTTCCCTCGAGATTCATACCTCCTCCTTACAAAAGTCGGTCGCATCGCGTCTTCAGAGTTCGACTACAGCCCCGCCTGGATAAGAACGAGCATTGCGCGCAGCTTGCGGCGCCTGCAAACTCCCTACCTCGACCTCGTCTACTGCCATGACATCGAGTACGTGTCTCCGGACGAAGTCGTCACCGCGGTCCGCGAACTCCGAAGAATCAGAGACGAGGAAGGAACGATTCGATATATAGGAATCTCGGGCTACCCTATAGGTGTCCTCGGTTCCGTCGCCGAACTCATCCTCCGCGAAACTGGCGAACCAGTAGATGCAGTCCAATCGTTTGCCAATTTCACTTTGCAGAACCGGACGCTCGGAGGCCCTGGCGGGATCGACCGGCTTGCCGCTGCCGGTGTCCAAGTCGTCACGAACGCAAGTCCCCTGGGTATGGGGTTATTGAGGAGAGAAGGCGTCCCCGTGGGAGCGCTGGGCGATTTCCACCCCGCTAGCCGCGAATTGAGAGCTGCGGTGCGCAGGGCTAGCGAGTTCTGCGACGGAGTGGGGGAGAGATTGGAGGTGGTTGCCTTGCGCTGGGCGCTCGAGACGTGGATCTCTGCGGGCGCAGCTGCGGGTTCGAGAGCGCACCCTGTGTCGGGCTTACCCGGGAAGGAGGAATCGAATGAGGATGTGGGTAGAGGGACGAAGTTTGGGATCAGTGTGATCGGGGTGTCGAATGCGAAGGAGTTGGAGATGACGATGCTGATGTGGAGGAGCATATTGGATGGGTTGGAGGGAGGTGAGGATAAGGCTGTGCAGACGGGGCGATGGAAGAGGGCGCGGGAGTGGTCGAGGAATAGGAGGGAGGCGGTTGAGATGTTGGCGGAGGGGGTGCAGGAGGTCCTGGGAGAGTGGTTCAACTACGCGTGGGACAGTCCTCCGAAGGGGTTTGTGAATCAGAGGAAGAAGGGGCAGATTGAGGGCCAGAGCGAGGGAAAGAAGGAAGACGCACCATGATCGACGCCCGCCGGGAGTCCAAGAGCCTAAGCCGTCGGTGAAGACTACTGAGCCGGGGGAGAAGGGGATTCCAAACGTTGAGTTTTGTGAGTAAGCACATTGCCTTTGATTCTAGGTTCCTTGGGTTTGCATTCCTGGCATACAAAGGCGCAATTGATAGAAGGGCATGGGAGAGGATTTGTTGTTTTTCCTGATATCGTGCCATATACGCATTGTCGTGTGCTTCTCTACATATTCTACAAGTTGGTATCATGCATCGCTTTCGACGCCATCATATACTGAAGAGTTCGAAGCATAGCTCGTCACAACCTACAATTTCGCAAACACCGTCGGCACCTGTCCCGCCATGTCCACCAGCGTACTCTTATTCCTCACCCACGCCTCGAGTCCCTTCTTCCCATTCTCCACCCCGACACCACTCATCTTCCAGCCTCCGACCGACATTTCGGCCGGCGACTCGCCCCACGTATTCACCCAGGTGATGCCCGCCTCCAACCGCGCAATCACCTGATGCGCGAAATTCAAGTCTTTGGTGAAGACACCTGCTGCAAGGCCCAGGGGAGTGTCGTTTGCACGCCTGACTACTTCGTCAATGGTCTTGTAGGTGAGGATGGACATTACGGGGCCGAAGATTTCCTCCTGGACAATGGTCATTTCGTCGGTGCAGTTTGTGAAGACGGTGGGTTTGACCCAGAACCCGTTCTTGTATTCCTGGTCCTTGTGCGAAGCCAACCATTCCGGTGTTTCCGGGCCGCCGTACAAGACTGTAGCTTTATCGACTTTGATGCCGTGGCGAATGTATCGTTGCACCTTGTCAAAATGCGTTTTACTGACCAAGGGCCCGAAGTTGGTCTCGGGGGCCATGACGTCTCCGGCCCTGACGTGCTGCATCTTTTCTACCAATTTCTCCTCGAATTGCTGTTTTATCGATTCCGGAACGAAGACTCGTGTGCCGTTTGTGCATACCTGGCCCGTGGAGAAGAAATTCGCCATCATGGCGCCGTCGACCGCTTGGTCGATATCTGCGTCCGGCAGGATGATGCATGCGGATTTACCGCCCAGCTCCATGGTGACGTACTTCATCCCTCCTGCAGCGCTACCTGCGACCTTTCGACCTGTGCTAACCTGTCCCGTGAAGCTGACTTTGGCGATGGAGGGGTGTGTGGTCACGTATGCGCCGACGTCTCCACCGCCCTGGACGACGTTGAAAACACCCGGAGGCACACCGGCTTTGGAGTAGATCTCCGCCAACAGGGTCGAATGCAGCGGCGTGAATTCCGAAGGCTTATACACCATCGTGTTCCCCGCAGCGAGGCACGGCGCGGATTTCCACAGCGCGATCTGGATCGGGTAGTTCCAGGCGCCGATGCCTGCGCATACCCCGAGCGGGTTCTTGGTGGTGTAGACCCAGGCGTCGGGGCGCAGGGAGATGGTTTCACCATTGAGGCCGCCGCTCGCGACGAGCGAGGCGAAGTACTCGAGGACGTCGGCGCCGGTGACGATGTCGACGGTCGAGGTCTCGGTGAAGGGTTTGCCCGTGTCGTGGGTTTCTACCCTGGCGAGTTCGTCGTTGCGGGCGCGGAGGAGGGAGGCTGCGCGGTGGAGGATGCGGGCTCGTTCGATGGCTGGGGTGGAGGACCACGAGGGGAAGGCACGTTCTGCGGAGCGGATGGCGGCGTCTATTGAGGAGGTGTTGGTTGGGTGGATATCGGCGAGGGGAGTGTTGGTTGCCGGGTTGATGGATTGGAAGGGCGTCGGGGAGGAGGCTGAGGTTTGGAGTTTGCCGTCGTAGTAGGCGTATCGGGGAGGGTAGGGGAGAGACATGGTGGAGGGCGGGTTTCAGAGAAGGGATCTGGGAGTCGTTTTCAAGAAATAGTTGTTCCGGAGAGGAAGATTAGGCCTAAACCGCGAGATCAATTCGGCCGCTCAGAGGATTATAAACGAAGGAATGTTTGACAAAGATTCAATATGCCGGACATCGATAAAAAGGCGCACTGGCCGAATTCCCCGGTATATACAAGCAAAGTGGTGAGTGAAGGTTGCTGATGCAGGATACCTGAGGGCCTGGGTGGTGGGGTAGCTCCGAGGTCCAATGCAGCCTGTGCAGGGGGTAAATAAAAAGGATAATAATAATGATCAACCCTTTGAATAAGATAAAAAACGCGCGGTGCAGCAATACCAAGGGTGCAAACACTGCTGGGAAATTGAGGAAGCACGCCAGGAGCAACGCCGTTCCTTCACCCAAGCCATTTGGTGGTCAAAGGACGGAGAGAGCTGACGAGTCGCACATGGACGGCCTTGCCAGTTCGCCAAGCTACCAAACCGTAAAGGGCTAGCGTTGCCAAGATTCTTGGCACAACGACTTCCACTCACGTCACTGGTCCACTGGTTTTGCGGGGCTGGCACGTGCGCACCCTTCCATCAATGACGGGATTCACATTCATCGCACCATCCAACGCAGAAGTTGCACCATCGTTTGTTCTCTTCAACTGCATATCAAAAGAGCCACTCTGCCTACTTCAGCAATCATGCACGTTGTTAAAAGACTTATCCTGCGGAAGTTCGGCGACGGAAGCCGTACAAATAACTTGAACCGATTCCTTACGGCCAACTCGCAAGGCGCCCACACCCTTCACTGAACTACCCACTAGACTAACTTCATTCGGCACCCGCGCGTCCCGTTCCTGAGACAAGTGAGACAAAACTCGGGGCGCCCATCACCGATTTTTTTACAGCGGGATAACGCCTGACCATCTGCGTCTTGGCTGCCTCCATAAGCAAGCGCCCCGGACGCTATTGGAGCTTTTTTTCTTTCCATCTTACATCCGTTCCTATCCTGGGGGCCTAAGCTCGCTTTTACATATAGATCAGTTATATCCAGATATCCCCAGCAACATAGCCACACTCCTTTGCCCGCATTGATCTCTTTCAAAATGGCTCCGACGACTACCACGCTCCCTAAGGATGCCTCCTACGACTTCATCATCGTCGGCGGCGGCACAGCGGGCTGTGTCATTGCCTCTCGTTTGTCCGAATACCTGCCCCACAAGTCCGTCCTCCTCATTGAGGCAGGCCCCAGCGATTTCAAGGACGACCGTGTTCTGCTGCTGAAGGACTGGCTGAGTCTGCTGGGAGGCGAGCTGGACTACGATTATGGCACCACCGAACAGCCCATGGGTAACTCGTATATCCGGCACTCTCGTGCAAAGGTCCTCGGCGGCTGCTCCTCCCATAACACTCTAATCTCTTTCCGCCCATTTGAGTACGATTGCAAGAGGTGGGAGGCGCAAGGTTGCAAAGGTTGGGGTTTCAAAACGTTCATGCGGGTGCTGGACAACCTCCGCAATACCGTGCAGCCCGTACATGAGAGGCACAGGAATCAGCTCTGCCTCGACTGGGTGGATTCCTGCTCCAAGGCCCTGAACATTCCCGTCTGCCATGACTTCAACCACGAAATCAAAACCAAAGGGGGATTGAGACCTTGCGTTGGCTTCTTCTCCGTTTCCTACAATCCCGATGATGGCCGCCGCAGCAGCGCGAGCGTTGCCTACATTCATCCTATCCTCCGTGGAGACGAAAACCGCAACAACTTGACCGTCTTGACCAATGCCTGGGTCAGCAAGGTCAACGTTGCGGGCGACAGGGTCACCGGCGTCAACGTGACCTTCCAGGACGGCGAGAAGCGCACGCTGAACCCCAAGGCTGAGACCATCCTCTGCGCAGGCGCCGTGGATACGCCCCGCCTACTCCTTCTCTCCGGTCTAGGTCCCAAGCAGCAGCTGTCTGAACTCGGCATCCCGGTCGTCAAGGACATTCCCGGTGTTGGCGAGAACCTGCTAGATCATCCGGAAAGTATCATTATCTGGGAATTGAACAAGCCAGTACCTCCGAACCAGACCACCATGGACTCGGATGCTGGCATCTTCCTGCGCCGCGAAGTTCCCAATGCGGCGGGCGACGATGGTGACATTGTCGATATCATGATGCACTGCTATCAGATTCCCTTCTGTTTGAATACAGCTCGGTGAGTCTTGTCAGCGGAAAAACGAGTATTCAAGCTAACGATACTGTTCAGCCTCGGTTATGACACGCCCATTGACGCCTTCTGCATGACGCCCAACATCCCTCGTCCGCGTTCTCGCGGCCGCATCTATCTCACCTCTGCCGACCCCTCGGTTAAGCCTGCCCTGGACTTCCGCTACTTCACCGATCCCGAGGGCTATGATGCTGCCACCATCGTCGCCGGCCTCAAGGCTGCCCGCGAGGTTGCCAAGCAGGCCCCCTTCAAGGACTGGATCAAACGCGAGGTCGCCCCTGGCCCTGCCATCACCTCCGACGAGGCACTCTCCGAGTATGGACGCAAGGTTGCGCATACGGTCTACCACCCCGCAGGCACCACCAAGATGGGTGACGTGCAGCGCGATCCGCTCGCCGTTGTAGATCCCGAGTTGAGAATCCGTGGCCTGAAGGGCGTGAGGATTGCAGATGCAGGTGTCTTCCCGGAGATGACGACCATCAACCCCATGTTGACCGTTTTGGGTGTTGGGGAGAGGGCTGCTGAGCTGATTGCGCAGAGCTGGGGTTGGAGGGGTCTGGAGAAGGAGAAGTTGTGAGGTCGCCATGGCCTCTAGCTGAGCGTACGAGTGTGATGTTCACGCGTGTATGATTGATTTCTCTATTCTTATGGCGGGAGTACCGCGTCCGCTATTATAGAGTAGACTCTTGTGGCATTTGGAGGAAAAGTTGTGCATTTTTACATCTAGATGCCTTGGTGGGCGGGTCGTATATACCTCAGTTTTGATTACCCAAGATATTACCAATAGTAGGATGACCGTATGTCCTTGTCTCCGCGTTGAGATTGCGCGGTCTCTGTACATGGAGTACGGTCATTGTTCACGGATGAGTCTCGTCCCGCGAGGAGCGAAGTACTGGGTGATGAGTCTCATGAGGCCTCGACAACCAGTAGGGCACGGCTTAACAAGTAGCCCGAGTGTTTCCTGGTAATCATGTGCATTGTGCTTTTTTGATGCACAAGCGGTTTGCTAGGTATGGCCTTTTCTAGGTATGAATACCTCATTGCGGTAATCGTGGATTGGACTATTCGACTCCTCGTTATATACTCACCGGCGCTGCTTCTGTGGTACGCTTGCACTGAGATGTAGCATTAACTCCAGAGCTTTCCCTCTCCTGTGATGAAGTAACAACCCCATCATGCTACTTCTATATACTGGCTACCCTCCTCGTACGCCCTAAAGTGGCAGTGGGGACCCAGGTTCTGCCTCGTTGCCATAGCAAGACTCCGCAGCGGCGTTTCACTGGGGTCACGTGTGGGACTCGTGGAGAGGTATATAGAGGGTGAAATTCTCCTCGAGAAAACCTCCAGTTTCACAACCGTGAAGTGCACGCCTTTCTTATAAACTTTCGAACCCAACCATTATCCTCAGCGATTCCAGCATGCGCTCTCGAGCTCATAAGAATCTGATGGCGGCACGTCGCGCGCGGCAGCAATCCGCCGGAGCTCCCGGAGCCACCTCGAAGAAGTCCAAGGCCAATGACACGAGCAATCCTCCTATTGCTTCGAGCGGATTGCCCAGCTCGACTGACAAGTTCTCTGTCGAGACCACTTCCACCGCTTCTGGTGCTTCGACTCCCGCGCCCGTCGACCTTCTCACGCTGACCGTGTATGAGAGGAAAGCTCTCGGTCAAGGGTCCACGGTCAAGGTCTTCCAAGGACGAACTGCTTGCCTGGCACTTCCCTTTGCCTTCTTCATATGGACGACTACTAAGGGGCACTAAATGATCAATGCCCAAAACGAGATCCATCTACCAACTACTCTTCATCCAGGATCCGTACAATTCCTCCTCAAGTGCCTCAGGAACGCCACAAAGAGGAACCACATCCATCCTCCCCGCATCCATGGCGACCTCGAATCCGCCATCCATCTCTGCGACGCCGCCGACACCCTGGGATTGCTGCACTATGTACAAAACACCATCTCGTACCACAACAATGCCATCTTCCGATCCATCCCGTCGGAGGCCGTCGTCTCCATGGTCGAGGAGCTCGCTACTTCCGATGCGTCCAACGTCGCTCGTGATAAGTTTGTGTCCATGGTCGCACAGCGCATTGCCTACCTTGTTCGCAAGAACATGTTGACTGCGGAGTGGCCACTGGACGACACGAAGGACGGATCGGAAAAGTACCTTGACATGGTGTCTCAATACCCCACCGTCAAAACCGCCGTCGATCAGATCAACGCTCCCTGGACGGCGAGCCAACATGCGAGGCAGACGGCAGAGGCCCGACGAGTCGAGCGTGCGCGCAGGGCAGCGGCAGCGGCGGAGCGGAAGAAGCAGGCGGTTATTGAGAGGTTGGAGTGGAAGAAGGCCGCAGAGGAGCAGTACGGGAGTGACATGGATGCGCGCGCGGTGTTTGTCGAGAAATTAAAGCGTCAGAACAAGGTTATGACGCTCACGAGTGAGGAGATGGAGTTGGCGGCCGGGTTGATGGGGTACGGCGATGTGGAGATTGGGCGGTACTTGTAGGGGAGGAGGAGTTCTTGAGCGCTCTGGTAATGCACAGATGGATTTTTCGGGAGAAGGACTAACGGGTTCTTTCGGGAAAAGGACTAACGGGTTCCCAAGGGTTGGGCACACGGCTTGGGTTTGGACACAGAACAGCGGATGGGTCGGAGTACATGGGTTATATATTATTTCCTTCTGACTGAATGAACAAGCCCTCGGTGGTTTCTTTCATATTCCGAGGGTTCTTCTTGATTCAACGTTATCGAGGCGTTCAAGTAAACCATGTTGCTCACGCCAGTTCTGAAAGATGAAACATCATCAGCATGGACAATCATGTAGAACCGAACTTGGCTTTCTACCACCGTGACTGGTCATCCATATATCCCGCGTTTTCTTTATAAAAATACATTCAGACGACTTCATCATGGGTGCTCGAACCTAAGGGTACCGTAACACCATACGATGGCGGCCCGCGAGCGGAAGAGTCAATAGGCCAAAGTTGCTTAGGATGTGGCAACTCTGGGTGTGAAGCGTCAAGTCACGAATGCTGAGGCAACCGTCAATTCCAATGTGACGGTTAAGACTGCTTCCAACGCGCTGATTCCATGACACGTCCCGTCTTCAACTCTTCCGCGGCACCGACCAACCCGCTCCCTGGCGACGGGATACCCCACGCCGTCGACACCTGATATATCGACGATATGGATGCGCGCTCTAGGCTTGTGGAGAAGGTCAAACGTCAAGCCAAGGTTCTGACTCTCTCGAGGTGCGAACTGGACTTGGTGGAAAGGCTTAGAGAATACGATGATGCGAAAATTGGAAAGCTCTTGTGAGGGAGGGAGTAAATGGGGTGTCTTGCAATTGGCGGTGGATGGGTGAGCGCCCCTAACGAGCGCGATTGAGACGGTGCTCAGTGAAAGAGCCAGGGCCACCCGCTCCTTCCCCAAACACACTGTTTATTTTTTTTTTCTCTGGTGTGCCACCATCATTTTATCCACTATATAATCTACAAACTTCCTATACTTACTATCAACCACCGTAAGATAGCCTAGCGGTTCAAGGTCCTGCGTCTGGATTAAAAGATGCGCTTCTGCGAACTCGCGGGCAATTCGAGCGGTGGGGGATATTTTTTTTGGTCGGGGGTTCGAGTCTCGGTGTTGGGTTTCTTCTTTTTGGTTTTTTGGGTTGTGGTGGATTGGTCACTTGTGGTTCTTGCTTCTTATGCAGTCTTTCAGAGAAAAGGCGCAAATCCAACTGAGGCGCTCGGATGTGGGCAACAACCGTATGGTGATTTGGACCGTTTCGGTGTCTTACTCTTTACTTCACCCGCACGAAACTACGTTTGGAACTTAACTGTAACCGTAGACATGAAAGTTATGTAAAACACCGTGCTATATGATACAATTCCCTGCTAGGTAGAGCGCTAGCCTGGAGATGCGACGTTCATGGGAAGCTGGAGCTGGAGGAGATGGAGTTACTTTATGTGCCTCGCTTTTTCCGTCAGTCACTGTGCAAAATAGCCGGCGCATTACAATCCTGTTGGGCGACCGAGAATTGAGCACAGTTCATATCAATCTGTGCCACTACTCGTGTTGAGTTTGGAAGTTGTACTTGGATATGGTTTTGAGGCTAATGATTTGTGGGCGGTAGAGGTTACAGATCTAGGATAAGAACTCGGTCGGATGTCAGCGTACAGATACTCCTAGAAGGCCGTAGTCCCCCCGGCTTTTGCAGAGACGAAGTCTAAGGAATAGAAATAATAGGGTCATTCGGACTTTTCAGAGCAATGTGAGGAGCAAGAAATAAGGCCCTTCACACAAGCTGGCACATCTTGTCACTCTAGAGGGTATGCAGAAGCAAGGCGCTTGTACTCTAGACTAAATACACCTGTACAATTATCTAACATGAATTGTGCTGCTCCAAAGCTATTACAAGCAAGCGATTAATCACATGCCTGAAGCTACAGACTGCCCTAGTTAGATAGCGGCCGTTGCTAGTTGGTACTACGGGTTGGAACCGGAATTCTGAGAGAACGTAGTCGGGTAGGCTGTGACATATGTGGTGACGTAATAATAGCCCTAGACTTCAAGAGCAAGACATGGAACGCTAAAGTTAGGAGCGGGGTCCACGGGTGTTTCTCTAAGTCTGCACATCTTTGATGCGGACTGCTTCGAGAATCCCTATAGATAAACGGTGCGGGGTGGGGCGGAGTGTTGCATCTCCTCACGTCTGGATGCGGAAGTACCGCAGTGGAGTATCGCTTCACGTCGCCATGTCTGCTACTCTCGATTCTTTGTGTGAAACTCGACCAAGTAGGCAGATCATGGAGTTACTAGATGCTATGGTCAAATCTAGGCGCGTCTAGATCTAGTATTGTCTAGCACATGTCAATGGGAGACCCAGGATAAAAGGGGCTCATGCTTCTAATGGGAAGGCCAGGGTACTCGTTCCATGAGCTTCCTCACTGAGGCGTCTACAAAGTATCATATCTACGTACATCTTCAAGTGCAGGACACGTCAACCTTTTGTTCTCTATAAGACGGAAGAAGAGAATAGTTCTTCGTCTATCAGAGTATATTTCCGCCATGCCCACTCTCACCAATTGGAATGATGAAGTTCAGTTTGACGTACCCAATGACCAGTTCAAGAAGCCAGAGCAGATTTCGGACGTCCAGGCCATCGTCAAACAGGCCTTTGAACAAGATCAGCACGTAACCGTCATCGGGGCCATGCATTCGACAACCGCATGCATGGCAGGCACCGGCATCGTCATTTCCATGGAGAAGATGGACAGTATCCTCTCCGTGGATAAGAATGGGTTGACGGCCACAGTGCAGGCGGGTGTAAGCTTCCGCCAGCTGTGCTCACACCTCAAAGAACTTGGCCTACAACCTTCTGTCCTACTGGAGTGGGGAAACTTCCGTATCGGCGCCATAAGCGGAACGCAGGCCAACGACACATCCATGAAGCGTTCAGCGCAGTTCTCATCGTACGTTCAAGGTGTAAAGCTAGTGACGCCAACCGGCGAAGTCATGGAGATCTCGGAGACCACAAATTCTCAAAACCTGGCTGCTATTCGCTCCCACAATGGCCTCTTTGGTGTAGTCTGCGAGGTCACATTGCGCATTCTCGAGACCCGACCTCTACAGGTCAACTTCCAGGTCACGAACGTCGACTCGTTTCTCGACGACTTCACGGAGCAAGTAAAGGGCCTGAAGTCAGACAATGACCAGGTGTTCGGGATGCTTTTCCCTACCACCGGCGAACTGCTCTTCCAGCGCCGGAAGTTTGTGGAACCGGGAACACCACATGGCTGGCTCGATCCCATTGAGAGCAAGGGCATCAGTTTGTACGGTGGCTTGTTCCTGCCCTTGGTAAAGGCGCTGACTGCACTACGCCCCTCGGCCGCCGTTGCGCAGCTGCTGCACGCCGCACTTATCCACTTCCCGCTGAAAATCATCCGCCATACTTCCTACATCATGGACCCGTGCGATCGCGGTATAATCTGGAGCGAAGATGATCCAAACTTCGAATTCTACGACTGGGCGTTCCCCGAGGAGAAATGGCCCGACATAATGCGGGCGTATCTGCAGCTGAGCCAACGCTTTCAGCGCGAGCGCAATTACATTCAGCCTCTGCCTTGCGCGATCTACTTTATCAAGCAAGACGAGTCATCCCTTCTGTCGCGATCGCGTACCGCCAATATGATGACGGTTGACCCTGAATACCCCGACCCGACCGATCCCACCTGGCGAGAGTTTCGTTTTGCGTTCAACGAGATTGCTGTGCTTTACGGCGGCATTCCTCACATCAACAAGACACGCGATGGTGCCATCAATCATTTGGCAAAAGCTATTGATCCCGATGTCATCCGACAGTATCTTGAGCTGCGTAAACAGTTCGACCCTAAGGATCTTTTCTTGAACGATTACTTCAAGACTATGTTCTCTGGCTTCCTGTAAGCTACACAGGCTTGCACATAAGGTTATCTTGGAGCTATGTAACAGGCTATAATACCGCTCCGTATTCTTTCACATCGTTCTTTGATTCAAGGTGTAGGTGCAATATGTACGTCACGGCAGGGGGGTTTAAGTAGTTATCAGGAACGAAATTGAAGACTTTGATTACGGTGTAGGGTCTAAACATAGGTGCGCGAGCTATACCTTTGGCCTTGGCTTGTGTTGCAAGTAATGGAGACGGGAAAGGAGACACCTGTAGCCCAACTCCCTCCACGCTAACCAGCACTAACGTTCTCATATTTACTTGCAAGGGCTAAGGGTCATTCCCAGGCTTAAGTTGGTGCTGTGACTGCCGTTTGCAAAGTGTACGATAGTAAAATGCTAACGGTGCAGTGAACTCTCGATTGCATTGAAGGAGGCTTAGCCTTCGCACGGAGAAACTTTGTCAGGTTAGGTGCTGTTGAGCTGGGGTTTTTGAAAAGGATGGAAGGGAGGTTAATGGAGGGAAGAGGGAGAGTCAACCCCACATGCTGCTTTGCCCTAAGATAGCTCTTCCGTTGAGAAAACTTCACGATCAAGATGTCGCCAGAGTGATTGTCCGAGGTGATAGTGACCGTAACTTAGGCCACACTAGGAAGCACCAATATAGTGCATTAAACCTCTTAGTAGACTTGACTTCGCCTATATCTCCTATTATCAGCCAGTAGACGTACTCGAAATTGGGCCATGATCAAGTCCATTCTCATCACCCACTTTGAGGTTAGTGGTCGGATTTGAGAGACCTTCGCGCGGCCCCGAGGCCAACTTCTCTAAGCGACAAAGGTTAACGAAGTTTGGAGGGGCGTAAGATATCTTGTATTAGTATTCACTACATGTACGTGGAAAACGGAAAGTGAAAGCATATATAGAACCCAGAAGACCGCCTGTAACTGTAGAATAGAAGCAAAGCGCGTGTGATCTAGAGTACGCTCTCTATACAATCGTTGAGGGCAATCATTCTCTTCGAACCCATGGGAACGCAATCCAACGTAAACAATTGACGTGGCACATACCCCAAAGCTGAGCCTTTCACTGCCCCAGAATGCCATACTTAATGGTAGTCGGGGCAGGGTCAGAACGCCAATTCTGCTGATCATAAATCACCCTTTCACAACTTACCAGTTTTCTCAGCTTACCGCATCTGTCACGTGCTGGGGCTAGGGAGTATATAGAACGTCGGATTTCTTCGACCAAAGACTTTACTCTCCATAAGCTCAACCCGTAACCGCCAGCTTAAAATCTTTACAGTTCAACTTTCAAACCGAGCTTTCGTGATATCATCTCTTCTACCAGATTTACAATGGGTCGCGCGCACCAAAACATGATCGCGGCACGCCTCCGCAAGCGCAACGAAGCCGCCGGAGTCAACACTGCCGCCGCCCAGTTGAGGGTGAAGTCGTCGCAAGCTCAAAATACTCCCAATAGTGCCGTCAGCAACGGAGATCAGGTCAACACCATCTCGAAGGTGAACAACATCCCGAAGGTCAACAACGCTGTTGTCGTAACAGCAACCACGGTCCCTCCAGCGTTGACCCGGTGCTCTATCAACCTGCTCGAAATGCCTGCCTACCAACGCAAAGCCCTAGCTCACGGTCCAACCATTAAGTTTGTCCAGGGTAAAACTTTCCTTATCTCACTTCCCGTCGGCCTCTTCTTCTCCGCGTCCAGCAATGCAGCGCAGCTTGTTTCCTCAAACTGCGCGACCGAAATCAAGCTTCCTACGAGTTTGTCCACCTCGTCCCTCCAGCTACTTCTCGAGTGGCTGAAGTCTTGCACCATGAAGAATACAATCTTCGCCCCTCGTGTTCAGCGGGATCTTGTCGACGCATTGAATATATACCACTCCGCCGAAGCCCTAGGGTTGCTGCCCTATATAGACAACACCTTGAAGTACCAAAAGCATCGTCTATTCAACACCACCCCCTCCGAGGGCGTGATCTCGACCATCGAAAACTCCGCCTTGAATGGAGGCTGCGATGACCATTTCCTTGCCATTCTCACCGAGCGGATCGCCTATATCATCCGCAAGGATCTGCTCCATGCTGACGAGAAAGATGATTACATGACGATGATCGCGAATCACCGTACGGTTTACGCTGTTGTTCAGCGCATCAACGGCCCCTGGATGAAGCGTCGCGCAGCAGAGGCTAGGCGCCTAGAGCTTGAAGCCAAAGCCGCTGCTGCCAAGGTCCGAAACGAAAAAGCAATGGAGCGTGCTGCAGCTGAGAAGGTTATGCGCAAGGAAGCCGCGAACAAGCTCTATCATGACGATATGGAGGCACGGGGCGCGTTGCTGGAGAAGCTCAAGGGTCAGAGCAAGGTCCTGACTCTCACTAAGGACGAGATGGAGCTGGCAGAACGCTTGAGGGGTTACGGAGATGTGCAAATCGGGAAGTGGATGTGATAGACTGGGTTATTGGCTACCTTGGCTACCTTGGCTATGGGTTATCGTGAGTGAGGTCACAGGACAAATGGGATAACGGGATAGACTGCTTCTGGGATAGACTTCTGGTGATGAATGCAAAGAAGCGTCACACAACTTTGATCAACCAATGAGACGAAGTGAGATGTAAATTGTGAAGTATCCGTTTGTTTGAACCCCTATAAAACACCTAGGGTAAATAAATGGAAGAACGGGCCATGGTGCGTCCGAAAGCAATCTTGCGTGCTCGAAAGACATGCATATCATCGAACGAATGAGATATTAGGAAATAATGGAGTATATAGAACCGTACCATTGGCACGGATAATTTGTGTCGGTGATACTTTACCACTAATGAGTAGATGGATCACAACATAACACGTAGACGTAAAACGCAAGTCAGTCATTGGGATGGTTAGGGAGAAGCGACCCGATTACACCGTAGTCAAACGAGACCATGTTTCTCGACCGGATCTCCGACGACCCACGTATTGAAGACTCGCCATCTAGAAGAGACAACCAGCATCGACTCAGTGCACGCATGTCACTCCCCTTCCTCTTCTTCTTCCCTTCCATTCCTCAGCGTCAAGAACCACCACCACCGCCGCCGCCGCCGCCGCCGCCGCCACTGTCACCACCGCCGACTCCTCCCCAACCTCCACCACCGCTATCACCACCGCCGAACCCTCCCCAACCTCCGCCTCCGCTATCACCTCCCGAGTATCCTCCATCGTACCCGTCAAAGCCTGAACCTCCCCCCGTTGGACGTGGGCGCGAAGGCCTGCTTGGTCCACAGCCCATTGTGCGAGATTGAAGATGTGTCTGACTTGGGGCTGATCGAGATCCGTTGATTGGTGTGACGAGCTCTTGACGAGTGTTCAGTAAAGCTTTGCCTTTTAGTACGCTTTTGGAGATGTTCAAGACTGGGAATTCGTACGCTTGAGGATGTAGTGATTGATGGTTTGAACGCAGTCAGACACAGAACGAGACAATAACATATATACATGTACAGCTTCCGCACAGCCTCACCATGCATACCCTACATTTCAGAACTCTTGCTTCCTATCTTGTCAGCCATCGCCCCTGCAGGCTTCCCCAATGCCCATTAGTAGGCGTCCTCCGCGTTCTTCGTCCTGACAAAATGTGCCGGAACGGATGTTCGTTGACAGTCAAGGGGATAGCCTCGCAGCTTGACCGGTAGGGTGGGAGCAGCAACCCCGACTACAGGAGTGACAGGTCAACCTGATGATTTTGTGTGTCCTGTCCCCTGCACCGGTCAACTCCTATTTTCAGGATGAACTTTTTGAAAGGATGCGACCGGATAACTTATAAGGCGTTGCGATGCGATGTGCAGAGCTAAGCGTCAGCTTGACTTGGGGCGGACTATCTAACACCACCATTGCCCGAAAGGGATTAGTGTAGGACGTGGCTGTGCTTCGTAAGTCCGTGGAACCCACCACCAGGAAACTTTGGTCCTGCGGTCCTTGCTGCAGATGTACAGATTTGATTGATTCCTATGGGATCATGGCACAGTCGAATTCTAAATCTTGCTCCTCTGGATATATCCACGCCCAAATGTTCTAGGTTTTTTTTCCGTACCTAAGTGACCTAACGACGAGCGCAGCACAAAGTGGTGGGCAGGCGAATTTAGAATACATAGCCTTGTAGCAATATTTAGTGGTTTATTTCATTCTACCTTTATTACCAATATGTTGCAATCTCTTATTCAGAAGTAGTAAACCGGACGAGCAGAGACCGTATCCTGGTCTGTCCTACTATAAGCTTTTTGCGGTGTTTACTGCGCTCTAGTCCGCCCAGTAGTGTGGTTCCCGGTAAGTAAAGCTTCCAAGAGATGGTGTGATATACACCTACCATTCACTATCCTCCACTCCTGATCATCTAGTTCACCGTCATCCCAGTGAAAACATTATAGGCCCGCATCTCAGAACTAGGATTGACGTGCCACAATATCTCACGATCTTTGGGGCTATCTCTCGTTTGAATGAGTAATAAAAAATGTCTGCTTGACCTTTGCGACCTCTACTGCACCTCGCATTGCTGGCTAGGGGGACTCGAGGGTAAGACTAAGATTGACCATCATTTTGCTCAAGGGCAGTTTGGTGGTAACATGCCCGAGTTTGATTGTACTATCACACATCTCGCACATCGGATTCCCAGACGCGGTAGGGTATTGTTTCTCTGCGAAGTTGCCGCAATGTTCGAGCAAGAAAAGATCACAGATGCCTATGGCCCATAGGGTATGTTGCTGGTGCCAGGCAGACCGGTTCAAACCAGGACGCCTTGATATTGGGGTATCAACGTTACGCGGACGGAGATAGCTTCTGCGCTATGTTCACGACTTCGCCGGCAAGCTCGGGCTGAGGTTACACGTTAATGAGGATCGACCCTCAAGAACCAGGGTGCTGGTGATCATTCATGTCCCGTTGAGATTCTTAAAAGATGCGTAATGCTGAGAATATATGTTGGACATAAAGCCAGCGCATGGATTTCGGAGTACTGTAAGAATAGCAGTGGAGACATCTGTCGGCAATTCCTTGCTTGTTGAGCCTGCTTTGAGTAGTCATCGAGCATATTCCACACTCATCTCCCAAAGCAGACCCGTTAAATATATTTCGCAAGGGTAAACTACATACAACCGCCGAATCATCAGTATGTAGTGCCATAAGACAGACGTCGTGCGTCACAGGAATATTGTCATGATGTGCGGATCAGCCATCAAGTATGATGCTAGAATGGAGAAGGACAAGTCGCTGGCTTTTTATGCACCCTAACGTAAAACTTGACTCTGAAATTGGAACTGGGACCAATTACTTTTGATAAACTAGCCAGAACATCGCGGGCAGATTGTAAGATGGTTTGTAGGGAAGGAGGAGCTTGGATAGGAGTCTCTTCTAGACTGGATTATCAAGCCGCGTCCGAGAACGAAAACAGGACGCTACTATTTTCTCCTTACCAGCCGTCCCGTGAATGTTTCCAATTTGACACCTAGATTTTTGGCAGCACCATTACACGGCTCATACAGTTCCAGGAGCAGTAAATAACAACACCCTCCGACCCAATCCTGCTACACCGTGCAGTAGACACCTAACCTCAAAGCAACCCAGCCTTGTCACCAAATTCTTGTTTTCTGACTCTCAAAATCTTTTGCCTCGATAGCATTCATAGACTACAATATCCACTGCATATTAACGCACTCCTGTTCAACATATTGACACCGTCTTTTACAAGTGTAGCATATTCAATAATAAGCAACATCAGGAAATTTATGAATACTAGGTCTGAGCCCCGGGTGTGTACATGCACCATTAATATGGCTCATCGTGGTTATTGGTGGGTAAACTTCAGCCCTGGGCCTTTCAGCTCCCCTCAAAAGAACCTTGCATCTCTGCTCACCGCTGCAAAACGGCGAGGCAGAGCCGCACTCGGCCCAGCAGAGGGAGCAAGGGCAAGGAAACATGCCGATTGGTCGATTTATTGCCTGAGTTATACGGTGGTATATGAAAGTGACATTAGCCTCGTACTATCCGAAACGTCCTAGTGCGAGTCTCAGTACATAGGTATCGACGGGCTGAAATATTGTAGACCGTCCATGATGCCCTACTATACGCGTACGTGGGTCTTCAAAAAGACCACTCAAAATAGAATATGCGGGTTGAGATGAAGACATCGTCAAAGGAATGGCACTGTGCAGCGATGCCACAATCGCTCAATGTCCTCAGAATCTGACTTTTGCTTGGGTGCGTCTGCCCAAGGGTGAATATGATTGCTGTTTTAGCTGATACTAGACTGATTTGGAAATTGCTGTAGACGTTCATTTTCGCGTGCATATATTCTCACCAGCTGAATCCCAGTGGCGAATATCGTGCTATTTTTCAGCTGCGTGGGGCCGAACCACCATTCGAGTATCGTATGATTACTCACTCGGCGAATATGCCCAGATCGTCATCAGACTAGCAGGCATATAGAATGCGTCCCTGCATAACTTTGCACGCCTAAATGTCTGGAACTACTACATTCAAGGTTTCTGGAATGGTCGCTGGCTGCAATGATACTCTGTGGTATGATTCCGGTGTTCTTTCTCCACCGACCTGTTAGGCGACGCCGAAGTCACCACGGCGTGTGAAGGAAGCTGAACTTCAATCCACAGGGGAATACGACCCCATCTACAAATGGGCGAAGCTCTCAAGAAGCGTATAAGAATGGTCTCCCTTCCACACAGAAGTCCCATCCCAGCGACAACAAACAGCGCAGTCCTCTCTACAACACCTGCAAATTCTCCCTCAACACATTCTCGAACACAACTACCAACTCAAGTCTTCCTGCATCACCAGCAAAGTCAACATGCAATTCACCACCACCGCCGCCCTCCTCCTCTCGGCCCTCGCCTTCCCCCTCCCCGCAACCTCAGAAGTAACCGAGCCCTTCGCCGTGAAGGTCAAAACCTTTGACAACATCACCGCCTGCAGGCTCGACCTTCCGCTGACCAACGACTGGCTCAAAGACGGCACATGCCACCATCTTCCCAACTCGCGCTTGGATGTCAACGAAATTCATGACACGTGCCGAAGTAAGTTGATTGTCAGAACGGTGGAAATTGGAGTATCGCTGATTGAGGTGGCAGTTTTCATTTATGAGAACAACGACTGCTCGGGCTGGGAGAGACAGGTGTATGCCGGGGAAACGTGCATCGATATCAAGAAGTTCTACTCTCTGAAGGCTTTCTGCCATTAGGGCGTTTGGGGAGTCCTCTTTGGTCTGATTTCGTGGGAACCTGAGAGTTGGAAGCTGGAAGGTCAATAGATGAGCATGATAGATGAGCATGATAGATGAGCGTAATAGAGTGCATTCTGCTGTTTCCTCTTTGAGCTGAGCATTGGCGTATACAGTTTGTTTTCGAGACGTTATCCCAGTGAAACGTGCTGCTCAGCTTGCTTGCTTGCACGGTGTGCAGGCTTGTGATATGGGAAATATTGACCTATGTACACTTTCATCCGGATTCTACTATTTGACAATGCCCTCACTTTTCAGAGGCTGTCCCTTGCTAAATGAGCATCACAGAAGAAGAAATCATTGCAGAAGACATAGGCATCGTCAATTCTGTTGCATTCACTAAAAACTTAGCTTTTCCTGCCAAATCACCTTAGACCAAAATTGAGACATCACTCGAACCCAGCTGGCGATACTGAAGCGACGCTGATATCGCTAGACACGTTCAGCTCAATCGTTGATTCGCCCATACCTTCGCAAATCTGAAGCACCGTGTCCAACGCGTACTTTGGAAAAATAGCAGGAGATCCTGAGCTTACCGGTACGACCCTCAATCGCATTTCCCTCCCCTACGACCCTTCAAGAAATAACTGCACAACGTTCCCAGATGAGCGCATAACGATTATTTATGCCTCGCACTACGTCTGGGCTGCCCATCGGCAGTCGCCGGCTTCTTAGGCTGCCTCTTGCGAACCGGTTCCTTCTTCTCTTTCTTCTGTTTCTTGGCCGTGGGCGGCTCTTTCTGTTCCTGTTCCTCGCCTTCAGCCTTCTCTTCTTCGGCGGCGGAATGTGCTTTCCGCTTCTCGCCAGTCTTGGATTCCTCTTCGTCGGCTTGTGTGACTTCGGCTGCGGGTTTCTCTTCCTGGGGCTGCTGGGTTTCTTCTTCTCCTGCCTTCGCTTCTTCTGCCTTTTCGGCAGGACCGGTCTCTTTGGCGGGTTCTTCCTTTTCCTCGGTAGGTTTCTCCTCCGTGGCTGGAGCCCCCTTCATCTCCACATCTTTCTTTTCCGTCTCAATCTCAGGCTCCTTCTCAGCAGCCTTGGGCTCACCCTCCTGCTTCTTTTCCTGTCCCTCAGTTTGCTTTTCCTCTGCCTCGGGCTGGTTCTCCTCCTTCTGCCCCTCGGTCTTTGGCTCACCATTGGCTTGTTGTTCATCAGGCCCATTAGCCTTCTTTTCGATGTCGACCTCATGCGCACGCTTCACGACATCATTTCCCTCCCTCGCTATGTGTACGGCCGGGTCTTCGGGCGAAGCGTTCCTCTTGATCGTATTCCCTTTGTTGGATTCAATGGCCAGTTCGCCGTGCTCCTTGACTTCAACCACTTCGCCGCTAGGATGTCCTTGACCCCATTTCCAGCTCACTGCCGATTCCAGAGACGTTAGCAATCCTGTTCTAACGTTCCAGATCAACTGGGGACCCGCAATTGATGAAGAGAAACTGGACAGGGAAGCTAATAAACTCGCGGACAGAGCTATGCGCAAAGCGCATTTAACGGCGCAATTGGCCCTTGATAATAGTTATACTGAGGCTTGTTAGGGAGGCATACCTTGATCTCCCGGCTGAACCTGAGTATCGGCCATTTTGCAGCTTGTCGCTAATAGAAGCCCGGCGCAGGTCGGTATGACGTGATGTCCTTCAAGCTCTCAAATAATGGTCGCAATTGTTTAATTGATGTTGCTTCCGAGTCGCGTGGAGGTGGCGACGGTGTGCAGGATGAGAAAGGCGATGCGCGAAGGTGGAGTGAGTGGGAAGTGAGAGGTGAGTCGAGAGGTGAGAGCACCGGAGACTGAGAGATCGAAGGTGGTGGAAACAGCCCAGAATGCGTTGCTCCCGATCGCGTTGCTGCAAGCAATGCCGATCCTGGGACGTGATTGGCTCTCCTAGGATTGTGGAGAAACACGGCGCGTCATCGGTTGGCCCGTGCGGTATTTCCGCAACGGGACTGCTGTGGCTACGGTTGTGGCTCTGGCTGTGGCTGTGTATGGGATCTAGATGAGAATTCCAGAGGAGTATGGATGGAAACCCTCGAGGAACGATGTAGAAGATCGCAAGATTGTTCGAGCGATACGGTGTCTCATACCTTGTAAGATTGGTAAGGATGAAGAGGAATTGAGTATATTACATTATCAACGAAGACTAGGGCGTGCGACCGTACGTCGAGACCTTGTGCAGGAACCTCAAATACACCGCACCATTCCGCTGCGAATGCTCGTAGTCGAATGCCTTCACCATGCCCATAAGATGAGAAGCTGCAGCCAAAACGACGAGTACGTGAAATATCTGGTGTGAGGACCCCCAGATATCAAAGGAACCAGGACTGGACCGCTCGGGAAATCGAGCTGCGTAAAGCCCAGCGCCGAGGATATACAGCACTCCTTGGAGCACAACCCAGTCGAGCCCGACCATCCTCCTCATCTGCTCCAGGCCATACAGTTGGAGGCCGTGAACAATGGGTCCTACTGCGGAGAGTCCCATGAGGACAAACATCAGAGCGCGGAAGGGTCTAAGAGCAGGGGTCCTGAACTTGGGGTGGATGCAGGCGGTTGAGGTGATTACTGCAAGAGTGCTGATCTGTTCAGGTCAGCACAAAGATAATCCAGATATTCCTAGTTTCAAGCTTACCATTGTCCAGTACCGGAAGATGAGAGGTGGATCGCTCTGAAACCCATAGTAGATGATCGGTATAAAGCTTCCCCAAATCAAGAAGACGATGCCCAGATAGTCGAGCTTATTTCCAAAGCTGCTGACTTCTGGAGAGTGATTCGAGATGGTGTGATATGTCGCACTCATTCCCAGGCACATGATAGCCCCTAGGAAGTAGCAACCAAAGACGAAGACATCTTCTAATGTGGCCGTTTCGTACCGCGGTCTTAGTATAGGGTAGAGAACCAGGCCCGTAATCAGCGCTGCTATGGATCCGATGAGATGTGTGTAGATGTTCACAGTCTCATTGTGGAGGTATCCAAGGCTCTTTGCTGACTTGATGAATGAGTTGGATGCCGGGCGGTAGCCGCTTCGGATGTAATGATTGTCTTGTTGCCAAGAGGGTAAATCGTTCCAAAAAACCGTTAATCGTTTCTCTAGCTCTTTCTCTCCGGCCGAAACCCTGCGTACCGCCTTCTTAACAGCGTCCATGTGGAGGGCAGTTTGGTTGACTTTGTCGTAGCTGGCCGAACTGGAGTATCAGGAAGCTCGAGCGGCGGGAAGTGAGAACACTGAAATCGACATGGAGAATGAGGTGGGCTCTTGAGGATTTCAACTGAGTCACTAAGAAGAGTTACTTAGGTATATATATCAATTTGTATTGTCACAAGCTGCTGACATGTTTCTGGGCGGATTCTGAAGTACCCGTTGCTGTTAGTTCTTTTGCTTTCCGCACTAGTCCCTTTTCAGACTTAGTTGCGAGCTCCGAGGTATCAACATTGAACAGGCATCTCATATGTCAACTGCCTCCACCCCTCCAAATGAACTGATGCCGCTGCTCTTCTAAGGACTACCCCGAAAGATCAAAGTGTGTTGGTCGAATGGTAGTACTAGGCTTCAAGTTTCTTAAGAGCAGGCTTAATCATTCAACGTTGTGGTCAATTATCGCCGAACCACCTCCATAACTCCGCGTATCCCACCTTCCTGGAATTCCCCACCATCATTCGTAAACACCACCGCACAATACCCGCCACAATGCCAAAGCACCCTCCTTGAAGGGTCGATAAAATGTTTTTGACCTCGAACGTACCTCGAAACAGCTCATCACGATGAGGAGCGCAGACCAATCCCGTTCTAGCAGTAGGCGGGGAGCCTCAGGCGCATGGAACCGACTGAAGCCGATTCGAGATGACACCCTCGAAGCCTATAGCTTCCCTTCAAAAGGAGAAACGAGGTGCATAATGACGGCTCATGCTATGTATCTATGCCTAACACGTTGACCAGGCTCAACGACTTCAAAACCCAAGAAACGTTCTATAACCGCATCGTTGACCGGTACATGAAGTTCTGTGCATCCACAACGACCACCTCTGACCTAGACGCCTGTTTCGCCGCCCTCTCTATATCCTCCACGTCCCTAACGCCTCAACGCGCTCCAGCCGGCCCGGCAAAGCCAGCCTCCGCCTCTACCTCGTCACGCACAACACCCAGCCACAGTCCCGGCGCCACCCCATCTCCCCCTCAAAAGAACGACCTCCCGTTAATCCTCACCGCCCTCCGCAAACTCCGCGAGGCCATAACCGCCACACACCGACAAGACGGTTTCGCTCTTCGCGCCTACACCTTCAACATCCATGCTGCGCTTCTAGCCAGAGATTGGGAATCCTACCTCCCAGCCCTGCACTACCTGCTCTTCACTATCCATCCCCGTACCCCACTCTCCTCACCCGAATTGCATGAATATGTTGGATATTTGATCCTCGACCAGGCATGTCGACAAGGGGATCTGATGACTGCACATGAGTCGCGGGTACGGTATAGGTATAGGGACAGGAGGGTGGAAGCCGTGCTCAGAGCCTTGATTAGAGATGACTGGGGTACGTTTTGGAGGATGAAGAGAGCGGTGGATGGGTATCAGAGGCGGATCATGGAGTTTGCGGAACAGAGGATAAGAGTGCATGCTTTGAAGTGTCTGGGCAGGGCGTATATGACTGCGGATAGGAGTTATGTGGAAAGGGTGGCGGATAGGAAGTGGGAGGATTTGGTGGAGGATGGAGTAGGATGGGAGTTGGCGGAAGGGGATAGAGTGGTAATTAGGAGACTGAAGGGGAGGTAAACGGGAAGTTGGATAGGAGACAGGATCGGACGTTGCAAGTCTCCCAGATGATCATCTTGGGCCTTATAATTTCACGTCCTGGGACTAGTCGTACGGGCCGATGGTCGCCTGTCCGGTTATGATTTATGGTCAATTGCAATCCAAGAAGAGCGATGTACAACTCTCGATTGGGTATCTCTGTGACTGGAAAGGCATTTGCCTCATTCTTCATCCTCCATTTCTTCATCTTGATCCTCATTTTCTCCTCCGCCCTCGCCCTCACCCTCATCATGCCACACATCGTCATCCATATCGTACTCATCGTAATCTTCCATCTCGTCGTCCTGGTCATCTTCACCCTCCTCGCCCCTCTCCGCCCTCTCCTTTCTCTTCTTCTCAATATTCTCCCTCTGTATCCTTCTCCTCTCCTCCTTCTCCTTCTTTCTCTGCTCCCAAACCTCGTCCATCTTCTCAACCTCATCCTTACTCTTCCTCACAAACTCATGCCAAAGCACCTTCCCTCCGCAAATATCTTCCTCAATCTTCGTCAACCTCAGTTTCATCCTGGGGCCCAGCTCGATCAGCTTGACAGCTCGCTTCTCCACCTGCGGTCCCTTGCCCCGAGACATCGCCTTCCGACCATCTTCCCTCGCAGCCGCCTTTTCCCTCTCCTTCCTCGACAAAACCTTCCGAGTCACCGGCGCTGCAACCTCCACTTCAGCGTCCGTTTCCACCTCCGTGTCCGATGCGGAAGTGTACCCTGCCGCAGAAGGATCAAGCATGTAGTCCGCCACGTCTTCAAGCCCACCCAGATTGGGTAGCGCTCTCTTCTTCTTCTCCCTGCTCTTGACTAATTTCTCAGCAGCGCGGAGTCTTCTTATGGGTTTGGGGAGCCCGGTCACTTTGGTGGTGATTGCGTAGTGGCGGAGGCTAATTGTGCAGGTGCCGTTGTCGTTTTCAGATGGGGGTTCGCGGTTGAGGAGAAGAACGCGTTTGATGGACTGGAGAGGGGTGGTATGAGGTTGGATTGGAGGAAAGAGACCTTGGAACTACGATCGGTCAGCAAGAGGAGCTTCCTTAAAGCCCGAAGTGCATACCATATCCGTTACTAGTTTCTCGAGATGCTTAGGTGGAGCAGCATCGCCCATCTTCTCTCGATCAGCGTCCGAAGTGAGGAAGTTGTTCATAACCAGCAACGGCGCCATCTGGTAGTCGTCCTTTGCCGACCGTGCATGCTTCTGTGCCTTGAAGATATCCTTGCATAGGGAGTACTTCTCGACGCGGAAATGGAGAGTAGGGCCTTTCGGCGTTCGAGCTAGACGCATGTTCGTGTTTCCCGATTCTGAACGAGAGAATAGAAGAAGATGCGTCACGCCTAGGGGACCACACATTGTCACGTAATCTCTGAGCTTGTTGGCTCGTCGTTCCTGGGATAAAGCATTAGCAATGCTTCAATTAATGGAAGTAGGGGTGATTCGCACCTTCAACCGTACGGCAGTGTCGGGTTCCATAACATGTCGTACATCCATCACCAGCTGGCTGACGCTCGTTCCCACTTCTCCGGCTCCAATCCGAATCACCATTGATTTAGGATTTCCATCTTTCGGCTGCTTCGCTGCGGCCTTGTCTGCGGCAGACTGCTTCTTCCTTCTGCTGCTGGTGCCGCGCGCCATTCCGACGAGTCTCCTTTACAATCTGGGATCGGTGTCTCCAAATATCTGAAAAGACTCTGGTAGAGATTATCCAGAGAAATGATATGTTCGATTCAACTTGGATATTGACAACCCAAAGTTGGAGGTCCAGAAATTTTGGCAGTTCAAACTCTTGGCATTCCTTATCTTATCGGCTAGCGTCTCCGCTTGATTTTTGTCATGAACTTGTGGCTGGCTTCAACTCCACCCATGTATCCCAATTCGAGATGTCGGCGCTAAAGAAGAGGAAGTTGAACGGTCCGTCGCTGGGAGCCGCGGCGCCGAAGATAAAGTCCGCGAAACCGTCCACATATCCTGGGAAGGTTGCGAAACCGGCCTCGAAACCAACTGCAAAACCTACCGAATCGCCGAAACCCGTGGAATCCGAAGCCAGCGAGGATGAGGAGGACGAGGATGATGACGGGGAGGAAGTTAATAATGCAGGATCCGGTGAAGAGGCGGAGCAGGCACAAAATGGTAGCAACGGAGGAGAAGTGGGCAGGAAAACATTTGCCGATTTGGGAGTTATCGATTCGTTATGCGAAGCATGCGAGAATCTAAAGTTCAAATATCCTACACCGATCCAGGAGCAGGCCATACCGCTCGCTCTTGAGGGGAGAGATATGTGAGTAGGATGGTATAACCAAGTACGGAACAGCCTTGCTAATGCCTGTGCAGTATTGGTCTTGCAGAAACGGGATCTGGCAAAACGGCAGCATTCGTGCTACCCATCCTACAAGCTCTCATGGAGAGGCCGCAATCGAATTTCGCTCTCATCCTGGCGCCGACACGAGAACTTGCATACCAGATCTCCGAGCAGGTGGAAGGGTTGGGCTCCATAATCAACGTGAAGACGGCTGTCCTGGTCGGTGGAATGGACATGGTCTCGCAAGCGATCACGCTGGGAAAGAAGCCGCACATAATTGTAGCAACGCCGGGTCGCCTATTGGATCACTTGGAGAACACCAAAGGTTTCTCACTGAAGTATTTGAAGTACTTGGTTATGGACGAGGCGGATCGTCTGCTTGATCTGGACTTTGGACCCATCCTTGATAAGATCCTCAAGGTTCTTCCCCGTGAAGGACGGCATACCTATCTCTTTAGTGCGACTATGAGCTCAAAAGTGGAGTCGCTACAACGTGCATCCCTCAGCAACCCCGTTCGCGTCAGCATCAGCTCTTCCTCACATCAGATCGTATCCTCTCTCCTCCAGCGACTGATAATCCTACCTTAGTAAGCTTCCTCTTCCGAAGGAGCAAGTGTCCTCGACTGACCGAAACCCAGCAAACACAAAGACATCTACCTCATCCACATCCTCAACGACAACATCGGCCACTCCGTCATCATCTTCACGCGCACCGTCAACGAAACCCAACGCATCGCCATCCTGCTCCGCACCTTGGGCTTCGGCGCCATCCCTCTCCACGGCCAACTCTCGCAATCCGCCCGGTTGGGCGCTCTGTCCAAGTTCAAATCCCGCTCGCGCGACATCCTCGTCGCAACGGACGTGGCAGCACGCGGTCTCGATATTCCCTCGGTCGACCTCGTCATCAACCTGGACCTGCCGGCCGAATCGAAAACCTACGTGCACAGGGTTGGGCGTACCGCACGTGCCGGGAAAAGTGGCAAGGCAATCTCGTTCGTCACGCAGTATGACGCTCCTATCTGGCAGCGCATTGAGAACGCGTTGGGATACAAGGTCGAGTTGGAAGATATCCCGAAGGATGAGGCGATGGTGTTGGCCGAGAGGGTTGCGGAGGCGCAGAGGGTGGCTGTGCGGGAAATGAAGGATATTCATGAGGCGAGGGGGAAGAAGGGCGGTATGAGGGCGAAGAGAGGGAAGAGGAGTAGGGATGAGATGGATCGCGAGGAAGGCTGAAGTAATGCTCACGTGTTGTAAGATGGAATAGCAAATAATGATTTTCAAACCTCCATATGGCCTGTAGAGTATCGATTGAGAGCAGCGTCAGTGGCGTAACACTAAACGCCACCCGTAACCCAAACTCATCATGGCCACAGCAGTCACGTTAACCTACCTTGTTGTCTTCCTTTATATTTTATTATGATGTAAATGTATGCATCGCACTTCAACATTAGCCAAGCGGTTGGGGAGACCTGCGTCGGACTTACAGATGGCCGATACGGGTCTCCTTAACGGCTAAGCCAATGTTGATATGCGATGTTTTTGCCCTGGTGTTCGACTCCTGCCGCTGAGTTGTGCATTTTTTTATTGTGTGTTGGAGTTTTAAAGGCAATTGCTTAGGTTTTGTTACTGGGGCGGCTAAACCAGCTTTCACGTGTGGAATCTGCAGCATTATTGATAGCAGACCAGGGAAAACGTGTCCAGTACGTTGTAAATAGAAGGGGAAGGAGTTGAGAATTGAGGGAAGCGGTACCAGCCGTAGCCATTAAGTAGAGAGCGGATGTCCATTCTAAGGGATTCGAGTAATTGTTAATGTAATGTATATCAGTCTATATATTTACAAAGTCTAAGTGGACTCAACCCAACCCAACACCAGCCTCAACAACCCCAAAACCCTACATCCTCGCCCTCCTCGACTTCTCCATCTCCTCCCTCAACACCATACCCACCGGCCCACCACGACTCCCATCCCCCTCCCACAACTCCTCCGGCACCCTCTCCTTCGGCCACGCCCACTTCTCCCTGAAGTCCTCCGGCGTACGACCGAGTATGCAATCAACGATGCAGTCACCGATAACGGGGAGGAACTTGAACGCATGACCGGATCCGCCCGTCGCAACGAACAGTCCCTTGTACTTGGGATGGTAGTCGATCAAGAAGTCCCCACTGGGCGTGTCCGTGTACCAGCATATCCTAGTCTTGGACCAAGGGCGGGAGAGCTGGGAGAGAGACGGGTGGATGCCGGAGAGGAAGGCACGGCATTCCTTTTGGGCTTCTAGGGGGAGGATGTCTTGAGTGGGGTCGTCCATGTGGGTGTATGGGAGGGAGACTGTTATTGTTTCTTCATGAGTGGCTGATGGGGGAGCCTCGGGGTGAGGGATTGTAGTCGGGTTGGTGTAGCCGTGGCCGTGGCGCGCGATCTTGAGCATGTTGCGCGATGGGGTGATCATGAAGAGGCCTGTCGAAAGATTCAGGAGTGTGGGTTTGTCGCCTAGAGCGGCTTGTTCGGAGTCGGATATGGGGAGGTAGACTAGAGCTTGGCCTGTGGATTTGCATATCCCGCGTAGATCGAGGAGTGCAGGGCTCCAGGCGCCTGCCGCTAGGATTGTGAGAGAGGCTTCGAGCGTAGTGCCATCTTCGAGTATGACGCCCGAGACCGTGTTACGTGCGTGGTCGATGTTGAGCTTTTTCACAGTTCCCGTGAGAAACTCTACGCGGTTGAACCTTTCCACCTCACACCGTAACCATCGCATAGCGCCTTCGGCGTCGGCCCAGCCAGAGCTCCAATTCACGTATCCGACGCTGCCGCCAGCAGGCGCCGGATTACCTTCTGCGGAGCTGTTACTTTCCAGTCCGCATACACGCTGGATATCGGCAGATGACTGCAATACTTCCGTTTTATCGGTTCCTATGGCTTGCACATTTCGGAGTGATTCTGTCACGTATTGCTGTTCCGGACCTGAGGCTGTGACGCATAGTCCGGTCTGATGATAATGCTCAGGAGCGAACGTGGTGCGCCAGAGGGCTTGCGCAGCTGTGGCAAGTTTGGTGTAAGGGAGAGAGGCATAGTCGGGACGGACTATGCGTGATGTGTCGATCTGGCAAGTTGGCGTTGGCGAAGGTATGAATATGAACGGAATCAAACAGGAAAGATCACTAGAAAACATTTGCACCAGGCTATAGGTTCTTCCACCAAGGGAGATTGGCTGACGAGATAGAAAAAGACTGACAAGAAAGAGTTGAATAATCTTACACTTGAGCTGTCTGGCGCGGGAAAGGGATACCGGTCTACAAGAACGATCCTAGTATTCTTGAATATAGGGCTTTTGCAGAGAGCCCACGCAGTGGATAGCCCAAAGACCCCGCCACCGATGATAAGCACGGAAGAAGGCACTTTGTAATGATTTTCTGTAGCTGCCATACCGGAATTGTTTGAAACGACTGTGTATAGAGCTGTAATGAGAGAACAACCAAGGAGCGTATCGTCACGATCGTGGACACATCAGAACCTACCTGTTCCTAATAAATGATCTTGCTCCCGAGGTCCGATGTCATCGAATTCGTGAAAGCGCAAGCTGGTTAGCGGGAGCTTGGACCTGCGGATAAACAGTCGGCCCGAAAAACCTCAAACCATCTATCACCGAGTAGTCTCAACAACCACAACCACCGCAGTCGCTCGTTTTCGGGACCATTGAGTGCCCATCTGCCGCAATGAAACCGCCAAAGGTTCCCAAAGGATTACCGAGAAAGCTGGCGTCCAAAGCTCAACCTTTCGTCTCTCGAGTTCCTCGATCGCAACCCGTTACGCCAATATCGCAGAAGCCACTGCCGACTCGAAGAACAGAGTCACTTGGTCCAGTGCCTTCCGCGGTCCCCGAATACAAGCCACTGCCTGTCACTGGGCCCCGCATTGCTGATGAGGATACATGGGAGCAAAAAGCAGCACATGAAGCCAAAGTGAGACGCTGGCAAACATGGCCCATTGCAATTTGTGCACTGGCTGCGTTTGGAATGGGCATGTATACCGTGCAGCTGTACATTTCGCTGACACGGGAAATTCCTGAAAAAGATATTCCAAAAGAGCTTATCGATCGGTTCGACAGGGAAGCGGAGGGGTATGACGAGAAGGTCGGCACAGCGGAAATCATGCTGAGAATGACAGCTCGCCGGAAGGCTCTTACGGAGAAGGTACATGGCCATGTACTGGAGGTCGCGGTGGGGACCGGCAGGAATTTCCCCTATTACCCTACGAAGAAGTGCTCGACAGTGACGCTCCTCGATGCCAGCGGACCAATGCTGGCTGTGGCCAAGCGTAAGTGGAAGGACGAACATCCGGAATACTTTCACCGGGTCTTCTTCAAGCAACAATCGGCGTTGGATCCCATCACCCCTCCATATGGAGCCCAGGACGGGTACGATACTGTGCTGCAGACCATGGGCCTCTGCTCGACGTCGGAGCCCGTGAAACTGCTGCAGAATCTCGAGAAGGCGACAAAGGAGAATGGACAAATATTGCTCCTGGAGCATGGCAGATCATACTACGATTGGTTGAACAAGCTGTTGGACAAGACGGCACCCGCGCATGCCGACGAGCATGGGTGTTGGTGGAATAAGGACATTGGCAAGATCGTGGAGGAGAGCGGGCTGGACGTGGTCGAAATCAAGAGGTACAACTTTGGTACGACGTGGTGGGTGGAACTGAAGCCGCGGAAGAGGTCGCAGCCGAAGGTGGAGGCACCCAAAGAGGGAGAATCCGCCGGGGGGCCTTCCCCAGTTGCACAGAAGCCGTGGTGGAACATCTGGAAATGAACCCCCTATACTTGGTCGGCAGCGTGCAGCTTGCAACGAGCGAGGGCGTTTTCCCAGCATCGACAGCAGCTCAGCGAGCACAGCAAAAGACAGCCCGGACGGACCAGCTAGTGCTAGCATGAACTTTCAGAATCGACCATGGGCGGTTGACGTCAATATCAACGACACCACACTCTGGTTCCGCCATGTGTTCTGGTAGCTTTCAACCCCACCCACGCTTATTCTGGATGCGCTGGTTTGCTGGTCGATCAAAATCTGAAGTGTTGGCTACCCCAGCGGTGGAGTAGTGGAGAGCTGACATGCATGACTCGGCGTCAATCTGTCAGCAAACAAGCGGAGAGAGACAGGTCGCTTTGTTGATTGTTATCGAAGAGCGGCGAGCAGAGGTGGAAGGCCAGGCAACCCCACAAAAGTGACGACGCAGAGGGGCTGGCGTGATGCAAATGGCTCCGCGGGCTGGGTAAGACAGATGGCGCATCCGGACCAATCAGCGGTGGGTATCCCTAGCGCCTCAAAGTGTCGCCCCAACGACGACGATGAAACAGGCCGACAAGGCACGACGAAGGCAAGCCTTCCAGAAGCAGAAGAACAACCAAACCAGCCGCAGCTGTGTGCTTCGAGCCGCCCCTCTCAGTTTCTCAGAGCCATGCCATGCCATGCCATGCCTCTTTTGGTTTCGGCTACGGCCTGCGCGGTTTCCATTTTTTCCTTTTTCCTCTTCTCTTTTTTTTCTTCTTCGCTGGGGCGATGTGGGAACCAGCAGAGAAGCCGACGAAAGCTGACGGGATGGGATGGTCAACGGCTTTGTTCTGATTCGCTGTCGGATGCGAAAACTTCACACCAGGCGGAGTCGCTCTCCGCAGGCGCATGGAAAAAAAAAACAAAAAGATGGAACTTTAGCTCACCGCCAGCCAAGGGCGCCGGTCGATGGCGTTGAGGCTAAAAGGGTTCGGGCAGCCGACGCGAGGGTTGAGACAGGGGCCATGCTGCACTCCGGAAACGATGGGCCATGGCTGCAGACCTGCGAAGAGAGACAGATCGTGATGGAGAGACAACACGCCGGCCAGTCGCGTGCCGGAGAGCCCCATCAGAGAGCCCACCTCTTCCAAGAGGAGACCGTCAGCCCAGGCAAGAGGCAAGAAAGGATGCGCACACCCTAACTTGTAGCTGCCCGAGCAGTGACGAAACGTGCTCCGGGAGCCAGTCTGGTGAGGATCCGCCAGCGGCAACAAACTCTCCAAAGTCGACGTGGCCCCTCCGACCACACAAGGCCTTTTCCCAACTGTTCCTCTTGTCGGTTTTGCCAGTGTCTGGTGCGGCACATGCTGTCAGCGGCAGGAGAAATCAAAAGTCGGCAGGCAACAGCGAGACCAGGACGGATGCTGTCACACAGATGGCGATAAGCTCGTCCGTCGTGTTGGCGCCGCGTCGTTGATCCCTGAATAGCATTCCCAATTCACGCATTGCACGGCCCTCTAACCCAGGACGGTCTAGCGCACTCCTGCCTGTGTGCTTCAGCACCCGGGCGCTGCTGCAGCTCTGTTTTCCATCCCCCATTTCACATCTTCATCCATCAACTCTTCCGTCTCCCTTGGAAACCCCCTTTTCGACCTTGCGTCCCATTCTACTTTTGTCGCATCGCTGCACTCCCGCAGGCGACGTCCTACAGAGTCTCAAAGGCAAACAAACAGTGTCCAAGGGAGAAGTGCGCCTGCCTGGGTCGCTGTCAGCAGAAGTGCTTTTTGATTGACCCGGCTCGTTGCTGCTGCATTCATTCTTTCCTGCCGCAACTCGCCAATCACCGCTCCTGCCACTCTTCGCCGCAACAACAACGCCTGCCTCGCCCTTCTTTTCTGCCCACCCACCGTAGGAATATCTAGTCTACTCGCGCCCTTCGACCTGTTCATCCCGTTTTCGCCCATCACCGATCCCGACGACTTCGCTGGTGCGCGCGACATCATCATGCCATACAACACCCGCCGCAAGTCGCTGTCTCTGCCGCAGCTCGGCACCGCGTTGCCTGGAGCTCCGCGATCCGCGCGCTCACCGCCTTCGTCAACCGACGTCAACCAGCTATCGCCGCCTGCGAAAAAAGTCAAGCGACTTCACTCCGACTCTGCTTCCACCTCCACCCTGTCCACCCCAAACAGTTCTCCGCGAAATCTCCCTCCACGCTTTGATGAACGTCCAAAGAGTGCTGGTCGCCCTGTGGCGCACACCCCGCCACCCTCGCCCGGCGGCCTGTCGCCGCGCACAAAGGTCGACACCGAGGGCATCGACGACATCATCGTCGTTGCCGTCATAGAACAGCTGGAAAAGACGGGCAACCGGCCTCACCTCCTCAAGGAGCTGGCCCATGTCCTGCAGGCAACCATTCCCATTGTCGAGAGGTGCGTCAACGCCTACCCGTGCCCCACCCTGGGGAAGCTCTTCTTTACTCACGCTGACGTGCCATAGCTCCGCCAACCCTGCTGCCATCATTTCGTCACGCCTCGCAACGTACCTCAAGCGTTCCTGGACTGCCTTGTCGAGATGTCCGCTGGATAAGAAGCTCGTCGGAACCCATCCCAAGCGCATATACTACTTCTTGACAACCTGTCCGCACCAGCCAATCCCTAACGACGCCGGAGCGACCCATGGCCCCGCGCGAATCATTTCACCGTCTTTGTCAGAGGAGGAAGATATGGAGATGAGATCGCGCGATCACATGTCACCCTCGCCGGAGCTGGATCTCTCCACCCCGGAATACGACGACGGCCTCGACCCCTTTTCCACGCACTCGCGTCCTTCCACCAACAGCACCACCGAGCACAACCGTCGCGCACAGTCGCCCCCTCTGGAGAAGGAAGAACGGGAATTCACGCAGACGGCCACCAACCTGCAGCAGCGTAGAAGAAGTCAGGAGGCCACTAGCAACCAGGAAGCGAGTGCGCCTTCCGAAGAATTCCATAGGTTCGATATTCCCATGTACAATGTACCGGAGCTTCGCGAGCAGCAAGAGGAAGCCGTTGCTCGGGAAAACTCGGAAACTGCGGCAGCCCTTTTCGGGCAACTACATCAACTGCCTAACGTCATCAACGACTTTGTCCCGAACAGTCCTCTTCTCAAGACGTCCCACACGATTGATCTGCCGCCAGCCATATTCAAGTTCGGCGAATCCCGACTGGATCAGGACGATTTTGACTGGGCCTGGGCGATGAAGAGCCCAGAGCACATCGAGCTCCATGAGCTAGACGAGCTTCTTGGGGACTTTTAATCCGCGCTGGGATCGCCATATTTCCCAAGTGTTCCGTTATGAATCTTCTTTCTATTTCCCCTCTTTGCGTTACGTTCGATACTCAGTCTTACTATTTCCGCTCTTGGTGTCGTAGATTGTTGTAATTTTCTCTGCTCACTATATTCGTCTAGCGGACAGACGTGTAGAGCTGGCTGGAGTTTGTGGGTTATGGCGCTGGTGTTATTGCTCTCGAAGAAGTCGGGGCCGTTGTACGATACGTGTGAGCAATCTGTTTGGGATCCATGGCACTGGATGCTAGATCGGCTGAATTTGGGAGTTTGGGGAACAGCATCAGGAGTAGGGGTGGAGAGCAACCTCAGGAAGCGGGTTGGCCTTCCGTACACTTACACGCCTTACAGAAAAGCTCTTGCGAATTGTATGAAAAACATCTGATACGTTGAGCTTACACATGTGCTCCTTCCCCTCGGCATTTGTTGAACAGGCCCTACGATGCGTACCGATGATTGGCTGCGTGGTGCGCCTCGATTTCGCACCAGCCACATGTTCGCAGCAGCGTACCTGGGCGCCAGTTCGCCTGACCAGCCTCAACACCAAGACCCCAGCCTCACCACCTCACCCCAAGATGAGCACCACGACGCAACAAGACACGCGAGATAATGCGCACACGATGCGAGCTTCTGGTTTAAATTACAAAGTTATCACGTCTGAATTATCCGCGACCTAAGAATCCTGCATCTCACCCCCTGACAGGCGGAGCAATCAGTCGTTCATTTTCTTGGCGGATTATCATGGTTCCGTTTGATCGAGTTGTGGAATATCAAAGGAGCTCTCCCTGTGACATATTATCTGGTTTCGGACGAGTGAGTTTATTCGTTTTGCTGTATACTCTGTATACTGCATAAGACATCCCGACTAAGTGAGACAGGACAAAGGCCTTTCCCTTTACGTCTACCTTGCAACACGAGCTTGTCCGATCTCATAGACATAGACGCAGGTCAACCCATTGTACTCGAAGCTATTACCCGTCCTTTCACCGCGGCTGGAGGAAGCCCCTTAAGGACTGATAGTTGCGGGCATCACTACACGCTACTGGTGCAAGTGCACTCTTTCTTCATTCACGCCTTCTCACTGATCACCCCCTACCGTTGTATATCGAACCCTAGCGGAATATAGATATTCGTCGTAGGTCCCAGCTGTATCCTTTGATTCAGCAACAGCACGCTCCCACCCGCGATCCGAACGACAGCACCGTCATTTTCATAAGCTACACTCTGACTTCCACGGATACGATACCAAAAGTACTGTACATGACTCCGCCGGTCCCGCTTGTTGTAGACCTGCCTCCCTTGGAGCGTCCGCCTATTGTCATCGATGCTTCGCCGCGGCCGGTCGTGGCTCCGGGCTTGAGCGGAGGGAGGGGCATGTTCAAGAGGTTGATAGTGGCTTGTGATGGTAGGCGTGTTTACTTTCTGTGTTCTTTTCCTAGTATTCACATAGTCTGTGGTCTCGGGGCAGGCATGGAAAAATCGTGGAAGATGAATGCAAAACGAGTAATCAAATCACGGATTATAGAGTACAAAGGCTAACAAGCTGATAACAGGAACATGGATGAACTCGGACAACGGCATGCTCAACGGACGAATAGCGGTACCCAGCAACGTAACGAGACTATCGAGAGCAATCAAAGCCGTCAGTCAAGACGGGATTCCCCAAATAGTGAACTACCAAATGGGAGTGGCCTCGCAAGGAAGTGTTCTCAATCGACTCACCCACGGTAACAACTCCCTTCCTCCAACGCCATCGACCAATTTTCCCGGCTCACAACCGCCTAGGCGTCACCGGTGAAGGTCTCCAAGACACCATCCTCGAAGCCTACTCCTTCCTAGCCAACAACTACCACCCCGGCGATGAGCTCTTCCTCTTCGGCTTCTCCCGCGGAGCCTTCACCGCGCGCTCCATAGCCGGGCTGATCGGGCACGTCGGACTACTCACCAAAAAGGGCCTCAACTCCCTACCCGCCGTCTGGGAAGATTATCAGCACCGATACGACGCCGGCTACATCTCGCGCAACCCGACGCAACCTTTCCCCAACAAACCCAGCGCCAGCTCACCACGCTACACGCGCGAACTCCAACGCCGCGGCCTGACGCGCCTCGACATCCCCATCAAGGTCGTCGGCGTGTGGGACACGGTCGGCAGCCTGGGCATGCCTCGCATCGGCCTCCTGCAGCGCCTAGGCGTGCAGGACCCGCAGAGCGAGGAAATGGCCTTTTACGACACCAAGATCTCCGACTGCATCGAAAACGCCTTCCAAGCCCTCGCGCTCGACGAGAAGCGCACCGCCTTTGCACCCGCCGTTTGGGAGAAGCCTGAAGGGAATCGCACGACGCTGCGGCAGGTGTGGTTCCCAGGGGCGCATAGCGATGTCGGGGGTGGGAGCGACGACACGCAGCTGGCGAATATCAGCCTGGCGTGGATGATGAGCCAGGTGGAGCCGTTTCTGGATCTGAGGGAGGGGTATCTGTTTGAGCTCGAGGAGGAGAATGAGCGGTGGTATCGCGAGACGGGGCAGGCGAGGAGGCCGTGGGGGTTTGGCGAGATTTGGAATTCGACGTCCGGATTGTATGCACTCGGGGGTGGGACGGTAGGTACCTTTTTCTTTCTTCTTCTTTTCCCCTTTTTTATCCAGTTCCCAACACCTCGTTCCCCTCTTTCTTCCCCGCCTTGATGACCTACACACCTGGCCTCGATAGAACCGCAGTCCGAAACATGGCTCAAAGCCATAAATCTACTTCCCCATCCCCTAACCATAGCGCAGTACCGCACCCCAGGCCTCTACCACGCCGTAACCCCCAAAACCGGCCGCACGACCAACCGGCCCCTCCGCTCGACAAACGAATACATCCACCCCTCGGTGCGCATCCGGCTCCAGCTGCACGGCCCGGGAATCTCGGATAAAGGCATCTACAACCCGCGCGCCCTGACGGATAACTACAAGCTCGTCGTCGAGCCTCGCGGCGGCGACGGTGACGCCGCGGACGGAGTGGCTTCACCGGACGGGCAGAGGTCAGCCGCAGTCGACGTGTATTGGAAATTAAGATGGAGGGATGATGCGTTGGGGGGCACGCGGATCTTGCCGGAAGCGCCGCTTTGGCGGTTGGAGAGGGAGTTGGCGAGGAGGGATCGGAGGGGGTGGGGGTTGGTGAGGGATCCGCCGGTGACGAGGGGGAAGAGGGGGGGTGGGAGGAGGAGGAGTAGGAGTGTTGGTGTTGGGGGAGGTGGGAGGGGTGGTGAGGGGTTGTATTATGATGGGGAGGGGCCAGGGGTGAGGTATAGTGAGGATATGGGACGGAGGAGGCGGAGGGGGAGTTTGAGTTTGGGGGAGATGGGCGGGCGGTATAGTGAGGCGAGGTTTAGTGGGAGTAGGGTGAGTAGGGTTGATGAGGGGAGGAGGAGGAGTTTGGGGCCGGAGGAGGGGAGAAGTAGGAGTCGGAGGGGTTGAGTCGGGGGAAGGACCTAGTGATGGTGTGGGTGTATAGACGGATGATACTCATGGCGATATAGAAGTCTACCAAAGAGCTTTAAACTGCTGGATACACCCCTCTCCGTGAATCAGAGACTCAAGAAGAAGCAAGGCCGCACAAATTCCCAGGTACGTGTCCCTCGAACAGGAAACGTGCAGGAAACGTCCAAACTAAACTAAGCATCAACCCCTACTCTCTGAATACATCTCCCTTATATTGTACTTAAGCGCATACGCACTACATAAGAAATTTTGCCTCTGGAGACTGACACTTATCTAGCAAGGTTCCCATCGCTCGATAACTTCTTCCCTTAAGGTTGTAATCAACGTTAACCCCACACCATTATGCAAACGCATACCCTAGCTAAGCACCCTTCCTTATTCAAATCCACAGCCAAATTCCAATCCACATTCCCATCCCATACCACCTTCCCGCAGTCCCTTTAGCCTGATTACTCGAGTACCAATCTCGAGTGTGGTTTTGCAAGTATATCTCTTGTTGGAGGAGGCGGGATGCATAGGCTCCTTTCCGCAAATCCGATGACAGCCTGTTTTCGGGGATTGTCCGGGAAACGTCAATTTAAGGTTTCAACGACTTGGACGACGACAAAAAGCGAGGGTTTACAAAATCCCATGTGTGCATTTACAAGCGTGTTGGATATCATCAAGGTTCGTCACTATCCAATCCCCTCGGCACTCTGCACTCTGTCTCGTCCTCCCAGAGCAGAGCAGTACCAGACTATATGCCCATTCCATCCATCATCAAACATCAAAAAGTTAGCCAACACCCCAGTTCCCAATACCCATTCCGCCTACTAAAGCTAAAGCTAATACGTATACCGAAACCCCACCAACCCCTCGAGCACCACCTCGCCCCTCTCCGCCCGCGCATTCCTCCTCCTATAATGCAGCACCATGAGCGCCGACCCGACGAGGATGAACAGCTGGCACCCCGTCACGGCCCACAGTCCCGTGCGATACGTCGGCGCCTCGTGCTGCATGAAGGTGGTCGAGGCGAAGATGCCGCCGATGGCGCCGAAGGCGACTTGCAGTCCTGACGCGACCCTATCGAACAGGCCGTTGTTAGCATCGTTACATAGATAGATAGCCAACGCAGACGAAGGCAACAAATTCCCACGGAAAGTAAACGACTTACATCCTCAAACTCTGGCCGCGGATATTATTCGCCTGCCACGCCAACGAACTCGGGATATTACTATTCGCCGCCATGAGCCCCACGAAGATGCCAAAGTACCTGACCCCGTTATTCCTCGCGTACGCGACGATCATGAGGCCCGCGACGCCGAGCGCGGCCTGCAGCATGATCCAGGGGGAGCGCATTTTTGTTCGGTCGGCGACCCAGCTGATGAGCAGGACGTAGGGGACGGCGGCGCAGGCGGGCGGGGCGCTCAGCAGGAAGACCATTTTTGTGGTGTGGCCCATGCCGGCGAGGATGATGGGGATGAAGAAGGCGAGGGCGTAGACGATGGTGGTGACGGCGAAGAATTGCATCGAACTAGAGGGCGTTAGTGGTGGAAGCGTTCTGAACGGTGAGGGGAGTTCATCGGACGTACAAAAACCACAACTCCCACCGCTTCAGCGCATCGACAAACTTCTCCCACGTCAACTTGTCGAACTCTGCATCCTGACGGTCTCGATCCAGTTTCTCCTGCACGAGCTTCACCTCGTGGGGTTTCAGGAACGGCATGCGCGACTCGTGCACTTTATCTGGGAAATCGACAATGAGGAGGCGACCGAGGAGGGCCAGGGAGACGGTCATGAGGCCTTCGATGATGAAGATCCAGCGCCAACCCAGGTATCCTGCTTTGCCGCTGAGGCCCATGATGCCGTAGGCGAGGATGGAGCCGAAGGCGTTGGCGAGGATGTTGATGGCGTAGAAGAAGGCGAGGCTGTGTGGGTGTTAGTATTGGTATTGGATTTGGTAAAGGATATGAGAGATGAGGGTGACGGACCGTTTTTGGACCTCGTAGCGTGTATACCAGCAGGAGATGAGGTAGACGCAGCCGGGGAAGAAGCCGGCTTCGAAGAGGCCGAGGACGGCTCGGAGGATGACGACTTCCCACCAGTGGTGGGTGAAGCCGGCACCTGGATATCGAACTGTCAATGGCTGTCATGCGTATCCGTTTCGACGAAACCCTTCAACTACGAAAAGTGGACGGGCGCTTACCTAGGATGACGACGCCCCACGCGAAGCAAATGAAAGAGAGCCAATTTGCAGCGCCGACCTTCCGCAGCACAATGTTACTCGGGATCTCGAAGAGGAAGTATGTGATGAAGAACATGAGCAGGGCGATGGAGTAGCGGTCGCCGATTTTGAACCCAAGTTCTTTGTCCATGCCGGCGATGAGAGCGGCCGAGATGTTGATACGATCAATGGCGCTGATGGCGTAGCACGCTGTAGTCAAGTCAGTGTGAGAGGTGTGATGCAATGGGAGTGAACTGACCGCCGAGAATGGGGACGAGTCGGAAGTCCACTTTCCGCCTGTACGGGGTTCAGTCTCTGATGAGATCGTCTAGCTCATTGTAGACTCTTACGTTGTCCTCGCTTCTTGCTTCTTGATCGATTCATCTAGCTCACTGGCGTTGGAGGATTCTAGGTGTCCTGTATCCATAACAGCGATCTTCTCAACCTCGACCACTTCGGCCTTCTCCACCGCCGAGAGGTTCTCTGGATGGGAAGCCATGGTGCCCTATTGCATACGGCGCGGGAGCAAAAAGATGACGGTGGAGGATTTCGGTATTGAGGTGAAGCGCAGGAGTAAACTGGGACGAGGATTTCCAGATACGGAAACCAATAACACCCCGTCGTCGCACAGCAGGCAGAAAAAACAAATGTAAAGCTCCTTAAGTGTCACAGTCGAAAACCCAACAACCGGGCTCACTGTCACACAGAAACAAAACCCTTCCAGGAACTCATCACATCACACCTCTTATATACATCTCCCGTCCCCTTCAGCTCCATCCTCACATTCACCCATCACCAAGTCGCGCTACCGTCGCTCTCCCGGGCCCGACCAGTGATATCCTAAGGTCTTCCTCACCCTTACCCGAACAGGTATTCTCGCCAAGTCGCCCAGGACCACTACAAACTTGGCACGTTGCTCCCCCGCATTCCAGCACCCGCTAGTCAAGGGTTCTCCACACGCTATAGCAGCCCAAGCATCTACACACCTACCGCGTACACCGTGTCTTGCAATGCGTGTGCCTCCCCTGGGCAGCCATACGCCGAGCAATCATCTGCGATTCTCCAGCAATGATTCAGCAGCTCTGAGTCGAGAGAGCGGGTATGTCTAGGCCGAGGTAGGCGTTGAGAGGCGCCAGGGGGTGGTGGTGCTCAAGTTTGCTTCCCTGTGAGAGATGAGATGGTGTCAAGCTTGCCTTTTATTCTGGATTCGAGGTGGAAATAGAACTGGGGAGGGAGTGGGAAATTCAAGTTGAAGGTCAGCGACAGAATTGATATTAGGAGGCCAAAGCAACACTGCCTGCTACCAATACCTCCTTCAAGAACGCCCATGACACCAGCCAAAGCCTTACTTACCCCACTGCATGTCGTCTCGAGTTCCATCACCATCACAACTTTCAGACAAGCCAGTGTGTTCTCGAAATCCAGCCGTCGGAAAGCGGACCATCATGCTCCACAGATCATGCTCCACTTCCCCGGATTCTCAGCCTGGGCTTCTGGCGCTTCTTGTGCTCAGCGCCACGGGCCTGGTGTCGATTGTGGCGTTTACGCGAGACGCGGGCGTGATTGGACGGTGAGGTTGAAAGGGTCTTGCTGGAGTCTAGGCCAAAGTCCTCTCATGACCTTACGGTGAGTCGTGCTGAAATGGATGAGAGTTAATGTTGGTCATGTTGAGAAGACGGCGGATGGAATCTTGGAGACATCAAATCGAACATCGAAAATAAGTCTTGGTGCATGGTGAAGACTAGAGACACGGAGAAGTCTCATCAGTCAAAGATTCGAACAGAAAGGAGAGAAGAATGTAAAGTCGTTCTGGAGTCCCTATGTATCCAGCATTTCGTCGCTCCATGCAATAACGCGTAAGTGCAAACTTATTTACTTTCCTAGCTCTCAACTACTCCTAATAGTAGTAGCCCTGGAGAATCCCACAGCATTCACATGACTACACTTCCTCAATCACCGTCGAGATCCAGACTCTTCCTCATCCTCCTCTCGCCAATCTTGTCACTATGCGGCTTAACCTCAAACCAGTAATTCCCCCGGTTGGTCGACGAAAGCAACACCTCTCTCACAGAATCCCTTCCTGCGTCTGCGCAGTCAGCCGAGCAAGTGAGAAAGTAGGGGGTTAAAATGCCAATATCTGGCGAGAACACGCACAAAACCCTAACACTCATCAGCGTATAGGAAGGGTGCGAGGTAGAGGTTGGAATAAAATGCCAGTTATTCTTCAACAAAACGATAATCTGGTATATAACGACTTTTCACGGTCGGCAGAAGTGACCGTTCTACATCCTCTATGGCCCCCACTATATAGATCCTGCCATTCCCCATCGCCTTCAGTTTCGCCCCTACATTTGACAACATCGCACACACACGTCTGCTCATCCTACTGCACCCACGTCCAAAATCCAGTCATGAAAAACGCCGATGCCGGACGCCCACTCAATCAGCAGAAGATGGCCGCCAAAATATACACGCGAGAAAATTATACGGAGAAAGGCCCAAAGAATGGGACTTGGATAGAAGAGGATAGGATGCGGTGGTATGTCGGCCGTCGGGTATGCAAAACTCAGCATCAAAAGGTCCAGGAAACACGATGCAGAAAGGAAGCGAGAAATCAAGCACCTCAAGAAGCGATACCTCAATGAAAAGGCAGCATTCTCTTAACGACCCGATCTCTCTCTCGTTTGCTGTCTCCTTTTCTTCGTCGTAGCTGCAACCTCGTTAATCAACTGTTCAAAAAAGGGGCATAGGGGCTACATACCTTCATCATACACCAGGAACTCATGCAGGGCCGAACCGGCCGGCACCATGGGCAGCACAGGCACCTTCTGGTCCGTCACAATCTCCAGCAGAGCCGGACCCTCGCTGTTGAGCAGCCACTTCAGGCTATCCACCAGCTCCTCTGGCTTCACACAACGTTTCGCCTGCACACCCATGGCATCGCCCAGCTTCACGAAGTCCGCATTCCGCTGGTGGGTATGCGCGAAGCGGTCTTCGTAGAAGAGAGTCTGCCATTGGGTGACCATGCCCTGCTCCTCGTTGTTGAGCACGATGATCTTGACGCCGATGTTGAATTCCGCCGCTGTCGAGAGCTCGGTGAGCGTCATGCTGAAGGAGGAATCGCCATCGATGTCAATGACGAGGGCGTCGGGGCGGGCCACCTTTGCGCCAATGGCGGCTGGGAGACCGTAACCCATGGTACCAAGACCACCCGAGGTGATCATTGTGCGAGGGTGGCGCCAGCGGTAATGCTGCGCGGCCCACATCTGGTGCTGGCCTACGCCGGTGGTGATGACGGTCTGCTCTTTTCGGTCGGCAGTGAGGTTTGAGAGCGTTTCAATGACGGTTTGGGGCTTGATGAGGCCGTTCTCGCCCTCCTTCTCGTATGCCCAGGGGAACTTGGCCTTCCACTCGTTGATCTGGGCGAACCATTCCGGCCGCTCCTTGACCTCATTGACGAGAGGCAGCAGCTGAGCCAGGTTGGTCACAACGTCGCCCTCGACGGCTTCGGTCGCCTGCACGACCTTGTTGATGTTCTTGGGCATGATTTCGAAGTGGATGATGCCACCACGGCCCTCCGCCGCTGCAGCCTTTGCCGCTGGGGCAAACTTTTGGACGTTACCGGTGATGCGGTCGTCGAAGCGGGCTCCGAGAGCGATGATCAGATCGGCTTCCTGCATGGCCATGTTGGCATAGGCGGAGCCGTGCATGCCCAGCATGTGCAGAGACTTGTCGTCCAGCTCATCGTAAGCGCCCAGGCCTTGCAGAGTCGTTGTCACGGGAATGCAGGCCTTGTCTGCGAGTTCTTTGAGAAGCTTGGGAGCTTCGGGGGTGGAGACCATACCCTGACCGGCGTAGATGACGGGTTTCTTGGCCTTGTTGATGAGGTCGGCGGAGCGCTTAATCGACGTCTCGAGCTGCCTCTTGGTGACCTCTCGCTCGGCAAGGATGGCGGCGCTCGGGTGGACGGGCAGGGTGCTCTGCATGGGGATGGGACGCGTAAGGACAGCACCGGTGACATCCTTGGGCAGATCGACGAGGACAGGTCCGGGACGGCCCGTCGTCGCAATCTCAAAAGCCTCGTTGATGCGTCTCGGCAGCTCGGCAACATTCTTCACCATGACGTTCCACTTTGTGCAGGCTCGGGTGATGCCGATCGTGTCAGCTTCCTGGAAAGCATCGGATCCGATCATGCTGGTCGGGACCTGTCCGCAAAAGACGACCATGGGGGTGCCATCCATAAGGGCATCCTGCATGGGAGTCACGACGTTGGTGGCGCCGGGGCCGGAGGTGACGAGGACGACGCCGGGCTTGCCGGAGGCGCGAGCATAGCCCTCGGCCATGTGGCCGGCACCTTGTTCATGTCGAGGCAGGATGAAGTCGAAGTGTTTTGAGTTGTAGATGGCATCGAAGACGGGGAGGATGGCACCGCCGGGGTATCCAACTGAGTCATATTTGTTAGCATGTGATGTTCGGCAAAGCAAACATTCCAATTGCTGAAGACGGGTGCCTACAGATGTGCTTGACGCCCTGACGGAGCATCATTTCGTGGAAAATCTCTCCACCCTTCATGCCGACGAAGGAATGGTCCATCTCGGGCTGGCGGTATGGCTTCAGTGGCTGCACATCGCTCCAATCTTCACGATTGAAGGCCGGGCTCGGCCGGGTTCTCGTCTCCTTGGTCGCGGCGGCGGCGGCGGTCGACTGTGTTCTCTGTGCATTTTCTTGAACGACTTTGGAGGTTGCTACCTGTGCCGCTCTCCGGTAGGGTGAGATGGCCGGCCGTGCAGCCGAGGTGGAAAATGAGCGGCAGCCCTTGAGGGACTGCAGAGCTCGCTGTCTTGACTGCATGGCGGGCAGCAGCAGACTGGAATGTGGGTGCGTCTGTGTGTGTGGCGTTTCTCACAAGCTTCTCCGTCTCTTCTTTTTTTCTCGTCTGGGGTAAAGAAAGGTGGGAGGGAAGCGGGAAGGCGGAGGTGGTGGGGGGAGAAGCGGAGGAGGAGGTAGGGTTAAGAGAGAGGGAACAATTGGGAGGACGAATGAACGAAGGGTGAAAGCAAGCAATGAAACGACGCAGGACACGACGTGGGTTTTGATTGCCCTAGGGCGACGGGAGATGGGGAGAGGTGTTGGAGTCACTCTCTCGTGTTGCTCATACAGTTCACCAGCACCTCGGAGGCAAAACGCACCACGCACACACTTTTTGACAAGGCCAATGCGGGACACACGGCGCCATGGGGCTCGTGCGCGGGATTGGATTGGTGTGCAGGGCCTGCTTCTCCGCATTGCCGCCCTTGGACATGGGGGAATGGGGGAAGGAACGCCGAGCCCCTCCCGATGTCGGCCGGTGAATGTCCTCTCATCACTCCACACCCAACTCCATACCGCGAACCATGTCCGAACGAGCGCGGAGCCACGCCCGTGCTGCAAGCGGTGATGACCGACGGCGAGGTATGCTCTCCATTATGTTTCATTAACATGCCCGTATGCAACATGCCCTTCACCAAACCGGTTCTCGTGTTGCACGCCTCCAACCACGCTCACTCTTCTCCTCCGCAGTCGCAGTCCCCCGGCGATCAACAAGAGAGCCCCTCGGTGCCGCCGTAGACGAGTACGAGCATATCCCATTCAGCCGATGCAGAGATCTACATCCTCCTCAAACTCCATTCATGGCAATTGCTGACGGTGGTCGTGTAATCCTCCAGTCCACTGAGCCCGCCTCTGGCGCCGGCAATAGCTACTACTCCTTCTTCCCCACCCTCAGAACGAACCTCAACATCCACTCCATCGCGAGCCCTCTCTCCAACAGAACGTGAGCGCCAACACCAACATGTCTCTTCCATGTCAGACCGCGACTTCTCCTTCCTCCGCGACCCCTCCGCCTACCACGTCCTCCCCACCACCTCGCTCCTCCCACCCTTCCTAAACCCCGCCTACTCTCCTCCCATCACCACTCCCATACCCTCCCTGCTCTCAACCGGCCACTTTCGCCTGGCCGCCATCTCCGCCGCCCGTGCAATCGTGCAATCCCCTCCTTCCACCGATCCAGCGACCTTGCTGAACTTGTTGCACATCCGTCTCGCCTGCTTGTGCCTAATCAACGAGCACGCCCTCGCAGCCCACGAATCCAAGATCCTCGGTGACCTGAACCATGCCACTTTCTGGAGACATGAGAGCACAGGCGCCCATCTCGTACCCTGGGACCTGCGCGTGCTCGTCGTCCGCCTCGCTGCCCTGGGCTACGGAGAATGGCGAAAGGGCATCATGGGCTACTACGAACTGGCCCACGAGTGTCGGAGCAACATCTCCAAATCCGAATTCGAGCAGGACAAGAGGTTATGGCGGACGAGGCTGAGGGATTGCGGCGTCCGCGTCGCAAACGTGTTGGTCGAGATGGGGGACCTCGAGGGTGCGGGACAGCATCTAGCGAGCCTGCTGTCTCCCTCCCAAGCCGTCGGAGAAGTCGAGCGCGAGCATGACGAGCATGACGAGCGAGCCGAAGAAGCCAAGCAGATGCTGTACATGGAGACGCTCCTCTGGCTGCGCATCGGCGACGTGGGCGCCGCAAAGCGCTGTCTATCCGCTCTATCGCACCTCCTCTCCTCCACCTCTTCCAAACCCCTCACCACCGACGACGCAACGAACGGCGACGCCCTCCTCGAAGCCACCGTCTCTGCCCTCCTCACCCTCTGCACCTCCCCCCCAGCTTCCGCCCTCCCAGCTTTCCAGTCCCTGCACGACCGCTTCCCGACAAACCCCATGATTACCCAGAACCTAGCCATCTGCCACCTCTACAGCGGCCATGTATCCGAAGCCCGGGCGCTGCTGGAGCACTTGGTCATCGACGCCGGAACCGTGTTCCGCAGCGCCATCTTCAACCTGTGTACCGTCTACGAGCTGTGTACCGAGCAGGCGAAGGTGAAGAAGGAGGCACTTGTGGGCAAGGTGGCGGCGAGGAGGGATGAGGCGGGCACTGGGTGGGAGGTCCAGAGGGAGGGGTTTAAGCTCTAGACTTTGAAAGAGTGGTATAGCTTTGAGGAAGCGGTCAAGGGGACAGAGGAGAGCGTGGAGCAGGCGTTTTCGTGGCGTTTCTGAACTTAGAATCGATGAATAACATAAGAGCAGACTAACTTAAGTGCTTGTCATTATGTATCCATCGCATATAATATACCCCTGTCACATCGGTTTACCAAACCTACGTAGCCATGGAATATAGGTAAATATACGTATTTCCCTACCAATAGAATCCAGAACACACCTCTGAATCCACCAACCCCTCCATCATCAGGTGTGATTTGCTATCGTACGTGTGAAAGCAGAAAAGTAGTCATCTCTCTTTAAATAAAGTGATATACCCCCGACTCAGACTATCCAACCAACGCTCTACCCCGTATCTCTCAGATCTCAGGTCTACCCCCCCAACTCAAAACCGGAGCTTCGGACCTCAAATAGAAAAGCGCAAAGAAAAGAGACCAGTCAGCAACGGCGGCAAACTCCATGCATACGCCCGTGTATACTGTATACCCCTCTATCCACTATCCAGTTCCAAGGTTCCAGGGTTGTCACGCTACCCGGCCACCAGGCTGTACCAGGCAAAGACGCAGAAGAAGAAGAAGAAGAGGAAGAAGAAGACCCCAACTCAAATCAACTCCAGAGAGTTTCAAGTCAACAGTAACAAAACACCTCCTCAGCCGTTCAGGCCGACAATTCCATCATCAGGCAGGCAGGCCATTGACCATTCCCTTCCAAAACTTCTCCCAGAAGAACAGAAGAAGCAACCCTCTCATCCCAAGGCCATCTGCATCCTCACGTCCCAGAGTCACAACTCCTCCTCCTCCTCCTCCATCTTCACCTCCACCAGAGGCGGTTCCTGCTGCTGCTGGCCTTTTCCCTCCAACGCACCCGCCGTCGCCGTCGCCCCAAATGCTCCATCCAACCCACTACTACCAGCAACACCACCCTGAACAGTCCCCTCTGAAAGCCCCCTCTCCTTCGCCCCCATCAACGCCGCACCCAGGCTCTTCCGAACCCCTTCGTCAAATCCCGGCAGACTCGCCCGCTGTTTCTTGAAGGGGCTGCCGATGGACGGCTCACTGCCAACGTCCGAATTCAGCGACGACTTGGCTACCTTCGCAGAGGGCGCTTCTGCGCCCGCCGCTAATGATGACGAAGATGCTGCTGTTGCTTCCGAAGCGCTGGGCACGGGCGTGCCGGATAGCGGGCTGTGGTCTACGGAACCGCGTTTTGCGCCGGGGGAAGGTTGGGCCACGGGTTCGGCGGAATGTTGGCGTTTTAGCTGCGTGGTGTTAGAAAAGGAACCCGCAACAATAGAATAAACCGTTGAAGAAAGATTTACCAACCTTAATCTTCCTCACCCCCTCCGTCAACTCGCCCGTCCTCGCCGCATCCTCCGGACTCAGTCGCTCCTCTTTAATCGGCGTATCCCTGTCATCGTCCATGTCTTCTACTTTGATTTTACTCTCCTCGTCCTCGTCATCCGCGTCGCTATCCATGGCATCTGTGTCCCTGCTCTTCTTCCCAGACTTGGGTGACTGAGCACTCGGGTCGCGGTACCCGCTGAAGTTCTTCGCGTTCACGGGCGGATTTAGGGGCTTCAGGTCGCCGAAGTTGAGGCCGGTGGAGCGGCGTCGTCGTGCTGTGGCGGCCGTGGAAGCGATAGGTTTCTCGGGGGGTAGGATACCCATTTTGCGGAGTTGGCCTGTGTCTTGTTAGTTTTCAATATACTCACAAACGGAAAATGATACTCACGCTCTCCTCTATACAGGAATGTGAAGACGGCATATGGCTTATCCGGGGGGTCTATCCCGGTTACGGTTTGCGTGCTGATACTCTTAGGATCCAAAGACTTCGGCTTCGCAAAGCTCGTGGTATGATCGACATCATCGCCCTCGCCGCCAGCAGGCTGTGTCCCGTCGTCATCATCGTGGGCGTCGAATTGCGGCGAGTACTCGCCCCTCTTGATCTCCCCAGATGCGAGGACGCGGTACAGGGCGACCTTAATCTGCCCCGCCGCTTCGGGTACGGGCGGCTCGTCCTCTGAGTCCGAGTCGGATGTGAAGAAGTCCTCGTTGCCTGATAACGCTTCCACAGGCGCTTCCTTGCTATCGCCATATCGTAGGATGCCGTTTCGTGATGAACTCGCACGCGTCGAGTCGTCTTCATCATCGCTGCCTTTCGCCTCTCTTCGCTTTCTCCTCTTCTTCTCTAGGCGCTGTTTTCTCCGCTCAATCCGAGCTGCGACATCTTTTCCTTCCAAGTCTAGTCCATTGAGCCATCTCTCCAATCCCACTTCTCTAAACAGAAACTCCCGCTCAGCAAGGCCTCCACCTTCCGACGCGGGAACGCTCACCCATCTCGAATTCACCCACGTCTCTTCACCGCGCCTAAGCAATGTAGCCACTTCCTCCTTCGCTCTACCGTCAAAATAGATGTAGGCCGCAATAGTCTCGTTCGGCGAACTCGTCAGCGGCTTATACGGCGCTATCACCGGGCCGGAACTCCTGCCTCCATTCAAACCAGTCCTGTCCAACCCTCCGGGCAACCCTCCAACAATCTTGGGCCGTGGGTTCGGTTCCTCGGGCGTAGGCTTCGGCGTCGAATACGGTACATTGAGTCCCGGTGTCAGAAGCGTGATTGATATGGCAAAGGTAGATTGTTCGGGCTTGTTGGTCTCGGGTGAGATCCTGGCGGGGGGAACTGGTATGTACGAGGTGATGCGGTGGAATTTGGATTGCTTCTGAATAGAGTACTCGGGGAGGGGCCCTGAGGGTGTATGAATGGAAACGGCGAGGCCAAGAAAGCAAGGCATGACGACTGCGTGCGGAGCCGGGCGTCGCGGATACGAGTATGATGGTGAGAGCGGTGAGCGGATTGGACCTCCGGGAGGCTGAGAAGACTCTCGGCGGGCGTGAAAGCTAGGTGAGCACTTCCGTCACCACTCCGCAGGCAATCCCAACGGAGAAAATGCACAATATGAATGTTGCGTGAGGCGGCGGCGAAGGACCGGGAGCTGCGAGGCGAGAAGAGAGATGCGCGAGGGGGGAAGTGATGAGAACGCCGTCACGGCAAAGATTTCCGCTGGGCACGTCCGCAGTCGACGCCCTATAGCGAGCGTCGGTCGTGGGCACGAGAAGAGGCGTGCGGGCGTGAACAGTAGTGAGGATGTTGTGTGCGTGTGGGGGGAACTTCTGATGCCCAGCCTGAGAGGTGGGAGCTGGCACAACCCGCACCGACCCTGGGTGCTTTTGACCAAAGCGGGGTCCTGATTGGTCCTCGGAGCCCTTCTTCAATTGTTTACGAGTGAGAGATGTACTGGTATCCCAGACTCCACGCAATGAACCACTTCATGTGTGCGGGAGAAATTGAAGTTATATGGAGCCCACCTTGAGACAACCTCACCATGTTACCAGGAAGTTTGTGGTAGTCTATAAAAGAAGCACCTTGTAGGAGCTCCGAAAGTGAATTGCTAGCTAGAGCCAACACCAGGCAAAACGCAGGGTATCCTCAAAGAATCCGCAGATGTCCAGTAGCCGCAATAATGAGTCCGTCTACTCCTGCAATGCTCTGGCCCAACTCCATGAGTTGAAGAAAACCGCCTGTGAACCCTCCGTTGAAACAGAAACAAAGGGAAAAGAAAGTGACTTTTGAACTGCTTGGGAACATTTCTCAGTCACCCCAATCAGAAGAAATTCCCAGCTGTGTCGACACCGATAGAAACTCCTCCACTTGGACAATCATCTGAAATCCCCCACTCAGTCTTCATCTGATGCAAACATATCCTCCGCCTTTGGGCGCATCCTCCGAGCACGTGCAGCTGCCGTTTCATTCGAGTTCCCGCTCAAGGGATTTGACGATATTGGTTCCAATTCTGTTGACTCGTCCTTCATCGATCCAGTCTGCGCCGCACTCTCCCCTCGGTCCCATTCATTTCCTGGCTGCTTTGCCGTTAGAACGTGTCCACCAGGCATAGGGTAAGTCAGATCCTGTGAGTCCCTCCAATTAGTATTGTCAAGCAAATGTCTATGTTTCGATCCAGGAACAATATCATCAGTGGTACATGAAAGGGAATCGCCTTCGTCTGCGCCGCCCTCCGTTATACTCTTACCAGGACCCGCGTATCTAGCTTCCGCCCTCTTCCGCTCGTCCTCAGCCGCCTTCACGGGGTTGGCCTTCCTCCTTCGCTCGTCATTCTGCTTTTTCCTATTCAAGGTGAAGCTCGTCTTAAAAGTTTCCGTAATATCAGGGTCAAACAGCGCCTCTTTAATCCAGAAGTCAATAATGTAATTCACATCCTTCTCGAATACGTCTGTCGAGAGCATACCCATCCCAAATTTCTTGGGAATATCTGCGAGCCAGGTGAACACGTCCTTCACGAGGAGTTGAGTGCCAATCGCTGCTCGGTACTGATAGCACCTTCCCTTCAGGAATGGCGTGTTCTTTTGAAGCCGGCTACTTACGACCATACAGATGTCCGAAACGACGCGAAGAGCATTAAGAATAGCATCTTTTCGGAAACTGTTCAGTGAAGGATCCTTCTTCTTCAGCTGGTCGTAGCGCGGATTGTACGGCTGCAAGATGTATGGGTCGAAGATGTTCTCAATGAAGAGATCGACAATCTCATCCATGCCGGCGCCATGGTGGTCGATGGCAAACCGGGTCACCGCAGCGACATCGTTGGGTCGCGCTGCCACCACGCCAAAATCTCTGTCGTACCCAACGGAGCAGAGAAACGTCTTAAAGGCCAGCCGCTCCATGGGCGACATGATGCCGTTGATGGCCTTTGGCATTCCAGGGTATGGATCGGCAAATTTTCGGTCGGCAGTCGTGATCTCGCCGTCTCCCCTCAGGCTATCCTTGATTTCCTCTTCTGCGGCGGAATTGAGGATCTTATTGCGGAGATTTTCGAAATTCGTCTCGTCGGCGAATTCACACGGAAGTGGAGGACCACCGCGCCATTCCCCAAACCCTGGGTAGATCTCGATCACTTCGCGGCGATCTCCAGTGACGAGCTGGTACATACGGAATCGGTAGTACCGATTCAGCGGATGTTTGTCGTCATACAGCCACGCAAACTTCTCCTCCTGCTTGACGTACTTGGCTTCCATCAGAGCTGCTTCGACTTCTTTGCCTCCCTTAAGGACGGCTTCGATGATGACATGTATGAGTCTAAGAGTTTCGATATCACGGGGTGGATAGGCGGTAACAACCAGACGCGGTTTGGTTTCTTGCGGTTTCCTGACAGATCCGCCCAACTCTTCCGTCGGAGCAAACCTGGCGGATGGCTCCGGCTCTTCCCAAATGGCTCCGTAGGGTAGTTTCTTGGATCCGCTCGTTTGGTGGTCCCCCAGGTACCGGTCCAAATGGAGATAGTATCCGGAGCCGAGGTACTTCTTATCATTCAGTTCATTGATAGCAACCATAAGGTCTCTAGCTTGTGCTGCCTGTTCAAAGAAGACCTTCATGGCGAGAGAATCGCGCTCGTAGGGGCCTTGTCTTTCCTGTATGTCCTCCACACCGACGACTTCGAGGTTCTTGAAGCCAGCGAATATCTCCTTTATAGTGTCTAGATCCGTGCCTGGAGGAAGATTGGAGACTTTGGCTACGACTTTCGTATAGACATCGTTATGATGGTTTCGACTGGTGTCGGCGCGACCAAATGCTCCAGAGGACGGAGCAGTAGAGGAGAATGTTGCGTAGGGCTCGAGTGCCTCGAGCGTTCCCGGACCGCTCTTGCCCGAGCGTGTCTTTGCAGCGAACTGCCGTTTAGCGCCTGTCGGGACGAAGGTACTGGGCGGAGGTTCGTCTTCGCTTCGGGCAGCTTTTGTGGGGTTTTCCGCTTCATCGTCGCTGACGCCGTGCTCCTCGAGGAATTCCGCATGAAGTCGTTTCCTCGCCTCGTGCTCCTCGCGGTCTTTCCCTTCTTGCTCGGCGCGGGCCCTGCTTCCCTGCGGCGCGGCCTTGCTTATGGCGGCCGACAGAGAGAAACGGATTGGCGGCATGGTGTTGGTGCACACCTCCTGCAGCTTTCCTGGAGTCGCAGCCATCGCGGCTCTGCCCTTGGCCTGCAGGAAGCTACTCCGTACCTAGCTAGACGTAGCGTGCGCCTCGTGGCGGTGCGGGAAGGGGCCTACCAGTGTGCCGGAAAATCAAGTGGGGCTGGTTGCTGCCAGGGCTGGCTATCGATAAATCGGTCGGTCGCGTTCGCGGTCGTTCGAGGGGACGCAGCTCTTCGTTCCCGGAGCTGGAAATTCACAGAAACCTGCACCTAGAAAAAAGTCAGAACCGCCCTCCGAAAGAAGAGAGAAGGAAGGGGGGTGGGGGGAAGCGAAGGTGTTTATATGTACTCTCTCCAACTCCGTTTGTACACTAAAACCAATCAGGCATAGTGGCCAGTCGGAAGACGCGTTTCTTGGCACTCGCCAGCTATTGACAGTGAAAGATCCTCCATTTGCAGGCAGAGAGAACACAGGAAAATGGCAATGGCATCTGCAGGCGACCTACAGGCTTTGTTACGATTTCTCTCGCAAGATGCAAAGGTGCCTCTCGCCCTCGCGATGGGAAAGGTCAGGGACCTGAGAGAGGCTAAGCTGACCACGTGAGTGCGCGTCACCTTGATGTTGGACGTGTTCTTAACGTGTCCAGCCCGGCGGAGATTGCAAAATCCGATATTCAGAGCATCCAGGCTGTATTTCAGGATGAGAAGGTTGCAAAACAAGTCCTAAACGCTGCGAAGCGCGTCTCCAAGAAGCGAGCGGTCTCCGACGACGCTACAGAGAAACCCCCATCTCCTGCGAAGAAAGTAAAGCCATATTTCGGAGAGCCTCTCTCACCAGCACAACTTGAAGCGTCTCTCGCCCTACCTGAGCCTTGCAGAGATGAGGAGCAGCTATCAGCGGCCACTATATATACGAATCGGGCGCCTTTGGTGCTCGCATTCGCAGTAACCCTGCTCAAGTATACAATGCCGGAGCAGCCGCTTTCCAGCCGACTTAGCCTTTCACAAGCAGTAGTCAGTGCAAACAGCAGAACTAAAGCCGTGAGTATAGGATTGGAGAGCGGAAAAAGTGCCGAGGAGGAAGGCTGGGGCGAGGGCCAGCCGATTGTCACAGTCATGGGCCGTGAGATACGAGTGATGAAGCGGTGGGGTTACGATTGGGCTGCTAAAGACGAGGCGGACGCTACCCAAGAAACTATGAAGGAGGAACCATCGAATAGCGACCAACCCGCACTGTGGGGTGTGGACCTCGAGAAGTTGAAGCAGTCCAACGGACCTGGCGCGATGCCTTCGCGAGGCTCGTCTGGACCTCAACTTCCCATCTACACAGCACAGTCCGCAAGAGCCTATTTGCTCAAGTCGTTCGAAACGCCCAAGTCTGGGTCAGAGCAGACTGCGAGTAAGAAGGCCTCCGGAAATGCTTCTGATAAGGAGCGAAATCTGGCACTCCTCCTGGGGGCATTAGAGCTTCTCTTCGAGTCATGGTCTTCGGTCATGTGCAAAGACGACCTGGACAAGCGTGCGTGGGGTTGGTATGTGCGGGTGCGGCCTGAAGTAGAATCAGGCGTCGCAGGCTGGGGAGGGAAGGGAATAGTGAAGCTGGCAGATATCCTAGAGTTGAGGCGTACAGCTGAATGATGCAGTGGCTCAATTTCGGCTATGCCAGTAGCAAAATACATAATCCCTAGAAGAAATTACGTGTGTTAATACAATCACTCTACTAATGCATTCCGGATATCCCTGAATCAAGATGCCGCAGGCCTCCTCAGTCCAGCAAAACCCATTCAACGCCGACGCCGTGCCTAAGGCGGAACCGAACTGCTGCCTCATTCTGCTCAGAGTATGCTTTCTCTGCCCGTAAGCTTTCCCTGGGCGGCACTTTAGACCTTCAACCACAAGCTGAGTACACCCTTCGCATATTCCACAATCTCGTCTCCACCCAACTTGCTCTCTCCATACAACCGATCCACAAACGAAATCGGTACCTCAGCTACGGTGCATCCCATAGCCTTCGCCCGCACCATCATTTCCATCTGGAAGGTGTAGCCCTTGCTCTCCGTGCTCTTGATGACCTTCTCCAACACCTCCTTCTTGTACAACCTGAAGCTGCCAGTCAGGTCGCTCACGCCAGGCCGAAGCACAGTATCCGCAAACAGGTTTGCTCCCCTTGACACGAACTTGCGCTTCAAATCCCAGCCATACACGCCTCCATTTCCAGCATATCTTGTCCCAGTCACAATATCGTAGTTCCCGCTCTTCTGCACGCGCACCATCTCCGCAATGAACTTGGGGTGGTGCGAGAAATCGGCATCCATGATAATGACAAAGTTCCCCGTCGCGAATTGAAGACCGTGGACGTAAGCGGTGCCGAGGCCGAGCTTGCCTGCGCGGGCGCGGATCTGGATGCGAGAGCTGCCGTATACTTTCTGGAGTTGCGCGGCGACTTCCTGCGTGCCGTCGGGGGAGCCGTCGTCTACAATAATGAGTTCCCAGTCGAGGTCACTGAGGATGAAGGTTAGCCACTGACATGTTCCTTGCGGAGGGAGATATGGTGAGAAGGGTACTCAGATATACGTACTTCTCAGTGAAGGTCTTGTTCAGAAGAAATGTTATGACAGGGAGGTTGCGACGCTCATTGTAAGTAGGGAGGAGGACGGAGTACTTGTCTTTGGAACCCTTCGCCATTGTCGCTATTTCGGAGTGAACGGGATAATTCAATGGGGTAGCAGAGGTTGAGCGGAATGGGGTTCAAGCTGTCATCCAGGGTGTCCCCAAAGCATCTGATAGGTCGGCCGCTAAACCCCTTTGGGCCGATAGATTCCCAACTAACAACCCTCAAACTATCAAATTCCCAACGTCGGACTTTCCTGCCTTCTCACGAGAAACATTGAGAATGATCCCAACAAGATCATTTGCACAAAAGAAGAATCTACTGTTAGCATTTGATGCATTTGGGACATTGTTCGCCCCTAAAGGCCATGTCACGGACCACTATGCTGCTTTTGCGAGACATCATGGCATTGACGTGCCTTCCAAGAACGCCAACCCCTCGATAAAAGACGCCTTCAGAGCAGCATATAAACACGAGTTTAAAACGCATCCAAACTATGGGAAAGCTGTGAATATGGGTGCGGAACAATGGTGGGCAAACGTATGTCTACCGTTATGTTTACCGACCAATCTGACCCCATTTAAAGTAAATGGCAAAGCTAACAATCAGAAGGTAATAAAAGGGACTTTATCCCACTATCTCAAACCAAAGCAATCGATCCCTCATGCACTAGTAAATGACCTTCTCACGCATTTCTCAACCAGCGATGGGTATACGATGCCGCCGGATGTGATGCCCTTCTTCAAGATGCTACGTGCCAAAAAGAGAAAACCGGAGCAAGTTCCTGAGTGGATGTGGGACAACACCATTGTCGGCGTGATCACAAACTCCGATGATCGTGTACCCAGTATCCTCGAATCGTTAGGCCTAACCGTGGGACCGAGACGCGTAGGTACATCGGCGGAAAGAAAGATCTGTTCCAGTATGGACGACGATATCAGCTTCGTTGTCTTGAGCTACGATGTCGGATATCAGAAACCCGATAAGCGGATCTTCGATGCTGCCATCGAGATGGGTAAGGAGACACTTGCTGACGGGCCGGAAGGCCTGGATATTCAAGACTTCGAGAAGCTGTATGTTGGCGATTCGATCGATGAGGATTATCATGCTGCTCAAGCCGCGGGGTGGAATGCATGCCTTTTGGAGCGGAGTGAACCTAGCACGTGGAACGCGGCCGAGTATGATGTTCACCATCGAGATGATCCCAATGATCAACAACCGAAGAAGGTAGATGTGATCAGGACCATTACCAGTCTCGTCAATTGGTCACCATCCGAACCCAAGCCCTGAGAGCTGAAGGGTACTAGGGTGTATAGGAGGAACCAGCCAGGTATCAACTATCCCGGGGCATGTATAAACGCACAAAAATGGGTCCCAGCCAAAAGTAAGAGTCTGATTGAATTCCCAGCAGTTGGAGCTGAGAGAAAGCTACTTCACTTGCTGGCTTACCCGCAAGAGTGTGAAATGCTACGAGGACGAGCGGTATTTACCTCACTTACTGCGTAGAGAGCAAACCACCCAACACCGGGGTACTAGCGAATAGCTACAAGAAATCAGAGGTTTATTCTTTATCGTGCTTTGGAGGCACCCTGGTTGGGGTAACTTAGCTATCATTATTTACCCTGCTCAGCTGTGACATTATCGGTCGGATTTTATAGTATCGACATAGCGTACTCAGCATAAAACTTGGTATGGCATATCATATGATCCAACTCGTAGAAGGCTAACAACAGAAGTATTCTCCGCAGTAAGGTTGGATTGGCGTTAGAAGCACGATTCACAGGCACATCATCAGAAGGAAATTCCAAAACTCAAAAAGTAAAGATCACAGATCCTTATATTTGCGCCGCCAGCAACGCCATTACTTACCAGAGTGATTCACAAGGGTTAGAAGCCACAACTCCCACAACACCAAACGCCAAACGCTATGCCAAACATCGATCAGGCAACCAGTCCAGCTAGTTGACCGAAGGCTCGAAGAGATCCAGTCCCTGAGCAAGATTGGCAGCATTCAACGCCGTACCACAGCAAGAAGAGCAGGAAGTCCTGAAGGAAAGCGAAGGCACTTACTGCAGGTTCATGCAGAACCAATCAGGCCCGCAGATATCGCACTCCCAGGTATCACGCTCCTTCAGATTCAGATATGTGTCCTCTTCCTCCGTGGAGGGATCGGACGTCACCAGTTCCCCGAGCGCTTTGCAGAGTTCCTTGAATCCGTCATACGATTCGTCGGAGGACTTGTGCTTAATCCCAGCCAACTGGTGCTCGAAAGCACCAGGGAAAGACTCGCTCGAAACAACAGAGTCAACACGGCTAGGGCGAAACTCCGCACACTCTGGATTGAGCTGCTTCTTATCCGGACACTCAGGAGCCAACTGCTTCTTATCCGGACACTCAACATTCAGCTTCTTCTTACCTAGGATAGTCGGACGACGCGCCTCACGCTTCGCCTTCTGCATGCTCCTAGCCGCAAAAGCAACGAAACGCTGCATCTCCTCCCTCGAAGGCTGCGCCACACAGCACTCGGGATATCTCTCGACAATACGACCCAGCAGCTCAACCGCCACGCGCGCACGATCCAACGCCTCTCCCTTCGCCCATTGGCCCTTCAGCATCCGGATATCCCGCTCCAGCACCACCATCACACCCGCCAAGAACTTGGTATAGGTGAGATGGATGGGTCGCTGGTTCCCCTCAGCACATTTCTCACACACCTCCGGCAGAACGAAGGCGGTGTTCCACGTCTTGACGGCAAGCGGGCCGGGTTTGCTACACCAGTTAGCAGGGTCGCATTTAGGGCCGATGATGGGCTTGGACTGCGTGTGGCCGCAGGAGTGGAAGAAATAGTCGAACTTACACATGTTGACTAGCCGATTATGCTGTATGAATAACCAGATCGATACGAGCAAACGGCAGGGGGATTCAATGTGCGAGTTTGGATGACTATTGCTTCGATTCACAGGAACGGGAAAAATGCGTGAAGGAGAATACCAGATCTACTTCAAGCTTTTTCCTATTCTTGAGAATGGGCTTCTGGGTTGCAAGAGGTGGGTGGGAGGGTGGTATTTATGTTCATCCGGGACAAAGGCTTTGTTCGATCTTCCGACTTGTATAGGACATTGTGTAGATCTATATGTATATAGGCATAGCCAATGGCGATGGATGGTGTTCTTACGTATAGTAGAGACATTGTACATCTAGTTGACGAATGGATGGCGCTTGTATAGCCATGATAAAGGACATTGTCCAAGTATAGCTTTCTATCATGACTGAATAACATTTTGGCATGTAAGACTCGGAGCTACATTTGTCCTGGGGTTTGGTGGTACCAGGTACGCTGGAAAGCAAATCTAATTTTTAAGAGGGTTCGTTCCAGAAGCCTTGTTCGCCCAATGGGTAGAGACAGGTCGAATTTCTCGCATCTCTGTCTGCATTGTCTGGCTGTAGATAAGGTTCTGGTCAGCCTAGCATTCAAGAGCCACTGTAGGAGTTCTGTGTTTTACGGATAACCCATAACGGCAAGATTTTGATTTTACACTGGTATTTGCGAGCTGTTAGGGACCTTGTGGAAGTCTTCAGGATGAGTTGATTCTTATCTACCCAGCTGCCTATAATCCCGGGGGTATTCTTCGCGCGCCAAAGGGTATTGAGTCGATATTCTCGTCAAAGACCGCCGTCCACACCCACGAATATGAGGTCTCTTCGACGCACCCCTTGAAGGAATCTCGGCCTCAGACTACGCTCTTGCCCACCACCTTGAACACCGCACTCCCACTGCCAGGCTGGCTCACCACCACAGCCTCCTTGAGTTTCTCCTCGGTTATATTCGGGAACTTCTTCCGGTAATACTTCTCCTCCCAAGCCTTCTTGACCGCCTCCACTTTGTCCTTTGGCACGAGATGTACACTGCAGCCTCCCCATCCGGCACCAGTCAAGCGGCTGCCGAGAGCACCTGCTGCTCTCGCAATTTCACATAGCTCGTCGAGCTCGGGGCAGCTGCAGTCGTAGACATCGCGGCAGGAGGTTTGAGTCTCATTCATCAGGTCACCAAGGGACTTGAGGAATTCCTTTCCGTTGCCTGGGGTTGAAGAGAGGAGAGCCCGGAATTTGAGAACACGCAACGCTTCGCTGAATACGTGTAGTGCGCGTTGGCGAAGCATGAACTTTTCCGCACGGACAGGGAACTTAGCCATGAACCGTTTGTTCAAGTCGTCTTGGGATATTCCCAGCATAGTGCAGATGTGTTCTCTTGTGTAGCCGTCCTCCTGTGGAAGGTAGTCTTCAACCAGCTGAATGAGCTCCGTAAGCTGCGTCTGGTAGTCCTCAACCGACGTCTTTGTGTTGTCTTCTACGCCTCTCTTCTCCTCATAGAACGTGTCATGAAAGCCCCGTAAGCTGACTCCTAGTGGTGAGGAGTCGGTTGGCAGCTCACGCTTCAGACCAAAGGCTTTAGCCAGAAAGACAGCCGCTAACGTGCACTCCACGACGCGCAAATTGTAGCACACGGGCGCAGTGACGTGCTTGTCTGCGGCAACGAAGCTCTGTGCTGTTACGAACGTTAGTTCGGGATCCGTTTCCGGGAACTTGATGGTTGTGTAGTCGAGGTTAGGTTTAAAGGTGACGTAAAGGGCAGTGCCGCGTAAGGAGAAGACCGACGCTGCTTGATCCATTCTGGTGTTCTGTTAGCGAGATCGCGAAGCGTACGAGACGAACGGACCCTCCTGAGTTGACACCCACAGCTCGTTCTGACACTATGGCAAGCTCACACAGCTCCTTCTTGTCCACCTTCTCCTCCCCATTGGCCTTTAAGGCGGCCAATGCGCTCGTACAGACAAATGCCGCTGAGCTTGACAAGCCTCCTCCGCTCGGAACTGTGCCGTCGCAAAGGATGTCCATTCCCACAGAGACGAAGTGCTTGCCCTTCTTCTTCGCGAGTAGTTTTGACACGCCCACAAGCCCTGACTTAAAGTAATTCGTCCACTCGTGCTCTGATGCATCAATGGGTATGTCTCCTTCCGCGGGGATCTCGAACTCTCGGCTTGGGAACTTCTCCGATTGGACATTGGCTATGCGTATACGCGGCTTCTCGTCGGCGGGCCGAACAGCTACGGCCATGAGGAAGTCCGCCGTCACTGCCATGGGCAGCACGGAATATAAGGAGTAGTCAATGTGCTATATGACGTGAGATTGGAATAGGAGGTGATGGTCGTATAATGTGCTTTGTACCTCTCCAATGATGTTGACTCTCCCAGGACTCCGCGATACGAACTCCGCCTCCTTGCCATATCTCTCTTCAAACTTGGCCAGTAGTGATTCCCAGCGCGTCTTCTCTACAGGCACTGTGTCCTCGGGATAGATGTCGCGCAACGATGTTGCGGTCGGAACTTCCATGAGGATTGGTGGTTGGGCGAGGATCTGGGAGCTGAGATGGGTGTAAGAAGTGTCGAATTGAAAGCAGTGGAGTAAATTAATGTAAGTCTGCTGCGAAGGTTGCGCGTTCACAGAGGGAAGATGGTGGGGTAGGATGGCTGGCAAGGTGGGGCGAGCGGAAGCTATTCCCAATGGCGGAACCAAAACGAAGCGGGCCGCTGCAGGGCATTCAGCCTCCTTTTGAATATGACGTCTCAAGATCTGGTCATCCAGCCAGTGTAAACTGACTCCTGTTGTCGTTCCTCACTAGGCCCTGCCGGGCCCGTCGTTCCGCCCTAAGAGTTCTGGGTTCAACGATCAAGCTACGCAATCCTGTCGAATGATCCACCACGTATGGAGAATGGATGCGTTTGGAGGTCCCAGACCGAAATTTGATGGAGAGTTTTGCGGATGGTGATACAGGTGGGGGTCAATTTTCGAGCTCGAGAGAAATCATCAATCCGTGAGAACTTAGGAGCGCTCGGCCACTTTCCTCAACCGAGACCCCTTCCTTTACCTCTTAACCCTCGCCCTATGCTGCTACCTGCCCGAGTACGTGTAGACGCGCTGCGACTAACGCCGCGCCCGGTCTGTCCACCAACTCCAACGTACCCGGAAGATGACGTTGTGCCCCTTCCTCTGACACTCCCTCTCGCGCGGCCTCTTGTGCTTCCTCTAGCGGGTGCTTCTGCCTTTCGACGTTCTTCCTCTGCGCCTCTTGCTGCAGTTTCGCGTCTGGCTTGTTCTTCGGCTTCACGACGATGTGCTGCCTGCTGACGCTGTATCTCCTCGTTTTGTATATCTAAAAGATCCTGGCTCGCTCCTTGCCATTGAGGGTTCAGAATGAGGCGTTGATTGTGCTCTGTTTGAGAGAGAATGCGGGTCCACGTCTGCAGTAGCGTGGAGGCATTGTGGACAGTTCGCGAAACAGTCTGGCCCCCGGTCAATCTCAGAAGGGTCTCAGTAAGTGGTACACGTACGTCCATGTTGTCCCGCGCTTTTTGTAAGCTCTCGAGAACGCCTTCAATCACCCTATTCACATTACGAACGCTTTCCAATTCCTGGCGCAAGGCAGCTTCTCGTGCTTCCTCCGCCGTATAGTGAGACTCTTTCGCTCGCGCTTTGCTCCCCCCAGCTCCATCTGTGCTGTCTCCAGGGCCCGCTCGCGGCTTCTTCTTGTTCTGTTTGGCAGCGGGGGTGTCAAATAATGCGTCCGAATCCGAATCGGATAGATTGAGACTATCTAGGTTTGGAGGGTCCATTGGCATCGGAGCGCGAAAGGAGGAGAGCGAATTTGAAGTCTGGTTTTTTTCGTAGTGCGGACGTTCGCGAAGGCGTGTGTGACCGAATGTTTGCTGCGTTTGGATGATTTGATCAACAGAGGGGGTCATGTTGTTTAGCTATGGTCCGAGCGTTCCTCGGCGCCAAGAGAAATGGCTGGGGAAATCCCCAGCCTCCAACCTCGCCAACGTCGGCTTGCCCTTGTGTCTCACGCCAGATCCACCGTCTCCGCGCCCATTCATTATTCCTCCAAGAACCGACAATCTCCCGCGCTTTGAATACCTCTTGCATTTAATTGCGTCTCCACTTGCTTCAGGCTTGCTCGTTGCGCTCACCCATCGCGCCTGGTACCCCGTTTGTTTAGCTGCCGGCCAACTCACCGCTTGTCACTTGCATAGTCGAGTATATTTGCTGCTATATACAAGAGGTGAAAGGACCTTACCTTCACTTCACCATGCAGAGGACTCCTTCGCCTCCGAGGAGGCTTCACACCCCTCCAGCTCCTCTTCACGGCCCAGCCCACGACAGCTACGAACCATATTCACCTCGGCGATCCGCTAGACTCTCCGCGCAACGATCACTACAATCATCTTTCCCCACACGCTCCCGCTCTTCAAGGAGCGCTCGCGAGACGACGCCAACAGGCCCAAAATCCAGCAAAGGCGCCCGTGTCTCACTTCAAGGGCTCTCCCCACCATCGTCACCTACCTCTCCCGTGAAACACAGGTCACCTCGCTCCTCGCGTCGCGCGCACTTTGTCAACGAATCCGAAGACTCAGACCATCACGCTGCTGCGCCCACGCCTGCACCTCGCCTCCTCTCTGTTCCAGACTCGCGCTCAATGCTTCCCACGCCCGCAAAGACGCCCCGGAAGCGCGTCATCCAGACGGAAGAGTCGCTGAGCTCCACTGCTCGTGTACTGTTTGCTGCAAGCAACCAAGCAAGTAGCGATGAAGCTCATCCCACCCCCAGCAGAAGGCGGAAGAAATACGACAATGTCTTTTCCCTTGAGAGCTTCGAGCGAGCACAACAGCGCGAAGAGATACCGTTCTACGTCGATTCGAGAGACCGCGTGCCAACCGGAGGGGATGATGAGGACAATCCCTTTCTCTCCAAAAATGGCAACAGCAAGGGAAAGGGGAAGGCAAAGAGTACGCCCAACAGGAAGGTGGACCCAGAGGCAGACCAAATGGAAGCAGCTGCAGACCGCGAGGAGGGCATTGTTTACATGTTGTATGTTTGTACCCTGCTATTCTGTTATTCATTTACTAATTGTGAGCAGCCGCGGCAAAAAGGTGTTCCGCAAGTTCCAAGATAGCCCATCCGATGAGGCCGCTGGGCCCCCCACCTTCTCTGATGAAGAGGTCCGTCGTCAAGCTGGTTCGGTAGCCCATCGGCCAATCACGCGCTCCTCTGTGAAGCCCCGCCTTTTGTTCAAAGAGGAAATCAAGCAACGGGAGTCTGCAAGGCATCAGGAAGACGATGAGGAAGCCATCACCGACATTGAAGTTCCCATGCCCACCCCATCTGGCCGCAAGTCACGTCGGATCAGCCATGAGGAGCACCAAGACACAACACCGGCATCTACTACTACCACGGTCACACGTAGCACACGACGTAAGCTCTTCCCTCGTGCTCCACAGAACCCACATGTTGACGACACACCAGAAATCTCATTCGACTCTTGGAGCCGCGTCAAGTCGGTCACCCGGGAGAGCAGGTCGTCCCGGGAGCCTAAGAAGCGCGCTGCCGAGCCGTTAGTTGGTGCGTCTGAGAAACGACAAAAGAGCGAGTCCACTCCGGCCATGTCTGCGGAATAGGAGCCGATGGATTAGGAACCAACGAGTTAGGTTCGGGTCGGAGCGGTGGAGGAGGAGAGAAATCTTATCAGTCTACCATTCCGATATATCGGTGTCAGTGTCCCATAATGCCGGACGGACGCGTCGAGGATGACGTCTCCAAGGGTCGCTCCACTCGTCGACACTCAATACGGCGTTTCAGGCGTAACCAGGAGCCCTTTAACCGGCGAGTTCAGGGCAAGGTCTGACTGCGGCGACGATATGCAAGCCGAGCTTCCACTTACCGATTCCATCCAGTATTGTTTTACAGTTCGTGCCAAACGCTGGGGCAAAACGTGCGTTGCTCATTGGAGGCATGTTATTGCGTAAATCAGCCACATGTGGCGCCGACGAAACTTAATGATATGCCAAATTGAATTCATAGATCATTGCGTGCATTTGCCAGTGAGATGTTGTATATTAATGTAATACCTATGTAATACCTATGTGTGCCACTTGCGTCCATCTCAGATTATTCGCACTCTTCTTGTAAGTCGTCTGGCACTTTCCCGCCCCCTCCTTCCAGAGGAAGAAATAAAATACTTCCAACGGCTACTCTCTCCTACTTCCTTCTCCGATAACCCACCACTCACTCCCCAGCCACTTGGTCCTCGGTGCCTTGCCACCTTTTCACCCCCTCCCTCCCACCCCACTCCCTCCCAATTCCCTTCCATCCACCTAGTCTAACCAATTTTACATCGCATCCCACCCCCGCTTCCTCCTCCCCGGTCCCTGATACTGGATATCCAGCTGGAACAAGCTATCCCAGAGACTCGTCGCCGTGGTCCTGGGCCTCGCGGGTGGTCGCTGCGGTGGCCTACCGGGGCTAGCGGCGGGACTACCAGCAGTAGCGGTGGTGGTGGCGATGCTTCCTGCGAGTGCTCGGTTCTTGGTTGGGGAGTGCGTCGGGGTAGATGATTGGCGTGCTAAGGCTGGAGCTGGAGCTGGGGATGCGGATGGAGATGGAGATGGGCATGGGGCGGTGTTGCTGCGGGAGGGGATGCGTGGACGTTGGGGGTGTGTAGATGGATTCGTAGACGCGGACGCGGACGCAGACGTAGCAGAAGCAGACGCAGCAGGTATAGAAGAGGCGACGGTGAACGGCGAAGCAGCCGACGCAGAAGCAGAAGCAGAAGACCTTCGAACCATCTATATTCCACACGTCAGCTATCTAACCCCAAACCATATAGAATCAGAAGAAGAAAAAGGCGGAGCCTAGACGTTCACAATCCTCCCCGATAATCAAGCATGTACGCATGCACGTGACTGAGTACGTGGGAGAAGACAGAAACACCTAAGGCCCCCAAAGGAGATTATCGCGAACCTCGTCTCCCACATCGACGACTCCCTGTCTCCCATCTCTGCCCAATATCAGTCGCTCTAGCAGTCCGACCCCTTCTTTGGAATGACGCTCTCCGGCCGCTGAGGTGGTAGGTCCACCGGTTGCACCAGCACCAGCACCAGCAGCGGGACTCACGCCCCTCGTCGCGGCATTCGAGTTCCCAGCACTAGATCCCGCATTTCCTCCATCGGCGCCTACAGCTCCACCAGGTGCCTGGTCCTGGCCACCAGCTGGAGAGACGCCCAAGCCCTCCGCCGACGGACGCCCTCCCAGGACAGGAACGCTCTTCCTACTCGTCCCGCTACTGCGGCGACTATCCAAGCTCTTCCCTAGCGACTTTGCGGGATCATTCGCTCCCTTCTTCTTCCCCGGTTCCATCTGTCCTTGCCCCACAACCCTTGCACTCGCAACCGTCGTCTTCCCCAGCCCAGGTGTGCCCGGAGCCCCCGGTTTCTCTTCCACCGCATCGATCAAAAACCAGCGCAAACCGTCAGAGAGTTCAAACGGGTTATCATCCTCAAACGATATCGCACTGCTAGACGCAATGGAGCGCCCATCCATGGACGCTCTCGCACCACCCGCCCCCTCAATCCTCTTACTAAGATCCACAACTCTCTCCTCAATCTTCGAAATCCTCGCTACAAGGTACTCCCTCCCATGCAGCTTATGCGAATCCTGCTCCCTGAGGAAGTAATGAGGCGCTCCGACATTGAACGCCGCCCACGGCCGGGTTGCTTGATTCCTCGTCGGCAAGAAGAGTGCCAGATCTCCTTCCTTAAAGGAGCGATAGGCGATCTTCTCGTGAGCTTCAGCTTGGAACCGGTGTGATTTGTCACGGTAGGCGCGCGCTTCTTTCTGCCACTTGCGGACCGTGTGTTCCATATCGCGCATGCGTTTGGAGACAGCTTCGCTGAAAGTCTCGACGTTGAAGCGGTCGAGGGTGGAGATGAGGGAGCCGTAGCGTTGATCTTCTTCGGAGGATTTGGAGGCTTCGGACCACTGGAGGAAAGACAGATCTACGCCGTCTTCTAAATGCCCTTTGAGGGGTGATGGGGAGGGAGCAGTTCCGCTGCGAGACAAGCCACTGCCGTCCGCACGGACGCTGCCATTGATCTTTTGAGGGCGCTGTATGACCATGTTGCCGTCTTCATAGGTGACGATGAAGCCAAGAGTATCCATGAGACGGAGCAGTCGCTCGTGCTGCGCGTACAGGCGTTGACTGATCTCCGTTGCGCGCCTTGACCGTTGATGCGATTGGGCCGCGTCCTGCTCCTCATACTTCTTCAGCGTCTTTTGGGCGTGCATCAAGGCCACGTCAAGACTGTTCGCGTGTGATATGGATTCAGCAAGCTGGAGCTGCAAATTTTCGACCTTGGCCTCCTCTTCTGCCACTCGTTTCCTGAGAGCCTCTGAACCGGTCTCGCCCTTGGCAAACTTGTCCCTCAGGTCACGGAGATGGCCACGTTCTTCCTCCAACTCCTTCGTGATCGTGGCGGCCTTCGCCCTCTCTATATCAAGCTGCTCGCGCAACATAGCAACTTCAGCTTCCTCTTGGTTAAGCTTGGTTTTGAAGTCCGTGATTTGATCCTGTGCTTCGTGCCGCGCAGTCTCGTTCTCCGATTTCGCGATGGCCACTGCCTGTTGGAGTTCCGCTTGATGGTTGGCAGACCTAATCGCGAGATCTTCGAGCTGATTTATCAGTTCGGTGAGATCCTCAGGTGCAGCCTCTGCGTTAGAAGAAAGGTGGTTGAAAGCCGTAGTAAGCGTTTCCTGCCTCTGGGTGTCTGCAACTTTACGTGCGTCCAGCTCTTTCCGGAGTTTGTGGATCTGCGCGTCAGCCCGCTTGGCCTGCTCAGAAGCTTCAGCACGAACTTTTTCGAGCTCTGCGGTCAACTCCTGGATCTTAGCATCCACACCCGTCCGCTCATTGTCACGACTGCCCAGGACACGGTCAAGTTCGTCTTCAGCCTCCTCAATCTTGGCCTTGTAAGAACGAATCTCCTCTTCCAAGGAGCGTCTCTCATCCGAGAATTCTTTCTGCTGGGCTTTCATGTTCTCCATCAACTGTGTTTTCGTTGACATAGCTTCTTCCACTCGACGTTTCAAATCCGCGTCAGCGTCCGCCCTAGCCTGTGCTTCCTTCTCCAGGGCGGCTCTAACTTCCCTCTCGGCGACGAGCTCCTTCTCCAACTTCAGGATACGGCGCTTGTCCTCCTGACCAGCGTTTGTCGAGAATCGGCGGGAGGACATGGAAGAGCGACGAGACAGCTCCCCCTGGGCTCGGGGAGAAGTCCCCTCCAGTGTAGGTGTAGACGGATCTCCGGGACTCTGGGGTCCAAAAGAAGGCAGTCCGCTGCCCATGGAATGTCTGCCTACGCTTTGCCTGTGAATCAGGTCTTCGAGCCTCCGAATTCTGCTCTTAGACGTCTTCAATTCTTCTTCCAGCTTCAGATTCGCTTCTCTCAAGACCCTCATGTCATCATCCCCTCTCAACAAAAGCTGAGATCCTCTGCCGAAAGCTGCCTCATGAACGCTACCGCTCTTGAAGTTCTTTGCCCGTTTCACTTGCTGTTTGGTAGGCCGATCAAGTTCCTTGATCGCTTGGTTAAGCGCCTCAACATCCGATTCTTGGCCTTCTAAACGTTGCAGTTGGGTGAGATAATCCTGAAGATCTTCGCGGGAGATGACGGGCCAGTTGGATTTGTCAGGCTGAACGTTCATTTCGAATCCGAGCATGTGCCCCTGTACAGCTTCAGTGTTGATGACATCGGCGATCGGTTTGAGCCAGCGCTTTCTTCGTCGCTCTTCCTCTTCCTGATACACTGCCATCTCTTCTGCCAATGAAGATGTGTCCTTCTTCATTTTCTCTACCCACTCACGTCTGCGGACGGCCTCAACGAGCAAGGTGCCGTAGATATAAGGCAGCCTGTTGATCAAGGAGACCAACTCGAACGCAGCGACGCCGTCCTGGGGTAGATCGATGGAATCAAGCTCACCGCTCAGATTCGATATGGCGGATTCAATGGATGCAATGATCCGCATACTCTCCAAAGCATTACGACGCGCAACGTTCTTCTGCTCCACCGACCTCCGCACGAGGTCGCTCATTTCCACACTGTACTCCTTTATGACTGGCAGGAAGTTCCGCGTATGCAGAAGAGCCATCTTTGAGACTTGCGCAACAGACTTTGTGCTTATCGGAAGCCCCATTACGTGCTCAAGATCCGCGTGCACTTTCTTCGCGACCGCTTCGATCTCCTCATATAGCTTCTTCGGCTCCTCAGTATCGTCCAAGAGGGAGCGACTCTGTCCTTGGCCCACCGCACTCAAGAGATTGTTATAGTCTCTGGAGACCCTTTCCAACTGCACGCCCATGTCAGACATTCTCTTCCCAAACGATTCCGTGATCCGTCTGCCCACGCTGGCAGCCTTCTTCAGAGCATCGGCATCAACGTATTCCTGCAGCGTGGTAGTGCCATCACGCGAGTTACGACGATGTCCTTGCACTGCCTGCGTCGACCGCAGGTTCTTCGCTAGAAACTGAATGAACTCCGGCCTAGCAGGAATCTGAGCTAGCTGGGCATAATCGGCATCCAGCCGTCGCAGGTTCTCACCCGTCTCTTGGGCAACACGGTCCCACCACTCCTTGGCTGCCTGGTATTTCTCCCCCAAGCTTCGAATGTGCGAGTCATGGTTGCCGATAGCAATCTGAGTGCCTTTGTCAACCGTGGCTTGCTCGGCGAAGTGTTGCGCAGCTGTCCGGGACATAGCCTGCGACTTCTCCAAGATGTCGAAGGCCCAGTCCCGACGGGCCTGGAAGAGATTCTGCCATGCTCGTAGATCGGTATGGCTCGTCAGCTTATCTGGAGGGTCATCGGGGACGAAAGGTTGAGGTAAGGGCAGTGGAGGAAGTGCGGAGGCGGAGGTCCCTGTGGAGAATGACCGATTGTAGACATAAATCTCCTTCTACAAAAACACAAATGTCAGTTAGCGTCTCAGAACCTTCTGAAGAAATCTCCCACCTCAGTCAGCAGCGCCTGCAATTTGACATGTTTCCCGCGCGGCGTAAGGAGGATCTGGGACTCGGGGGGGATTTGGGTAACGCCGGCGATCCATGACTTCAGAGCATCGACGGAGCTGAAGCCCACCAGATCAGCGTCGATGCGCTGGCCGGTATGAGCTACAGCTATCTGCAGCGACATTCGAGGCGCCCTTCAGCGGTACGCATTCCCCGCTGCAAGATGCAGTTGGAGCTGGGGGGTGAGCGGAGGTCTGCGGTGGTGGAGGTGATTAGGCACGAGTACCGCCAAGACGTGTGATGCAGCTAGGGTTCAAGGACACGGGCCTTCAACATCTTTACATGTGTAAGGAAAGACATCACTTATCATAAGACTGGAGTCAGTTGCTAATCTTGAATCCGGAGGCTCGCTATGGCAAGCAGGAATGGTGACCTATCGGGAAACCAGGCTGCAACAACGGAGAATCCGCTCGACTATTCAGATCTCCTCCACACGCCTTATATGGACGCGTTCGCGTTCTCGGAACGAGAACAGCTCGCCTTAGATCTCTACGATCAGCTCGGCGAGCTGGAACTACAGCGGAGTTTGCTCGAGGCGCAAAACGAAGGTACACCACTATTTAGGTTACGGGAGAATCCTTGTTGTTGACACAAGTTTCAGCGACGAATTCAAATGATGTTTCGGAGCTCTCGGAACGTGACCTGCAAGAGCAGCTGACTGTCGCGGAGCGCGAGGCCATGGAGGCGAAGGCAGAGTATGAGTTGCGCAACCGCATCACGCGGAATGTGCTGGCTATGGATCCGGTCTTGAAGGCTGTCCATGGAGGGGAGAGCACGGATTACGCGGAGAAGTATGCTCTGTATGCTATCTTACTGTGAATCTTTAGAGCTAACGGACTTCAGACGCATGCTCCCTTTGATCGCGGAAAATGATGTTGTATCTATGGTTCATGGGCACCTTACATCCAAACTTGTGGATTTGAACAAGAAGCTACGTGCTGCCGAACAAGGCAACATCACTGCCAACGAGAGAAATCGTGCACTCGCGAACGAACTACTTGCTCTTGCTGAGCGGATGAAGGCGCAGAACACCGAAGATATTGAGGATCCACAGCTGCGAGAGAAGGTGAGGGCAATGGAGAGAGAAGTCAAAGCATCTAAGAGGAGAATGCGGAATTTGAAGGGCATCCTCTCGGGAATGATTGTTGGAAGTGGCATCAATTGGGCGGAAGACGAGGTGTTGCGCGAATTGGTGATGGACGACGAGGATGATGGGTGAACGCACGATGCAGTCAAGAGGCCGCAAACCTGCGCCCGTGGACTGAAAGACTTACCTGGCAAGGAGAATATTTGGAGTAGGCAGCACCTAGGGAGTGGCATTTGGATCCAGTAATGCGGACGGAGAGCGGCATCCCAACATGTGGCTACTACTGCTTAGGCCGAAACAGAGCCGCTGGCATAGGAGGTGATTGAGGCCCTGGAAGAGTGACGGCAATGCAGAAGAGGATAGCATTCGGTGTACACGAGAGAGAGCTGGGGAGCGTCGGACGAGCTTGCGGGGCAACCTGGAGAGTTTCTGTGTGTGCTCAAGCGACTGCAGAACTCAGCACCCAGTCATCATGCCATAGCTATGCGATACTGGCGGATGCGCTTGTTTACTCTGGCGGAGAGGATGGAAGAAAGGAACATGTTGCCGGACGGGAGAGGTTGCAGAATGCAACTCGGTATATGGACACGACGAGGCGTTGCATGAGAGAAACCTGGGGACCAGTCGTGGAGGAGGCAAGCGGAGCCAGTTCTGTACCATGTCCAACAGGTCTGCACAGTCACAATCAAGCCTCGAGCACGGCATTCATCTGTTTTGATACTACCGCTTCGGGTTAGCGGGAGTCGGTACTCTTAGGGTACCTAGGTAGAGGTAGATAGCAAAGGGCCCATGACGTCGCAAGAGGGTCCCGCACAAGGCAAAGAGGCACCAAATGACGCATCCGCACAAGACGCACCGAGTCGCTTTTCGCCGCACTTCTTTCGGGGCGCTTGTGTGTATCACCAATGATGGCCGCAGCGCTGCACTTGTACTGATGCGCCGTCGAGGGTCGTCTCACTGGTCTGGCCTGGAGCTCTCCTTTTTCAGCCAGCCAGCCGCGGTTTGCGGAGCTCTCGGAGCAGTGGGAGCGGTGCCGGCAGAGACTCGTCAGACGGTAGACCAGCGCGAGAGACGGCACGGTGCCCCTCGCGCTGCAATAGATAATATAACAACAGTGCCTGGCCCCATGAAACCGGCTGCTGGAATGTGTGTCTGTGTGTGCGTGCGTCGCGCAATAAGGGGAGGCCTTCCGGTGCTCGCTGCGCCCAACAAGGCAGCGTGTGGTGGGTGCAGCTTGTAGCGCCGGGGGGGGAGGTTGCTGCGAGGCGCGATATCAAGGAGAAAGGAAAGTACCACAGCAACCGGCGTACATTGTAGGCGGTGCAGCAGTGCAGGCGCACGCAGAGATGAGGAGAAGACGAAGAAGAAGCAGAAATGCAGAGCGCAATTATTGGCCAACAAAGTCGCGTGTGTGGCCGCCCTCTCCGAATCATGAAAGCGTCCATGGGTGAGATGGGAGCCATGGAGGGGAGGGGAGGGGCTCCTTGGGGCTGCGCTGTTTGGGGCCGGCGCAAGTTGCAACAAAGGGCAGGCGCGGGTCACGTGCCCGCTGATAGGGTCAGAGCGGTGCCCGCCATTTTGTATGAGAGGGCGCTGCGCTGCTCCTCTCTCCCACAGTCTCTCATACTGCACACTACAGCCAACCTCACTACTGCTACTCCTACTGCTGCTACACGCCTGAGCCAGCCTCTGGTATGTTTTCTCGCTTGCTCTACTACAGTCGCCTTCTGCACCCAACTTCCCATACCCGGCCATACCCTTTTTTCTCAGCCTTTCCTGCTGTATTCTGTGCTTCGTCATGGATTCTGCCTCTGATCTCATCCTCTTCAGCGCGTCGTCGCGTCTTGTTTTCATGTTCTTTTCCAAGTCGGTACTCTCATAGCACGCCCATACTAACCCTACTCGCAGAACCAGCTTTCAATTCCATTTCCTTACTGCTTCCTGTTTATTTGTAGGTCCTTACCCGTCCATCTCGCCACATTTGCACGTCGTTCGCGATTCAGCTTGGTGTTTCGCGACCGCGCCTGCGGACGCTGCCACACGGCACCTCACCTCCCTTTGCCTGCACATTTCCTTGACTCAATTGATCCTCTCCATCGCTTCTCATTTCATTGTCACTGTCTTGGTATCCTTTGCCGACTGACGCACACCTTCCTTGCCTCTCTTTTCCCGCTCCTCACAGCTCCTTCCCGAACGATAGCTAACAGGCAACCAAGACGACTCCCTGTAAACACATCAAACATGCCTAAGGCGGAACCCAAGACCCGCAGGACCAAGGCCTCCAAGGCCGAGTCTGGCAAGAAGAAGAAGGGTGCGTCCCGTGACTCCTCCGGTGCATGAGGTCCATTTCACTCTGCTAACCACCACAGACCCCAACGCTCCTAAGCGCGGTCTCTCAGCCTACATGTTCTTCGCCAACGAGCAGCGCGAGAAGGTCCGCGAGGAGAACCCTGGCATCAAATTCGGTGCGTGCCTCCCCTTGGTCACGCTCGCTCCACTCGCAATTACTGACTTGACCAGGCGAGGTCGGCAAGCTGCTCGGCGAGAAGTGGAAGTCGCTCTCTGAGAAGCAGCGTGCTCCGTATGACGCCAAGGCCGCCGCTGACAAGAAGCGGTACGAGGAAGAGAAGGCCGCCTATAACGTATGTTTTGCAGCAACCTCCTTCCTCGGACGTATGCTAACCAGTATTCTAGGCCGGTGGCGACGACGAGGAAGAGGAGTCCGAGTAAATGCTCGACACTCGCCCTTTTACACGTCCGATGCCCAGCAGTGGGTAACCTCCTTCGATGGACGCGGACTTCCTTGCGAGATCACGAGGTGCCCAACCACGCTGCAGCTCGCTTCTTTCCGCCTCCTGGCAAGCGTTTCTCTTTTGTTCAAGCCTCCCAACATTTCTTATTCGGAGCTCAAGGTTCTATGGGTGCTAAGCAAACATTTCTTACACTTTTGTGGTGATTGATGTCCTTCACGGCTCGCGGCACTGCGTGCTGGAGGAGGGATGGTCATCACGACGGCTATGATGGAATCAGTGTACACTATATGCTGCTTATTAAGCCAATGGTATGATTGACAAGCTGGGCTGGATTGAGGTATGTGAGTGATGTGACGTGCCTAACAATGTGACGTGCCCAGCGTACGGCTGTTACCGCCACAGTAGTTCGTGGCCCAGATCGCAGGCAGCGTCCATCATACGCAGACACACGTCTATCCAGAAGCTCTTCATGCTTGGAGCCGTATTAACAAGGGAAGTAGGACCTCGAGAGGAAGTGGCTTTGTACATGGCTCTTTTGGTATCTTAGAATTCATGGTGCTTTTGGAAAATGGAGGCAAAACGCCCTTGCTTGCTGGAGTGATACGCTCCGCTCTATTGCAATACCATACACACACCCCTTCCCCACCTCATTCCCGCTGCAGCACCACCATCAACCCCATCATGCCCAGCATCACCTGCTTCAACCACGGATGCTCGCTCAGCAGGATGGTGACGTAGCCCACAAACGGGATGAACCCGACGACGCTGCCGATGACGTCCTCCTTGCGGTTGAGGAACGATTGGCCCCGTGCGTACAGCTCCGTATCGTCGGCGATGTTGTTGTCGCCTTTTGTGAGGAGGCGTAGGGGGGAGTCCCTAATTCGCTGATCAGTATCCGTAACTCGCACACCTCTCTCCACCTCTCTCCACCTCATCCACTTTCCCCCAATTACCCACCAGACAGAAACCAGAAACCAGGAACCAGGAACAAAAACTAAAAGGAAACATGAACAACGACGGTGAAACCACTCACCCTCCCCCAAATCTCCTCACCACCCGATGCACAATCGGGATATCCTTGCCCTTGACATTATACACGACAATCTCGCCGACTTTTGTATCCAGCCCCCGGTTCCACAGGAACAGCAGGTCCCCCCGCTGGAACGCGGGCTCCATGCTTCCCGACAGCACGACGACGATGGGGGAAGGGGAATCGGTGACGACGGAGAGGCCCTTCCAGAGCATGAAGGCCGTCGAGAGGACGAGGGCGAAGTTGAGGAGTTGCGTCGCTAGTTGGCGCGGCGCCAGTGATGAGAGGCCGAGCATGGTTGCGGTTTCGGTTGTGCGCTGTGTGTGTGTGTTTGCTGGGAGTGGTGAGAGTTGAGGACTGTTCGTTGTTGGAGGAGAGGTCGGAGTGTGCGGTCGCGGAGAAGACGAATGATTGGCGGTCCCAGGGAGGGAAAAGGAGAGAGGTTGGTATAGGCTTGCACCTTGGGTATCCGCGCCGGAGGTCGGTTTCGTGGAGTCTGGGAGCGCGGAGCCGCGCTGAGCTTGAAGCCAGATGTTCGCGGATTGGCGGTTGTGGTTGGTTGGTACGGTGGACTGTACCCCTGCAAATGTGACTAAGCACCTTCTCAGGAACCCAGTGCTGGAAAGCTCAAGCAACACGAAAGACGAACATGCGAACAGATGTGCTAGAATGTTATTCATTGGACCTCGAGACCATTTCCCCGCAATGCTAATGATGCTCCTGGTATCATACAAGAAACCCCATGCTACTCTAAAGCCCCCTTACAAAAGAAAAGCATCTATTTATTTCTTAGTGTCCTCCTTCGCCTTCTTCGCCAGATTTGCAGCCTCGTCACCCTTCTTCTTCAGAATCTCCGAAATCTCGTTGACCGTCTCCTTCATTATCCGTTGAGCCTCGTCGCCGTGCTTCTCGGCAACCTCCTTTAGCTGGGTCAACTTGGGGATGATCTGGTCACCGCCGGGGATCTTGTGGAGGTAGTTGTCAAGATCGAAGAACCCGGAATCCTTGGCCGTGCCGACAGCGCTGTTGACGTAGCTCTCCAGGTCGCCCATGTCGCCACTCTCGACAGCCTTCTTGATCTTCTGGTACAGCTCCTGGACGTTGCCTTGCTTGAGGGTATCGGCATTCTTCTCGACGAACTCCTTGACTTTGGGGTTTTTGTCAAGATAAGGTTCAGCCCGCTCCATGCTCTTCTTCCAGGCCTCATCGCCGAGCTGCCTGACCTTCTCGGTCTTCTCCTGGATGAGGTTCCGAATCTTCTCAATATTCTGAGCGCTGACGCCTGTCTTTACAATGTCACTGATCTGGTCCCATGTCCTGTCGACCTCCTTCTTCGCCTCGGGTCCGTAGTTGCGACCCATCTCTTTGAGAGCGTCAATGTTACCGCCAACCTTCTCCTTCAGCTGAGGATGGTTGTCCAAGATCTGCTGTGCAGCATCACCAGCCAAGTCCCCGATCCGGCCGAGGTGCTTGACAATTGCATTCCACGCCTTCTGTGCGGTAAGCAAACTCAAGTCTCCCTTCCCAGCGATATCCCTCAGCTCATCGTATGCCTCCCGCACAATCTGGTCCACCTCGTCTCCATGCTTCGCCCGAATGGCATCCAAGTCGTCAAAAGCAGCGTCGACGTAGCCACGAGCGCCGGGAATGAAAGCAGCGTAGCTGTTTGTTGCATTGCGCAGCCAATTGAGTGCCTCGTTAGGCTCTGGGGTAGCCTCCTTGAGCTTCTGTTGCGCCGTATTCACATACTGCTTTGTGGTCTTCGTCGCCTTGAGGAGGTCCCTCGCTCCTGATTGCCTGTACCAGATGTATCCGATGGTGAGAGTGGCCAGTGAACCGGTGATTGCACCGACGACTGCGGGTGAGCCTGAATTGACCGCATTGGGTCCGGAGCCTGATGACGTGGATTGGAAGCGGGAGGATTGGAAGCGAGGACGAACGTTGGAGACGCGCGGTATGGGGCGTGCTGATCGGCCTACGAAGCTGGCGCTCGAGGCAATTCGTCTTTGGATCATTGTGTATGTGTGGATGTGAGGATGGGAATACAGGAAATGAGAAAACGTAACAGAGATTCACAAATGACGCCTGGAATGGAATGGATGTAAAGTGGAAGTGGATGAGTTGATTGGAACGAACCCAAAGTGAAGGGAGATATCACAGTTTTGTACCTTCCGAAGCAAACCCTCGTTCACGCGTCGTTATGACGTGCGGATCGCAGCCGCTTTAAGCAGTGACGTCAGTAAACTGGCCGAAGCGCGCCAGAACGTCTCAGATCGGCGTATGGAAGGTGCAAGCGGGCATTCGCTTTGACCTTCCCCACAGAGTCTGGATTGACACAAAGGGTCTCAACTAAACCTGACACATCCGCAGACTTGCAACGGTTTTTGTGTGGCGCAAGTTCTATCTTCACATCCTATGAAATCATACCTCGGCAAACTGTGTATTCGCTCTGGCTTATCTGCTATAGTACATCACCAGGTTGAAGTTGCTTCATCTCTTGTGGGCGTGCCTTCTTCAGCGGGTTTCTCAGCATCGTCAACATTGCCGCCTTCCTCGAGTTTGCGATTCATGAAAAATACGCCAACATATACCCGTATCCCCAGAAGTCATGCAAATATGGATGCAATTCGTGGAAATAGAGCCGTAGCATCGCAGTTCTCTCTTCATCAAACCTTCTCCCTCCACCTGATTCCCCAATTCCCTTTTGCATAGCTCGCCTCAACAGCCGCCCCTTTCATAACCGCCTCGCATTTCCTCCTCTGCTCCCACGCTTCCTGGCTCTCTTTCTTTGACCCCTTCCCCTCGGAAGCCTTTTCTCCCTCCACGACGAAACCGAACGCACATCCTCTTCTCGCTGCTCTCCTCACCATCTCCCTCTCCTCCGCTCTCCTCTGCCCCTCCCTCCTCTTGGCCTTCATATCCTCCGTCTCCTGCATCCGCTCAGCCCATCCCTTCTCCCCGCCAATACTCCCATTAACATCCGACTTATCCTGCGGCGGTCGAATCTTTCCTCCACCGTACCCCTCCGCTGAATCAAGCAGTACACCACCATCGGTCGCTCCATCCTCGCTCGCATCACTAACATCACTGACCGTCAAATCCAGGCTCTCCCCATCCGTGAGCGAAGGCGCCTTCGGTGCAGCCGACCCCTCATCTACCGTATCCACAATCTCCAACTCCTCTTCCATGCCCTTCACTCCCCTAGCCGCTCTATTCCTCTTCCTCCCAAACACCTTCTCCGGATCGTTCGGATGATGAAAAATCAAATGCTCGACATCGCTGCATTCCACAATGACTCTCGAATCCCCCTTAACCTTTTTCCTCTTCTTCTGCTTCTCCTTGATTTCTTCTATCACAGCTTGTGTCTCCGGAGTTTGTTCGATGTTTGAGGGTATTTGGCCGTTCAGAAGAGAGGAGAATGTAGCCTCGATTTTGCGGTCTAGGGGACCTGGTTTGCTGTTCCGGCAGCGAGAGGAGCAGTATTTGACTTTTTGGGATGATTGAGTTCTGCGAGAGCCTGGTCTTGCATGTGAGCAGATGCGCTTTGAAGCAAGAAGACCTCGAATTCTATTTAGATACTTGAACAATGGGAAATGAAACTACCTATCAAGCGCCCGCAGCTGTGACAATAAGGTACATCGTCGCCTGCCGCAGTGAGGTAGAGTGGCGGAGGCGTGATGGCGTGTTTTGAGGGACGTGACCAGGAGTCCATCCAACTCATTTTGCTGATAGGATATATTCAATTCGTTTGTAAATTTCTCTGGTTGGGATTGAAAAGCTGATCGCTGAGCTGTGACGAAAGCTATTATTTTGGGTATGTGCATGACGTCATTGCTCTGGTATAACACTTAGAACATGAAAATGCGAACCTACTTTGAGCAAGCTACAAATCAGGAGAGTAATTTCTGCTATTGCATTGGATATGCTTCATAAACAAGTCTTGTACTTCGGGTATCGTAGGGGTGGAGTTGCACGAATCAGAGCACCTTCGCAAAGAGTTAGAATGATCATACCATTGGATGGGGTGCAGTGATTTGACCACTATATTCCTCAGCCTACGTCTCCACTATCCCTCCTTTCTCTGCCATGCTTGGACTGTCTAAATATGACTTTGTGGGGAATGACATTTCGTTGAATGACCTTCGAGTGGTAGTCAGAGGTAGCCACGCCATTCAAGTCGGGAATTCTGAGAAAAAGCAAGAAAGAAACTAGAAGAAAGGAAATCAGGGCTTGATATAATGCAGGACAGTGGAAAAAGAACGTATTCAGGCAGCAAAGACAGAAAAAAGAAATCAGGGCTTAAGATATAAAGCTGCACAGTAGAAGAAGAAGAAAGTATCCGAGCAGCAGAGACAGAAAGCTAATCAAAGCAGCCACCATGTGCAAGTAAGTATGGAAGGAAAGACTCCTTCAATCCGTCCGCTCCTCCAATTCTTTCGTTCCCGCATATGCCTTCGCTTGGCGCACATCCTTCTCAAGCACAGGATGATGCTTCACGAGGTCGATGAAGCCAGCATAATCGTGAAGATGCTGAGCTATGAACTGCGCAATCAGCTCCCTCATTTTGATGTCCCCATCCATCGAGGCTGGCACTGTGTCGTCGGCATACACAGCGGAGACGAAATGTGTGAAATCATCCGTGAGAGGCCATGGCTGGAGCGCGAGTATCTTTTCCACCAACACCTCCAGGAGATCTTCCAGACAGAGTTCGATGGCGATCTTCCATATCCCGGCGTAGGTTTTCCAGACCGCATTCTCCCCGTCTCGACTGGTGTTCTCTGGACCAGGGACTGGGAGTTCGTCATTGCAGAGGAACGCAGCAACGGCTCGGAAATACTGGGGATCGATATCTCTGAACGAGGGCTTGCTGACTACCCAACCATTGTCACCGTGAGGAACCAAAATCTGCATCTTCACAAGATGCTCGCGTTGGTTCACCGCTGTGAGCGGGATGGGGAAACGTTGGATGGGATCTCCGATAAGCCAGTAGGCAATGAACTTGTCGCGGCTGCATGATTTCGTTAGTGAAGCCTCATGTAATGATGGATCGCATAACGTACGACTCGTCTGCTTCTGCCTCCTCCTGAGAGTCATGTGCTTCTCCCTCGTTCTGTGCCACTCCCTCGTTATGTGGCTTCTCTGCTTCTCCCCCGTTCTGAAGATCCTGTGACTTGGGAAGGCGGCCATCGTCATGATACGAGAAGTCCATAGCGGTATCGTCGTCATCGAGGTCCATATGACCCGTCTCGTTTTGAGAGGAGGAAGCCTCCGCGGCGGGAGGAGGAGGCGCATTCGGCGAAGCTTGGGACGAAGATTGCGAGGGAGGTTGCATGGGAGGCAGAGACAGGGCTTGGGATGAAGATTGTGAGAGTGGTTGAGTAGAAGGCAGAGACGGGGTTTGCGAGGGAGTAGGAGGACTGAGACTGAGGATCGGAAGGGAGGTTAGCTGCGAAGGTGGGTGTGAACTGGCCTGAACCCGCTTTACGACAGGTGTTTCTAGCAAAGGTTCCGGTTCGGCCGCTACTTCATGTGGTGTGGAATCGGATGCAGGCCTCTTCCGCGTAGTTTTGTTGCTCGGATTGTTCGGAGTGGTGCGTTCGGCTTTACCCTTCGTAGAGGGAGTGGCCTTGTACTGGAGTAACTGGTCCGCCCCGTATCGTGGCTTCACCTTATTCTTCCAGTAAGTCATAGGCGGTCGGCGGTTCATTGCCTCGGTAAGACACTCATGTGCTTTCCGTAAACCGGGATGCTTGTTTGCCTCCTCGTTGATGAATGAAATCGATGTATTCTTGTTGACCGCATACACGTCCTGTCCGCGCGCAAATCTCCTGTAAAGTTGATTAGCCACCTCGTCTTGCGACATATCCTGCGTTCTCCCACTCACACTTCATCTTTTTGTAGCAGTAGAATTGGAATTTCTGACCCGGTGAGCCGTCTTCGCTTGAGGACCGTCTTAGGTACCATATCGATGCTGCAAACGACTGCTGGCCAGTGTGGCCGCACCGTATTGCTGGGCCAGTAGAGAACGAAGGTTCCTGGCTTCATTTCTGGGCAAGGTCCGTTGTATCCGTTATCGTGAGAGCTGTGAGTGAGCTTGGGTAGGATGCGGGAGCCAAGAGATGAAAAGTGAGTAGTGATTGTAGATGGGTAAAAGAAATGTGCTGTGATGAAGTTTCAACGAAAGGGTGTGAGATAAACGAGGAGTGAGGGACTGAAGCGCGCAGAAGGTGATGGTGGGGAGGATTGTGGGTGTACGCTACTTACCGCATGTATATATGTTGGTTAGCTCCTACCAAGAATATACGGTAAAGGGCAACTTACAGCAGAAGCTTGAAAGGGTCCCGTTGCTCTTCGGGCGGTGAGAGGGGCTTCCAAGCAATAGCCAGCCGGATTATTGAGAGAGGAAGCAGTATGAAAGTAGTAAGAGCAACTTTACGCTTTACAAGTAGCAGTGATATTGCTCTTACAAGAAGTATACATTACACCCACCGTTACGCGCCTGCTCCGAACTCATACTTTTCTCCTAATCAACCCTTTAAAGAAGTCAAAACTATTACTATCACTCTGCAACTGCACAATTCTCCCAGTTGGTCTGTCCTCCCACCCCAACTCCTCCGCCAACAACAGTCCCCAATCTCTCGTGATACCCTTAATCTTCGCTCTCGCCCCCTCATGCGTCTCCAGTGTGACGATCTGATCCATATGCAACCATGCTGCGTAGTATTCGTCTTCCATGTCCCTCGTGAACCCTCTACTGCAGAAATCCGTGTAGAGAAATTCGAAGTGTGCAAGGATGGAGGCGAGCAGTTTCTCGTACGTGAAGGGTTTGAGGTTAGCGGCTTCGGCAAGCATGTTGAGGGAGGTCGTTGGCAAGGGGTTGGCGAGGTTGAGACCGATACCGCAGACGATGTCGTAGCTCGTACCGCTGTAGCTGCTGTTTACCAAGATGCCTCCGATCTTGACGACGGGGTTATCTGGGCTGCCTGGTAGTCGAGCGTAAATGTCGTTGGGCCACTTGAGCTTGACGCCAATGTCGGAGTAGCCTGGTGCGTAAGACTTGATACCTCGCACAATGGCAAGGGCAGCAAGATACTGAACGAAGATGACAGGTGCGGATTGTGAAATCTGAAATGAATGGTGTAGAACGGTGGAGAACATGAGCGCGCCTGGTGGTGCGACCCAGACGTTGGACCCGCGGCCTCGGCCCGCTATTTGTTGGGTTGCTGTTATTGTGAAGCCCGTTGGGAGATGGCGGAGCAGGGACGGGTTCTTTTCAAGCAATGTGTTTGTGGATGTGACAACTTCGCCGTACATAAGGTAGCTCCCGAAGGCAAAACCTGGGTTTCGCAGCATTGCATGGTAGTGCTCCAGGTTGGCGTAGAAGGAGTCGTGGTGGAAGTATGGTGTTTCGCGGGAGGATGGAAGCTCCTTTTCATGCGGCTTCAGCGTTTTAATGATCATGTTGTAGTCCAATATTCGATCCCCTGTAGTGTAGTTCCTCGTGTATTCTATCCGTTCAAGAATGCCTTTGACAGTGTCCTTGTCTTGAGTGTGCTGATCGCCAGCACGATTCCCAATCATAGCGTCCGGAATAACATTTTCCAATGCTTGAACGGCGTTTTTCAGCCCCTCCACTGCCCATACAGAATGCTCACTTTCCAAATGAAAGCAATCATTCTGGCCTAGGATGTATTCCTCGCCGTCTACTACAGTGAGGATCGAACTCCACGAAGCGATGAGATCGGCGACATCTGCAGCCTTATGAGCTGAGAGATGCAAACTGGAGAGGGACGGTACCGCTTGTTCCTCGTCATTGACTTTTAAGCCGAGCTTGCGCAGAATCAGTCTCATGAACTCGATTCTAGTGGCGTCTGTGCTAGTAATCTGGTCGATAGCTTCCGAGTATGACGGCATTTGAGGCGTCCGGGTAAGGTTGGCGGGAGCAAATCTGATACAGTCAGTTTGGGCACACGGGAGGGCTCAGGGAAGAAATACTCTGGATGAGGTCCGGTCAGAACAACATGACCTTGTCCGACTTTCCTGTAGACAACCGCTGCAGCACCTTCGCCTGCATCGACGTTCAGGTCTTCGGTATAGCTGGCCAGGGTCTCCACACCCCGACTTTCCAGTTTCTTCGCATCAACAAACACACCACCTCCATTATAATAGCTCTTAAATGTTTCTTTCATATGAGGGTTTACATCCGGGAGTGCCTCCTTGTTGATTTTCAGCTCAGCCGCGCGAGCGCCCGCTTCCGAACTGTACACAAAGCCGGGGAACGCCAGGCCCCTGCAGGTCCCTGGGAAGAAGCCAAGCTCACGGTCACCAACGACCGCTAATTTAGGGTCATTGACTTCGAATTCACATCTCGAAGAACCGTAGTAGCCACCAGCGCAGAAGCCTAGATAGCTTCCCCCTCGGTTGACATAGAGGCTGATGCGCCGATTCCCCGGCCCATTGAGCGTCCTGCAGTAGCCTAGATCCGCACCACCAGGGAACACGAGAAGAACGCAGGACGCTGTCCATGGTTCCTTGATGATGACATCTCCGGTGACCGGAATGATTGCATAAGTGGGAGAGAGTAGGCGACGAAGCGTATAGAGGCAATGACGCACGGATTCAGTGGTGCTTCCATTTCCTTCAAAGCCATTAGCCAAGCTTTAGATAGGTATCATAGCGATAGAAAGTATACCGGAATAGACCAAAACATTCATCTTCCCAGTCGCCATGGTTGGAGTCCTACTCGGTGTTGTCCCACTTTCTACCGAGGCACGTGCACGCTCGACTGCTGGAAGTGAACGTTTGACGGGTCAGCCCGCCCACAACGATCAATGAACACCTCAAAGATGTCGAATGACGAAAGAAGAGTCGTGGCGGCTCAGACAACTGCGGACGACGATGAGCCTGATGAGTGGTACGCGATTGTCGGTGATCAAAGTGAAGCTGAGCGACGCGCTGACGATGGATCAAAAAAGGGACAAAAGGATCTTCAGCACGGGGTGTGCGGGTCAGTTGCTCATTCCATTGCCCAACGAGACGAATAATTCTGACCGTTTGCAGATGAAAATGCGAAGTTGACGGATTGTTACTACGAGAAGAAGGATTGGCGAGCGTGTAAGAAGCAGGTGAGCAGCTGCTGGTTCGGTGGTGCTTGGCCTGAACCGAGATCCAGCCGACGGGCTTGATGCGAACCCAGAGTTTCGCGACCAAGCATTGCTGATGATTCTTCGCAGATGGAGACGTTTCGAGAGTGCTGGAAGAGGCACGGGAATGATAAGAGAACTGATGCCAAAGATTTACGATGAGATATTCAACTTCACTCTGCCCCGGCGGGGCAGACCACGATACAACTATGACTTTACAAGTAGGGTGATGAACTTGAATATTTCGATTGCTCCGCTAAATAAGCTGCTACAGATGTAATACACGATTTGGGCTTGGTTGGGGAGATAACCCTACATACATACCAACCTGATTCAAGACTTTAATGCTCCACTCAGGAAACGCCCCTATCTTTCAATTTAACCATCAGCGGAGGTTTCTCCCAAATAATATAGGTATCCTGGTTCATCCAGTTGTCGCTCTCTGGGCAAAGCTCCAAATCAAAGTTGTACAGAACTTTTGAGATAATGAGTCGCATTTCATGATAAGCCATACTAGAAAGTGGCCATTAGCAGCAAGGTCTGTCCCAACGGCAAGGGCTCAATCACTTACTTTCTTCCCAAGCAGTCCCGTGTCCCGTACTGGAAGGGTTGAAACACCGCCTTCCGGTCGTTAGCATAGCGCTCATCGCCCAACCACCGTTCGGGGACGAAGGCAAGGGGGTCTCGAAAATTTATGCTCGTGTTGTACGCTCCAAAATGAGGAATCGCGACCGTGGTCTACGATCTGATCAGTCTTCTTTTCTTAGCTCGACCTACTAGGGGAACACTCACGCGAGGAGGTACGAATTGACCACATATCGTTGACCCATCCGAAGGTGTGAGGTGAGGGAGACCAGCCGCAACAGGGGGATAACGACGCAGCGCTTCTTTCACGCATGCGTTCAAGTACGGAAGAGCGGCAGCACCTTCCATGTTGATATCGGCCGGACTTGCGAATGCTGCACGGATCTCCTGGACGAGTTTTTTGTATGTCACCGGATTCTTTAATAGGAGATACGTCAGTCCTGAGAGCAACGTAGCCGTCGTCTCCGTTCCCGCGACCATGAAAAGCGAGGCATTGCAGTCCATCTCCCCACGAGACAACCCTTCGCCTTCTTTCCGGCCCAGAACCAAAGTCCATAGATCGACTCCTTCTGACGCCCTCCCCTTCTCGAGTCTCTTTGTCACACGATCGACTGCATACTGGAAATGTATGTCACGCGCCCTACTAATCGACCTCGGTGCCATGGCCTGGAAAATGGTAGCAGCAACAGGATACCAAAACAGCAAGCCGAGCTTTATCCCTTTCCGGACAGACTCGAAGATGACACTGACCCAAGGATCATACTCTCCACTATCCAGCATATGGAGGGACTCGCCAAAACTCAAGTCGCCCATGACATCGAAGGTTGTTAGGTTGAAGAAGCGCGACAGGTCGAGCTTTGCGTCTGCGTCTTCCTTCACATGGTCTCTCAACGACTTTATGAGCTTGTCCGCATACTGCATGAAAAGCGGTTCCTGCTGCTTGAGCGCCTTGTCCGAGAAGGCCGTACTAAAGATGCGACGCATACGCGCATGATCGGTGTCATCGGAGACAATCAAGTCTTCGACACCGTTCGCGGGTTTCGAATAGCGGACGAAATGTTTGGGAGGGACTGAGCCGGGCGTACCTTTGACGCCTTTGCCAAAGATGTCCCGCCAGGCATTTGGGTGAGCGTAACTGAGCTCGTCGGGTGAGATGCGGACGACGTCTCCGTACTGTTCGTGCAGCTCTCTGACATATAGGTGCGTTTTCCCAGTCCAGATTGATTTCAGGTGTGGGATGCGGGTGAAGGCGGAGAACTTGGGACCGGGAAATTTGCTGAGCGGATGGAAGTACACTCGATATATACCCCTCACGATCCATCTGAGGAACACCTTGAATCTCAATTAGCTGCTTGATTGCCAATGAGCAGATTTGTACTAACAAACGCGACAATAGCAGTGAGGATATGAAGGACGGAGGCATTGCGAATGCTGGGGAACAGGCTAGGCCTCTCCATGACAATCAATCGAGGGGAGCATGGAAATGTAGGTGAATGAAGGATGACAATGGCCGCTGAAGCTTCAGCTAGCACTGTTGAAGTACCGCTGGGCGTACAACAATACTAAGTCAAGATGAAAGACGGTCGCGCGGTCCACCCTCCTTAAACAAAGCGACGCGGAGATCGCGCACCTACTTATATACACTAATTTAAGATAAAGCGCTCTTCTAGCAAAGAAATTAAGTCAAGAGCTATGTTTCGAATCAAGTAAGGATACTTCCTACCGTGCTTTCTTTAAGCGCTCTGCATATATCCGTCAACCCTGAATGACACCATGCACACTCCGCCGCCCGGACGAGTTATATCCGTACTTGTCCCAACTCTACGGTTTTGTGTTGCACTGCCGAGTGTGTAGTAACGGAGAGGCGAGTGGGGCAGCGGAGGGTCGGATGCTGGAGTTGGAGACATTATGGCAAGGTCAGGCCTCCGCACATGGTAACCAGTCGTCAGAGGAGCTCTACGGGCAGAGCATTTTCGATGCCGAAGCTGTCGTGCGGAACTTCCACAATTTAGCAATCTCGGGACGCATACATTAGGGATGAACATGCAGATGTAGTCATCCCATGATGTCTGCAGCAGGATCTATGATGTAAGGAAAAGCAGCTCCGCCTTACCTGGTCAGTACAACGTGAGAGATGAATTCATGGATTCCAAAGTCCGGATCTGGTAGTTTCAACCATGGATTCAACTTCCACGATGGCTGCTCGTATGATAAACATAGGCTTTAACATCCATCATCACTTCCAGGTTGAAGCTGATGGTGCAATTGGCTTCGGAAGTCCAGACGGGGTCGCGCAGGCGGAAAACGAGCTTGAGCAAGAAAGGGGCCTTTCTATTGGCAATGATGCGGTTAAGCTGAAGTTGTTGACGCAAACAGCTCTGCTGCAAAATATTTATATGTTACACCTACGATCAACGTCAACGTCGAAGAGTCCACCGAAGAAAGCCCCGGACACGACAGTAGCACTGAAGATGAAGGAGATGAAGATGTAGTCGCCCTGCACGAGTTTGGTGAGGACAACAACAGACGAAGGGTTTGATGACGATGACGACACAGATTGATGCCAACGTCGAGTCCGTTGGGAAGCGTGCTGCTGTTGAGGTTAATGTCCGATAGTTGAGAAAGAAAGACGCAAAGCCAGGAGACGGCGGGAACCAGGTAGCATGGAAGAGTTACAGTTCCTTCTCAACTGGACGACCATTTGACCGAGATTGAGCATATGCGTTAAAGGTCGTGCAAGCATCTCCAAAGAAGTGATCGGGTTGTTGGAAAAAGTGGTCGACGAGGGTGATTATGGCGTCCAGGAAGTGCTCCAACCTAACAGAACTGATGGCAGCTAAATATAAGTAGATACCCCAAGGACGAGGTGGCGTTTGCGTTCAAGCCGTAGGCAAGCGTTGGTGACAGTTCCGAGCATCCTATGGTGGCATTAATCTTCGAAAGAGGAGAGGAGAACCTTGGAAAGAGGAGAGGAGAAGATCCCCAAAAGCAGTCCCTGTGCGATGTGATTGGTCGGTTCGCACGCGGCGTCGTGTGGCGGGCGCGCGTGTCCGCGACAAACCTCATTCTCAACCACCATAGATCCTCTCTTCAAGAGCAAGCCGTGCTCTTCGCCTCTCTCGCTCATTTCCTCAACAATGTCTTTCGCGGCTGCCTCCCTAAGACGGAGCTCCAGTCTGCTCTCCTGCCCCCGGACCTGGATACGTCCGTCGCAATACCGAACCTTCACCAGCTGCCCCGTATGCTCCGCGTTTACGAACAGTAATTCTGTGCGCGCTGCCCCATCTTCTTCTTCCCCAGCAGCGAAACCGGCCTCCTCCAGTTTCACCCGCACCGCCCAATCGACCACCAAGCCCGCCTCCGCATCACCTTCTTCCTCCTCTCCAAACACCTCCCTCTCCAACCGCACCGTCCGTCCCACCATCCCAGCCACCGAACCTCCACCCCCGACAGCCCGTTCCACCGCCCTCGAATCCGATTCTCAATCCCAACGCTCCCTAACCGACGGCCTGCTCGACGCGCCCCCCGAAGTCTCCGCCGAAACCCCTGCCATCGACTGGACGCGCTCCTACCACGGTCTCGGCAGCGTATCCTTCACCCCGGAGCAAACCGAGATTCTGCTCGGGCCCATTGAGCAGGATGATGTCGAGGTGAAACCGGATGGGATCGTGTATCTGCCCGAGATCAAGTACCGGCGGATTTTGAACAAGGCGTTTGGCCCCGGGGGATGGGGTTTGGCGCCGAGGGGGGAGAGTATCGTGACGGCGAAGTTGGTGACGAGGGAGTATGGGCTTATTGTTCAGGGGCGGTACGTTCCTATCCTTGTTTCCTATTCTGTATGCTTCGGTACTCCATGCGCATGTTGCTGACATGATCTCTAGCCTCGTCTCCATCGCCCGCGGCGAACAGCAGTACTTCGACCCCGACGGCATTCCGACTGCGACCGAGGGCTGCAAATCCAACGCTCTGATGCGGTGCTGCAAGGACTTGGGGATCGCGTCGGAGCTCTGGGATCCGCGGTTCATTCGCAAGTTTACGGCGGAGATGACCAAGGAGGTGTGGGTCGAGCATGTGCTGACGAAGAAGAAGAAGAAGATTGTGTTGCGCAAGGATGATGTGGTTAGGTATCCGTTCAAGGAGTCGAGGATGTAGGGTGGTCAGGGATGTATTTGTGTATATCTATACACCTGGGAAAGGGGATATATTGTAGGATATAAGCGATCACGGGTCTCGTGAAATATAAAAGGAATAGCCTGTGGAGTGCGTGTGTTCATGCTGAGGCTTTGTAGTCTCTGTGATTGAGCGTGCAGCTAGCTCTCTTTCCCACCTCTTGGTCTACATCCTAAATAACCAAGATATGATACCCAATACTTGAAACCGAAACAACCCACATCCTGTTTTAAAGCGAAACAGAGCACATTGATTTCATCACCAAATACTAATTTCTTCAACCTCACAAGCCCCTATCATATCCAGAGCTCCTCCCCCTCTCCCCTTCAGGCACCTTCCCATATGCCAACGCATCATCATCTCCCCTCCCTCTCTGCACCGGCTGGCCCCCAGCCCCTCTCTGCCAATTCCACGGCATCCACCCTCCACTCGCTCTCCTCTCAAACGCCGGCGGTGTAACAGGATAGGGTGGTGGAGCAGCCCCACTGCTTACTTCCTCTCTCTCGATCCGGTCAAACTCAGCTTCCGACCGGCTCTTTGACAGACCTCCAGACCCGCCGCTGCTGCTGGGGGTATAGCTAGCGCCCGAGTCGCGCTGTCGCTGCAGGTTATCCTGCTCGCGGTCGAATTCTTGTAATAAGCTGGCGAGCCGCGAGCGCTGGCTAGCTACATAGTTGAGCCTGTCGGCGGGGTTGCGTATACTCTCCGGTACAAGACCAGCCCCTGCTCCTCTCTCCACACCAGCCGTTTGTGCGCCGGCGCCGGCGCCAGAAGCACCGTACAAAGCGCTCGCGCCCGACAAGGCCTGGCTGACGAGGTACGACAGGTTATCGGCGCCGCCTCTTGCGGTGGGCATGGCGAACCGGCTCATGAAGCTCTGCGCATACGTTTGTCCCGGTCTCGGCTCCGGCTCGCGTTTGCTGGGCGCGAAGCCCAGGACGTTGACCTTGACCCACTCGACCGCCTGCTGGAAGTACTGGAGTCCCGCCTTCTTGGCGCGGTCGTGCGCGTCGGTGATGAAGTCGTCGATTTCCCGCTCGTGGTGGTACAGGAAGGGCTCGATGTATTCGATGTAGAGGAAGCCGGCGCCGTGCGAGGAGCCCGGGAGGAGGAGGTAGAAGTGTACGATGAAGCGGAGCCAGGGGTAGAAGGGGATCCAGGAGAGGATGAAGTCCAAGGTGGATTCGAAGGCGGTGAGGAGGGAGAGGGTGACGAAGTACATCAGCCAGGGGGCGAGGATGGCCGGGTCCGAGGTGTGGAGGGCTTTGTAGGAGGCGAAGATGGGGAAGAGGATGGTTATGGCGACGCTGTGTAGGGAAGAGATCAGCTAGGGTTTTTGAAGGGAGAATCACGGGGGAAGGGGGCAGTTGAGGAGGTAGTTTGCGATGTGATCGTAGTCAGTTGCGCGGGGAGGAATGACCTACGTCAGACCGTCGGCGATGAAGCCAAACATGGTGGATGAAGGCTTCGATTTTCTCTTTATCCGCAAAAGGAGAGTTTATAGGAATAATGATAGGAATTGTGGAAGGTCAGCGGAAAACATGGGAAGCTCAGCAAGTGGAGTGCCGGACTTGGAGGTTTGGCGTTCACGCAGGGCTGGGAAACGTCGTCATCCCAGCATTCCCCACGTTCGCGCCTCTTTGTGCCGCCCGGCGCCATGCTGCATTCGGAATGGTTGGTCCAGACAGTTCCGAAGCCGAAAGCAGATATATGTATCTATCAATCAGTATGGGATATGTTTCGATGTATTCAAAAATCTTGAGAGATTGTCCATGGCGCGGAAGAGGGAAAAGGGTTGGCTCAGTCGCGTAGCGTGCACGCCTCAGCTCGAGCTTCACAGCCGAAAGATAATCGTGTCTTCCAAGGAATAATACACAGTACTCTCGTATTTGTCCTAGATGGCACCACCATAATAACCCATTAAAGAAGAAGCCAAGCATCCATAACCCAGCCATACTTTTGAAATCCATGTATCCATATGGACTCCAAAACGAAAAGAATAAGCCGTCCATCGAACAACAGCAAGACTGAATCACCGTAATCGCCGGCATTCATCACATATCCTCCCTGAAAATACCTGTTCAATGTTAGCACATGTTCACATTCAACAACACTAGAAACTTACTTCTCCTCTCGGTCGGACTATTATCCAAACTCCCATCCTTCTTGTGCCCCTTCCCCGTCCCCGCCGTCGCCCCCAGCGTTCCCGCACCCCCATAACTAGTATCCTGCTCTAACGGCCTAGGGCTCACTCCCCTCAAACTCGCGGTGGCATTCTCATCCCCAAACGGATCCCTTGCACTCCCCGCATGCAAATTCGAACCCCCATCATCGTACTCCCTCGTCCTACTCCGTCCCCTCTCCGGCTCCGTTGCGTGGAGCCCAGCGCTCGGCGGCGCATACCCATACGCACCACTACTGCCCATATACATCGAATCCTCCGGATGCACGGGGTCATGCAACCCCAGCTCTTGCTCCTCATAATGCGCCTCGTTCCCCACGCGCGCATCCCACGCCTCATCGGGATCTAACCTGTGGCCTCCCCTGAATGCGCTCCCGCCACCATAGCCCGTCTCTTCGTATGCGCCGGCCGCATACCGATTATTCCTGTTCTTGAATCTTCTTATCTGGGTGTCGAACCAGCCGCGGATGCCGGATGGAGCTGGGGCGGGATAATTTGCGCCGCCCGTGGAGCGGATGCGGGAGAAGGGGTTGAGGGATGGGGGTGGGAGGCCCAGGCGGTTGGCTTGGACGCGTGACCAGACGACCCAGCCGCCGTAGGAGGCTAGGGCTAGGAAGCCGATGACTATGAGAAATATCCAACCGCCGTTCATGGTGGAGTTGAGTGTTGGGGTGGTGAAGGATGAAAGGAGGTGAGCATGAAGCTATGTCTGCTAGGCGGAGGGAGCCTTAGTGCAGATGCGCCGCAGCGGTCGCGGAATTGCGCCGTGGATTGTTGTGCCTCAACAGTCGCCAAGAGGAAGAGTGATTGCAATGAGAAACTGGATGCCGGAGAGACGCGTGAACAGCGCAGCAACAACGTTGTGAGGCGGTGCGCGATATCACAATAGCTTGAAGGCAGAAGCACGATGGTTGGTTGAGCTGGTGAGTTGCACATGTTGGACGCCAAGGATGACGTAAAAGGCTGGTTCCGCCTCACGGTGGCCTAACATTCCGATGGCCGATGATGTGGCGCAGAGACCATCTTAGGCCACCATCTCACGAGCACTGATTTGCCTGTTTCGTATAGTTGTCTTATTTCGGTGCCTGTTATTGTCTTCAATATTCTGTGATTTAAAAGAGATAGCAAAGTCTAGTACATTCATTTCCGCGAGCACTGTTCCAACACATTCACTACCTCGAGCTCAGACTTCACGCCTGGCACCATGGCGGAACCATCCCCAGAGACGTTCACTTTCCTTAACTCCAGAAACCAAGAGCAAACCATCGAAACCAAAGACCTCGTCACCATTCTTCCGGACAACGACAGTAACAATGGTACAACCTCGCTGATCATCCACGTCTCTCCCCAGCCGGCCGACTCGACAACCCCCCCAACCCTAAACATCACCAAAGGAACGCCAACCTCAACACCACCACCTCAAATCTCATCTCCCCCGTCCCTCCCCTCGACCCTTGAATATGAAACCCACATCATCATCTCCACCGGCTCAGGCACCAACCTGGCCTCCTCCTTCTTCAAGCAGGCCGTTTCCCCCCTCCTGCACGCCCTCTTCCCAAGCCTCTATCCCAGAAACGTCAACGTCCATACTACCGAATCCGCATCCAGCATCCTGGACCTAACAAACCGCGAACTCCTCCCTGCAGCCAATTCGGGAAGACACCTACTCATCATCCTGCTCTCGGGCGACGGCGGCATCGTCGACCTCGTCAACGGCCTCCTCGCACACGGCCCCAACAGAGGAGAATCCTACGTCCCTCCCAAACTCATTCCCTTACCCCTAGGCACCGCAAATGCGCTCTACCACAGCACGTACCCCCCAACTCGCCAGGACCAAACGTGGGGTCTCCGCTTCCTCTCCACCGTCCTCTCCTCCCCTGGCCAGCACCCAAGTTCAACTTCCACTCCCACTACAAATCTCATTCAATGGCGCGCCCTCCCCACATTCACAGCCACCTTCTCTCCGGGCTCCAAACTCCTCATCGACGAAGCTCGATCCTCCTGCCCCCTGCCCCGTGACGCCCACGGAACCGACACCCTGCACGGCGCAGTCGTCTTCAGCTGGGGCATGCACGCCTCCCTCGTCGCCGACAGCGACAGCGCCGCATACCGCCGATTCGGCATCGAGAGGTTCAAGATGGCGGCCAAGGAGGCTTTGTATCCTGCCGACGGGGGCATGCCACATGCGTACAAGGGACGTGTACTCGTCTTGAAGAAGAAGAAGAAGCAGGAGAAGGAGGGGGAAGAAGAAAATGCGAACGACGGCGAGGAAAGCGAGGTATGGACGCCGTTGCAAGAGGAACAACACATGTACGTGCTAGCGACGCTGGTATCCAGGCTCGAGAAAACATTCACCATTTCCCCCTCCTCTACTCCCCTAGGTGACTCGCTGCATCTCGTACGGTTCGGCCCTAGGAGCGGCGACGACGCTATGCGTCTCATGTCGCTGGCCTATCAGGATGGAAAACACGTCCAGGATCCCGCCGTGCTGTATGAGGGGATCGACGGTTTACGCATCGAGTTTGGTGTCGATGGTGGCGAGACGGAGGAGCGGTGGAGGCGCGTTTGCGTCGATGGGAAGATTGTGGTTGTTGGGGAGGCCGGGTGGGTGGAGGTGAGGAAGGGAGAGGTGAGGGCGGGAGGGGGAAAGGGCGTGTTGGATGTGGCTGTGTCGGTGTTGGAGGGCTAGGTTGGATGGACGGATGGAGGAGGACGAGGAGATAAGGGGCAGGATGTGAGGCGTTACGACTGCTCTGGAATACGATGGGGAGCGGGGATATGGGTGATGGATGGGAAATGGGTTTACTATTCGAGGTAGCATGGCCAATACAGATATGTCTAACGACTTCGTTCAACGTACACGATTATGTGATAGTGCGATTGAGCCGGTGATGAAACAAACGCGAGAGCTAAATCATGATGTCTATCGTCAGGATCCAGCAAGCTAGGTGCGAAAACGAGAGGCACAGGAGAAAAAAAAAATCACTGTTAGGAAACCCTTGCCCCAGGTTTCCAGAACCAAAAGAGCCCCTCACAGAAAGAGGAGGAAGAGACATGAGAAGGCGCTGGAGCAGCTCTAGCTCGTGAATGCACGCTAGGAATTAAGGCAGGATGGAGGAAATAGACAAAGCGCAAATCTCTTGAATAGGACCGAGACGCAAACGCAAAGCAGACGTGGCCGTGGTAAGAGTGATGACAACACAGTAGTACAACCTCTAGCTCTTTCTCTGCTATCGCTTTCCTGGTGTCGGGAGTCGTTAATCGGCCATAGCCATATATATCCATCCATCATCCGTCCTTGACTTGTTGTAAGGATTCTCGCGTACGCTTCCACCCATCCGCCTGGTTCGAGTTGACAAACTAGTCAGACACCATGACCTCATTTGCCCTCATCCTCTTCTTCTCTAACCCACTCAGGACCGCTTCCTCCTCTCCCTCGATAAAACCCACACAAACAACAAATAATCCTCTACCGCGGCTTCTTAACCTCACAAGCCCACCCCTCAATCCCCTCCCCCTTACTCCCCACCGGAACATCCAACTTCACCCCCTCCATCCCCTTCGTCCCTTCCAACCACTTATGCCCGGCCATCCCTCCCGCATTCGCCCTATCCACCGGCAACAGCTCCAACATGGGCAGCAAAAAGTCCGCGATATCTCTGCTCTCCTCCTTACTGAAATGATACTTCTCATGCAGCACATCCGGGAGCGCCCAATGGCGCAAGCGATGGATGTTGCGGAGTTCGCCCTTGCGGTTGAAAATCTCTTGGGACCATTTCCCCGAGATGCAGAGGGATTTGGGGAAGGGGCCAAGCAGCTCGATGATCTGCGCAATGTGGTCATCGTCTTTGCCGTACTTGGTCCCGGATTGCGGGTCGAAAAGGTAATCGCCTGTTATTAGTTCGAAGACCTGGGAGTGGGTTAGCTGGTTGGTTGCGCAGAACTAGGAAGCGTAGGGACGCACCATTGCGGCCATACTCCAGACGTCGGTGCTGGCGCCCCATTTGCTACCAAGGATGACCTCAGGCGACCGGTACTGCCGCGTTTGGATGTCGTTTGTGAAGTGGTGGCCTACCCAGCAGGCGTTGCCGAGATCCGCAATCTTGACGGATATTATCTCGATGCCGTCGTCATCGGATTTCTGCGGGTTAGCGGATCCGGTGGTTTTGTCTAGGCTGATGCTAGACACCTCTTTAGTCAGAATGTCGCTGCCAGGTGTTATACAGAGTCCAACAGCATGGCGTTCCGTTCCACTTACGCGGTCTTTTCCCTCTCCTTCTGCGCCTCATCTTCGCTCCCGGGATTCTTGATGCCGAGTCGTTCCGCCATTGAGAGGCCGGACGCCGGCGATGATGTACCTAAAGCACCACTCGTTACAACCTCGTCCTTTGAAATCGGGCTGATGCCGCAGCCGGGGTGCTCTTTACCTGTGTTCTCATTCACAATCTTGTTTAGGCTCTGTGCGGTGCCGGGGAACGCGGCAATATCGGCGTGATTGAAGCTGGCATTGAGGGGGCTAGGTAGGGGCTGGCTGCCAGTGATGAGGGTTCTTCTTCTTCGTCGTCCGTTCCGGGCGGTGTCGTCATCGCCCTTCTTTTTCGGCTCGTCGTTGACGTAGGTTTTAACGATCTGTTCGACGTCTCCAATCTCGATCAAAACGTTTTCGGGCTTCAAATCGGTGTGTATGATGCCGCATTCGCGATGCAGGTAGTCCAGGCCAAGCAGGACCTGCTTTGTTATCTGCTTGACCAACGGCATTGGGATTCCCCTGTGATTCCATCTCTTTATTAAACCTAACAAATTCTCGCCGAGCACCTCAAAAACCATGCAGACGTGCGTCCCGTTGGGTCCCTTGTGGTTGAAGGAATCGAGAAGACTGACGACATGCTTCCGACCCGGGTGGTCCGGTTTCGCCTCGACGACCTTCTTAAGCAACTTGATCTCGTCCAATGCGGTTTCGGTATAGTGGGCAGCGGAGCGTACAACCTTGAGCGCGACGTGTTTGCCCGTGGTGTTATCCCGGGATAGCCAAACCGTCGAAAAATGGCCCCAACCCAGTTTGCGCACGACGGTGTATTTACCGTCCTTGTATTGTTCCCCTACCTGTACTGGGTGATAGCCACCCTTACAATAGTCCTCGGAATCCTCTTCATCGGCGGTGTTCTCGGCTTCCTCGACGGATGAGGAGGTTGACGAGGGCGAGCGGCTTAGCTGGTTCGTGTAGGACATCTTGTGCTGGGCGGCGGTGCCGTGAGCACTGCGATTGTCAGTCAAAACATCGGCGTAGAGGGGCGCAGGAGCATCTCAAGCGAACGTCGGCTCTCAAGCTACGTGCGCGCAATCGGAGCGGACATACTTGTAGTGAAGGGACCCCGCCGACGCAGGGGAACCGTCCTGGCTCTTCTGCTGGTCGGTGGTGATGATGGGCTTCAGGTCCTGGCCCTTCCGGCGCTTCTTCCCTCCGCTACCATTTGCAGCCTGTGCGACCTGCTTGGCCTTGTTGATGGCGGCCTTCTTGATGTCGCTGCTGTTCATGGTGCGTCGTCGACGGTTGTCGTCGTCGTCGTCTTCGTGGTTTGGCGTTCCCCGCCACGCGCACGGCTGCTACAATACGGAGTACAAGGGAGAGAAGGCTCAAGCGCTCGGACGGCGGGGTGTGGGCATCGGCGGGCGGGCGGAGCGAGCGAACGCGATTAGAAACAGTCGTCTTCGGGGGGCGCGCAAAAACGAGTCGAGTCGATGATTGTGTCGAAGGAGGAATCGAAGTGCGAACTCTGCACAGCGGTCTTGTCTCTCTCAAGCAGGCAAGAAGAGAGCGGCTAGCAAGGCTGGTCTCTCTCCTCCGTCGGGCCTATCCCAGACGCGGTCGTGATTGGGCCGCAGAAGGGGGTTTGACACGGGCGCCCTGCTGCGTTGCTACTGGAGCCGCTGGTCTTGGTGGTGGCGGCCGGGTGCTGTTTTGTATGTACGGAGTACGGGAGACCCGGAAAACCTGTATAAGGGAAGACGGGAGGACGGACGGGTGGCGGGGAGGGTTGCAAGAGGTAGAAGCGTGAAAGACCTGGGGCTGTTGGGTGTGGCTGTGCTTGATGGTCGACGGCGAGAGGGGAAAGGTACCCAGACCCCGATTGGCGTAACCTAATGCTGCGAACCGGCGGAAGCTGGAATGCACTGCAATTGGGACGACAAGGTGATGGTGAAAAGAGTTGGGGCCCTGTCAGGGTGGTGATGTTGTACTGAAGACTGGAACTGGGCAAGGGGAACTGGCTCGGATGACGTGGGTTGATCAGATCAGTACACAGTAGGGGTTTGAACGACCCAAGCCAAATTTTCAACTTCAGACGAGACTTATGAGAATGCTGGTCCCAGTCTACTGAATACGCTTCTGATTCTGCTTTCCCAAGCGGCGCCCGAAGCCCTCGACCCGCCTCTGACCCCTCGCAGTGATGCCAATGGGAGGAGTCTGAGTCTGCGGTTGACATCACCTCTGCCCAATTCCCTCTTGAGCGCACATGCAAGATCTGTGACATCTCTCCATCTCAACCACCCACGCGGCCTGCCTAAAAATACATCAATTCCCATAGGGCAAAATCCAATATATGGAGGTCTCGAACCAGCCGACCTTGCGGTCAGTGTGGTCCACATCCACGAATCCCTGCCAGCCGATGTCGTACAACCCTGATATCCAATCCCCTGAAATGAGCCGCAAGATCTGGACGAGAAATAACGCCAAAGTACACCTCCCCAAGGAGATAAAGACAAGCATTCATCGGGCCCGGCTTGGGGCCACCTAGCGCCATGCAGAAGAAAATGGAAGTCCGGCAAGGAGAGTCTTTCAAACAACGGAATGAGACAAGGAAAAGCAACTGCTTCCCTTCCCGATGAGCTCTTAATGAGCTCTTGATCCATTCGTTTCCCCCAAAGGTCGCAATACCTAGCGACTACTTGGCCGATATGGCGGCCGTCCACCTTTGTTCGTCGTTTCTGTTGTACGCGGTCAGTAAACACCTCACTCTTGCCAAAGGGAATATCCATACTTGTCAAAGTGCAGCAGCATGCCGAGTACTGGGATCAGCTGCTGTTGATACTTCTTGTCCCGCTGCTCCAGGAATTGTAGGAGGACATTCTTCAAGTAGACGTAGTCTATTCCACTGCTGCTCTCTCCCTGCGCCCCTGTCCTCGGGGCGGGAGATGCAAGTCGTGACCGTGATGATTCGGCCGATGAGCGCGAAGATTGCCCATTCGAATCAAGTGCGCGTGTCTTCGCTGTCTGCATATGCCGGAGCTCTTCTGCCATGGACTTGCTCGATTTTTGCAGCTTCTCCAGACGGTTTTGTGTCTCATCAAAAGCTCGCCGCAAATCAGCCTTTTCCTTTTCCAGGCCTCTGGCTTGTTTCTCGCTCTCGTCCAAAGCATCCCGTAGTTCGCTCATTGTAAGTCTGACTTCAGCGGCCTCCTCTTTAGCGCGCGCAGCAGCGCGTTCTAATTCGTCTCTTTGCCTGCGCAGCTCTTTCTCTGTTGATAGTAGCTCTTCCTTGTCTTCGACGGCACGCGCAAGAGCTCGCTCAGCATCGCGGACCTTCTGTTTCAGCTCATCAAGCTCCCTGGCTCGTCTTCGACTGAAGGTATTGGCTTGTTCCTCCGCTCTCTCCCTTTCTTCTATCGCAAGGTCCAGCCTCTCTTGCATTTCCCTCACCCTCGAATCCGCTCTACCTTGTGTGTCGGCTAAGAGCCTCCTCATCGTCTCTGCCTCACGGCTGCGCTCGCTCAAGAGTCGGTGTGCATCAGCGAGCTCTTCTTCTAAGCTCTCGCTCCGGGCGCGTACCTCCTTCATCTGAGCGCCCATCTCTTGTGTCTGATCTTGCATGCTGTTCATGAGGTCTTGCGCGCTGGCATATTGTGCGGCTTTGAGCTGGATCTCATCCCGTAAGCTGTCTGCCTCCCGCCTCAGCTTCGTAACATCGTCCTCCAGTCCACGTATCTTAGCTCTGGAGGCCTTGAGATCATCCTGTGCTTTCGAAAGATCTTTGGTGAGTTTCTCTCGCTGTTCAATGACATCTTGTCGGGCAGCCTCAGACTTCTGAAGGTCTTTCTGATTCTGTCTGTTTGTTTCCTCCAAGGCCAATCTCTGAGAAGTCTCCTGTTTCATTTTCTCGTTGAGGCTCTTGATGTCGCTCTCCTTATCGGCAAGTTGTGACCGATACGTTGCTATCTCAGATTTGAGGTCCCTTTCGCGACCTTCTAGACGGCGCAATTCCGCTGATTTGGACGAGAGCTCCTCTTTAGTGGTTCGCAGCTCAGTAACCTCCTTACGCAAGGAAAGCAGCTCCGGTTGGGCCTTTTGAAGGACTTCCCTCATCTCGGCGAGCTCCTTGAACCGCGACGCAGCGAGCTTCTCAGCCGCTGAGAGGTCAGTCTGTAAGGAGTCGGCCTTAGCCTTCAATTCCTCGAACTCCTTCGTCAACTTATCCCGTTCCTGCTGCGACGTCTCCTGGGCAGCCTTTCCGGTTCGAAGCTCTGCAATCTCCTTCTCCAGTTCGGTCATACGTTCTTGTAGGGCTGCTTTTTCCGCCTGCAGTTCCTTGATTTTGTCTTTGGCTTCTGTATGCTCTTGTCCGAAATCGAGAAGGTCATGTCGCAACGTCTCCAGCTCCTCCTGCATAGCTTCTTGATCCTTGAGCCGACCCCGCAAGCTTTCTATAGACGCTTCTTTCTTCGACACCTCTTCGTGTAGACTCTCAATTATGGCAATCTTCGCGTCAAGGTCAGCTTGCAGCTGGGAAACCTTGCCCTGAACATGGGTTTGTTCGTTGACAAAATCTCCCTCGCGAGGCGTAGGGGGTGCAGTCTCATTCTCTGCTTCATGTTGAGCCAATTCTGTCGACGCATCTGTCGGTTTCCCTACTTTCTTCTTCCTGCGGTTCTTCTTTCTGGAGGCTGCAGGCTCAGCAAGCTTTGCCGCAGAAGACGTTGGTAAAGGGCCTGCCGCATCCTTTTTATCATCTTTCTCCTTGACGACATCCTCCAGCTCCAGTTTCGTCCTTTGAAGGTCCGATAGTGTCAAAGTGCGTTCCGACTCCGCACTTTGCAGCTGTTCGCGTAAATTTGCGATTAGGCCGTTCAACGTCTCATTACGCTTGTCACTAGTTGCCTGGGCTCCGCGAAGCTCCGTAATGGTGCTCTCAAGAGATTCGATCTGGGCCCGTAGACTATCGTGTTCCTGACTGTTTAGCAGCTCCTCTCCTTTGGTGGCATGGACTTCTTCCAGCTCCTCCGTAAGGGCCTTGTTCTTGAGTTGCAGGTCTTTCATGGTTTCCTCGTATTGACTAGCCTCCTTCCTGCCCTTTTGCAGCTCATCTTCAGCAAAAGACAGCTTGGACTGCAGATCGGCAACCGTGGACTCAAGTTCCTTTTCTTTTGCTTGGGCCTTCTCCAAGGAGTCCTTGAGGCTTTGGACATCATTGCTTGCCGTTTCCAGATTCTTCATTAAGGTCTCAGCAGACTCCTGCGCCACAGATAGGTCTCTCTGCAATGTCTTCTTCTCTTCTTCCAGTCTCTCAACCTTCTCCTCGGACTCCTGTAACTGGTTCTGCAACCGAGGTAGTTCGCTGTCATACGAAAAGAATTCCTCGCTATTTTCCGTGGCCTGCGTCTCCCTGGACAACTTCGATGGCGCGGACGAATCTCCGGACACAGATTGGCTTGTAGAGTCATCGGCTGATGCCTCATTACCTGCTGGTGTTTGTGAGTGAATTTGCTCCAACTGGTCCGCGGTTTCCTTTGCCTTCTTTTCCGATTCCTCCAGCTTCTTATTGAGTTCATCTCGTTCTTTGGACACTCTCTTCAGCTCTTCCATCAGCATATCACTCCTGATGTTTAGCTGCCCGAGGTATTCAAGGAAGGCAGAGGGCTCGTTGATAGATGTAAGAGGCGTGTTCTCCCGGAGAGACGCCTCAAACGCTTCTATTGCAGCGACGCGGGCATGGGCTATGCGGTAAGACCGGAGTAGTTCTACAGCAAGTTAGGCCAGCTTGACTTATCTCACGCGCGAGCACCTACCAGAGTATTTCGGCTCCAACTTCTCCAACTTGCGAAGGCGCGTCTGAACTTCTGGTGGAAGGTCTGATGGAGGCTTACTTCTCTCCTCCCCGTCCTTATCCTTGGAGGCATTCGGAGGAGCATCTGCTGAGTCCTCCTTATCTTTAGGCTGTGGAGTTCCTGTTCGGCTGGGCTCATCGTCATCGCCTATGACAAACTCAGGATCGAACTCGGAAGGATCCGGTCCCTTTCCACTCGGTATTGTCTTATCTCCATCCTTTGCGCGGGCAGGACGCTTCGAGGGCGAGAGATTCCTAGACCGTCGAGGCGCAGGGTTTGACCGTGAGGGAGTCTCCAGCTCGGCAAGGGCGCCTTTGAAGGTCCGCTGCGACACTGTCAGCTCAATCAGGGACATCTAGACGGATAGTCATGCCTGAAGATTTTGAAACATGTTCTCTCCTAAAACTGCACTGAAGCCCTATTAATGTATGCGCAGAACCGACAATATTCCCATCATGTACAGTGTCGTCTTGAGGTCCTCGGTCCGCCGTTGCGGCCAGTCCAGCGAAGCGCAGATGCCAAGGCCTCAAGTTGACAAGGCCCCTGGGCCGCCGGAAGTCCACCTGGTGCGGAAAGGCGTTCAACGTCGAAAATAATTTTGGATCCCCGCCAAACTCGTCTTTTACCGCTGATTCCAACACTCCAGGCGCAACGCAACATGGATACCGTACAGATTGCACTGCCCCTTCCCGTCCTGCCCGAGGGCTGGGCTGGAGAAAAAGACTTCAAAGCAATCGGCAGTCTCAGCCAGGCCACCGACCGCAACATCGAACCTGTTGGACCGCACTTTCTGGCTCACGCACGCAGGGTATGCTGCCCTCCCCCATTACAGTCTGTTAGTAAAGTGGCTAATTATCTGGGATTATAGAAGCGACATAAGCGCACGTTCTCGGAGGATGACCGTATTCAAGCGCAAGCAAACGTGAAGAAGGTGGAGGATGACGATGCTGGCGAAATCAGCGAGCCAGAAGACCCTCTTCTTCTCCAACGTGAAGCAAAGGATTGGAAGGTGAGATCTTCTGCGACGATTGTCTCATAAGACAGTTGGCTGACCTTACTGAAGACGCAAGATCATTACGCTGTGTTGGGACTGTCGAGGTACCGCTACAAGGCCACTGAGGATCAGATCAAGCGCGCCCACCGAAAGAAGGTCCTTAAGCATCACCCGGACAAGAAGGCCGCCGCCGGCCAGGCCCAGGATGACCAGTTCTTCAAGTGCATTCAGAAGGCCGCCGAGGTCCTCTTGGACCCTGTCAAGCGCCGGCAGTTCGACTCCGTCGACGAGGCCGCCGACGTTGAGCCTCCCACGAAGAAGGAGTCTCAGAAGGGCAACTTTTACAAGCTGTGGGGCAAGGTATTTGAGTCCGAGGCGCGTTTCTCCAACAAGCAACCGGTCCCCAAGCTTGGCAATGAGAACAGCACGAAGGCAGAGGTTGAGGAGTTCTATAACTTCTGGTACAACTTCGACAGCTGGCGTACCTTTGAGTATCTCGACGAGGATGTGCCTGATGACAATGAGAATCGCGATCAAAAACGACATGTCGAGCGGAAGAACCAGAACGCACGCCGCAAGAAGAAGACGGAGGATACCGCTCGTCTCAGAAAGCTTGTTGATGATTGTTTGAGTCTCGATGTCCGCATCAAGAAGTTCCAGCAAGAAGAGCGTGCTCAGAAGAACAAGCGCCGCACTGAGAAGGAGGCCGAGCAGAAACGCCTTGCTGAGGAGGCGGCCAAGAAGAAGGAGGAGGAGGCCAGGATCCAAGCTGAGAAGGAGGCCGCCGAAAAGGCCGCGAAGGCGGACAGCAAGAAGGCCAAGGAGGCAGCGAAGAATGCTGCTAAGAAGAACAAGCGTGTGGTTCGTGCTGCCGTCAAGGAGGCCAACTACTTCCACGGCGCTGGCGATGCTCCTGCTGCTCAGATCGATTCAGCCCTCAACGATGTCGACCTGATCATCACCAAGCTCGACAACGAGGAGCTGGCCACTTTGACCGGCAAGCTCAACGGAAAGACTGATGCTGGTGAGATCACGACCATCTTCCAGGAGGAAGTGAAGAGGCTGCTCGGCGCGGGCAAGCTGAAGGATGGAGAGGCGAAGTCCCTCTCTTAGTTGGGCCTGTCGGATACGTCTTGCAATGTATAAACTACATCTAGTGGCAAAAGAGTCTGTGATTAGAGGTGCGGATTTCTATTGGGTTCTGCGAGTTTGTACTTTCCTATGGCAGTGCTGGACAAAGGATAGATATGCGTAGACAGTGTACATGTCATTTTTGACCTTCGAACCACACTGGCTATGGATATGGAGCGTATTATTTGCACAGTAAGGTACGAGTAGAAAAAGTATCTTGGTAGCTAGATTGCCAAGAATTCACGTGCCAGCATCCCCGCAGCGGGCGGTCCCGAGGCGCTGGATCCCGTCACCCCACGCTTCACGCAATTGCAAACAGCCACACTTCGCCATCATTTCGGGTATTCAATCGGGTACCACTTGACATGAAGCCAAGATATTGTAGCCACCCCGACTGAGCTGCAACTGAGTTGCCGCAGCAGCTTCAATTCACGATCCTTAACCCTTGGCCGACCTCCAGGACCTCCAGGAGAGAGCCTCCTTCGATATTCTTCGGCGAAAGCAACACCCACTTGGCTCACCACAGCAGGCCCGCACTAAGGCAGAGGGCATCACACACGCACAGCAGCCCGGATCGCCAGTGAGAACTGTTGTTAGGCGCAGGGACGTTTTCTGGGGGACCACGAGTCCTGTCTCTGCCTGCACCTCTGAGCTTCAGGACGCCGCCCACTGGCTTCACTCCCGTCCAGCCACATACAGCATGACCGCACCCCCCACGTCGAACGCACCACACAATGGGCTTTCAGCGAATTCTGATCCCGCTCCTCGTGCGGTGAGCCCGCTTTCATTCCCTGGAGTAGGGGATCTACAGGAACCACGTCGACCTTCTATTCAGTTTAAAATGCATGCGGATGCTGCTCACCTCACGGGTAGGCCCAAGGAGGGGCGCATGAAGCGACGTTTATCATCCCCTCCTCCTCCTCCGTAAGTGACAGTCGCTCTGAGTGCCATCTCACTTTGCCTGTCTTTCCCTCTCACCTTGATCTGTCTTGCGTCTACGGGTACAGCTGGGAGTTTGCATTTGTGCCCTGGTCATCCCTGTCTTCACTCCAGGTCATGGAGACGTATGCGCTTCGAATTGCTTTCCTGACTTTCGTCTGCTTTGCGGACATCTGATCCCCAGGAGCACGTTCTAACAACCGCAGTGTCTTCCAACCCCGTGTGTCTTTCGACACTTTCGACCGAACATCGGATAGTATCGAGGACAATTCTTTTACTCTGATAGCGAAGCACAAGGATTATGAATATACAAAACGATCGAGGACGTTTCTCTGCGGCTGCGACGATAACGATTATTCCGATTACGCCTTGCAGTGGTTGATAGACGAGCTGGTGGACGATGGAGACGAGATCGTGTGCTTGAGAGTGGTTGAGAAGCTGGACACGGGCTCGGGAGACCGGAATGCGGACACTTCACGATATCGTTCCGAAGCGCATGCTTTGATGAAGCAGTTCCAGGCAAAGAACCACGAAAACAAGGCCATCAACTTGATTTTGGAGTTTGCGGTGGGCAAGGTCAACAAGGTGATTGACGAGATGGCAAGTATCATGAAAAAGAAGGTCCCACGGAGCCGAGCTAACTGCTCCAGATCAATCTGTACGAACCGGCGATACTCGTCGTGGGAACAAGGGGCAGAAATCTCGGTGGTTTCCAAGGTCTGCTCCCTGGATCGGTCTCGAAGTATTGTCTACAGAGCTCCCCAGTGCCGGTAATCGTGGTACTCCCATCATCCAAACGTGACAAATCGCGGGTCAAACGCGCGCAAGACCCGACCCGGCACGGCTATAAGGACCTTCTCGAGAAGAGTGGTCCACAACTTGGTTACAGCCTCCCGGCAAGCAGTAGGAACAGCTTGGCGTTACCTGAATCCGCTGCTACGAGTGTCGCGATAGGACACAGCCAGCCCATTGAGGCGAGTCCTCTTGCGCAATCAGAGGCTGCGTCTGAATCAGTTGGGTCAGTTAGTACCAGGTCGGAAGCAGATCCAGAAGAACCGCGAAGCCCTGGCGTGGTTATGAAGAGCCCCCATTTACAGAACCTGGAAACCCCTGACCTAAGTGACGCTAGCAGCAGTGAAGGGGACGAGCAAGAGGAAAGAGGGAACAATACCTCCGCTGTGGAGAGAAGGTTGGGTCCAAGCAGCGAAAACGCCGCCGACTCCGCTTCGGCTTTTACAGACATCGCTGAAACGAAAAGTGAGACAGCGGAACCTGAAGGACCTCACGGGAGCTAGCCACGGCGGATTGGCTAATAATAATATATTATCGGAGCTGCCAAAGCACTAAAACATTGAGACGCTGGGACGACCAATGGCTGGGGGATAGGGGGGATAAGAGGCGGCGACATATTTTACGACTGTTCCGCCTTGCGGACCATTGAACTCTGCGATTTGAGTATCCTTAAAGCAATGGAAGGCAAGTATCCTTTGTCGTTATTCATGGATTAGAGTAGGCGAAGAAGGTGTGATTGCACGTATCTAGTTGATCTTCACCACTTGGCATTTCTCATTCACCTTCACCCTCCCCGCACCCCGCGTTTGAATCTTGGAATGTGCCATCTTATCCCTGTGCAGATCACGGCTGATGACGTTTCGTTGGAGGGGCCGCCTTGGCGTGGAACCCCCAATCCTCGTCCCTGCGTCCGTCCCTTGCACCTATTCATAGCCATCTCACTGCCTCGCCGTGCAATGCATCTACCTTCGAGCCGATATTGACGTCGATGGAAATCGCACCCTGCATCAGATTTCCGCATGAAGTGGTGGTAATACAGCTACCCCGACGGTGATTTTCTCCCATCTTAAGCTCTATGCTTCCCACCGACGACTGCGATGATTGCGTACCCGAATGGGTCGTCAACCGTCGGCCATCCGCATTGGCTATCTCTGCTTTGCCCTTTATACTCACCTTCCTAATCGTCGCCGTCGCCGTGTCACACAAGCTATTCCCTCTCCTTTCCGGCACATACCATAAGACTCAGCAACATGGGACGCCATCCTCCTCCTTCTCGCCGAGAGAGCTGCAGTCGAGTTTCAAGCGCATACGATTCACCGCTCGCGGACTTGCGAGCGTCACCTTCTCTACCAATATCGCCCTCTCCGCCGTCCTTGCCGAACTTATCTTCTGCGAAATCTCGAATACGGGAAATCCAGCCACCCGTACGCTGGGCCTGAAGATAACACTTCCATTGCTCCTCTTCCTCCTCGTCCTCGTCACTCCCGCATTAGAGATACATTCCGTTATATCGGGCGCTGGATGGAGCCTTGCGGGCGGAGCTGCGAGAGAACGACGATTGGCTTGGATACTGGAGGCTACCGGCCTCATCGTCTGGCTGGCGGGATTCTGGTACCTAGGGCGTGGCCTGCTCGGGCAGTACTTGCACGAGGAGTCTTATGTGCGAGACCACAGCCTTAGCGAAGGGTGTTTGGAAAGAATCGGCATCATTGGTATCAGTTTGATGGCTTCGCTTGCGGGCTTTGGTGCAGTAAGCTCCTTGTGGCAGACATTTGGCGCCAAATACCGCCCGGTATGAGCCCTCTTTCAAATTTACTAGCACGCGGACCGGGCCATTCCCTATGTGCGGAGCTGATCAACAACAGGTCACTGAAGCGGATATTGCAAGAAAACAGGCTGGCTTAGACGCATCGAACGATATGCTCCTCACCAAAGAAAGCCGGCTGAGAGCCGTAGAGAGGAGGATCTCCGAAGCGCCGCAGGAAGGCTTTGTCACACGAGTTGTGGGGACATTCTGTGGCAATCCAGACATTCAGGAGCGGAACACACTGCAACTGGAGATCCAAGGCCTCGAAACCATGCGCTCAACTTTACAAAATTCCCTCATGGTCTTGCACAATCGACGACAATCGCAACTTCGATCGCATACCGCATCTGGCCGCTTGATTAACTTATTCTCATTCGTATTCTCGCTCTATTGCTTCTATCGAATCATAGCAACATCCTTCACTACGCTGCGCCGATTTTCGTCACCATCCACTAATTTCTCCAACAGCGACCCTATCAACAATGTTCTCGCACTGCTCGCAAAGCATTGGGATCCCACGCTCGATCGGGTGGCCTGGAGTCGTACCATATCCTTCCTCCTCTCTGGGGTTATGCTTCTGGCTTCCTTCAACAGTGCTCTGCAAACCTTTATGCTCTTTGCCCGCTTCCTTCCGGGTCTTCTACATCACGCGCAGGCGAACTTCGCACTTGTCATCTCCCAGATATCGGCGACGTATGTAATCAGCTCGGCACTTCTTCTAAGAAGCAATCTGCCGAGCGAGATGAAGAGCGCTATATCGGATGCCCTGGGCGCGCCTCTCGAGCCAGCCTTCACGGAGAGGTGGTTCGAGGGTTGGTTTCTCACTGCCAGTGCCCTGACAGCGCTTGGATTGTGGTTGGGAAAACGGCTGCGTGGACCGGGGTGGGATGATGATGACGATTTGAACGATGGGGATGTGGAAATGGGGAAGATGAGTTGAGCCTCCCGGGTTGGGGGTTCATGGCGTTATCGCAGCATTCAGATACCAGCACATCACTGCGTTGCAGATCTATGATTTCTGACCATGTGCAGTCTGTATAAGCTTGCCGATTGAGTGCTTATGTACTAAATCCTTATTTGATGATGATGATGATGTAAATTCGACACCAGTTTGAAGACCACGCTCAGGTATCCTTTAGAGTATCGGCTACCGAATAAATCAACCTGTCAGTCAACAGCATAATTAAAGTTGAGGAAGATCAGAATTGACGTCGATGCTATGGCGTATTGCCCCGGCAGATGCCAGGGTAGGTGGAGCCGTAGGCTATGACGTAGGTATGCAGCGCGGGAAGCTCGTAAGTACAAAAGCCGCGGGGCAGGCGCTTCTACATTGACATCTTTCCCAAGCAGCCTCAATTGAACCACCGCGACCTTCATGTGAGTATCCTAAACTTCGAAAAGGTCATAAAATACTGACAGTCTCCTAGAAACACAATTACACGCCTACAACTGTAGGTCCTCCCACCGCATCTCCCCCACTCCCCCCAGACAACCCACTCCCTTCACCCCTAAATACTCTCAACAATCTCTCAACACACCTCTAACACTTCCCTTAGTCACCACCAGACCCAGACTCCAAAACCCCCCAAACCATTTCCAAAATGACCTCCCAAAACGCCGGCCGCCAATCCCCAAGCCCCGAGCGCCAATCCGGCGCCCAACAGCAAGCACCCCCGGCCTCAGACGTCAACAAGCAAGGCGGAGCTCCGTCGCAGGAGTACGCGCAGGAGGCGAGCCAGGAGCAGTTGCGCAGGTTGAGCTCAAATCCGGTGCATCCGCTGGCGAAGCATGCCGAGGAGACGACGAGTAAGAAGCATTGAGTCGAGGAGGGTTCGGGCGTGGGAGTGTAATGTGGCTTTAAGGTTTTTGTGGTAAATTAGCAGGAATGAAGCAATGACATGACTTGCAATGGTTGCAGATGTGATCGGGTAATGATTGCTATTGTTTGGTTTGTGATCGAAAATACCATCCTGTGCGCGATGTTCCACTGATCGTGGAGGATCATAGAAACCAACCCAACCTCATATCAATCGATCCTTATCCCATTGACTGCAGTATAACCCCTGTCCTGATCACAGCTTCTCCTCAGTTGACAAGAGTTTTTCCCGCTCGTCCACGCAATCACCTTCTCCAAGCCCCACTACCAGCGAGAGTCAACATCGCACGTATTGTGCACGCGGCGCCATTCGTTGGCAGACTCCTGGAAGCAGTTCTTGTAGGCGTCATAGCCCGCGTTGGTATTCACAAAGCTGACATCAACGCGCCAGCTTCCACCATCCAGGTTGGGATCAAAGCCACACTGGACGTTCGAAACGGCACTCCAGCAATGTCCCGCTGTTGTTTTATTAATATCAAAACAACCAAGAGAATAGGGTAGGGTGCATACCCCTCATGGCATCGCAAAAGCTCTCAGGTGGGATACCACCACCCTCCACAGAGAACTTGACTTGGAAACGCTTCAAAGCGTTCTCAATCCAATCTTGGCGGTAGTGAGCGGTAAGCTTGCAGTCGGCTCGGGTCTCCAGTTCTACAAATGGTCAGATGATATAGTAGAAAAGGGGGGCGGAGCGTCAGACCAGCGGGGACGGCGGCAGCAGAAGCCAGCAGAGGAAGAGCGAGGAGGAAGAGATTCTTCATTTTGTTGGAGTGACGGGAGTTGCGCGACGGGCGAACTGCTGGTATGGGCTTTGCAAAGAGTGAGTGTTGTTGAGGCTTGGAGCGAGTGGATGAAGCACAATCAACGAGAAAGAGCCAGACTTATATACTGTTTGCTGGTCCCGACTTAGGATCAAAAGGCAGGAGGGTCGCGGAGAGAGGAGCGACTTAGTGATCCTGCGCTTCCTACGGTCTTCCTCCGCATCCTGAGTATGCAGGGTCTCCGTCTCTGCACGTACGCAACCCTGGGAAATCTCCGTGTATGCAGATCAGGGTCTCCGCTAGTCGAGGGAAACGGTAAGTCCCGCGCTTAGATGAAGAAATCCAACTCCTGCGTTCGTCGGGTGTAACGATAGGCAGGAGGGTTGGGGAGAAAGGAGCGACTTCGTGATCCTGCGCTTCTCTTTTCTCTATACAGAAAATACCCTACCGCACCTTCTCTCCGACGAGAATACCCACTTTTTGGACGCCTCCAAGATCTGCCCAATCATTGAACTTGTATGCGCTGCTCGTATCGAAAAAGTAAAGAAATGGCTGAGTTCAAGCAGATTCAGCCAATGATCTTCCTTTACAACTAATCCGTGCAGCCCTTGCGACCCCTGTTTTCTCGGCGGACGTGGAAAGATGCAGTAGGGTAGTCAGAGCGCCCTAAAGCTTAAGAGATAGAAAGGACGCATTATTACATCTCTGTAACATAGTAGGGACTAATCTCGGCTCCTGGCCTTCCTAGGTAAATATCCGCGTCGGCGTAGCTCGACCTAGTCGACACAGTAGTTAACAAGTGCAGCATAGCTAAAGTCTATTCATACACCAAAGATTACAACTACCCTCTGCTCCTTAGTGCAACAAGTTGTCTCTGCCCTTCTAGCACTATCTAGCGTCCTATCCAAGAAGATCTTCAACCTACAACGCCCGTCAAGCCGCCTACTTCACAAAACCACAAGCCACAACTTCGAACCAACTCATCCTTCCTTTCTAGCTCATAATCCTAGTTTTCTCAATTGCATAATCGAATCGGTGGCTAGGGCCCGCATCACCAGGGAGCACGTTGCTTTACCGGTGTGCATCAATATGATTGCTCCATCAATCCGTAGGGCACGGTCTAAGATCCTCCTCGTGACAAGTCAGTCCGACAGTGACCGCCTCTCAGCTGGCAGAGTCCAGTCAGGATCCGTTGTAGTCCGCCCCATGCATGTGTGCATGAATCCGCATAGCACACTCTACCCTAGGAGGACCCTGGGGAGTAAGTGACGAGTATACACAGCAGACTCGTTCTACTGAACTCCCCAGTGGGTCTCTTCGGTCAATCTGTATTCCCGCTGTCTCACAGCACCATCTCAACACCACCCTGGGGCACTTCAAGGCCCTACTGTCTGGGTTAGACCGTATCAAATTCGCGCCATGTGAGCTACGTCCACTCACCGCCATAAAATCCGGACTCGCAGCCTTCACGGAGGCACTTTCGCATGAATCAGCACCACGCAACCAGCGAGGATCACGGTTTTCCGAAGCACAGCTCGGCGGCTCAGCCTCTCGAGTCGGTGAGGACGCAACCAACTCTTACCGCCTGCTCATCGTTAGCTGGGACCTATAGCATTCTCTTTGTTAGCATAGTCCTCACGCTAGAGGATTCACGGAACTTAATCCAGCCTCCGTTAGATTGCGGCTGGATTGTTTTCATGCAGGGCTTTCGCGGCTCAAAATCCAAACGGCGAGGACTTGCGGCATTTGGCCATCCTCCGCCTGACCATGGTTCTACTGACCACCCTCTAGGCCTTCACGGGACCCTTGCTGTCCAATCAAGAGTACTCGCCCTTTGGTGAACGGTGTTGGCATAAAGCTTGAAACGCGTGTCCATGGCTCGTATAGTCGACACGGACCCAACACCCTGTTCACATGAGTACGCCTGCTACAAGTAACTCTCAGCCTGTTAGATCTGTTAGCATGAGTCGGCTGCAGCCAGTCCCAAGTAGGTAGGTCCTGTGATTACGCACTCCCGGAGAGGCCTCAGCTGTCAATTCCTTCGCTTTTGCGTAGCCAGGGTTGCATTGACTTTCGGTCAAACCGGTATCATGCCAGTCCATCGTCGCTCTCTTCATCAAAGCAAAACCTCGAAGGTAGCTATTTTGGCAGATTGTTCCCGAAATTCGTGGTGTACCTGTATGGAAGCATTCGCCGTATTGATGGTATTGAGGAAACAGATGGGCAAACAACCTGGGAAATGTAGCCGAGCTGCTGTAGTTGATTCTAACCGAAAACATCAATTGAAAGTCAATAGTATACTTGAATTGCGATGACTATTCGATAGTACAGGAATGAAATCTTGACCGACCTCTAGGGCCCTGTATGTGGTGTTCCGCGAATTGTGCGATGATCATTAAAAACCATTCCTTTGACTGCAATATCATTCTTGTCCTGTTACTATTTCTTCTTTAGTAGTAGACAAGAGCTCCTCCTGCTAGTCTATCCTGCGACTGCGCGCACTCCTGACCTACTACTATTATTAGCAATCGGCGAACGAAACTCCATACTCTCCCCCGCCAACCCTTCCAACGCCGCTCTACTGTGTAAATGAGCTACCACCCCACCTCTCCTCATCACCCAATTATCCCTAGGTTGCCATTGAATAAAATTGGCTATGTAAGTATAAAAAAAAATATTTTACAACCACAAACTGGGGCGCTTGGTCTAGGGGTATGATTGTTAGTAGTCCAAATCCCATTACTCTCGTGCAATTCACTAACAAAGTCTTCAGTTCGCTTCGCATACTATATGAGAATGTGAAAGGTCGTGGGTTCAATTCCCACAGCGTCCAACCAACTTTTTTGGACTTTCCCTCCCGGCCGCAGCGGTTAGAGGGCACGAAAAGGTCGAAGGAAGGTTGGGTTCTCTTTCTTTTTTTTTTTTTTTTTTTTTTTTTTTTTTTTTTTTTTTGAGGCGGCGTGGGACTTGAATGTTTTCTAACATCGTTGTGCTTATAGGAGGTCAGAATTCTCGTTTCTAGTGCCCGCTTTCGAAATATCCTCCATGTAATTATAATGTCTTCCCTGTGTAGCAAGACACCCTTCATGCTAAGGCAAAAGAGGCGTACTTTAAGTAACTATAACCCTACGTTACCGCTATCTGCTCGCTACTAAAACATGTAATAAGAAGAGGATACTTTTCATTCTACCCCTTATGCAGAGTATCTATACAAGTTCATTTTCTTGCATTTGAACAAATATTTAATAGAAGATATGTGTCGAACCAGGCAAGAAACCTATAGCCGCGAGTCGTGGTCGATCGTTAGCCGATGAAAACTGGTAGTCGACTGCCATAGTATTGAGAGGGAAGTGGGTGTGGATTCTCACATGGTATGTGAGCACGCATCCACAGAAACGCCCGGAAAACCAACGTGATCCAGGCTTCCTCCACAAGGTCTGCATTGATGTTTGTTCCCCACGTCATGACCCGAACGTAGTCTGGCATGTAAAACCAATAGTACATCATTGCTTCGCCTCTCCAGTATCTGTCTCCACCCGTAGGTATCCCATGACCACGACCATTCTCAATCGCCCACAAGGCATCTGGGTAGGATCTGGGTGCCTCTCGGAGATGGGCCGTAACGAGATCTATGTAGTGCCTCGGGTTCCATTTATGGCCGTGCGCATAATCCTCCTCCGGTAGATTTCCCTGGAAATAATCGGAAGTGTCCTTATAAAGGGTCTCTAGCTCGTCGTAATATTCGATCGGACGGTCTCTCAACCCGGCGCTGATACCGTCCCACTCGTCTTTATATTTTCTATTCAGGTTCTTGTAGAGTCGTGCGATCTTGTGAGTCTGAGTCGTCCCTTTAGAATTGTTGTATCCGACAAGCTGATCGTAGAAGACCCTGTACGCTACACAATACCAGGTCAATCCTAAGGTATGGTCGGATCCTAGGGGCTTGGGGTAGCAGTTGACTTGTGAGGCTGGCTTGCGCAGCCAAGGTGCGAACATGGGCACAATATCGCAGAAGCCATGAAGGTAACCATGATGCCGGGCTTGCATTTGTCCAAGATGACGCACTGCGACGCCCTCGGGGTCAAGTTTTTGGAGAGTAGCAATAACATCGTCATTGGTGCCGACATTGAAGGTAGGAAGAGACAAGTCTCGATTTCCTGGAAGTATACCAAACCACATCCTATCCGCGTCCGGAGTGCATACCCATAGGTTGATTGGAAGGGGAACCGAAGCAACATCCTTGTCCTCCTTCTCTTCTTTTCCGTTCTCTTGATCAGTTCCTGAACTCTTTCTCATCTTTTTCCACTTCAGTTTCCACTTCTTATACGTGGATTGTACCCTATCACCTCGAGAGATTTGGCTGTTTCCGTAAAAGGATCTGGTGTAGCCTAGTAAAGTTCCAAGTCCACGGACATTCACAGCCGCAAACATATGCTCCCCGCCTTGTCCTTGCATGATACCCTCTGGAGGCCGAAATTCTTTCCACACCACACCCATGCGGCAAGCAAGAACTGCAATGTCAGATGCTGAGGTGGTTGCGAAAGGCCGTGCAATATCAGGTGGCATAAAGTCCCATGATCGCTTCCTTCTGCGAATGGCGGGCCACCTTAATTGTGAAAGAGATGCTCGGTTGGTTTGGTAAGCGGTGGATAAGTGCTCGAATATAGGAGCGCTGTGTTTGTGCAAGGCGATTAGAAGAGGTACCCAACAGACCAGCTCGTCGTTCGGATTGAGTATATTACCATCCTTTTCCGGGACAAGCGTTTCAGTACGGGACTCCTTATCCCCCGTTATCGCGATTGTATGCGATGTTTTAGGGGGGCAGTAAGAGGCAAGGATAATCTCGGGTGTACTGAAACGTGTTTCGACGCGAAATTGAGTCCAACGCCAATGCCGGTGGGTATGCTTGCTCCATTTCCCCATAACAGATGCTTGACACTTTCGGTGGCCTTCAACAGTGCCAACAACTTGCGCGAGGAGTTGAGCCAACGCAATGGCTAGTGCAATGACAGAGATAATGAGTGCAACAAGTGCAGTAGCATCGAGGGCCATGGCCAGTCGACAATTAGAACAATGCTACTATGTAGGTTTGGAAGCATAGTGATGCGACAGTGGTCAGACCGCTACGGGAATTAGAAATACATGCCCTCTCCGACCAAGAGTTGGGTACGTCATGATGGCATATGTAACACGCAGTAGAATAGCGTATAACAGGCACAACACTACATGTAGGACAGCAATACCCTAGTGAACCCGGGAAATGCCAGCTGCGTCTTCCCCGCGCCTTAGAGTCCTCTCAGGATGAAACCTTCATGCTTTTTCGTTGGGCGATTAAAGATTTATTATCGGGGTGGAATTGTCCTGCTGCCTTGGTGCCCCAGGGTGGTTTATATGTGTAGCTTGGGGAGGGAATATTCAACACCGACATGCGCTTTGATAGGACTGCGGAAGTTAAGTCGGTGATCAATACTCCGTAATATCTAGCGACGATGGAAGTAATAAAGTGCTGGACATTGCCACTATTTACTAGCTGCGGGGTGGACGACCAGGGTCGGCCTATACCCTACCCTAGGTACCGTTGCTAAGTGACGATTTTGTAGGTGTTCCCAGGGAACCGAATTAGTTGATTAAAGGCTTGACTACTCCGTCAGGCTAGACTAGATTACAATGCTGCGGGGCTCGCACTGAACGAGACACACCACCCTGCAGCTGGCACATGTCGGGGTGGTATGACCAAAGGATGTGGCTGGGCAAACAACTCATCAGCCTTCTGCACCCTGGGGCAGCCACGACCTTTCACATTCTCATGTAGTATGCGAAGCGAACTGAAGACTTTGTTAGTGAATTGCACGAGAGTAACCGGATTGGGTTCCCCCGCTTCAATCCTCACATTAATCGCAGCGGATCAAATCACGCCGGTGTTGTGTACCCCACACTTACCGCCGACTAGTCCATCTATTTAGTGAACTTCCATCGCTCTCTACCTCCGTTGCACACGCCGCATGTTATTCTTAGGCTTTCTGTAGTACGATAGGACAAAAACAGGATGAATATTCAGAGGTGTTGGACCTCCGTAAGTTATATAGAAAGGTCCAAGCTCCTTCACACCGCCTAACATTGCCCGCAATGTCAAGCCTAGTTGTTAAGCCTGCTGAAGATAGATCTGCATCTGCGCTCGTTTATAGAATAATAGTATGCTTCAACTTCGCACGTTAGGTCTCGCAGCCTGAAATATCGAAATGACACCACTCACTGTCTCACATCTTCTGGTTTCGTCTACTCGAGCGCTCTTAAGGATTGAAGTCCGGTGGGAAACAGCAGCCCTCGTCATCCGCATCCGAGAAGTCGAAAGGCATCGATCCGCCCATCTCTTCCACTCGTTACTCCCAGCGTTCACAATTCCTAGACTGGAAGACTCCCCGATAATGCCTAGTTTGCACTAGGCCGACCGGTACACCAACCCTATCACCTACAGGGCTGGTATACTGCTTCTTTCTTTCGACGTGCTGAGCCCGGATCAGTCCGCGTTGTTGCTGAGCAGCATGTTGCCTTGCGAATACTCACCGGTTATTATACAGCCCTCGGAAGACCAGCGGGACAGGCCAATAAGCGTTCGTACCATGCGTTTGTACTGCGCCTGATGCAAGTGGGAGTGAGGCGTTGTTACGGAAGATAAGAAGCGGCATACTAAATAAATACAGGAGAAAATGCCATGCAAGGTAAACGCCCTCCCGAAGCATCTATCAGTCCTTTTAACCATCCAATTCATTGCTTCAGTGTGTGCTGGCCCTCGCAACCCAACGATCCGAGAATGTCCAGCGGCAATAACAACTCCACTGCGAGTAACACTGGTGACACCAGTGACGCTGCTCAACAAGCCAATACTAGTGCGAGTCGTACCACCGGCGCGTCCACCTCTGGTACAGCTGGGCCTATGCAAACGGAACAACAACGCCAGAACGGGGCTGCTGTCGCTCGTAACCTCAACGATCCCGCGAACAGAGATCTCATGCAAAGGATGGGCGAGTCCTCTCGTCGGAGGCGCGGCCTCTGTGAGTGCCAATATCGCCTTGTATCCTTCCATTCCTAACAGCAACATAGAACCATCACTGCACAGTCACCCAGAGAGAGAAAAGATGATGGAATGGATATGGAGTAGCCTAGTCCGATGGGTGTGTGCTGGGGGGAGTACGACTTGCTAGCCGAGCCCGGGGATATTTCATCCAACATAATGTCACCGTCCGAAGTTGGAGCCATAGCATTCAAGAAAACTCGGATGGTATAAACTAACTTTCGCATGTCTGCCGCGCCCTCCCTCCTGCAAAACGTCATCATTCCCATCGTCCCCTCATTTTGGTCTTTGGAGGAGTTCGCGACGCTGCTTTGCACAACATTTGCAGTCGATGTGCCCACGGTTGGAATGGAAAGCGGAGGTTTTAGACAACGTAGGGTGACAGAAATATCAGTATTTCTTCCAATATTCCTCCACACAAATAGATGCTGAGAATCAATCGGTTACCATCTTCCGATGGCATCAGACGGGCCATCGTGCATACTGTATCCCATCGTCGCCCGTGAGAATGTGTCGGTGGCAGTGTTCTTGTCTCGGGCCTGCCGGTTCACGTCTTCACTGCTGCTTTCACTACAGTCGGATCCCGCGCTACCAAGGTTGTAGCGGACGGCTATTTGGTTTCGCGGATTGTTTTGGGGGGAGGGGGGTGGGCGAAATGAAAAGCGAGAGGGATGAAGTGCAACACCACGGTTGCCTGGAGTCGATAGGGGAATGCGCTCTGACTGAAATATATTCCGACCCCAACTATCCAACTACAGTTCACATCACGACTCCGTACCACATCCGCTAGCGCTCAAATCCTCCAACCCCATCTGCGGTACCTTTTCATTCAATTCAGCCTGTTCGCGATCGATCCTTGCCTTTATCGCGCTCCACTCCGCCCTATACGCCGATAATTGCTTCATTTTCCTCTCAACGAACTCTTCAAGCTCCGGCTCTGAGATAGTGGCGAGCTCATCAGTGTTAGGGCAGATATCGCAAATAGCCTTCCAAGCTGGATTGTCGGCAGCTGTAAAGCAGTCATACATCAATTCGTGGAACCAGAACTTGCCGTCGCTCATAGACTTCCGCATGAGGTCAGAAAGTCTATCCTGAAGTCCATGCTGCGGCGTAACCTTATCTCGCTCGATCTCCTCGCGTTTAAGCTCGTCGAGAAAGATTTCTAGGCATGCGTTGTATCGCTGATACTCAGGACCGTTGTGTGTTGGCCAGAAGATTGGGCTCTTCATTAGGAGCCATCGTGGCGCTGAGTAGAACATCTGGTACGGTGCTGCGTATGCCCACTCCCAGTCTATTACCGCGATTATCTTGAGTTCTCTTGCATTGTTGACTATCATGTTCCCGTAGCGAAAATCGTCACAGATTAGTCTGAAAGCAGTTGCATCATCGTCAACGATGAAGTGTGGAATGATGGCATTAACCTGGTGGCGGAATCTGTATTTAGCCCGAGCATCATCAGCGTTGTCGACTGAGTTGGGCTGCTCGCACAAATGGTCCATATCTTGCTCAGCGACGTAGTTGAAGTATGCTCTCACGGATGGAAATGTGGTCGAGCGATTGCCTTATGAGATTTTGGATTAGCACGGAAGTAAGCCAGATATTGGAATCTACAATACCTCCAACTTTGACTCCTCCATGCGCCTCTATCTCTTGCATTTTAAGCGTTAGCGGCCCCAAGTCCGCGTGGATACTTAGATCGTCCCCGATTGATAGAGACCCAACATTGGGAAACTCCAACTCTGCTAGTTCGAGATAGAAACCCGCTATCTGGCGATACACAGTGCGCAGGTCCCGTTCGCTGATATCGGATCTTAGTATCCGTGTCTCAGGGCCTTCTCGCCAAAGATGACCGAGGGACTCGCCGCCCGCAATGTAATCCATCATGATAAACGGCCCTAACCCTAGAGCATTGTCTTTTGACAGTCCCCAAGCATAAACCTTGGGCACAGGGATCTTTGTTTTCTCCCTAACCAAGCACATTACTGCGACTTCTCGACGTAGCTTCTCGTCTCCGTCCATAACTCTTCCAGGCACGGCAAATCGTACTAGCCATTCCACGCCGTCTTTGAAGCGTACGCGGCAGCTCCAGTTGAAGGAACCACAGTGGTCCTCAACAACCTCGCTTGGATGGCCACTACGGAAAGAAGAGACCCAGTTGGCAATAGGCAGGCCTCGTTGTGCTCGAAATTTGCTGAACCACTCGTCGCACAACATGTCATGTGCAAGCTCTGCCCGTTCGTCCCAATCCATATTAAGGGAAATGTTCACCACGTATTTCGATGGTGATAAGGGCTACTGCTCGGTATATGCCCTTTGAGGCCGCTGAACCAGTGCACACCGGTACCGCTGAAAGAAAAGCCTAAGAATAATATGCGACGCACCAAACGAAGGTAGAGGGCGATTGAGGTCCACTAAGCGCTGGTCGTGGAAGTGGAGGCGGTAAGTTTGGAGTACACAATACCGGTGTGATTTGATCCGTTGTGATAAATATGACAATTGAAGCAGGAACCTTTGGAAGGGCCATAAGACGAGGAGTTGTTTGCTCAGCCACACTTATTAGTCATCCCAAATGTGGCTGAATCACTTCCGCGCCCCCTGTGTCTCGTTCAGCGTGAAGTTTCTGCCCTCCCGCACGTCACGAGGTTGGTTATTCTACGGAGGAGCAGATAATGAGATGGGAGACATACTCCAACAGTGAAGCATGAAAATGCGTGAAAACAAAGAAGAGGCACAAACGGTTCCATAAACGAGAACAAACGAGAACACGAATCTGATTTGTGTTATAGCATCAAGCCCTGGATATCTAATGCATGACTACACCTCTCCACAGAAAGCTTCTACCTAACCTCACTCCTCTGCGGTGCAAACCCCTTCAACCACCCCCTCGCCTTCTCCAAATCCCCGTTCTCCGCTTCCAACGCCGCTACACACCACTCCAACTCATACCCACCCTTTCCTTCAACCCCCTTCTCCGCACTCAGCATATGCGCCACAGCCCTTCGTCGCTGACTCGCCTCATCCACGCAAAAATGCAACGGCGTTGCATACATCCCCCCATCCAGGCCTTCAAGGAAAGGTTTCACGAGGGGAACCGCGTCCTTCGTCGCAACGGCCTGGTCGCCCTGACCTAGGTTCTTGCGCCCCGTGCGACAGAACTCGTTCCTGCACCAGGATTTGCCGCAGCCGGTGAGCAGCTGTGAGAGGTAGCGGCGCTCGACGCGGCGACGGAGTGCTTTGCCCTCGGGATCGTGCATAGAGACGTAGAGAGGACCGAAGCATACACTGCAGAGTCCAACGTCGTTCCCCGGGCCTTGGCCCTTACGTGTTCCAGCTCGTGTGTCCCCGGTTTTGCTGGCACCGTCTTGTGTACGGCCGCAGTTGACGTTGCGGCAGAGTCGAGGCGTTGGGCGGGATAGACGCTCCAAGTCGTGGTTCTTGAGGTGTGTGTCCATGTCTCGGAAGCGTACGATCTTATTGCAGAGGTGGCATTCAGTGGTCCGACCGCCGTCGGCGAGTTCATGGGGGGTGAGACCAGAGAGAAGGAGTTCGGCGCTCGGAGGTTCAGTGGGATCTCCTTCTTGTGGAACTTGGAGATGGCAGAAGCGGCAGAGGATAAGTTTTCCCGGGCAAGTAGAGGTTTTGTGCTGGGAGAGGGTGGGGACGGACGGGAAATCTAGACCGCATGAATTGCATGTCTGCGGCGTGTGGTAGAGCTCATCGTGCTTCTTATGGCTGAGGGTTGTGTTGCCTGTGAATGTGTCGTACGGGCAATGCCAATGGTTTTCAAAGGCTGGGGAACGCCTTTGGAAGACCTGGCCGCAACCTTGGGGGCAAAGGATGTTGTTCCGCAAACAGAAGTTCTCGTGGAGGAACAATGAGCCCTTTGGTACCCATTGCTGACAGTTTTTGCATTGCACTTCGTCGGAAGTGTGTGATTGCGGTACATCATCCGTAGGGGGTTGCGAGGTGGGATCGAAGATCGAGGCCCGAATGTGAAATTTTTTTGGCAGAGGGGAAGGCGAATCGGATGGATACCCGTGCACTGATATCCATATTGACTCTGCGTGTTCCAGCTCGACATTGGTGGGTTGTAATCGGATACGCTTCGGGTATCGACTGGAAAAATCGGCAAATGTGTGCTCATCTTCACGTGGCCGTACTCGTTGCTGAGGAGAAAAGGGACTCACGAGGAGATCCAGCTCCTCATCATCATCAACACCACTGAGGGATATTTCAATACCCTGAGACCTGTCCCAAGCCGGTAGTTCGTAGTCGACATATTCCCCTTCAAGAACCTGGCCATCCTGTCCGCGGAATACATCCAGCTTGCCTCCCACTGAGCTACCTTCTGTCGTGCCGGGTGCGCGCTGTCGTTTTGCTGCAATCCGTCTCAAGGTCTCTCGCGCTTGTTCTTCGTTCAAAGCCTCGATGTCCACCTCGAGATCTGTATCGACTACGCATATCGCATCGCCCTCTGGTTTCAAGCCATCCACCAAGAATCGGAACTCTTCCTGTTTGCCGCCAGCACCACGGCCGCCATGCACCACCAGCACATCTCCGTTCGTCAGTGTCGTAAAGTTTGCCCTTAAGTGTTGCTCCAGAAGTGACTTCCAATCCTCCGGATCATATCCCGCCTCCAGAGGCCTTAGTTTGACAAATGTACCCTTTGGGAGCTGTTTCGCATGTACTGTTATCTGTGACGCCGAGGAGCGGTCTTCTCCCCTCCCGCCAATCTCCCCATTGCGATATCCCTGGGAGCTTCCCGGCCTAGATGATGAAGCAGAGGTGCCATCAAGACCGAGTGTTTCCTTTAGAAACGGGCTGAGAACGATCTCCCCCTCCTCAGCAGAGAATTCTCTTATCCCAGCGTATACAACTCGGCCGTTTTGCGGGTTCACGAGGCGGAAAGTAAGAGGGTGGGGCAGCTGTTGGAATCTATCAGAGAACTGTGACCGCGCCTGTTGTTCTGCGGCAAAGGTATAGGGGTTGAACGGATCAAACGAAGTGATATGCCGTCGGCTGGAATCGACCGTGACTACCGGGGCAGCAGCCAGGAGTTGCTCGAGGGCCGAGGGAGGAAGTAGAATCTTGTCGCCGGGTAGCGCCGTGGGTCTGGAGTTGGAGGCAACCGTGAATTGAGATGACCAGGTCAGTTCGACCGGTTCTGAAGACATTTCAGTGTATTGTTAGGCTATTAACACAATGCAAGCCTCTCTTTCGAAATACTACAGTCGGAAGTGCTTCAAATCTGGATACTCTGAGGTTGCGTCTATGGTCTATATCGAGGGTCGAATATGTGCTGGATTATGGCGCAATCGACGGGTATAGAGCGAAAAGCAGTGTGTAAACCGGGAGGAAAAGGGTAAAGGAAAAAGAACGTCTCATTAACGGTCAGGTCAGGCAACAGAGTGTCGCATGGGCAGCGCTGACATATTCAGTTGTATGAATGCGGCTCTTCTCGAAGCTTCACGCCGAAGAGGACGCCACTTCGGACGACACCGCCACAGCCCGCGACAGCCGCCCGCGACCCTTACCCCGCCATCTGAATCTTATCGATAAGTAGAGCTCCGTAAGCGAGATGAAACTTGGTGTGACGTGAAGCTGTGTAGGTGAGGCTAGCACCTTAAGGTAAGTCTAAGTATGAAATAATGAGGTGTCCTCAGGAAATAGCAGATTACCCAACGGCTCACAGGTCACATGGCAATGTCGAGGGTTATGTACGGAGTAACGGTATGGTAATGGCATTCACTAATCCGGCTCGACGTTCCCCACGTCTTTCGTGATATCCGGGCCCGAGGCCGCTCGTTTTGCTTTGACTGGCAGGGGTTCGTTTGAGCAGTGTTTGCCTCTGGGGCGTAAGAAAGGGTCCAAAACGCCTTCGAAGACAAGTTGGGTTCCATATTGTGCCATCAAGGAACCAGAAGGCGTGTCAAAAAGCCTAAATTCTGAGCATCCAGATATACATTCCCCGACTTGGCGCGGCTTGACTTGACGGACCCTGCTGCGCTATCCCGGGATCTTCACAGGGGAGGTTAGTCGAGCTCTCCACCTCCTCGACCTGCATCCAACAATCCCACATATTGCCCTGGTCTATCAGCTTCTCCCACCCGCGCACACCACGTCTCAATACGCCGCCGCCCATCCTCTTGTTCACCGCCTGGATCCTGGCTTGAAGAAGAGTGGGCACGTGCCCCTGAGGACAGCAGTCCTTCTCCGCCTACTTCGCTCTTAAGTAAAGCCCGGTGAGTACCTGTCCACCATTAATCCCCCTAACCACCGTCTCCAACACCGCACCACCATGGGCCCTCTCGTTACGGGCGAAGGACTTCCCTCTACTACTCTCGCCGACCTGCTGTCCAATACCCTGGTTCTCCGTCAAACTGCGCCATACCTCCCCGTCGCCTCACTATACGCCCTGGCTGCTACCTCCAAGTCACTGCGCCACATCGTCTATACCGCGCCTGAAAGCTTCCGTCACCTCGATCTTTCGACCGTCAAATCGGCCTTCGTCAAATATGTGCCCTTAGATTCGGGAGGAATCAGCTGGCGCTCTGAGCGCATGGATGAATCCCTTACGGAGGACGAGTTCTACTCAGGGCCTCTGCGCGGCATCTTCTCAAAGCTCCAACGACGGCACCTCTTGCACCACGTACATACTCTGGTGTTAGACGGTCTCAGCGTCCCAGCCGATCTTGTCCAGGACATCATCTCTGAGGACAGGTTCAACGTCCGCATCCTCTCCCTCCGAGAGGCGCAGAACTTGAATGAGAGGAAGCTGATGCAAGTTCTGAGATATGCCGTTCGACCATCAAGGCCCGCAGGCACGCCCAAAATCAAAGGCATATACCTCTTCGGGCCTCGAGAACGTGCACCCGTGGAAGATCCGTGGAGCAGGAAGAACTCGTCTGGAACAGCTTCAACAGGAGTAACCCGTCGACGAGGCGCTCAAATTGGTGCCCAGTGGAATCACAAGTCATCAGATGCGCTGAACACTGCACTCGCGCGGACTGAGGACAGATGGTATCAATGCTCTGGACGCATGCTCCCAAGAAAACCTTCTCTGGAGTGGGCCGAAACTCTGCAAGCCTGCGATGGAATCATTGCCTTCGACGCCGTCCTCTGCCGTGGCCCTCGGCATAACCCCGAAAATGCGACGAGTGGCAATGGAGCAGGTCGAACCGATTTCTACCTGCGACCCGCTATTGCAACAGTGGCTTTAGGGCCCTCCGGATGTGATACATGCCACTCGTCCCCAGAGGGTCCGGCTCAATTTGGTCATTCCAGCGTTTCTGAGTTGCCTCTTCTCAGTCCTATACCACTTCATGCGAGCACAATCCGAGCTGCACAGATGCCGCACACGATTGACGGCTCAAGGCCACCGCCATTGTTCGTGCGCTGCGAGGACTGTCTAAAGGGAAGGTGGTGCGAACGGTGCCATAAGTGGTGGGACGAGAAGTGTTATACCCCCTCCACCGTTGCTCAGCGTACGGAGCTTCAGCAAACGGAGTTCATCGAGACTGTTCAAAGCACTGGCGGAATAGAAGTGGTTACGAAAAACATCATCAAGGTACATAATGGTCTCTGCGCTGACCACTGGCCTGGTTCGATGGGAGTCCTTGGCGCGAAGATGGCAACGGTCCCTTGAGGCGTTTTCGGCATAGTCGGATTCCGGATTCCAGCCTTCCTGGCGGGCCTAGGAGACCTACTATCGGTAAACCGCACATGCAAACCTTGCTCTGACCGCGCCAAGGTAGGTGATTGGGGTGTTTGTGAGAAACCGGCTGACACAAGTGATTTTCAGACTATCGGCGTCCGACGTGACTGCTTTGGCTGTGGCCATACGGTAAGCTCATATGCCGAGGTGTTAGCTTTAAGGCTGACAGATTGCAGTGCATCAGTTGCAAAGAAATCTTCATTCGTCGGTGCGAGAAGTGCGGAAATGAGTACTGCCATGAAGATAACGACGCTTCATCGCTGACTAGAGTAAGATCCACGAGACTGAGATGTACAACAATGGCTAACTGCTCCCAGTGTGACTGGTGCAATTATACCTCGCGTCGTACGGTAGAGATGTATTGAGAAGAGCCTTTTATCTGGGAACGCGAGGATCAGAATCTCAGGGAGCTTGTGGGTCTAGCAGCGGTACGGAAAGTATTGAAGCCGACCTGGGTTGGGCTCGGATGTTGAAGGAGTCACGTTAATGCCTTTATATCTGTTGAAGCGTTCCGTAAGATACCCCGCTCATCCATAGCAATTATCATGATATAGCATTTCGTCCTTAAAGCTTTACATAATGTTTCGATTCATACCGTAGGCCGGGGCGATCTCGACCTTTGGCTGTGAACAACCTCGTTGTCACTAAACGACACATTACAGTCTTTCTGTTCATTAGTACGTTCAAGGTATCACTCCGCTCTATCTTAGAGGATTAGACGTTAAAAAAGGCTATAGTCACGTGATTTCTTACCGGAGGTTCCAGGGTGGCACTACCGATGCCACGAATTGACAATCAGATCGTCATTGAAAGTTATTGAACGTCCAACAAACTGTTCAAAAACCTAGTACATTGACTTTTGCTCTCTTCGTAAACCACTCAAACTGCTGACTACCTGTTATCGACCGCTCGCGACATCCTCTCTCACGCGCTTTCAACACATTACGTAGTAGCTCCCGGAAATCAACCAAGCCTAGGCTTCAACAACGCCTCCAACGACCGAATAAGTTGCGTCCGCGCACTCCAGGGCTCGCCGCACGCTCGTCCCTCGCACCGATTTCCGGTTCCACCCCACAATGGCACAATACGGCTACGGTCAAAGCCCACCCTATGGCGGCGGCGCGCAGAATCTCCAATTCTACCCCTCGTCCTTCACGAACCAGCCTGTTTCCGGGCACTCGACCCCTTTCCAAGCGAATTATGGCGCTCCGCAAGCAGCGGCTTATCCGACACAATATGGTGCGGGATTCACGGCACCTGGAGTGAGTGGGCAGATGGGTGTTGGGGCGTCGGGGTTGCGGACCGGATGGTTGGCGGCGTTCGGAACTGAAGGGTAGGTTAGGTTATACACTGAGACTGGGAATGTGCTAATGAGGATAGATATGAGGGGGAACCGCCTCTATGTTCGTCCAATAATCCTGCGCACGAGTGGACATGTTTGCTGACAACCCGCAGTGGAAGAGCTAGGAGTCAACTTCAGTCATATCAAGATGAAGGTGTGCGGCTCCATCAGATGTCTTTGGGTGTGATGCTGACAGTTTGGCAAGACGCTCGCAGTCCTGAATCCGTTTGGCAGGATTGATCAACACATTATGGACGACAGCGATGTAGCGGGCCCTATACTTTTCTTCTTCATTTTTGGAACATCATTACTGGCATGTCGGATCCATTGGCTCATTTTGAATGTAGCTAACTCGCAGTAGCTCTCCGGAAAGCTCCACTTTGGGTACATATATGGTATGTTTTTCCACCCGCATCTCGAAGCGACGCTCATACTCTAGGCCTTGCCTTGATGGGCACGATCCTTCTTCACACGATTCTCTCGCTCATGTCTCCGCCTCTCAGTCCGGCTGAGGCAGCGTCAAGTCAAGATCATGGCCACGGCGGAGGCTCGCACTTCGGATCATCGCTAACATTCCCGCGGTCTGCTTCAGTGCTAGGCTACTGTCTCTTGCCACTGGTGCTGACGTCCATTGTGGGTATTGTGGTGCCAATGGACAGCTTCTTCGGATACCTTCTGACAAGCTTGGCCATTGTATGGTGCTCATATTCTTCCAGCTCCATGTTCACTATTGTTGGTATGTGTGCCCGTTCTTACCCCGTTCTGGACCACCTATTGATATCCACAGGACGTATGACATCCATGAGAGGACTGGTAGCGTATCCCATGGTTCTGTTTTACGGCAGCTTTGGCATCATGGCCATCTTCAGTTCAAGGGGTACTGGACAGCTTGCCAAGGCGACTGGGAGTGCATGAATGAGGTGAAGGACGGGTAGCATTGGCTGGGTTATTCTGTAGCATAGAACGAGCAAGAGCACGATACCATGATTGTACAGGTAGAAGAAAATGGCAGTCAACAGCGCGCATTGAAGACAGATAAATACAGTAGTTATATGGATTTTCGCATCGACCAATCAGTGAGAGGCGGACTAGATCTTGATGACGCCCGCCCAGCTTGCCGTTCCGGCTCCACAAAAACTTCTGTCCTGTTCTCGGCCAACAATCTCCGCCACGCGCTTTCAACATCGCGGTTTTTGGGCTTCTTTTCATTTCACATATACACCCTTTTTGTCTACTTAATCATTATGGGTTGGTTCTGGGCAGATAGCGCACCGGCAGCGCCTGTCGCGCCACATCCCATGCCTCGAGGAGATGCGACACCTCCCGTAAGTACACCGATATGCAAACAGACAAACTGTCTTCTAACTGAATTCCAGCCCAGCTGTCCCATGCACAACAAACTTCCCCATCGTCCCTCGAAAGCCTCCACCCCCGATGCCGTTCCCGCCGGCGCATGCCCGTACGTCCCGCCCGATTCCTCCACCTCCGCAGCACCCCCCCAGCAAGGCCTCCTCTCCCGCCTCAACCCTCTCAACAACATGCCCTTCGACCTGAGCAACAAACGCGAGACGCCGCACCAAACGCACGACCTCCCCTTGACCCGCGAACCCTCGACGATCCCAAAGGGCGACGGCTCCCTCTGGGAATACCCCTCGCCGCAGCAAATGTACAACGCCATGCTGCGCAAGGGATACACGGACACGCCCGCCGACGCCGTCGAATCCATGGTTGCCGTGCACAACTTCCTGAACGAGGGCGCGTGGGCCGAGATTGTAGGGTGGGAGCGGCGCTTCGCCCGCGGTCTCGTGGAGGGGTACCGCGTGTGCAAGCGCGGCGAGGAGAATGCCAATATCGCGCTCGGCATGCAGGACCCGCTCGACACAAGGTGGACGGAGAAGAACATACCGGCTCCGAAGCTCCTGCGCTTCACGGGCCGTCCGGGGGAGGCGACGCCCAAGTCGCAGATGCTGCAGCTGCTGGGCTGGGCGTGGCCGTCGAAATTCGGGACCCCGCCGCCGTTTGATCGGCATGATTGGTTTGTGCAGCGGTGTGATGCTGCGGGGAATTGCGAGGAGGTGCGGTATGTGATTGATTATTATGAGGGGGAGCCCGAGCCGACGGGGGAGCCGGTCTTCTACCTCGATGTCCGGCCTGCGATTGATGGGCCGAGGGCTGCGGCGGAGAGGTTGGTCAGGTGGGGTACGGATACGTGGTGGACGGCCAGTGGCGGGGTGGTGAGGGAGGTGAGGAAGGCGGAGGAGGCGAGGAAGAAGGCCGAGGAGGAGAGGGAGAGGACGATGAGGAAGTACAACAGCTAAGGGAGTGAGACGGGGATGAAGGCGACCGCCACAGGGAAGTTAGGGGGACTGAAGCAACATTCTGGTCGATATGAATGAGGCGGATGGCTATGAGGGGCCTCAGGCGAGAAGGACGCTGCTTGCTGCTTTACGATTCCCGTCACTGCGTGGCAGAGAAAACACAGGACCAAGGCCACGCAGTCTCCACCACTCATCCCCATCACCACTGTCCACCACATATACGGACCCATCTGCGGCACGGCACGGCACGGCACGGCGTACAGGTCATTCCCCCTTCCACGGTTGTACAAACACGCATCGGCATGTAGGATTCACGGCTTCCACTTCTCCATCTGTGTTGATATCTCCATAGTCTTTCACACAATTGTAATCGAATGGAATTTCGTTTCGTCGATTCATTGCATACATGTGTGGTCTGGTCTTGGTAGGTTGGCTAATGGACAGTCAGTCACTCTGCAAAATCGACCGGAAGGAAGGACGGAAGGGAAATAAGTGTACATGATCCCTGGAGGACTGTTGGATAACTGGAATGTAATCCCCCCGAAGAGATGAACCTGACGTGACATGTACGCCTTTCATAATCATGCACAGAACCACAGCCATCCGTACATCGAGTCCCAACATCTACGAAACGGATCCATTAACAAAAGCACCCGTCGTCCTCATTTAGATCGAATCCCAATCTGTACTTCGGATGCTCTGATGAGCAGCGCTTAGTCATTATATATTCACAAGGCCCCTGGATGCTTACTGAGATTGCATTTACGTAATGCCACATGTTATTACCGGATTATGGGGTGAAGTATCCACGGAGATGACGAAGTCAGAAGAGGTCAGAAGAGGTCAGAAGAGGTCAGAATAGGTCAGAAGCAGTGTCCTTTAACGCTGAGAAGTAAACAAGGGCAGGAGCCGTTGTTCTCATATGGTAAACGCCGAGTGGAAATACAGATATAAGGTTTGCAGCTCCAAGAGCACCGTGATCGGTCGTTGTGTTGAAGAAGTTCCACAGAAGGAGAATAGAACATGCTCGCAAAGATAACCCGCATGGAATACCAGGACCTGCAACATGATCCCTCGCCTTGAACGCCAGCCGTAACAGCACTCCCCGCCTCATGATGTCCAAACCTTGATACAGGTCTGACTATCTTATGAACCTTCAAGCCAGACAATACTTCCGAGCTCCCAGTCTTCCACCAATTCCGCGTTTTCCTATACTTGGGGGCCGGAGCCAGCAGAGACGTCGCCGACAGGACCGCCTACTATGAATGAGCAACTTGAGCAGCTTCATTGGTAGGAAAGGCAGGGTAGTAACTCGAGAGGGGCTGACCTGATGCAGTCGAATCATCCGGCTTGTGCTGATGTTTGTTGGCATAGTCACCTGCATCATATGAGCCAACAGCGTTCTCATGGTTGCCATTGCTCGCGGACGGACCGTGCTGGGCTACCGCCGCGGCTTGAGCGGCGATCTGGAGCTGGTCGATTTGTTGGTCTGAGAGTCCTCCGTCGTTGGTGTTGGCGGTCGCGCTGGCCTGGGCACCTTCTGTGGATTGCTGCTGCTGGGGCTGCTGTGCTTGATGGCTCATGGGATCAGGATGTTCCGGATGTTGGCGCTCGCTCAAGTTAACCCCGGCTGGGGCGGGGGGAACCTCCCCTTGAGTGTCGAGAAGGCGCTGCTGAAGGCTGATGATATAGTCCCGCAACTGATAGTTTTCCCGCTGAAGGTTCTTGTAATGCTCAACCAATTCGTCGTAACCCTTGACTTGGTCTTTCAACTGCTTGATGTATTCCTCCTTGCGCGCACGGAAAGCTCGCTAACGGAGTTAGCTTGCATGAACGGTCGTATGAGACATAATAACACACCTGTGCGGCACGGTTCTGAGCAGCACGTTTGCTGGTCGACAGTTCCCTTCGACCCTTCCGGCCTTCGCTGGTGTGACCCTCGGTGTCGGCGCTCATGGCATACGGGGAGCCAGAGATGGCTGGATCAATCGCCTGCGGAGGTCCACCGTGCGGATGTTGCGCCAACGGCTGGGGAGACGTCACTTGGCCTGCGCCTGCTGCCAGGAGATGCTCTCTTAAACCTATGTCACATAATATGTTAGTAATCGGTAATCGACATTCGTGGAGAGCGACGTGGAATACGGGAGCGGAGCGGTTTACTAACTCATTTCGAGAGGAGCAGTGTGATCCTGTGATATATGTCAGCATTGCCGGAAGTCATATTTAATGATTCTTATTAAATCCGAGGCGTGCGCAGACCCCTGATTTGGGTGCTTACCTGAGGCGGCTGCTGCTGCATGGTATCGTACGTGCGAATCGACGGGTAGAGAGTAGGCAACCCGTTCGGCATCAAGCTATCGGGGCCAGTCGGCCGGAATGAAGACCAGATCTGAAGGAAGGAAGAGTATGCAATCAAGGGAGCCGTCAAACGATGGCTCCGTCTCTGCAGCTGAAGTCCGGCAACAGGACTCTTTGAAGCAATGATGCGGAGAGGAAGGCGAGCTGGCCTGGCGACGTGTTAGTGAGAGTGGGCGACATGATGACATTGAGTGCATTGGAGGCAGCGGCGATGGCGCAGCAGGACTCGAGGCGTATCTGGTGCTGAACCTGAAGACAGGCTCGAGAAGCTTGCGGTTTCGCGAGCACACGCTGGTGGATGACATCCATGGAGACTCACCGGGGCTTGGGTTGGGTTGGTTGGGAGATGCTTTCGTAAAAGCTGAGTAAGGAGGCGCGAACTTGGGGGAAGGGTGGGAATTTAAGGTCGTCGTTCGCGGGCTCGGCAGTGGAGCTAGTGCCAAGCTTGTCACTTTCACCACCGCAACTCCAAATCCGGAAAGTCGCGACTCTTTGGCTGCCACGCACGACACCGACTCGTAACTGCACGCTCAGTACCTACCAAGTACACTGTAGATGGCCTGCACGAATTGCTCCGAGAATTGCTCCGCGACATTATGATTATGTACTCTGCTTAGTGCTCGGGTCACTCTGCTGACGTGCTTACAAATGCTATTCACTTCTTGGCGCATCCGACGTACACAGTACCTGCCCAACGGTGCTTCGTAACTCCCTCAGGCAGTCCAGGACATTATACACAGTGAAGTAAAATAGTCCAATGTCACTAGGGTGGCATCATGGATTATCGTCTGCACCAGTTATTCGTCAATCCGCTGGGTCTGAAAGTGTTTCTGAAGGAGCTGTTTCGTAACAACTGCTCTACTCCCAGTAGCTTCTCAGAAAATCCGACGGCGGGCAGCTGGACAACGCGGGTCCTTGAATTGAGATATTTAGGTATCGAATGTCTCTGCAGCTAGAGGTATCAATTCGAGGCCACCCAGGGCCGTTCTGATGTCGCCCACGATATCCACTGGCTACTCTCTTGGGCCACTGCGTTTCCAAGCATATCGGGGCTGCAGGAGGCCTTCCACAGCCCTAGTGATAGCACCTGACACAGTACATCAACACCCAGTGTACATGTAGAGGATGACTGATCCGTGCAAAATGTAATCGCCGACGGACATGATATCCCCGATCGCAGTGTCCGGACCAACTCATGCATCTTGATGCCAAGACGGTGTGGGGCGGGAGCTACCCGGACCTCATCCAACTCGCCGTCTCACTTCCTTGAGTGCCTCTGCGAGGCTTTGTCATCTCATTTCCTCAATGCCTCGGTGTCTCCCCGCAACTTGAGCTTCCGGCATAGTAACAGCTGGGCCAACCGTCTTCTATAACTGTCTCTGATTACATGAAATTTGCCTCCGATCAGCTTTCATCAGTTTCATATCACCCTAGCATCCCTATCCGAGTATTCGTCTCAGGGCCATATAAAGTAAATATTCCCTCTTTCGGGAGACACAGTCTCGCCTCTATTGTTCACTCCTACTTCAATTACTGGGATACCCGCATCATTAATGTAGTCTTCAGGGCCCAATGCTTGTTCTAAGCCGCGCGAGGGCGAAGACTATTTTCCGTCTCAACTGTCAGCCGTGGTCTCAAACTACCCCCTCGCGGCCAGTAGCAGCTGCGCAATATCGATTCGCCATAAGCTCCCAGGGCTCCCAATATTCGTCAAAAGTGGAGCCAACAGGCGGCTCTGCGAAGAATGATTTCTCATCAATCACCTACTCGGAAAATCAACCTGCCGACCTGCCGAACCGTGTATCCAACCTATCAGCATGGAAGGTCACTCCGTCAAGAATGGGTTTGATACGGCAGTACACTTTTCCCACTTTCAATTCCGCCTGGCGGTTCATGTCTCTTGTAGCGGATGAATGCAAGGCGAAGCGACACCATCCGTCATGGCATAACCTTTACAATCAGGTCACTGTGGAATGGACTACGCACAAACCCCAGGGTCTGAGCATCAAAGACGTTGAAATGGCTGAATTCTGTGACCGAACCGCCCAGCAAATCGGACTGAAGGAGAACGCTGCGTCGCCAACGGCAAGTACCCCACCGTCGTCATGAGGGTTAATCCATCATTGCAGTAATATGCGGAAAAACGGCGCGTGGAGAATATCAGCCTTTTTCTCCGTCGGACGTCCTTTTGCCAGCGTCAGTCTGCCTTGGGTTGAGGAGCAGATCGTTAGTTCCCTGGACCTGCTGCGACGCTTGGTTCCTGTCCTACGGAATGGATCATCTAGCTCGTGCCGTTGCTTACCACTCCATCCGCTTGTAAACTAGTACGGCTACTATCAACTATCTTTCTGTATATCATTAAGGCATCATCGCTTTGGGTACCACGACATTCGTCCTGATACGCGATCCATTCCACGCATCCAACTATAACTCAACCGTACGCATTTCACGGTATTTTCGTCAAAGGAGAACCGGCTCAACACACTCGCCACATTTTCACTGCTCGATTGGAGTTGCAACACAGACCTGGATTGTGAACCATGTTATTTAGAAGTCATACCGTTCCGGTATGAGTAATCATAGCTCGATCTTGGTTCATCACACGGCGTTGAGCTTCGCTGGACACGATCTCCTCCACCTTTTTGTCGTGATTAGGATGCAACACAACGCGGCATTCGCATTCTCTACAAATAGGCAAATGATCCTATCTGCTGACTCGTTATCGTGCCATTGCCAAGTTACGCCCGAGATCCCGATCTCAGTTGACATCAGGATACGATTTATTTAGTATGTCACCGACTATGCTCCCATACAACACCGCGGGGTCTGATCCACGCCAACCTGAGTTAGAGGATGCTTGATTAGTATTTTGCTATTTCGGCTGACAGTGTAGTGGAGACATTTAGTCATCGGCCTGGGTTGAGCAACATTTCGAAATCGCCGAAAAACACACACTTTCCAGGGCAGTGCGATACCATCGGGTCAATGTCATGAGTTTGGAGTAGCGGACTTGTGCAATTGTTTCTTACTGCAAAGTGTTCTTCTCCGCCGGAGACAAATGCGAGTATGAAATGCAATGTCCCAGGCGGATACAAGTTCATGTATGAGTATAGTCATATTGTAACTGGTCTGATTTCAAAAACTGGATTTTACATCGGTACTGACGCTGACAAGGTCTCGATACCAGTATCTCATGAGCGGCCAGTTGCTGTGTCTAGAGGAGCTCTCAAAACAATAATGTCCATCTGAAGACTAGGGCAATGTGGTTGGCTAGGAGTTATTAGTTAGTTGCGCTTAGTAGCCCTTTGAAATGTCATGATATTGTCAAAAATAGCTGCAAGCACTATTCTACATCCTGAGATTCGATAGGATCAATACATCTTCGAGAGGCTCTGGGAACGGTTCGCATCCTCCCTATATTTTCTTTTCCTTGGCAACATTGAGTGTCTCATAAAGGCCTAGCCCGTCTCGAGTGGCGATATCTGCGGGCTTTCTTTCATGTCGCAGGACCAGGTCGAAAAGTCAAAAAGAACTATTTGAATTCAGCACAGTACGATCACAAAAGGTGTCTCAGCGAAACCGAGATATGTACGGAGTAGACAAACGAAAATACACAGTACCACTCAGGTACTTGATATTGCTGTGCCACCAGGTACCTCGCATATACGCTATACGCTATGCGCGGAACTTTGCCATCGCCCTCGTCACTAATCCGTCCCGAGGTCGCCACCCAGGTCCACAGCCTCATCCGCTCCGGAAGCCACACATCCGAATGGACTGACTTGGTCTTGTTGGTGAGTCGACAGTGACGTGACGCGCGTTCTACCCCAACGACTCCTTTACAGAACGGCACCGGCAGAAATTGCAAAAATTCACAATCCCTCTCCACAAACGAAAACCATCTGAAAGGCGGTGAGACGGAAGCAGAAAAGATACGCTATGTGATTGGATACGCAGAGTTGGTAACAAAGTCACGTGACCCTCGGAAAGCTCATTTCCTTGAGCCCTAAAGTGGTGTGGTGCTGGGGGGAGTGGATCGTCGGTGCCAACCCTGGGAAATCCGTGCTTTAAACCGCCTCCTGGGTCGCTCAACTCCACTCCTCCTCTCCCTCCTTCACTGCATTTGCGACTCGTCCTGGGGACATACAACGGTCTTTGCAGTCGATTGTACCTTTTCCCTTCCGTCTTTAATTCCACGGTTTCCGACTACCGTCGCTATCACCCGTGCGGAGGACCACAGTCATGATGTACGCGGCCAAAGCTCCAAAAGCTTTTCATCCAGGAACATTCTGCTAATCCGCATTGCTGCAGGAATTCCACGACGATGGCGTCGCCCATGGCGCACGACACGTATTGGGGCTCCTTCGAGGAGATCTCCAAGTACAATGTGTCGCTCAATTACGCCGAGAGGCTCTGGCTCGCCTGGTACACCTTCATGCAGAATGACATCCTGGCGACGGGTATCATGTCGTTTACCATGCACGAGATTGTGTATTTTGGGAGGTCATTACCGTGGATCATCATTGATGCCATTCCGTGGTTCAGGAAGTACAAGATCCAACAAGTAAGTCGCTTTTGGCACGCCATCGCTCATGTACACGCTCAGGAGCTTATCTACCCCTGCGCAGGACAAAATCCCTACCCCCTATGAGCAATGGCAATGCGCCCTCCTTGTCCTCATCTCCCACTTCACTGTCGAGCTCCCTCAGATCTGGCTCTTCCACCCTTTGTGTCAGTACTTCGGGCTCAGCACCTCTGTCCCCTTCCCTAGCCTCTACACCATGGCTTGGCAAATCGCAGTCTTCTTCGTCATGGAAGATACCTGGCACTACTGGATGCACCGCGCCATGCACTGGGGTCCCCTCTACAAGAACATCCACAAGATCCACCACCAGTATTCCGCCCCCTTCGGCCTGGCTGCTGAATACGCCTCCCCCATCGAAGTCATGGTCCTCGGTCTCGGGACCGTCGGTACGCCCATCCTCTTCTGTGCCGTGACCGGCGACCTCCACATCCTGACCATGTACGCTTGGATCTGCCTGCGCCTCTTCCAGGCCATCGATGCGCACAGCGGTTACGAGTTCCCCTGGAGTCTGCACCACTTCCTTCCCTTCTGGGCGGGCGCTGAGCACCACGATGTCCACCACGAGCGCTTTATCGGTAACTACTCCAGCAGCTTCCGGTGGTGGGATTACTTCCTTGATACCGAGGCTGGTCCTGAGGCGGCAAAGAAGAGGCGCGAGAGGAAGCTTGCCAAGGCGAAGAAGGCGCAGTAGACACCATGCTGTGTGCTGCACCACCCCGAAAGTAATTCGCACCAATTTTGAAATGTTTGGGACCCTTCTTCCCTTGAGCTTCCGGAATTGTCGCCCGATCAGCGACCGAGCGAACAAGGACCATGCCTCCTTTCGTGCGTGCCATTTCTTGCATATTTTTGCATTGGACTTTGCCTCGGCTTGTCCACCGTAGGGAGGGTCAAGGACTCGGCGTCTTCTGGTTGCTTTGGTCATGAGGTTAGACGCCATCCTGGCGCTAGATGATAAAGAGAGGCGTAATGGGCGGTAGTGGGATTTTGTACATAGCCTGCCGGAGGGACAGCCGGAGACTGAAGGGAAGCCTCGTATGACACACGCTTTGCATATATTATTTGTAATAATGAAGAAGAACACTTAGTGGCATCATTATGCTTATTTTCGTTGTTGGTTCCTGTCCATGTCATATGTGTTTGCATGGGTATTTGTCGGCTCTCGATGAGACATCAAGATTGACCATGGTACGTAACTCAATCTTACTTGTTTATTGCTGCTTTCGATGATGTACCCCAGATCTCTGACAGCCGGTCAGTTCAGCAACATAGCTCTGGGCTCCTCTGCGATCCAACGAACGCCTTCAGCCAAAGATACATCCATAATGATAATAGAGTATCATTGTATCATTCCACACCCCTTCCCTCCCTGCTATCTACAACTTACTCTTCTCCCCCACGACCCTCACCACCGCCCGTCCATTCGTCAACACCGTCTTCCCGCCCTCGACCCTGACGATAAACCGAATCTCCTCAAACCCCTCACTCCCCACCTTCTCCCCCGTCCTCCATATATCGGTAATAAGCTTCACACCAGGGATAACGGGGCTCGCGAACCGCGCCTGGAACTCCTTCAGATTCCTCGGATCGCTACCTCCAAAGTGCTGCAAGACAGCATGCGCGGCGGTATTCCAGCTGAACAAGCCGTGGATGATGGGGCCCCCGAAACCCATCTGCTTACCGGGTTCGGGCCCCGCGTGCAGCGGGTTGTAATCGCCATTGAGGCGGTACAGCAGCGCCGTCGTGCCCGTCGTCTGCGTCTCTTGCGACGCGTCGGGCTTCCTGTCCTTGGGCGGCGGGTAATTCTGCGTCTTGGGGCCCTTGGGACCGCCCCAGTTGCCCTGCCCGACGTAGAACCCGCTACCTACCGCGCGCGTGTACACCTCGCCCGTCTCCTTGTCGACGAGGCATTGCTCCGTCTCGACGACGGTGCCCGGTTTGCCCTTGTCGTAGACGCCCAGGACTTTGCTGCGGATCTCGAAGGAGCGGCCCGCGGAGGTCGGGGGGATGGGTTTGAGGAACTGGATCTTGCGCTCGCCGTCGAGGACGTGCTTGGTGTCGAATTTGGGGACGCCGGGGATGGGGACGGCGGAGCTGCGGGCGTAGAAGTCGATGACTTCTTGGTCCGTGTGCTTGAAGGGGAGGATGATGGGGTAGGTTGGGAAGGGTTGGAAGTTGGGGTGGAGTTCCTGTAGCTGGTTAGTTTTGGGGGAATGAAAGGGGAGCAAGCTGGGTTGAGGGGAATTGTTTCATGGGCACGAGGGAAATAATGGCCATGTCTGAGTGTTGTACTAGTGAGATACTCACATAGAGGAAATGCAACTCCTCCTCCGTAACCCCAATGCTCGCCGCAAAGAGCAATACGTCCCTCTTCAACCACGACACGGGGATGGGAGGGTACTCGAATCCAACGCCAGGGCCGCTCATTTTGGCTGATGATCGATCTCTTTCGTGGTAAATATTCTTCACAACTTCAATCAAATCTCGAGAATACGGTAGAAAGAGGGAAAGGAACAATCACAGCCTGGTCCTCGCAAATTAAAACCTAGGTACACAGGAAAGCGGGGCGGGAGCCTCGCAACCCGCGAGCTCGCCATGGAGGTTCAGCTCAGTTGCCGAGGTCGATTCGCTGATGTCGCAACGTCGAAGACCCACACTATCCCCGAACAAGAACTAGCGATGCCGGAGACCGACGCCCGGACGCCCGACGTCGCGATGTGAGAGCTGGAGATTGCATAATCTTATCTGATCAAATCCGCGCGGTTTCTCTGGTGAATAGATTGGTCCGGCAGTAGACAAGTATGGAACGCCGCACAAATCGTGTTTTTGAAAAAACTGTTCTGTTTTCCATGTCATCTAATACACCTTATGAAATGTCGGCGACAGCCTTTCAGGGTGTGCTATCCTAAGAGAGAGTTCGTTGATATTTCGATGAAGCAAACGGCCATGCAAGCCTGGATACCAATGAAATGCCTTGTTCGAATGGACTGGTTCCGGAAGGAAATAAAAAAGAAATCCATCATGGCGCGGCGCCGCCTATACTGCGCGCATGGAAGCTTCGCTCTGCTGTACGAGAGAAAGAAAACCAACCATATCATTGCCCAAGGGTGCCTCCTGACCCTCCGAGATACTCCAACAACACCGATGCCCAGAATTGACAGCCCAATCATAACATCCTTCCCATTCATGATGTCGCGGTGAACCGAATATGCCCAAGGAAAAACCGTACAGATGCAGTGAAAAAGCGCCGAACCGACCATGAAATATATACACGAAATCACTGGAACATCCACTGACAATGGCAGGCTTGTGGAGGGTCCCCCCTTTTTTCTAGGCTTACCAGGTTCCTCCGCCTGGGTTGCCCGGATACACTAGTCGCTGTTGGGCTGGGGGAGGGACTGTCAGGGTCCATGAATTCTTGGAGGCTCGGATCTTCCTCGCTGAGGTAGATTCTGATGGGGTCCTGGGCGTCGTCCACCACGGGTACTAAGGTCAGGTTCTCAAGAAGTCGCATTTGCTGGCAATACGGTTTCGGCGATCCGGGCAGACGCCGCTCCTCAATCTTCACGATGCGGGGATAAGGAGTGTATCTTGGGTAAGGAACATCGTCTCTCCGCCTTGGAGGCGCCGAAGCGGGCAGCGGTGTTGCTTGGGACGGGGGAGGTGGGCTAGAAGGGGCTTGGTCGCTAGCCGTTGCAGGCGCAGTTTCGAGGGGAAGAGATGAGCCAGAGGGTATCGGGGGCCAAGCGGTCGGGTAATTTGTGACGGTGGCTGCGGTGGAGTTATCCTCAACATAAATATAGCCCTCGAGATACGTCGAGTTCCAGTAGCAGAACCATGGGGTATCGCCTGGTTGGACCTCGAACCGGTGCCGGAACTGTGCTTTGTCATCGCGTCGTTGTGGGGTTACCAGTGCCGCGCCAGCGGCAAAGTCATTCTGGCCGAGCACGACAATCTTGTCGTACATGGACGCGAAGTGATATGCGGGTCCGTATACTTTGAAGTCTAGGTCGGATACCAGCTGCATGGGCGTGCGAGCGATCGAAGGCGGCTGGATACCATATTGGATGCTTTTGTCTGGACCTGGGAAAGGTGCAATGGAAGCCATGGGACGAATCGATTGACCGGTGCGGTCCGTGGAGTTGATGGTGAGCACCAAGGGAGCAAATGTCAACTTGCAGGACCATGCAGAAAGCTGATTGGCCACTGTTAGACAATTCTTGCTGCTCTCTTGCGCGATTCCCAGAGGCAAGGCAAAAGTCCCAGTAGGGATGGGCGATAACGACGTTGGTGTGGGGATTGGAGTTGCATCAAACAAAGAGATGGTGCCTGTCACTTGTGGCGATCTGTTCCAAGTCAGCAAAATTCAGCGAAAAAAAAAAAGAGTGGATGACTGACGGCTCATCGTAATCTCTCCCCTTGGATCCATAGCTCCCGCCCCTGTTCCTGGCCTTTGCGATAAATGTGCCAATGGCAGCACCCAAGATGGCAGCGAATATCAACAGCAGGAAGAGAACTGCTATCGCCACAACCATCGGAACCCTGCCCCAAAGCCGTTTCTTTCGCCAAGGAGTGGCACCCTTTCCAATCTCCTGCTTTTCCGGAAAGCCACTGTCTGTTGCGGAAAGCGAGGCAGCCGGTGTGGTAGCGGCCTCGACATTAGCGGGTCGCAGTGGGGCGCCGGCATTCTGCGGTTCTTGTGCCTGGGGTGGCAAAGCTTGAACAGGGGAAAGGGGCGCGACGGGTGAAACAGGTGAGGGAGGTAATTCAGGCGACGACGGCGTCGTGACCGCAGCGCTATCCAATACGGCGGCGGGTGCAGCGACGGGCGCAGGAACGGGGGCTACAATGGGTGTTGCACTTGCCTCGGCGGCCAAGGCGGCCTTCGTTGGACCCTCTTCCGGGTAACGGGTGTAAGGAGGTAGTTGTTCGGTGTGGCCATCTGGTCCGATTATGTCTTGTTCTTCGCCATCGGGTCCTATCCGCCTATGGTATCCTGTATTCAGCCCAGGGAAGCCTAAGGGTATGGTGGACTGGACAGGTGGTAGAGCATCCTCCTCGACAACGTTCTGCGGGTACATGCCATAGGGGTGCGTGGGTCCACTTAGTGAGGGTAGCTGGTGTATAGGTCGCTGTGCTGAGGAGGTTGTCACGCTTGAGCTACGCCCCACGGGGTTTTGGGGGTACATGGCATAGGGATGGCTTGGGCCTGAATTGAAAGGACTATCCGAGCTGGTAGCAAAGGAGGTCGTGGAGGTAATGGATACATGGCGTCGCAATGCTTCTGCAGCTTGTGCACTGGCGGTTCTGTTGTGGTGGGGGTCCGGGTGGCCAGAATCCGGTGAAGGCGAGCGTAGTCGGTATGGGGCTTTGATCGCACCGCTTTGTGAAGATACGCTCCCAATGTCATCGTCTGTTACCTGCTCTGTGGGAGTTGACGGCGGTTGACTGGCGGTATGGTCGTGTTGGAGCTCGGGGTCGGCAGCGGTTCTCTCACTAACGCTGGTCGGTCGAAAGCCGTCGGCAATAGGCATGAAGTCATCTTCCTCGGCGTCTAGAGCATACTCATCGGCGAATACATCCTCAGTATTGGCAGAAGGCGAGGGTGTGGGCTCGTCGTGGCTGTCTGTGGTGGGTCGGGCCATGGCGTCTGGGAAGAAGCGGGCAGGCCTCGCGGGCCTGCACACGGGGTAACTGGCAATCCGGCGGCGATTCGGCGCTGTGCTGTACGCTGAATGGCGTGGTATCGATGCGCGGGGACGTCTCGAGGGTGCATGCGCGGGTGGAGGAACGGGTGGGGAGGTCGAGGGATGTGGTGTTTGAGTTGGGTTGAGGATTGAGGGTTGAGGATGGCAGGCTGGGCTGGCTGAATGAGACGGACCAAGGGGGCCCGCACCCCGATCACAAACGGCACTTGGAAGCGCTAGACTAGGGTAGGGCCGGCGCAACACCATTCATATTGACGTCTCAGGACCGAAACACCTTACAAGCAGGCCAACCACTCAGTCAGCGGCGAAGAGATGCCGAAGCCCAGTTTTCGAAGTACGTGCAAAAGATGGGAGAAGTGTTTCTCTTCGTTTGCTGAACTTGCCTATGGCATTTGCCTTTGTTTCCTTCACACCCACGATGGGAGTGCGATGGACTGGGAAATTCAAATAATGCCTGGACCGGCATTTAGCCATGCTGTCCTCTGCAGCCAATATCGAGGCACTCTCGCTCTCCATCGTGTTCCCCAGCTCTTCCAGATGGTTGGCATGCCTCTCTCGCGAGGCCTGCACGCAGTGCCATGTCGAGAGGGCCCAAAGCCCAAAAACCGGCGTTGAGGGGAAGACGAAGCGCTTGAGGGCGTCCAACAAGACGACCAGTTGGTTCCATGGCACCGTGTAGAGCACGGCTCCACGCCTTGCCATGTGGCCATGGATCACAGAGCAATTCAATTGCACGGATAGATTGCCCACAGGTCCCACGCCTGCATTCCCATCGGTTCGCTTACAGAACTTCTCCGCCTCGATCTTTGAGCGCACTTTACACAGTGCGTACTGCTGGTACAGAGACTTGTCGGACTTGATGTCAAATTGGACACATAGTAAAATGCGAGCGAGCGTCACGTCGGCCGGGGCACGCACGTCCAATCGAAGGACGGTCGGTGGTGCCATCACTGCGTCTGCTGTAATTGTGGTCTCCGCATCTAAGATGGGGGATCCCCGGGGCGAGTCAATTCGAGCTGGTTCTGCCGCGCCAGGGAAAGAATGATTCCATCAATACTAGGTTGGACGATGGCTGGTTGTATGACAGAGTGAAGCATTATTAAAGGGTGGGAAGATCGTTGAGGATGCATCCTCCATCCAGCTACTGATAAATGTAAGTACAAACACAGCATACATCTTTGACCATTCGGTAATCATCACTGATCAGCAATGCAGGCCCTAGCGCTCCGCCCTGGCTCCAGCTCTCAACGAAGTCATGTATCTATACCATAGTAAGCCGCTTGTTAGTATAAGTAAAATCGGAGTACTCAACTGAGTAGGGCATTGGAGAAGCACGTGATCAACAAATCGCACTCATGTGCTCCATTCTGCGAATCGGCCGAGTCCCATCCACAGGTGCCTCCGGGATGACACAGAGGAGAACGTTATTCGGTACAGCTTGACTGCGTAGAAGAGTATACTGGGTATATTGAATGCCGCATTTTGTCTCTACGCGAGAGCATGCAGGACAAGCATGCGAGAGCAGTGTGCAACCCGCCAGCGTCCTCCGAGGTCGGACCCATCTTAATCCCTTCATACGTACGAAGTTACGCTCTCACTGTTTTCCAAAGTCGTACGTCCTACCAGCGACCTCATCCGCAAAAGCACCACGCTCCTGTCCAATCACGGAACCTCTCTCCATGTCCCAACGATGAGAATGGTGCAGTCCCAGCAACGGGAAAAGCATGCAAAAGGGCAAACTGGCGCAAGGAGCAAGAATTGGACGCAAGCGCATCAACACACGTGGGAGTCGATCCGAGGCCAGCATCAGGACTACAGACTGAGCCACCCTGTGTCGTAACCATCCGCGTAATCCCACGGCAGGGAGGGCATCAGTACATAGGTATTCTCGTTTTTCCAGATGGTACGGAGTAGATAGAGCTTTGATCGAACTGGGTTGGAATTTCCAGTAAGAGCAGTTCGCCACAAAGGCAGCGCTATCTGTCCCTGAACTAAACCAGATGAGGTAAGGCGATCCACGCGTGCATGTGGCTTTGCATCCAGGCTCTGGTGTGGCGGTAGGTGCCCCTCGGCGGAACATGATTGCGCATTATCGTGGGTGCGAAGACGGCATCCCTACGTAACCCATGAGATGGGCAGAAATGAGATGTAGCAGTCTTGTTCTTGCTGATGCTGAGTGAGGACATGTGCTTGCTCCTCACACTGTCGTTTACATGGAGCGCTTACCATTGTCCTCCAAATTCTTTCAATGTTATACCGGGAGGCGAACACTTTTTTATTTACTCCCGAGAGCCAGAACCCCCCTAGCCGCTGCACACCAGAAAGCCGCCCAAGCCGCTTTTCCTTGAACTGCGAACCTCTCGTCCAATTGCCACGGAAAGATCGCCGCTAGGCCGCAAATTGCCTTTGTCCCTTGCCCTTCAACATCTGCTAGCTACTTAACCAGCGGTGTGCACTAGCACTCTTCCACCACCTGCACTCCTCCCGCACTCCTCCCACACTCCTCCCACACCCTACACCCTTCCCCTCTCCCAACTTCTCAGGAAACTTGCCGCAGCCATGGCTCAACGTCCTTCCAACATCGGTATCAAGGCCATCGAGCTCTACTTCCCCAGCCAGGTTCGTTGCACATCCCCTACCTTTTGCCAGACATTCCCCTTTTCAACCCCCCACTCGTTCCGCCCCTCCCAATGCACATACTCTCCTGACACCTGCTCCAGTGCGTCGATCAGGCTGAGCTCGAGAAGTTCGATGGCGTGTCTCAGGGCAAGTACACCATCGGCCTCGGCCAGACCAAGATGTCCTTCTGCGATGACCGCGAGGGTGAGTCCAACACCCGAAACTGTCTTCTGCCGGGCCCGTTAACCTTTCCACAGACATCTACTCGCTCGCCCTGACGACTCTCTCCACCCTCTTCAAGAAATACAACATCGATCCCAAGTCAATTGGCCGCCTTGAGGTCGGTACCGAGACGCTTCTAGACAAGTCCAAGTCCGTCAAGTCGGTTCTGATGCAGCTGTTCGAGGAATCGGGCAACTACAATGTCGAGGGTGTGGACACGGTGAACGCATGCTACGGTGGCACCAATGCTCTGTTCAACTCGGTCAACTGGATCGAGTCTTCCGCATGGGATGGCCGTGATGCTATTGTCGTTGCTGGAGATATTGCCCTGTACAAGAAGGGCAATGCCCGTCCCACCGGTGGTGCGGGCTGCGTTGCCATGCTCATTGGCCCCGACGCCCCTGTTGCAATCGAGCCCGGTCTGCGTGGATCCTACATCACCCATGCCTACGACTTCTACAAGCCCGATCTTACCAGCGAATACCCCATCGTGGACGGACAGTTCTCTATCCGGTGCTATACCGAGGCTGTGGACGCCTGCTACAAGGCCTACAACCAACGCTCGGCCGTTCTCAAGAGCCAGCAGAACGGCGTCAACGGAAATGGCGTCAATGGTCACTCGGAGGAGCTCGAGACTCCGTTGGACCGCTTTGACTACATGTGCTTCCACGCTCCCACCTGCAAGCTCGTGTCCAAGTCGTACGCTCGCTTGCTCTACAACGATTACCTCGCTGATCCCTCCAACCCCATCTTCGCCGATGTTCCCGCAGAGCTCAAGGATATGGATTATGCTGCGTCGGTCACCGACAAGACTGTCGAGAAAACTTTCATGGGTCTCGCAAAGAAGAGGTTCGCGGCTCGCGTTCACCCAAGCATCCAAGTCCCTACCCAGTGCGGAAACATGTACTGTGGTAGCGTCTACGGAAGTCTGTGCAGCTTGCTTTCCAACATTCCCAACGAAACCGCCCAGGGAAAGCGCATCGGCATGTTCAGCTACGGTAGCGGGCTTGCCAGCTCCATGTTCTCCTTCAAGATCAGGGGAAGTATCGAAGAGTTGCAGAAGAAGATGGATATCCAGAATAGGCTAGACTCGCGCCGTGTGGTTCCCCCAGAGGTGTACGACGAGGTACGTTCTTTGACACTGTTGATATTGTTCTGCGAACACGTGACTGACCCTGACGTAGATGTGCAACCTCCGCGAGAAGGCTCACCTGCAGAAGGATTATACCCCCGTCGGCCAGACCGAAACCCTGTTCCCCGGCACTTACTACCTTACCGGCATTGACAGCATGTTCCGCCGCACCTATGAGATCAAGCAGTAGCCACCTTCTGGATGATAGCCGGCGTTTCCCTCCAATTCTTCTCCCACAGTTTTGCATTTGCAGGAGCCGGTAGCATTCGGTAGTTTGGCTCGTGTTGCCTTGCATTACTCGCCCTTCTTTATCTCGCTTTCAAAACTCCTGAGGCGCGCCTGGAAAGAAGACGGCGGCGCCCAGGGCAATCCTAGACCTGACGATAGACAACGACAGAACTGTACGGAGGATAATAATTACCCCTTCAACCTTGGGGAACTTTGGATGGCCCACGGACTACTGGAGGCAATCGTGGGACCGGTTTCTGGGTTATCTGTGATACTTAATGGTAAATGCGTTCGCTTCGAGCGCTTGTTCAAAATTCTTCATATGCGTTCGTCCAAAGTCCATCTCGCTTCTTGCTAGACTCACTGAAACGAATACGACACTAAAAAGCTCCACTAATCATACGCTTCTTCGTCGTTGCTTAAATCCTTTTTGAAGACATCTCCAACCGCATCCAATCTGCCGTAACCATGCCTGACCATGCTGAAATGCTCATCAAATCAATCCCACTGAACGCCTTATATAAAATGCATATTACCGCCTCTTCGATTACTCCAGGATTCCGTCAATCTCTCCCGGCAACCGTTTCACTCTCCTTTGCTCCCAATTCTCCAGATCCTTTGCTTGCAACCTCTGCGTCGTTGTTAGCACAATCCCTTCATACTCCGTATTCTTCTTGAATCCTCCCAACCCTAACCATATCAAAACCCGCTCTCCTTTCCTCAAGACCAACAAAACCATACAGGACAAACTTACATAATACTCCTCCTTCATATCGACCCTCCGTCTGTTCTTCCCCAAACCCATCGCTTCCTCCACCGACACCTGCTGATTCTTGCGATCGTGGCGTTCGTACCGAAGCGCGGTGGCGGGTGTGAGCATGAAGCTGCCTGCGACAATGGTGCTGATGAAGGGCAGGCCGAAGAGCAGGAAGGGGTGTTTTGTGAGGGCGCGGCGGTATCGGGCGGCGATGGTGTTGGGTAGGGTCGCGGAGAAGGATTTGCGTGCGAAGGGCGACATTGTGTGTGAGAAGCCGCTGCGGCGAGCGAGGGGGTTAGATGGGTAGAGGGCAGCGATGCGGTCGTATGAGCCTGGATTCTGAAGCTGGCTGGAGCTTCCAATATGGAGTGCAGCGTTAGCGGCTTGGCGGTGCGGCGTGACTTCGCGTTTTCTCTGACGCGACTTGGGGACGTGACAAGTTCCCACCAGGTGGGCAGGCATCCATGTCCACGAACCTTCGTCATCGGACGTGCATTCTGGTGAGCTGGCCCTCAATACTGCTCACAAAGCTTGAAGAATACTCCGTTCTAGGGAGACTTCTTGGTTAAAGCATATCTATCCAAATACCACCCCACATACACCTTCTACGGCTTCCGGTATACTCTCTGGAGCTGCTATGTTAAAATAATGCAAACCCCAAACGACTGAATCCACCATGGTCCGCAAAGGCGGAACTTCCACACAGCATCGGCCAGCATCCACATCAGCAAAAGGGAACACGATTCCTCCACCCTCCACCATAGCAGCCCAAATCGTCAACAATGCCACCGCTACCAAGAACTCCACCCTTAAAGGCCAGCCTCAGGACGGAGGAGCCACCACCAAAATCCCCTTCCCAGAACTCCTCCGCGAATTTCTTCGCAATCCCATCATTGACGACCTCGATCCCCAGCTCAACGTGCAATTCATCTCAACCATCGTCGAGGCCGGACTGGATGCTTTGAATCAGGGGAACCCGTTCGCGCTGGAACGGCCGAAGGATTTGGCAAGTGACAGCCTCAGAGCCATTAGGATCAGCATATGGCAGATTCCCCAGCTGTTGCTTAGTACGAGGGCACAGAAAGAGGGGGATGGGGTGGGGACCGAGCCGCCGGTGTTTCTCTGGCTTTTTACGAAGATTCTGGGATTGGTGGATGTGGCGAGGTATGAGGGCTTGCACAGTGAGTTGCGCGAACTGTTGAGTACGTTTTTGAAAGCATTGGGTAGGTCGCAGGGGTTGTGGAAATGGGAGGAGGTGGTTGCGAGGCTGTATAGGGGATGTGTTGACTGTGGGTCTCTCCTGACGACTGTGTCAAGGGTTTCACTGATGAAGTCTAGCGATTTTGTCTACTCTGGAGACGCCCGACATTACACCTACGCTGAGCCCTCAATGCCACATCGTCCTCCCTCCATTAACCAACGTCAGCGATCTCTGGCCGGAAAGCCAGAGCGTTATTGCACTCCCACAAGGCTGTCAGATTACACTTACCTCGCGCTCCAAAGCCATACTCGTTGGCTTAATGCTTGTACAGAGTCTGCTTGATTACAGTGAAGCCCGGCATGAAGGGCAAAGGACTACTGTTGCACCCTTCTTGGATAACTACCTCCCTTGGATTTTGGATAGTTGCCTTACGTTATGGCGGTGCTTTAGGCTGGGAAGGCCTGTCGAGCGCAACACTGTGTACAATGCTATCGAAACCAACTTTATGGATGTCCTGGGGACGGCGACACTGCCTTGTATTCGATCCCGAGATTCTCCATATTCGCTCAAAGCCGCCATTGCGCTTTCAACAAATCTGGCAGACCTCATCCAGTCTTGCACAAAATCTGGGTTCCCAGTGCCGAATCAGACTCGCCTCGCCTCCTTGGTAGTTCGCCTTCGAGAGGCTATTGAAAACCTGGACGGTGGTAGTGGAGGAACTACGGACCGGCGCAGGGATATCAAGAACCTCATTACAGACACTATGGCGCCCGTTATACTAGGAACATGCGAAAATGAAGAGAGATTTGCTTCGTTGGAAAAAGATCTACAGGTATATTCCAATTTCCCTTCTGGCATATCTCGACTAATTCACTACAGCTTGCCTTGTGCCTATGGACCTCGTCCGGAAACTGGCCGGCTCAGGTCATCGAGTTGCGGAGTCTGCTATGTTCCGGTACGAGCGATGTGTTCTCAGATACCACTCTTCAGGGAGAGTGTGCTTCCGTTGTCAGGGCCTTCAAACACCTGAACGTTGCAGATGATGAACCTCCGACTAAGCGGCGGCGCACAACTGATTGGATTCATGACAACGATCATCTCGTACCCTACAAGCAGCTTGTCATGAGGGTGACCGGTAGCACCCAGGAATCGCCTGTCCTTGGCCTCTCTGGACTTCATGAATCCATTTTGTGAGTCATTTTACAGGGGATATGTGGGTGTCTTGTACTTATGAAATCCCAGGGATATCTACAGAGGCAGAGGCGAAGAGCCAAAAGACGAAACAACTGATACCGATATGGTAGATGCTGAACGGGAAGCTGGCGAAGGCAAACCTCTCGACAACGATGGACAGAATTGCGAGCTGATCCAAGCATTGGGAACGCTAGCATGTGCCGGAACTCGATGTTTGCGGCCACTTCAACATGACCGGCCCGCCTCGTGGAAAGATATGGGGTGCGACTTGTGCGATACTTCTCAGCCATGCCAACGGACTGAGCAAGTATTTTGGGACAAGACTACATCCGGCGATGACTGGAAAGATGCGATAGCGGCAATGCTCACCATCATCGGACTGCAGGAATTTCGGGAGTCCGCGAAGCCGCGGATTCACATGGCCCTTGCGATCAGGAGGGTTTTTAATCACATCTCCAATGCTGAGTACCTGAATCTTGAGGACTCTGCTTTGGGTGAATGGCTTCTGTCGTCAATGAGTAGTTCGCTACGGGAGCTGAGGATCGCGGCAGTGTAAGTGTGGCGTGCCACTCTTGGAGTTCTTTTTTTCCTCTACTAAACCTCTTAGGCAAGCTCTCATGGTTTTCCTTCGAACTGACGTTCCTCAGCCTATCAGAGGGAAGAACCGCATGCTGGCGCTTGAATTCTTTGATACTCTGTCAAAGAAAGATACGCTCTCCGTACATGAGACGTTGATCATGGCTTATGGTCAGGCGGCAAGGTAAGACTTGCTCAGCAGTTCAGTCAAATTGTTGCTAATCTGATGCCAAGGGTCTGTGGAGAAGACGAACTTCCCATCATCCTGCTTCAATTGGTCGAGTACCTGGGGCATACCAATGCGTTAATCTGTGCTATGGCCTACAACGAGGTATTCATATAATCCGCCAATTGTTTGTAGGAGACGCCTAACGTCTACAGCTCGCATCCGTCGCAGATGCTTTCAAAAAGAAGCCTGTGGATCTATTACGCCCTTATTGGAGAAGCATCGGGGTCTCGTTGTGTAAAGACCTGCGCAACAAGCCACAGAAAGCGCAACATCTCTCTGACCTCACCGAGCAAAGCGTCACTCACCTGCTATTGTCGACTCAAGCCGACATCCTTCCCTACTTAGTGCTGACAAAACGGAAAGATATCCTGCAGCAAATAGCAACGGCGCGTGGAAGCAGCATTCAGGATGTATGCATCCAGCCGCATAGGCACCTTGCTAATATTCTGGCTCTGCTGCTCTGCCAGCCTGTTTCAGACGTGGAGAAAAGTGCGATGGACGCTTTGGTGGCGGTGTCTCCTGCCTTTGGCGAGAGTGGTTTCGATCTGTCGGATTATGTCAAGTATGAGCCAGTGATGGTAGCCTGCGAGATATTGAAATCTGCCGCCGATCAGCACGAGTCGAAGAAACCACAGGTAAGGCTGTCACTAGCCTGGCTGTTTGCAAATCCAGGATAACAAACAATTACAGTATCATCGCGGCTTTCGTACACTCGTTGCCCTTGCGGACATGAAGAACGGTCAAAGGAAGTCCAGTGGCAAGAAGAAGGCCCTGGAGGCGTTCTTTGAAGTCCACCTTCTAGGCATTATGGCACATTTTTCGGAGATTCTCGACTCGGCTGTTAGTTACCCTGTGGTCGAGAAGAAAAGATGCGTTGGGGCCATCAATGAGATGATCACTATAGCCGGCAATTGTGCTAGCTCAGCGTTGCCCCAGGTGCGTTCCTCCATCAGTGAAGCCAGAGGACTGCTAACAATGTGTAGATTAGGGCTAGTCTTCAGTCGGCCATGGCGGATCCCCAGCTCTGTGATCAGACGTTCTTGGTCTGGTCTGCTCTCCTTGCCGTGTTGGATGAAGAAGACTTGGAGCTCGTTATTGACCAGACCTTTGCCCTGATCGTACAGAACTGGACATGCTTCTCGGAGGAGACCCATGTTGTCGCCAATGAGACACTCATGGGTCTGGTCCATAAGCATAACGCGCTGTTGAGGGAAAGGATCGGCTACATCCCTTCACTGGCTTCGATACCGATGCTGTCAAAACTAGAAGCTGAGCTTTCCCGCCTTAAGGACAAGGTCGACAAGGCCAGCCTTCTCAGCACATTCAGTCAACGACTGAACGACGAGAACGCCATTGTGGTGCGCCATGCTCTCAAAGAACTTGTACGCTTTCTCGAGACGAACCAGAAAATTCTACACCAAGCGGCTGTGTCTCAGAAGCCCTTCCCCGGGCTACCTGCGCTTACTCGCTCCCTCCTGGATGCTTGTGTGCGATTCGCAGAGGACCACCAAGACATCCCTACCCTTTGTGCTCGCTGTCTAGGACAAGTCGGCGGGCTGGACCCATACAAGGTCGAAACCGTGCGCGAGAAGAAGCATATCCTTGTGCTTTCCAATTTCGAGCGTCTCGACGAAGTCATCGATTTCTGCGCGTTCCTGCTCGAGCGCGTTCTCGTTAAAGTCTTTCATTCAACGACCAATTCCAGAACACAGGGCTTTCTGGCCTACGTGATGCAAGAGCTGCTCAGAGCCTGTGGATTTACCACGCTTACTGTTCAGCGGCCGCGAGCTTCGCAGCCGAGTCCCGCGTTGCAGCGATGGATCGAGATTCCTGAAACGGTGAGAAATACATTGACGCCGTTCCTTAGTTCACGGTACACGATCCGTGGGATATCGAATAGTAACGCGCAGGAGTATCCGATCTTCAAAGCTGGGGTCAGCCATTCCGGTTGGCTTCGAGCTTTCGTGTACGATCTGTTGCAGAGTGGGAAGGGGGAGAATGCGCAGATGATATTTACGGCGCTGGCGAGGATTATCAAGGGTCATGATTTGTCTATAGCGACATTCATTCTTCCGTTTGCGGTACTCAACCACATCATTACTGGGGAAGAGAAGCAGACTGCGAAGATTGGGCAAGAGCTGTTGACGGTGCTTCAGGCGGAGAATCAAGTGGAAGATCAGACCGAGGCCTCTACAATCAAGCAATGCAGTGAGGTAAGTGCATTTCGGATTGGGAACTGACAAGTACTGACCTGCCGCAGAATGTCTTCCAAGTTTTGGACTACCTCGCACTCTGGCTCCAGGAGAAGCGCAAAAGCCTGTCCGATGCGAAGCTCATGGCCGGTAAAACCGGCCGTGGTATATCCGAGGAGGAACAAATCAAAGACGTCGCTGCCATCAGTTGCGTCGAGCGTGTCCTTCAACTGATACCTGCAGAGGTGATATCAAGGCGGGCTGTGGAATGCGGGTCCTATGCCCGAGCGCTCTATCACTGGGAGCAGTACTATCGGCAGGAGCGGCAAAAGGCAGAGGATAAGGGGGAGAGTTTCGAAAGCGATGAGCTGATGCAGCATTTGCAGTTGATCTATGCGCAGATCGATGAGCCTGATTGTATTGAGGGGATATCAGCGCACCTGCAGGTCCTGAATCCTGATCAGCAGATCATTGAGCATCGGAAGGCTGGACGGTGGACGGCGGCGCAGAGCTGGTACGAGTTGTCTTTGGCCGAGAAGCCGAATGATGCGGAGACGCAGATAAATCTCTTGACTTGTCTCAAGGAGTCTGGACAATATGGTAAGTTTGATGGGCATGACAGGTTACTCAGAACTAACAGACCTCAGACTCCATCTTGAACTATGTCGACGGTTTTCAGGCCTCCAATTCCTTTTCACCCAGCACACTACCCTTTGCGGCTGAAGCAGCTTGGTCGACGGGCAAATGGGGTCATCTTGAGAGGATGCTAGGATCAGCGTCTGATTCCGGTAACTCCGCTTTGGACTTCAACGTCGGGGTCGGGCGGGCATTACTGGCCTTGCGGGGTAAGCAGCCGCAAGAGTTCAAGACTTTGATTGAAGCTTTGCGCGCGGCAGTGGCGAAGGACTTGTCGCCTACGTCGACTATGTCGCTGCATGCTTGCCATGACAGTCTCGTCAAGCTGCATGTACTCTATGAGATGGAGGCTATTAGTGGTGTTTCGGCGAATCCTGCGACTGATAAGAGCGCCCTCATCGAGACCTTGGATCGGAGACTGGATGTTCTGGGGGCGTACACGTCAGACAAGCAGTATCTTCTCGGCGTGCGGCGTGCTGTCATGCAATTGTCAAGGTTAGCCCCTTACTTTCCCATAATCCTGTTGACATGAAATCTAACATCTCACAGGATCGAGTTCACCAACCTCGACGTTGCCTCAGCATGGTTGACCACGGCGAGGCTCGCACGAAAAGCAGACTTCATGGCTACAGCGTTCACTTCAGTGCTTCATGCTGCGCAACTTGGAGATGACGCTTCAAAGATTGAGTACTCGAAGCTACTCTGGAAAGAAGGCCACCACCGGAAAGCCATCCAAAACCTTCAGGGCGCAATCACGAGCAACGCTTTCCTTAGCCGTGACACGGTGCCGGTCGAAGTCTCCGTCAGCAGGACCATGGAGCATGCGCAAAGCACCAACAAGGTCAAAGCACAAGCTGAGTTACTCCTTGCGAAGTGGCTGGACCGTGCAGGACAGACAAAGGCTCTCGCCTTGAAAGACGCATATGCTTCTGGCATCATGTCGTATCCCAGGTGGGACAAGGGCCACTACTATCTTGGTCGTCACTATGACAAACTTCTCGAGTCGGAAAAAGCTCTCCCAGTCTCTAAGCAAACTAACGCGTATTTTGCTGGGGAGTACAACAAACTTATCATCGAGAACTACGTCAGGTGCGTGGTGTACGGAACCAAGTACTATTACCAGACGATCCCCAAGGTCTTGACCCTATGGCTGGACTTGGGAATGGAAGTAGTGGCAGGGCAACCCAAGGGGCCCAGAGAGAAAGAGATGTACCAACACAAGGTCAAATACCTGGAAGCGATCAATCGACATATCAAGAGATATACGAATGAGCGGATGCCGGCTTATGCTTGGTATACGGCCTTTCCGCAGATCATCACGAGGATCGCGCACCCCAGTGACACGGTGTGGGAGGTGTTGCAAACGATTATCGTGAAGGTAGCGGCGCAGTATCCGCAGCAGGCTTTGTGGAGTCTCTTGCCAGTCACGAAAGCGACGCAACATGACCGTCGAGCGAGAGGCCTTGCAGTATTACAGAAGCTCAAGACGGAGACCGTGAAGAGGAGAACACACGCAGTCGACCTCAACACGCTCATCGTCCACGGCCAACGCCTCACCGACGCCCTCCTCTCCGCCTGCGATCATCCCGTCGAACCTCGCGTCACCCACGTCTCCCTCTCACGCGACCTAGGCTTTAACACAAAGCTCGCCCCTTGCCCCCTCGTCGTGCCTATTGAAGCAACCATGACAGCCTCACTCCCTTCCACCAACGACAGCAAAGTCATCCGGAATCACAACCCCTTCCCCACGGACGCCATCACCATCTCGTCCTTCACCGACGACGTCCTCGTCCTCTCGTCACTCCAACGCCCCCGCAAACTCACCGTCCGCGGCTCCGACGGGCGCTCCTACGGCCTCCTCTGCAAGCCGAAAGACGACCTCCGCAAAGACCAGCGCTTGATGGAGTTCAACGCCGTGATCAACCGCGCCCTTACTCGCGACAACTCCGCCTCCCGCCGTCGCCTCTACATCAAGACATACGGCGTCACGCCGCTGAACGAAGAATGCGGCATCATTGAGTGGGTCGAGGGCCTCAAACCCATGCGCGACATCATCATCCGTCTCTACCGGCAAAAGGGCGTCAACATTGATTACACGGAGATACGAAACCTGCTCGCCGAAGCGTGCTCCGCACCGAACAAATCCCCCATCTTCACCGACGTCATCCTGAAAAAGTTCCCGCCGGTCCTGTACGAATGGTTCATCGAATCCTTCCCCAGCCCGGACTCGTGGTTCGCGGCGCGAACACGCTATACGCGGTCGTGCGCCGTCATGTCCATTGTCGGCCACGTGCTAGGCCTAGGGGATCGGCATGGCGAAAACGTGCTCCTCGAGGAGGGCAACGGCGGGACCTTCCACGTCGACTTCAACTGCCTCTTCGACAAGGGCCTCACGTTTAAGCAGCCGGAGCTCGTGCCCTTCCGCCTCACGCACAACATGGTCGACGCCATGGGCCCGCAGGGGATCGAGGGCGCGTTCCGCACCTCTGCGGAAATCACGTACGCGCTCCTCCGCCAGCACCGGGACACGCTCATCACGATCCTCGAGACGTTTGTGCACGATCCCACGGCGGATTTTCTCTCCGCTGGCGGCGGGGGCGCGAGGAGCCGGAAGAGGCGGGTGGCGGGCGTGCCGGAGACGCCGCAGGAGGTGCTGGAGAGCGTGAGGGGCAAGGTCGAGGGGTTGATGAAGGGGGAGACGGTGCCGTTGAGCGTCGAGGGGTATGTGGATGCGCTCGTGGGCATGGCGAGGGATGAGCGGAATCTGGCGGGCATGTATATTGGGTGGTGTGCTTTTTTCTAGGAGAATATGAATTGACGTGCATGCATCATATTATTGTCTTCGAAGTCAGTTGAGGTTGAATCGGGCTTGTTTGTTTGTCGATTCATGGGGTGTCCATTGCGCCGCTGTGCATGCGACTTTCCGAATCCAAACCTTGTACACTCTTTTTTCTCCTCTTCTTCTTCCCCGAAATTGGAGCCCATACTTCCCGTCAGGCCGTCACTGCCTCGTGGGATTTATTACTCGCGGTACAACATGGCCTATCGGCGCGATACTCTACTGCGGCTGGTAGTTGTCTAGGTGCTTAGCTACCCGATACTAACAAGGTGACTACCTACAGTATTGGGTTATTATTATCATCTAGCGGTCGCGAGACAGACCCTTCTTTTCCATCATTCATGTGCATGGGAAGTATATGCAGTGGTAGTCGACACTGTCATCCATTCCACTCCATTCCCAATCCACCTGTTCCTCAATGTTCGTACTTCATCGTCCGTACAGCTAGCTCTGAGTAGTAAATCAAGGAAAGAAGGGGGAGGACACAGGACGGGTGGGCACATCCGATAAGATAGATATATGCAGAGTTCCATCTCTCAGGTCGTTATCGAATGCACATATATTCACACCCCCTCCAACCTCCCGCTTCCTCATTTCCTGTTCCCCTATGTACACTCCCTTCCCGGTCCTCCATCCTGAAGATAGAAAAACGAAGATATGCATGTGCAATAGATAACCTCCAAAAACCCACCACCACCCTAGCAATTCACCCATTCCCCACCATCAGTCGCAAACCAGAAAAATCCAAATAGCGTGGAAGAAAAACGGTGAAAAAGCCTCCCAAGCAATGCAAATCGAGCCCATCGAAAAACGAGATGGAAACTAACGCTGATCCATCCCGTGACGAGAACAACCTCCCCCCGTTTAATCGCCAACCACGGGCTACACTTTGTCGTCACAGTGCGATGTCGTGAGTCGTGAGCGATGATCGTCCGTGTAGAGCGACTACTGACGGATGGGATGAATGTGATTATAATCCCTTCTCTTTCCTTCCCCTCCCTTCCTTCATTCTTCCGCTTCTGCTTCCGCCTCATTCTCAATGTCTATGCCCCTCGGTAGACCCAATGTCGTCCGTACCGCAACACAATCCTAATGCATAAACATATCTTCAGTCGCGCAAAAACGAGAACCTCCAAATAGAAAGTTCGTGTCTCCAGCAGATTCGAGCGCCAAAGAGGTGCAATCCGGTCCGCCAGCTGCCGTGAAAGTCGCAAGAAAGGGAGGGTTCGCTCAATCTCGTTTCGGAAGTCATCCACCCACTAGAGGCGCATGAGGAGGATGCAACGAGCGTCGGGGCACACTTCTCGCACCCCATTCGGTTCCCCCGCAGGAGAAGGGTATCCAGAAAACAAAAACGTTCTCGCAAGATGCACGCGATGAATCCGGGCTCATGAGAACGGAACAAGTCGACTCGGTGACTCATAAAAATGGCACACTGTCCGAGGGAATAAAATGCAAGGCAGAAAGCACTTTTGAGTCAGCCTCGTTATGACGATGACAACGACGACGACGATGATGCAACAAACAATAGGAAACAGGAGAAAAACCACATCAACAGGAGAAAACCCCTCAAGCCAGAACGAATGCTAAAAGACGACAAGAAGGGATCGTTCGCAGACACGGTGAAACTTCATCATACGTCGAAGTTGCCATGATTGAATATGTCGTCGTTGTTGCTTGGAATGACCCCGCTCATCCGGTCGCCTCGCCCTGCGGGTTTCTCCCATTCTGGGTCGTCTTCCTTGGCGTCTTCGTCCATGCGTTCATTGTCGTCGTGGTGGCGGTCTTTGAAGTGCTGGTCCATGCTGCTTTCATCGACGAAGGTGAAGCCGGCGAAGTTGGCCTGCATCGTGGGCGAGAGCGGGGTGGATGCGGGATTGACGCCCGAGGCCAGAGCGGCGGCGCGTGCGTTGAGGGACCCGTTGCCAGTGAGAGCGTTGGTGAACTCGGGGTCAAAGTTGGATACGTCGAGCTCCGACTTCAACTTGGGCTTGAAGGGCGGGACGACATTCTTCTTAGCCAATGCGTCCCAGTCGATGTCTGCGAAGAAGGGGTGTTCCTTCAGCTCCTGCGCATCGCGCGTGGCTCCCAAGCGGTGTTTGGGATTCCGGTTGAGGAGGCCCTTGACGAAGTTGCGGCCTTCAGTGCTGAGAGCATCCCGAGGGAACCTGACTTTGCCGAATGCGATGTTCTTATACATCTGCTGTGTGTCCTCGGCGTAGAACGGGCTCCATCCGCAACACATTTCGAATACTAGCACACCGAGCGACCAGAAATCGACCATCTTGGTGTATCCATGCTCGTCCAGCAGAACCTCGGGCGCTAGATACTCGGTTGTGCCGCAGAAGGTGTTTGTTGTAGCGTTGTCGGTGAGGTTGGCTTTCGATAGACCAAAATCGCAGAGGGCAATGTGACCGTTGGCGTCCAAAAGGATATTCTCTGGTTTCAGGTCCCGATATACGATGTTGTGCTCATGCAGGTGCTGCAAGGCGAGGATAAGCTCAGCAATGTAGAATTTCGCACGAGCTTCCTTGAAGCGGCCTTCCCGTTGAAGGTGCCAGAAGAGCTCACCCCCCGACATGTAGTCTGTGACCAGGTACAGATCCGTCGGAGTTTGGAACGAAAACTTCAGACCGACGATGAAGGGCGAGTCCGCCATTGCTGTCCGTACTAGGATGTTGCGTTCGCCGAGGGTATGTGCCACCTCTTTCTTCTGGACAATGACCTTCTTGGAGAGAACCTTCATCGCATAGATCCGGCCCGTGTCCCGTTTCCGAACTTGGAAGACCTGGCCGAACGTTCCTTTGCCGATCAACTTGAGGATCTCGAAATCTTCCGGGCCGAAGTGCTTTTTGTCCGTTTTGTGGAAATTGATGCGAAGATGTATCTCTCCCGTGACGCGGTCCTCCTCACCTTCCCGCGGTTCGAGTGTAAACCAGCGAGAATATGGATGCTCGTACTCGACCAGGTTGGGACAGAAGCGGACATGGCCCAAGAATGCTTCTCCGTTTGCCCGGTCATAGACGGAGATGTCGATCTCGGAATGATCGCCAACCACATCGCTAGAACATGTTAGTATGTCCGCAAGGTGCGTCCTGCCAGCATGCTTACAAAACAGCCTCATGCTCCCACTTGGGGTCCGTGACTTTCAGGACACCGTCCTCTCTGGGGTCCGAGCTGATGCCGTTATTGCTACTCTGCCTACTCCGCATCGGTATTGCCATGGGTCTCCCCGAGTCACTGTCTGTCCGCTTTATGTTCATTCCACCGGGCCGCTTCAAACGGCCATTCGTTGCGTCGGGCCTGGGCCCAGCGGATATATCCTCAGCCCATTGGAACTGACACACGACATAGGGATCGATGCTGGGCTTCAGGCCTCTTCCTTCGGTGATGGAAACTGACAGCTTCCCCTTTGGTACACCCACCGAAATCGCCTTCTCCTTCTTCGAAGTGGATGTTGACGAGACGGAGGTACCAGCGGACGGCTGGCCCTCGCGCGATTGGGAACGAGGTGTCTGTGGAGGAGTGGCCTGATTTCGTGGCGATGCGAAATCGCCTTCAGTTAGCTTCCCGGGTTCTCCTTTGGTCTGGGAAGTCGAGGGATGACGCGAGGAAGTACTAGGGTTGGGACTGGGCAGCGGATTCGACGAGGGCAAAGTGCGATCGGAGGCATTTTCTTGCGGCGCGACAACCTGAGCACCCTCGTGTGTAGGAGAAGATGGGGAAGAGGAAGTAGGAGCGGGGGCGGGGCTATCCGAAGACTTGCGACTGGGTAGCAGAGAATCACGAACCTGACCAAAGTAACTGTGAAGAATACCCGGCAGTCGTTTATCCGTGGGATCGGGCCGCGGTGTAGCCGCGCCTGGTGGCGTCGAGGCGTTGGAACCGATCTGATCGTGAGTGTCGTCGTCGTCGTGGGGTCTGCGGGGTGTCAGAAGCGCGTTAGCAGACGGCGCCATGACGAGGAGAATGGAGAAGGTGGTGAGGTGCAGAGCGGAAGGGTTGAGGAGGAGGCGCGAGAGGAGCTGCGGGCAGCGTCGAAGGCGAGAAGAGCGAAGAGGCTGATGCAAGAAAACGATGTGTAACGTTGCTGGACAAGGCCGCGGGAAAAGTCACCACCCTCACCCGCTGGTGGTGGCTAAGCGACGCTTTCACTCTTCCTCTTGGACCCCCTTGCAACGCGTGGTAGACCTCCTGTAAATAGTCGCGCAGGCCGCAGCAGCATCTCACGAGGCAGGATAATAAGTAGGCACACTCAGCTTACCTCTGGTTTATGGTCTGGCGGAGCAGGTCTGCTGCCGTCGGGGTGGCGCCACCGGAGGTAGGCATGGTGGAAGGCAGCCAGTAGGTGGGCAGGAAGCGCTGGAGGGTCGGGACGGCGCTCGACGACTTGGAAGGGAGGGAGCAACGGGGTCGTGAAGATGGCGAATGGCTCTCGGAGGCGCGGGCTACGAGTCGCGGGCGGGATTTTGGTACATGTGCGTCTGCGTCTGCGGCGGGGAGGTGCAGATGGAGTTGCAGTGACCTCTGGGACCTTTGGTGGTGTGTCGGGTTGGGGCTGGGCGACGGGGAAGGCGACGGGGGGTTTAGGACGACCTCGCGCAGCGTCATCATGGGGATACTATATTATGTACTCAGTACCGATGACTGATGAGCACAGCTGGCTGGCTGTCTGTGCCGGCGGCGCGATGCCGAAAAAGACCGGGGCTGCGTCTCAGATGGAGGAAAAACTCTGCGTCTTGCTTTTGGGATCGGCCTTGGTTTCCAGTCTGGCGCCGCCGCGCCGAGCGAAGAGCGTGGAGCTCGCTCGAGGGGGTTGTTGGGCGGATCACGGAAATAGCGGCCTGAGATGCTCCTTTTTGCTGCTGTTGCTGCGGTGGCGGGGTTTCTGGCGGTGAAGGCGTGTCCGGAGACCGCGGAGACCGTCAAGAGCTGGGTTCTGTTGGGAAGAGAGATAGGAGGACCGTGGATAGCAGAATGAGGATGGGAGGCGAATTTTCGGAGGCAGCAGAGGTAGCAAAGGGCAGAGGGCGCAGAGGCAGTATGGATTCGAAAGTTTGGGCGGATTGAGGACCGATAGCCTCGATTGCCCCACGATGCAACAGGGCCACGCGCCTGAGGAAGGTGCGGACCGAAGACAGTGCGAGGGGGGAGCAAGGCTGGGGAGAAAGGCGGATGGAGCAGAGGGTAGAGCAGAGTATACTGTTATTACACAGTAGATGGGGAAAAAAAGCAGTGCGATGCTATCACAGCGTCTACTTGTACACAATACTGTGTAGATAATACCGTAGCTACCACAGGAATTGCACACAGCCTCATTGTCCATATTCCCCTCCCTCTTCTTCTTCCTCCCCCTCGTCACTACTATGTACTACAACGGCGCAATCAACGGCCCTGCTCTGCAACCTGCGGCCCTTCCTTTCCACTCTCCCTCCGCCGTCGTCGAGAGGGCAGATTCCTCGGGGGTGTCTGCCAAGTGCCCTGCTTGTGTGACGTCGTTTCGTACCCACTCTTGCAGCGATCTGATATGACCGTGGGCACCCGGCCGTGCTGTTGGATCTGAATGTATTATTACTTTTGGGTCCCAAAGGACCCCCATGTGGGTAATGCAGACCCTCTACAAATTTCAGGGTCCGCAATTCTCTCAAACGAGGCATGAGAAAAGAAAGGCTCGTTTGGAGGGGCCCAAGGAACTCGTGGGCTGCGGGCGGCATCTTTCCGGCCTGTCCCGAGCGGCGCACATGCAAGCTTTCCACCATTCATCCGTGCCAGACCGCTTCTTCTGGACCCTGATGACGCAGCTTGTGTGACAATCCTGAAAGTTCGGTCTTTGACAGGTGATGGCAGCCACGTGTTGATGCCTTGTGCTAAACAAAGCTTCACTTGCCACAAACAGCGTCGCTGTGAATGAGGAAGAGGGACGAGACCGGAACAAAATGGATACCACACAGTAAATGTTCTCCTAAAGTATGGAAGAACGATCACATCACATGACCTTGTATGCACGTGGCTCGCGGTGAAACGTTTGGCCGGAGGCCGGCCGCCTCACGTCTTTGATATATAGGGCTCCAAGGGCGCAACGGGGAGGATCGCCTCAATACCCCCCAAAACCATGTCAGACCGCGAGTTTGGCGGTAACGACGACCTCTCCTTACCCAAGGGTACGTGTTACGCCAGACAGCTTGTATGCGCTGCGCTAACATCATCCAAAGCGACGGTCCAGAAGATCATAAACGAAATCCTCCAGGGCGACGACTCCGGCGTTAGCTTCGCGAAGGACACACGGGACCTGCTGATCGAGTGCTGCGTTGAATTCATCACCCTCATCTCCTCCGAGGCCAACGAGATCGCCGAAAAGGAAGCGAAGAAGACCATCGCCTGCGAGCATGTGAAGTCAGCCCTAGAGGAGCTCGACTTTGGCGACTATGTCCCAGCTATCCTCGAGGTAGCCGCAGACTACAAGAAGCAACAAGCCGTACGTGCCACGGAACATATCTCCATACTACTCGCGGCCATGTGCTAATACCGGGGCAGAGTCGGGAAAAGAAACAATCCAAGCTAGAGCAGTCGGGCTTGACCGAAGAGGAGCTTCTCCAACAACAGCAGGAGCTCTTCCGCTTAGCGACAGACAAATTCAATGCTGCGCCTTAGCAGCACTTCGATTCATGTTTTCTGATTTCATCTTACGAGGAAAAGGGTTGGGGGCGCGATGGCGTTTCTTGTAGACGGGAGGATCGGTTCTTGGTCGCGTACTATCTCCATGGTGTGCTACATACGGGGGCACTTGGGAGTTCTTCTCGTGATTTCTTGGGAAGAGAATTCCTACCTTGCTCGTTACCAGCAAAATAGCGAATACATGTGGAGTCGACCGCGTTCGTGACGCGCGGTTGGAATGGATGAGGGCGCGCTTCAACGTCCGCTGCTGTCAATACATGTGAGCCATCAGTCTCTATGCCAGAGGAAGCTGCGCAGGCTACTTTCAATGCTAGACTCGGCTTTGCAATGGATCGGACCCAGGAAACACTTCCGACGATGGTTCCAACGAGGCACGGTATCGGAGAAACTTTATTCCCGACAAGAGGACCCAATGACGTTGCCGCCTACGCCCGACCACTTCGGTGCCACTCTTGTTGGACAACGCCGGGAGTACGGCGCGACTCAGACCTGGGTACTCTTCCCTCGCTGCAACAAACAACACCTCACCCTATATCGCCTACCGTTCACGACATATCTTCCCAAATTTACGACATCAAGCATGTCTGGGCTCGAGAAGGCTCTCTTCAACCTCAAGGTGCGCGCGCGCTGCGCCTGCCTCTTCGCGCCCCCGCTAACAGGCTACAGTTCACTACAAAACAACTGAACCGGCAAGCCGCAAAGGCCGGTAAAGATGAGCTGGCAGAGAAGGCGAAACTAGAGAAGGCATGCACACAACTCCCCAGCCGGACATACCAAGACTAATGCCGCCACAGGCCATGAAGGCAGGCCACAACGACATCGCGCGCATATACGCTCAGAATGCCATTCGGAAGCAGAACGAGAAACTCAACTTGTTGCGGTTAGCCTCACGTATCGATGCTGTCAGCAGCAGAGTGCAGACGGCGGTAACAATGCGCCAAGTCACCGGTAGCATGGCAAATGTGGTGCGGGGAATGGATTCTGCGATGAAGTCTATGGACCTGGAAAAGGTATGTATGAAGTGACATGGTGGCAAGGCGCACTTGAGCCTCCCGGGGGAGAACGTAAACTAACTGCAAAATAATCAGATATCTGCCGTTATGGACAAATTCGAGAGTCAGTTTGAAGATCTCGATGTCGCCACAGGATACTACGAGAATGCTACTTCTTCCGCGACGGCGGTGGGTACGCCGCAGGAGGATGTGGACCGGCTCATGGCGCAGGCAGCGGACAAGGCTGGCGTGGAACTTCAAGAGGACCTGCAAGCGGCAACGCCGGCGAAGACGAAGGTTGGCCCGACTGAGCAGGAGGAGGAAGGGTTGAACGAAAGACTGCGCGCCTTGAGGAATTAGGGTGATTTTGGGAGCTCAGATAAGGTCATCTCATGGGTCGTTCTTGGAGTTTAGGGCGCGGGCCGGTCTTTCACGGGGATTTCTATCTTCAATTTCTGGCATGAGAAGGTTATCGATCTCATCATGCATAAACGATCTGCTAGACATGGTTGACAGCATGGGGTTTGGTTTTCTTACGAGTGGTTCCCGCTCGTATAAATAGCTAGGACTATTACTAGCGGGGAAGTACATATTTCATTGATCAACAGTTGCCGCAGAGAATATTCAAACTCGGACTCCGGAAAAGCGAATATTGGAAAGCCCATCATTACCAAGCATGATTCTGTTTGCTATCATAAATGCGCAGTACGCGCGGTGAACTGACATGGACCTGTCACAGAGGCTTGGCAACCTATTGTTCACATTCAGAGCTCCCTATTGTTCACTCCTCCCTGTCCACGTTTCGCGCTTCTCCTCCTTTTCCTACTTTGTGCCAACTGCGCTGCGCACAATTTTGGTTTGCATTCTACCTATCCGTAATCTCCAAGATGTCCGCAGGCGGACAGTCAGCAAATCCAGAGGGGACTTGGGACGAAGAGCGATGCGAAGCGGCAATTGCGCGGCTTGAGCAGCTCCAGGAGCAGGTGCGCATAGCCGCTTCAGCTGCTTTCCACCGCTAACACGTCGCCAGATGGACGCCATGCGGCTTGCCATTCATCGAATAGTCAAACCTTTGACTGCCCCACGCAACAACCCCGACCAGCTATATGCCGCCTACAAGAACGCGGTACTCGGATCACAGAACGAAATCAAAGCGCTTCGAGGGAACTGGCAGAGCCAAGAAACCCAGTCGATTTTCGAGCACACCAAGGAGAGCCTCAGGGCTAACTCGGACCTGAGCGCAGCTGCAAATGTGCCGCAATGGGGCTGGCGGGAAGCGCAGGAAAGACGGCGGAAGGCAGGTAGTCGGAAGCGAAAGGCGGCCGAGATGGAGGACGCGCCCACTAGACTCGACGCAGCGGAGGTCAAACGCATTGTTGAGGAAGCGCAGAGGGAGCATCCTCAGATTCATGTTGAGATGAGGAATGAAGACAATCGCGAGTTGACGGTATACCAGCTCCGCGTCCGCACATGGGAACCATGGACTAACTTCTGAGCAGATACGCTTCGCGGACGGTGCGAAACCTAAGCTTCTCACATCGAATCTGGTCTTTTCTGTGGCTGTCCAGCACCAAGCAAACGGCCAGCACAAATTGGATGCAGAGTGTTTGGGCATGGCACCCGACGCATTTGTGATATCGAGGTGTATTGCGTCACGTCCAAGGGCAAACGACCTTAAGTATCTTTTGGTAGATCGTCCATGTCCACTTGAAATGTACCACTACTGACTGAACTGTAAGGATATGATTGCTGCATATTATACTGTACGCGGAAGCAGTTGCGCAAAATGCAAGGAGCGATTTGATCGCTCCATGCAATCCCCAATGGCTAGACGGAGCTTGCAGACCACCACTGACAGTGGTACTACGGAAACGACCTGGCAAGCTTTCCATGAAAGCTGTCTTTAATTGAAGCTACCACGGGTCCCAAATATCGTCCCAAATATCGTACCTAGCTGGAGGTCGATGCTCTAACCACTCTCCGTTGATGGTTCTAAAGGCGAAAGGGAAAGGTGCCTTCTTGGTCGGCCAGTCATCTTTCCATATGGCATCCGTCATCATCCAGGGATCTGCTTTCCGATACTTCCTCGTCAGAAAGTCATATCTCTCGTCTTCGTCCCGTTTCGCCCAAGGAACCTTCAACGTGCCCCCCATATAGTCCTGGAACCGGTCATCAAGATTGGTGTGGTTCGCCCAGACTTCCCTCCTCTGCCTGTTGTGCATTTTGTCATTCGGGTGGGCGCTGACAGTGACGTGGATGTCCGGCCCTTGGCCCGTCATGATATCCTTGAACCGACCCCATTTGCTTCCATTCCTGCCATCTCTGGGCCATATGAAATGGTAGTACTTCTTCTTCACGCGAACTCTGTTGCCGTTTTGGAACCACCCTGAGGGGATTTGCGAGTTCCCCCGGAAGTACTCCGCCGGTCTCTCGCGGTTAGGAAACTCAGTCCAGGTGTAATTTGGAAAGTCTGGTTTCTTCATTGCTAGAAGCCAACGCGGTTGCCGCCTATGTGCTTGGTTCGGGCGGGACGTCTGGGTTGCAAGAGTCCAAGTGCATGTTAAGGATTTGTCTCTGCGTTTATACCCCTGAGCGTTTGGCCGTACCTTTGCATTTCACAAACGATGAACAGTGAAGCTGAGCTCCTGATTGTGCCTAATGGTCATCTGCCGAGTTTCGTTTGGACAAACTTGTTGTTGGCTTTCTGACCCCTCATATCTTTCTAGATTCATCATATACAATCAGAGTCAAGTCACCGATCAAGCCTCGTGATATCCGTGAAATCTCCTTTGTCCTCTCTTCACCCTCACCTCATGACGCTAGCCCGGACCCGGTAACGCGGCGTTCCTGCATTAAACGCGCGGATAAGGCGCCCGGCACGTCCCCTGCACCCTGCACCTTGCCCAAGCTCTTTCGGGGGAGGAAAACAACATGCTCGCGATCTTCATCTGACTTCCAGCGAACGCACTTCGCAATCAACAACACCCCGTACTCAATCGATCGGGGCGCCCGTCATGTCGCTGTTCGCAAATCTTGGCAAGCCTTCCTCCAGCGCGCCCGCTTCTGGGAGTCTGTTTGGCAGTGCCGCACCGGCGAGCAGCGCACCAGCTTCTGGAGGCCTATTCGGAAGCTTGGGAGGAAATACAGCTCCGGCATCAAATGCACCGGCATCTGGAGGGCTCTTTGGGAGTCTGGGAAGCACGACACAGACTTCGAACGCACCGGCATCTGGAGGACTCTTTGCAAATCTTGGTGCAGCTAAGTCGAGCGCTCCCTCGTCCGGAGGGCTCTTTGGAAGCTTAGGCACCTCCACGAGCGCCCCAGCTTCTGGATCACTGTTTTCCGGTCTCGGTGGTGCGCAATCCAGCACTGCGCCCACGTCAACACAGCCTGCCGCCAGCACTGGGCTGGGCGGATCGCTGTTCGGAGCGTCTACTACGGCAACAAACCAGCAGCAAACGGGCCAGCCCTCACTCTTCTCCACAAGCACAGCACCGCAGCAGCAGCAGCAGCAGCAGCAACCATCAGGAGGTCCGTTGTCGCAGTCTCAAGCAAACGCAAGTCGCTCCGCCCACTTCGATCATCTTCTGGAACGCGGGAGGAAGCGGAATGCTGGGGAAGATGGGCTTACAAACTTTGAGGAGCTGCCAACGTTGCAATTGGGCCTGGGGGATATTGCTAGGAAGGTTCGGAATCTGGGGACCGGGGGCCCATCGGCGGAGAAAGCTCAGGATAGGACTGCGTGAGTTTGAGCTTGTGCGACGTGAGGGCTTGTGCTAATGTTGCGACTGCAGACACTTCCTTCTCTCTGCTTCGGGCGTTAAGCTAGGAAGTACGCTTCGCGACTTGAACCAGTTCAGTTCCCAGGCAGGCCTCAGCACTGCCGGGACGGCTGCGAATCTGTTGGACACCGACGTTGACAGCTACCTCTCGAACCTGCATTCCCAGTCTACATTGGCATTGATCCAAGAGGGCCTCGAACAATCTAAGAGAGACTTCGATAATTTCTTGGAGGAGAATGTCCAGATCGAATGGGATGCTCAGCGTAAGCGCATCTATGAGCACTTCGGCTTGGGTAGACACGAAGAGATGGCTGCTTCGCAGAGCACGTTTGCGAGGACGGCTCGTGGTGCTTTTGGACGATCAACGAGAAAAGGTCGATCCATGGGTCCTGGCGCATCGACGAATCAAGCGTCTTTTGGGGCCTCGCAAGCTGCCCCGGTTCTCGGCTCGGTCAATTCTCCATATGGACAGAGCCGCAACGGCGCGGGTCAGCAGGATAAGGCACTGGGAGGTGGTTATGGAAATGCTCCGGATCGCTTCTTGCGTGAACGACAGGAGAAGTTCGCTGGGAAGGTCCGGGAGCTTAATGTCAAGCGTCAGGAAGAGCAACCGTATCCCTTGCTTCAGTCCTTCTACGAGGTGGAGCGAAGCTCCGAGATTGAGAACCAGGAGCATTTTTTGAATGCGTACAAGGCGCTCATGTCAATCACCGGAGAGGCCGAGTTCCGGACGTCCAACAAGCGTGCCGAACGGTTCTTTGCGCAAGACTACCTCGATGAGAATCCCAACTCTGAACGTAGCATCAATATCCGGAAACGCATTCTGAACGGCTCTCGAGAGTTCCTAGAAAAGAAATTCTTACAGGAGGCTATGGAAGTCATTGCAAAGCAGCCCGGGGAGGCTAGGCCCGGCGGCATCCCGACCGTTATCAACAAGATCAAGGGCTACATCCAGGTCAAGGTCAACTTCAAGGAGTTTGGTGAGACCGAGCACTTTGAGAAGATTGGCGGCGGGGAAGATGAGTTCCCCTGGGTCATCATGTTCTACCTACTCAGGGCTGGCTTGGTCAAGGACGCCGCGGCGTATGTCAAGGAGAAGAAGAACTTCTTCCACAACAAGGACAGGATCTTTGCTGCTGCAATGGCACATTATGCCGAGGATCCAGACCGACGTCTTACTCCAGATCTGCAGCAAAAGGTCGCTCACGTACACGCTCAGCGCAACCGGATCGCGCCGACTAGCGACCCATACCGCACGGCTTGTTACAAGATTGTCGGTCGTTGCGAGATGACCCGTCGCAACCTAGAATCTCTGTCGCAGACCATGGACGACTGGGTATGGCTCCAATTCAACCTGGCAAGAGAAGGCAACCGCGCCGAGGAGAACGCGGGAGAGCTGTTCGGGTTGGACGAGATACGCGCGAGTGTCGACGAGATCGGTCAGCGGCACTTTGCCTCTTCCGCGGAGGCTTCAGGGGGTTACGGGGTATACTTCTACCTTGCGACTCTTGCTGGCATGTTCGAGCAGGCAATCAATTACTTGTATTCGTATAACCATACGACGGCTGTGCATTTTGCGATAGCCTTGGCTTACTATGGCCTTTTGCGAGTGTCGGATTGGAGCAAGGCCGGATCCGAGATTCGTATGTTTTCATCTTCACGGTCTGAGAGACACATGCTAACAGTTCCATGCAGTGACCTTCACGCAGCGCCAACAGCCTGAGCTCAACTTTGGCAGAATCGTAGGCACGTACACGGGAGACTTCCGCATGGCCAGGGCCGACTCCGCGACGGAGTATCTCGTCCTCATCTGCCTCAACGCCGACCTCCCCGGCGACGCAGGCAAAGAACAAGCCAACCTGTGCCACGAAGCCTTGCGCGAGCTCGTCCTCGAAACGCGCGAATTCTCCACCTTGCTAGGCGATGTCAAGGCCAACGGGCACGCGACGCTGGGCCTCATCCAGCAGCGTTTGCAGCTCATCAAGCTCGAGGACGAAAACCAGCTTATCAAGAGTATCACCCAGGAGGCGGCGCGGACCGCTGATGATAACGGCCGCACCAACGACGCAGTCCTGCTCTGCCACTTGGCGGGTGAATATGACCTCGTCGTCGCCATCCTCAATCGCTCCCTCTCGGAAGCGCTGTCCGTCGACCTCGGCCAGGAACCGCTCCGTCTGGAGCCCCTGAAACAGCGACTCCCGGCGCCCGATGCACAACAGAGCCAGAACTCGGATCCAGCGTCCGCGGCGGGAAGTATGCTGGGCACCGACGACCCGATCGAGCTGGCGCGCCGCATCATCGAGTTGTACGATAACAACAGTCTGTGGTGGAGGAGTGTGTCGCGGGGCAATCGGGAGACGCTGGGGACGTTGTTCAGGCTGTGCGAGGTGAGGGCGTGTATCGAGAGGGGCGAGTATATGAAGGCTTTGGACGAAATTTCCACCCTCTCCCTCCTGCCCCTCACGGCCCGCGGCTCCCTCCCCCTGATCCGCAAATCCGCGACACACTTCTCCACACTGCCACCGGAGATCGCGAGGAATATTGGCAACATACTCCTCTGGTGCATCATGTGTTGCTCGCGCCACCGCGAGGTGCTGCTCCAGGGAAGCGCGTTCGTCGTGGATGCCACGAGGCAGCGGTTGGCCGACGAGTTGGCGCAGATGGCGAGGGATCTCATGGTTTTCGCCGGGTTGATACGGTATAAACTTCCCGGGAGGGTGTTTGAGGTGTTGGCTAGGGAGGGGGGTGTTGAGTAGGTGGCCGGGTGTGGAAGGGCTAATGGGATGGGGAGGAGGTAGTGTTTTGAGCGTTACCAAGATGTGTATTTGAGGGATGGTAATGATATTGAGCGGCTTTAGAATTCGGTCTTGATGCTTCCCGGTTGCTTTCATTGGAGTGACTGCATCATTGTTGCCTTTGCCCCTTTCCTTCCTAGTCGGCCCATGAAGTCAAGGGTGAATATTCACCATTGGATTGTCGACAGCATTACAAACACGCACACACTAGTACACAGCACGGCCATCGTCATTCATCATTTCACATTTTTCCTATCTCCACCTCACTCGCTTCCTGAACCACATAAAAGTGTGGAATGATCACGAAAAGTCGCCGATGCAATCAATGATCCATGTTTTATCAGGTGTTATCTTCCACCTGCCGGGTGCTGTCCCAAGTAACCTACTACTATATCATAACCCCCCTTCACTCACAACTGATTGGCGGTGTAGAAGTCGTCCAGCGCCACCTTGACGCGCTTGGCCATGGTCTTCTCGCCCTCGCGGACCCAGACGCGGGGGTCGTAGTACTTCTTGTTGGGCTTGTCGTCGCCGTCGGGGTTGCCGACCTGTGACTTGAGGTATTCGATCTTGTTGGTGACGTACTAGGAGATCCCTATTAGCACCAGGTTCAAGATCTGGATTGTTGCACGTGACTTACATCGCGGACACCCGTGAGGTACGCCCACTGCAGATCGGTATCGAGGTTAACCTTGACGACACCGTAGCTGATGGCCTGACGGAAATCATCGACCGAAGAGCCGGAACCACCGTGGAAGACGAGGAAGACGGGCTTGTCCTCCTTCGCGCCAATCTTCTGCTTGACGTACGCCTGGTGCTTCTCGAGGAGCTCGGGTCGCAGCTTGACGTTGCCGGGCTTGTAGACACCGTGGACGTTGCCGAAGCCAGCGGCAATGCTGAAGTACGGGCTGATCTTGGAGAGGCGGTCGTAGATCTCGTAAATGTCTTCGGGCTGGGTGTAGAGCGAGTTGTTGTCGACGTCCTCGTTGTTGACACCGTCTTCCTCGCCACCAGTGATTCCGATTTCCATCTCGAGCCACTGCTTCATGGGCGCGGCGCGCTCGAGGTACTCTGGAGAGGTATCAGATATGTTCATACCGAAAAAATGCAGAGACGCGTCGCTTACTGGCAGTGGTGGCAATGTTTGACTCCTTGTCCTCCTCGGACAAGTCAATCATGTGCGAAGAGAACAGGGGCTCGCCGTGCTGCTTGAAGTAGGCCTCATCGGCGTCGAGCATGCCATCGAGCCATGGGAGGAGCTTCTTGGCGCAGTGGTCGGTGTGGAGGACGACGGGGATGCCGTATGCGGGAGCAATGGAGCGGATGTAGTGAGCTGCAGCAATGGCACCGGCGATGGAAGCCTTCTGGTCCTTGTTGTCGACACCCTTGCCTAGGAACATTGTCAGCCTTTCTCCTCGTACAATGATCACTTCATCCTTTCCCCTCCTAGCCCAGGCCTGGTGTGACGAATCTGAGCACCGGTGGCTCAATCATGGCTGTGAGGGCCGGGAAAGAGAGGATTGAGATCTCATGAGTCTCTACAGTGATGGGATGATTGAATCACTAACCTGCGAAGCTAGCAGAGAGTCAGTATTTTCTGCGCCCCGTTGCGACTGAGATTCCGAACTTACTAGGCGGCACCACCCTGCGAAGTCTGGAGGATGATGGGGGCATTTGCGTCCCTCGCGGCCTCGAGAGCAGCAACGACGGTAGAGGAAGACGTGACGTTGATGGCGGGAATGGCGAAGCCCTTCTCCTGGGCATAGTTGAACAGCTTCAGGACATCGTCACCGACGATGACGCCCTCCTTGCGGCTCAAGACGTCTTTGACACCCATGCTGAGGATAGAAATCTGATGGATGGGCGAGTGGTTAGTGACTTCGGAGCTCAATTGAAGAAATTTGTTTGCGAATATCGGAGGACGGGATTGCGAGGGGGGAAGTGTTCTGTCTGAGGGTTATGTCAAAGTGGGGGTGTTGCCAAACAGACTTTACCCCACCCCGGGAGCCATCATGAAAAGCAAAGAAGGCACTTACAAGTATCTGAAATAGGGATGGAAGGAGGTGTGTGTTGATGAAATGAGGAGATGAAGAGTGCAGTACGTATCCTATACGGACGGAAGATGGTGTGGGGAGGGCGCTATAAGTAGGAGACTGGCCACAGAGGCTCCGCTTTCACGGCCGCGCGTGAAGTCATTGCCCAGATCCACAGGCTCGGCTGAGGAATGGCTGCGTCACGTTACCTAACAGACATGGCGAAGAGCATCCAGTTACCCGACTCTCTCCGCACTTCCACATTTGAGTTGCCGGATACTGGAACATTCACTTCTTGTGCCTCGGATTTGCACCAATCACCAGGTGCAGAGGATGTTAGTCGACAGAGCTGTTGTGCTTCGGCAGACGGTTTACGATGCACCTTTCATTCCTCGTTTTCCCGAGACCCGTCCCTTGAATGCGTTCAGTATTTCCGACTGTCGTGCCCTATGCACTGTTTGTACAAAATATCTCTACAAGAGGTCGGCCGTTGTCGATGGTTCCATCCCTATACCCTCGGACCGTGGTATCCTCTACTGTATCCCCAAGCTATGTCTTCATTCGTCCGGCTTCCTCTCCCGCACGCGCACTGTGCGGACAATGGGCGCTTCAGCCCCTGGGACCTTGATTTCCACCTTGAATGAACCCAATTGCTTGACACGGCTTCCGTCTCCTTCGGCTGATGGATCCAAGAAGCGTACATCACTGTCTGAGAGGACTACGCGGGCAGCCTCGTCGTTATGCGCCAGTGCGGATTTGACCACAGCGACGACATCTGCGGTCGACACGGATCCGTAAATAGCGTTTGTGAGAGGCTTGGGTTTGCTGGCCATGGCAGCTGCCGTTAGGATGTCTGCCGCGTCCGATGTTCCGTATCGTCGTCCCGTATCGACCTTATCCTGCTCGATCCGCTGCCGCGCAAACTCGATGGTCGGGGGAACGAAGGTCGTCAGAAGCTCCATAGACCGCGCTGGCTAAGATAGGTCAGCACGCTTCAGCCTGAGAGGTGCCATCTCGAAAGGTAGGCGTACACTGAGGAAGTCTAGCTCCACGGGGCGAACGTGGTGCTTCTGTTGGAGAAACTCCGGGTCTATCTCCGGCTCTTCCTGCAGGGCATGTTCGACTCCGAACTCAGGATCGCGACCTATTGTGACTCCCTTCGCCTTCAATTCCTTCAGCGTCGTGACTGGGACGTAGTCGGCAATGCGCTGGGGGAACCATCTGTTGCGCATCCGCCCCGGGTTGAGGCGAATGTAGGAGCCTATTGCGGTTTGAGCCGACGTCTTCCAGGGCGTCCGTTCACTGTACCTGCTCGGCCCCATCTCCGCTTGTCCTTGAGCAGCTTGACTACAATGTACCGCTCTTCCTCCTTTGCTGCCTTGGAGATGCAACGGATTTGCTGCAGGGGCTGCAGCGGCGGCATCTCACCCCAGCGCAGCCGCGTCATTTGACGCGTACATGCCGTGCAGTGCGGAAGCACCGCAGTCCTTCCCAGCGACGCCATGGCCGAAGGCAATTGATGACGTGGATGCGTGGATGTTGAAGAGAAAACAACCCCCCCCAGAGAAATTGAGAATAGATGCGAGCGTTGCGATAGGGTCCGGGCGTCGTGCAGGGATGCGGAGACCAAGCTTCAAAGGCTCGCTCCGTATCACCTGCACGACGAGAGCCGCTAAGAAGTAAGAAGTACATCCGCCCGTTCTGCTCCGAGGCATCATCTATGGATTCGCGGACTGCAAAGCCGCCCGCCGAGTTGCGCCCAAAACAACGAACCCTACCTGTTGGTTGACCCTCGGGGTGCCTGAAATGGCTGCTGTACGACCATCGTCCTCCTCGTTTGCGACTCTCTGTTCTGCCTTACAGCTTGTCCTTTGGTACACAGTACATTAAAACACCGGGCTTGGTCCGGAAGGCTCATTCACGCCATGCCAGACAAGAACCTCACGATTGCTACCTACGCCGCCGGAGCCTCCCTTGCCGCCATAACCCTCGTCTACGTGTTTAGCCCTACCTTTTTCCTGGACAACGAAGCCTCGAGCACCAAGAAAAAGGGCGTTGTCGGCCTCGCCAATGTCGCAAATGACTGCTTCATCAACTCGGTTCTGCAAGCTTTGGCAGGCCTACCCGATCTGCGAATATACCTGATACGGGAGGTCCATCGGCGCAAGCTCGACGGGCCGCAGGTGTACGAAATCACTCCCGAGGCATTGGAACAGGAGAAAGGGAAAGGAAAGCCTGAGTTGCTGGAAGGTCTGCGGAAGGGTGTGGTTACATATGCGCTGAAGGAGATATTGGATAGCCTAAACGAGAGGCCGTTGCACCGCAAGGTTATTTCTCCGGTGCCATTCATTCGAGCGCTGGAGAGGGCTTTCCACTCACACATCAGCCGGCAGCAGCAGGATGCCCAGGAATTCCTTCAGATCGTGACGGAGCGGTTATGCGACGAGTATCACGCAGGCACGAAGGCCAGGCTACAAGCTCAGAAGCGCGGTATATCTATTACGGCTGGAGATAGCGCCTCGGAGAGGGAAGAGATTGCTGCTCAATTCGGTGTCGCTCCAACGGAGGATACAGATGAAGCTAACGGGGAAGGGGTAGAAGAGTCGGAGAAGCGGGATGGGCACTCTCCGCTATCTGAAGAAGGGTTCCCGTTCGAAGGAAAATATGAATCGCAGATCGAATGCCTCACATGTGGTTTCAAACCGAAGCCATCTGTATCGACGTTCGTTACCCTGACCTTGAATGTACCCCAACAATCCAGCACCTCGCTCAACGCATGTTTCGACGGCATCTTCAAGGTGGAGCACATTGATGACTTCAAATGCGAATACTGCCGCTTACAGCACGCAATCGATTACTATACGAAGCAGCTCCCACGAATATCGCCTTCAGAAGCCAAACGGTTACAGGTCGATATTGACAAGCTGCGGCAGGCGCTTACCGAGGACCCTGAGAAACTTCCCGAGGGCGTCGAGCTCCCTGATGCCAAGTTGGCACCACGTCGTCGAATCGCTCGCCACATGTACATATCATCCTTTCCCAAAGTGCTCGCCATCCACCTGTCGCGCTCCATGTACGCTATCGGGAGCATGTCGCAGAAGAACATGGCCAAGGTTGCATTCCCCGAGACGCTCCCCCTGGGCTCCATACTGGATCGGAGGCAATATAAGCTTCTGGGTATGGTTACCCACAAGGGAAGCCACCAGAGCGGACACTACGAGTCCTTCCGGCGCCAGGTACAGCCTCTACCCTTTTCCACGCCTCACTCCTTCGGCGTGGACGGGGTTTACAGTCGGAGCCGCCCCGCAAGCAGCAGTCCATCCACCACGCAGAGTCCTAGGGTATCGACGCCCAACCTGACCGGTACAGCCGAGCCTCCCCAACCCTCGACGTCAGGCTCAGATTCTCCGTCAGTGGACTCCCTCTCCTCCGAGTCGTCGCGTCCCTCGCGCGTGCCGCCACCCACGTCCGCACCCCGTGATGAGGACGGCCAGCACCTTCCGCTTCCTCGTCCCTCTTCTCCGTCCCCTTCTTCACTATCACGAAACAGCAAACCCAAGTCGCTCAAATCCTTCAGAGAAAAAGCCTCGTCTGTTTCCGTTGCCGAAATCCAGCAGCAGCTCAAGGGCCGTCGGCCCAAGCACAAGCACGGCAGTAACCGCTGGTGGCGCATCAGCGACGACAAGGTCAAGGAGAGCAAGACGAGCGAGGTGCTGTCAATGGAGAAGGATGTGTATCTGCTGTTTTATGAGCTGGAGCGGTAGCAATCATTTCTGCAGTGCAACAAAGAAGAAAAACCCTAGAGCATTGAACTTGGAGCATACGGTATTCATGAGTACATGACTCCATTTGAAAGTGGATTGTTTGGTTATGTTAATGTTTGCAGGGTCGGCGTTTCCTGTATATGCTTGGTGAGAGGCCTATAGCTATCTGAAGTGCATGTGTTTAGACATAGATGTAGACGCCCGCTCGTAGCGGGACTTCAAAACGAATTGAGTGGAATTTCAAACTATATGAAGGGGTTCGGGCTTTTCGCAATGTCTCCTTTCCAAGTGGTCTTACTGTGTACATATTGCCAATGTCGACGAGTGATTGGTGCCCCGCCCACGCCTAATGTAATCAAGTAACCTCAGGCACACTTACAGAAGAACAACCACCCCGCTTTACCAGGTACAGGTCTTTGATCGGCCACGCACAGCCACGGTTGAATGTAACGATCTTCCTGCGTTGATGCTACCGTAGCTCACCGGTCAAGATAGCAACAAGAACAGCTGACGTTGATCCTTTGGATGCATATGGATGCCTTGGTAGGCAGAAGGCGAAGATTTAACGCTGAACTGCTCGCTCGCGTTGCAGTTCGAACGTGTTTGCCTCAAGAGCACTTGGATATCGAAAAGGACTTGGGTTGTGCACGTACATGTACGAAGGTGTACGAGTGATACAAGAGATAGATATAGAGATTACACCTAGCATCAAGCGAGGACGGACATCCTACCTACCATCACCCATCGCCTCCTCAAAATTCCAGGCCAACATATAAAGTAAAGACACCAACGCGCAAAAGCCCTCGACGCCCTCCAAAGAGTCAAAAGACAAGAAGCTCAAAGCCAGCATGACGACTTCCTCTCCCAACAACCAATCCAACATGTTGAATCCCAACAAACCGCCCAGCAGCGACACTCCACTAGACAACCTCAACACCACCACCTTCCTCCAAGCCCAACCAAAGCAGCACCTCTCCTCCCCACCCCGCATCCTCATCATCGGCGCCGGCTCCCGCGGCACGGCCTACGCGGCCGCCGCCCTCCGCACGACCAACAGCACCATCGCGGCCGTGTGCGAGCCCGTGGCGTACAAGCGCCGCCTGTTCGGGGAGCGCTTCATCTGGGGCGCGGGCAACGAGGCGTTGCCCCATCAAGCGTTCGCGTCGTGGGAGGACTGGGTTGCGTACGAGGTCGATCGCAGGGAGCGGGCTGCACGGGGGGAGGGGGAGGGGGAAGCGGTGGAGAGGGGTGTAGATGTCGTGTTTGTGTGTGTGCTGGATGAGATGCATGAGGGGGTTGTGTGTGGGATTGCTGGGGCGGGGCTGGAGGTGCATGTTTGTGTGGAGAAGCCTTTGGGGACGAGGTTGGAGGCGTGTCTGAGGATGTATAGGGCTTTGGGGGGTGGGTGTGAGAAGAAGAAGGAAAAGGAAAAGGAGACGGTGTTTGGGATTTGCCATGTGTTGAGGTATTCGCCGCATAATATGCTGTTGAGGCATCTGGTGCTCGAGGAGGAGGTGGTTGGGGACGTGTTGAGCTTGGAGCATACGGAGCCCGTGGGGTGGTGGCATTTTTCGCATTCGTATGTGAGGTATGTTCTTCGTTCTTTTGCCTTTCCACTCTGGAGATTTCAACTGCACAGTTCTAACTAATGGAAGGGGAAACTGGCGCAAGGAGTCGACGACGGCGCCCTCGCTGCTGACAAAATCGTGTCACGACATCGACTTCATCCTCTGGCTGCTCTGCTCGCCGCCTCGGAAAAGCAACAACACAGCACCGCACCTACCGTCCCATCTCACATCAACAGGCTCACGGACCTTCTTCAGGAAAGAAAGAAAGCCAAAGGCGGCAGGCGACGCGACCAACTGTCTGTCATGCGCCCACGAGCCCGAGTGTCAGTACAGCGCAACAAAGATCTACCTGGACCGACACCTCAAGCAGGGCAGGACAGGCTGGCCCGTCAAGATAGTCAACCCGGAGATTGAAGAATGCTACAGGACGGCGGGCCTAGAAGCCGCGAGCAACAAGCTGCTGGGGAGTCTGAAGGAGGACTGGTCGGCGGAGACGCCCGTGTCTGAAGTTGAGGCGCGGCCGTGGTTTGGTCGCTGCGTTTGGGAGGCAGACAATGACGTTTGCGACGACCAGACGGTGACGATTACTTGGGAGGACGACCCAGTCGTCAATCAAGATGGGCATACAGAACTGAAAGGTCGAGGCGCAAAGACGGCACAGTTCCACATGGTGGCCTTCACGGAGAAGATATGCGAACGCAGAGGCAGGATCTATGGAACGAAGGGGGAGATTGAGTACGACAGCGAGACGATCAAGGTGCACGATTTCGCAACGGGGAAGACGAAGATACACGTGCCGCATCAGGCAGGCGGTGGGCACGGGGGAGGGGATGAGGGGCTTGTAAGGCAGTTCCTGCTCGCCGTGGATGCTGTGGATAGCAAGAAGATGTCGGCGGCGGAGGCTCAGCGGCACTTTCTGGGGTGCGATCTGGATGAGGCTTTTCGTAGCCATGCAGCCGTGTTTGCGGCTGAAGAGGCGAGGGTGGAGAGGAAGGTGGTGGATTGGAAGAAGTGGTGGGACGAGAGGGTGGAGTCGCAGTTGTCATTACACGGGCGGCAAGGTCAAGGTGATGAAGCTGGGTCTCCGGTCGGAGGATTGAATTGACAATGAGCCGGGCGCTTGGGAGAACTGTGGGCGTCATCTCTTCCTTCACGATGCATTTTCTTCATTTCGCTCTTTGAGTTGAGGAGTTCATGCTGTGCCTCGTGATGGTAACACAAGTGTTCCACAATGGGGCAATTAACGGCCGATTGTACTTCCGGTTTGAGGTTGGCGTTATCCGGTCTGGGGTATTTTGGGGCTCTGCTGGTGCGACGAATGACGGCTAATTGACCCCTTTCCCGGAGGCTGGGCGGCTACAGACATGAGACGAACCAATGTGAGGCTCAAAGGGTGTCATTTTGCTTCAGCAAACTTTCTTTTTGCGTGCACTGTCTGAGCGAGTGCCTGAGCTCCACGTCGGCGCTTGTGTGGGAGGAGGACATGATGTACTACTCGGTACGCAGCCAATCACAGGGCTCGAGTTAGCAGGCTGAGGTACCACGAAGCGCACAGTGAAGTGGCAGAGCGCCTCGAAAGCGCAGAGGCAGCAGAGCCCAGCGCGTACGGAGAGAGCAGGTCGAAGCAGGTGGGCGACGCCAGAGACCCCGAAAAGACCCAGACTCTCCAAGAACAGAAGCAAAAGAAAACTCTGCAAGACGCGTCCAAACCACAGTTTCCCGTGAGCGATTTTTGGAGCGTGTTGTAGTCGTGTTATACTAAACATCCTCCTCTACGCGTCTACACCGTCTATTATGACTCACTGAACTCTTGCAGAGAAACGAAACGGCCCACGGCTATCCTCGTCCAATCGCCATTCTCATAAAGCCCTGAACCTTTTCATCCTGCAGGCCTTGGCGTACAACGACCCCGGAGCCGAGGATCGCCCGGCCAGCGCATCGGACGGGCGCTAACGAAACCTCAACACCACAGACACGACAGAGACATCGACTCGACACTGATTCGTTCCCCCCTCCCCCGTCCCGCCTCTTCAAACTGCCGCCCGTCAACCTGCCCTCCGCTTGTTCCACCGCTTTTTGCGGCAAGAAAGACAGTCGGCGCCGTCGAATCCGGTTTCACCTATCCGCCCGCAGCCCCCATGTGGGAGAGCGCCTCGCCTTGTACTCTGTACGGTGCCGCCTCTGTTGTCTGTACATACTGCGTGCTACCCACGTCCCCGGCAGAAAATAGAAGCCCTCGGATGCTAGACAGCTTGTTCTGACCGTACTCGCCCATCTGCCACCATGTTTCAGCCGCCTACTTGTGCAGTACCCGGGAAGCCGCTGCTCCAGAATCCTGTCCCCACAACCATGCCCACCTATGTACACCGCCGCCAGTTCTCCGGGCCTCTGTTCTACGGCCCTCGATGAATCGTGTTTCAGAATGTTTTAGCGCCGCCTTGCGTTTCAATCCACATGCCCTCCACTGGTTCTCGCGTCTTCGATGCCGCCGAGTACAAGTAGACGTTGCTTCGCCGCACATCCAACCCTTCCTCTCCAGCCTTCTTTAGCTCTGCTCTGCCTCAACCACCTGGGTCGAGTTCCTCTTCTCTTCCCTTTTTCCCTTTTCTTTTCCTTTCCCTGTGTCTTAGACCTCATCTGGAGCCGGGCTCCGCTAATCCATATTCCTAATCCCCGCCTGCTCCATTCTTCCCATTCACTGCGTAAGTAATTGGATACCCTTGCTTCTCCCTCTTCCAACACCTTCTCATTCCTTTCAGTCTGGCAGCAGCTTCTCCATTCACCATGTACAACCGTCATACCACTCCGCCCTCTGCCTCCTTTGCCTACTTCCCTGGCAGTGTTGGCTCCTCGGTCGACGGCGCATACTACTCCAACAACTCGTCGCCAGACTCCGTCGCCACGGCCAACACGACCCCCCCACGCTCGCCCATCAGGCAGACGGGCCCTCTCCTCCTCCCCAAGGTCCGCACCCAGGACCAGATCGCCGAACCCGTCGCTGCTCCAGGAGGGCCAGTTCGACATCGCCGGACGACGTCGAGCTCCAGCATCGGCTATGCCACCACCTTTAATCCCTACTCGCGCCCAAACTACATGGTCCGCCGTGGTTCCAGCCCCTTTGCCACTCACAACCACAGCGCCCTGACCTCGCCCGTGTCCACCTGCTCCTACGACCTGGGCTTGACCACGTCCACCCTCAACTCGCCCATCTCCTTCACTGCCCCAGAGGGTCGCCGTTCCTCGTACGCGCCCCACGTACGCTCCCGCTCGACCTCGGCGGTTAGAGGACATTCTCGCTCCGGCTCTGCAGGCAGCATCGACGAGTCCGTCCTCGCTCGCTACGGCTACCCCACCTACCGCACCGTCCCCGGCTTCGTCTCGCCGGCTGCCGTGCAGCCCGACCTGAGCGTCGTCACCGCCCTTCCAACCGCCTACTCCCAGGTCCAGGAAGTATCTCACTATGCCACCACGACTACTACCGCCCAAGACTTTAATTTCGCCGACAACTTTGCCGATTTCGATCCCGCCCCTGCAGTCCAGTACCCCGTGGCCGACCTCAGCGGCTTTGAGACGCCGACCTCGTCCCTCCTCGACTACCTCACCTCGCCCAACCCCTCTCCTGCCTTGGTCCGCCGCATTTCCAACATCCCTCGTGGCGTGCACACGCACTTTTGGTGGGACGTCCGCAACCTCCGCTCATGGACCTCCTTCAACGTTTCCACGATTGCCAGTCTTGATTCGGTCCTGCCCCTGTTGGAAATTCCAGTCCCAACCTCCAGCCTGCCCACACCGGCACGCACCAATCTTCAACCGGAGACCGAGTCGCAACTCCACGACATCTACACCACGTACCATGGCACCAAGCTCAACGCTGCCCTGGCCGTCGCCCAAGGCCCCTCGCACATCTCCATGCGCGCCAACAAGCAGACCCCCGGCGCCCGCCCCGTCCCGGATTTCGTCTCCCGCTACGAGCACTCCGACTTTGAAAAGACGCTCTTCGGGGAGCAGCGGGGCCGCGTCGTCGGGCTCGTCAAGTGCTACGATCAGTGGAACACGGGCATGCGCGGCGAAGCTCCCCCCAAACAGGTCCTGTATCTCCAGGGCCTGGCGCACCTGCAGCGCGTGATGCGCGAGCACGGATGCCGCTACGGCTTCATCATCACCGAGATTGAGCTGCTCTGCGTCCGGGCGGGCGGCCCCACCACTTCAACCCACCTCGACGCCACGACGGTGAATGCGCAGGCGGGCGTCCCCATCTTCGGATACCTCGAGGTCAGCGCGCCCATCCGCCTGTCGACGCACGGCCGCGACCCATCGGACCCGTCGCAGCTGCAGATGACGGCGGGCCTGGCGCTGTGGTACCTGCACATGCTGGCCAAGGAGAAGCCCTTTTCGGGCATCGAGGATACGTGGCGCATGGATGTCGGGGGCCCCGCGGCGCTGACGAGGCAGAATGTCGTCGAGAGGGATGCGTGGATGCCCAAACCGAATCTGAGCGAGAAGCGTGAGGCCAAGCGCGTGAGGGGGTGGGTCATGCCCGAGGAGGGGTTGAGCAAGAGGGAAGTGGGGAGGGGGAAGAAGCGGTAGGGGAGGAGGATGAGAGAAGAAGAAGTAATGAGCGGAGGAAGATGTAATGGGAGGGAACAGAGTAATGGGAAGAAGGGGTGGAAAAGAGGAGTTCGTCTGGTACGGCTTCCTCGTCTGTTTTCTTTTCTTGTTCTTCTTCTTGGTGAGGCTTCTTGCATGGCATTGTCGCATGGTCGGCAGCCCTTTTTTGCATTTTTTCTGCGTTTTTGCATAGCATGGCTGGGTATAGCATCACCAGGCGTTGGTTATTTTTTTTTTATCTTTGCGCTTCTTCGAACAAGTAAGTAGCCTGCATATCCATCCATATCTGTGGAGAGGTTCAAAAGGGAGCAGCAGATAGTAAAAGAAGAATAAAATGATCTACAAAGTTTAAAAAAAAGTACAAAAACGTCTTCCGTCCGTCTCGCCTCAACACCAATAACCCCCTTCCTCAACCACCATAGAATTAGGATTAGGAATCAGGTATGAAGCTGAATCGACCACCACCACCAACCAGACATATTATGCTTGCAGATTCAACGCCGACGTGACGCATGCACCCAATGTATTAAACAGAATGGTAATGGTGAGCGTACCGTCATTGCTTTCGATTTCACTACTCTATATGGATTACTTGCTGTATACATTATCCCCCAGGTCGTAAGCGGTGAATTTTTGCCCAAATGATGCCTGCATGCGCGTCGGTAATCGTAGCGCCCTGGAAGCGAAGAGGCCTGGCTATTTCACAGCTGATTCTCTCGTCTGACGCCTATCTATCCATCCATTTATACTCTAAGATGGGGTGGGGCCAGAGAGAAAAGAGGGAAGGAGGGGCTGTATTGAGCTGACAGAGATGAGTGGTGGTGACAATGTCCATGTGCGGGTGTGTAGTGTAATTTTTATGAGAAGTAGTGGTAGTAGTCAAGAAGTATGGCGGCATTGGTGGCGGTGCTCGCTTGCATTCGAATGAAGTCGCTGGATGGACTGCCATACCTCGTCGGACCGAGAGGTGGTTGTGGAAACCCGTGTTTTAGAAGCGTATGGATATGTACATCTTTCTGGGTGTCCCGCGGATAACGAGGAGTCGTCTGTGGGCATGGACCCGAGGTATGGGCAGGTTCGGATTGACTTCCTGGGACGCATCGAAGCGATATGTCCATGGCTGTGTCCGCGTGGCTTTAGATGGACCTCGTCGACCGCCTCGATGTGCGCGGGTGCTGATGTGTGTCTTGTTCGCGCGGTCTGGTCCCGACCCCACTAGATTTTGAGCTCTTCTGCCCCCTCGAGGCTCTGAGTTGTTCATTTGGTCATTCCGGTGCGCCTGCCATCGATCACCCTTGTGGTGTTAAAATAAAGGCGGAGCGAGCCACTCCCCGGTCGCCCTCGCGCGGGCGGATGCAGTCTCAGGGGCAACGATCTCAGGGTCGACTTCAGTTCTCGCCGCCCTCGTCTGCTCCACGACGTATCCCCAGGTCCAACGCGCAAATGCTCCTACTTCGAGGTAGCAATAGACCGGTATGTCTCTCCAGCGTCGTGATCCTGAGCCCTGGGAATATCTCGCCAAACGTCTGTTGCGGTCGGGCTGGGGTATCTCTAAGAGCAGTGAATACACTCAATCGTGCCTCCAGTCCCTCTCTTTCAAACCTCCCCATCCCTCACCTCGGGACCCTTACCATCCACCGGAAAAACCGGGCTCAGCGGCGTCACCGGCATCTTGAACGTCTCCCCCTCTCTCTCCCTGGCCTCGCTCGCATACGTCGCGCTCGGCGACGGGATAATCGGCGTCCTATGCGGCACGGGCGTGCTATCCCTCTCCGGTGTCCCCACAAATGCTGCTCCTCCTCCCCCTTCATGTCCCCCAAACCCAAATCCCCCACCACCAGCCGCATGATTCTGCGCCATCAATTTCGCCGCGGGACTCGGACTCTGGCCCTCGCGCCCCTTCCTCCTCGCCACCACCACGTGCTTGGGCAGGCCGACGACCTTCTTGACCAGGGGCCGCAGGAATGGGATCGACGCCGCGATGATGCCCGCATGCTGCTCGACCTGGCCCCAGATGAGCAGGTCGGCCGCGCGCTCGCCCTGCTTCTCGAAGCCGTCGAGGGCCCACTGCTTCAGCACCCACAAGCGCACAGCCGAGGCGGCGATGGCGACGATGCCGATGGAGAAGATGCCGGCGAGACCCAGGCGGCGTTTGAGCGGCATGGACTGCAGGTTGAGGAAGAAGGGGATGGGGAGGAACCAGACCACCAGGTCCGTCAGGAGGTGGAAGCTCGCCGTCGAGAACCAGATGTACAGCGGGTTGTAGCACTGCGTGGGCCACCTTCCGTAGAAGGGCATCATGAAGACGTCGTAGGACCAGGCGTCCGAGGGAGGGTTGCAGACGAGGATGGAGGCGATGAACATGCCGATGCTGCATGAGATGACGACGATGAGGAGGATCTTTACGAGGAGGTGGAAGGATTTGCGGACGCTGGTGATGTACTTGTAGAAGAGGAGGATGGAGATTTTGATGAGGCAGAGGTTGAGGATGTAGAAGAGGCGGTAGACCCAGAAGCTGAGGAGGTTGCCAACGACGACAACCATGTAGCTCTGTTCGCTCTACACGCAGAAGAATGACGCGTTAGCTAGAGAGAGGTGGGGGAGGGAGGTAGAGGGAAGGAGGCGGAGGCGTACGTTGACTTTGCTGTAGTCCATGAAGTGGATCTGATAGTAGTTGGTGACGGTGGTGCCCCAGGTGCTGAGCTAGGAAGTGTGAGCAATACCCTGTGATGAAGAGAACGAACTCTGTCTTCCCGACTCACCAGAGCGAACAACATCACCCAATCCGAAGGGCTGAGCTTCCGGAGCAGCCCATATCGGCAGTAGAAGCTAGAAAATGGTGAGCCACGCCGCCTCGGTTTCGCATGTACATGATTGCAATTCACATACCGCAATGCAACAACCACCGTTGATAGACTCGTCAGTGTAAAGGCAAGCACCACGGCCAACCTGGCATGGACGGCCGCCATCCTCGGGCGTCTCACCAGCTGCTGCAGACAGCTCAGACGCTGCGCCCTAGGTCCGATCTCTCATCGGAGTGTCGCTTGAAGACGACAAGATACGACCAAGACTGGCGGAACTGAACCTGCAGATAACGGGCAAAAGAAGGTAGCGGGCCTGGCACCATGCATATGTACGTTCGGCGGTCTCGCCAGCTCTCACAGACTCTGATGATGAGTACGAACGGAAAGACAGGTCCGAACGGAGGCAGGCGTCGTGCGGAGGCGAGCAAATCAACCACGCGAGTCAGAAGTCCGGGCGAGCTTGCGAGCGGGCCGTTAAAGTGTGTTGTCGAACCCTGAGTTCGAGTCTCGCATGAAGGGGGAACGACGCCTTTTTCATCAAACGTGCAACAAATCCCCGAAGGATAGGAGAGAAAGTCGATCTTCATTCCTTCCCCACAAAACCCAAGGGGAAGGGAGGTGATTTGAATACTGGTACTTACGTGAACGAGTCCCGGCTCCCGGCAAACGCCCCCCATGCCAGCTTTTCCCTGTGCCTTTTTCCCCGCATTGGATCAGTTGTTGCCCAGGAGTACATTCAACAAATGTGATCCCGCCTGGTCTCCACGGACGCGTATTGGACCCTGGGAGCTGGGTAAAATCAATGTCGTTCCCCGTCCAATAATAACAATACCTACTCTGCTGTGAACAGAGGCATTGCATGTGCATGGCATGGCAATCCAAGGTGATCCTGGAATATATCGGTGGATTGTATACGAATTGGCGCCGCGCATGGAGAAATACCGAGCCTGCCAAGACTAGGGGTTTCAGCCGCCGTGGAGCTTGAAAAGGGGACGAAACCGTTTTTGGAATCAGCGACGATGGGGCCTTCCTTTCTGATTCGCCTGCCAACGGTCGAGGCTTCCGCGTGGCATTCGGAACGGTAAACGAGAGGGAAAGTTCCTGCTGTTGGATGTCCTCTTCGGTTTTTGGCGAAGAAGGTGTACGGAGTACTCCGTACCATTACTCCGTACAGAGTACACAGTACCGTTGGGTTGCGTATGCGGCGCTCGTAGCGATGGAGATAGCACTCAGTGCTTCTCTCGTCTGGAATCTCAAGAAGATGAAAAGTCGCATCAACCACGCCATCAAGTGCATCACCAACCAGCCACCCATCCCCTCACCACGGCCTTGGACCCCCTTCATGGAAACGTGAGCGCGAAAAGATCCGAGCGGCCACACGGCCACACGGATGGTGGGCCGACGCCGGATTGCGATGCCATGGTGGGGCCGAGTTGGGTTGGAACTTGTTCTGGGAGATGGATTTGCACATGGTGAGGTTATCCTGGCGATGATGGGGTAAGGGGGAGGAGCAGTACTGTGCAGTACTCCGTAGAGCATGACAAGATATCGAATCTCGAATACTCCGTATATACTCTTAACTTGTACCCAAAGAAAGTAAAGAATTCTCTCTTTCTACTCCTCTCTGCTCCCCTCTGTTCCTGTTCTTACAACGGCCGCCATCCCAATCCAGCTGGCCTCCCCCCGTACCCGTCCCTGAACCATCCCCACCAAGGTGCCGCGCTTGGACCTCAATTTCCGATCCTGGGAAACCTTATTTTTCTTCCTCCTGACATGGTCGTCCATCATCATGCTATGGACGATCTCGAGGGAGAAGACGACGTCAGCGCTTCATCATCATACTTCTTTCTGTTACTGTGGCCCCCTGGATCTGGTTTCTGCGATGAATGGATGATGTTAATGTGGAGATACCTATCCACGAGCATTGAAGTCGAATACGGTCAAAGATACTCCGTAGATAATCTTGCATGTGTAACTCCAGAAAACTATATATCATGCATCTCCATCCGTTCAAGAATCATTCAGCCACTGCTCGCTTAGACATAGTAGACATGGACAATCACCCCTAATATCGCAGCGGATAGACCTACGATTAGAAAATCTCCGCCACATCACAAGCTCAGAAGACATACCGCTACGGGAAGAAACAGAGACGCATCCATATCCTACAAATATGCACAGCACTACCGCGTTCAGTAAAAGTGAAAAAAGGACTCCACTCCCACTCCCCACTCCCCTGACAAACTACAAAGTGCACCTACATAAAAGAAGCGCCAGCCTCCCTTCCAAATCCAGTCCAGACCATTCCCATCCAGCCCAGCCCAGACGAAATGCTATGCTACATGGAGGAAACCAATTCATCAGTCTTTTCTCTCCAGTCCTCCTTCCACTCCGCTCCATTCATTCACCAGGAAAGAATATAGAATTTTGCCCACCCGTCCGACGCCATGCCTTCACGGAATTTTGCAAAGTACTAGGGCCAGACAAGAAAGGGAGCCTTGAACCCAGAATCGACTCCCAAAGACATTAAGTAGCAAGGTAACAAAATAAGGAAGCTCCGTGCAATGCAGTAAAGCCTCTAGACCCTTTAGACCCGGTACGCACGCAAATGCATTCGACAAGTGAGCAAACAAAAACGTGGTGTGTGACATGTCGTGCGCCCTGGTGCTTCTCCCTCGGGCATCTCAGAATAGTGGTAGGATAACGCTCGATGATCTAGGCCATCGGCCGAGGGCTCTGTTGAGCCATGGCACGAGCATCGGCGAACAGTGCACTCATCAATCGCTCGACCTGTTACCATCGCTCCGTTAGCATTTTCCCCCGCCATGGCAGCGAATCAAATTCACAAGTACGTACCTCCGGTGCCGCTTTGACAAAGGGCAGGTCCCAGAATCCGTATTGGCGGTTCTTCAATATCTCAAGCAGAGTCACGATGAGGCCCCAAGGGTGAGGGCGATGAACCAAGAGGCGTTCCAACAGCACTCGTACGATGACTTCCTGTATACCTAACGCTTGTGCCTCGTTCTTTGGTGGTCCAAATAGATGGAGAAGCACATGGCTGAAGTAGTGCGTGTGGGCATTGGGCCAGCGGAGCTGGTTGGCAATGGCGCTGACAAGATGGAACTGGGCCTCGGGGCGGAATTGTTTCGCCAACCTCTCGAACAGCTTCGCCGACGAAGAGTTAGACTCGAAGCTGGGTGTCTTGGAGCTTTGGCTAGCCAGGTCTGCGTTGCAAATGTAGAGAACAAGTGCGTGGATCAGCTTGGGATCGGCCGTTGTGGGGAATTGTTCAAGGCCCGCTGGTTTGGGCTCTGCATAGTAGGTCGCATTGCAGATTCTCTCAACGTCCTCATTCGACGGCTCAGACGCTCGTAATACGTCGTCCACATGTTGTTTCATACCGGCCTCCGTCAGCATACGATCAACATCTGCCCTGATGACGGGAAGAGCGCGAACATCCTCCAGGCGATCCGTCTTCAGACCGGCCGTAAACGGGTCGGGCATGTCGTGGACAGCTGAAGGATAGGCACTGACGATGAGGTTGCGCACCTGTGTGCTGCGCATCGGTATGCTGTTGCAGAAGCGGAAATGGTAATCGGCCAGAAACTCGGGGAAGTCATGGTGGATGACAAGCAGTACGCGAAGTACGCCACGGTAGAAATTCGTAGCAACAAGAGTCTCCTCACCTGGCCGGATCAGGCGTCCAGTGTATTCAAGAAGTACTTCGATGAGCCGCGCGTACATGTCCCATCGCTGTACCATCGAACCGCTCTCATGGGGGCCATCATCCAGCATCACGGGAATGAAGATGCGATGGGAAATGAGTGTGAGCCATTGATAGGTGAATAGCGGGAAGGCCTGAGGCTGTAAAATTAGGAATGCTTTAGCCATGGCAAGGAACAGCTCTGCTTTGATTGCGGCCATGGGACCTTGCTTCGTCGCCTCGTGCAGCTCGTGGAGAATGGTGGAAAGGAGTCGGAAGTACGCCTTGGGGCTGAACCTCTCGCCACGAGTCTTCTGGTGGTGGTTGAGGACAAAGACGATCAGGACCAGGATGCCATCGAAGTATCGGACCTTGCTCTCCCTCCCAGCTCCTTCCTGCTCACCATGATAGCCGACGAGAAATACGATGAGCTTGGCGAGGGCGTCGACGTGGATAGTAGCGGTGTCGGGGTATCCTGCGCCGTACAAAGTGACCTGCTCGTATGAAGCTACGGAGACGTCGAGACACACTCGCAAGAAGGTGATCGACTTCTCCCTTGTCTCGAGAACATGGTTCTTATGTAACTGGTGAATGAAAGCCACAAGCAACTTCCTAGGCGTATCGGGTAGCGCTAGATGGACCCACTCGCTGAACACATATTCAAGCTGGTCATTATCCTCAGTGGAGGGAGGGGTTAGGGGTTGCTCGGCTGACAACGCCTGCAGCTTGGACATCAGCTGCTTGCCAGAGTCGAAGTCGGTGTCTTCAGCGAGCCAATTCGTGAGTGCGTCAATAGACAACGCGAAGTCAGCGCGCAACGCGCTTGGATTGTCGTTGAACAGAACCTCATCCATCAACGCTGACAGCAGCTCAACGGCAGCGACACGACGCTGCATGATGGCCTTTGCAATCGTTGTGTTGAGACGGTGAATGTCCATGAGCCCAATCTCCAGGAGACTAACCATGACGACAGGGTTGAAGAATCGGTCATCGTCTTGCATGGTACCAAGCCATATCAGCACCTGTCTTGAAGTCTGCGTTGACATCGTGCACAAGTTCATCAACAAGCGCGTCAGGACTTCGACTTCCAGACGGCGGAGCTGTTCGGAGAAGATGTACTGAATAACTTGTAATGCCAACCTCAGAGAGATTGCGTCCACCTCCGGAGAGTATTTGACAGCGGTCACAAGCTCAATGAATGTTTGCTGTATCGAGCTCCCTTCGTTCAAGCTGCTCATCCGTTCCTCGGGCGCCTCGTGGATCATGTGCACCATATCGGAGAGTATCTGTTCGATATTGCGTTGCGGGCGTTCGGGCACCAGAGGTTCCGCGAATCCATTGAGTTGTTGACCAGGAGCTTGAGACACTTGCATGTTTGGCAAGCGGCCTTGGGGTACGTTCTGTCGGGTTTCAACTGACGCTGCTGCTGGAGTGGAGATATTGGGCAGATTCGGTACTGGCGCAAACTGGTCTTGCAGTACATCTGGGACCTGTCGCCCGCTCTCCTGAGGAGCGTTATTGGCATGGGGCGCACCGCGAGGCTGCCGCCCAAACTCTTCGTATATAGCCAGTTGCTCTCTATTTAAGCCTCCAGCGGTCTGTCTGTAAGGCTCTGGGATGAAAAAGGCCCACTGGCTGATGATACCATCCTTGAACGGTTCGTTGGTCCGCTGGGTGCGCCAAAGTCTGCGAAGCCGCACCCTGTCGTCAATCTGTAGGTCAATCTCGGTCAACGAAGCTTGCTCCGCTGCCTGCTCCACGATGCTGCAAACCAGATCCAGGTTGTCGTTGACAAACATCAGAAGGTGGCCTTCAGGAAGTGCCTGCTCAGGCAAATTGGGGTCACGAGCCATAACGCGGATGTTGTTCATGATGCTCATGCGCAACGGTTCCTTGCAGGTTACCAGAGCAAGAGCACCCGAAAGCGACTTGACCACGGTATGCGCCGCACTCCGCAGCTTCTCCTCATCAGGTTCCATGGCAAAGTCTTTCGTGATGAGCTGTGAGGTGGAGATGGCCGCAATGGTAACGGAGCGTTCCACGACCGGGGCGATGATCTCTTGGATAGCTTGCTGTACCGCCGTAAGGAAAATCTTCTTCAGAGTTGCAGCGGGGACATTGCTGTTTCCGGTAGGCGGGTAGATGAGCTGATTAGAGAAATCTGGGATGGTGTCGGCGATTGCAGCTGCAGAGAAACGCTCGCTCGAACCTCGAGCTCGATTCAAGCTCATGATAGCCAGGTCACTGAACGGTTCAATGCCATCAGGTGGGAGAGGGCCCATATATTCTTCTTCCACGAGTGGCCTTGTTCGGATAGCGTCTGACGGCTCAATTGACGAGATTTGGAGGCCGAGCGCTTGTGCCAGGATCTCGATAGCGAATTTCTGTTGGAGTTTGAGATCTGGATCTGCGTAAAGCTCTGCCAGCACGCGAAGGATCTCCACCAGCCAGGGGTTTGGATATTTGAAGACTGTCGAATTCTTCGCTTTGGCCAGAACCCTGCAGGTGAAGAGAATAACGATGACAAGGCGATCGGTATTGTAGCCCTCAATGAGGAGATCTTTGAAGGAGATATTACGGAACAGGATGGGTTTGTCTCGCTCAAGGGTGAGTGAGCCCAGCCAATCGCCGAGATTCTTGAGATTGGATTTGTCGGGAGTGTTCAACTGTCCATCTCCATTGAGTAGTCGGAAAACGGAGACATAGGTCTCGCGAAGCACTTCCGCCCAGAGGTCTTTGTCGTCGAAGAGGTCCAACATATGGAGATATAAATCCTGATAATTGGGTTGAACCTTTGCTCGTTCTTCAACAAGATAGCTTGCGAACCATTGATGGTGTTTGGCCTCAATGGCGTCGGCAAGTTCTTTGAACTTCTCATGCAAGTTTTGCTCCGACAGGTTGTTTAGGACGAATAGAACCCTGTCCTTGATCTCTTCCTCCGGTTCCTCGTAGATATCAGGGTGCAGCGGAGGGTCCACATGGAGACAGGAGAACCTCGGAACAGTTGGCTCGGCTTGTTGGACAGCATCGCCTACAGTGTTGCCATTAGTAAGACTCAATCCGTTCTGAGGCTCCCCGTTCAGCTCGCCAACTTGCTTCACCACTTCCTCGGCCTTTGCGTATATTTCAGTCCCTTGGAGGCCCGGTACAATGAGAAGTTGGTCGCAATAATTCGGCCATTCGGGAAGACGATTGGCAAAGTGCAAGAGGGCCTGGAGGCCGAATTTATACATGGAATCCTCCGGCCTATACTCCTGCACCGCCTCAAGCACCATGGCCAACCCCACCTGAAGTGCGATGCGCGACAGCAGATTGAAGTTGATGATGCCCCCGAAAAGCACTGCTGTCGTTGCCAGGGCCTCCAGTGGGTACTCTCCGAAGCAGTTGTACTCGTCGAACAAGCCATGAATCATACAGGCGAACAAGTCTTGCTCAGCAGGGTCGCGAGATTCTTTGTACTTCCTGAGAATGTTGATGATGTCGCGCACATCGCTCTCCCCGCTGTACATGTTTTTGAAATGCTCTTGCATCTTCTTATCGGCCTCGTCCGGGAGCCTGTTGCCAGCTTCGCCATTCTTATCAATGATGTCATCCACGCCCTCGCCATAGTTGATCAACCTTGGATAGGCCTGGATACACGTTCGCTGAAGGGCCACTAGCTCGGTGTCCGGAAGGCCACAATCTGCGAGGAACCACAGCAGAGGGTGCACAGTCTTTACCGCTAGCGGTAGGCTCAAGGCCGGATGATCGTCCCGCAAACTTTGCATTTCATCTGAGGCGCGCGTGTGGAGGAAGTTGGTGAGGACCCGGCGGAACCACGTTCCACTCCGTTCAAACGTCTCGCGAAGCCATGGCTCGATATCAAACAAACCGACAGCGTGTGCCTGTGCTGCGAGATCGAGACTGAGATCGTTAATGCTGCGAATGAGCGTCTCCAGCCAGCCAAAGGATCGAGCGTATTCAAAGACTAAAGCAAGCTGCCTCGGATCCCTGTTGTAGTGCTCAATGAACTGCTCAACCAGCCACCGCGGGTCCTGTTGCCAAAGACCATAGAGCACGAAGTTATAGTGGGCTAGCTTTCGTGTGAAATACGGTTCGAACACCTGCTTAAGGGCTTGTTCTTGAAGTATTCCCCAGGGCTTCGGGACGGCAACTGCGGAGACCAAGAACTCGGCTGTATGTGGATTGATGATCGTACCCGGTATCCCAAGCAGGTGTGCGACGTGATATGAGTCCTCTGTCTGGAAAATCATGCCGAAGAGAGCCGACGTTGCGTCAAGAGATATGAAGGGATGTTTTACCGCCGTCTCAGCAACGGTCTTGACATCATCCGGTGCGTCTTCGAAGATCTTCATGGTGAATGACGGGCGTAAGCGAGGTATCTGCGAAACGTCCAGCTCCTCGGGCGTCGTGGACAAGAAGCAAATGAGGAATGAAAGCTGCGTCAACTCATTCTTCCACACACCACCCCAGAGTGCTTGTATGTCGAAGGATGTGGAGTCCACGGCTACAGGGAGGAGAGCGTTATAAAGGGACAGAAATTGAGGTTTGGTGATCCGAAGCCTCTCTCGGTCGAACTGTTTCACAACGTCTTGGAAGTCCAGGTTCTTGCCGGTGCGATGTTCACGAAGCGCGGCGACAAAGGCTCGTGAATTGTATGCTTGCCCCTTTTGAAATATTGCCATGTATAGGAGGGCATTGGCAACCTCTCGAGGGCTTATGTCGCGCACTTCGGCTGACGCGAGCATGTCCTTCCAGGCTTCCAGATTCGCCGTTCCACGAGGGCCTGCACGCAGCACAGTCTTCACCAGTTGGTTTGAAGGCCCATCCAGAAGCTCACTAAGAAAAAGCACAGACTCATATTCCGTCGGAGCCTGCCCGTGGAATCGGGTCTGTAGGGCATACACGAGGTGCTGCTTGTTCATGTCGGACCAGTTGGAAGGAGGGTCCATGAGCAAGCGTTCGAGGAGGGCAATCTCGTAGTCGATGCTGGCTTGTTCATGAGCGGAAGGGAAGGGCTGTTTAAGCGCATTCAGGAAATCTTCGGTCACGTTTGCCAGAATCGCATCCGCTATCGGCACGTAAGCAGTTTGCAATGGAGCGGTTTGGATCACTCACCCTTAGCCCGTATATCACTTTTACTTGCCGATCTGCAGGCGAGGGCAAAAGCCATCTTCGCAATGGGATCGAGCTGGAAATGGGTCATGAAGGTGGAGAGGTCAAAGTCGCGAAACAAATCCCCGTCATTGCTGTCGATGGACTCGGCAATTTTGGCGGGCTGTTTGGGATCGGTACGAAGCTTTTGCATCTCGGCTAAAAGAAGGTCATAACTGCCATTGGGCTCGACGTTTCGACCGCCGCTCGGGAATAACTGGGCTGCATTTTGCTGTACTAAGCGGCGGAAGTACTTGGTGAAGACGTCCATGCCGTGGGAGTCAACGAGCTATTCCGTGTTAGGTTGAGTGTACGAATGGATTGGCACCCGTAGCCCGAGGAAGGAGCCGTAGACTCACCTTGCGTATCTGCTCGGTTTGCGTGTCCCACTTGGCCCTATCCTTGTCGTTCTTGAGGGGGCCGAACTGGCTGAGCAGCAAGAACAGCTGCGCAATGACAATTCTGGAGAGACTCTGGTTTGAGGCGCTCGAGACCGAGTTGGAGGCGCTGGGCGAACCGAGGGTGCTCGGGCCTGAAAGTGAAGGTGAGTCGCGAGCCAGTTTTGAGGCCCCTCCGCCGCTGCTCGAGGAAGCACCCCCACCCTGCGATGCAGTTGGCAAGGCTGCGGCGGAGGAAGCCAGTTGCGAAGCGGACGGCGGCGCTATGGTTCTGGCCCGGGAGGACAGCAGCTGGCTGGGCGGGGCCTGCTGTCCTGGGTGCGAGGGCGAGAAAGGCGACGAGGAAGAAGCTGCAGACGACTTGCGGCTGCCGACGTGCCGTATGGAAGCGGGAGGGAGGGAGGGAAAGTTGGAAGACGCAGGTGAGAAGTGCGGGGGGCGCGAGGCGTTGGGGGATGGGACGTTGGATTGATCGTGGGCGATGGCGGTGGAGATGGGTGGCAGGCGGGTGCTCTGATGATGTCTCGAGGCGCCCCAAGGGTGTTGCTGACTCATCTATACACAGCTCCCATGGGTATTGCGGACTGTGGCGGGGAGAGGGCGTCGGTGGGAGTGAATTGGGGATGGGCGAAGAGGTGCGTTGGCGGCGAAATGATGGTTCTGAAGGGTTGAAGCAAAGGTCGTGATACAGACGCACGGCCCACCTGATCCATCTTGGCAGAGTTGGCGATTTTCTGCGTCAACTAGACTATAGATTTATCTACTCATTTGGCTTGCTCCAAATCTTACTTATTACTTTGTCCTATGGTATTCCAACCATACCACAAGGCTGATTGCCTGCTCCGGAGTACGAGTGCTCCAGGGCTTTCACCCCCATATGTATCATCATGTGACACTGAACAGCGCGAGACGACATCTATCTACTTCTTAAAATCTTTTTACACTCCGCTACGAAAACGGGCCGACGGCGCAACGAAACTGACTGGAAAGAGATCATCTTCTCCTCGCTTGGGATTTCGCGTCCAAGAATCCTCCCGATTCAGTTGGTTTCATCAGGTTCTCAGTGGCCATGAGAAGAAGGTGGAAGAAGGCCACCAACGATACACTCAAGCAATAACTGCTCCGACTCAGCCAAGTTCCCAGGCGCCTACATGACCATGGCGAATAGTGACCTTGGACACACGATATGAGTACGAGACGATATGTGGTGGGTTCATAGGGCTGAAGATGCCAAGCATCGTTGCCCCGGTGAACGAGTACAAGTAAACACATCCCTGCCCCCCGGCTCCCGTTCCCCAACACGCTGCCCTAGACTCTATACTTACTACTCGTGTTTCTTAACCCCATATCAATTATATTCATATCCACACTTCTTACCCTCCCGCTACTTGACATAGCGTGGCCTTGCTCCCCTATCACCTTCGTGACCCCATCCGACCTTCGCTTCGCAGTTGGATACACACAACACGACAACAGCAATGCCCGGTCCGCCAGGCAAAGAGGCCTCGGAGCCGCCTTCGGTCAATCTTTCTTGTGGGATTTCCCATTTACGTGCTGAACTGTCGACCCGAGATCTGACGATTGGTAGTTGCGAACAACTTCTGGGGTAAAGATGACGCTGGCGTCGGCCCCATGCTGGAGCGAATGCACAATGCCAAAGTAACCTCAGACGAGCTCAAGTCCTTCTATGCGGGTATGGCCCACGTGCCCTGAATCTCGAACCGCATACTGACGGATGCAGCGCGTGCCGCAATCGAAGACGAATATGCTCGGAAGCTCCTCAACCTCTCCCGCAAACCCCTCGGGTCCTCCGAATCTGGGACGCTCAAACTGTCCTTGAACGTAATCCGTGAACAAGTCGAGTCCATGGGGAAAGCACATCAGAGCATAGCACAGCAGATGAAAACAGAGCTCGAAGAGCCGCTCGCCGCCTTTGCGGGTGGCCTGAAGGAGCGGCGCAAGATCGTTCAGAATGGAATCGAGAAGCTCCTCAGGACCAAGATGCAGCAAACGGCCGCCGTAAACAAGACGCGCGACCGGTACGAGCAGGACTGCCTCAAGATCAAAGGATTCCTTGCCCAGGCCCATATGGTCATGGGTCAGGAAGAGCGGAAGAACAAGGCCAAGCTGGAGAAGACGCAGATACAGCTCTCGACCTCTAGTAGCGAGTACGAGGCTGCCGTCAAGGTGCTGGAAGAGACAACTGGCAGGTGGAACAGAGACTGGAAGGCCGCCTGTGACAAGTTCCAGGACCTGGAGGAAGAGCGGATTGACTTCACCAAGAGCAGTCTCTGGACCTTTGCAAACATCGCGAGCACAGTCTGCGTAAGCGATGACGCTGTATGTTTCGTCCTCTCTCCACGTTCTCCCAGACTAACCGCATCGGCAGGCTTGCGAGCAGATCAGATTGTCCCTGGAAGACTGCGATGTGGAAAAAGATATCACGACCTTCATCAAGGAGTCGGGAACCGGCCAGGAAATCCCAGACCCTCCAAAGTTTATCAACTTCTGCCGAGGAGACGCTGATACAGCATCGGAGGCCTCAGACGAAGGTAATTATTCCGTGGCCCAATTCCAGAGGACTATGAATCCCGCATACAGAGGGGCGTCACCTCAGCCTTCAGTATTCGAATCGCATCATGATCCAAACAATCCCTTAGCCAAGGAACTTGGCCATGAAGAAACGAACGCTATACCATTGCAGGAACCAGCCATGCCTCCGCCACGCCAGCAAGCACAGCCAATTCCAGCAGCTCAACCCATGCCTCAACCGGCACCACAACAATCCAGAGGGGTGCAACCCGACCCACGTCTGATACAGGCTCAGCAGCAGGCCCGTCAGAACTATCAACAGAGCCAGGTGCCCCATAACGACTATCCAATGGATGGTATGACACAGTTCTGCAGGATAGGCGCGCCATCAGACCGCAGTACAAACCCAAGCCCAATGCGGCCGTCCAGCAGAGACTCGCAGAGTGACTACTCAAATCCGACCTCCTTCTCCAGCGTTGAGCCCCCAAGCGGATCTGCGTCCCCAGGAAAGCCAATGGCACCAGCAAGTCCCCAGCCTGTGGAAGAAAGGCCCGAGCCTAAGAGGAAGGGTTTCTTCCAGAATCACAGCCCATTCAGAAGGCGCAGCAAGCACGAGATCATACCGCCAACATCGGTTTCTCCAAACAGAAATACCTGGGGCGCCGCCAGCAACCGAAGGGACGAAAGTAGAAGCCCTACGAAACGCTTTGGGGGAGGCATTCTGGATACTGACGGGCGGTCAGCAAGTCCAGAGCCAGTCGATCCGCGCGCTAACTTCCAGCTCAATATCGGCAACAATGTTTTCGATGTTGCCTCACCGGATGCTCATAGTCAGAACAAGGCGCCGAAACAGGAGCAGGAAGAGCTTGATCCCATCGCTCAAGCACTGGCCGAACTCAAAGGTGTCACGAAGCAATCCTCGTTGCGGGTTTCCGCGGATCGTTATGCCGGCCTCGCTACTCCTATACCCCCAGGTACTCCTGCTGTAGGGGCAGCGCCGACGGGAAGTGTTCCCACTCCTCTTACAAACGTCGCTATCAACCCGGCGCAGCGAGAGCCGCCTCCTTCTTATGACCAGCCGATGTCCCGTCTCGGTGCGCCCAAACCCGCACATACCTCTCGTGCCATGCAACAAACTACGCAGCGGTACATTGACCAGAAGGTCAACATGTTCAACACCGGCTCTACCACGCGCCCTCCTACTCGCGGCGGCCAGGAAGCGCCCCGTGCTGCCTCTCCCGCTCCCCCTCGTGCTGTCAGTCCTAGACCGGGGCCCTATCAAGCCCAGACTCAAACCGCAGCTGAATACCGTGCCGTATCACCAAGCCCTCGAGCCCCATCGCCGAACCCCTACGCTGCTCCCAGTGGTGCCGGGCGACCGGCCTATGCGCCCTCCGTGGCAGGAGGCAGGCAAGCTCAACAGTCTCCCAGCACATACACACCTACCACCGCCCGCCCACCTGTGCAGTCGCCGGGCTCATACAGCTCAGCAGGCCCGGGTACCCGGCCTCGCGCTTCAACCGCAACAACGTCCGTCAAATCGCCCTACGGTAATCCAACGAGCAGAGGCTCCTACTCCTCCTCCCGTGGCGGCTCACCTTCCCATACCGCCGTCCCGCGCGCTGTTTCGCCCCAACCTCAACCCCAACCCGCATACGCGTCCACAACACGCCCTATCTCCAGAGCAGCAGGCCCCCATTCCCGCGCCGCAAGTCCCAATCCCGCTTTCCGCCAGAGCTACGACAGGCCAAGCAGTTCCCGCGGAAGCGACATGGCGCTGCAGTTGGCGCCTGGGCCTGGAAGCGAGAGGGGCGAGGGAAGTGTGTATGGAGGAAGTCAAAGAGGGAGGGGAAATAGTACGCAAAGCCAACACCAGAGACCTATGAGTTCGTATTATGGTGGTGGGGATCCGGGTTATGGAGGTGGAGCGGGAGGGATGGGGGGACAGCTTAGCACGCGGGTCAGGAGTAGGAGTGTGGCGGAGCCGAGACAGTATACCAAGGATGGGAGGATGATTTTGCATTATTGTAAGTGGAGCTTGTTCTTCCTTTCCTTTGCTTTTGGGTTGAGTCGTTGCTGACTTTTTCTACCCGTAACAGCACGAGCAATGTACACGTACGCGGCGCAGATTCCCGAAGAACTCTCCTTCACGAAGGGGGATATCCTGGCTGTTTTGCGTCTGCAGGACGATGGGTGGTGGGAGGCTGAAGTGGTGGGGAAGAATGGTCGACCTGGGCTGGTACCAAGTAATTATCTGCAGAACTGCTAGGGTGGTTCTGTGGGTGATGATTTTCGGCGACAAAGAGGTTGCGGTGTTGAAGGGTTGATGCTGAGGTGGAAGGGGGATGATCAGAGCGCAGGGAAGGAGACGAAAGGAAGGCGAAAGGAGAATGAAAGGGCTGCCGTGGGTGGACCCCGAGCCAAGGCGGACAAAAGTAAAGACGCAGGTGGGAAGAGTATACCAGTGAGGGTGCAGGGAGGCGAGAGGTGCTTTGGCTGACAATCATGCGCCGGAGTGCTCGTGAGCTTTACGTTTGATGTCAGGTTCTGATTGATGTCGATGCTGGATGGGAGTTTCATACCGCCTGGCTTGGTTTCTAGGTGCTTGCCATTGCCGAGATTGATTCACGCAAGGCGTTGGGGCGTTTAGGGAGGGATGATGATGAGTGTTGGTGGTGTATGATATGAGATCTATCACGTAGCGAAATCGACCGTCGTACACGAATGCATTGCCTTTTACATGATTCACTCCGTCCAGGAAGAGCGAAGGAGGTGTTGCCTTGGTAATCCCGACTTGTATGCCTTTGGGATTTTCGCTGTAGTTATTAGCGCCTTGATTTTGATTCATATCGAAAGGTTCTGCGTGAACCTCTGCTGATTGCAAACAGATGCGATGGATCGCTGTAACTCGTCGATGGTTCTCGTTACTATCTCCTGTCTCCGTTCTTTTCCCCTTCCACGGACCTATCCACGGGTGAGCGAGTGAGCCGTAATTCAGCGCCTTTACATATGCGCAAACTGCTTCAAGAAAATCCATCGTAACACAACCCACCAGCGAAACACAATTGAACTACATGTTCTAGGGCGTGTCTGGATAGTAAGGAGGTTTTAGTATTGCTGGCCTTGTGTGCGGTTCTTCTGTATCAGTTGCATTAACGCAAGTCCAAGTCCTATCACGTTTTGGGACACAAGGTGGGGAATTGCAATTGCTATATATACTTTAGAAGACAGTTTATTGTAAAGGTTTGGACAACTTTACGGGCTAGAGCGGTTGCGATGGAGACTCGCGCTCGGTGGGGGGATTAGATCGTCCTGCTTATAGGTATGTATACTGCTGTCTGTATCTCCCACTGTTAGGAAGGGGTCCTATCTGCGTCAGGGGCACTCATCGTCAAAGACCTCATATACGTAATTGTATTTATAAAAAACAAACCAATCATTGGAGTATCAGGCGATCGGCACACCAGCCCGTTCATGCGGTGTGTACGGATCAGCATCGTCGACAACGACGTACGATTTCAGCAATTCCCCGCGATGGAAACTACTGTAAAATCTGAAAGCATACAGAGATGCAGTTTGAGCATGATCGCACCACAGATTGCGGCGCCGGTGCCGTTGTAGGAGTCGGGGAGGTTTAACAAAAGAGCTGGTTGTTGCTATTATCCTGTTGTTACTACTAGGATCTAATTGACTTCGTATACTCTGAACATCTTCACCTACGTTTCAAAAGTAGAGCCCGGGATATCAGCGCCATTCCCCCACGGCGTGCGGAGCTATGTCTGTTTTTCACTTCCCAAGAGGAGCCCGAAGCGCTTGAGGATGTCTCATGTACTGCATGATATATCGGCGATATCTTTCGATGGAACTATTCTCCACCATTATTATATCCCCCTATATTGGGTGAGAATTGATTCCATCCCTGGCATGCGTCAGTTCTGAAGGGTGAAGGCTGCACTGTGAAAGATGCTTCCGACTAGTGCGCCCCGCACGAAAAGGAATCTAGGGGGGTTTTAGGGTAGACTAGCGGGATAGATGTCTTTGAAACCGTATAAATAATCTTTTTATTTAATTTTGTTAAATTCCTAGGGCTATAAGCGCAGACATCTTGTAGGAAAGTGGAACGGCTGGCAGAACTCAAGTCCGACTTGTGAGGCGGGCAGATAGGATGCCACCGCGAAAAAGATGTAAAGGGAAAATAGGAAAAACAAGGAAATGAGAAAAGAAAAAACCTCCGGATTTACCTTTCATTATATTTAGGAGGTGCCAGGTGTATCAGCAAAGATTCTTTCGTGTGCTCGCTTCGTGATGCTACCCTCATCAACGACTCTGCTCAATCGTGCCGGGCGGCTTAGAACCGTCCCAAACGGCTTAAAACGGCTTTGCGCATATCTACGGAGTAGAACCTTCGGCGTGTACAGCGTGCGGGTAGCCACATCATCGAGTCCTAGGTGCGGAAAGACTAAAGTTGATACCTGAAAGCCGAAGGCAAACTGTAGTACTCCAGCTTCGCAGTTGTAGTACAGCATTCGAGGCGGAGTATCGCAGTAGTGGCAATTTCTCGCACGTGTCGCCAGTGTATATCGTCCTCGGGAGACGGGATGGAATAGCATGCATAGCGGCCGAGGCGGAAGAATACGCAGAAGAAAAATCCCAAACTCTATTCCCTCAAGTTCGAGTCCGGCTCGAGTCCACCCCCTCTGGCCCAGACGAGGGGAGTACATCTGCAGCATCCCATGCGGCGAGATGCATAACTCTACTTAAGTACACATAGGCCAGTCAACCCGAACCCTAGGCGCCCCCTCGATGTATACATACGCCATTGTAACACAGCCATAGCCACCCATCGGGGTTCCACGAAAACAGGTCAGTCGTCACCTGCAGATCGTGGAGCCGTTTGTGTGACAGCGACTCGAGAATGGCTCCGCCACTTCTCGTCCATGGCAGGTTCGACGGGGGGCCCTTGTTGAAGCTGGACATTCTGTTCTGCAAGACCTCGGACGAGGTTCACTAACGAGGCTGAAGCGGACGCTGGGTATGGGTTCACATAGTCCTGTATGTAGGACGGTACACCCTTCTCCCTTACGTTACCCGAGCAGATACATGCCAGCGACTACACCACACAGGCAGGCAACACAGGCAATCCTTCGCGGACAGCACGCGCGTGACCACAACACCTTTGTGCTCCCCACGTGGACGCACAGGAAACAGCACTTCCTCAGGGTCGGACAAAATGGAGCTACTCAACACTGAAGCTACTACCACATGTAAGCTTCTGATAGTCTACTGGGTTTTCGTGGGACGATTCTGGAGCACACTGGCGCTGTCCCTCCTCGGCTGGTCGCGGTAGTAGTGATAGTAGGGTACGTACGTGTGGTGCGTTTCGAAGCTTCAGCCCTATGGTTGTTGTGCTCTCCTTGGACGGACGGAGAAGTACGGAGGAGGACGGAGGAGTTTCTCTGGCGGCGATGTCCATCTTTGGCGATATGTGTTGGACAGTGAGCGCCTCTTCCTTCCCCGTCCTCAGCGCAATCACCACCACGCGCGTCTCTTGCATCTATTCCGACCTGCGCAGTCAGTCACAAGCAAACCCTACATGGACTCCCTACCCAGCGTCCTGTGAACTTGAACATTCACCTACTCCTCAATCCCAACCCCGTGGCTGCAAAACGGTGCAACGAATACGATGACGACGATGCAGGTCTCCATTTCGGTCCATTGTAGACTACACAACAGTCCGTGGCATGACATGCCACCACCCGACCTCGTCGCTCGGCATACCGCAGGTTCTGTGAAGCCCGAACCCAGTGAATTTTAAGGGAAGTGAACTCTGAGAATGAGGCCAGGGAAGACGGACGGCCTCAGCCACACCAAAGCCTACACATGTACACGTAACCCCATGTGTGGTCGGATCAGCGCAAAGAGCCGTCACGTCGTACAAACCCCATCGTAAGAAGCAGCTGCTTTCTGCGAAGGCTGCCACCGGTAGTCTATTGTGCTGCCTGGAGTGCAAACACCGGGCCAAACAGTCGATATGCGACGGCGACTACGCCGCACGCCGGTTGGGCCTTTGCAATGGCAAGACATCTTTGCAGCCCCGTCAGCATCAAGTCCAGAACCTCAACCGGTGAAAGTCCAGCCGACCAAGCCCACCAGCCGACCAGGCAACCAGCAAATATGCCACCTCTACCTAGGGTACAACTCAACTGTGCTGTGGCTGTCAAACACCATACTACACCACACCACTTATCATGACTACCTACCTACCTCCAGGCACCCATCCTTAACGCGCATCCATATCTGCCGACCCAACAACAATCTACGTGAACCAAGTTAGACATAAATTACCCACACAGCAGCTCTGCATCAAACCTGCCGTGTGCGGTGTGTTGTCAATCCCATACATACCGCTTCCCCCATCCAATCGAATCACCCACCAGACCTGGTCGGTCTCGCCACCTACCCACACATGTGCATGCACCCACCTATCCACTCATACCTACCCAGACACAGTTACGTATGCATACGCGAGCTGAAAAGACCCGACTAGTGAAGCGATCCTGCATGCACATGTGCTCTGTATGCTGTATCCAGTCTCGCGAGTATGCGAGTGCATCGATTAGGGTATGTACCTATATATTCTGTGTTATACAAGTATGTATATATGTATGTGTGTACCCGGTTAATTTACTTTATACTATGGACAGCCGCAGCATACCGCAGTTATCCATGGATGTAGATTACGCTGCAGCCGCGAACCCATGCCGAGCCGATCTGCTGGAGGCAGAAAGGCATTTGTTGGGTGCTCAGTGCTGATAGTGTGGGATGTGCAATATAGCGATATGAAACCCATTCGGGGAATTTTTTTGAATGGGGTTAGTAAGTAGATGACGAATCTGATCGTGTGAGTCCGCGGAGTCACTCTTGGAAGACTGGCTGGTTTGCACATCTTTTGTCGACGAGGAACGGTGGATAGAGGTGGAGATGCCAGAATGCAAACTTTGAAGGCGATATGCGGAATGGCTGGACGATCTCGGATCTGCGTTGTTTTCGTGAATTCCAGCTCCATAGATAGGGAAACGATCGGTGTCTGTCCGGCGAGAGCTCATCTTCTTGCTCTCCTCCCTCAAAGTCTCTACGTAGCCTATCTCAACGCTTACTACACAGTACTTCCACAGTATACACCGAATACGCAATTGATCCGCAGCGAAAACCTTCTTGTTGGATCCTAACAGTTTGGCACTTTATCGTTCCTTATGCTGATTAGTACTCCAGGTTCACAACACAACCCTAGACTCCCCCTATGATCTTGCCTGGTCCGAAATCCACGAGAACCAGGTCCTCGCTGCATCGGGTGACGGGTCCTATATATCTCTACTGCTCCATTGAGCTTGCTCCAGCATTTTGAGTAAATGTGGTGAGCTTTGTTAATCGAATTGCAAGCTTTACGGGGGCACACGCCTCCACGCAAAACTGCCCCAGCATCTCTCGCGAGTTCGCTATACAGTAGATTGGGTCCTGGTTTTGAGGCGCTCCGAGCATTCTTCCCCAACAGATCGCCACCTGAAAAAGCATGGCTTGGTATCACACTCTACTCGGACGGGATACGCATATGCACTGTCAAAGTCAGGCTAATGGCATACTCCATTGAACCCTCGGATCACTCTTCGTTGGTATCAAGCTAGTTCTGCCCCGACCTTTTCGCCCTCCTCGGATTCCTCGACTGGCACTTGATCCACCTTGTCTTTTCCTGTGTCAGGCAGTTGCTTCCACTCCATTGCCCAGCTCGTGATGCACGCAAGGGCTGGAGTTGCAAGCGCCACCCAGAAAACATTCTTCAATGCCGCATTAAATGCACCCACGGCGGCGTTCATCAGCTCGGGAGGAACGATCGCTCTGAAACCGCTCGCACCGGCCGCCACCACGGCCGCGCCATCTATCCCCCGCACCTCGCTGAGGTTCTGCACAAGGCCGTCCGTGAAGAGGTTTTGCCCAACACTGGGAGCCAGCGCGCCCCCGAGCATCTGGAAAAACATAATCATGACGAGCCCTGTCGGTATATCTGACTTGTTGAGCACAACCTGCACCGCCAGAATCGGCATTTGGCTACAGCTGCCGTAGCCCAGCCCAGACAGGATTTGGAAACCGATCCAATGTCCGCGCGGGCTGTCTGGGCGCACAAGTTGATAGAGACCTCCTCCGGCAGCCAGAATGAGAGGTCCAACCCACATGAACGGTACATAGTGTCCGAATCTTGATGCTATAGAGCCTGCGCAGAGGGTACCAAGGCTGTTCGACACAATCAAGGGGAGGAGATTGATCCCCGAGTCTCTAGCATTAGTGCCCTTGACTGACTGGAAGTATATGGGCCAAAAGTACGATTGCACTACTATGGCCACCTGAACGAGCATCATGAAGCCGCATGATGTCGAAAAGGTACGACTTCGGAAGATGTGGAGAGGGATGTTCGAGCTTGGATGATGTTAGCAACCCTAGCATGCAGAATAAAGATGTCTCCATGACAGGAGAGACTGAAAATGGGAGAGGAGAAGCCAACTTTTCTTTGCCCTGGAATTGCAAGTACAAGAAGGTAATCAGGAGTAGCCCGAATCCGATCAGGCACCCGAACACCTTGGAATCAGACCATGGATAGCTGATGCCACCCCACTGCAATGCCAAATTCAAACAGGATGTCGCACCGAGTAGCAGAGTCGCCCCCAGAAGGTCAAGTTGACGTAGCTTCTGCTTCCAGGGCAGGTGCCCCTTTACCGCAGGTGGAGGTTTCCTCAAGGTGAACCAGACCAATACCAGCCCAACAGCTCCAAAAGCTTGCAATAATCAGCTAATCATGACAGGAGAGATGGTGGGATTCATCATCAACAGCGGCTTACGGAGATTGATCCAGAAAATAAACCGCCAGGTCAGCTTCTTGTTGTCGGTTATCGAACCACCCACGAGTGGTCCGACGGCCGATCCAATGTTGTACATGCCCAACACAATAGGCGACAGCATTGCTTGCGTTTTTAGGGACACGCAATACGATAAAATGGTTGTTGTTCCGCTCACCAGGCCCGCAGCACCGAGACCAGAGAGTGCTCGCCCTATGATGAGTGTCACGGAATTTGGGGCGACGGCCGCGATGATGGACCCTATTTCGAAGACGGCAAGCGAGATGCAGTACACTCACTTGATGTTATAGAACGCATACAGGCGGCCACAGGTTGGCAACAGTGCCATCTGTGCGATCAGATAGGAAGAGCCATACCACCCGATATCGTTGAGGCTGTGGAAGTCGCTGGTGGTCTGGGGTATCGCCGTTGCTTCGTATTGACAATCAGATCTGATGCTCTCTCGGTCGGATCATGGGGAAGTACAAACACAGAATGGTGTTATCAATCGCGAGAACGAGGCAGATGGACATAAAGGCCAAGGTCAAAGAAGCGAGAGCCCATCCTTGCATATATCGAGTTTCGGGATGGTCGTCAGTGTCCTTGGTGTTGGTTACCCCCGTGATTCCCTCGGTAGGAGGCGTAGGCTCCGCTACAATTTCCATCATGCTGATCTGGGGAGCGTCGGGATGGTAGGCTTTGTGGGAAATGGACGTGATGAATAAGTGGATCTGAAGTTTGTAGTTTATACTCATCGAACGAGGTATCCGGAGGCGCCGGACAGCCACTGTCCAGCAACATGAGTTCTCCTCTGGCCGGGGCGGATAAATTTCTTTCGAGCTGTGCCGCAATAAACGAGGGACTGTGAGGATTCGATTTCTCAGGTTCCCTTCTCGAATCTTCAGGTTCCCTTCTCGAACATCCATCCCCTCCAAACCCAACAACATACCAGTCTCGGCATCCCCTCTGGATCCCCGCCCAGCAGAACCCCAGAAGCATCCTGGAAGCATCTCATCATCGCTGCATCCCATCACAATCTCGGGCATCATCACTCCACCATCACTCATGATTCGGTGCCGCAATCGTACATCTCAACATCATCACCAATTTGCAAGCGATCAGGCAGCTCATCAAGCAGCGAGCTGAAAGCGGAAAACGTACAGAAGAGCCTGTTTTGTTGACCAATCATCAGACGTGAAAACTGCGCGCGTCGCTCTACCTGACGGACGTCACCAACAGGCTGCCATTATTCTCGACACAGTGGACATGATTACTGTGTATCATTCATTCATGCTTCGAACTGGTGATAAACAACCGCCGACCCGTCTACACTCCAGGGATAATAATGACAAAGATGTTTTAAATTAATTCCCATCCTCAAAGCAGATACGTAGCACAAAAGCACTGGGTCTCAGGCTCCATCCCCAATAAAAATCATTACCACCCTCTTCCCAACAAATAATAGATATTATGGAGAAAACCCTCCTTAGCTATCGCGCTATCAACAAATACCATTTCCAAAAAGCACTTAGCGTCTCCACCCCCCTCGTGCTCCATCCCCTTCACACGCATATCTCGTGCAGATTCTCGCATGACCATAGCCATGCCCGCATGCATGCGACGTGCCTAGCAGAAGTTAGGCACTCCGTAGAAGACACAACAACAAGCCGCCCCTGGCAACCGCAGCGAGCCGAATACCGTAGAGTATTGGTTGGGCCCAATCCCGCACCGTGTGATTGGCTGCTTCATTCGCGCTGGGAGTGCGGCGCAGTGCGAGGCAGGGCAGGACCAGGGCATGGGTGGTGACCGTTGAGCGAAGAGTTTGCTTTTCTCTTTCGCTGAATGCGGAGCCATGCGATGCGGATGCATGGAGAGCGAAGCCTGTCGAAGGTGCAAGGGGTTGTCGATTCTCGAATCTCGAATCCGAGGCATTCTGTGCGGAGCGGTGTAACATGACTGTGTATGGCTCTTCACAAATGGCGCGGTTGTCAGGAGAGAGCAGTTATTTCAGAAAGCCGGCCTTAGGAAGAGAACATCGCAGTCATGATGAGGGAGTCAACGTTGTCCTTTTGACGGAGCAGACGAGCTTTCTCAGCCCGTCCCTCCGTCCAAATATATGTATATTGTTGAGGAAACTCCCGCTGAGGAGTACGTCTGCGTCTCTCCATCTGGCATGGGGGACCGACTACGGTACAAGGACTTCTCTGAGCCAAAGAAATATGAAACCTGGCTGGTATCTAGAGTAACAGAAAATTTGTGACAGAAGTAGACAGTCGAATAGAATCCCTCCTTGTTTGGAAAATGACAGAAAACTCCGTGTAAATGCATTGACAAAAGAGCAGCCGTTGAAATCCAAGACTCCATCTCCGCACAACGTAGTTTTGAGAAGCATGAATGGCTTGGCACCGCTCCCAAGCTAGTTAAAAGGTATACGACAAAAATCCCCCAGACATGCGAGTCGAATGGTGTGATAACCCCTGGAAGTGATCCGGAAATTCGAAAAGCCGGAGAGTTTACGTGGCCGAAATCTAAGGTGGAAGGAAACGCCATCAACAGCCGCCCAACACCGGGTGAGATAGAACCGCATCGTCTCATCGTAAGCTTTCAAGAGATAAAAGGCTATTACGAGCTGGTAGAGGAAATGGCGCCGGGACGATTAGCCACAGGCAGAAAGCGGAGCATGGAACCTTGGCGGTTGGAAGCAAGCGTGTCTACGCTTGACCAAACTCGCGGCTTGGAAGAAAGGTGTAAACCAAGCATTAGGGGTCGGAGGAGGAACGTATATCGAATGGCCAGCCTGTACCGGAACTTTTTGTGGCGTTGGATTGACGTGGGTGAATGAAGACGAAGAGGAATCGGACGAGACGGAAGAGGAAGAAGAGAAGACGGAACTGTCCGAACCAGTGCTCCCATTAGAGGCAGACTGGATCTGATACGGGGCCTCCACGGCTTGGGACGCATATGGCGGAGGAAGCGGGGCCATGGAAGGCACTTCAGGGGCCCCGTAACATGCTTGGGAAGCTCCGACTCCAGCGAACCCAACAGGACTAGTAGTCGGAGAAGGCAAGGGGGAGGCCATGGCGGACTTTGAGGACGTAAAGCGCGGACAATGTTGGATCAAGTATCGAAGTTCGGGAAGGGTGATCCTCTTGGAAGGGTCCAATTCAAATACTCGCCTCAGGATGGAATCCAGCTCAGGGGAGAGAGGAAGTATGGTCCTCAAGAATCTTGGGTCCCTCATGTAGGCGCGGAAGGTGCTGTCCTCGAACGAGGCTCTCTTCCAGGGGTTGCGTCCACAGGTTAGGTTCACGAGAATGACGCCAAGGCTCCATACATCATTGGGCGCAGTCTCATAACAGGCGTACGGCTTTGGTGTTGGAGTTTGACATTCTGATGTATTGTTAGCAACGAGTCCATGCAAGTGTGGCTTCCAAGCCGGAGTGCTGGATGCTTACCTGGCGACATGTAGAAGGTCGAACCGCATCCAAAATCCGAGGTCACGTGGTCAGAAGTTGCCAAACCAAAGTCGGCGAGCTTGCAGGTCATGCCTTGGTCTGTGACCAAGATGTTCTCGGGCTTGAGGTCCCTGTGGAAGATGCTGTTCGAATGGCAAAACTCCACGGCATCCAGGATCTGAAGGAAGGCCATCCTGATAAGGGCGTCATTGCCAATGAACATACCTCTCTCGGTGATGTTGGTGAAGAGGTCCCCCTCCGGGCAATACTCCATGACCACATAGGTGCAGTCGTATGCCTCGAGGATCTTCACCACGGAGACTACATTGGGGTGGGCGCTGGCCTTGACATGGAGGTGGATTTCTCTCTGCTGGAATTTCTGTTGGCGGGGCTCCAAACCGCGCTTATTGAGTGCTTTGACTGCATAGGGAACGTTGGTCTGGATGTCTACGGCTGTGTAGACAACACCATAGGCACCTATTCCAAGGATCCCGGTCAAGTGGATCTTTCCTGCGAGGACTTGGCCTAGGCGGTCTTCTGGAGAGCAAAAGCCATCGAGTGTGGGAGACGCAGGAGGGGTCGGTAACATAGTTGGATGAACAAGGCCTTGGAGAGGGTCCTCAGGTCCAGGAGAAGGCCTTTGGATCAAGAAGAAGGGGTTAGAGTGGCCTTGGCTAAAAGGAGCTGCTCGATGCCTTGAGCTTCCAAGGGGACAGAAAGGTATTAAAGCTAGAGAACGTTGGGCATGTGACCAGGGATGGCGTCGTCCAATGGAGTACAGCTGAGGCGGTATACGAACAAAGGATTGGCGGGATGACAGGAAGTTGAAGAACGAGAATAAAGACAGGTGGCCGTGTCGATGGAGAGTGAGAGAGGAAGAGGAGGAGTAGGAGGAGGAGCTGATGATCTGATGTGAAATCGGAGTGCGGTCGTCCTTGGGTGATATGAGGCGGCCTACAGGAGAAGATTGATGATGGATGCGTACAGTTGTTGTATAAAGCACGGCTGGCCAAGGTGTTGATAAAGCCAGACGCCACGGGCAGAGGGTCCAATCATTGGTCCGTTGTGCGCCCCAGTGGCATCGTACCACAGTAAATATAGGGAAGGATGAGGCTAGCGGACGGCGTTATGACGAAGACAGGCGACAGGCAGGCCATCGCAGGGGACACTAACGGTGTGGTTCCACGCATGCCGCATATCCCTTGCCCTGGTGGAGTCCCAAATAATCTCCAGATGTGCAGAGACTCCCAAGCACGGAGCCACGGAAAGGTTGGAGGCAAAAAAAGGGAGGCGGCTGGGCCGACAAGGATCCTGCGAGGATGCTCTCGCACTGGTCCAACAAAGCCCGTCGCACAAGAGAACCGAGCATGCGGCACGCCGCCGCTTGTTGATTCATGGCCTGCCGCCTGCGTGCTCGCCCGTGTTGCCCCTTGGTCCTTTGATCCACATCGGCTTGGTGGCCATTACTGGCCCTGCTCCACAGCGCAGCCCCCAGCCAGGCCGCAGCGCAGCGAATCGCTCACCGTCAGCAGTCTTCCAGCCATTCGTGGACGGTGGGTCGCCGGAGCGGTCGCAGGCAAGTGCATCCACGCAGAGTGTGATGGTGACACATCGGCAGCAGCAGGCCAACCAAAGCAAATGCTTCCCGCGCCCCTGGTCTCAGCGGAACGAGGGCAAAGGCGGTCCTGCAGCCGTGACTCTGGAATACCTGACTGTCGGAGGCAGTTGATGGAAGCCCAGATTGCGTAGGTGCAGAAAATATCGCACTCGCCGGTCACGGAATGGGTTGGCCGCCCTGGCCTCGTGGGAGGACGGCGTTTGCTTTACGGGACGCACACATCACCATAACGATCCATCGAGGCGGGCATCTCGGCCGGCTGTCTCGGCGGCTGACGGCAGCGCAGGAGGCTGTGGTTCTTCCTGTGAATGCTGTCTTTGTTGATGAGACGTTGGGAGTTGCCGCTCTCCACCTTCGTCGTGGGCTGGTAGGTACCCAGGCTAGCCTGGTCGCTTCGCCTCCAGCTTACGACGTCTTGTCTCGTAAAACTGTAAGCGCACGGTTGGCGTTCGATAGCCAAACTCGCCAACCTGGGCTGGGGCTCCGGCCATGACGGAACCAGTTGGGCACATGCTGATCGGGGGAATGCTTTTTTGCCTGTCATGCTTGCAGCAGACTTGCGACGTCCTTTGTCCTGTCTGCAACGGGCAGGTGTGGCTGGCTGTCAGCAATCCGACTGACCAAGGACTGCGTTGGTTGCAAGAGTCGCGTTGGCGGTTGCAGGCTCGGATGCCTTTACGAGCAACGAGCAGCAATCCGAGCATGACTGATTGGACGGCCCGATAATACCCAGATGCTCCTCTGGGCGCAGCAGAGACAATGACTAATCCGCGCATCGTACACAGGACAGTATTGTGCGGGGCTTGGACCCTCAGTTCTGAACTCCTGACCGTGGTGACGACGCACAGAACGCGACGAGCCCGCACTGCAATTTGCTGTGGGTCAATCTTCGCCGTTCCCAGTGAGATGCCGCGCTTCGCCAGGATTTTCCAAAAGATTTTCGGTGGTGCAAACTGATTCCCATGGAAAGTCATGCGACTCATGCCGTGATTGTGTCGTTTGAAGTCCGTGGCGACAACTACTTTCGCCCTATTTCTGACTCGGGCAAAACGCTCTTCTTGTGATTTGTCGCTCCGGCATCCTGCTGCGTGAAGATCGTCCAATCATTACTCTTTGCACAAAGTTTTGGTCCACAACCCGCTCATCAGTCAGCGGCGCGCGCAGTCGTTGGAAGCGCTGGAGCAACGTGGCCAACTGGTTGCGCAAACTCTGCGTAATTTTGGACAACCACGCCGGGCGAACCGCCATGAACTCCTTCTGACTCCACGCATATGGTCCACTCTGACCATGCCGTTGTTCTTGGTTTCCAACCCTTACCAAACAAGGCCCCGTTGTTGAGCCAATTTTACCGGCGCGAATTACTTCATCTCCTCGCGTACATACACAGTAAGATCCGGTTTGGACATGGGCTGCATTTCACAACAGGAAACGAGCGAGAAAGATTTCAGCGATGATGATTGCTGCATGGCGTTCCAGATTTTGCTGTCCGGTTTCAAACACTGCGCAGAATTAGCCAAGTCGCCTAAGGCCCGCTAGATTGCGAGGGCGTTCGGCTGGTTGAGCGGGAGTCTGTGAGGAGACGGTGATCATGTCCTGAGCGGAAGCGTGGCTGGGCCCCTTTTGCGGCCCCATCGCTGTCATATTTTGATACTCCTGAGAGACCTGACCGTCTCAACGGCCGTTGTGCTGTTGTAACATGTTATGATGGTGATGCTCGGAGAACCTACGGCGCTGCGGGGTACTAAGTATCCCGTATGTTGTCCGACGGAGGCAGTCTGAGCCTCGTACATGGAGCCTCGGTCGAGAGCTTCGGCTGTTCTGTGGCAGAGAACGCGTTGCACGCATCGTCAACTCGAGCGAAGGGGAAAGGTCTGCAGAGGAGAGCTGGGTCGAATCGATGGATGCTGGAATTTCCCAAATGGGAAGCGTTGATGAATGGGGTGGAATATTGTTCCATGGCTGCGCTCACCGCCCCGCGGATGTTCAGTGCCAAGGCAACTTGGCATTCCCTTATTGGACTAGCGGAATACTGGAAAACAGCGTCGAATCCATCGATCAGACAGATCTCGCATCCATGGCCACCACCAGAGAGGCACTCTATACTCCTTTGGGTTTCTCGTGCCATCACTCTTACGCAGAAGCCTGGTGATAAACTCTCTCAGCAGCCAACGCTGGCCTGTTCAAAGCCAACAGAATCTGTTGCCGGTCCACACAGCCTTTGCACAGCAAATTTGATCCAAGATCTAGACTCGACTGGCTCCGTCGTGGTGGCCCACAGCTCTGTGGCAGCGTCACATCGGTATCAGATATGTGGTGAACAGCATGACAGGCGCATCCCGTGCCGCAGCGGAACAAGCTCTGGCTGCCAAACTGCCGGTCTCGTACGGATCTTGCTAAACTTTATGCCTTCACTTAGATGCCGCCTCCTGATTGGAGTAACACCCTGTCCGGCATAGAGTGTCTTCACACCGCCTTGCTGGACACCAGCTTCGTTTACGGCACCGATGGACATTTCGTTGGGACGCCTGATATTGAGGACTGGCTCCGGAGACATTCCATCCCATATCTACTGGTATACCATAACATGCCCAAACGCTTCGGCTCACGTGCGAGCTCGTTCTGGCAATGTGTAGTTACCATCACAGCTCATTCTCACACGACGGATGATCAAACACAAGCCGAAGCATGAGGGTGTAGATCTGGTATCAAATCTCTCCGCCCGACCAAGAGCTGCTTGTTCCGACTACCGGCCCCTTACGCATCTTCGCAAATAGAGTTATTTCGACTACAAGTAGGTGCTACTTGTAAGTACACATAGCGTCACAGCAAACCCGTCCGATCTGTCGAGGGACACATATCATGATTGCCGATGTATCTTTACTTGGAAATATGCTCAATCATTACTGGATCGGACGCAAGCAGATCGACACGCAAGCAGAGGCAAACCTTCATCATCAATGAAGATCTCATATGCAGTGAAACTGCAAGAGGTGGACACCATTTTCGGCGGTTCGAACTTTTGTGTGCAGGCCACGGGACAAGGTAATGAGCTTCTCCTACCACGCTCCTACCATGGGGGTATCTCTCTACCCTAGACAGTTCTGCAGCTCCATGTACGCCACTATTCCGGCAGCTACCTGGTCTTGTTTGCTTCAAGTCATCGTATTGTACTCTGGTGATTCTCTCCTTTTGGCATGTCGGCTTCTCCATCGATCAGCTTTACCGTATACACGGACCTGAATGGCAAAAACATTCAGTGAGATCCGATCTCATGCGAGACACAGCCCGTCCAACCATATACCAGTATGATTCTAAGACCCACTTATTGATATCCATGGATCAAGAACATCGAGCTGGGCCATGATTCAACTCCCCTTTACCGTTAGGCTGTGCATCACCTCTTGGTTACTTGCTCCTCGAAACCCGGTCCACCGCGGTTTGTTAGGTACTCAGCTGAGGTGTCTCCAACGGCCTCGATATAAGCAACCACACAAATAACATACAAAGCAAACACTCGCACCTAGCTAGTACCACATCCTTAGATCCAAGTCCGAAGCCCGTTACCTGACCCTTTCAATTAGCGCGCAACACCGAATTCGTAAACGCCGTCTATTGGCCATGGTTCACGCTCTGTATGTGGACGACACCCATGAATACATCCTCCCATTTCTATTTCCACAACCGCTATAGCTGCAAGTGCAAGCCCATGGCTCGTACCGGATATATCCAAGACACCTACGGAGTATACATCCATCCATACGTTTGTCGGTAATTACAAACTCCGCATACAAGATCCTGCACGCCGGACGGTATATCGCAAATGCGATCGGTCAGCGAATGCCTGCCGTCAGCTTACAGTTGCAGGTGCGGAGCGTACTCCGTAGTTTTGCGGGGATTGCGCTGTTCGGAGTCAGACGCTGGACAAACGTTGTTCCCATGTTGCGGAATACCAGGATCCATCCAACAGCTCCGGATCGGACGCGAGTTGGAAGGGCATCTCCTCCGTATTTTGATGAGTCTCGGCATAGCCGTACGTGGGCGTTTACACAGTGAGCACCTTCGGTGTTTCATTAAACAATGGCGCCTACCAGAATTTGCTAAAATCGGCGAGTGCGTTTCCGTCGTCGCGCCCAACGTTGATGTAGGGTTGCGGCACAGTGTCCCTTGCACCGCTCTTGATATGAGCGATGACTGGACTGTACTCCATGACGATGATCATGACATCTACGAGAGCTGGCGGCAACCGCAGGCGAATAGGTACTTTGATTTTGAACACGGCAATACGAGGGCGTGGCTTCATGGCGAGGTCCTCCACTTCGAATTCACCAGCGCCTAGTCGCCACCTTCAACGGCTTCCAAACAGCGTGCTTGCGTTGCTGGATGCTTGTGATTTTTTCGGCTCCGTAGTCAACGTCAAACGCAGCCCCTTTGGGCAGGCTGCCTTGAGCGGACATTTCCTGCTTCCTAGAGTAGGAGGGACATGCCGAGATACCTGCCTAAGTTCTTTCATCGGACCTCGCAAGTTCGATGAGGCCACCCACATCAACTCCTTCATCCATCTCGAGCGTCTCGCAGCCGCATCTCCATTTGCATCTTCCTTTCTTCCTCTTCGCGTTCCTGCCCAAGCCACCACCGTGAGCATCCCACTCCACCAACATCGTCGGACACACAAAGGTGGTCTCTCCATACGCGCGATAATTGTGCCACATCTCCGCATCCTCAACAACGCTTCTGCAACCCACGCCTCCACTCGTTTCGAACGCCCCATCGCAGGAGCGCTGACTATGATGCCAGCCTCCCGTTGAGACCCCATCGCTAACCCCTCAAGCACACCGATCGTTTCATTGAAAAACAGTCTCCATCATGCAGCATACCACACTCTTGCCGGGCGCTTTCACGGGCTACCTTGGCTCCAGTGGCTTGGAATAGAACATTATTATTACCTATACCGAAGCGGGCGGCAACATGCCCCCTCAGTCAGGCCTCCTCCGTCCGACCAAACGGACGGGAGGTTGCAGTTTAGGCGGCCAACTAGTGCCCATGGAACTTTGCATATGGTGGGAGAATACCGAGCGGTTAGGTGCAGCTGGTTGCGGCCACGGGATGGTATGAATGAGGGGGGAACGGGAGTAGTGTGCTGTTTTGGTGTTTTTTGGCGGATGGCTGGTGATGATGTTCTATTTTGATGTCGGAAGGGTGAGATGCCGATGTCTGTTAGCGGAGTGAATGTTTGCGTGTGATTATGGGGGCTCGTCACGCAGGAATAGATTTAGATACGTTGAATTAGATGGTTTCCGCTGGGTGGTCTCTGGATGACGCATCTGGATGATTCAATCCAGACCTACATGCAGGTGCTCATAACGGGCAGTGAATAAAATAACACGTGACATGCTCTCTCATCAATCCATGGATGACGCACTCGCCAATTCGTCTCCCACTTTTACGGACGTCAAGAACTTCAATGGCACCGTAAGAACATAATTTCGGCAGGCAAGCACACATTGCATTGGAGTGTACTGTGATATCCAACGCGAAGCCTAGAACACCCGGCATCAATCTACGGCCATACCTAGGGTATCGTCCTGCAGCCAGGTGAAGCCCCACTCAAATGCCCAACGCAAATATATACGAATGCCACAGAAGCGGAGCAACATGGCTCGAGTCATCTACATAGCCTCCAGATAGCGAAGAGATACCAATTGACAACCAAACATAGGAGAGGATTAAAGATAGAAGGATCACCAACGTTCCATTCTCGCAACTCTGCCTGCACACCCCTCTGGACGGCGTTCACCACATCACGCGTCCTCTATGACGTCCTAGCCGTACGAGAGCGAACATTGGCTTTTCGCAAGACTTGGAGGATGCTAACGTACCAGCTGGTTTGGATATGTCCTACGATATCACCACGGCTTTCACATGATGCCTAACTTCATGTGCACACTAACCTCCCCTAGGTCCTCATCCCATTCGTCAACTCCATCTTCGAACTCTCCGGCATCACCTCCCACGGTGCCTCCAGTCCGTCTGGTCACTTCGATTGATCAGCGTGATACTGTGTACTTTGCTCCACCTAGACGCCCTTTCCAGAGCCCCATAAATCCCATGCGTGGTCGGCTAGTTGCTAGAGGGTTACACAGGGGCCTAACTGCTGCATGTAAGTGAGAGGTGCCAGTACTCACAAGGGAATAGGTCTATGGTGACCACACTAGGCTGAACAGACATGATCAAGTCAGCAATACAACTGCTATAATCTTAAATCCATTGATCCATTACTACCGTCTATGCTCTATATGAATGATATCATTGTCCGGACCCAATCCTTTCCCATGTAATTGCTCATGTCCAGACCCGATTCTTTCCCATGCAATCGCTCATGTCTATATGCATTCCAACTCTTCCACCCACCACCGTCCCCGGCTACGAACTCTCATCAACATCTTCAGCCGCATCGTTCGCAGCACTCTCCTTCTGGCCTCCTACCGCCGTCTCAGGCACCCCACTCACAGCCGTATCCTCAACGGGCGGAACGGCCGCTGAAGCCGCCGGTTCAGCAGCCTCCTTCTCTTCTCCGGCCACACCTTGTCCCGCAGCATTCGTCACCTCCATCCCTGTGTTCTTCCCCTCGCCCTCTCCCTCCTTCTTCTCCTCTTGCTGCACCCCGAACGCTCCGGGCACCTTCTCACTAAGATTGATCGCCACGAAGGATTTGGGCAACTTGACACTGCGCGCCTAGTCAGCATCATTGGCCAGGAATGCAAGGACTGAAGGGACAAGAGATGGGGTGTGAGAAACGTGCAAACGTACGTGTGGAACTTGGCCCTCAGCGTCTCCAGCACCTCCTTCCAATCATGATGAGCCGTCAAGCTTCTCCGGGGCGAGAAACCAATCATATGCCTAGAATCCAATTGCCTATCACCCAAGGTTAGCACATTCCAACTCTCTAAGAGAATACAAGGAGAGACCTACACATCCAGCGGTGCAAAAGCATGACATCCCGGACTCAACGTAATCTTGATGCTATAATTGAACGTATTCGGGCCATCGTTATCCGTCGCGTTCTCACTCTCATACAATTCAAACCCAATCTGGCTGAGGTAATCCAGCTCGGGGATCGCATTTCGCTGAATCTTCGTCTTGATCCCGCCCTCGAGGATACAATTCAGCAGCGTGTAAATGTGCGACTCCTTGGTGAAATAGAAGAAGCACTTGGGCGTCTCGGACGCTTGCAGCTCTTCGAGATCTTCGACGATTTCTTTGAGCAGGGGAAGGGAGGTTAGGAGGCCGATTTCGAGTTTCTCTTCATTGTCGATGCCATATTCTTGTGGGCCAATGTAGTCGAAGAGGACTTTGCAAAGGTGGTACATTTCGCGGAGTTTGGCGAGGCGGGCGTCAGTTTGGGCTTTGGAGGCGGCCGACGGGGAGGTGCTATGCGAGCCTGGGCCGCCGCCCATGTTGGCGCCTGTGTAGAGCTTCCAGTATGACTCCTGGGCGTAAGCGGGGGGCAAGGACGACTTCGTAATCTCTGACCGGCGGCGGAACCCAATGCGTTGAGATATACTGTTGCGTTCGAAGATTCTCTCTGCAGTGGATTGACCGGCGTCCGCCTTGTGGGGCTCAACAGGCGCGGACGCTGAGGGTTTGGCATCCATGGATACCTTTTCGGAAGCTACATCTCCTACGGCCTCCTCGTCGAGAAAAGTGGCGTCGGGGGTGAAGACCCATTCAAGGAACTGGCGATTGTGGAGAGCATCAAACTTCATGCTGTCATAGAGTTCGGAGATCTTGCTAGGATCGACCTTGTCAGCATCGCTGAACTCCTTGAACAGCTTCTCCCAGCGTTCCCTGAAGAGTTCAGGCCCCTCATTGCAGCACCAGCGGCCCTGGATTTGAGCCAGCGACGTGTGCTGTGGTTGAGGGGCGTCTGACGTCGCGCCCGCAATGGCAGCGAGTGATGACACCGCACCGGATTCGATCTTCTTGTAGTTGTAGTTCATGACGCGCTGATGGAACTTCATCAAGTCGACAACCTGCCGAACCACGATGTACGGCTCGGGCGTGTCTGCGGGCCACACAAATTGGGGCGGTGCCTTGTCACCGGCCCGCAAAAGGGTCTTGAGTTTCTTCTTGACCTTGTCCATGACATCTTTGGCAGCATTGGAATCATCCAAGAGATCCTTGCGGATCTGGATATTTTCGGCCTTGTAATTGTCATCAGCGAGAAATGTGCTGCCAAAGATTTGTGCGCTTGTAGTAACGCGGCGTTCGGAGCTGCTGAAGATGGAGACGTCGTCCAGCACCTCTCTGTTCATCAACTTCAGGTCATTTCGGAAGTTGGCCGCCATGTCTTGCGACTGGTAGCGTGCAGAATGTGTCGGCTCTCCTCCCCATTTGATGATGAGCTGTAGCTTGTCGAGAATCAGGTTGTTCTCAGCAGCCGAGATGCGCGACAATGTTACACCAGACATGGAGTCGCTTCGCTTTTGGATGGGCGATATATCGCCATCCAGTGAGGGCGAAATGGCCTCCTTGTGTGCTTCAGAAGGGTCCTCGACAACCTGGCCAGGAAGCAGTTCTTCCTTTCGCCTCTTACGGAACATTGGCTTGATTTGAACCTTTGTTCCAGGCCAGGAGCCTTTTTTGACAAGGTATATCTGCAGCTCTCGGAGCTTCTTAGGATCCTCCACTCCTTCCTTCATGGCCAGCTTCACTGCGTCGCTAACACTCTGCAATGCAGCCTCTCCAATGAGGAGAACCTCTTCTTGATGGCCCTTGAGGAGGTCAACAAAAGGTTTGGTATGGAATGTGTACTTGAATTTTTGCTTGGGTGTCCGGTCGGCGTGGCGGATAACGGACACTACGCCCTTCAGCTTCCACTGAGCCTTGGAGGCAGGTGGCGGCACATTGACAGGCTCTTCGGGTTTGGTTTCATCGATGTGCGTGTGGGCCTCCTTTTCGCGCACACTAGGAGTGGTGAGCAGGACGTCAGGCTCAGACCTGGGAACGCTTGGTGTGCTACTCATGGAAACGCCGTAAGACTTCTCCAAATGGGGCGATGCGGCCGGGGGAGAAGCCGTTGCGGAAGCCTCGGGGGACGACGCCATGGTCGGTGCTTGGTGTCCTGATCTTACATGGGGATGTGGAATGTGGCTGAGCTTGGACATGCTGGGAGACTTGAAGAGACCCTTGAGAGCTTGACGGTGGCTAGCCATGCCCCTCCTAGCAGGAGGCTTTTCTGAAGTGTCCGATGACTCTGTAATGGCAGCTTGTCCTTCTCGTCGTTCCTTGCGAGCAATCTCCTTGAGAAACATGTCCTTGAGGATTTGGGCGGCTTTGTCGTAGTAGTCCATGTTATCCTTGACAAAACTCCAGCCATTGACGTCGATGACATAACTGCGGTCTCCTGTCCGCAAAAGGTCGAAACCGCAGACCCGTTGGCCAAAGCCCTCTGAAATCTGAGAGGCCATGGCGGCCTCGGCTTCACTGAGCTTCGTCACATAACGAACCTCTTTGCCGCTTGGGTTGCGCTTAACTAGTCCATCAACGACGGGCGACTTTCGAGTCTCAGCGTGACAAAAATTGGAACCTACGGTGTAGGCTTTGACATCTTCCGAGTTCTCCGACTTGAGGAACTGCTCGTAGATGTAGCTGCTGGAGGGGTCGGTGATGGATCGTGGAACGTGGAGGCTATCATCCTTTGCAGAGCTTCTGTTGTTAACCTTGCGGAAGAGTCGCCTGCCTCCTCCGCCGTCCTGACTATGGTAGTAGATGTTGATGTTGTGATCTTCGCCGCTTACGGGCTTTTCGACGAATGGTTTAGTAATGATCCTATCGTCTACGCGCAGCGTGTTTCCATCTTCCGAAAGCTCTACGCGGCGGGGTGCTGGCATCCCTCCGCCAGTGCCGTCTGGGGGACCGGGCAGTCGCACGCCGGTGCGCTCGTACAAGGCCTTTGCAAATTCGGCGGATTGAAGCTTGGGGCCTCCATCGCGACTGACTTCGACCCGTCTGGGTGTGGGGACGTTCAACTTGTCGAGGATTTGCAGGCAAAGTCGGCGATCCCACAAGACCTGTTGCATGGGCAAATCGTTGACACAGAATGGTTTGCGCAGGCGAACATATGCGATAGCCTTGTCTAGAGGAAATCCATCGGAAAAGAAGGAGATGAGGAAATCGCAGACGGGCCAATTCTCCACGTCTTCGTCGAGAATGATCTTGTCGCCAAAAATCTTGACCTCGAAATCGTCGTAGAGCTTCCCAAAGATGTTGCGCGCCGGCTTGCTGCGAGCCTTGGACTCGAGCGCACACACGCCAATTATCCCCTTGGTAGGCTTCTTATGCTCACGCGAGTCCCTGCCACCAGGACTACTGCTTGCAGCCGTGCTGCCACTTATGCGTCGGTGCGTTGTGCGGCTTCGCGAGCGGCCGTTTTCAGGCCTCTGGGCTGTGTCTTTTTGGTTCAACGAGTGCGTTTGGCCGCCTTGCGGGGAGGTGGAATTGGAAGAATGCATTGCGTGAGGTGGTTGATTAACAGACAGCGCCAAACTGCCATTCTGGCTCGCGGTCGACGTGGTTACGGAAAGCGAAGAAGTGGCTGTAGTGGGTGCATAGGCTGGTCCTTCGACTTTGGCTAGGGTGGAGTCAGTCAATGGGCGAGGAAGAGCCGTTCAAGATTCAGCAAACGTACCTTCAGGTTCTGAGCCTGTTACTGAGCTGGGGCCGCTGAGTCCTCGTGTGCTGCTCATGATGACCGAGCCGAGAGAGTATAGCGAGGAAAAGGACATGCGATTGGACTCTAGGTCGGGGTCGGTCCGGGCCCGTGAGGAGTAGGCGGTGTCGGGGAGGGTAAGCGTCTGGGACGTGGCAATGCTTCCATGGCGCGAAGCATCTGGGGTGGATGCAGTATCGGTGGTCTCGTCAACGGCGGAGGAGGGGCTTCGGACGGAGCCAAAGGTATCCAAGAGGCTGCTGTCCGAAGCCTTTGAGGGGCGTCTGGAGGCATTGGGGAGGGGGATTTGTCTCGCAATCGTCCTCGACGTCACCGGCGGCGGCATGGAGACAGAGGAGCGTTCGACATGGCCGCTCCCCGTCTCGGGCTCGGAGGTCCGCGACTTTCTGCTCGCAGGATCAGAGCCATTGCTGGCAACGAGGACGTGAGGTGCAGTCTGTGTAGGAGTGCTCTCGGAGCTGACTGTGCGAGACAATTGCTCCATCCGTCGTGGGGGGTGGGTGTGGCTGGTTGCTTTTTCTACCTATGTTACGAATCCGTCAACTTAAGCGACCGTGGGCGATGGAACATGTGCCCTGGGGCAGGCAAAGGGTGGAGCTTGTATTATTTATGCAAGAATGAATGTCGCAATCCTGGGCATGCTGAGCTCTGCTCTCGTACGGAGGAGATGGCAAAGGTCGAGTCGAGAGCATTTTCTGGACTCAAGACCAGGTGCCCAGGTGACCGCTAGACCATGTGATCTGGGCTGCTTTGCACCTCGGGGACTTGCAGTGGGAAGAGCAACTCTGGCAGAGATACTTATGGTATATTGCTATTCAGCATTGCACATCTAGGTACATATAGTATTTGTATGACGCAGGACCATCAGCATGGTTGGAGTTGCAAGCGTGGGGTGCCCCCCCTGGACGATCAGAGGTTGGCGCGGGGGGAATAAGATCTTAAATATTTCTTGGCCAAATTTTAACCAGCGTTGAACCATCTCGCTTTCTGAGCTCCTTGCGCATCGCCTTCTTCGACCATGCCAGGCCACATGGTTGCCAGAGAGGAGTCCAACGGACCAGTGGTAAAGCGCCAAAAGCGCGAGGTTAATAACACCAACGGCGCTGCGCCCGTGGTCCATCGGTCAAGGATCTTCGCGCCGTTTAGAGTACGTTCGGAAGTGCTTCGTCTTACATGGTTTGATACTAATGCGCCGGTGTAGACTGTAGGACTCGTGTCGCCGACTGACGTCCCGTTCACTTCGCTGCCACTGGGGAAGACTACGTTTCAGATCACCACTTCTGTCGGCCGATCTCTCCAAACGTATGATTTGAAGCGTGGATTGAACCTCGTCTTCATTACCCGACCGCAAACTCCAGAAGATATCACAGCGACGCTAGCATGGAAGAAGGTCGTCATCACGGCCTGGGGTGGAGTGGGTGCAGACGCCCGGCGAGGGGTATGGCTCTTTCAGCGCGGCAAGAAGGTCGCCGAGCTGGAGCTCCCTCGCGGGTTGAGGGAAAACATCACGCACCTTGTAGCTTTTGGAGAATGGATTGTGGGGTCATGTGCCACCGGTATCCAGGTGTGGAAGTCGTCAAATCTCGAGCATTACACTACCCTCGTTGGCGTTTCCGCCAGCCCCATCTCCGGGGGCATCTGCACCATGCCGACCTACCTGAACAAGATCTTCGTCGGTAGGCAAGATGGATCAGTGGAAATCTGGAATATCAGCACCGCCAAACTGCTGTATACCTTTCTTCCACCAGCTGCAAGCTTTGGGGCAGTAACCGCGATCCAACCCACACCTGCACTGTCTCTGCTGGCCATTGCGTACCAGTCGGGCCCAGTCGTCATCCACGACATCCGTCTGGACAAGGAGCTGCTACGACTGAATATTGGCGCTTCCGGGAAGGTGCCAATCACTTCGATCTCATTCAGAACCGACGGAATGGGAGCCGGCGAAGATGGTCGTGAAGATGGAGTCATGGCCACTGCTAGCCAAAATAATGGAGACATCACGTTTTGGGATCTGAATAACGGTGGACGCAAGATGGCAGTTCTCACTGGAGCACACAACCCTCCGCCATCGAGCGGTGGTGGCATCGGCGGAGGCATCAGCAAGATTGAATTCTTGCCCGGGCAATCTGTAATTGTTTCCAGCGGTCTCGACAACTCTCTCAAGACTTGGATCTTTGACGAGACGCCATTCTCCCCCCTGCCGAGGATGTTGCACGCGCGAGGTGGACATGCCGCTGAAGTCTCCAGGATTCGCTTCCTCCCGGCGAACTCTGATGGTACCGATGATACCGGAAAATGGCTGCTCAGTGCCAGTCACGACCGCAGCCTGTGGGGATGGAGCCTTCGAAGAGACGGGCAAAGTACCGAGCTGAGCCAGGGCTCCATTGAAAGGAAAGCCAAGAAGATGGGCCTCCTCCATGGAGGCACCACGAACCCACGGCTGCAGTCCGCCTTGGAGGGTTTGAAGGCTCCGCCCATCACTTGCATGGCCTGCTCATTGAACCGCGATGGTGGCATGGGCACCATGCCGGGGGTCAAGGGCATCTGGAATAATCCTACCACAGTCAAGAAGGGCAAGAAGAAGGTGACCCCCGAGGTCAACATGACTGGATGGGAAAGTATCGTGACGGGCCACGCAGGCGATCATGTAGCAAGAACATGGTTCTGGGGCAGGAAGCGAGCCGGAAGGTGGACATTGGCGACGGGTGACAACACCGAAGTCACAGTAGGTCCGCCAAAACCCAGAAAAAGGTCTGAGCTAATCGGTTGCAGAGCGTTGCTGTCTCGCCTTGCGGTACCTTTGCCGTCATAGGCTCGGCTGGAGGGTCCATTGACATGTACAATTTGCAGTCGGGGCAACATCGACGCAGATTTCCAGTACCCTTGAAGCCAGCCGAAGCCAACAAGCTCAAGCTTCTACAGTTGCAAGAGACAGCCGCCCTAGCCACCGATTCCCCGGCAGTGCCCAAGTTCAGAAAGGGCCAGGGGAGACACAAGGGCGCTGTTACTGGCATCACGATTGACAGCTTGAATCGGATCATGGTCAGCTGTGGAGAAGATGGCAAGGTCAAGGTTCGTAATTGGGGAACCATTGCCGCAATCATGTGCTGATGGCATCTAGTTTTGGGACTTCAACTCTGGCATTCTGCTTCACGAGATTGACTGGTATCCCATGAGCAAGCCTCTAGGCCTCCGCTATCATCGTGCCAGCGACCTGGTGGCTCTCAATTGCGACGATGGGTCAGTACGCGTCATTGACATTGAGACGAAGAAGCTCGTTCGAGAACTGTGGGCATCATCCTCGGAGGTGCAGCTAAAGATTGTCGACTTTGCATTCTCCAACGACGGAAGATGGATCATCAGCGCCAGCTCCGACTCGGTTGTCAGGGTGTGGGACCTCCCGACTGGCCATCTTATTGACGGGATGAGGCTGCCCAAGCCATGTACCACGCTTGCCTTGTCGCCCACTGGCGAGTACCTAGCGACGGCACAGAAGGGTGAGGTGGGCGTTCACATATGGACGAATCGCACGCTCTTCACGCATGTCTCAACCCGTCACATTTCCGAAGATGAAATCGCGGTGATCAGTGCTCCGACTGCTTCTGGCGAAGGCGGGGAAGGGCTTGTCGAAGCGGCCCAAGAGGAGGAAGCCGAGGAGGAGCCAGAGGAGACGACTGTGCCCATCATGGATCAATTGGCCGAAGGTATCACCACGCTCAGCCTGGTGCCCAGGTCACAATGGCAGACGCTATTGCATCTGGACGTTATTCGCGCTCACAACAAGCCCAAGGAAGCACCCAAAGCCCCGGAAAAAGCTCCCTTCTTCCTCCCGTCCGTGGGTCAGAATCAGCAGGACTCGGCAGCATCGAATGGACTTGGGCTTGAGGAACCCAAGTCCCGAGTCTTGAGCGCTGCCATGGTGTCGAGGTCATCGGCATCCGCATCGACGAACGAGTTCACGCGTCTGCTTGCCCAGGCCGCTGAGAGGCAAGAGTATGCGCCAGTCCTGGCGTATCTGGCGACGTTGACTCCGTCCGCTGCCGATCTTGCAATACGCACGCTCGATGTGATGCCTCCGTACACTGAGCTCTTCACCTTCTTACGAGCGCTCACGTCGCGTCTGGAGGAGAGGAAGGATTATGAGCTTGTGCAGGCTTGGATGAGTGTGTTCTTGCGGCTGCATGGAGACACCATTGCAAGGGAGGAGGGGCTGATTGATGAGCTGCGCAGGTGGCAAGAGGAAGCTAAGAAGGAGAAGGAGAGGTTGAGCAGTCTGGTCGGATACAGTGTTGGAGTTGTCGGGTGGGTGAGAAGCGCGCGATGATGACGAGGCCTGCGTTTATTGTGAGTGCCTTTCAGCGCGGCATATGATCAACGGGTTTTCGGAGAATAGATGGATCTTTCTTGGTTGTCGATGTTCCAATATAGTCGGGCCCGTTCCAGTGGTCACGATATGTCACTCCATGACCTCACACCATTTTTCTTTCCATGGAGCGAAGGCAGACCAGCGTAGGGCGGATCAGCTGCAGGTGGAGGATTCAGCCTGGGGCCCATACAAGAAATATTGGCAACCCGACGGATCAGTCAGTCCCGGACTTTTCTCCGTCTGTACGGCCTTAGGGGCAGCGTGTCTGGTCCAGCCATTCGTCACCTATGCTGCACATCAATCTAATAACATAGCATGTCCCGGGTGCGAAGTCCACTAGTCTCGCCAGCGCCAAGCGCCGGCTCCGCAGCTCATTGGTCCAACCGTTTGACGGCGTCACGTGTTGGCAACGTTGACTTCCACCCATCTCAAGCAGTTTGCTTCAACCTGATATCGCACCAAGCTTCCAGCAGCTGGTTTCGAAACCTCAACGGTCGGTTAGGCCGGGACTCGGAGCAGAGAGCAGGTAAAAATGTCGACCATGATTACCTTCGCTGCCAACAACGAGTACTTCAGGAAGCGGAAACGTGCGTCGACTCCACATCATATCTCTGCCTCACCACCCCACGCTGGCCTCGCTGCTAACTCTACACCGTAGGCGTTCACCGCGCATGTGAAGCGTGCAAGAAGCGCCGGGTAAGGCTGAGCCCATGATTTTCCCAGTCCCAGTTCCCAACCAGCAGGCACTGTGGCGGCTCTCTAACCCTCCATTCAGAAACGCTGCAGCCATACATTTGACGATCAAGATGCCCCGGCCAACGGAAGCCCTACCAAAATCGGCCATTCCGGCACCACCGCCCTTGATGATGACCCGCCTCTTCAACACCACCAAAGGGGTGATGGCCATGTTCACCCTGTCGTGGCCAACTCGACTTCGTCCTTTGGTGTCATGGCGAGTGGTGGCTACAGCACCCATGATGCGAATAGGCAACCGACGCCGCCCAACTTCCTAGGCTACCTGAATCCAGAGGCCGTACTGAGGGAGCAAGTCCATCACGAGAGGGGCAAGACGAATCAGTCACCTAGCATTCCGTCGATTGGGCAGTGGGTCGACGGGCATGAGGCGGGGAGGTCGCCGAAAAGCCAGCCCGGACAGCAAAAGGGACGCCTTGATGAGACGACGCAGCAGGCCACCACCGCACAAGAAGCCGCCGTGCAGAGGGCCCTTCATGCTTACCTCGATGCAGTGGGAGTGGCGATTGTGCCTCCAAGGGAACACCAAAAAGCTCTGTTGAACATCTACTTCACCTATGTGCATCCTCTGCTCCCCATCGTAGACCAGAACCTCTTCACCAAGTGGTACGCCGAGGAGCGGGAGCCGCGGATGCTGCTCCAGGCCATTTGCATCGTGGCATCCAAGCACGCAGAAGCGGCCGACCATCTTCTACTCGGAGCCGACCCGCGGGTATTGCGGCCGCGGGACTTTTCTCAAAGGCTGTACAATGCAGTCATTGCAGGCATTGAAGCCAAACTCGAGAAGAACCGCGTCATTCTCATCCAAGTCCTGGCGTTGATATCTCTGCACTGCGAAGGCCCCGACGGGGCAGAGCAAGCGTCGATGCATCTTGCCCAGGCTATCCACCATGCACATACTTTTGGTCTCCAATTCGGGCACCAGTGGAAGGGCCAAAAGTCAGACTCGCAAGAGAATCTCGAGGATCTGTTCTGGTGTCTTTGGAGTCTGGACAAGATTAACGCCTGCATGAATGGACGACCGCTGCTCATGCACGATCGAGATAATGGCCTTACCAAGCTTCCGCAGGATCCGGAGAAGCGGTCGAGTCCGTTTGGCGTTTGGTTGCAGATCGCGGAGATGCTCGACAGGGTCATTGATTTTTACAGACCGGGCAGGTCGCCAGAAGAGACGGGCTGGGAAACCGACGACTTTTTGGGGTTTGAAGAAATGGTTGGAGATGGTGAAGACAAGTTGGACGGGCCGATCATGAGTGCGTCTGTACCTGACTATTTGATGTGCAGTACTGACCAGTGTAGGCCTGCTCTCCCTCTTCCACCACGCCATGTGCATGGCCTCTCACAAGTCCCTCTCCATCAACGACCCCGTCAAGGCCACCCCGTCCTACACCCGCCAGTCGCTCTCCGCCACTCGCGTCATCTCTCTCCTCAATGCCGAACCGCCCGAAACCCTTCCTCCACTCCCCTTGGTCCCCTACACCCTCTCCTTGGCTCTCAGCGTCGTCTACCGCCACTTTCGTTGCCGCCGTCTCAAAGTCCACATCAAGCGCGCCACCGACGAGCTCAAACAATGCGTCATGCTCCTTAACCGCCTCCGGAATGCCTGGTGGTCCGCTGGACAAATGGCAGACCTCGGCACTGCCGTCCTGAATAATGCGGACCGCAACACGCGTACTGCCAATACACCTGCCGTTGCCACAGAGGCCGACCACCACCATGCTCTCTTTGGTAGCCAGCCCCATGACGAACTAGTCACTGAGCAAAAAGAGCAAGCATCCATTCAAGCCCCACATCACGCGCCACCAGGCCCTTCGTCTAATCACCACCGTCAATGGCAGCAACACCACCTGGACGCCTCCATCGATCCCCGCCTCCACTCCCAGGTTCCCCGGGCGCATTTGGCGAGTGGCCTCCTCAATCCTCTTCCCACGATTATGGAGGTCCAACACCCGACGAGCAGTGAACGTTCTTCTGACCGCCCGCTTACTTCACTCCTCTCCACACCGCAGAACCCGACCACCAATCTTCTACACAATAATACCAGTACCCAGCAACAACAACACCAACAACTGACCATTGGCCCTTCAGTCGCCACCTCGCCAGCACCCTCGTCGGCGGCCGCAGCGGCGACTCTAGACCTCGATTTTTCGGACCCGTCACCCGATGAATGGCTCAACTTCGACAATGCGTTTCAGAATTTCTCGGGCTTGCTGGGGGGTTCCGGGGCGGATTTGAGCAATGAGCTGTTTAGGCCGTTGAGTTACGAGATGGAGGACTTTTGACGGTTAGGGAGGACGATAGGATGATGGGGATTTAAGTAGGTTGGTGGTATTTTTGGAGGATTGGGGGGAATGGGGGGAATGGTGGGCTGATGGTGGTTGGTCGGCTGGCTTGGGTCAGTATTGTGTGCTCTTTTATTCTTGTCTGGATAGGTTTCTTTCGTTCATCTGTGTCAGTTTCTTTGTGGTTCGCCCACCTCCCGCCCACTTTTGGATTCATGGCATGCATCGGGGTTCACGGCATGGTGCTGGATGGGACTTGGATTCGGTTCGGACCAACATTGGGAATCGTGGTATCTCTGGGCGCTTATCATGGGTTTTGTTTGGGACGGCTCGAAATCCAGGAATCACGGCGTTGTTGGGCATGGATGATCTGGGTTTTAATAGGGGACTGGGTGTATATGCATGGGGCTTTTTGGCAACAAGGATTTGGGAAACGGCTACGGAGATGGATGGGTCTCGGGCTTTCGGCCGGCGAATTGTAGGAGCGTATAGCAACGCCTCCTTTGCGTCTGAACTACCGACATGTAGAGAGGGACGGAGTGGGGAGGCAAAGAGAGGGAAAGAGAGAGAGAGAGAGAGAGAGAGAGAGAGAGAGAGAGAGAGAGAGAGGAAAAGGATTAGAGAGAGAGAGAGAGGAAAAGGATTACAAGTGCGCGGTGTCACTCCGCCAGGTATCAAATGTCATGTTTTCTGTCTTCGCGGTTCGTGATACATCGATATTTGGATTTGGAGAGTTATGCCTGTTGTGAGCATACCGCGGCCTAGTGGTGGAGTGTTTTTGAAGTGTATAAAGTGCGCTGCGTTCGGCTCTCGAGCTTAGACGCAACTTCTTTCCTTCCAGGTGTATACTTCTACGCAAATGGTTTACGTATGCGTTGAAAGTAGTTGTAGAACAATCATAGGCTAAAAACTAAATCTAATAATCTATCTTAGCAGATATAGGATGAAGAGGACAATCTCTGAACAATCTAGGGTGCAATTGTACTTAAAGACAAGCTAACAAATTTACCTATGTGTAAGAAACAAGGGAATCTAACACTAAACCTAAATTGATCTCTTAGTTTACAGTATATTCTTAAGTAGGCCTCCAATCGCTGGAGTTGCTTCTTTTTTCAAATGTTCTCGAGTGTGACAAGGGTAGCTGACGCCCCCGCGTGAGGAACCTGCAGGTGAAGCTCCACGCCTCCTATTCAATGCACTCGGGTTCCTCACTCATTCCATCCAACCTCATCTTCGCCACGAACATGGCTGTTCCCCGTCCACCTATACACAGACTAGACATCTCAAAGGGATTTGAAACCCTATCTACAAAAGAGAAACATTATGCCCATCACATGGCGCGGTACGTGCCTGCTAGAGGAACGGGGGATGCGAGACCAACCAACTAACAATTCGATGGATCCCAAGCGCTGCGTGGCACGGGGCTAGAATCATCCTCCGCCAAGTATCGCCTGAATCAATCGACATCTTTGATTATATCCTCAAGCTTTACGAAAGTTGCTCTGGAGACTGGAATGTGCTTGTTGTCGAAGGATACATTAGTCGGCGGGACTGCGATGCGTTTTTGGATTATGCAGCGGTGTTTCTGTCAAACCTGGGGAATTACCATGTCCGTGACGTCTCTTTTTCTTCTTCTTTTCTTTTGTTGCTTGTACACTTGTTTTTTTACACAACGTGTAATAACTTAACATTTGCACAGGGCTCCGGCGATCAGAAGTTTTTGCCATCAATCTCCCCTGCGGCGCTGGTCACGCTGTCGAACAAGTCTCCAAGGCTTCAGGCCCTTTATCAGAAAATCTCCAGCGCGATACTGACCGTGCCGCCGTACAGCCTGGGGTACCCGAGCGATACAGCGCAGAGCGCATACTACTTGGGAGACTCGACCATCACCCAAGAGGAGATAGCGGCAATCTCCCAGTGGTTAGAAAAGCAGTCCATCTTCCCCGAAAACACACGTATCCGGAAGATATCCGGCCTCGGGAAATGCACATTCGAAGTCTTGCAAGCATCGGTGGACCGAGATATTGAACCCGCTGAATTCGAATTACCGTCTCTCGGTGCCACGATAAGGGTCAGACGTGGTGATCACTCGGAAGAGCTGGAAAGGATTTGCAATTGCTTATCAGAAGCGAAGAAGTATGCAGCAAATGAGAAGCAGGAGCGCTTCCTGTCTCAATACATTGAGAGCTTCAGGACAGGTAATTTGAGAGCCTACCGTGACTCGCAGCGCACGTGGATCACCGACAAGGGCCCTCGTGTCGAGAATATATTCGGGTTCGTCGAACCGTATAGAGACCCGCATGGTAGTCGCGCAGAATTCGAAGGCTTGGTGGCCATTACGGATGTCGACGAGACAAGGACGTTGATGAAACTTGTCAAGAATTCCAGTACCTTTATCAAAAGACTTCCTTGGGCTGGAGGTACCGAGAACGATGGCAAAGGGCCGTTTGAAAAGGCGCTATTCGAACCGCCAGATTTCACAAGCATTCACTGTATGTCGGATCGACGAATAACCACTGGTTGACTGACCAAAAATGCAGCTCTCGCATATTGCTCGAGCATCATCTTTCCAGGGATCAACTTGCCCAATGTACGTGTATACGCTTGGTACGTCGGATGGCTAATGAGAAGTTGCCCAGTACAATGACATCCGCGATGAATGCGGGTTCAAGAATGTTATTATAGCAAATCGCATGAGCTGCGAAGGCAACAAATCGCACCAAAGTCCCTTCATCGACCCCGCCGAAGTCGACTCTTTCCAGAGAGCAAAGTATCCCGCTTATTACTGGTGGGTGGTTCTTCACGAACTCCTCGGCCATGGCACAGGGAGGATGATGGTCGAGGAGTCGGAGGGCAATTTCAACTTCGACATCCACAATCCGCCGATAAGCCCTTTATCTGGTGAGCCCATCACTAGCTGGTACAAGCCGGGACAAACCTGGACGGGCCAATTTGGTGATTTGGCTACCACGGTGGATGAGTGTCGAGCTGAGCTTGTGTCCGCTTATCTCATGGATGACGAAGAGTTGCTTGGATTGTTTGGATATGATGAGAGTTCTGAGATCACTGCCGAAGATTGTAGGCACATGGAGCATTGCTGGAAAACCGGTGCTGACACTAGTCAGTAACGTATAACACATATTTGCAGCTCGGAACAGATGGTCTGCGTGGACTGGCGAATTATAACGCGGAGAATGGGGTAAGTCACCCAGCTCGACCAATGGATGTACTAACCTCTTCGTGCTAGAAATGGGGTCAGGCCCATAGCCGAGTAAGAGAACCCCTTATCCCGCCATCCAAATCATGACTGAAAGCGATAGGCTCACTTTGCAATCCTCAAATGCCTCTTGAACGACAGCAATGGCTGCGTCGCCGTAGATTATGATGCACAAGCCAAGAGTCTCACTGTACGTGTCGATCGGTCAAAGATCGTCTCGCATGGCAAGCCCGCACTTGGTCGCATGTTGCTACGCTTGCACATATACCGTTGTACCGCGGACGCCGAATCATGCCGCGAGTACTATGAAGAGATTTCGCGGGTGCACGACGAATATCTTGCGTGGAGGGAGGTTGTTCTAGCCAAGCAGGAGCCCAAATGGGTGTTTGTTCAGGCGAATACTTTTCTCCATGACGAGGAGGTGGTCTTGAAGGAGTACCCAGCAACCGTTGAAGGCGTTATTCAAAGCTGGGCTGAGCGACGAGTTTGAGCTAGATTCAGGAGGGCTTTTTTATCTGAAGACGGATTTGCACAATCTAGAGAATGATTTGCACAAACGCAAGGATAATGCGGGGCTCTGAATCCTAGGAGTACTGTGCCATCAGGCGTCGGGCTACAGAAAACTGGATCAGCAGGCAGCAGGCTGCTGGTTAATTGATTAAGTTACCTTAGCTAGGTGCCTCTGTTAGACTGCAAAGTCGATTCGTTGTAGGGTCATACTGCCCGAGCCCAAACCTCACAATCGACATGCCGATAGCACAGTATCCTGATGTGACAGGTGGAATCCACCCTACCCCAAAGAACCGGCGCGAGTTCGTGTCCTTGGTTTCAAATTTGAGGTTTCGGGAAATATGTAGTTCGGAAACAATATATGTCAGGCGTGTCGTCCGTGCAGGCGCTTACGGACTTTTGTGGGCGCTTAACTAGTGATTGGGGAAGGTGGCACCCTTCAACCATCGCACTCTCCTAGTGTTGGCATCACGCATGGCATGGCAGGTCTGTTACCCGCCGGTGGCAGGGTGGGAGGGCAGGCATCTGTGCCGCATGCTGCTCACGGATCATAAAAGATGTCAGCCCTTGCCTCCTCTTTTCCTCATCAGCAAGAGCCATGACCGCTAAGTCTAAGGCAGACAGGTATGTTATGGCAGTTTGAAAAGTCAATCATAAGCGCTGGATACTAACAATCAGACAGAGAGAATCGAACCGCAAGGCCTCTGTGGCATCGTGCACTGGAGCGATATCGAGATGAGCTCAATCAAAACGATGATTACCAGTCTGTTATGGAGACTACGTCTCTCGGTGACCTCCTGAATTACACCAAAACTATCGAGACGAGGATGCCTCGGGATCGAGGTGCCTCTAATTCCTTGCAGCGCCTTGGTCCAACGCTCAAGTTCCTGGATGATTTCTCGGCCGTCATTGCGGGTTGCTTCGGGGCCGACGCTAAATTAACGGCCTTCGTATGGGGTAGCATACGGCTAATGCTGGGTTTGGCATCATCCGCAGGTGACAGTCTGAAGGAAGTCCTCGATATGCTTGAAGAGTTGAGCCTCGCATTACCAAGCCTCAGGACTCATCATACCAGTCTTGATATGGATAGGGAGCTCGAAGCTGCACTCGTCGACGTTTACACTGAAGTCATCTGCTTTTACGCACGATGCATTCATTTCTTCCGGTCATACCCCTCGGTGCTGATGAGACGCGGCGCATGGGAGGAATGTCGTGACGATTTCGCCCGCACACTTCGGCGGCTCCGACGGCTCTCTGCAACAGTCGAAAGGGAAGTAGAGTTCGCCCGCATGAAAGACAACCGCCGCAAGTATGATGAAGTCATGGGGTTAATTGAGAAGTTCAAGGAGACCAGGGTGAATGCGAATGAGCCCAAGCGATACCATTATATCCCTTCTATGCTGAGTCCCAGGTTCTGGGGCAGAGAAGATGCTTTGCATGCCCTTCAAGAGGCGCTGTCACCAGATCAAAATTCCCCTCTGCTGAAGACCTTTGCTCTCTACGGAATGGGAGGCGTCGGCAAGACCCAGATTGCTTTGCAATATGTCAATCTTCGAGAATCGTACAAGACCATCCTTTGGGTCAGTGCTGATAATGTCAGCAATATGGGACAGAGTTTCCGTGAGATTGCGAAACTTCTCGGCCTAGCACAAACCGAGCTGGAACTGCAGGACACGCAAGGCTGCATATTGAAGGTCAGGGACTGGCTCACTGAAGCCTGTAAGTCTGTGCCTGTCGTTTCATATCGGACCCATCCCTGCCACCACGATGAGACTGACCGCAAGATAGCCGATCCATGGATCCTGATATTTGACAATGCAGACGACCTCAAAGTGTTACGGCACGCCTGGCCTACATACGGCCAAGGAGCGGTGCTAGTAACGACGCGGGATCCGAATGTGGTGCACAGTCCTGCCTCAACAGGCTTTCGCGTTCAACCTTTCGACGCCGCAGAGGGTTCCGAAGTGCTGCTAAACTTAGTAGGCCTCGATAGTACATCAAAATTGAACCGTGAAAAAGCGGTTGAGATTATGGACACTCTTGGGGGCCTACCTCTGGCTCTCACTCAGATTGGAGGCTTCATCGTGCAACGAAGGCTACCTCTCCGAGATTTCCTTCCATTGTACGAGCGCAACGCATCCGAAATTGACGCACGTAAAACCAGCATAAGCGATTACGAGCACACCCTGAGTACGGTATGGGAAAAGTCTATGAGGGAGCTAGAAGGAGACGCCCAAACCCTGTTCAACCTGCTACCATACTTCCAACAGGATGGCATAGATGAGATGACTTTATCGCAAGGCTCCATTGGCCTCAATGCGTCTGGTTATGAATTTCTTCATGATGATATGGAGTAAGCCAAACCTCTTACCGCCTCTACTACACCTTAGTAACGTTGGATTCCAGCTTAGGCGACGCTGAAGAGGCTTTGCTCAGGACCGGTCTCATGGACAAGAATGCGGAGACCGCACTTCTGTCCACCCATCGCCTTATACACGCAGCAATTATTCGTAACCAGTCTCCGGAGACTCGAGAAGTAATTTTTGACGTGGTTGTCCGTATCCTCAGCTGGGGTTTTCCCGATAGCTTGAGTCGGGATGTCGGTCACCAATTTCCGTCGTGGGCAAACTGCGAAAAATACCTTCCGCATGTCAATCATCTAGTAGCTCATCGAAAGAGACATAAGATTGGGCTTGTGAAATCCGAGAGATATGGTAAATTACTTCTTCGACACAGTTGGTAAGCATGCAGAATGCAACGACTGCACCGTTGTTATACTGATCTGGCAAGGTACCAATTTGCACTGGGGTGTTATGATGTCGCCAAATCCCTGATCATCGAGGCTCTGGAGACATGTGAGAATAAGACCACATTGTCATATGCCAGTGCGGTCGATTCCTCTGGTCTCATCGATCTCGGTCCGATGAAGGGGCTCATAGCATTTGAAGAAGCGTATAACATTCGAAAATGATATTGGGCCCCACTGACGGTATGACTGCCTCGAGTCTCACGAACATAACGCTCGCGTATACTGAAATGTGGGAACATGATAAGACATTCGCAGCACACGTAAAAGCCATTTGTATTTGACTTAGTAAGAAGAGTGATAGGATTGGTAACTCGTACAGCAACATGACCAGCTTGCTGTTGAGAATGAAGAGGCCCGACGAAGCGGAGGAAATGCTCAAGCGATGCCCCTCCCTCAAAGACTTCACGGATGAGACGTTCATCAAGACCGGAAACCCGCGTTTCTCGGGGGACATGGTCCTGCTTTCTCGTATACGATTACAGCAAGGCAGACTTGACGAGGCTCTTAAAGTTGCTGAAAATGCTTTAGATTTCCGCAGGAAGCTGCTGGGAAACCGGCTGAAGACCTGCGATTCGCTCTACGATGTAGCAAGTCTTTTGCATATGCACGGGAACACCACTTCAGCAATGTAAGTAGATCCTCGCATAGTCCGCGGCAGCATTGGCTAATACAGTGTGTAATAGTGAGCTCCTCGGCCAACTGGTGGATATTGCGGGCTCGATACCCGAAGGCAAGGGGCAGCTTGCCCGAGCTTATTTCAAGCTCGCTGTTCTGCACCAGGAGAAGGGGAGGCATAGCGAGAGTAATACCTATCGGGAGATGGCCGAAAGTCTAAGGGCTGAGTTGAAGCCGGAAGCCGTGGGGGCTCCCTTCAACGAGGAAGAATTCATGAAACTCTGCGTGTGGATGTTGTGGTAATAACCTCAACAACCAGCTGAACAGTATTTGACTCTCGCTTTATAACTCAGTTGATAAGAATATCAGATCAAATCTGCAGGGAGGACCATTTGGACACGAATCCACCATCACCATATGCTTAACTGTAAGATCCACTCAAGTTCGATAAGCAAATTCCCAGGTAGCTAGCCAGTTGACGAGATACCACCAGGGATGATCCAAAGTCATAAAACATAACATTCATCGACCAACTAGCAAGATGTGACCAGACATCAAACATTCATCGACCAACTAGCAAGACGTGGCCAGACATCAAACATTCATCGACCAACTCGCAAGATGTGACCGGACATCAAACATTCATCGGCCAACTAGCAAGATGTGACCAGACATCAAATGGACGGGACAATACAGTGCGCTCCCTTCAGCCTCACGGAGGCTCTATGTGCCAATCAAGGTGACATTGCCATCCTCAGTCATTGAGACACCAACTGATCCGCCCACACAATCCAGCTACGACCATTGGAATCCGGGCTTCGCGGGCAACCAATGCAAACGTAGTACTGTCTTCCGTAATGCACGCCCTTTTGGGTAGTGGCAAGCTGCGTCCTCAATGAGGAATGACAGTTGCGGCAAGCCGGCATTCGGGGCCGTCGCTGTGGTGGAGGAGGAGTGGGAGCAGCAACCACGGCAGTCTTTGAGAAGGCGTTAGTATGAGAGGTTTCGACAATGGGCGCGCCTGCAGACCTGTTGTTGTACTGTTGTATGGTGGTGATGATGATGTTCTTGGACGTATACTTTCTTCCTGCCGAGGCCGAAGAGACCCATGGTGTGTACGTGTGTTGGATGGTGGATATTGTAGAGTTCAGTCTAGGTTGTAGCGGAGAAACAACAAGTAATCCCCCAAAACGCCAGGGTTGAGCGAGGAAGAGGCACACCTTACGACAAGGGCGAAGTGACCGCGGGTACTTATAGTCTTCGAGCATATGGCGGCGGGGTCGCTGAGAAGGATTCCAATAAATGCTGTACCGCCCAACCCGCATGGACAGCCTTTTCGTAACCTTTGGCGAGTATACTGGGAATGTAAGCCACGAATCCGCAAGGGACAGTGATAGCAAATCGTTTTTGCCCAGTCCTCTTCAAAGGGAAGATTTAAGCGATGAGCTCCGTGAGCTCGTAAGATCATGCATGCACACTGCGTGCGTGCTTTGTCAAGCGGATGAGTTTCAGCCTTGTCCCAAATATCTACTGGGTACTGTTGAGTTCGCACGAACTCCTTGCCTCTGAAAGGAGAATAAACACTCTGCTAACGACGTAATGCAAACATCCAATACCTCGAGCGGTTCAACTGAAGTCTAGTCGCCTTGACAAACGCCTCTGGTGAAGCACCTACGGGTACCCAGCGCGTACACTGGACATCTTCACCATACGGCAGTTCGACGACTCGTATTCCATCCCGAGCTATTGGGCTGAAGTGCCACCCTGCATCCTTCAGAGCCCGTCATAGGCTGCAAACTCCGCCTCGATAGAAGGCTGCGCGTCCATGTACCACAGTACTGTGTAAGCATTGGTTTAGCGCCCGGGCTACGTCATGAGAGTTGGAAATACCTGGTTAGAACAATTCCATCATAAACCTTCGATACCAAGAAGTTTTAGACTGGTTTACCAGGGAATAGAGAAGCAACTGAGCACTACGGTCCTGTTCTGCTGTGTAGACGTATAGCTGACCCAATGTAGTTTCAAGGAGGCTGGAACTTGATAGCTAGACCGAGGAAGCAGTCCATTGGAACAGAAAGTGAAAGGAAAGGACATTCCAATTGGCATTATCCAGTGACCAAAATGCCCATTCACACACCATACTTCAATGTCTTCAGCCACACCGAATATGTACGCGCCCTACTCCGTAAATACCCCCGGGACAGCACAGCCGGCGCCATCTCCCGACATATTAATCTAGTTATCTCTCCTTTTCCAACATGGCCTAGAATTGAACTGCTGAGCAGCATCAATTGGACAGCAAACAAGATTCGACAGACATATCCTATTCGGCCTCCTATCCACCCAGCTGCGTTCGAGTCCATGATGACTCAGGGCTGCCACACACCGCTCCAGCAGTCTACTTGCAAAGAGCTCGATATTCTTTTCGCGCACCGCCAAATTTGGCAAACAGGCAACCTCCTTTGCGTTCGAATCCCTCGTTCTTAGGATGAGAATCCCGCAGCAAGACTTCACTGTACTAAATTGTACACGTAGGGGCACAAGTTGTAACTGCATCCTTGCCGCCCAGGGAGCTTGAAACATTCAAGTCGCGCTAAACGCAGAAGAATTTAGGATTTGGCAAAGATGCACAATTATTTCGTACTTCTTAAGCTTAAATAATAAGATTTGCAACTGCTATAATGCAGCTCATTTCCTCCTCGTGCAACAAAAAGGTCTTACATCACAGGCCGCATCCGCAATTTAACAATCATCCATCCCAACCCCAAACACCAGCACATCTACTCCGACCATCATGCACAACCCACGCTCAACATCCAACCCAACCATTTCCTCCTCAATAGTCCGTCAACTTCAACCTCCTTCCAATGTTGCGCCTGACCACGTCCTTTTCGATCGCCTGCTGCGTCTCATCCTTGACCTTGAGTGCCTGCTGGAGCAGGCCAGCATCGAAGAAGCCATCTGAAGAAGAGAAGAATCAGTAAAATGAAGACAATATGAGAAGGTGAGGCGGGACGGGGAACGAAACCAGGGAAGAAAATCTTGTCTATGAAGAGCTGCAAGAAACATGCAGTGAGACGTTAAGGGCCGAAGAAGCGAGAAAATGTCAACACGTAAAATACACCTTCTTAACCACTGTATTTGATCTCTTCTCGACATGCACGTGCCGAACGGGCGTATGCAGTCGCAAAGAGCTCATGTGAACAGTGGTGAGAGGAGTAAAGGGAGGAGAGGAGGGAGGTGTTGGGGGAAGAGCGGAAGACAATGTAATCTTTGCAACTTGTTTTACGTCAAGAGGAGGGGAAGGGGGTGCCCTACATCCACCGAGACCATCATCGTCAGATTCGGTGACATCGTCTGGGATGGGTGCGGAAGGCTTCCCATCAGTTACGACTAGTCGGCCGCGGCTCTTCATGCGGGTGGGCTTGGGACGGTTCTCGAGCTCTCGCGCTCTTGTGGCATTCTTGTCAACGGACGTTCCGCGACGCTTGACCAGTCGAAGAAGCCTGCGCATCTCGAGGAGATAGGCTTCCAACGCATCGATGAAGCGCCCCGTTTGCCTATGCTTTGACGACGCACAGATGGAGATGCTGCCGTCCTTGATGATGTAGCCAATGCCGAATCCATCTGCGGCCGTTGGCCCAAAGCCGAATTGTCTTAGGGATGGATTGCCGCAGTTGCTGGTGGAGAGGATGGTTGTGTTGAGCTTGTCCCATCCAGAGTCGGCGAAGAGGGCGGGCATCGTATGCTGCACAGCGGCAGTGGCAGACATGACCGACCCCGATTCGGATACGATTGAGTCGCGGTGGAAAGTCCCGGTTCGCTTGGCCGAAGCGTCAGAACTTGAAGTGCGTGTCGAATCGTACCCGTCAGTGCTTTCCATGTCGTGGGTCACCTGGTCGATGGCTCGCTGCCAGATGCAGTAGAGGGCGTACAGGTGACGGTCGCAGCCTTGCGCCTTGGCCGAAACTTTCGTGTTCTCCGTGTGCTTTTGGCAAGCCTTGCGGAGTGCTTCCACCTTTTGGCCCGGGGGGTTGTCTCCCCAAAACGTCTTTACAAACTCGACTGATTCTTCAGTGACGCTACGAATTGCCTCGGTGCGTCCGTGGTGGAAAAACTTGGTCATAGCAGGCTCATAGACGCACTCCATGCGGCCATAGAGGCCGTAGTAGGCGGCTTGAAAAGCCATTTGCACAAAGGCATCCGGCGAGAAGCCCATGCTCGTCATAAAGTTCTTGCCATAGGCGGAGAAGTCTAGCGTTGCAAACTCGTTCTGCTGAATCAGGTCGGCCAGGCGCGTCTCTGCAAAGCGGAGAGCAGTTACGAGCTCCGGAATCATGTCCCATTCCAGCTTGTGGGGGGTAGTCTGTACCTCTCCAAAGCTATCGGGATCCCGCTTGGCCGGGTCCGGGCTGCTCGTTGCCCACAGACTGGGCGCGCCTCCGTTGATGGTTTTCGCAAAGCGCAGAATGGTGTCCGTATACAAGTCCGAGGCGAAGCGGAGCACGGTGTGGCCGTCGACGCCAGTGTGTTCAAAGTTGATGCCTGCACTTCCGTTTTTGCACACGATGATTTGCAGCTTGTCGTACCACCGGTTCGTGCATGTGCCCACTTGGACTCCCCTTTCGATCTTGCTGGTTCCGCACAGCATGTTCATGCACAGGTCGGCCTCGGTCTGCGGCTCAGTGTAGTCGAGACAGAGCACGAACAAGGCAGAATCGACAATGTTGAGGCAATCGGAATTGTTGGAGCCCTCCTCCCTGTGCAAGAGGTCGCGAAGTCCGGACCATACCTTCCGGTTTTCCGTAGTCAGCACTCCCAAGGAACTCTTAGCAGCATCCTGGATGGGAATCGTTTCCGCGTCCTCGATGATGACTTGGAGATTGAGCGCAATGTCCTTCTCGGTCATGATGAGGTCCGAGTTGTCGTCAAGAACGTCGAACCAATAGAACTGGCCTTCGCAAAGGACGACGATGTGCTTGGAGGTGGGATCTTGCCCAATCTGGCAGCCGTGTTCGGTAGGAATTCTCGCGGTACCAAACAGCCTAGAGTACTGGTACATGCAAAGCGGCGTGCCACGAACCGTGTCTGGGGGCAACTCCTCTCGTCGCACGGCGCGAACAAACGACAGTGCTGAGACTACGAGAGAAGCTGCGCGGTTGACTTGATTGTTGCGGGCTGGGGTGGGGTCGTCCTCGAGTAAAAAGAAGGGATTCAGATTGAGCACCACGGGATTGTCGAAGTTCAGATAGGAATCGTACCCTGACGGCGAGTTAGCATGCTGGGCAACCGATATCTGTAGCGGTTGTGCACCCGAATGGGGAAAGCCGAGCAGAGAAGAGGAACGACTTACAAAACTGCTCAATGTAGTTTCCCTTGTCTGCTGCATACTTCTTTAGCTTCTCTTGCAATGCCGGACCGTCGTGCTTGAGAAACTCGTTGACAGCCACTACGGTTTCATTGTGCTCGCGCGGACTCTGCAGAGGCTTCAGTGCAGCAAGATACTTGTTGCATGTACTCTCCAATTCCGGAATGGGTAGCCTCGGGAGCTTCCCTTCGTGAGCAAAGGTGATGCCCGGTTTAGAGTCGTTGGCACCGCTATACTTCAAGGGGTCCTTTGCCTCAGAAGGGAAGGATTGCGTACTGTCCCTCGCCGAGGCCACAGAGCGTGCTGCGGAGTCGGCTTCGCTGCCCGTCATGGCGGCGGCGGTTGCCAAGGACTCGTTCAACGAACTTGGTGTGGAAAAAGTGCGAGCTGCCATGAGAAGCAGTTAGTTAGGCGTGTAGAGGGCAGACGAATGTGCAAATGGACAAGAGGCGCAAAGCGCTACGGTAGAAGTAGTGGCAATCTTGGAGACAGTAGAATGGCATTGGAGTGCGCAGTGCGAAAGGAGTCGAGCTGGACGCGTGAAAGCAGGAGAAGGGTACATGCAAAGGTAGCATGAGCCTTTATAAAAGAAATAGGACGAAAGGGAACAGTTGGCATGGAAGTACTCGGGCACGTGGTTTACCCGCATGTGAAACGCTAGATGTAGTCTATAATTACGGAAAGGTATTGGACATGACTGAGACATGCGGATCCACCAACTCGGGAGTTGACCCGCATATGATGGTATCAGAAGGGCAGAATAAAATAGGGTCACTTACTGCGGACGGCCGAGTAGTGATAATCTGAGGAGGGGCTGTCGGAGCTGCAGAAGTCAATAACGTGCAATGTTGTTGCTTACCGGACAAAGCGTCGACGTCAAACAGTGAAGCACAATCGAGAACGGGAATATGAAAACGTGTGCGTGTGAGGATCAACACTTTCGGCCAAGAGGGTGTTCCTTTGGCTACCTATGGTCAGCACCGAGGGGTAGCTAGGGGGGTGTGGTGGGAGAGGCGCTATCAGTTGCTACGGACGAGTGGAAGTTGATGGGGTAGGGGTGAGCTTTTTAATGGAGACGCAGCGTCCGATCCAAGGGCCAGGCTTTCGACCGGTTAATACGAGGGATACAGGTATCGCAGTCTGTGATATAAACACAGTACTGTGTAGAGAGCAGTGCTGTGTTGAGGGGAGTTGAGTTTTAACGCAGGTTCGCCATGCTATGCCGTCATTTGTCTCCCACGCCTCCAACGCTGTTTGACGGAGGATTCCTTTTTGCCAGTCACCAGACGCCAAGCGGAGTCGGTATGGGCGAAGCGTGCCAAAACCACACCAAACCTAGTGCATCCGCGGACGGCGGCCAGTGTGCGGGGATGATGGGGGCGACGGGGTTTGACGGGGACCTTGGGCGAGGCTGGGAGGCTCAGAAGGAAGTAGAACTCGACGGATGTGACGTCGTGCGAAGAGTGGAAGCGTGGGGAGCAATGGAGCATGGGCAGGGGATCTGACTTCGCACGTGACTGCTGCAAACTGCCCCTCCTGTCTTAGTCAGCATTTCCAAAGCTCCAACTTTGCGACTGCCTTGCGCTACCGCGCTCCTTCACCGTGGCACGGTGGGAGCCATTCTACCCGCTCCCCTGAAGTCCGTAAAGAGGCTCGAACGCGCTGCTCGCATGCCTCCTCCGCAGAGCCGCGCAAATGACATTTCAAGTTGACCCATGACGGATCTGCTGCAGGTGCTGCCTGACTTCGACTCCAGGCCGTACTCACACCTGCTCCCCTCGCTGGAAAGGGCCCTCATTTCTGTCAACGACCTGCTCACACTTGAGCCCGGTGACGTTGCAAAGCGCGCCCAGCTGCCAGTACCGGAGGTGCGGAAGCTCCTCGATGCCATTCTCCGGGATCTTCACCAACACCTCGGTTTCGGAGAAGAGGAACTCCCTGCGTCGTCGACGCATCTTCAGGCTCCACAATATGGATGGCCTTGCATAAGCACCCTGGACAGCGAGCTTGATGCCGCCTTGGGCGGTGGCATTCATCCTGGACACCTGGTCGAGGTGACGGGCGAGAGGTATGTTGGTTGTGGCTTGGCACTTACTATCCCTTCCCTACTGAGACTGAGACCATGCAGCGGCGCCGGCAAGACACAGCTATTGCTAACCCTCCTTCTCTCCTCGCAGCTCCCTGCACCTCACGGTCTGGCCAAGTCGGCCGTCTACATCTCCACCGAGGCGCCGCTCGCGACCAATCGTCTGACCCAGCTGCTGTCCACACACCCGTCGTTGGCCTCGCTGCCAGCGAAGGATAAACCCTCTCTGTTGCGCATACTGAGCATCCAAACACCCGATCTCGAGTCTCAGGAACATATTCTGCGCTATCAGCTGCCAGTAGCAATCAAAAGGCACCGAGTCGGTCTTGTAGTCTTGGACTCCGTCGCCGCCAATTACCGTGCCGAATTCGAGAAGAAGGGAGAACACGATGGAGCAGCTTCACTAGCAAAGCGTGGGACTCAACTTGTGCAGCTGGGTGCTCTACTTAGAGGTCTGGCTCGCTCTGAAGGTATTGCTGTGGTGGTTGCCAATCAGGTTGCCGACAGGTTTACCAAGCCGCCACCACCACCATCTACTGCCGCATCGCGTACATGTTCGGCCAACACCCAGGGAAGTGCATCTCATACTCCCAATGTCGTGAGCGACGAGGACGCGGCCGATGCTCCGCCACAGCCAGTTGAGTGCGCCTTCCTGTCACCGGATCCTCTGGCGCTGGACCACCAGCAGAATTGGTTCACCGGATGGGGAGATGTGCGATCGGATGCCCCGCACAGTCTAAGGACACCGTCGCTGGGACTTGTGTGGGCAAATCAGCTGTCTTGTCGCATCGCCTTCATCAGGCGGCCAGTCTATGCACACCGGCCGCTCGTGGTGACTGTGGACGGCGAAGAGCGTTTGAATGACGAGGAAGTGCACATCTCGAAGTGGCGTCGCTGGTTCAAGGTAGTCTTTTGCCCCTGGGCCCCTCCATCGGAAGGTCGCGGCGTGGAATTCGAGGTTCTGAGGAGCGGCATTCGACATGTGGGTGATTAGGGGTTGGACGTGGCTATGACTACCCTACGCATTGCAACGTCGGAATATATAACTTAACCCGGTTGCAGCTGGCTAGATAATTTCGAACGCCTCTTGACGCTTCATACTGCACACTCCCCTCAATCTACATCCGCTAGATCTGAAGTCGAATCAGCCAAGGTGACACAAAACAAAAGGAGAGAACCGTGAACTTATCCCTCCCCTTGCTCTTAACGTAAGCAGGCCACGTCACGTGAGTGGCAAATATCACCAAGTGTCCACCTGCAGGCAAGACCTAAGATGCGCTTTGCTAACTCTCTATTGGCTTTAGGATAAGCACTCTTACGGTAATGCACATACTATGTGCTACTGTCGGCTGTGGCATGCGATCAGAGGACCAATCCTTAGTAAACACAGCGTCGAGGCTGAACAAGTGTGAAGCTGCAGAGAACACCAGCCTCGTTCTTCCCAAAAGTCCACGACCGTGAAGCGATCCGACTAATGCACAATGACGGAACCCAAGTGCAGTCAAGGTCACTGCTTTGGATGCAGTGGGAAGTATAATGCCACATCGAAACGGGAACCCTAAGAGTGGCTTAGTGAGCTTCCTTAGCTTCGTTCACTATTCAGCAGTCAACGCAAAGACACATCGGGCAGCAGCCCTCACACAAAATCCTGAGAGGAGAATGCCCCTCTTTTCCCCTACATCTTCATTCATTCATTCACCTGTGAATGTCAGGACAAGCGGCATCACATTGGGAAAACCAAAAGGAGAATTGCTCTCTGTTATTAGGAGTAGGAAAATGTAGAAAAACCCCAGGAAGAAAAGGTTTTTGTGTGCCGATTTTCCTACAAAGTAAGCGTGCAATTCTGTTCTGCCTTTTCGCATTTGCATCTCTCACACATGTGATATACGAACACACTCTTGCCCGACTGCCCTTTCCTCCTACCCAGTTCTCGTGCCATTGTGAACTCCGTTACTGCCAGAATTACGCCCGTAGGCAGTATGCATACTACCAGCGGCTTCTGTTACTATTCCCTTGTAGCTTCCAAGATTCATCCCACTCGCGGTCTATATCGGACCTTCCTTCGTCACACGCGCCCATCTCCAGATGGATGCACCATGCACGGACCCCACTGACGTCCTCTGGTATATAAAAGGCAACCTTGACGCACGCTGCTCGAATCTGCGAACTATTCACTCCACATATTTCTTATCAACAATACATGAGACGACATGTTCCGGCCCAGGCTCGCCACCAACGCGGCTTCATCGCTCACCCGGGCATCATCCCAGACGAAATGTCAGACCCGTGCATTTCACCCATCACTGCGTAAGACACCACCACTACTCCCACAAGAATTCTCAAAAGCTTAGAGTAACAGGTCCCAGAATGGTCCACTACAATCGTGTCGCTCCTCTCGTTGCCAGGGACGTCGAGCGCATCGAAGCCCAACTTGACCAAATCAGTACACAGATCGCTCAACTGCGACACAAAGTCGACGACCTGAAGGGCGAGATATCCGCCATAAACCTCACCATAGAGAAACGATTTCGGCAATTCTATGTCGGCGGTAGCTATGCGGTAACGTTTATTCCGCTCTGAACATCATTTGCATGCGAGATTCTGATTCAGTCAGGTCCTAGCTATAGGTGCCGCGGCCTTGCTGCTCGGGGTATCGTGCATTCCACCTTACCTCGAGAACATGCGCCTGGATGCGCAGCTTGAACTCCTCAATGAGCGTCGGTCCCCAAAAGGCAGGGGCGCAATTTCCTAGACATGTAGCACTTGCATTTCCCACACTCTCCTCTCTTGGACAATAGTGCAGTGGCACTCGTTGTGTATTACTACAGGATACTCATTATGGAATCTCTACTTTGCAGATGTCTTTTACCATACGCGTGTAGTGCTATGCAACCTTCTATCCCACAAATTCCCCTGCCTAACATACCCCACAAGTCCTTCCTCCTTCACGAGGAGTCTGTCCTTCCCATTTCCATGATGCTCCACAAACGAGTTTACTCCATATCACCTGCCATCTCAGCAGCAAATATTTCACAGATTCCGTGATTCTTAACCCAAAATATAACTAGAATCGAAGAATTAAAGGGGAGAATCAGACCTGCCCAAAACAAATGCGCGAACCACCACCATGCCCACACACCCCTCACTTGAAGAGGACCCACCTCAGTGTTGGCCCCCTCCCATCCATGTCCGGAGTTAATACCATCACAACACCATCACTAAAAAAACAGATGACGGAGGGAGAAAGCAGAGGACATGGTACCTAGCGCACGGCTGACGGATCGAGGAAACGTTACCGACTGTTACATGAACGGATGAACAAAGGAGCAGACGGATCTTGAAACACGCGTGAAAACGGCCACAGACAACAGAGGCATTCGAGCATGAACGTGGAAGGAATATCTCATCGCGGACTAAGAAGTTCATTTTCAGCACCATTTTATACCACGCGAACACCGCATGCGCCCCCTCGCCATTAGCTTATAAACCTGTTCTTACATCCTCCACCGAGAATCCGGCACAGTGGAAAGCTCAAACCTGGTACGCGTTTCCCCCCATATTGATTGTCGACGGTAAATGGAACCGTCTGGACAGAGTGGCATCGTGAGCATTCCAGCGTCGTGAGACCTTACTCTACCGTGATGAAAAGACAAGTGTACATGTGATAGGAAACCCTAGGCTGTTGCGAAAGTGGAAATTGAGCAACCGCCGTAACTATCTGAGCACGTAGAAGACGCGGACATTTTCAGTCGCACGACTCTGTGCCGAGTTAAGACAACGGCGCGAACAAGACATCTAAGGCTAGCCACGCCGACCTTGGCCCATTGCTGCATTGGACAACTGGTTGGCCACGTTGACCAGGGCGGAGATGCGGCGAAGGAGCGGGTTGTTCGGTGAAGTCTCATTGAGGCGAATGTAGACCGAGGTCAAGCGCCCCTTCATGACCTCCATGATCTTGGGTACAATGTCGACGATTTCGGGATGCTACGCAGACCGTTAGGGAAATACTTTGCATAGAATTGCAGCACTTACCAGTGGATCGACATTCTGCAAGACGGCTTCGAGCCATTCAAGACGCTCCATGGGATGGTCCTCAAAGTCCTCCGTGACCACAGCACCAGCGGACAAGTTGAGCAGCGGCGGGACCCGGCTCAGGTAGGCAGGGCTGTAATTGGCAAAAACGGAAGCAAACACCTCGGACGGGCGGCCTGACTGCAGCCACTTCATGGTACCCTCCTCGAAATTGCCTTCAGACAAGAGGCGCGCAATGGTTTCGTCCTCGAGCTGGGCCGCAGTCTTGTGCGGAGGCTGCACCGGAGCACGCGATGCGCTCGGCGGTTGGACAGCTGCACCCGACCTGGGCTCCTGAACAGGTTGCTGTTGAAGCTTTGCAAGTCGATCCAGCATTTCCGCTTGTGCACCGGCCATGGACCGGACAGTATCGCTCAGTTGTTGTACGGCATCGCTAAGCTGGGTAATCTTGGCAGCATCGGCCTGGCGCTGAGCCTGTGCTTGACGAAGCTGGTCGCCGATCTTCTGCTCCAAGCTAGACGAGAGGGCAGATGTAGCATTCTGAACCAGAGAGCCAGTGGAAGCGAAGCTGGCTTCAACAGCCCGCTTTATCACACTGTCGGAAAATGCTTGCATGACCACAGGTGTCTTCAAGGCTTTGGAAACCGACTCGGGAATGTCCTTGGCCAGCTGGGCATTCACCATCGTCTTTAAGTTGCTGGAGATGGCCTTGTTCAGAGCAGTGGAAGTCTCCTCGAGCAACTTTGGGAGCAACACGTTGCGCATGTTGTCCTCTACCATGGCGCGGATCACGCCTTCCACGTTTTCTCTCAAGGTACTAGCGACGACGCGGAGCAGTGCATCTTGATTCGCCCCGCTAGCAGCCTTTTGGGCGCGCCTGTCATCGTCGAGACGCTTGTACAACGTCCCCATCTCCGTTGAAAGCCCTCGAGTGACCTCGGCCTTGACCAGCTCAGCAATCTTGCTTGCGTCAAACTCGGCCGCAGAAGGCGCGGTTGACGGGGCTTGGGCGGCTCGCTGGCTGACGATGAGCTTCTCAAGTCGCTCCAAGACATCTGACATGGGAGCACTAGTGGAAGCGTCGGTTGGTTCAGGCGGGACAGGTGACTTGGAAGGGGGCGTAGTCTGCGCAGCTTGTGCATACGATCCGGTTGCTGCACGTGCGTTGGAAGACGCCGAGGTGGCAGACTCCGCGGCCGCGCGCTTCTTTCTCTTCTTGTCGGCCTTTTCACCTCCACTGATAATAGCAGCGCGAGCCGCATCCTGCTTGCTCTCCACCTTTGCAAGAGTGGAAGCACGCATGGCAGCTTCGGGTGTCATGGACTGCCTCGAAATGCTGCTGCTCTCCTTCTTGATTGCTTCGCGCGCAGATCGCTCCGAGGTCGACTTGGCCGCAGACGTGTCGCCATTGGATGATTCCTCTTGGCTGGGGGTTACATGCTTGAGGGGCGAGACGGCAATGATGCCCGCCTCGCTCGCCTTGACCGGCTTGTATGGTTGGCTCTCCTTCCTCCAGCCCAGATCGCTACGCCGCACTGCAATGGTGCATACTCCCTTGGAGTGCATCACGTAGAGGTCAAAGAGGGCATTGTTGTCGCCATTTTCTGGGTCCTCCGGTCCAATCGGCTCGTTTAGCATGTATATGCTTCGAAGTTGCCCCTTAGGAGCAAATGAATACTCGGAGAAGCTCCCCATGATGGCCGTGGCAGTGACAGGCGGCAGCGGGGGTTGACTGCGGTCGTTCTTGGAAGCTAGGCGCTCAAGGTACGCTGCCTGGCTCATGCTCGGGAGGTTGTACCGCGGACACGACACGTGGATGAAGAAGATGGAATTACGAGTGGGATGGGCGACGGCCATGATGCCGGTCTTCGGGTGGAAGGCAACGCTGCAGATGGCATCAGACTCCTTCTCATGAGGTAGGTTGATCTCCTGGACAGCCTTGCCCAAGCCCAGATCCCACAGCTGGAAAGTATGGTTCTGCTTCATGCCGACCATGCAATATCTCAAAGCGATGCCCCGCGTAGAGGGGGCCAGCTTGTCGAAGAAGAAAACCGATGTTGGCCATGACTTTGCGGCAGGTGATGTCGTGTGGAATTCAAGAAGCGTTTCCGAAACTTGAATCTGGCGAGGCGGCGTCGCCGGAAGCCCCAGCTCAGGATGCGTGAGCGGACGGATGTCCCAGAAGCGCATCCTTCCAGCCTTATCTAGAGAGACAATGACTGTGTCATCCTCGCTGAATGCGAAGTCCTTGCCGGCCTTGCCGGTATGGATTCGGAGCGAGCGTTCCTTCAGATACTTGTCCGTCTGGCAGATGCCCCTACCTCGGACGTACTCAGCGGCAACCTTGGGCCAAATGATGTGAATCGACTTTCCTCGACCAACAGCAAAATACTCGGGATGCCGGGAAGAAGGCTTCGCACGTGTCTTGAGTTGACCACCAGATGTGTTATCATCTTGCGTGGGCGAGGGAGGGAGGACGATTCCGTGAGTATCCAAATAGTCGCTAAAATGATCTTCTCTGGTTGGGTCCAGAGACGTCCAGAACACAGATCCATTGACGCCTATGCCGAGAATGCTCTCGACCGCATCTGGTGAATCGTTGGCTGGAGTGCAGATGGAAATGTTGAAAATCCTTTCATTGTGGCTCTCAAAGAATTGGCGAAATCTGCCGTCATCTTGCCTGATGATTCTGAAGCCTCCCTTCGTGACGAGAGCGTAAACGATGAAGTTCTTCGACGCCGCTACCAGCGAGCGGTCAATCTGATCAAACCCCTTCTTCAGACGGGCGATGTCCATGATAACGGCGGCGTCAAGGGTCGCGCGACGCTGCGGCAGGTTCTCCAGAGTAATGGACACCCAGGGCTGCATTGGGAGCATGAAGACTGTTACCGTCTGGTCATTCTCTTTTGCAGCACTCGCGTCCGTCTCGGCAGCCTCCCAGTTGTCGGCGATTTCCTCTGTGGCAGATTCTTGGGCACCTTGCTCCTTGGGCTCTTTCACCAAGTCTTTGCCGATCGTTGCCTTATCCTCGGTTGCTCTGCCATTTGTCTGGGCTTCAGCAGCTGGCTCATGGGATGCTTCCACTTGTTGTTTGGTCGCTTCCGGAGATGCCTGGTCCGGTCCCTTGGAAGCCAGGGCTTCAGAAACCGTCTCCGCCTTGGCGAGAGCCGCCTCGACCTGCTGTTTGACCTGTGGCCCAAGGCTAGTCACTGCCTCGGCAACAGTCTGAGGCGTCTGTGTAGATTCCTCTGAGAGTTTGCGTGACTTGTGCGGAAGTCCCTTGTCCTCATCGCTAGCATTGGACGAGCCCTCCAGGGCATGCTTCGGCTTCAAGACTTCCTTCTTCCCCGCAACTTCAGGAGGTCCTCCGGTATTCCCTCCACGAAGCACCGGCGTGCGACGAGGGCTCGCGGCCTCGAGCTGGTCGAAGGGATTGATGTACGTGAATAGGGGTTTGGTGGGCGCTGCTGGTTGGAACGAGCTGGTCTGCGTCGGTTCCTCGGAGCCAAAGACACGCATTGGAGAGTTGACGGAGGGCACTCTAGGTGTCTCTGAAGGACCCGGCTCGACAATTGCGTCAGCCGGCTTGTCCTCAGGCCTGGCCTCCACGGCCGTTTCTGGCACTTGTGGAGAAGCAGTCGAGGGGGCATTGAAAGGACCGGATGACCCTGTCTGAGACGGTTTCTGGTGATTGAGGAGTCGAAGCAGCAAATCCTGCGAACTTCCCGAAGGCCCTGTGGCTTGCTCCGACCTCGTGGCAGGCATGGACGCCGCGGGTGCAGCTTGCGGTGCTGGGGGAGACATGGCGCCCATCAAGCTCGCAGAGAACTCAGAGATGGAGATTTGCCGCGGCTGGCCATTTGCATCACTAACTGTGCTTGCCGTATGCGGCTGACGCTCATGTGCTGGAACATATGGCTTGGAGCTGGGCCGCTGAGTATTGAAGCGAAGCAGGCTGAGCAGTTGTGCGGACTGCTGTTGTTGCTGGGGGGTTGAGTGGGCGGGACCGGGCTGCTCACGCGTTGGCGTGCCAGCAGCAGACGTATTGGGCGACAAGACGGCAGATGGGTGACGCGGTTCGGCACCATGTGGGGATGGGGTGAATATGGGCGACGAGACGCTGGCTTGGAAGCTGGCGCGGTTGCCAGAAGCAGCAACAGGAGCAACTGGGGCAGGCGCACCGGCGTGGCTGTTGAGACGAGCAAGAAGCTCTTGTAAATCGGACATGGTGACGCAGCGCAGCAATCTGGCTTGCCGTCAGTTGGATCATGCGAGAGAGTGAGAGCGTGGGATGAGGTGAGAGTGAGAGCGTGTGAAGAGGTGCGAGGATGGAGCTCTACGTTTACCGCAGGCCCCACGTTTGCGAAGTTCTTAATCACGTACCGAATCCTGCTTGCGGAGCGAGCGAAGCTGCGGCGAGGAGGCTTTAGCAGCTCGGATTGAGTCCGCAGACCAGCGGAACGGGGTTGCCGTTGGAAATGCGCAGTCGTAAAGAGTGACGACGAGGCGATGGAGAAAGTAAGTTGTGTGGCAATGATGTGGTGCTCGTAAACATGGTGGAGGTCAAAAAGAGGCGCTAGCCCAAGCTGCCCAGGTGCGAGCTTGGCGCCCGGGCGCAGACGTGTGGTCACGTGACGTCAGTACTCTTACCTAGGTACTCCGTATTCACCTGAATCTCAATTGTCACATCCGTTCGTCCAGGCCGTTTGTGTGTGTCCATGCGGTGCAAACCGGCGGCGGAGGAACTCGACTCTGGAGGCCAGTGTGCTACAATTGAGCAGGTGAAGAGAGCTGTGAGTGACATCTCTCCCCATGTCTGGCGAGACTCCAAGAATGAGAGGACGTCAAATGAAACCATGAAGTGATTGGATTATGACCATCGGGAGGGGCCCGACGGCAAGTGTGAAATAAACTAACGTACCTCACGGGCGAGCCGTCCACACGGGCGAGCCGTCCACTTTTGCCAAGACCCTACCAAAATCCATACTGTTTACGACAGTATAATACAACCATGAACAATTTTCAAAAATTGTAATAAGCCAATCTATTCCAAATCTACTTCTACTTCTTTCTTACATGTGCGCAAGTTGTGCCCAGTCTCACTGCAGTGTCCACAGCATCGTTGAGTAGGCTCACCCTTATCAGTGCGTGCCCACTTCTTTGCCTTCTTCTCATCACCACGCACTACAAACTCCTTAAAGGTAGCTAGCCGTAGGCTTTCTTCAGCTGTTAGTACCCCTTCACACTGTATACGCTTTCTTTTATATGATTTACGTCATGTGGCAGCTTCATTTGCTGCTTGAAGCTCAGCGATCTCTTTTTGTGCCAATACCAGCTTGTGCGCTACCAATGCTGTACCTTTTGCCAACTTTTCAAAGGTCTCAACCATGCTAGTTGGTGAGCTATCTAGGTGTCTCTAAATCCTCTCCTTTACAAGTGTCGATTGGGACCCAAATTCTACAAGGTTGCTTGGTGTTTGTGACTGCCAGGAGTCCTCGTTGACAATAGAGGGTGAAGGTGTGCACAACTTGACATTAAGCTTTGATATCACCACTTCTGGATCAAAGAGAACTAAGCTAGCACCTCGAAAGCCTCCTTAGATATTGCTTTTAGTGATTGCAGCCTTAAAAGCAGCAATAAAGCAAGGTAAGAACTCAATCTTAGTAATATAGGTGATTCGGTTGCGTATTAGATCCTCAGCCTAGTATCCATATACCTTCTTCAAGGGTGAGAAACACTCTACATCAAGTGGCTGTAGGAGGTGGGATGAGTATGGAGGCATACAGAGAGTGATAATCTTGTTGTCTTTGCAGTACTGCTGGAATTTGAGTGAGTTGTGGCTCTCATAGCCATCAAGAATAAGTAGACATGCTGCGTCAACAGTATGCTGCTTTGTATGCTCATTGAAGTGCTTTAGCCACTGCAGACCAAGCTCATTTGTTGTCCAGCCATTCTCAGAGATTGCAATAACCCAATCATGAGGTAGATCCTCCTCCTTGTACCAGGCAGAGAGGTGGTGCTTGCTCTGGAAGATGATAAAGAGCAGGATCACCCAAACCATCGTGTTGATGCCTTAGATAACTGTCGTCCACTCCCGGTTGCCCTGCTGCACACTCTTTGGCCTGCCTTGACGCTCAGAGCCTGTGACAACTGCTCCTGTTGATATCATGCCCATCATAAAGCTGGACTCATCAAAGTTGTAGGTGTCATTGTCTAGGATACCGTGCTTGGCTTTGGTATTCTCTACAAGTCAGAACCAGTCTTGTATAACCTTAGGATCCTCACAGAGGGCTCTCTTGTAATCATACTTTCGATTGAACTTAATTGTAAGCTCTGGCTAGCGTTTGACAAAGGTTGCAGCCCAGTTCTGGCCAACTGGGTCTTGGTGCTGTGCAGCCAGCAAGGAATCAGCCATATCTTTGATAGCAGTGAGCCAGGGAGGAAATCCTCACGTATCAAGATCAAGGATATACCAAACAATCACCTCTTCTTCCATCTTTAGTAGCTTCATTGAGTTGGGTGTGCAGTCACGTCGAAAGATTGCTCCAGCGCGTCGGTCTCGTAGTGTTGTTCGAGAGATGTTGTAGATCTATGCAGCACGTCGTTCAGAGATATTCGCATCTTGCTTAATAGCCTGGATCGCAAGCTGTACACGAGCTTCTTTTGAAGAAGGTAGATTATTGTGTTGTTGAGGCATCATGAATATACTGTAGTTGACAGTACAATTTGGTAGGGTCTTGGCAAAAGTGGACGGCTCGCCCGTGTGGACGGCTCGCCCGTGAGGTACGTTACCCCTACTTATAATAAATAGCTGCCTTACTAGTAACGCCTCGGCCACCAGCCTTCGCCTTGGGTTGCACCGCAATTCTCGTGTTCTGCGGTATTGAACGCGCCCATAGCATGATACAGAGCTGGAGTACCGCAAACCCCGCTAGCTCTTACTAGCTGCAGCCAGATGGCGAATATCGTGAGATTCTGATGTACACAGTAGAGGAGTAATTTCAGATAGTTACCAACAAGAATTCATCCTCTAGTCGGCGTGTAGGGCGAGTAGCTTAAACGTGTAACAGCCGAGGCCCTTCTCTTAGATGACCAGTCTTCCATCGAAAAGCATGTCTAAAGAGCAACGCACGGTTCTTGGGAAGATTAACATTTGGCAGACTAAGACACCCAGGTAAGAAGGATACTCGTCTTCAACACAAGAAAAAGAGTAGATACTTGTAACCACGCCATTCCCAATGATGGCTTAAACCATCACGAAATTCGCATTCTGCTAGAACGCCCATCTTCACTCGAGGATCAGGGGTTCGGTTCCCACGCCACCCTGCACAATCCAACTGGAAAGGTAGCATACTTCCGTTCTAAGCTTTCCATAACGCTGGGAAAAGATGGTTGGCAGAATGCGCCGGCCCAAGAGCATTAAGTACCACACCTAGAACTGAATGACGTGCCTGATCTGTAGATCATCTTGCATGGCCCCCGAAGCTCTAGCAGCAGCCGCCCCCGGATCCGCTCTGGACGCCTTGGCCTTGGCTAATCGGCACCGTGGGCTTGTTGTTGACCGTAGTGGTTCCCATCCGTTCTTTGATCTGGCGAGCCATGGTCAAAAATGCCTGCTCGACATTTGTGGCACTCTTTGCGGACGTCTCCAGGAAGGGGATGCCCAGACTGTCGGCGAATTCCTGTACTTTCCGTCAGTATAGCCATCCCACTAGTACCCGGACTTCATTCCAAACGCACCTTCGCCACAGTGTACTCAACGACCTTCTTGTCTGCCATATCCGACTTGTTGCCTACCAGCAGCTTATTGACACCTTCCGTGGCATAACGATCAATCTCTTGCAGCCACTGCTTGACGTTGTTGAACGAATCCATATCAGTGACATCGTAGACAACGCAGATGCCATGTGCGCCGCGGTAGTAGGAGGAGGTAATTGTTCGGAATCGTTCTTGACCGGCGGTGTCCCACTGAAGCCAACCATCAGCCTATTACCGAAATGACGCTGCAGAGGCGGTCACGTACGATCTGAAGTTTCACTGTTTTGCCATCAAGTTCGATTGTCCTGATTTTCTGTTCAACCTGTCAGCACTCGCAGGCTGACAAAGAGGGTTCCAGAGTCAGGGTACGCACGAAATCCACACCGATGGTCGAGATGTAGCTCTCGGTGTATGTGTCGTCTGCAAACCGAAGGAGCAGGCAGGACTTTCCGACACCGGAGTCGCCGATGAGCAGGAGTTTGAAGAGGTAGTCATATCTAGACGCCGGCATATGTCAGAGACATGGCCTTGTGGGGTTCAAGCATAAGAGAGCATTGGCTGGAGTTTGAATATTGGGGGATGGGTTAGAGCTCTGGAGGTGAAGAGGTTAGCGGTATTCCGTATCTGTGGTATACAGGCGGTTCCCAGCAGGCCTGCGGGCTGCCCTGAAAGGGACGGGGGCGACATACTACTCAGGATTCATCTTTGCGGAGGTCGTAATAGTTGTTACAGAGGGGAGGCGCGCGGTGGTCGGTCCGTCTATAAGCGGAGGGCGAGAGTCGAACTGAAGGGACGATGGGTGGATGGAGTTAACAGGTTAGTGAACGAGCGCACTGCATCGTCTCTTGGAGAGAGCGCCAAGGACCAGTGGCGCACAGACTCAAAAGCCACTTGTGACCCCAGGTTTATCATTCATGCCCGTCCTTTCCGGCACATGGAGGGTTCACTTTTCATCTGGCCAGCGCTTCTGCTAGACTTCCCGTGACGTATCACCGAATAATCGCTAACCAGGGCTGCTGCCTTGTTCAACGATCTATTCATATTGATATTTCGGAGTATTGAATACCGCGCACGTGGCATCCGAACCCAGTCACATGCGCTCAGGCCCCTCGGCTTGTCACTGGTGCAAAGTTGACTGCCTGAATGGATTTTGGAGTATTCCTGTCTCTTATGAAGGCGCTGCGGTCTGATGAGGTGGGGAGAGCCTATTAATCCTGGTAATATACACACAGCCATGTTCCCGAAGACCCAACCATCTAAGAAACGCGCCGAACCGCATCCTTCATACACGGGCCTGCGTAAATGCGGGCATAGAATCTAAAACTTATAGCACCTTGTTGAACGCCGGTATCAGGGTCTGAGCCAGCCAGAAAGAGAACACCAGCTTGGGACCAGTCATCAGCAGCTTGGGCGTCAGGCCCTTGAAAAACGAGGTGAAGCCTTCCTTGCGAATCATGTTGGAAACTATCCTGAAGCCACTTTCCGGGTTGTCGAAGTTCCTGTTCTGAATTCTGGTCTTGATAACGTCGAGAGGAGCAGAGACAATGAGGGAAGCGCTGGCACCCGCAATCGAGGCGACGAAGTTCTGGCTCCAGGAAGCGGTGTTGTAGTCCTTCAGCTTGTAGAGATACTCCTTCGCAGCCGCCGATCCTCCGAAAAGCTGAAATCGAGGTTAGCACACCTCCCAGAATGCTCAAAGCCATGGCTACATACGGCGAAAGAGCCCGGCGCATTACGTGCGGCGGTCCAGCCCCAGCCACGGTACAACCCGAAGCCCTCGTCCTTGATGATCTTGAACAGTCCGCGCCCCCTGAATGCTTCGGGGTTGGTTTGCCGCTTGATCTTGAGGACGTCGAGGGGCAGAATGACAATCTCGCCGATACCGATCAAGCTGCCTGCTGTAGCGTGCATAATGGCCTTTCCGTTGCCTTTGCCGAATGCGCGATCGAAGCTCTCCCCGTGGTTCTTCGCAAGGTAGTCCCTCACGAAAGGCTGTCCGCCATACTTGTACACTCTCTGGAGAACCTGCACTTTATGAGCTTCTGGAAAGTAGAAGTCGTCCTTGTACAGAATCGCACCTTGTATGCGGCAGCATATCCGAGACCGGGGAATAAGGAGAAGAAGCGGGTAGAGATCGAGGCGTTCGCCGCATCCTTGAAAATGACCGAATTGAGCTGCGACGCCGATGTGATCTAGCATACGGTAAGAATCAAGTACTTTGGCGCCAGCAATGGAATGCCATAACCCACCTTGCCATAGTTGCTCATTAATCGCTTCGCGGTCGTGTCCACGGGATGGAACACCATGAGTTCCGCGATTCCAGCGCAACCTGATGGATGGTCAATCGGTATTTTCACTGGTTACAGTTGTGCGACACGGACCGGCGCCTAAGAATCTAGCTGTGGTAGATTCCTTCTTGAACTCCTTTGCGGAGGAGGACGTGCCTCCGACCAATGCAGATGGGGACATGTTGGTGGGATGTGAGTGATAGGACTGGCGCAAGCGAACGGCAGATGTTGCAGAAGCGTGAAATAATACAACAACAGTGAACGATGACGGCAATGAAGGGGGCGCGGGACTTCGGGGTGACGCTCTACAAGACGATGGTAAAAAGTTCGCGAAGTATCGGAGGTTCGCCGGTGATCGCACGGTCCATCCGCTAAGAACTGCCTATTAGTATTCTACCTAGATACGAACCCGAAACGACCATCAATTGATACAACACCAGGACTTTGGAGGAAGGAAATGATGCCCCCAATAGATGGATTCTTAGTCTCAGTTTCTACAACGAACACATGGGCATATTACACACGGCGGCGGATTGAGAGACTGTTCTGCCCGGGATATCTTTAGAGACCGAGGAGTACTTTGTTGCCGAATAAAACTGGATCGAGGTCCCTCGGGCCCAGAGCCCGAATGAAGTGGGCATTATTGCGAGTGTTCGATTACAGACGCTAGCATGTGCGGCCCGGAGGCACCGCAGTCAGTCGGGACAATAGTTTTCCACCGCTTGGGAAAACAATGGCGACCGAAGCCACTTTCGAGGTTGCTGAAGATACTCGAGACTTGTTTCTACCTCGAGTACTGAAACCAGACAGGCCGAGGCGGCGTCGAAATGGCAGCTATTGTACGGAGTGTTGTGTAGAAGTACAGTACATTGGTGTGCAGGGATCACCACGTCATTGGCAGCTTATCGATAAGGCGCCCCAGCTACACCCGTTTTCGCCCCGACTCTATGCCTTCGTTGACCATTAGAAATTTCCGTACCTTCGATTCTCCCACCGTTGAAGGCGTCTTTGGATCCTAGTTTTGCTCTATGGTTGAGCTTCTGTGCAGATGACCGCCAGTTTGATGCGGAGGCAACTGACAACTTGCGCTCGCGCCCGACTTTCGCCGTCGTATCCGTCTACTCTCTTCACACGGACTCCATTGTTAGACCTAAAGCAGTGCCAAAGAGCTATCCTGATCTTCAGACCGCGTGGGCCGGCCATACCAAAGGCATCCTTTACTAGTACGACAGTACGTTCCACTCAGGATGGCCAATCGGACCATCGACCCAACGATGAGCGGACGCTTCAATTAGGAAACAGTAAGAGCACCCACTTAGAGTTGACTGAGCTCAGACTGACGTGCGGCGAGCCGTCCGCATCCTCCATGAACGTCTTCCGACCCTTCTTGCATCTCCTCTACCTCAGAACATCCTCTCGCCGCACATCACACTGCACCTTTTCCCCTCAACACATCCACATCTTCCATCCGTAAGCGGAAAGTTGGCATATACAGCGGCGCTATGGACTGCCCCTGTGGCGTGGGGTCGAGTCCCTGTCCTGGGCAACGTGAAGCTTGACGTTCTCTCGGAACGCATGGTCAAGAATGGTGCCAAGTCTATGGCAGCAGGTGGAAGTGCAGGAGACGAGAAATTGATCGTCAGGTGGAAGACGTGTGGAAAGACAGAACATGGAGACATTAGCGAGGCCATGGAAAAGATTCGCAAGATCATTTCTCGCCGGGACGACTCGGATGACGAGTTTGCTGGCTTGTTCATCTTCGAATTCGACGAGCATGGACGGATTCTGAGCCACACCATTGAGCACGCCGAAGAGGGCGGAAGCTGGGACAAGATGTCCAAGGTCATCAGTGTCACGGATTGGCTGCTAGGGAGGAAGTGGGCCAGGAAAGACGAAGGTGTGGCTGGTCTTGCATTGGCGAAGAGCGGCGAGAATGTCAAGATCAAGGGCGCTCAGCGTGAGGGAGGAGATTGATTTCCATGGTTGACGGCGTCGAATGTTTTCAGAAGCGTGCATTGGATATCTGATACCTGAGGCAGCACGAGCGCTGCACTCATTTCACGGTGTGTTTCTGTTCTCCCCTCCTCACTCTGTATCGCTGGCACCCGAGCGTCCGCCCGTTGTATCTTTTTTTGTAACTTGTACAAAATGTACCAGTAGCGTATTGTAGCAATTCAGGATCCATCCTCCATCTCCCCGACCTTGAAAGAGCTCAAGTCGGCCTGACAGCTGAACACAACAGCCACCCAATGCTCGCCACACTTTCGCCAAGGAGCTTTAGACCTCTTTTGGATTGGCCGATTACGAGGCATGGATGGTGCTTTCCACTCCCCAACAAGCATCTATCAATGTCTCCGCACCTCTCACCAGGCTCCTAACTTTTGCAGCCGTCTTGCGCATCGCTTGTGACAAGCAGTTGGGCTCATTTCCAGCCTTGATGCTCCCGGATAGCCCACCACCAGCCCCCCGACTTTTGACCGACTCCGCCAGTGTGCTCAACTAGCCTAACCCCCGCCCCAACACGCGGCTACGCCAGAGCTTCAGCCTCATTGCATGCTCTTCCCCATCACTGAGCTACTCTGTTAGCACCGCCTAACTGCCATGGCCGACATTCCGCCCGGTGCCGATCATAGTATGTCGCAAACCTCATGGGGAGCTTCTCTAATTGCTGACGGATCCCAGATCATGCCATTCTTAACCTCACCCCGGAGGAGAAGCGCGCTTTCCAGTACCTGTTCCAGCAGGCCGATACAGAGAAGCTCGGCGTCATCACCGGTGAGGTCGCTGTGAAGTTCTTCGAAAGGACGAAACTAGCACCCGCTGTCCTGGGAGAGATATGGCAGATCGCAGACACAGAGAATCGTGGTCTCCTGACCTACCCGGGCTTTTGCCAGGTCTTGCGCCTGATCGGTCATTACCAGGCAGGGAGGGATCCCTCGCCTGAATTAGCATTCAGACGTGAGTGGAAAAGTCTCAATGGTATGCGCCGTGCTAACGGCCTTTCCAGCTGGCCCTCTTCCCAAGTTTGAAGGCCTAACGGTACCATCGGCGCCCGTCCCCCCAACCGGTTTCGCGCCGCCTCCTCCAGGCGTTTTGCAGCCTCAAATGAGTGGGGGGCCTATTCGAGTCCCTCCCTTGTCCCCTGCCAAAGCTGCTGAGTATGCCGGCCTCTTCGAGAAGTCGGGCGCCCAAAATGGCATCCTCTCTGGTGCATCTAGCCAACCCCCCTATTTATCGTACTGCGCTAATGTCTGTTAGGGGAGAGGGCGAAACAGATATTCGAGAAGGCGAGGTTACCCAACGAGACTCTGGGGCGCATATGGAACTTGGCCGACACAGAACAACGTGGCGCATTGGGCGTGACCGAGTTCATCATCGCCATGCATCTGTTGGCTTCCTGTAAGACAGGAGCCTTGAAACAGTTGCCAAACAATTTGCCTGCCGGTTTATACGAGGCTGCATCGCGACGACCTCCTCTTCCCCCTCCTCCAGGCCGCCGACCCGAAGATATCGTGCCACCCATTCCCCGTCAGTTCAGCGGTGCTCCACAGAATCCCAGCCCATTAGGACGACCGGCGTACGCCACACCCCCGCAGTCTGCTCAGGTTACCGGAGGCGACTGGCTGATCAGCCCACAAGAGAAGGCGTCTTATGATAATTTATTCAACAAGGTCGATACGATGGGTCGCGGTTATATCACAGGTGAACAGGCGGTACAATTTTTCAGCGATTCGGGCTTGCCGGAAGACGTGCTGGCCGGCATCTGGGATTTGGCTGATATCAATTCCGAGGGTCAGCTCAATCGGGATGAGTTTGCTGTCGCAATGTATCTCATACGGCAACAACGTAAACCTGGGACACCCCTTCCTGCAGTTCTACCTCCGAACCTTGTTCCCCCAAGCATGCGGAGTCAGATTCGAGCGCCGATGGCAATGCCTGCGCCGGAACCTCAGGTCTTTGCTGCGGCCCAGCCAAAGTCAGCGGCCGATGATCTGTTTGGACTGGATACGTTCTCTGCTCCTCCCCCTCCTGCGCCCGCGCAGGTGCAACAGTCAACTGGCGGCTCCAACACATTTAACAAGCCCTTCGACAATGATCCCTTTGCGAGTAAGACGGGATCTCCGACTTCGCCCCAACCATTCCAGCCCGCTCCAAGGAATCCAGCCTCCACTTTCAAGCCGTTCTTGCCAACGTCGTCTTTCGGACAGACCTTGACATCACACTCGACAGGGCAGTCTGGAACTTCCACCAGCCAAACAAAACTAACCCAACCTGGCGGAATAGAGGACTTGCTGGGTGAAAGCGAACCAGACGTTAGTAAGAAGCTCTCTCAAGAATCCACAGAATTGGCAAATATGTCCAATCAGATGAGTACTCTTCGCACCCAAATGCAGGAAGTACAGAATAAGAAGGTTACCACAGAGCACGAGGTGAACAGTATATCTACGCAGAAAAGGGATCTTGAGCTCCGTCTATCTCAGTTCAAATCTCAGTACGAATTAGAGACGAAAGCTGTAAAGGCACTCGAAGACCGACTTGCCACTTCCCGAAATGAGACAAGGAAGTTACAACAAGAGTTGTCTGTTTTAGAAGCACAGCTCCAGGACCTGCAGAACCAGCATCGCCAGGTCGGGGCGGCTTTCGAAGCGGATCAACGTGAGAACGCCAATTTGAAGGAGCGCATCCGTCAAGTCAATGCGGAAGTTGCGCAGTTGAAACCTCAGCTTGACAAGTTAAGGTCCGACGCACGCCAACAGAAGGGACTTGTGGCGATCAATAAGAAGCAACTTGCTACGAACGAAGGGGAGAGGGATAAGATCAAGAACGAGATGAATGATCTCAGCAAGGCTGCGGATGAAAGTTATCGCGGCGCTCAAGGTCCAGCTGCCAGCGTGGTAAGCCCAGCAACCTCAACCGCAAGCCACAATACGAACCCCTTTTTCCGAAAGTCCCCCCAGCCGACAGCAGATAATACAATGTCTCCTTCAGGCTTTTCACAAGGGCCTCACAAAGATTTTGACGCTGTTTTTGGAAACGCATTCACGTCACCTCAGTCGACGGCTCCACCAACAACTTTTCGATCCGACAGTCAGAGCCAGGTGCCAACATTCTCTGCCCCATCTGGCCACTCCGTTCGCTCCTCGGATGGACCAGACGTGCCAACACCGTCCACGTCTCCGCCGCTGTCGTCGTACCAGGAATCACCGCGCCCTGGTGAACCGCCGGCGCCTCCCGAGTCCCGGCAGTTTGCTTCCAGCTTCTTGCCCCTGAGAGACACTGTGCCCAGGTCGGACTCGTTTAGCTCGTCAGTAAAGGTATCAGCCCCGGCGAGTAGGTATGGTGGGCCCGGGAACGACACTCCGACAGCTTCGAAGGCATCGCCGGCCGCAACTCCAATACCTGAAAAGCCCACCGCGGAACGCCGTGATACTTCCAAGACCGACGCAGACGCATTCGGACCATCGCTTTTCGATCGTACAGCTTCCCCGGTGGCTAGTGTTACTAGCGACACTCAACGCTCCGGCTCCAAGGCTGAGGATCGAAGGGATGTGTATTCTAATTTCGGAGGACCTACCGCTGACCTTCCTGGTGCATTTCCAAGAGACACTACATCTCCGCTTCAGCAAATGCCCACGGGCGAAAGTAGCCTAAGCAACCAAAGCAAGGTCAACAATCGGTCGACCGACGCCTCTCAAAACCGCACTGACCCATTTTCTACGGTCGGTAGAGATCAACCCCGCGGAAGCTCCTCCGGCAAGGTCGATTTCGACGCAGCTTTCGCTGGATTCGGCTCGGCTCGCCAATTTCCTGACATCAATGCTAATACAAGCACGGATAGTGGCTCAGCCAGCAAGTTTAATAAGGAGTTCCCGCCCATCGAAGATCTTGGTCATGACGATGAAAGCGACAGCAACAGCGAACAAGGATTTGCAGACAATTTCACCTCTGCGTCTCCCAAGCAGCAGAGAGCCAACAATCCAGAGTCCCAGGCACCAAGCTCTGGCACCGGTGCTACTGGAGCAGAGGGTGCACCACCCACAACTCGGACTGACTCCAATGCTAGCGGTTTACCAACTGCCGGAGCTCAGAAGTCCCCGCCCACTTATGATCAGACCGTAGGAACCAGCAGGGGATCAAATCAATTTCCCCCAGAGTTTGGCGGCCTCCTTCCTTCCCGAACTGATCCAACCACTCAGCCCGCTCCGTCGGCTGCTCCGCAGTCCACAGAGAGAACTTTCAGTGGTACCTCAGGAGGCCAGGGTGCAGCTCTGTTCGGTGGCTCCGCAAAGCCCACGACTACTTCACCGCCTCCTGTTGACACTCCTTCGTCGACGGTGCCGTCGGATGCTTATCATTCTGCGGTGTCTTACGGCACAAGCGATACCAAGGGCCCGTCTTCTGGCAGCAATGTCCCACAGCCTGGAAGATCAGCGTTCAATGACGACTTTGACGCCGGCTTCGATGATTTGACCGAAGCCAAAGAAGCTGATGACAAAGCCGACGATGACTTCATACTGTCTTCGCAACACCGCGAGGGATTTGATGAGTTCAATCCGGTCTTTGATTCCCCAGCTGCGTCGAAGTCCAATACGATGGCATCTCAGCAGACCCCGACTGGAAAGCCACATGGTGATGATGGATTTGGCGACTTTGAGCACCTCTCACAAGGCTTTGGTCAACCTCGAGCGCATCAACAGGACCGCGAAGGATGTAAGTGCCGGACCTGCTTCCCACACCTGTATTCTCGATGATTTGGTTTGGAATAACTAGATTTGCTAACAATGTTAGCGCTGACTGTCGCCTCTCCTCCCCAGGACTGGGATGCTATCTTCTCGAACCTGGAATCGCAGAACCAGAAGACTGCCCAATCGAGCGGTGATGTGGGAAAGTCGGTCTTCGATACACTTGATAAGGAAGAAGCTGCAGCCGCCTCGGCTTCTCAGCCAGCCCAGAAGCCTCAACTTGGTCGCGCGTTGAGCTCAGGTACGGAGCACGACGATCCCATCCTCAAGAAATTGACCGGTATGGGTTACCCGAGAGCGGAGGCGTTGAACGCGTTGGAGAAATTTGATTACGACATCAACAAGGTCAGAAGAATAATTCAAACGAGATCATTAATAAACGTGACTAACTCCTCTGCAGGCCGCCGACTATTTGACATCCGGCAAATAGATTCGAGCATTGTATGGCATGTATACAGTTGGTCAATACGCCATAGTTTCATTTCTAGGAGAACATGCTGTCCTCTATGAGCTTCATGAGTTCTGGCTTTGAGAGTTTTTTTCCGTGGTAACGTTTAGCGCGCATACGGTCACAGTGAAGGGACTATACACTAATCTGGCCTTCTTTCCAGCGATGTGTTGATGGGAACTCATAGCGACCTCCGCAACCTCATAGGTGGTATCTACTTGAATACTTGCTTTCATTACACGTTCCCAGCGTTTGCTTTCACCTCCTTGACAGAAGGGCAATATATTCTCATGACATCCACAATGTTCGCCGGGTCGCCCAACCAATGTTGTTTCAACCTTGCGTTTGTTCACCAGGGCTCCTCCATATTGGGGGTCGGGGCACAATTAGCCACACGCACAGCCACAACTGTCGTGCCTGATGACGTCGTCCCTTCCTGCCACCTCCAAGAAACAACTGCCATACCTTCAAGCCAAGCCGTCTACACAATACACAGTGCGCGCAAGTTGAATAACACTCAGCACATTTATATTTCATTAGGACGAATCACAGACCGCTACCATGTCGGACTATGCGCCTCCAACGGTAAGTCACCGCATGGCCTTACGGACTTTCTGTTCCCAAACATTGACCTTTACCGCAGCGCCCTCCACCGCCAAAAGTACCTGAAGGATGGAAAGCGGTATGGAATGGTATGGTTTTTTAACATTCGGTGCAATGCGTTGTTCGCTGACAAGTCCTTCTCAGAGCAATACAGCGAGTACTTCTACGTCAACATATACACCAAGAAATCGCAATGGGAGAAGCCCACGGAGCCTGTCTACCCGCCTGGCGAAGCCCCACCTGAAGGCCCGCCTCCCTCCTACGATAACAAGAACGTCGACCCCGGCAGGCTGGGAAGTAATAACCCATACGCCAGTGGTGGTAGTGCTACTGCTGGAGGACTGTCATCACATGATTTGAACGAGGATGAAAACCTGGCTAGGAGATTACAGCAGGAAGAAGATGAGCGGGCGAGAGCACAGCAGTCTGGGGCTCAGGGTCAGGGCCAGGGAGCTGCGAGTGCGTATTACCAGCAAGACGGCAACAACAACAACAACAACAACAACTACCACAACCCGCAGCCGGGAACCTATGGGGGACCGCCGGCTACAGGCAAAAAGGGCTTCCTAGGAAAACTCCTAGGCAAAGTGAGCGGCAGTGGGGCACATCACCACTCCCATGCCGGGTATTCCCAACCGCGACCCCAAAGCTACCCTGGCGGTGCCTACGGCTACGGAGCCCCCATGCACGGAGGGTTTCCAGGAGGTCGGAAACCGGGTGGTGGACTTGGAACTGGAGGCGCGGCTGCGCTGGGTCTCGGAGGTGGACTGTTAGCGGGAAGTATGCTGGCGGATGCGGGCGATCATGGCGGGGACTATTATCAGGAGAATAACTATTACGGGGATGATGGGGGAGGGGATATGGGCGGGGGTGATTATGGGGGTGGGGACTTTGGCGGAGGGGATTTTGGAGGTGGTGATTTCGGGGGTGGTGACTTTTGAGAGGGAGGATATCGGGGGGTTTGATTCTCACTCATGGCTTGGTGTTGGTGGTGTACTTGTATTGTACCTGTACCTGATGACGTATCCGTAGCCCCTGTCTGGCTGATTATAGACCTCACCTCTCAAACCCACCACATTGCTCCACGCGTCAAGCAAAAGAGCCTATGCTGAAACGCTCGCTCCGGCCTCGCATCAATCATGGCCGATCAGCAAAAGCGAAACATTGTAATCATAGGTCCGTTTTCCCCAATCCTCACCCCATTGCCCCGCTTCCACCTCTCTACGTACCTACATGAAGCAAAAATGTATAAAAACTAACATACCTCGCAGGCGGCGGCATCATCGGCTGCACAACGGCCTACTTCCTCTCGCACCACCTTGCCTTTGACAGAGAAAGGGATAGCATCACGCTGCTGGAGGCGACGGAGATTGCGGGCGGGGCGTCGGGGAAGGCGGGCGGGTTGCTGGCGCTGTGGGCGTATCCCGAGTGTATTGTGGGGTTGAGTTATCGGTTGCATAAGGAGGTGTGTTTTTCTGTTTTCATTGGTACTTACTCTATGTGTTCTTTTTGGTTGAGTCCTGCTTCTGGCCTTCTTTTGAAATATTTTCCGAGTTAATCTCGAAGTTTTTTGCCTCTGTCCTATCCATGCCTTGGTTCTACACTCTCGGAGCATCACTTTCCCTCGCATCTTTCTATCACATCCAATCCAAAAACTCAAATTGAAAACACCCAGCTCGCAGAACTCCACGACGGCGCCTCCCGCTGGGGCTACCGCACCCTCCACTGCGGCCAAGTCGACGCCATAGCCCGCCCTCCCCCATCATCCAACGACAACAACAACAACCCGAAAGATGCAGCACCACCCACACCCCCTCAATCCCTCTCCCTCCAAAAACGCCGTAAAAGCACCCAGGAACCCACCACCACCGCCCTCCTCCTCCTCCGCAAAGCCGGCGTCCCTCCGGACGTCGACTGGCTAGACCCAACCTGCATAACCGCCTACACAGCCATGGGCACCCCCTCCACCACAGCGCAAGTCCATCCGTACCAATTCACCACGTCGATGGCGCGCCTCGCCGAGGAGAAAGGCGTGAATATCATCTACGGCACCGCTACGAAGATCCACCAGGAAGAAGACGTAGGACAGGGAGAAGAAGGAGAAGGAGAGGGAAAAGAGAAGGCAGCAGTCACAGGTGTAACCTACATTCCCAAAAACGCGACGCCCGAAGAAGAAAAGGAGGGGAAGTACATACAAGCCGACACGGTGATACTAACCGCGGGACCCTGGACAAGGACGCTCTACCCTTCGGCACCAATCTCAGCACTGAGAGCGCACAGCGTGACGATCCGGCCCTCGAAGCCCGTCTCTGCGTACGCGCTCTTCACGTCCATCGAGCTCCCAAACCCCGAAATGCAGAAAGGAGGTAAATCAATGCGAGGCCGAACCCAGACCACAACAGTGACACCGGAAATCTACGCCCGGCCCAACAACGAAGTCTACGCCTGCGGCTCGGGGGACACCCTCGTGCCCCTGCCCCTTTCCACCTCCGCCGTCCAGGTCGATCCCGCCCGCTGCGCGGACGTCGTCGCGCACGTCTGTAGCATTTCCCCGGCCCTGCGTGAGGGAGAGGTTACAGCGCGTCAGGCGTGCTATTTACCCACCGTGGATACCGGTGGGGGACCCTTGGTCGGCAGGACGAGTGTAAAAGGGTTGTTGATTGGGGCCGGGCATTCGTGCTGGGGGATTCAGAATGCGCCGGGGACGGGGCGGTGTTTGAGTGAGGTGGTTTGGGAGGGGGAGGTGAGGAGTGCGGAGGTGGGGGGGTTGGATCCTAGGGGGTTTGGGCTGTGAAGAAGGATGTAGAGCGTTGATGTGGAGAGTAGAGATGGAGGAATATCATGCATATACGGTTATGATTCCTTGTGATCATCGTGCTCACGAGATAGGGGGAGAGAGAGAGATACATAGAGAGCTCTTGGAAGCCTCAACCAGACCGGCTCAGGAATCAATATGGTCCTATCTACAAACGATAGCAGCAGCAGCAGCAGCTAATGCCAAAGCGGAACTCATTTTCTCATCAAAAACCCTCCCTTACTGTGCCTATAACTTACCCTGGAGGTCTTCCGGTTTCGCTCGCACCGTTCGGCCAGCCAGCCGGAAATGCACCATTGCTGCCCGAATTCAGATATCCTCCATCCAAAACCCTAAAATTCCAATGACCCCCAAAAGAAACGAGCGTGACCGCGGCCGTAATGTAGTATATACAATCCCAATCCCCCAACCGAAAAACGCCACCAGAATGCATGCCGGATCCTCGTGAGCGTGAGAGTTATATATCCACAAACAAGGAGAGCGTAATCAGACAAAAAACCCCCACCCGCAATCATAGCAACGTAGCCACATCCCAATCAGAGCCCATTAAACCCAATCAGCAGCGCCGCGGCTCCCGCTCCAAGACCCCACTGCGGCGTATACATGGACGCGGCGGCACCACTATGCCCCCCTGTCCCACTTGCCGTCGGGGTGACAGACGGGGCCCCAATCCTTCCGCCACCTGAGCTCACCAGACCGCTAGACACCGCGTTCCGCACCCCGGAGGCATTGGGAACCCCATCCGCTCCTGGCTGGATCTCCTTGATGGAGCTCTGCGTGGCGTTGAAGTTGGTCTGGGCCAGCGAGATCTCGTTGTTTTCGAGATCGTAGACAGCGTATGCGGAGCGAAGGAACGTATCGCCCAGCACGGAGGTTGAGTCACCAGCGGGACCGATGCCAAGAATGCAAATGTCCTGGCCACGGCGGGTTCCGGCTACGATGACGAGTTCGTTATAAGGGACGCTGATGGTGGCGCCGGAGAAGCTAAAGTCGAGAGAGCCTTGCTGGCTGGCAAGAGCGCAGTCGACGAAGGCGGCGCCTTGGGATTCATCGTACTGAGCGTTGAACGTCCTGTACAAAGTTCGAACGACGTTGTCTGGCAAGTACGTGAGAGAGGAGCCGGAGTCGAGGAGGACGGGAACGTTTTCGTTCTGGAAGATGGAGCCTGCGTTCCCGTCCCGGCCCAGTCCGGTCAGAGCGATGACGAATTCGGAATGGACGCCTCCTTGTCTGGTGAGGACGGGGAGTGATTGGAGAGTCCCCTGGAACTTCTCCGTATCCACACCGCCAAACAGGATGCTGCCGGTGGACGAAGAAAGATCGTTCAACCAGAGCGAATACGCATTCGTGTTGATGTCTCCATTGTCGACAAGAAGCTGAGGAAGGTTTGGATAGGGAGGGAGGCCACCGCGCACGACCTGGACTTCGTTGGCCGTGTAGCCGATACCGAGGATGCCTTCGGGAGAAGTCGACTCGTATCCAATTCCGAACTGCAGACGTTCCAAAGTCTTCCCGCCAAACTGAAAGGTGTCTCTGGCATAGTCTCCCGAGGCGCCCGAGCCGTCGACGTAACTGATGTTGAAGACGCTATTCACGTACTCGTAGGTTGACGAGGCGTTGGGATCGTAGGTACCTGAGTCGCTACACTGATCGCCCTGCTCCTGGCAGAGTGTGGAATTGGCGGCATTCACCCAAAGGTCGCTGCTCCCGGTGTCAATATGTAAGCGGAACCTCTGCGGTGGAGTACCCAAGGTGCCGTTAGCGAAATAAAGGGTCTCCAGATTGTCGAGCGTCTGCTGGACGGTCTTCTGTCTGCGGCGCAGTCGATCGTGTGCTGCTGGGTTCTCTATGTGGCGACGTTGGATGTCTAGACCGAAGACTCTTGGGTTCTACAGGACTGATTAGCAGGGAATCAGAACAGATCGATTGGTGGCACATACCTCTCTGGATACCAGTCTCAGAGCTGAGGATAGCTGCAGCACAGATGCCGCAGCCAATAGGAAGGTGGAACAATGCATGCTGGCTGAGTGTGGGCCGGGAAATGTACGATGTAGATCTCCCCGCTAGTAGCGAAGAAGAGGGCTAGTATGTATAGGCAATGATCTAACCCTTCGCTCGAGCAAGGCCGAACGGACGACAACCGCAGTCGATCGTAGTTGTACGAAGTGCTGAAGGCACCTCTGGTCGCTGCTAAGGTGGAGGACGAGGGGCAGAAAAGACTACGGACGGCGAGTAAAGGAAATGGAGTCCAGGTACGGTATTGCCAGGCGGCTGCTCGAAGCAGCAAAGCAAAAAGGGAATGCAGAAGGTGAGGTGGAGAAAGTAGAATGATGACGGAGAATTCGTAGAAAAGAGAAGAAAAGGAAAAGGAAAAAAGTCAGCGATGAGTATCTGTACATGGACGAGAGAAAAGGACAAGACGAACGGCCATGGTGCAGTTCGGCCAACAAGTGGCTCAGCACAGGTTCTACGAAACGGCGAGGTGTGGAGCGATGACGCGTAGCTCCGTGTTCCGACCCCGTTTGAAAGGCGGGAAAGAGCGGCCAGCCACATGTACCTTGTGGGGATGGGGATGGAGCGTGGCCAGACGTGAATTGGCTGTGTCACGGTGGCGGTTTCGGAGAGTCTGCGGTTCCTTTCACACAATAAGGCTTGAGTTGTTCAGATGTCCTTGTTCTCATGAGTGTGGCCTGAAAGAGGTACTGTGTACAAAGCCGTTGATTCAAGGCGTGTGTGCGTGGTTGTTTTGCAGCCTACTTCTTTTCCGATGGCCAAGATGGCCGTTCGCGGGGTTTTCGCTGGCCGGAGAGGATTCGTTCCGAACGGGGTGTGACATTGTGTGCAGCATGCGATGATTACGGCGAGACGCGGTTTCGAGGTTTCTGGACAGGAATCGGGTGGCGACAAGCTTGGAACCTTGGACGTACGCTTGACCGAGAGAGGAATAGATCGGGTAGTAACCGAAAACGGCTTAGCCTTCTTTCCAAACCCGTGAACGCGTGTAGAGGTCATCTACGCGTCTGCGCGCCTTGAGCTCTCCGCGCGAGCCCACACCCGTACAACTCCCGCACACCTCACCAACATGGCCAAAGCCGAGTCCTCCAAAGCCGCAGCCAGCAATGGCATCAGACCCAACCCGAACGCCGCCGGCGGTACCCAGTACGAGCTCCCATGGTACGTCTCTCCCTCCTCCCATCTCCCTCCCTCAAAACCTCGTCCAGCCCTAACTCCCCCTCCTAAGGGTCGAAAAGTACCGTCCCATCTACCTCGACGACGTCGTAGGCAACACCGAAACCATCTCGCGCCTCAAAATCATCGCCAAAGACGGCAACATGCCGCACGTCATCATCTCCGGAATGCCGGGCATCGGCAAGACGACCTCGATCCTATGCCTCGCGCGCCAACTCCTCGGCGACGCCTACAAGGAAGCCGTGCTGGAGCTCAACGCCTCGGACGAGCGCGGCATCGACGTCGTGCGCAACCGCATCAAGGGCTTCGCCCAGAAGAAAGTCACCCTCCCGCCGGGGAGGCACAAGATTGTCATTCTCGATGAGGCGGATAGCATGACGAGCGGGGCGCAACAGGCGCTGAGGAGGACAATGGAGATTTACAGCGGCACGACGCGCTTCGCGTTTGCGTGCAACCAGTCGAATAAGATCATCGAGCCGTTGCAGTCGAGATGTGCGATTCTGCGGTATGCGCGCCTCACGGATGCGCAGGTCGTGCAGCGCCTCATGCAGATTGTCAGGGCCGAGGATGTGAAGTACTCGGATGATGGGATCGCGGCGCTCGTCTTCTCCGCAGAGGGCGATATGCGTCAGGCCATTAACAATCTGCAGAGTACGCATGCTGGGTTCGGCTTCGTGAATGGCGATAATGTGTTCAAGGTGGTGGATAGCCCGCACCCCATCAAGGTGCAGGCCATGATCAAGGCGTGTCATGAGTGCAAGGTGGAGGATGCGCTGCAGACGCTGAGAGAGCTGTGGGATTTGGGTTACTCGTGCCATGATATCATCAGTACCATGTTTCGCGTCACCAAGACGGTCGATACGCTCAGTGAGCATGCCAAGTTGGATTTCATCAAGGTGGGTTGTCTATGTTCAGGTATGGTTGGTATTAAACAAGCCCATTTGCTGACACACCACTAGGAAATCGGCTTCACCCACATGCGCATCCTCGAAGGCGTCCAGACGCTGCTCCAGCTTCAGGGCTGCGTCGCCCGCCTCTCAAAGATCAACATGAAACCCCAGCTCTTCATCGCCAAGGCATCATGAATTGTTAAACCTCTTCATTCAGAACATTTAGCGTGGCGCCACAGGAGCATAGGACACCCCCGTTCCCACCCCGACTGGGAGATGGCAAGAGGTGGCGTCCAGGCAAGGTTTCCAGTCCCGTGTCATTGCTGTCGATAGGCTACCCTCCTTTCGAGGATGAGTTCGGGATCGGTATGCGTAGGTATTCTGGCTGGTAGCGGTAACCGCCGAACCAATAGATTAGAGGGCAATGTGGAGGGTGAGAGCGCAAAGGTCATGGGAGACATAACTAGGCATCATCTGTGATGGATGCAACGATATCCTGATAGTCAGGAGGAATATGGATCCGTTGAGAGATAGTGAAGGGCATTCATTGGACATGTTGAGAGAGCAAGTGTGAGCAACATACCCAACCTGTTCAGACGAAAGCAAAGGCGCGCCGAGTGAGCAAACATGAAAATGGTCTCTTTGATATTTGGTACATGGAGACTAATGTGACAATGGCCGACCAAGCAGCGAGATGTTGATGCTCCCACGGGGCCCGCGACCCTTTCCATCTTGATGAGAAACGGCATACACAAACAGTACCAAAGGAAATATTGACCCAAGGAGAGGAAATATAGGCGTGCTGATGGTATTGCTTGCATTTGCATCTGCGCTTTGACTCTTAGTCGAACTGGTCCTTGGGGCCCGGCTTGCTCTGGACCATCATGCCCTTCTTGAAGGTGATGGGCTCGGTTCCTTGCGCCTGTTGAAAGGCTGTGAGTAGACGTTCGGAAAGAGAGCGACGGGCAAGATCCTACCTTCATGTACTCCTCGGTGGCCTCCTGCCACTCCTTGGTCATGGTCCGCGGGCGCGCGGGGTTGGCGAACATGCGGATGACGGCGAAGAGCGCAAGGGAGGCGCCAATGACGCCAGCCGTAATGAAGAATACCTTGCGGCCCTCATCGGGAGGCGCGGGCCGGCGCGGGCCATGGGGTCCAAAGGCAATGTAGTACGCTGCAGGTGAAGAAGTCAGTCTCCATGTACGTGTACGACCGATATGCCAAGGTTGACCAGATCAATATTGCTCGTATGCGCTCCGATGGAGCCCGCAAAGACATGATATAAACCAATGGCAGGTCCAATGGCGGGGAATTGGCTCCTACGCACCGGCCTTCTTCTCCTGCAGAGTCAATTCCTTCCAGTCTGCCTTCATGCGATCCCTGAGCGACATCCACAGATCGGCCTGCTCCTGGGGAGGCATGTCCTCCCATCGCTTCTCGATGTTGGCCAGGGTCGGGTTGGAGATGGCATGCGACTGGCGGATCTGGGTCTGCTGGGAACAGGCAAGAGGAGCGGCTTGACGGCTGGCATTGGCCTGGAGAAATGACGCGGAGGTGCGCGAAGCCCGCACGATGGAGGAGCGCAGCATGGCGACGACGGGAAGGGGGGTAGAGCGGAGAGGGTCGAAGAGTCAGAAAGGGAGAGGGTAGCGGTCCCCGTCGAGGGAATGTGGAACGGCAATGGGAGATGGGCGATGGGGATGACGATGGGCGCGGTTGACGAGAGGTTGGCTGGAGGTGAGGTTGAACGTGCAAAATGGTGGGCCTTGGCATTTATCGCATGACAGCGAGCTTTGGTTGGCGGTGGCTCGTCGCCGCCTGATTGGCTGTACCGAGGAAGCTCCCAGCAGCTCCGGGGGAGCTTCGCTGATAAGACGAAGGAGACATGATGTCAAAGGCACTGAAGGCGGTTTCGAAGAAGTCCTTATATGGGCAATCCAGACGCTGTTGTTACTTGTACATAGCCGTTACCCAGCCTCACAGCAAGCGATTCGTGCTGCTGCACTTCTCCTTGTCACACCGTGCAAGGTGGTAGCAGCGCATACTGTAAATGTTAGAGGCCAAAAAAAATCACATCATTGAACTGAGCTTGCTCGCATGGGTTTGTTTTTTGCTTTCCAGTATTCCCCAGCTCCACGACACTGGAGGGGGTGCTGCCACAGCTCATAAATAAAAACACAGCAGATGCCTCAATAGTTTGAGAGTACCAGGTTTCAATGCTTCTCCATCTCTTTGCGTCCAGCTGCTCACGCCCTCGCTCAGTCCCGGCCGCGGATTCGCAGCAAAACTTTTCTTGCCTTGTGGACATGACGCTGAGTTGCAAAAGTAATGATTATTGCCAATCGTCATTCTCCATTCTACTCCGTGTCGCTGATGGGGGCTCCGATGCCGCTGAGTAAAATAGATTTCCCTCAGCACCAGCGGCTCACCTCCTGCCATCCATCCTTGCATCACTCTATACTAGTATGCAACTCGTACCCAGGGACGCGAGCAAAACACACCTCAGAAGTAGACCACGCTGTCTCTATGCAACCTGCTCCCCGAGGCGAATAGTCATGGTATACACGGTAAACAAAACGGATGCTAGATCATGCTCTCCGGACTGTCCCGGGGGACGGCGTTGGGGCAACCAGACCCCCCGAGGTAAGGGTTGCAGTGCCTCTCGAGCATCACGAGAGGGCCACCAGTGCGTGGGAGACACACGCCGCGGCCGGGTGCGTCGGCCTTGAAGACAGGTGCAAAAAGCTGTTGACGTCGTCCGTGTCTGCCCCGCACTTACATAAAACCCAATCTTGACATCAACCCCCACCTCCCCCTTCCAATCTCTCCCCTCCGATATTCCTACTCTTTCTTCTCCTGCACACCACTATTTAGCCCTCCTACAAGTACACCCAAGTTCGTCCTCGCCATCTACTCTCCTTCATCTTCCTTGTCCCAACTGACAGCTGTTACAGCATCCACATAATCAATCATGGTCGTCAAGGTGAGCAGCACCCCAAAACAATGCCCGCCTTACAGCTACAGTATCTGACAAGCTCTCCAGGCTGGAATCAACGGCTTCGGCCGCATTGGCCGCATCGTCTTCCGCAATGCGTACGTTGTCTCATTGAATCGGAGCTTCCGCCTCCCTCTGCCGCTGCTTACTGACACCAACCCGCAGCATTGAGCATGACGATGTCAACATTGTCGCCGTCAACGACCCTTTCATTGAGCCCCACTACGCCGTAAGCTCCTCCTTTCCCGCGACCCCCTAAAGGTGGTGTCAGTGGCCGTTGAGGCCGTTCTGGGATCACCCTCCAGTTCACCGATGGCGGGGCTAACACCGCTTCCAGGCATACATGCTCAAGTATGACAGCACCCACGGCCAGTTCAAGGGCGACATCAAGGTCGAGGGAAACAACCTCGTTGTCAATGGCAAGACCATCCGCTTCTACATGGAGAAGGACCCCGCCAACATTCCCTGGGCCGAGACTGGCGCCTACTACATCGTTGAGTCGACTGGTGTCTTCACCACCACCGAGAAGGCCAAGGCCCACTTGAAGGGTGGTGCTAAGAAGGTCGTCATCTCCGCTCCTTCTGCTGACGCTCCCATGTTCGTCATGGGTGTCAACGAGAAGACCTACAAGTCGGACATTGAGGTGCTTTCCAACGCTTCGTGCACGACCAACTGCTTGGCTCCCCTCGCCAAGGTCATTCACGACAAGTTCACCATCATTGAGGGTCTCATGACTACGGTCCACTCCTACACCGCCACCCAGAAGGTCGTCGACGGTCCTTCTGCCAAGGACTGGCGTGGAGGCCGCACTGCTGCTCAGAACATCATCCCCAGCAGCACCGGTGCCGCCAAGGCTGTTGGCAAGGTCATTCCCGATCTCAATGGCAAGCTCACTGGCATGTCCATGCGTGTGCCTACCGCCAACGTGTCCGTTGTTGACCTCACGGTTCGCCTCGAGAAGGGCGCTACCTACGACGAGATCAAGCAGGCTGTCAAGAGCGCCTCCGAGAACGAGCTCAAGGGTATGTTTCGGCGACTGTTTACTCCCTCCATCGCTAACACAATATCCAGGCATTCTCGGCTACACTGAGGACGAGATTGTCTCCACGGACCTGCTTGGCGATCCTCGCTCCTCCATTTTCGATGCCAAGGCAGGCATCTCCCTCAACAAGAACTTTGTCAAGCTCGTTTCTTGGTACGACAACGAGTGGGGCTACTCCCGCCGTGTGCTTGACCTCTTGGTCTACATCGCCAAGGTCGATGGTAACGCGTAGGAATCAGGACGGAGCCAGGCCATGCCTAGACTTTGACGACCGAAATGACCAACCAGGGTGTTGTGCCAGACGAGCCTTCTGCCTATACGCGGAGCCCGTCCAGGTCCAATTGAGGCGTTTGGAGAAATACTGTGTACAGAGCGCTGTGAGAAAATGGTATGGGTAGTTATAGGACATTCAAATCAATGAATGCACAATTCCGCTTTCGAAGAAACTCGAACGAGTACCCTAATCTTGCTTTAGTTTCAGTTGACTTGTGATGTAATTGGGCCCAATCCGATCGCCGGCCCAGGACGGATTTGAGGAACATACTTTCCAGGAGCGTTCTACGACATCCACCTACAAGTTCTTCCGCTACTTTCCGACTACCCGGGAATTTATTAACAACAGGGGAATTCTAGGGGCTAATGGAAATAGTCGGGTTGCCAAGCTTGGGAGGAAGTGGCCACAGTCCAGCTGGGCACTCTACCGTCCATTCCCAAGCCCGCACGTGAAGTGGGTAGGCCCCTCAAACCAGAAGCTTTTGAACAATTCTAAAAGGGATTTATCAAAGAAAGACAGCAGTTGGAATTGCCTTGTTCGAGGTGCATACGGGCTGGCTGACTAAGCAGTTTGCTCACGTGCTGGCCGCGGTGCCAAGCAATCTACGGGAATCACCAAAGGATCAAGACGCGCCATCAACGTTTCGCTCTTGACTTTGATTTGCTGACTTCGAACTGAAGTCGTTACCTGACTTTTCTACGACAATAGCAACTCAGATAGTCGACAGGCATATCAAGTTGCGCCATACCTGAACAGCCTTTGCACGTGGAGGGCAATCCATCTGGACCATCTCGCAGGGTGTAGGATATTACAGTAGGACCCGTGTAAGCCTTCTAACTCCGGAGAGTTCCTAGGTCGCTGCAAGCACGCCAAAACTAGGCCGTCTATATTCAGGAAAACACCGCTGTCCGAGTCAAGCTTGAGCGGGTCTGCAAGCAGCCGGGATTCCATTGTTCCAGTGCAGTCAAGACCTGTTGAGCTCCACATGAGTTTCGCCGATATGCATCCATCTTCATAGGTCAGTGGCCCTTTTATTTCCAAATAGGAACGTTATTTGTGGCTTTCGCTTCCTTTTCGGTCAATCCGCCAGAAGGGTCGATCGATACTCCAGATTATGTTGCCAGACATCCTTTGGCATTCCAGTCAAGCATAGTAACTTCTGCGATTTCTCTTCGAAGCCCTTTTCTACAAATCACACTGACTAGTCAACAGTCACCGCACCGACCACTATCAGCAAATAGGTGGTCTGGGGTGGCGATTTGAAAAGGTCATCATCATGGCAGAGGACGAAATGATGGTGGACGATGGAGTGGTTGATTCAACAGAACTCAACGGGGACCACTCCGGTCGGCTGGAAACTATTGACCCTACCGTGATTACGCTAGGCCAAAGCCATGGTCATCCGTTTGTGGGTGGTAAAAGCAAACAACCCTCTGGATTTCCTCCGGATCAGACAGAAGTGTCCCTTTCGCCTTCCCCTAATACGGCCTCGGACAATATGGACATTGCATACTCTCATCTACCGAAAGTCGAGGTCCGGATCCCGCCTCCCCCAAGGTTTCCGCCATTACCCTATGCATCCTCCAAAACGGGACTGGTCTATGATGCGAGGATGAGATTCCATTGCGAACCAGTGAAGATGACGGTTCGGTCCGATACCATCCATCCAGAGGATCCCCGCCGAATCCATGAAATATTCCAAGAGATTCAGCAGGCTGGACTTGTGCAAGGCCCAGATGCTCAGGATGACGAGGCCAGGGATGAACAGTGCTGGAGGATACATGCAAGGTTTGCCAGTAAAGGCGAGATCTGCCTGATACATACGCCCCAACATTATGACTTCATAGAATCGCTCCAAGGTGCGTTGTGCTGATAATCTTCCCTCCACAGTGGCAGGCCCGGGCTGACGGAAGGCAGAAAAAACGGAGAAAGAGCTTGAAGATCTCTCCGAAGCAAGAGACTCGATTTATTTCCACAACAGCACGTTCGACTGTGCCAGACTCGCCGCAGGAGGAGCCATTGAAGCCTGCAGGGCCGTGGTCCGTGGCGATGTGCGAAATGCAATTGCCATCATCCGCCCACCAGGACACCATGCAGAGTGCGACCAGGCATCTGGGTTTTGCGTCTTCAACAATGTCCCCATTGCAGCTCGCGTCTGTCAAAACGACTTTCCCAAGGAATGCCGCAAGGTGCTCATCCTGGACTGGGACGTACACCACGGCAATGGAATTCAGCATGCCTTCTATGACGATCCCAATGTTCTCTATATCTCGTTGCACGTGTATAGAAACGGCCAATTCTACCCGTGTCTACCGGATGGCAACCTGACTTATTGTGGCGAAGGCGCTGGGTTAGGGAAGAATGTCAACATCCCTTGGCCTGCGCACGGCATGGGGGATGCGGAGTACCTCTATGCATTTCAAGAGGTGGTTATGCCCATCGCTACGGAATTCGATCCTGACCTTGTCATCATCTCAGCTGGTTTTGACGCCGCCGAAGGAGATGAGCTGGGTGGCTGCCATGTCACCCCAGCTTGTTACGCTCACATGACTCACATGCTCATGCGTCTAGCGAAGGGCAAGATTGCGGTGTGCCTGGAGGGAGGGTACAATCTGCGGTCCATCGCGCGGTCGGCACTTGCAGTAACGAGAACTCTCATGTTACAGCCACCCGATCGCCTTGAGGAGGATTTACCGCCTCCTCGAGAAGACGCCGTGAGGACCGTCGCCCAAGTCAAGCGGGAGCATTCACGATATTGGAAGTGCTTGTTCCCGAGGGAGCCGGAAGTGAGCGATATGGCGTCCTCGGAGACTCTGCGCTTGCATGACATCATCCGGGACTGGCAGAGCAAAGTGCTCACTGAAGCCCATCAAATGATTCCTCTCACCATCAAGAAGTCTGGGTTTAGCCAGACTTTTGAGCATAACGTGATGGCAACGTGAGAGTACATTTCCATCTTCATGCGCTCCTTACTAAAACACATCTAGGCCCAAGTTCATGGAAGAGCATCCGCTATTGGTGATCTTCCATGATCCGCCTGGCTGGATATCCCAATCGGACCCTGTGACGGGGAGGGTAGAACCCCACAACTCGTGGCTGGTACGTGCCTACAGTCTTGCGCTGTACATCCGCTAACTTTGGGCATGAAGACTAATGATACCAAGAGTTACATTGATTGGGCCATCAATGAGGGCTTCGAGATTATCGATGTCAATGTCCCCAAGATGGTGACGATCGAAGATGTGAGATGATTGCTCAGCTTTGACAGGATATATGTGCTGTGTTCTAACGGCAGGTAGGAGGATGGCGACATCGTGCAAACGGATGCGTCAGATGCCCGAGCACAGCAAACGCGCCTACTTGCCAACTATCTATGGGAGAACTACATTGAGTAAGTCGTTGGGTCGCCTGTATTGACCAGTACTGACAGTAAAAAGACCTCATGACGCAACGCAGGTTTTCCTCATGGGCATCGGAACGCCGTACACGGGACTGGTTGAGCTGCTTTCGAACAATGGTATGAGGTACATTGCAAGCGGGTGGATGCGGGAGGCTAATATTCCTGCAGAGAGTACAACTGAGGACAACGGCGTCCAACATCTCATTGGCTTTATCTCAGGCAGCCCGATCCCCTCGATCAGACGGGCCACGGACGATTACATTCCATTATGGTTCTATGAAGTAGGATTTCCTGACACTTTGTACATATTACGAACTGCCCAAGCTAACCATTGACTCACCAGCACACGACCGTCTTTGTAGCCTACGACCACCTGGCGTGGGACCCCAACCGGCAACGGAAACTGCGCAAGAAGTACGGCAAGTTGGTCAAATCCAGCGAGATGGCGCTGCACGCCATGCTCCAGGCACACAAGCGGGAAGTGCAAGAGCTGCTGTCGCGCATGAAGCGAGAGTACGAGGAGAAGCATAGCAGAAGCCGGACGTCGGAGGAAGAGCGAGAGGTTGGTCCTCCGACGCCGAGGACTGCGAAGGCGCCCGGGCAAGGGCCTGGGTCACTGCCTCCGATGGGGGTGTTTAGCTCACCAATCGTGGGGAGGAGGTTTGGGTGAAGTGGATTGCTGTGAGGGTCATAGGATAGATGATGGATGTAAATGTATTCTGGCCGTCTCTTCATGTGTATGTTCGTCATATACTAGGAGATGATGACGGAGCAATGAAATTGGGTGGATTGTAGCCATGTATGAACTAGCTTCGTGATTGATATATTGTTGAAGTTGGGCGTGCTGGAGTTGAAGGAGACTTTCCTCCGACGAGTGCGATATCCGTGAATGGTTCGACGGTTGGTGCCCAGGCCCGATGATCGGCGGTAGCTGAATCAGGAAATCCTCTAACGGTATTGGGAGCACACGATGATTTAGCACTGTGCCTCATCAGCCATCCTTCTCTGTCGAGATCACAAACACCCAACCGCACGTTGAACGCAGAACACACATTCCCGGAGCAGCAATCAGTTCAGCAGTGCGCACCCAACCTTTCCAGGCCACCTCTCTTTGATTATTCGTCATCATCGATACATTATCACCATTATCTGACCGACGACCATCTGCGTGCGGCGTACTGGCCAACCACAGCCAGCAGCCCAACCACGAGCCCTCAGCGTCGCTCAACGTCGCACCGGTTTTTGGTGGCTAGACTACCGTGTGAACAGGATGCGCAACCCGCAGCCAGCCGCCGTGTTCCTTTTTACCTCTTCCTCTCCCTCCTTCGTGCGCAGTCCTGCCCTTTGTTGATTGCGGTTGCGGAATGCCGCGCCCCTCCTCGGCCTTTCTCTCACCTCAACTCCGCCAGACCACGTGAAGGAGATCATCTCCCCCGAAAATCCTCACCCTCGCGCGCCTCCCGCCCCCCTGCTCCACTTTCGCCATGCTGCAATCCGCGCCCTCTTCGCCCTCGACCTTTCACCATTATGCCTCGCGACGGACCTCCAGCTCCCACAACACCACCCACACGTCCCCGCGCTTCCTATCCCAGGTGACGACGGGCAGTGCGTCGGCGCGGACAAAACCCGCCGCCGCGGTACCGACCGTGGCTCCATCCCCGTCCCCAGCTGTGGCCGTGGCCGTGACCTCCGCCCCGCCGCCCCAGAAGACTGAGTACAAGAATGCGTCGACGCAATACAGCCCGACCGGTTACCCGCCTACATATAGACCCCCTCGACCCATTTGCCCGAGGCCTCCTCAAACCCATCAATCCCATCCGCAACCCCCTCAACAACCTCAACCTCACCCACAACCGCCCACCGCCAACGCCAATGCCGATGATCCTGTCCCTCCCGAGCCCGCGGAACCCGCACTACGCGTAGACCCCCAACCTGCCGCTCCTCTGCACAACTCGACGCCTACCAGGAAGGCCACGGAGGACGTGGCCGGCCAGCCTGCACATCAGAGTGGACAGAGGGAGTCCCAGGCTGGGCGGCCGGGCGCTGTCACTCAACAATTCCCTTCTCCGGCCAAGCGCATCCGCCCCTCGGATCCAGCGAGTGTGAAGATAATGCCGCTGAGGTACGAGACGTGCGACGTCAAGGACCTCGGCGTGCTCATCTCGGACATGCTCATGGAGCTCGTCCGGCTGAACGACAAGAACCCGCTGCGCGACGGTCAGCTTACCCGCTTCCATTCAAGGTACCGTGGCCCTTTTCTTGACACTCCCGCAATGCTTCCTAACTGACTGTGCGTGCTGCAGGGCGCCGCCTGGCATATCCGTCCGCGATTATCTGAACCGCCTCATCGTCCATGCAACGCTCTCACCTCCTATCCTCCTTTCCATGGTCTTCTACGTCGACAAGCTATGCACCATGTATCCCGCCTTCACCATCAGCAGCCTCACCGTGCACCGGTTCCTGATCACAGCCGCCACAGTAGCCGCAAAAGGCCTCAGCGATAGTTTCTGGACCAACAGCCTGTATGCCAAGATTGGCGGTGTCAGCATACGCGAGTTGGCCCTGCTGGAGCTCGAGTTCCTGCGGAGGGTCGAATGGCGAATTGTCCCCAAGCCGGAGACCCTGGTCGACTATTACAAATTTCTGGTGCAGAGAGCAGAGGGGTACGAGATGGAGAAGGAGGAAACTTCTTCCGAGGACGATGACGAGACCTCGGCTGGGGAAGAGGAAGATGAGGCCCCGGAAGCTGTGCAGCAGCTCGGTTCGGGTTCGGAATCTACAAGCATTCCACGACACGAAGGATAACGGCACCTTGTACGCAAGAGACTTCACAGTACATTATTGAGCTGTGCAGTGCGTCGCCAGGACATCATGGCCCCTGGGAGACGGACCGCACGCCATTGGAAAAAATGGCACTGCTCCAGTTTCGCCCCCGACCGTCCCAAGAACACGGTTGACACCGGCGGTGTCTGATAACACCATCGAGCTGAGAGACGGATTCACACGGCTACCGGCCGGCAGAAGAGGACGAGAAACCGGAAGTAGAATCTGGTCCCCATGCAGTACCCACGCAGCAACAAACGCGGTTTATCTGACCACCAGGTCAGGTCGATCCTTTTGATTCAATCTCCCAGACCAGGCCTTGGGTCAGAGATTGAGCGAAGGTATAGGAGGTACATGCAATGCTAAGGGGATATGGTGATAACCTTGCATACTGTTTGCCCTTGGACATGCCAGGCGGTAGAGACCCGGTTGGCAAATATTGAGACATGCTGATAGGACAAGCGATCTCTTGGGAATGGTCATCAGGGAGACTGCGAAGCAGTTTGCAGTATGCGACTCGGGCACCCTGCCCATGCACTGCACACATGCACAGCTAGATATGCTGGCAGTTGAGGCATGCTCAAGACGATCTTTTGGCATGATTGGGCAGACATCCCTCAGTAGGATGATAGTTTTAGAGACGGATAGAATCAAATCATATAGCCTGCTGGCTACGATACTGTCAGGATTGCGAATGGACGACGATTCACCGGCTCTGACCCGTGTTGCTGTGTTGGACCAATGATGTCCAAACCATGACCCAAACCCATGCTGAGACCCGATGAAGCACCCACGTCTTTCACCATGATCAAAGTAAGGCGTCGGCTCCATGCTCGGCCGTTTTGGTTTACTGTCTCTCGGAATCCATGCCGCAGGCCGCAAGACGACTGGGTATTCGGAATGGCGCTGGTGGTTCCATCTCCTGTGGTAGTATGGATATCTACCTACGCTGCTCTCGGCTTCCCAACTCAAGTACCCTCCTCCTCCCCTCCTCCACCCCGCATTGTCCTCAGCCTCAATTGTCTCCTCAATCCAAGACCCCACGCATCCACCAACACCTTTTCTGGCGCTAGAGTCCTATAATGAGCGTGAGTCGTGCCCCTTCTTCCTCTCCACTCGGCCCTGGCGTGTCACGAGGCGCGCCTGTTCAATGTTGCATCCCGTCTCTCCCCACGCGCCCGTTTGCTAATGTAATGAGCAGGAGCACCGACTGCCGTCCTCCTCGCGACCACCGTTATGCTGAAGACATGAACTCGGACATTGGCCACTGGCAGCCCGGCCAGCGACAGTCTGATGTGCATTGGCTTCACCACCATTACCCTCCCGAGGTACCCACCTCCCCGCGCTCTCCCGCAATGGCAGCACCACCACGACTGACCGATGGACTGCAGCAGACGCAGCTCGCGCACATCCCGAAGACACGCACCAGTCCTGTCGTCACCCGGACGAAAGTGGCCCGGTATGGCTCCCAGTCGAGCACGCAGCGACCGTCGTCGAGCGGGGGAGAGCACATCATGCTGCCATATCGGTTTGCGCCCCCGCGAAGAGCAGAATCCTACTCGCACCCTACTCCGCTGGAAGAGTTCCGCAGCTCCAGACGGTGGCCACCCCAGGGTTACCGCAAGGATGACGCCCTCACCCCCAAGCAAGCCGAGGAGATTATATGCCCTGGAGCGTCCACCTTCAAGGGATATTGGGACGAGATCGAGCATGCGCCGCCGGGCTATGTGCGATACTATGCCGTCATGGAGAGCGAACACCAGGGCAGGACAGATCGGGCGTCCTTTCGGCATACCGCTTACCGGGACATTTCCTTGAACATGACGGGCGCCACCGATACCCAATTCCCCTGGCTGTCGCTGGAGCAGCCCTGCATGGCATTTGCCTTTGGGAAAAGCGCAGGCACGACTACTCTCAACTACTGGGTCAGCAAGTCCGGGAGCACCCATCCTCCGACCAAGTTTGCGGGCAGCGTGAAGCCGCGCAAGCTGAAGCTGCTGCAGATTCTGGACCGACTACGGCAGTTGGAGAATGGCCTTGAGGATGTCAGTAGCGAACCTTGCCTCCGGCACCGTCTTTGGTTCTTATGGCCTAACGTGTGGAATTGCAGGACCCTGACGAGCAGTACCGGTACCTATATAGCACTCTCATCGAGGATCCAGATCGCTACAGCGAGAAGCCGCACTTTGGGACCGAACAGCAGATCGCCGACCTCATCACCGTGCTTACCCATCCCAGCTGGATCGATTTCTCGCAGCCCAAGAATCAGGTGGTGGCAAAGTTCTTCGATTCGCCGGACCAGCACAAGAAACAGGAGTTTTTCCATCAACTGCTTCTCGCAGCGGAGCTCCATCTGCGAATCCACTCCAACAATCGCAGTGACAAGGCGAAGCGGAAGCTCATCCTACAACTGCCCCCGACTATAGCGTGGGATCTGGCCGTGGCCCAGCGCTGGCTGGAAAATATGACGATTACGAAATCACGAACGTCGCATAGCCAGAGCACATTCAGCTTTGAACTCACGAGCAAGAATAGGCAGAAGGAGGCACTGAGGGTGTTTGCCGAGACGCTGAAATGGCCGAATATGGACGAGTTGGAGTATGTTTTGGACGAGAAGGATCCGCAGGAGAGACCGCTGGAAGACCGCTCTGCAGACGCCATGTCCTGGTTCTCGGGCATTATCCTCCCCGGAAAGACCCTGCCGTGGCTCATCATGAACAGCCTGATTGACTGTGACCGCGACACGGGTGAGGCACTCAAGTATCTGACGCATATGCATCCTGCTGCGGGCTTTCAATACCGGGCCAACACATACTGGTCGGCAGACTGCATTGTAGGCAAAGTTTTAGGAGCGGCGCGAGGGGTGAAGCAAGTGGCAGGATGGATCGGCCCGTGTATCTACAGTCCGCAGTTGAAGCGCACCGAAAGTGTGCGAATTCGGCAGCTCGAGCCCAAGGATCCTCGACTGACGCCGAAAGATGTCGAGAGTATGGATGTGCGATCGCATCCCCTAGGCCCAAGAGACACGAGTTACCCGATTGACGACTACGAAGTCCCAATGGCGGATAGGGAAGATGTGACGGACCTGATTCGCGTGGAGAAGCTGGGGTTCCAGCCGGCGAAGGAACAGCCGCCAACGAGGCAGGGTGCAGGCGCACCCTTGACGTTTGATGCGGCGATATACTTTGCCTGCAGAGGGAAGAGCTGGCCCATGAGACTGAGGTACAACGTGGACTTTGTCAACGCCTTTCCCTGTCATCAAGGTCCGCATGGTAAGGCATTATTCGGGTTTGGTGTGGAGCTGAAGCTAATGAAACACGCCAGTGCTCTTCTACGACTTCTCTTATAAGGCCATCAAGATCGATGGCGGCCTCGTGGACCTCAACGACTGGGATCGCGAATCGGGTCTCGTGTCCCGGCATCGCTCGCGCGGGCGTTCGGCATCCCCCTCGAAGCACTCGAGCGCCCTCGCCACGACCCGCTGGTCGGACGCGGCGGAAGAAGAGGAACTCGCGCACATGCGCGTCACGAAGGTGCTGGCGATCGAGGCGTTGGGGGTGAGCGACAACGAGGTGTTTGCGCGGGCGTGGTGCGCGCATCACGGGCACAGCGCCATTGTGGCGAATATCAAGGAGACGTGCATGGCGTGCGCGATTCGAGAGGCGTATGCGGCGTGTATCTCTGTGGTGATTTTCACCGAGGGCGGCAAGGAGGAGGAGAAGGATAGGGGGGTGTATGATGGGTTGGCGGAGAGGTGAGGGGGTTTTTGCTTTGGGTTGATGCAATTGGGCGGGCGGTGTGTCCCTTATGAGGTATACGGCGGGGAATTTATGGGGGATTGCATGCAGCACTCTGTTCTCTTGCTTATGGGTGGGCTGGAGGCAGAGATCGGCGTCTGGGGGTGTTTTCCATCATGGGGATGGCATGTCATGTGTTAACGATACCTTACGTAGCATGAGTTATGAATGTATGAATCTGGAATTCTTCGAAGTATGCATGGACCTCTAGTTTGTGTGAAGCAACAAGTAATTCGACAGAATTAGGGGTATTCTGTAGATATTAGATATCTGGGGTGTCACGAATGTAGAGAGATGGTATTATAGATCGTTATAAATGTGGTGGGTAGGTCGGTCTTGCCAATGCCATGCATGCATCGTCACCACCCACATCTTCCAAAGGAAACCAGGAACCACTCCACAACATTGAACACATCTGGGCCTCCACCATCGGACCACCTCCGAGTTGCACAAACCCCGCGCGCCGTTTCCGTGTAACCATAATCCGTACCTATCACGCACCCGAGGCCCCTCAGGTCCCGCGGCCGCCGCAGCTTGTGGCGAAAGCTGGGGAGAGCTCCTCCGCATCTACTTGTACTGTATACAACATTCGACGCATAGATCTATCTGCACCACAGATCGCACCACAGCACAACGGCGCACAGGGCCTGTAACCCCGTACCTCCTCTCGAGCAGCGCAGGGCTCCAATAAATCACGGCGCAACGAGCGCACACACGGCGTTAGCCTCCGCGACCGACGGCCCCTCGTCTCGTCTCATCTCATCCGTCCGTGTATCCCACCATGGCACGGTCCCCGCTCCTATCGGCGTTCGAGGAGCTGGCGAACCCGTCGACGCTGACCGCACAGCTCGACGCCCTGCGGACCATCAAGAACCAGATTGTGGGCCATGAGCAGAGGAAGGAGCTCGTGGTGCGGCATGGGGTCGTCACGGCGCTGGCCGGGATCCTGCGAGCGGAGACGAGGAGAGGGGGCAAGAGGCGGTATATGGAGAGTCGGAGTGGGCAAGTTGGGGATTCGGGGGATTTGGCCATAGAATGGGGATCCGAGGAGGAATTGAGGTACCAGGCGACGCTGGTGGTGGGCAGTTTGGCGAATGGTGAGTGGGATCACAAGAGCCATAGGCAAATGGAAGACTGACCACTGCGGTATCAATAGGTGGTCCAGCGTTCGTCGCTCCGTTACTCGCAGGGAACGTCGTACCTCCTCTAGTGGAAGCCCTGGATCCTACCGAGACATCGTCGCAGCTGATCACCGCTACGCTCCGCACGCTCAACCAAATTGTCGAAGCGGCCGCCCACGAGAAGTCCCGGTTCGACGCTGCGGAGGGCCCGGTTGCTTCCTCTCTACTGGATACCATGCGCGGATACATATACACGGAACCCGTCATGAAGAGCTTGTCCAAGATTATGTCTCGCAATCTCCTCGCGGCCCAAGTGGGTCACCAGGCGATCTCGCTGGCTGCGAAATTGGTCGCGAAAACCTGCCAGGAAGTATCCGACCGGACGCTCCTGGTAGAATCCGGCATTTTGGATCAGCTCGCGTCATACCTTGCCGGTGCGGCGGCGGCAGATGCTCCGTGGCTGAGGACAGAAGTGCGCACGTTAACAGCGGAGGACGAACTACCCAACATCCATCTGGCACACGTCATGGACGCCATCGCTGCCATCATCAAGGATTCGAACTATAACACGGCTCGTTTTGTCTACGCCCAACATATCCTACAAGTCTTCGGATTGGCCTGGGATGGCGAAAACGAAGAAGAGGTAGCGCAGTGGACCAAACTGTCACCTCGTCTGCACACTTTCCAGAACAAGTCGGATGCCTACACCAGACTTTGGCCGGCTCTCAAGCCATCCAATCTCTCGAGCACCGACGAGACTGTATCCCACATCCTCCGCCTCGAAGGGCGCACCTTCGTGTCTGATGAGCCGGAGACGCCTCTCTTCATCTGGCTGACGGCCGTGGCGCGACGGAGCGACTTCCGAACCCGCGCATCGGCTTGCTGGCTTCTGGCACTACTGAACAAGACGAGTGAGAAATGGGGGCTGGGCGAACCTTCGCGGATAACGAGAGAACGGCATTTTGCGCTCCTCGTTGTACCCTTGATTGTGGAGATGATTAAGCAGTTGAACGCTGCGTCTACAGGTAGCAAAGGTAGCACTCGATTCATGCCTACGTCCGAGGACGAACGCCGGTACCTCCTAGAGCGCTCGATGCTCACACTCGCCGAGCTTGTGGTCCGTAGCAAGACGCAGCAGAATGCAGCGTATGAGGGAAAGGTTCTGCCTGTCCTGTTTCACATACTGAAGAAGTCGTTCGATCCTGTTCCTGTTACTTCTAAACGGCTGTGGTCGCCTAAGATGGCGCCTTCACAGGTTGCGAATGCTGTGGCTGATCAGGCGTCGTCGACGCTTGGGAGTCGGGGTGTGAATCTGGATGTTCTGCACGCTTTCCGGTGCAGGGAACATGCGCTCTATGCGTTGGCGGCCATGGCGGAGTCGCAGGATACCATCAGGAAGGCGGAAATCGAACAGGGCATCATGAAATACATTGTCGATTCCATGGTGCCATGTACAGCGAGGTCCAGCGCGGGTGATCCGTTTGAAGACACGGACGGTTCGACGGTCTCGATGAAGGGAGGAAATCCCACTCCGGTGCTGCTTGCGGCGTGCAAGGCGGCGAAGATGTTGACGCGGTCGGTGTATCTGCTCAGAACGAGTCTGATCGATGCGGACATCTCGGTGCCGTTGAAGGAGCTGCTGACGTATCCGGATACGAGGGTACAGGTTGCGGCGACGGAGGCGGTGACGAATCTGCTGATGGATCTTTCGCCTCTGCATGATGTGAGTGCTCTCACACTTCATGTCGAGCCATCTTTTCTATTTCAGCAATCCGAACTGACACCATGCAATAGAAGCTCAAAGAACCCGGTCTCAGCAAGATACTGCTTGAGCATTGTCGATCCGCGAACTTTGACCTCCGCCTCGACAGTATGTGGGCGCTGAAGCACCTCGTTCTGAACTGCCCGCTGCCTGTAAAGATGGCCTGCTTCGACGGGCTAGGCGTGGGCTACCTCACACAGCTGATCAGTGGAGAAAGTGCAAAGGCGGCGCCTACTTTCGGTATGGGGGTGTCCAATGCGGCGGGAGAAAAGGTCGACATACTGAACAGCGTCGCCGACGAGCCGGAGATGGATGTAGACGAAGCGCCCGTTAGCGACGACGGGGACGACGATGATGACGATCCCATGGCCGACAGCATACCGTCGATGCGCCGCCATCCACATTCCGGAAGCAGACACCTCACCGCCGCCAACATCCGCGAGCGGCTCCAGCAGATCAAGGCCGAAGAGCAGGACACGCGGCTCACGGCCGAACACGAGGCCATACGGCTCCAGGAGCAGGCGCTCGACTTCATCAGGAATTTCATGGCGGACGTGAAGAACCCTGGAGAAGTCATCGAGCATGTCCTGCGCAGCTTCGGCCAGTCGCGCTTCTTCGACCTGCTCGACCTCACACTCCGGCCCAAGGGCTCACCAGCTACGACGTCGCCGTACTCGTCGTCTCCAGCACAAGCACGACAGACTCGCAGCTCGACCTGGGCCCGCAATAGCAACAGCAACAACAACCATGATCCATCATTCCCCGCTCCGTCCTCGACCACCCATCCAACCGCGGTCACGCAAGCCCGGCCCGCGACACCCGTGCCCAACTGGCCCGTCTACCCACCGCACGAAATCCTCCACTCGACCCTCATGATCCTCGTGCACATGGCCAACGGCTCGGCGCGGCACCGCACGCTGCTCTGCGGGCAGACGCCGCTGCTCCGGCGCGTGCTGGTCCTGTTCGGGCACCCGCACCGGCAGGTGCGCGCCAATTGCGCGAGTTTTCTAAACAATCTGACCATCGTGGAGGATCAGGCGGATGTCGAGGGTGGGGTTTGGGGGGCGAGGGTCCGGGTGTTGAGGGGGTTGGGGTTCGAGGACAGGGCGAGGGGGTTGGAGGGGGATGTGGATCAGGATGTTAGGGAGGTGGTGAGGGTGGCGGTGGATGCTTTTGGGAGGTTTGGTGGTGGGAATGGGCAAAGTGGGGAGGGGGGAGGGAGTGGTGGTGGGAATGGGGGGAATGCTGGGGGTGGAGGAGGAGGGAATGGGGGAGGGAGGAGTTCGGTGAGGCAGGGTTCGTGGGGGGGTATGTGAGGTTTGCGGTTTTAGAGAGGGCTGGACAGAAAGAGAGGAAGGGGGAGAGGGAGAGAGCGAGGGGCGGACGGCAGATGTGTCTGTGTGTGTATCATCAGATGGATGTAGGTTATCCTGGTGTACGGGTACGTACGTATATTCTTTTGGTTTTGGTTTTTGCATTGATTGTCCAAGGCCGTGCAAATAATATTGGGAAATAGTGTGTACGGATAATCTAATCTTATACAAATACAACTCCACCAGACTTCCATCCCAAGTACAAATGCGTTAACATGTATACGTTTACATATAGTACCTGCATCTTCTGCCCCAACATGCCGCTCTACCGCACGTATTTCGCGGGCAAGTAGGTAGGGATCCTCGAGTCTTGCGGCGCAGCTTTCTCGCTATATCGATGAAACTTACCTAGTCTACATAGGTAGGATTTTTTCTGGCTTTTAGATCTTGTTATTAGTAGTACGTTGTGTACAGGGGTGCAACAACAGTGAAACTGCGAGAGACAGAGCGGTGTGCTACTTTCCTTGCAATGAAGGGGTTTTTCTTGCGCCTCTGATTACTTAGAACAAGCTCTCATGCAAAAATCTACGTAGGGCTTTATGAAGTTGTGTCAATTGGATTGCGCTGAACGGGTTCTTCAAACTACGGACGAATCGCATGACGTTGTTCCCTTTGTCTACGTCAAGAGGCAGTGTTGAAGCTTCGAGTCGTGACTGTCCGCAAAACATCGAACAATCTGGTGCACATGACAAATAAACACAGACACACCTCTCTGAGTAAGAGGACTACACGTCGAACAAGGAAATGAGATCTTTGCCTGCGAGCTGGAAATAGAATTACACAGAAGCCATGTCCCTCCAATCACCCGCCAGCATGAAGCCTCCCTCGAAACCCCGCATGCTCGGGGTATTAGGTAGACTGAACTTTTTATACAGGTTTGGGAGTTTTGCCGACGAGCGTCTTGGGCACATATGGCCGAATGATTCCCGCTTTCTACCCACACATCTATGCCTTCTCGAGTTCCGCCAGAATCTTCTCACCCTTTGCCTTCGCCGACTCAAAGTCACCCACCATGTAGAAAGCACCTGATTCATATTAGCGCCTGAAGGTTCGAGAGTGGAGAGTGCGCAACTTACCCTCAGGAAGGTCATCACCCTCGCCGTTCATGATGGCCTTGAAGGACCGGATGGTGTCCTTGAGGTCGACGAGCTTACCCTCAATACCAGTGAAGACCTGAGCCACAGTGAAAGGCTGGCTCAGGAACCTCTGGAGCTTGCGGGCACGCTCGACAGTGAGCTTGTCGGCTTCCGAAAGTTCGTCCATACCCAGAATGGCAATGATATCCTGGAGCGACTTGTACTCCTGGAGCATCTGCTGAACACGGGTGGCGGTCTGGTAGTGGTCCTCGCCGACAATACGGGGATCCAGCATGCGAGACTTGGAATCGAGGGGATCGACGGCAGGATAGATACCCAACTCGGAGATACCACGGGACAAGACAGTGGTGGCGTCCAAATGGGCGAAGGTGGTGGCAGGGGCAGGATCCGTCAAATCGTCAGCGGGCACGTAGACGGCCTGGACGGAAGTAATGGATCCCTTCTGGGTCGTGGTGATACGCTCCTGCATAGCACCCATGTCTACTGCGAGAGTAGGCTGGTAACCGACGGCTGAGGGAATGCGACCAAGCAAGGCAGACACCTCGGAACCGGCCTGAGTGAAGCGGAAAATATTGTCAATGAACAGCAGCACATCCTGGCCCTCTTCGTCCCTAAAATATTCGGCGATAGTAAGCTGGTTGTCTCTTTGTTAGTTACTGTTCGCAAGTCGGAAAACGAGCTGAGGTTCTCCAAGTACCGAAGCACCAAGTTGGATCACGGAGTCGGCGCAAGCCCATTGGCGGCAAGTTGATACCGGAAAGGAAGGCAGGAAGGAGAGAATTGGGAAGGAAGGAAGGGGCGGGGGTAAATTAACTTACACCAGTAAGAGCAACACGCGCACGAGCTCCGGGGGGCTCGTTCATCTGACCGAAGACGAGAGCGACCTTGGATTCACCCTCGAGCTGAATGACGGAGGTCTCCTGCATTTCGTGATACAGATCGTTACCCTCACGAGTGCGCTCACCGACACCAGTGAAAACGGAGAAACCACCGTGGGCTTTGGCGATGTTGTTCTATCCAAGTCAGCGTTCTGTGCATGCATCAAGTATGGAAACGCCTACAATCAGCTCCTGAATGAACACAGTCTTGCCGACACCAGCACCTCCGAACAGACCGATCTTTCCACCACGGGCATAGGGGGCCAACAGATCGACGACCTTGATACCAGTGACGAGGACCTCGGCGGTGGTCGACTGGTCAGTGAACTCCGGAGGGTCGGCGTGAATGGGGGCCTTCTTGGTGTGCTTGATGGGGCCACGCTCGTCAATGGGGTCGCCAGTGACGTTCATGATACGACCGAGCGTTCCGGGGCCGACGGGAATCATGATGGGGGCGCCAGTGTCAGTGGCAATGGAACCGCGAACGAGACCCTCGGTACCTGGAACGTCATGTCAGCGAGATTCTAACGAGCACGAAATGATCTGTCTCACCGTCCATGGCAATGCAGCGGACGACGTTCTCGCCCAGATGTTGCTAGATGCCATCAGTAAAGATCCTTGCTGGCATAAGGCTTGGCATCCTTACCGCAACTTCCAAGACGAGCTTCTGGTCACCGTTCTTCGTCTCCAAGGCATTGAGAATGGGCGGGAGCTGCTCCGAGTCGAACTTGACTGCAATATCTAGTCAGCACGTGTCCTGGTGCGCGTTTTGGTGATGGATGTCGCGATGGCTCCGTTGCAGCACTCCAAACCGGACGCCTGGAAAAGCTTTTCGCGGAGCCATTGAACACCATTGACCACGAAAGAAAAGGGTGTCGCACCATCGACGACGGCACCAATGACCTGGTGAATCCTGCCATCGCGAGAGGAGTCCGTGGATGCGTATCTCGCAGCGAAGGCCGGGGCGAAGGACTTCTTGATGGGCGCGAAGCTGCGCTGAGCAAAGCGAGCCTGCGAAGCCGCCCGGAGCGACCGTTGGAAGCCGCTGTTTCATCAAGTCAGCGCATCTTCCATCGTCAATTGGGCTGTTGGAGCGCATTGCATACCTCTTGAGCATTGTGACGACGATGGGGAAGGTGGATGTGTGAGTATGGGGGTGGATTGGAAAGAGGAAGAAATGGCGCTGGCAGATGCCCTTTCCTCAAGAGCTCGGCAACGAAAAAAAGGCGCTAACCCGTTTGGGGTTGACACCCCTGCAACCGGCGATGGGAACGCAGCTAGATGACGGGAAACACATCGCTTCTTCTCAGTAAATGCCCACTTCTGCTTTTAGTGCTTTGCTACTCATGGGTGCAGGCCAGAATACAGTCAAGCCCTCTCCAGAGTGTGCAGTCAGCGCCCATCTAGCACTCAGTTCGATTAAACAAGCCGCAAGGCGGGCGCATCGGCATACTGGACCTTACAGTTGGCCTCCATCTGAAAGAGCTCCACTCATAGCATTATAAGGAGGTAACTTTGAGGCGGCTGTTGAAAGCTGTAAGTAGAAAGCAGATCAACAAAAAGGCGAACGAAAGATGCAAGTCGAAAAGGAGTGGATGAGAAGCCAAAGGAGCTGGCCCTCGTATTTCCGACACAAGTAGGATTACCCATTCGGCTCGATTCAAATGATAACCAGCTGATTTCTGAAGAAGTTTCATATGCAAGTTTCGTTCCTTCACGTCGAGTTAGCACGGGTGAAAAACCATAGTTCGGACGTGTAACCACCTCGCCTGGGTAGCGCCCACCGAGGACCCAGCAATCGAAGAGTTTTGAGGAAGTTTTACCTTTTTCGTCAAGGGGAGCAAACACTTTGTAAGCTCAGTTATCCATGAGAGTGAGAGCTCTTATCCTCTCAAATGCGTTGACAGCTGACAGTAATTGCAGTGCATGGTCACTGGCATCCACGTAGACTGAAATGTGTAGCTATATCGAGGATGTAAGTGCACACTGGTAAGCGAATTTCGTTTTCATTGACGTCTAATATCAAGGGACAACTGTTTCCCAATCGGCACATCACGCCCAGAGTCCCATTCGCATACGCACACTACCTGCAATGCTCAGAACACACCAGTTACAAGGTCTCCTCCAGTGCAAGGACCTGAGTATGGTCAGCGACAGGCACGGCGCGTTTGCATATGGAAACTTACAATGGCGGTCCGGCTCGGGATGTACACCTGCAGGAAATTCTTCCTGTCGTTCCATGCGAAGGGGGTCGTGAAGAAGCGCGTGCTTTCGTCAATGTTTCCATGCCCACCAAAGCTCTTGTTGTCCGTACTAAGGACGATCCGGTAGGTGCCCTCCTGTTCCACCCCGACGCGGTAGTCTGTATAGCTGTTGGATGGGTGCCAGTTGAAGATCCACAGAAGGCCCGCTCGTTCGAATACAATGACCTTGTCACCCTCGTGCTTCAAGCTGACATAGGCCTGGGGTGAGTGGAGCCAGCCATACTTCTCTTCAGTCCATTGCATCTTGCTGTCGAAATCATTGAGGAATCTGTACCGCAGAAGGTGGTCGTCAACAAGGTTGAATTGTCGGCGCGCGTAGTGGAAGCTGTTATTGTTCCCTTCCCTAGGAAAGTCCAGCCATTCCGGGTGTCCGAACTCGTTTCCTTCAAAGTTCAGGTACCCTTCTCCGCCGAGGCCATGTGTGATGAGGCGAATCATCTTGTGCAAAGCGAGGCCTCTGTCGATGACCGGAGTTAACTCGGAGAGCACTGACATGTTGGTGTACATCTCTTTATCGCAAAGCCAGAACAGGAGCGTCTTGTCACCAACGAGACTGCATCGTTAGCTGAAGATTAACGTGGGAATAGGAAGACATACGCTTGATCGTGACTCTCAGCATACGCAATGGTCTTCTCCCCATGCCGCCTATTTGTCAGAGTGAAGACGAGATTACCCATATCCCAATCAATGTCCTGCTTCTCCTTCAGCCACTTAATGTACAAGTCCGGAATGGCCATCGCCAGCCTGTAGTCGAAGCCAATGCCACCTAGGGCAAATGGAACGCAAAGTCCGGGCATGCCAGAGACATCCTCTGCAATCGTTATGACGTTGGGATACAGCGTGTGCAACATCTCGTTGGCTAGAATGAGATACACAAGGCCTTCTTCATCGACGGCGGGCCCGAAATATTCATGATAGCCGCCAGAGAATCCACTATCGCAGAAGGTTAGTCATCCAAGAAGCGCGCTGAACGTGAGAGCGACGTACGTTCCGATGCCATGATGCGTATAGATCATGCTAGTCACGCCATCAAATCTGAAGCCGTCAAACTGGTACTCCTCCATCCAAAAGCGAAGATTGCTCAGCAGGAACCGCAACACCTCGTGATGCCCGTAATTGAACAATCTGCTGTCCCACAGCTCGTGCTGGCCTTTTGGACCTGCATGGAAGTAGTGATGATCGCTCCCGTCGAATTGGTTGAGCCCATCCAGGACGTTCTTGGAAGCATGGCTGTGCACCACGTCGAGCAACACGGTGATACCCATACCGTGAGCAGTATCGATCAGCTCCTTCAGGTCGTCCGGGAGTCCGTAGCGACTGCTTGCCGCAAAAAAGCTATTGATTTGATAACCAAAGCTCGCATAGTACGCGTGCTCCATGATGGCCATCAATTGAATGACATTATATCCTAGATATTTGATGCGAGGGAGAACATTGCGAGTGAACTCCTTGTAGGTAGCAACCCGCGGCTCTGGTGAGGATATACCCACATGCGCCTCATAGATACGGACGCTCTGCGGTTTAGGCGGCCGCTTGTTTTTGAAGACGTATCTCTGCTCCTTTGGTGGGTTCCAGAAGCGAGCATCGTAGACTGGCGACACGCTCAGGTCCTGGGTCACGCGGGTTATCCAAGCGGGTAGGCGTTCTTGACGAGCGCTGTCATTTGGGACGACAAACGACACCTTCCCATGAGTTAGCATGAATCCGAGCTCGTAGTGAAGGCTGGATAACAGAATACGCACCTTTATCTTGGAGTCGTGGGGTATGGCCGGTTTGCCATCTTTGCCAGGCACTACCACCTCGAAAACACCAAATGCGTTCTTCTTCATTGAATGGGATTCCCTATCCCAGTTGTTGAAATCGCCAATGAGATATGCTTTCAGAGCATTGGGCGCCCATTCGCGGTACACAACATCGCCGTTATCCAGTACATTGAACCCGAATCGTTCGTAACCCTAATATCGATCAGCCAACCATCGTTATAATGGACGTTTGGGGCATCTTACTCTAGAGAATTTCTCCAAGCCTCCCTCGGTCTTGTCAATGGTTTGGATCCATTCCTGAGCCTTTGCGTAGCGACTGCGGAGGCCGTCTTTGAAGGGTGCGAGATATGGATCGAGCTTGACGATACCTGTGAAAACAGGTCAGATAACTATCAAAGGAGCATTGGAAGATATGCGTACCAGTCCCGTCATTAGGGACATCGACCGTTTGGTCTGCTGCCGGATTCGCAACTGCTTCGGACATGATGCGGGGTGTTGATGGGGCAGAGAGCAGAACTGAGGGGAGCAAATAAGCTGTGTACAATCTGAGGGATGGAAGCAATTGGTACGTCATTCTGTGCTTTACATCAGATAAAACACTCTCCAGCCACATCACACAAGCCGCAGAGTGGCTCCGACTCGCCACCCGCTCCACTCACCCCGCATTGGGGTGATAGCTATCTACAATGTGTCATACGCCATGGAGCTCCGAGTTCCAACTCTCCTCCTCGGACACTCTCCCAACCCTCCCTCATCCCTTGCCAGAATGCGGCGATTACGGGCCTCCTCCTTTTCCCTGAGGGTCTCTCCTCAAGCGCGCGCCTCCTATCTTGTCCTCTCCCGCATCAGCCGCACCTTCTCCATAACCGCATCGCGCCCGTCCCCGGGGGAATACCGCCGCTCCGACTTCAGCGGCCAGGGATACACATCTGTTTATGAGCCTGGACTACCTCCAAACGGTCCACTCGGTGGCGCTTCTCTCGTCGGCCCTCCGCGTGTGGTTCCGAGCAAGCTCAAAGAGCATCTCGACAAGTATGTCGTCGGCCAGGAGCGCGCCAAGAAGAAGCTTTGTACGGCTATATATAACCATTATCAGCGAATACAGGAGCTGCAACGGCTTGAGGATGAGCGGGCGGAATTGGATGCGCAGGAGCAGCGCCAAAAGATGGGGCACCGGCATCCCATAGAAGGTAGTTTCCGGCGTCCGCATTGGCCTCCCATACACATGCGTTGTACACACGGACTGAAAGCGAACAGACGAATACCCGGGCCAGGAGCAGACCGTCGAGTACCATCCTCCCGTCACCCCCTTTCCAGAACCAACTCCGTCGCCCATCGAGGCACCACTGCCGGAAGATCGCGGACAGTTGGGCATACAGAAGTCGAATGTCCTCCTACTCGGCCCGTCCGGCGTTGGCAAAACATACATGGTTAAGACCCTGGCCCAAGTTCTGAACGTACCTTTCAGCGTATCAGCTTGCACGAGCTTCACTTCAGCCGGGTACATTGGTGAAGATGTCGAAGCTTGTGTACAGCGTTTGCTTGCCGCCGCAAAGTACGACGTAGCTGAAGCGGAGCGAGGAATCATATTCCTGGACGAGATTGACAAGATTGCAACAGCAAAGGTGAATCACGGCAAGGATGTAGGCGGCGAGGGCGTCCAGCAGGCACTTCTCAGCATAATTGAAGGAACCACCCTGCAGATCCAGGGCAAGGCCGAAAGAGGACCAAGTGGGCGATGGCTGGAGGGGCCAAAGAGTCCTCCGCCGCCAGGAGCTGGTAAAGAGACTTACACAGTCCGAACGGACAATATCCTTTTTATATGCGCGGGCGCTTTTGTCAACCTCGGGAAAATAATACAAGATCGGATAGCCAAAGGCAGTATGGGGTTTGGAGCTGCAGTACGCTCATCCAAGCCCGAGTCCGGCGTTCACGAAACTTTGGTAAAAGGCGACGATGCCCTCTTCAAGAAACACCTCCCTTTCTACGTTGCGCCAGATACATCCCCTGCGGGGCGCGTCTCCAAGTCACTACAGACCTTCAACCTGCTTGACCTCGTGGAGCCCGCCGACCTTCAGAAGTACGGCATGATCCCGGAGTTTCTCGGGCGCATACCGACCTTGTGTGCGCTGTCTGCGCTCGATGAAGACGCTCTCGTGCGGGTCCTCACCGAACCGCAGAACAGCCTTATTCGACAGTATGAGCAGTTGTTCCGCAACTCTGGCGTGGAGCTCCGCTTCACCACCGCATCTCTACGAGAGATTGCGAAGCGCGCGCTTAATATGGGGACAGGTGCCCGGGGGCTACGTGTCGTGCTTGAGCGGATGCTGGAGGAGTCCATGTACGCGGCGCCAGGTACGTTTGATCACACACCATGCCACCCCTTTCTCATCAGTCGCTAATATTGCCGCTTCAAGGCTCATGTATCAAGCACATCCTCATCACACGCGAGGTCGCTCAGCTAAAAACGGCTCCTCTCCACTTTGAACGTGGCCAATCGCGGAGCTTCTACAATACGTGGAATCACGAGGAGGCATTGTGGGAGGACGAGATACGCCAACTGACGGAACCCGACCATCCCAGTTCTTTCCAGGAATACAGGAAGCAGGGCCTCATGGCTGGTGCGGGCGGCTGCATGTAAGTAGAGGGAGACTATCATGACGGGCTGATTTCTCTTGAGCTGGCGTTCAGGGCTTGGAATATCATAATGGGCCGATCGGGATCAAGCAGGTTTTTATACCACTACTCAATTGAGGGTTTTCGTAGGAGGCTCTGCTATGTCCATTGTAGATTGTCCGCGTAGTCGTTGGAAAATACGACTCCACTGTATATATTGTTCATTCGCATATGTCTCACATATGACAATGCTATCATCAAAAGGCAGCGAGACGGGGCACCAACACCTGAGGGTTCATGATCGACAGCTTCAAACCAGAAGCTACCTTCCAGTTCAGCCCCGATGCAACATATCTGATATCGGAAGGCCTCGCTGCCCTTGCCTGCGGCATTTCCCGTTGGATGAGTGGTCAGGAGGCCAGAAATCTTATTTCACTGTGCCGTCCAGGCTTGTCCGGGAAAGAAAAGGGATCAGAGTCTGGCGCGTGTGCGGAATGCCTTCCGCGGGTTTCTTCGTTGGGTGAGGCGACCACCACCAACAAAGTGATGTTTTCAGAGCGGGAGGGTCGTCGGAGATGCCACAATTGAGACTGTATCGGTGAAGAGTTGGAACGAAGTGGTGAGACCAAAGAGTGCTGGGTCATGCATGGAACCTGCATGAACTTCTTGCATCAATGGATCAATATGGACTTCGTCATTCCCCCCTCTCTTCTACTGTAAGAATGGAACTGAGGCAAGTAAGCTACGCGGCTGTTAACCATCTATGAACATGAACTTGCACGCTTTCGAGCATCCAGGGGGTTGAAGGTCTTTTGTCTTGATTCTGGCCTGGGTCTTGGAGGAGCGTCATGGTGGAGAATTTACGATTTCCGAGCCATTTCCTTCATAGAGAAGCGATTCAGAAGCACATGCTCCGAGAAGACTTCGCACTGTTTGCAAGAATATCACTGTATATTTGATTGCCCCGCTTTGTCGAGGCATGAGTGACTGCTCATTGCTGGAGTGACTTCGCCCGCTGGTATCATAGGTGGCTGAAGACCATGAGCTTTCGGAGAGAAATTACAGTACCCACGCTCCGCATCATTCGATAGATGGCGTCGCGCTTCGCAGCGGAGGCTAGGGTTTCTAGACAACTTCAGAATCTCAAGTCTGCCTTCACTTCCGCTGGAAGCCCATCACACACGGATAGGCAAATGCCTTACAAGTAATAAACTGACTCCCTAGTCGGCGTGGGATCAAGAACTGGGCTGGGCAAGGAGATGGGCACTGGGCTCGCCTTGTTCTGACATCTCTGGGGAAGCAACACTGAGCGGTATTGGAAGGCTAGTGCGAATAAGGAGTAGCAAGCAACTAGATCATTGGAGATAGTGAATTTCAAGTATAATCTTCATTACGATCGTTTCTTGAGTATAGAACAGGTGATGGGAGGTCCGAACTTCTAAGAATTCGTGTGTCTGACTTGGTTCGTGGTTATTTTGTTGGAGATGAACTTGGGTCCATAGACTCAAACTAGGGACACGGAAGTTTCGTCCTAGTTCGATTTATGCTATTTATTTGCATGTGATCCTTAAGGTGAATGCGTCTATGTGGATTTGAATTACACCTTGTCTTAACAAGATAACGTCTTCATTTGCAATAAGCTTTCGAAAAACGAAAAGCGCATGAATGGGCATCAAAGCAAGAACCCGAGAGTGATGCGGACATGAGATCTGTCGCCTGGTAAAGTCATCCGCATATATGAGAATGCAGCAAACGCATACGATCGGAGAAATGGCTCGGGACGATCAACCACGCACCACGCAAATGAAGCTGCATGGACCTGTGGTGGAGCCTTATCTCCAAACCTACCCTCTTGTGGGTGTTTGCTGCTGCGGGTTGAGCATGCACGAAATTCCCCTCACACGGCCCCCAGAGTTCAAGATGCGGTGCGTTTGTTGGGTGCAACTACGGCTCAGCAGTGCGAGGTGTTCTGTTACACGAAACGGTGCACCCACCATCGCATCTATGTATGGCTGCGGCACAATCGGTCGGTCTCGAGTCTCGACTGTCTTGCCATGCAGACCAGAGTATGCCTGTAAACCATTGAACGTACCCGTTCCCTCCGAAATGGTGGCAGGGTGTTGGTGATACCAACGCAGGGGTCGCGAAGGCCCCTCTCTGTGCGGGGTCCCTTGGTGCAGCGGGAAGGTGATATGGAATAGATTAAGTCGGCTGCCGGAGGCCGTGTGTTAAGGAAAAAGAAAGCATTGTACTGTTGGTATGGAGTGCCTGAATCTCCAAATGCGGTGTCTGTACGGTATGTATCTAGGACCTAAGAGTGCGTCTGGGTATCATCGGGAAGCAATTGGTGGTGCCCCAGGGTGATGGTCGGCAGTAATGGCAGCCCGTCCAGATAAGGGGCCATCCCGCAAAGTCGAGCTAGCGACAAGAGGAGTAGATTCAATTTTGAGTTTGGTTATGGCCCATCTATCGATGGGCCCTTGAATCCTTGCGGTAAAGTCCGACGTCTGGATGATGTGCAGGAAACCTAATCTCTGACGCACGCTAGAGAGACACAAATGTCTCTCAATTGCTTGCATGCCTTCATCTGCAGAAGCAGGTTGCTAGTGGGGCCACTCTTGCCGTTTCGAACAAAGTACACGAAAACTGCTTTCTATATCGGGCGCCTGGATGGTGGTTGGTACGTGGTAGTAGTCTGCAAAGTCCTAGTGAATGTCGCAAACTCAGTTTATACATGGTCGGGGAACTAGGCTTTTTTCTCCTGCAGCAGGGGATGGAGTCTCGACACCAATCATTCGAGCGGCCATTTGGGGATCTATCGGACCGATTGCCAAGGGGAAGGGGGTTCACAGCCTGCAGGGACATTGACATCATTCCATAGTTGCGTTGCCAATATTTCGTGAATGGGTCCCGTCGTGTCAGCACTATCTACCTATACAGTATATGGTAGGGCAGTCTGCGATGGCGACTTGTTGCGCGGTCGCCTGTGCCTCCATTGCATGGTGCGCTTGTTATAACTAATAATAGTTGTATCGCGTTCGAAAATTTTGCATTCCAGGTCCAGAGACGAACTGCGGAGAACGGATGGCCCGTCCCGTACTGGGCGAGGATTAGAACTGTAGCCCATTCTCGCGAGTAGTCTGTGAGCACCACTAGTAGTACCCTAGGGTACTGTTAGACGATGGCACTGTGAATGAGGGAGTGGAGACTGCAGAGATCGAATCGCCACCACCACCACCACCACTACCACCACAAGCATGGGTAATAAGGTCGTGGCTGCACACTTGCCCTGCTCCTTGGGCTGCACGCCCAGCACCACTCCGGCCAGTTATCGACGAGGGCTGCGAGCAGCAGTTTCTGTTACGCAGCAAAACGCATGCAGCGCGAATCGAGGCGAGGGCGGACCGGAGGACAGAAGGAGAGGAAGAGAATTTTCTGGTGCCCTTACCCTTAACCCGCCTGGGCAAGGGTTAAGTCCCAATGGCAACCTTGGAAGCCGCCTGCAGAGCGGCATTGGCTCCGCTGCGACTGCAAAACCGCATTTGCTGCAGGCCACTTGCGCCGCCACGCAGCAACGGGTGCGCACGGTGAATCAAGCAGCCACTTTTTTATTAGTGTGCATCTTCCTATCACTATCGCCCTGCTGAACGGTCTGAATCTATCCATGGATCGTGGATGCGGCGCATCTGTATATGGATAGCACAGAACAGGCCCCCCCAGGGATCCATCCTCTCTGTACTTGTAGCGGTATATTCCCCAGCCCCAGAACCCACTCTGCTTTCTTGTTGATCAATTGAGACCCCTCCTCCCTCTCGTTTCAAACCACGCTCTTTCGAACCTGGCCTACCCGATTTTTCACCTCACAATGACCTTTTTGTAACTGCCGAACCTACTCTCCATCCTCTCGCTATTCCTTCGCTTTCAGAACCGCTGCGCTGCCGCCGCAGTTCGAACAATTGCGCCTCTGCTCGCCGTCGCTCCTGCCTTCTTACGTTTATCATCTTTCTGATGCCTAATAAAAAGTGAGCGGATACTACAAACTTCGCTCCAGTTTAGGTGCCGCTCGGACCTCTGGCCCCTGCCTGGAGGTCATACCCTAGGGTACTCTCCATGTCTCCCCGCCCGATTAATTGAATAAAACTATCAGAGAACAACTGTCCTGGCCTTACAGAATTTTTGCCGATGAGTATTCGACCTCTAAGATTCAGAGGCCGTTAAAGCGTCTACAACTGTAGTCCGCTCATCTGCTCTTGCAGCTCGTTCGAACATTTGCACGTCCGACCACGACCAGACGGCTACGAACGGCCTTACTGGGCATCCTGTCAAGGGAATCATGGCGCAGCCCTCCTACCGTCCCGGAGAAAACTTGTCTTTGGATCTGAACGAGCTGTATCAGTTCCCAGTCCAGGACTCGGCCATTCAACTCGCCGTCCAATCGCCAGTGGGCATTGTTCCCTCGTCCAGCACCACTTCGCTCCAGTCGCAGGCGTCTCTGCCACCCTCCTTCCCATCCGTTCAGATAGGGGGTCTGACATTAAAGAGGATTAAGACCCGCCCTGAGAAAAATATCACGGTATCCCTGTCATTGGTGGGTCCTCACATAGACTTCTCCTGCGTACAGTTCAGTCAAAAGCATCTCAACAGACGCCGTCTATGGGCGGATGACAGGATGCGCCTCAACAAACAAGCAAGTTGCATCGTCATGAGCGTCTACGTGACCACATACTCTTTTGCGTCAACGAGTGACGGTTGGGAGAGAGCTTGCAAACGTGCCAGGGGAGAGGAACCAATTCCTTCACGGGACGCCACAACTCCCGTCGCTCAGCTCGACGACACCGATCCTGCCCATCCTCGAAACGGCGGCCAAATCCTCCCGTGTGAGCGATGCATCGATCGTGAACGAAAAGAAGTGTCACGCACCAAGAAGAAGAAACCCCCGGACAAGCAGATGCTCGAATACGACACGGAGAGGATCCTGGTAATCAACGCAGCCGAGTATACCGACGTGACCACGAACCTGGACGGCTCCAAGTGGCTCACGTTCAACATGCGGGTTACTTGTTGCTGCGGCCATCAGGGGGAGAAAGGGGAAGGGGGTTACGTTGCCTTTTTCACCTTCAGAACAACCGACGGTCTGCTGCTGAGCCAGTATGTCTCGGCACTTCTACAGGTTAGTTCGAGTACGGATCAGGACAACAGTCTGGGCTCCTCCAAGAAAGCAATGATACATGCCGATGCGCAGCGTGGTACGGACCAAGATGCCGCCGCTGGGGGTCTCGAGAAACCGAAGATAGCCTTCGAGGCCCAGCGCATCTACCCCTCGGGACCCTCTATTGACCCGGAATCGAGTTGGAGACCCAGCAATACTTCAAAATCCTTCCGCCCGCGGCCGTCCACGCTTCCCCCGACGCCGCTCACGAACGACTTCTCACTCCCGCAGACCCCCATTGCCGCGTACTCGGTCCCCCCAACGCCCGTCCGTGAATGGTTTGTGACGCAGGACAATCCCATGGGACAATTCCACCATGCAGGGATGGAAGGCACAACGGCACAATTCGATGACGCCTTCAAGGGTTCGACAGGAGAACTGTTTTATCCAGGCACCATGCCTGTCTTTGCAACACCAGTCATCGGCGATGCCTTAGCTGCCCCTGGAGTACCTATGTCTAGCATGTGTGGACCAATGGGTAACGCCCTCCCTTTAGCTCAAGGTCTACAGCCATTCACGGATGAGAACCTCTGTCGACAAGGCCTCTGGGGTATTCAATCCAGTGAAGGTAGAACGGCTGCCACATCAGCATTGTTCAGTGTCCAGGAATATGACGACGCTGGACTGTGCGGTCAAGACCGACAAGCCAGTGACGGCCAAACAACTGCCACTGCAGACCTCACCGGTGGCGATACACCTCAGTGGGCCCAAGCTTTTGCGGAGAACAAATATCCTCAGTGCCTCCAGCATATGCAGCTCGATAACCCGGGGCCGGCCGTCACATTGGAGTCATTACCCAGCGATGACTCTCAGACGATACGAAACATGCACCCAGCAGAACTGCAAACTCTACAGACTTCACCTCAATCTGTTTTACAAAGTCTCGCAGACGGTGCTCAAGTCCCTGCCCTTGCATTCGGTACTGATACCCACGGCTGTTCCCGCTCTCGGCCTTCCCACGAACAACTCCCACGCATACAGACTCGCGGACTGCCTTATCCCAATATAAACTTGCTAAACCAACGCCGAGAGAAGCGGTCCAGCCATCCGCACAAGACACCCGGAGTCCAACTTCAAGCTGGAGTTGCCGTGCAGCCAAACGGTGGCCAACTCACGCTTGCGAACGATTCCTTCGATCCGAATCCCACAATCTCTCAAACCGTCTTCGACAGTTCTGCCACACCGCAACCAAATGAGCTAACCATGTCCGGTACGGAAACGTCTCACCAGTCGAATAGCATTGTCTGGGCCGATGCCAGGTTGACTCCGCAAGGTCTACCGTCAGGGAATACAATGCAGGCCTTTGCGCAGTCCAATATCCACTCTCAGGCCGAGGATACCGCGCTGCTGGACGCTTCGACGGGTCTATCGCATTTTAACGGAGCGTTTACAGCTAACGCGTTATTGTCTCCACCATCCTCGCAGCCTGTTCCGGAGGATCCGCAGCTTCGCGATGCAACGACTTCTCATCAGCTAAGTCAGACCGTGCCCGAGGGTCCATGGCTGGCAGCACTTCCGACGGGGCCAGCTCAACATAATACAGCCTTTTCTTCGAGCATGGTGTTCGCTCCGCAAGCAGCAGAGTCGACGAATCAATGGCAGACCTACGGAACTCAGAACGGCACACCCGCTTCCATGTACTGGAATACGATGACCTAGTGCAGCCATGTGCTCTCATATAGGGCCATATACGGGATCATTCACTGCCTTTGCATTCAGCAAGGACGAGCTTAAAACAGGCCAGCTGTATGCCATATGCCACACCTTCACAGGTATATGGTCAGTTATGTATTTGGCCACGCTCACCCTACCGCCATATGCACGCCTTATTGCATTTCCTTGTTAGATGCATGGAGCGCCCAGGCGTGCTGGTTGCATCGTGGACATTGTATCTTCGAGTCCGGCCCCTCCAGACGTTGACGCAAACATCCATTGGGATTATGAAGGCCCGCACTTATGTCACCGTCTTTCCATTCCCTTCTTGCCTGCGTGTATAATTGAGGCGAGTGAGGAGGGGAAATTCGGAAAGCGGACACGGTGCTATAAGCTGTGTCGGTTCCGCGCATGGCTGGTCAAATCTGTCATTGCTCGGTGCATAATCGGACAAATCCCACATTCGTCCATCTACCTTTCTTATCTTTACTTTCTTAAAAGGCGTTGGTATATAGGGCGAAGGGAAGGGTAAAGGAACAAAAACCAAGGTCTGGTTTGGTATATATGTGTAATTCGCGGATGGGGGCAAAGGGGGTGGCATGGGATTCATTGGCATTGCGACGGATAATGGAAATGAATAGGGAAAGTGAATCTGAATGTGGATATGAATGAATGATAGCGCCTCTGTATCTGGCTCTGGAGTACGCGGAACGAAAAGGGACAATTCTGAGATGCGCGACTGAAATATTTGGCAGATATGTCACGTATGAATGGAGTTCATGCCCCAATATTCAAAGTGGCGAGCTCAGCCGAGCTTGGATAAGTGATTGAGCTAATATATGATTGTGCCGTTTATACCTGGATGTTTATATCGTCATGTAAAGAGAGTCAAGCAGCAAGCCGTGATGCTCGAACAGCCCACATGCATGACTGTGCAAACTGACGTTCCATTTGCACCTGTGCCACACGCTTGCTTGATGTGGGCTTGCCTCAGCCTGTCCGAAGGAACTCCCGGCTTTCGCTTCTGTACATCTACACAAAATTACTCTGCTCTGTAGACATATTCCTCTTGAATATACCTCCTACTCTTGCTTATCTTAATTCTCTTAACGATCACAACTCATATGCCTGCGGCAGCCTTCGAAGAACCCTGCAATCAGAACCTCATAGCCATCGCCATCTTCAGGAAAGTTCATCTCCTAACAGAACTGTTGCGAGGAAGGTGCCTCTTAGCAGTGCCGATATTCAACCTATACGCAACGAAGCCAAAATATATGCCATATTGAGCGACCATCCTCGCATCGCGAACGGCCTTTCGAAGGGAGAAATCGAGATAAACCATGTTGACATCGAATATTACCCTAACGGCGACCTCTTGCCCTAACTTGAAGAAGAATGAAGGCAAAATCTCAGCTTCTCGTCGAAAGCTTTGGTTTCGGCAGATCATTGAAGCGATCGAGAAGATTCACATGCATGGTGTCATACATTCTGAGCTCTCGCTCCACCAAATTTTTCTAGATGGAGACTTGAACGTGCGGCTCGGCCATTTCAATTCCGCTCAATATCCTGGGCAACCCGCGCTTGGGTATGAGAAAGCCACTCACTGCTTGCCGAGGGATTACGAGGCGCCGAACACGATCTATCCGGTCAGACTTGTTTGCGCTCGGCTCTACGCTGTATGAACTTGTCACCGGCAGGGTTCCTTACGGCGAATACGGCTCCGACGAGATTCCGGACAGCGATGCCGTTGTGCGGGAGGGCTGGATTTTCCGTCAACGCAATGCCGATCGCTATGTTGAGGAGCTTTATGCCAAACGGGTCTTCGCTGATGTATCTATATTCGGCGGGGAGATTATTTTAGGCTGCTGGAAAGGCGAATTTTCTTCAGCAAGCGACGTTCTGGCACGGTATGATGGATTGGTCAGCGACTTCGATATGTGAATCGGGTACGATTGTCATAGTAAAGCTCCTCACTCCTTGGTTGTGAATCTCAAGACGATTCTCGACTACGTGGAGATCCAAAGTCAAAATGAACGAGGCCATCGAAGAGGCAACTAGATGAAGCGGTCATTTAGCGCCATACCAAAGGTACGAGCCATTATCGAGAAGAGGAAAGAAGAAGATTGCCTTGGCAAACACTCCGTTATAAGAAGAAAGAGAGAGAAGAGTTAGGGGTGGATCCGGAGTGGAAACAGCAGCAGGTGCAAAATGAGCCATGGAGAACCGGTACATATATGGATAGGTCCCGCAAGGTCCCCTATGTTAGTGTTCTGGTTTTCCGCAGTTCAATCAAGTCAATACACATCAACCGATGCCAATGGTGTCTGAATCAACGCCCTGCAGCACCCTTCTAAATAATTCTATTAGCAGAACATAAACACGTGCATCATGCGCACAGATTGTGTAACGTTACTTCCCGAGTTACCGTGACGGGAGATTCCGGTTACCGAAATCGATACGGACATTTAGGTACTCTTTTCGCTGCTGCTGACCGCTATTCCCACTTTCTTTCTCTAATGTTTACTGTCCCCCACAAACTCAAACCGGTGTTGCTTGTTGCTGTGCGATTTCTCCACTCAGCTACCAGCGCCATGTCCACAGGTTCAATCACAGAAACCAACCGCCTTGCTTTCAAGTGAGTCCATCACACCCATGCGTCATAATAAACCCATTGCGCTAATCGCAACCCCACAGCACGTTCGCCAGCCAATATGACATCCTACCCTGGAATCAACGTCTCACATCCCAGATCCGCACGGCATTGGAAGACCGCAAAGACTGGATCGGGGCCCGCTTTGTCTCCGAGTCTAACTCAGACCCGAACCGACTTGTCAAGCTCATCGACTATGCCTGCGGGACTGGTGCCATTACCAAGGCGCTAGGTCCCTACGTCAATAGCGTGAAAGGGATCGATATATCGGAGCAAATGGTGGAGCGATACAACGCCGCGGCCCGTAACTCAGGCCTAGCACCCGAGCAAGCGAGCGCTGTCGTCGGCAATTTGTGTCTCGAACAAGGCGTTCCGGAGGAATTGCTTGGGGAAGAGTGGAATAATTTCGATGTTGCCGCTATCAGCCTGGGTTTCCATCATTTCGAGTCGCCCTCACTTGCTCTGAGGCGTTTGGCCGAGCGTTTGAGGCCTGGCAGCGGGGTGTTGGTTATCGTCGACTTCTTACCGACAGAGACGGACGGCCATGCTGAGAAATGCAGCCATGGACATAAACACGGAAACGAAGCACATTCCCCTCATCATGGTCATGGTGCTCATCATGCCCATGGCGCTCATCACAAGCACCACTCAGAGGGCCCCGCTCACTCTCACTCTCAGTCGGGCTTCACCAGAGAAAGCATGAAACAAATGTATACGGAAGCTGGGGTTGGCGCCGACTTCGATTTCGTCGTTTTGCCTGAGCCTGCTGTCCTCGGCGAGGCCCCGGACGCGCGAAAACGCAAACTCTTCATCGCTAAGGGACGTCGAGCGGACTCCAAGCTCTAGGGATATGCGGCTATGCACGCTTATATCACTATTATAAGTGTATTATCCTTAGTCCCGGGGTTGGCTATCTCACTTCTGTTTTACCAATTCATACGTACCTCTCATTTTCTCCAATGCTGGTCAGCTTCTGCTTTTGCAGCGCTCAAATAACCTACACGCCCCAAGAAGGTCACCCTGGAAGCTACCACGGCACAAGCAATTTTGTGACGCGCGCCTCTGCTCTTGCTTAGAAAGGAGGAGAATTATCAGTGTCCAAAGAAATCTAGGGTGCACGTACAAAAAGGTTCAAAACGATTGTCAGGAAGCAGAAGACCTTCGTGGGGGTAAACTAGTTTCCTGCGACAAATAGGAGGAAGATCTTTCCTAGGGACAGATATGAATAGCTAGCAAAATTGATAGAAGCGAGTTTGAGTTGGGGTCAATCATTTCTTAACTCTTCTCTCATTCTCTTTGAGTAATTGCAATACCTAACTTACTTCTGGACACTAACGGTGCGGATTTTCTCATTTTGCTAATAGAACAGAGCTAGCAATACCTCTTCTGACGTCTGTGAGAGACAACATTGAAGGAACAGCTGATGCATCAACTGCTAGCGAAGCACAAGTGATTCTATCTTCAGCATTAGCATCGTCGGACACCGAGTCGGTAGCCGAAATGATGGAGCGGGAGCATTTCTCAGAGCCTAGTGTATGAGTGCAAATAAGCTTGACAATCTCTACTGGGCGGGTAAATCTGTTGAATAAACAATGGCTCTTCTCTCGTTATTCCCACACGTAACAATCGCACTGAGTTATCTGTTTAACCACCATGGGTCCAAATAACTTTACACCGAAGCAATGCCCACAAAAATCCAAGGCTCTTCTCGACAGCCTCCAAGGGGATCAAACAACGCAAATCGCCAGACACGCTCTTTCGCTCATTCCTGCGATTACATCTGAGTCCATCATCCACGACAATGCCTGCGGTGCTGGCCCTGTAACGACACTCATAGCAGAATCCTCTACGCCAGCCAAACTACAAGCCACGGACATTGACGAAACCGTTATTCAGACCGTAGCGGAAAAAGCAAAACAGCATGGGTGGAATTTCGTAGAGACTGGTGTGATGGATGCGACGGAGCTCCGTTTCCAAGACAACACTTTTACCCACTCCATCATGAACTTCGGCATTCAAGCAGTGCCGCAACCGCAAAAAGTGGCCGCGGAGATATATCGTACCTTGAAGCCAGGGGGCTCGACCGTTTTGACGTCCTGGGCCTCCACGCCACATTCCTCGTCTATCGAAGATGCTAGTAGAGCTACCCGCGACGGTGAAGGCACCGCTCACTCGGCGAGGTTCCCGCCGCATATATATACGGTTCTCTGTGTCGAAACGCTTCTGAAGGACGCCGGGTTTAAGTCTGTTTACGTGGAACAGTTCCCAGCTTATTATCCCACTGGTAATGTCAAATCATGGGCCGAGAGCATATGGGGCCTAATAGGTGAACCTGTGGGAGGTTGGACGCAGAACGACGAGGAGAAGTGGGATAATGCCATCGCTGAGATGATGGAAAGTCTGAAGAACAACCCAGACGTTGAAGTCAACCCGAACGGCAGCGGTGTAATGAAGTACGTGGCGAATGTGGCTGTTGCATCTAAGTGAATGATGAAGAAGCTGTATGAGGATTCAAGGCTCCCTACTCTTGAGTAGATCATACCTCGATCTCACGTGAGGAACTGTAACCTTGATCATTTCTTATTCCAACACCTAGTGCTAATGAGAACTGAGCGGCATGCCACTCTGAGTTCCTCCTTACCACACAGTGCGAACTACGCTCCGTTGTGAAGTATTGTAGGTATCCATGTGTTGATACTAGCTAAGGAGGTACGGCACCCCCCGTGCATGGTAGCATTTCTGCTCACCTCGCAACGCATTGGGCAGTATGTCATTGCATACCCCAATCTTTTCTCCACTTTACCACGCGCAAGACTTGTAGAGACTGTACTTAATAAAACACAAACAAGAGAAGTCAATCACCTAATGTGTGCCCCTGTCTGAGTACCTATGTAGGAGGACTAGTATCGTGACCGTGTTGCGCACGCAGGATAGTCAGCTCCTTCTCTTCATTCGCTTATTGATTGGAACGGCCCGTCTGGTATCCAGTAAATGAGTCAAACTATGGCCTCCGAGGATAGATTATTGACACCTGTAATCTCCGATGATATTGATCTGCTATAGGGTTTTGCTTCGACGGATGGAGAGGGCTTGTACCTTGTATCTGGTCGGTATTCATTGGAGATGGGCTCTTTGGTACGTGCGGATGCCGGGAAGAGCGAGAGGAAGCCTGTGGCGAACTTCGAGCGCGCTATCTGCTTAGCGACGGGCCGCAACGTAGGCACACATGTACAGATGATGCCGACGGGAATCTCGCACGATTGGAGAAGGACGGCGCGCCAGTAGTCCGTTTTGTCAGGGGTGCCGGGGAGGATCTTGAAAAGGCATTGAAGGCGGATGGCAGCGCACATCGTGGCACTAGAAGGAAAAGTTAGAAAATTTCACTTAGTTGCCCTTAGGCATTGGCCCAACTTACAATAGACCTAGCAAGAGCAAGAATGTCACTAACGCCTTGCTTGAGCGGGACATCTGTAATTTCCATGTCCTGTGTATCGGTATGACTAGTATGGCAATGTCCAGTGCGATGTGCACTGCAAAAACACTGCTGCAGAGGGCAACACATATTTCGCATTTTCCAGGTATAAACGGGTTCCAGAGCTTGCGGGCTGGGTTGCAGCTGAAGAGGTAGCTGCAGGTCGTGGCGATCCACCATGCGACAACAACGGCTATCATGCCATAGCAGATGCGGCGTAAGGTCTTATAGACGCCGAAGGTGCTGAGGTAGAATGTGAGAATTGATATCTGCAGAGCGGATATTGAAATGATCCAGAGCAGGACTGTAGTCGCTTGCAGCTGTCAATGGATCAGTACCTCAGCCGAAAGGTTGCATTGTTGGGGCAGGAGGAACTCCATACTCGGGACCATAGTAGAAGCCGTTTCATTCCAACAGTGTAGAGGTTGAGACCAGCCCCGTTAAACACCATGATCCACTGAATCACTAGAGTGGTGACCGCCAGTATCTGCAGGAATTACTTAACGCAAGTTAAGGGGCAACATTGTACCAGACGAACCATGGTTAGGGAACAAAACCAGTCATCTGTGCGAAAGTTTTTCTTCTTGAGTTTCCTCGAGTATAGGCGAAGGATTGTGGTTAACAATGCGGAGATAGTCAAAGCGAATGGGACGCCTAAAAGAGACCTTTGCTCTGGAGTATGAATACGAATAGACTTCAATTCTGGCAGCTTCCCAAACTCGGAGGCCATTTTGAAGATGAGTAAGGGATGTCCTTAGAGCTTGAAAAACCGCGGGAGGCGGGAGAGATGTAGCATCAAACAGAGTCTATTTACCACACAGCGGGACTAACCTTCGAGACACGATCTTGGAAAATAGGTTTGCCTTCATGCTGTGTATGCTATTCTCAGTGTATACGAATCCGTTGCCTTTCTGTAGCTGATGGGGAATACGAGATATGCAGGGTCTACGAATGCTTTCCTATTGGCCGATCCAGGTCATTTCACAGCCATGTCCGTAGGTTTAATATATGCCTTGCTGCTCACCGTTTCAGCCGTAGCCAGCTTAGAAACACAAACATAGTGACCAAGCCACCGAAAGCCGATGAAAGTTGCGATTTAATCTGATCGGCCAGTAACATCTCTCACAATGATTTCCTCGGTATCCGAGCCTACACACCCCAGCTGAGAGGCAGGCAGGAAAAAATTTTGGCCTTGAAGAACGACGATTGAAGGGCCAAAGACGTAAGGGGTAAGTGAAACCACACAGGGTTTCTTAGTGAAACTCTCAAATGGGTCGAAGATCAATAGCAGCAGCCCACACATTCCTCAACGCCGTGATGCTCTCCACTCGCCAACCAGCCTTGCTTGCAAGAGCGCGCCATTCGACCTCTGTGCGCTCCTGGCCATTAACCGTCGCCATCATCGTTACATCACCATACCGCCAAACGCGCGAGCTCCTCCCATCAGCAAGAACCGCCTCGAGGATCACCATGCGCGCTCGCTGTGTAACCTGGATAGCCCTCCGCACCACTTGCAGGATGCGCACTACGTCAGCGTCCGACCAGTTATGCAGACACCATTTCATGGTATACACCTCATAGGTTGGCACCTCTTTCAAGAAGTCGCCCACATGCAGGTCGACCATGCGGGCGCCTACATCCGCAAATTCACCCTTGGGGTCGCGGAACTTGGGTCTCACCATGTCAACGACCGACTCCAGCTCGAAGAGAGCGCCGTGCAGCATGGGGTTGCTTCGTAGCAGCGCAGTGATGAAGTCACCACCGCCGCCACCAACTTCGAGCACCGTGGCATCGCCTAGTTCATGCCAGGCGTAGTTGGCCAGCAGGCCGGGCGCCTGTGCCACGGCGCCGGCTCCCAGCGCCGCGTGGAATTTCGCCTGCATGCCTTCTTGCTCGGCAAAGTAGCTGAAGATGTTTTTCTCGGTCCCGCACGCGATTTGCGCTGCGGTGCGGGACTCACCGGCACGGATGGCGGAGGGGATGCTCGATGCGAAGTCGTAGAAGACGGAGCCGTAGAGGGGAACCCACCGGTGCCATTGCGTCCAATGATCGCGTCGCAGAAGTGTGGAGGCGGGGTTGTTGCTGTAGGTCTGCGTCGAGTCCGCGTAGGCGAAGATGGCGTTGTTGTGCAGCACGCGCATTATTTGCTTCAGACGGAGCGGCTGCAGTGAGGTGCGGGACGCTATCTCGTCGACTGTCAGGGGTCCTGACGCGAGAAGGTCTGGGATCGAGTTCTCAACGGCCGCACAGAGACATTTGGTGTCAATATATGCTGTGGCGTTTGTGAGCTGGGCTGCCTCTGTGAGGTATGATCCACCCTCAGGAATTCTGTTCCCCTCTTCGCACGTACCGAGATAGCCTTCCGCCAACTGCAAGGCCGGGGGCTGAAGAAGACGCAGCAGTCTGTCTGCGAGATCGATTGTTTGCGAGGCGAGGTTCCATATTTGCGCATTAGGCAGTGTGTCAGTAGTCTGAAGGGTGGAGAGCCGAGCGTCGTTCAGCGGCCCTTCAAAGGCGTCTACTGCTTCCTGCAGGGCCGTATTGATCTTTTGAAGTCTGTCGTCCATTCTCAGAGGATACCACAAGACTGACGCAGGTAAATCTCGAACTTGCAATCAGACTTCTAATGGACAGGCAGCTTGTTGTACTGAGTATTAGCTTTACCAGAATATGAGAGAAAGGCCCCTGGGTTCCCAACTACGCAAGATAAAAGCATATCGGCAGCCGAGAAACCCTAAACTTATCCAATATATCCGGTGTCCTACAGCGGTGAGTCGGCTTTTGGAATACTGCGTCAATCGGAACTTCTTTCTCCTGACCCATGGCTCTCAACGGTATTCGGACGATTTCATGTTGAGTGAGCTTGAGACAAGTGTGCAAGGAACCACCGACTGCTTCTTAGCTTTTGACTGTACATTAATGTTTTCGCATCGCTGCTCTGCTTGTCCAGATCGTGGCAGTGACTCCCGCGATGCAATTCACCACACTGCGCGAGCAGCAGAACTTCCCCATAAATTGAGGTATTGCTGCGCATTTTCCGCGCGTGGTGATAAGAGAAGCGCATTAGAGGATAGTTAATTTTAACCCTCTCTTTCGAATCACGGAAGCTTTATTGCCAAAAGACCGCTCCATGGTGACATGGTGTTATGTGGAATTGGGTGCGCGTTCCGCATCGCGTGGTTGCGACGCGGAGGACCGTGCACAGGTTTGACCTAGTCTGTGCTCGTTTCTACAATCACGACAGGTTTTACACGGCGATGCCATTTCCAACCCCGACTCTCCTCTTCCCCCCCTTCTCTCGGCCCCAGATCAACCCTTCCTCCTGCGCTTGCGCCCAAGCCTTCTCAATAATCTCTGCATGGCGCGCACTTCTCGGCTCAAAATGACATCCAAACTTAACAGGCGTCAACAAGAACCCTGGAAGAGCTTCCTTCGAAGGTTCGATTGCCCTCCCATTCTCATCCACAGGCTTGCTAATATCAAAAGCCCACATGATCCGTGCAAGGTTGATAAATAAAGAGTTATGAGCGATGTGCAAGCCGGGGCAATTTCGGCGGCCAGCGCCAAAGGTGAAGTGATCGCGGAGCTCCGGATTGGCTTGAGCCATGGATTCGGCTTCGCTGAGAGGGTCATCCAGATAGCGCGTTGGGTCGAACCGCTCTGGGTCTTTCCACCGTTTCTCGTCCATGTGTATGGCCCTATGTACGTGTGTTATTGCAGTGAACACACCTGAGATGGGGAACCGGGGCTGCTACACTTACCACCAGTTGAGCACGACCACAGCGCCCTTGGGGATGAAGTAGCCCTTGTACCAGTCATCGCGCGTCGTTGCGTGCGCGGTCCCGATTTTGGTCGAGGCCCGCCATCGCAGTGTTTCCTTTGCCATGGCCCGAATGTATGGGAGGTTTGTCTCGTCGCTGAAGTCGGGCATCCGGTCCCGGCCGACGACTCTGTCGAGCTCCTCATGCGCGCCCTTAACAATGTCGGGCCAAAGCAGACAGGCGAGGATTACATTGTTTAGTGCCGTGGTCGTCGCGTCGCTTCCCGCCTCGATCAAAGCACCAGCGGCGAAAGCAGCCGTCACATCCGAAATGGCATTCTTCTGGAGCTTCTCTCTCGCCAGATCCTTTAGGAAGCAGTCTGGCGCGGTCCCGTCCTTGACCTCTTGCATGAGCTTGCGGTACATGGACAGGTAGATTTCCGAATCCTCCTTGTACCATTGTCGCGCAGTCTTTTTCCAGTTCTGGAGGAGAAATTGAGGTACCATGTTTGCGAGCATGGGAACCGTGTCAATCATCCAGCCCCCCGGGGCCGTCGCGAGCGAGAAGTGACGGACTATCTTGAGGATATCTTGATACGTGGGGTCACTCAGGCTCGGGACGCGCTGGCCGTACGTTATCACCATGATGGTGCTCGTGGAATATCTCCTGTTGATATCGCTAAAGTCTTCATCGCTCTTTGCATGCAGAATCTCCCACACAGCCTGTTTGGACTCGAAATCCTGGACAGGCTTGTACGTCGACGACGTCTGCAGATTGAGTGCTGACTGGAGAATATTTCTGACGGTCCGCCACTTTTCGCCATACGGCATGAAATTCACACGCTCGTTGTTGGAGACCATGTTGATCATAGGACTAGACGCCCGCGAGGAATAGATGGCGCCGCGCCTATCCATGAGCTCTCTCACCACTGTAGGCGAAGAAAGCCATATGAAATGGGACAAGCCAACTTTGGTGTAGAAGATCTCGCCGTACTCGTCCGCCCAGTCTTTTGCAATCTTCATCATCTTGTCAGTATCCGCAAGTAACATCATGCTACCAATGACTGGGAGGCCCTTGGGCCCCGGGGGCAGATGCTTCATGCGAGGATCGCGCGCCCATAACTTGTAGAGGACAAGAATGACCTGTTCTAGTAAGCACTCAAGCGATGTTATGGTTAGAAACACTGCAGCTTTACCAAGACAGCAAAGGCGACCGCCCACGCATGGGAGAAAGATGCCATTCTGGGTGTGTTTCGAGGGCAAACTCCTTCCAACGCCTTTCTTGCTACGGTGAAGGACTAGTAGGAAATCTTGCATTAACATCATCAAGTCGCGAAGTGGACTAATGGCAGACTTTTCCAGAATTGCAAACGGTCACCGTACCAGGACACTGAAGCAACAATGGAAGTGCCGACTTCCCTACATCATCGCAGTGTGGAAGAAGTACCACAGGGATTATGCCATTATGCTGGAACATGCAGTAAAAGCTTCTGTTGCGGCTCAGAGAAGGTCGGTGACCGAGTTCAGTTTCTGGCCATTCGGCAACTTTACGGAGCGTTACTCAAGGAAATGTTTCCGAACCAGACCACCGCTGGATGGGCGCAAACACGACCACCACGAATGCCACTGGGAAACGAAAGTAATTTCCATGCCCCTCGCACTTACCAAGTACGAAGTAGCCGTTGGAATACTCCTCAGCGCTCTACTTCTGCTCCTGCTCCCTTCACATTCCAACACAACCACCTCGCCTATCTCCACTCGGACCTCTTCAGACAGCATGGCTGCATCTCAGAAAATATACGACGCCATCATCATTGGCGGCGGCCCAGCTGGCCTCTCCGCCGCCCTCGGTCTGTCGCGCATCTGCCGCTCCTCCATCCTCTTCGACTCAGGCGAATATCGCAACCAAGGCTCCACAGCCATGCACACGTACCTCACGCGGGACGGCATCAACCCCAGCGAGTTCCGCTCGACGGGGCGCAGGGAGATTGAGAGAAAGTACTCTGCCTACGCTACCTTCGTCAACAACAAGATAGTCAGCGTAAAGAACACGGACATCCTGCCAGACTACAAGGGCTTTGAAGCTGTCGACAGCACCAATACTACGTACCGGGGCCGCAAGCTTGTTCTCGCAACCGGAACCGAGGACGTTCTACCAACAGACATTGATGGGTATAAAGAGAACTGGCCGAGCCACATGTAAGTGTCAAGTGTTCCCCTTTTTTTCTGACCTTTTTTTCCCACCCATTTTCGTACCTGATCGCAATAATTCCTCCCTCAAGCTAACAATCCCCTAAAGCCACCAATGCCCCTTCTGCGACGGTTTCGAGCACAAAGACCACCCAATCGGCCTCCTAGGCTTCCCTAACCCAGGCTACGCCCACTTCGCCCTCATGTGCCGCACTCTGAACCCGGATATCACAGTCTACAGCAACGGGCCCGTCCCGACCGACGACGCGACCCAGCTCGCGCTCGCCAAAGTGCAAGCCACAGGCATCAAGCTCGACACGCGCCGTATTCGGCGTCTGGTGAACAACGGCGTCGGGCCTGACAAGGGCATCACGTTGGAGTTTGAGAGCGGACCGTCCGTGAGTTTTTGTTATTTTCTTCTTTATTCCGAGCTCTCCCATTATCTTCTATGCTGCCCTTATTCTCCCACCTCCTACTTTGATCTATTTCCTTCCTCCTTCCTCAGCACAAATGGGCGGCCCAAATAACTGACCCTCCCAACCACTCCTAGGCCACCCTCGGAACCCTCATGCACAAACCCCCCACACGCAGCCGCGCCCAATCCCTCATCGCCCAACTCGGCCTCAACCTAACCCCACAAGGCGAAGTCGAGCTAACGAACCCCATGATGCTCGCCACCAATGTGCCCGGTTGCATCGTCGCGGGCGACACGCATGAGATGATGAAGCAGGCCATTGTTGCCGCAGGTGCCGGTGAGTTCGCCATCTCTCATTCTTTCCTTTCTTCTGCCCCGTGTGTGTTGGTGAAATTAAGGCTGACGATGCGGGGTCTTGTGTTGTCATAGGTGTGCGTGCTGCGGCGGTTGTTACTATGCAACTTGCGGGTGAGGAGGGCGAGCGCGCGTTGGCGGCTGCGCGGGCGGCAAAGGAGGGGGAACAGGCGGCGAGCTTGTGAGGTTGCTGGAAGGGAGGGGAGGGCTAGGCGGGAGAGAACGGGAAAGCTGAAAGGAAATCATACACCCAGTAGACACTCACACTACAGGAATACAGAAAGCAGAGTAGCACCTCATCTAGCCCTTACGGATGGCCTAATATATGAATTGGAAAATCCTTCTGAAACTGTCTCTCTCGTCATCCTGCCCGCCCTGTTTAGTGTTCACCTTGCCGAACCACCTCCGTCCCACCCCCCGTCCCATTGCGGAGATATATATGTCTGTCCTGGACTGCGCGCGAGATGTGACGGGATACTACTGTACCAAATACTTGCCAGTCACAGTTGGGATAAGTCGAGCAGCCACCCAATCCACCAAATCACCATTTGCCGAATGTGATGTTTTTAGACGTCCGGCGAATCTTCCAAGCCCATACTCAACAGATGTATGCATCAGACCAGTCACGTACGTAGATGGGTTGGAGAGCTAGATGATACATTCAATTCCTTTCACGTACAACTGTGCTGCCGCCGGTCCAACTGTACCGCACCGTATATAACCACTCTTTCTCCCAACCCGCACTGAGGCTCGCGGAGAAGGCGGCATCATCTGCAACCAGTCGAAGCCCTCTATCCTTCTGCTCTATTAATGTCATGACCCCTACTCACAGTATGTGAGACCCTGGAGATACGATACCATCCCAAGCGCAGTGAAGCCGACCTGAGACATACACCTACACCTAGTCCGAACGCGAAGACTGGAACATGCGGAAGTAGGAGCCTCGTTGGGCCATGAGCTCGGCATGAGTCCCCCTTTCGACGATCTGGCCAGCAGACATGACGAAGATGGTGTCGGCGTGGCGGATTGTATTGAGGCGCTAGTTGAGGGATGCGGTTAGCATGCAATGTATCGGGTAGAAAAGACGAGGATTTGTGGGGTTCCTTACATGAGTAACGATAATCATAGTTCGGCCGCCGCCACTGCCTATACTCTGGAGTGTATCCTGCACCATCTATTAAGAGTCCCGAAACCGTCAGTCGAACCAAAGTAGTCAAAGAAGCTAGAATGTCCTCGCTCACCTTCTCGGATTCCGCATCGAGAGCACTCGTGGGTTCGTCTAGGAGCAAGATGTCCGGGTTGCGAATCAGTGCCCGCGCAATAGCAACGCGTTGCTTCTGGCCTCCGGACAGAGATACACCACCGCACTCGCTGCTGTAGCCCTCCGGAAGTGAGGCGATGAGGTCGGTCAGGTTCGCAGCGTCGCATGCTCCGGCGACGTCGGCTTCTGTGATGATGTCTTCATCGACGCCGAGCACGACGTTGTCACGGATGGAACCTGCCGGTGCATCGTCAAGGGTCTGGATTCGTAGCTGTAGGATTGCTACGAGTGAACTTACCTCTGTACAGCCGCGGCTCTTGCGGAACATAGGCAAGCCGTCTGCGGTAAGAGTCTAGATCATGGTGAGAGACCGGCTTGCCGAAAACCTCCAGAGTTCCAGATTGCACATCGTAGAAGCGCTCCAGGAGGGCAAGCAGGGTCGATTTTCCGGAGCCCGAGCTCCCGACGATTGCGACAGTCTGGCCATGCAAGATCCGTAGCGAGATGTCTTTCAGGACAGGCACGTTTTGCCGAGCCGGATAGGAGAAGGAGACGTTTCGGAAGTGGACGGCGACGTCTGTGTCTTTCGGTTCGGCAGCATTTTCAGGTAATTCGGGCTTTGACTGTGGCTGCACTCGATGGCGCATGGAGAGAATGTTGCTCGCAGCGAGTTTCGCCTTGCTCACATCTATTGAGGTATTGATTAATAGGTCAGGTTGGATCCATCAAAGAAGCAAACTCACTGGAAGTGTATCCAAATATGGCACCCGCAGCCTGGCCACCAAATATAACAGCAATGAAGACGGTGAAGAAGCTGGCCGTAGATAACTCCCCCCTGCTAAGCAATCTGCCGCCATACCAAAACGACAGGGCCAGCGCAAGAAGCTCGATGCTTTCCGACAGCGCAAAGAACAGCATTATAGTCGCCGTTTTACGCTGCAGCGTCCCGATTGTCGAAGACAGGTGTTGCTGGTAAGTCTCCTGCACCGTCGGCTCCAGCGTAAAGGCCTTAACGGTCCGAATCGCGGACAGAGCATCCGAGGCAAAGCGTGCGCTGTCCTCGAAAATGCTCGTTGTTGCCTGGACCAGAGCAGAGTCCAACTTGAACCGTACGTAACCCGCGGCAAAGACTACCGGCTGCGCGCCGAAGATGCCGACTAAGGCGAACTTCCACGAAAACGCCAGACCGATGATGGCGGCGCTTATGACTTGTATGAACATCGACATCAGCAGACCCAGATTGATCCCGATCAGCTCCTGTAAATTCGACGGATCGGAGGACAGGCGGGAGACAAGGAGCCCCGAAGACGTACAATCGAAGAAGTCCATCCGCTGGAGGAGCACGGCGCGGAAGTATTCGAGACGGTAGAACTTCAGGATGTGAACCCCAAGAATTGTCAGGAAGAATCCCATGACGCTGTATGATATCAGAGCACCGAAGCCGACGACGAGGAACATAGAAGCATAAAAATTGGCCTTGGAGCTGATCTTGTCCGTTGGGCCCTGAAACACCTCCAGGACTCGCCCAAGAAGGATACCCTGTGCTGGAAACGGTTGCGCTGTGAAAACACAAGCGCAGAGGCCAATCAGGAAGATGGGCCAGTAATGCCGATTCTCCTTGGTTATCTCCCAAACATTAGAGAAGAGAGAACGTTTGTCCGATCCGAACATGACATCGCGCTCGATCAAGTCTGGCAACACAGCGGAAGTTTCGACGGCCACAGGTTCTTTTTGAGCCAAGATCTCCACCTCCTGCTCAATGTCATCCTGCTCCGGCTCCCTGCTTGTCTGGGTATCGTACAGTCGCTTGTACAAGCCGTCGGCGCGCATGAGATGGTCGTGTGTGCCTTGCTCGGCGACTCTGCCCTCGTCCAGTACCACGATAAGATCAGCTCGCATCGCGCTTCGTATCTTGTGAGAGATAAAAATTGTCGTGCAGTTGCTGGATCTAGTCATGAGCGACTCGATGACCTTGCTGTTCTCGTTGTCTAGGGCGCTTGTAGCTTCATCCATCAACAAAATAGGACGTTGACCGATTAAAGCTCGAGCTATCGCTATTCGCTGCTTCTGTCCCCCTGAGAGTAACGACCCTTGGTCACCCACGTTCGTCTCCAGTCCCTGCAGGGTGTCAGTAGAAGACTTACTGTCATGGTAGAAGGGACTTGCCTTGGGCAACTTCTCGATGAATTCTGTCGCCCTCGCCTCGCGGCATGCGTCCTCCACTAGCCTGGCCTTGTCCTGAGGTGATGCATTGGCAAAGTCGGTGCCAGACAGGCCGTGGGCGATGTTGTCAAAGATGGAAGCATTAAAGAGCTGAGGCTCTTGCTGCACAAGCGCAATCTGACTTCTCAGCCACTTGACGCTGACGCTGGAGATGTCATGGTCGTCTATGAGTATGGTGCCGGAGGTCGGCACAAGCCATCGCTCCAGAAGAGAAATAAGGGTGCTTTTTCCAGCCCCTGACGGGCCCACAACGGCCGTGGATGTGCCTGGTGTGAATCTAAGATTGATGTTTGACAGGGCGTTCCGATCTGGCCGGGAGGGGTAGGCGAATGTCACGTTTTGCAGCTGAAGATGGCCCTTGGAGGTGCCGCGACCGGATAGGGCTGGCAGTGTTTCCTCCGAGGCTTCTTCATCCTGGCCTTCAAGGTTATCCAAGAGTTCAAAGACATGGCCTGCGGCCGCTACGGCTTTGACAAAGAGTGGCACATTTGGACCGAGAACCATGGTCCCCCCAAGCCCAATGAGTGTGGAAAAGAAGACGCTGCCCGTAAATCAGTACCATGTATGCACTTCAGGAACGTGAGTGAGCGACGCACGCAAGAATCCTACCTGGATCTGAGATGTGACCGTGAGTGTAGAGGTAGGCACCGAACCAAAAGCCAATAGCCCAGGCGATGAGCATGAAGAAGTACTGCGAGGCAAACATCATGCCGACCAGCGGCCCCTTCTTCTTGCCGACCTTTTGGGCCTGCGCTAGGACGATGTCGTACTTGGCCAAAAATTTGTTGACTGCGCCGAAAGCCACAACTGTCTTGATGCTCCCTAACGCATCCTCTGCAATCAGACTGCATTCCTCGTAGCGTTTAAGAAGCTTCGCCTCCAATTTCTGATCATTTCCTACTATGAATCCCATTAAGGCCATGGTAAGAACCACGACCGCCAGCATGACAATCGTCAGCTGCCATGATTGCGAGAAGGCAACGGCGAATGCTGATATGAGCATGGAGAGAGCTTGGATCAAGACTCCTGTACGGTCTGCGAGGGACGCTTGAATCGCATCGCATTGTGCCGTGATGGTGCTGGAAAGGCTGCCCGGCGTTTTTGCATCGTGGTAGACGACACTTCGATGCAAGACTCGACGTAGACACTGGCCCCAAGTTAGACATGTCAAGTGACCTGTGGGAGCCAATTCGTACTGTAAGTCGAAGAGCTTGAACAGTGCGGTTTGCTGTAAACGTGAAGCCCAGGCCCCAGATGTAGACGAGCTAGGATGAGCCCAGTTAGCTGCCGTCCCTGCAGTACACAACAGTGACGGGAGCGAGACCCACAGGAAGCGGGAGAGCTAACATACAATGAATTTTGCAATGAACAAGTACACGAACCACAGCCTACATGACGGCGTCAGCAAACTGGTGCTATGCATGGAAAGGGACGTCTCCGACGCACGCGTTGGCGGATATCTGGCTCATGAACTGGCTCGGAGAAGCAGTACTGCCAACCTTCCCGAAGCCCGTAATGTTGGCCGTCAAGCGGCCCAGGATAAGCGCCATGAGCGGCATTGCTGGTATGGTCAGCCCCATGGTCCCGTGGTATGCCCGTCAGATCATCGTAACTACTCACCAGCTCCCGTCGCAAGGGCGGCAGCGAGACATGCCGTTTGGATAATGCGGTCCAATGGTGAGCTGAACGCGAGGACGCGCTGCCATCTGGTTAGCAGATAGGTAGCTTGAGCATAATGCCCCAAGCCCGAAAACGCACCAACAACGTTTTCAGGCTTGCCTGGGGTGCTTCATCTTGCAGGCCCTCGCTCTCCGTCCCCTTCTGGATTTTCTCCAACGGCTTCTCGAGCTCAGATGGGCGCGGAGTGGGTGAGTGGGTGGAGCCCATGGCCATGTGTTCCCAGAGTCGATGGAGCGTGTGGTCTGGCAAATTCGATCAAGCAATCCTCTCATACTATATTGGAATGTGCCGACGAAACCGTGCCGGCGGGCAGGGGTCGGTCACCGACTGCATGTGGACGACGTGTGAGAGCTCATGTTTCTGTAAGGCAGCACCGACGGGTTAAACTGTGAACCGGGAGACACGCATCCTGGAGAGCTTCAGGGACTGCATGCCAACATGCCCATCTCGCTTCTGCCTCCATTCATTCATAGATCATCATCCTGGGTTGCCTTTCGAGGAAATTTCGGCACAGGCACAGTCGACATCGGAACGTGAGAGGCGGCGCCGAAAGGGGGGATCTATCGGGTAGCCGATATCCTACCGTTGAATTACAGAGAAAAAGGAATGGGACCGAGGTATGCATGTTACCGTCCGCATATTGTTGAGCACATTCATTCATTGGCAGATGCAGGTGTTGGATGGTGAAGAACACGGAAGCGCGGTGTCGGTCCTTGGCACGGGCCCTTGCCCCGCTTTGATGCGCGTCACTTTCTTAGACGACTTGGCGCCGATGCGATCTGCAGCTAATCTATTAACCTTATTCCAATGTTGTTGCTCCTTTCATCTCAACTCCGGTGAAGCCAGATGTATGGAGACTCTCTCTTAGACATCAGGGTACTCTCCCTGTGCATACCGGGGGCGCTCTTGTGTTCCTCCTCGTGTTGACCGCTTACGTCCGTGAGATAACCCATGACAACATCCATCAGAAGGGGGGTGTGACGAATCTGTACGAGGTAACACAGCGTCCCACGAGGCAAGTGGACTTGTCGAACGGGTAGACTACAATGGAGTCCCGCGGGGTAGACTCGGAAGAGTAAGAGCTCGGCTTGGTGAAGTGATCGGATCAGTGAAAGGGATGGGATCATGTGATCTGGTCCAAGCTGAAGTTGGCATCACTGCAATCTCCCAAGGGCAGCCCGCGTTGGCAAACATATCTTTCTTATGTGTTTATATAAACGAAATATGAGGCTAGCTGCCCTTTTCTTTGGTTTCATGTAAAATCATAGCACATATCGACTGACCAATATCGACGTTTCAGGTATTCAACTCAACAGACCCCCCGGAATTGCGGCCCTAGCCTACTTCCGTGGCCGAAACACGATTTTCGCATCGTATGGCGGCAGCAGCATGCCGGGCATGACAACATTTTCCGGCTTCCCCTTCAACACATCCTCAAACTCCGCATCATACCTCATCAGCAGCTTTGCGAGCTGAATCTGCGCCCACCTAACGCCAATGTGGCGGCCGGGGCAGATGCCCGTGCCATAGCCGTACACAAGGAACTTGTTGCTCGACGTAGTCGCTTTGGTGGTGACGGTGTTGGTATTCTCGTCGTAGAATCGCCACGGGTCGAATACTTTTGCATTCTCGTAGAAATCCTCGTCATTGTGGATCATCCACGACGGGCTCGTGATCATGCTGCCAGGACGCAAGCGCAGCCCCCCAGGCGTCTTCAACTGCACTGGTTGACGGACGGAGCGTGTCATACTAACTACATGGGCTTGTTAGTTACCATGCCTCAATCCCCCTTTGTCTTAGAGAATGGAACATACACAATGTGGGCCCATCCACGCGCAGAACCTCTCGTGTGAAGGCATCGAGTCGGGGCATAGAAGTCATGGCTTGATCCGTCCATTCGCCCCCATTAGCTGCCAGTGCCGCCGCAATCTCCTGGCGCAGCGGATCGATGACGTGCTTGTGGCGGATCGTTTCGAAGAGCAGCTGCACGACGAGACAGACGACGGGGCCTGCGCTGTCGAATCCAGTGAAGATGAATTCATCCTCAAACCGGTCAATCTCCCGCTCCTCGTCTGCTTTGTTCACTGATTTGATGTCTCGTTTGATTTGTCCGGTCTCGGCTTTGACGTCGAGTATGGATCGAAGGAGAGTGGGCTCCTTCCTCACCTTCTCGCCCTTGCGCCACGCAGCCAAGTTCCGTCGAATCTCGGGGCCAACTTCGCCTTTCAATGTCTTGAGGCTCTTGCGAATCTCCGCTGCCTGGGGCGAGAGGTACCAGTATATTCTCCGGATGGGTGCTGGGAGCCAAAAGTACATGTGCGCAAAGGCGGGTGCCTGGAGGCAATAGTACTTGATTGCCTCGATGTATTTGCGGTTCCGTGCGAACTCTGGCCCAATGAGGAATGAGGAAGCCACAACGTGTGTCAAGTGCCAGACAGCCATGAAGGCCGGGAAAGGTTCCTGGTCTGGGGAAGGGAATTCGTTAGCTCTCATGTCACCTGCCATACCCACAAAGTAACCAGCGTTCTACATATACTTACCCCTGGCAAGCGGATCGAAGTATTCTGGAATCGTTTCATCGCTTTGTTTGATGACGGCTTCGTGGATCTCCTCTGGTTCCCATCATTAGCATCTGACATTATTGTTCTTAGAAAAGGGGACCTGACTGATGTTCTTGTTCAGTAGGCGCACGGCTTCGATGTGGCTGCGTCCGAGAATCTTTGTATGTAACCAGAAGTGATAGCTCTGATTCATTAGCCACCGTCAAGGTCGAGGTGTCCCCGGCGACATCAACATACATCATCGACGGCATGCAAAAAGCTCAACCGATCTGGTCCCACATTCTTGATCTCTTCCTCAGTTCCCGGCGGCATGACAATGATGAAGTCATCATTCTGCTGCCACACCGCGTAAGGCTTGGACTTTTTGCTGTACTATCATCTCCTTAGCAGGGGTTAATCTCCATCATCTTCAGCCGCAGGAAATACCTTATCATAACCGTCTTGGAAATATTTCCGATGATTGACTGGTTTCGTTCGCAGGCGTCTCCAAAGGTGCGGCGCATCACCAACAATTGCGATGCCTCCCAAACGCCTTTTCTTCTGCCAGTTATTGATGTAATCTGCAAGGAGCATGAGAATAAAACAGAATGCCCCGATAATAGCACTGCTTGCATAGGGTCGGGCGTGAAGGGCCCCAGAGCCCCATACGCCACCATTCAGAAGGGGAAGCGACGACATGTTGAACCAGTATGCTCTGGGATACGAATCTCGTGCGTGGAAAGAGATGTGATAGAACAGCTTATTGGAAGGAACCACATTGATCTCTTCGCCTCGGTTTTCTTTCTCTGCTGTTGTGCTCCTTGCAGTCGGTGACCGATCCAGGGTCGCTCAAGGAGGACATGGACATTGGCGACTCGGCTTCCGGGGTATGCGGGCGCTTCAGGTATTGGCTAAGATCCTGTTGATGGCTCTACCATGCCGTTTTTTGACTTGGGTAGGATTGAATGGTTCCCATTGTATCTCGGATTGGCCTTGCTTACCTGTTGCACTAAACCCATGTACCTCAACCATTGAGCAGCATGATCCTTAGCGTACTCAAGCTGGCGCGACCCGTGTGGTAGCAGGTAGATGAAATTGAACAGCCCCGAGAACCTTTTTCACATAGTCGGCGCTTGACGTGCATTTCTGTCCAGCTTAGATAACAGACGGATGTAAACTGTAGTCTTAATATCCCTAGTACTAGTATCCCTAGCCTGTTGTACCAGTTATCTCTAGTCAGTATGTAGTACCAGATGATGCAATATTCTCTTATATGGCAACATCAGACCGATTGTGCCATCCGCGCATAAATAACGCCATCCAGAGTTCGAGGGTGCACCACAATAAATAAAGGCTCTCGAATTCCGCATGCTATTGTGACTTCCTTTCAGTCTATGGAGCTCGAAAGTTCTACCCACCCCAAGATTGTTTTCAAATCCCGGTCGATGTTTCCCATCAGTGCCGAAGCCCCTATTGCAAAGCAGTCCTGACTAGCACTGTGCGCAAGCCTCTTCCTTTCCTCGACAAGCATCAGAAACTTCGAAAACCGCGCCCTCAGCATCTCCCGCAGATAGCGACGCCTGGCTCTCGCGGGGACCTTGAAGTTGCCTATGTAGAGACTACTGCGGTCGCAGTCCTCAAGGGGAGATGGCTCGTCAGCAGACTGGTGGTCGCCTGCCAGACGCGAGAAACCTGCTGCTCCCACTGAAGAGTCTGACCTCTTGCTCCCCGTCATAAACTCATCCTGGACCGTCTTCTGCATGAGGTCCAACACAATGCGGACGCTGGCCATTGCGAACAGATAAACCATACTGTCCTGCCCGCAGCTCTGGCATCGTTGCAGTCTGGAAAGACACTCATTTGTCTCCCGCTCCATCATGAGAACGCTGCCAATTGGAATCTGCCCTCGACTCCTTTGCCTCGATTTCAGACATCGGATGCGCCGCAGCAGTGCAGGGAAGCAGTCACAGTTTGCTAAGCCGCCGTCTCTCCGTGGTCCCTCTTCGCTCAGCGAGAGAAAGTCAGAAAACTCCTCTGTACCGCTGGGATACGTGGAACTGCGGCTGGCTGATGCCTGTCCTCTGCGCAGCTGCGAAGCATCGTCGACTTGGGCACCATTCTGGAGCAGACCGAGCCCATTTCCAAACGCCTGATCCAATGATGCGGCGTTATCCAGATAGGAATTGAAGGCAGTTCCAGAGAATGGCTCCGGCTGCAGACCCACGCTGTGTGCTGAGCCGTCGCTTGAGCGGTCGGGCTGTGACGATGATCCCGCGTCAGCGAGGGGTAGCAGACTCTGATTGTTCGATTCCAGAATCCCAGGCGAGAGGACATATCTACTCTCTCCTTGGCTTGTCGAAGTTGCCGTGGTGGGCGTCAGGTTGGCATCTGAAATGGGCGGCTCGTCCAAGGAACCAAGCATTGTGACGAAGTCAAAGTCATCGTCCAGGTCAAAGGTTCCAAAGGCCGTTGAGAAGGCAAGCGAGTCGATTGCAGGCTGCGAGCTGGACGCCTCACTTGGTTCATCAGCCGTTACGGGCGCCTCGAAGTTGGTGGTTGGTGGGGTCCGAATATCCGGTCCCTGCATCGACATCGGTTCTGGTCCCGCCAACCCGCTCGTCCCGCCGATGGCTTCCATTCCTTTTCTCTTCTCTCGTGGACGTCCCTTGCGGTGCGAAATGCTGTATACGCAGTCGAGCTTCTTGACGGCACATCTGCGGCATGATGGCTTCTGCGAGTCACACTTGATCTTGGCGGCATGGCAGATGTCGCAGGACAACCGATACTTCAGCCTCCGCCTGGGAATGTCCTGTTCAGGCATTTTGATTTCTGCAAGGGAATAATGATGGGGATTCAAAAGTTGGGTCTGTTGGCCTCCTGCTTTGTATCCCGTCATGGACCCACTCCATTGAACTCGGCGTTTCCCAGGGTTGCCGTCCGAGGAGGGGTTCTTAACTGCGAGAAGGCGGGGTAGACGTAGTATACGTATACGGAGTAGAGGTGCGTTGATGTGACTTGGCGCATTTTCTTGCGTTTGCCTTAATGCGCTCCGCTTCCCGGATCCAGCTGCGATGCAAGGGATGTATGCGGATGCATATGGGAAGTCAGGTTGTCGTATTGCCCAAGGTAATAGGGGAAATTCTAGAAAATCTGACCCCTCTTACTGCGTAGTTATTCATTTTAAGGGTCGCATCTGCAGGGTTTGCCTTTCACATATATTCACAGTACACGCTGAACTCGACTAAGTATTGCCATCAGATTGCTGTTCACTGCCAAGATCTCCTGCCAAGAGCGTGCACGAGCCCTCGGGGAACGTTCAAGATGGACCCGGCCTGCACACTCACTAGTCTTCCAGCGCCGCAACCACTACGCAACAAGGTGTGGTTACAACTAGCACAATATTCTCCCTTTATATTAAATAGTAGTTCATGCCAGGCCGGCTGCAGCTTGAACCATCACCTTCATTGCCTTCCTATGCAGGGACGGCTAGATTGCTTCAACCGGTCGGCGTTGCACAACTTTTCAGCTTCCACCGTTATATTCCTCATTCGACCACTGCTCTTCTGCAGGTTATCGACTGTTCCGGCTCGGACCATATTTATGTCGTATTTGAGTTTGGCATGTGTAGTGACTGGTCGGCCGCCGAAAGCCTAATGGCGATCCAAAGTAAGTTTTGGTACGGCATGGCGAAGCTGAGCATAATGCAGTCGTAGGGGGCTCTACAAATCGCGGCAGGCTACGGAGTACATAGATTGCCTCTCTTTGAAACTGCTGCTTCAACTACCGCCACGGCGGGTTGCTCATCAACATTGCAAACACTGCGCCATAGATCGCCGGCCTTCGCCTGGCCGGGTCTGCTACAAACACACCTTGGCAGCCGGCACCCAGTTCCTGAATGACGCTGAGTTCCATCCAGCAATCCCCGGACCCTGGAACGCGGGTGAAGTAGAGTGCCTCTGCAGGTGATCACAAATGCGAAGGATCCGGATGCCGGGATTCTCACTGCGATACTATCACGCTCACTTCCATGGCGACGACAAATTCTAACAGCTGCACCTGCTCCCTCAACAACCTTCAACAGATGGCTAAACGCCTGGATCGAAACTCACTTCCAGTCGACAAAATCCTAGAAATCGGGACCGAGTTCTCAGCACAACTCCAGAAGACAATCGTTTGCAGCAAGTGCGTTGGTTCCGGGCTGGTAGCCAGTTCATTATCTCACATCATGTTCCGACTGATAGGCTTCTACGAGGCTGCCTATTTGGATGCCGTCGACCATCTGTTTAGCGACATGAACTCTGCCTGCTCGTCCAACAAGTCGAAATCCCTCTCAACCACGCCTTCTTCGTCTTATGGCGTAGTTTATTCTCCAACTCCACCAGCCATACAACGCCATTCCGGTTGCAAGTCAGTGGCTCGCGAGATGAAGCTGGGGGAGATGCCCATCGACGGATTGGAGGGTCGACTTCTTGTTAGAGTGGTGCTGGTGGATGCATGCTTGAGTCTGAATGAGAAGATACAGAAGTGGAAGACTGTGATGGAGGGATCGTTGGACATCGATGACCAGCCGTACGTCCGACATTGCAACGCCGTCATTGGCCGCTGTCTGGACCGGTTGGCCAATCTGCTCGGCCTGCTGCGTTTCGATAGCTTTTCGACGGATCGTTCTTGACGCAAGTATCTACTGGTGTGATAAAGAGGGCTCGTGGCAAATGATGATACCGGACGTTCGCTAAGGGTCAATGTTTTCCTCGCAAGCAACCGGCGGCACTTCACCGCCACTCAGGAGCGGTCGTCCGCACGTGCTCCAGTCAACTAGCTAGATTTCGCATATGTTTCATGAGTTATACTTTCGATTCAATTCTAGCACATTTTGGCAGCAGCTTCTTTTTCTTGTACATCAGTCTTTCCAAGATCGAAAAATTGTAAGCACCCGCGAGGCTGCAAGCAACTGAAGTCTCACCACGTCTCCAGTTCTAACGCGAGAACTGCATCGATCTCCGTAGCGTCTGCACTTCTGTATGCAATGAGCTCAAAGTGGCATCTTTCGAGGGAGACCTAACGGTGCTCAAGATGGCCTTGGGGTCAGGCGGATCGCAACCAGTCAGTCGACCACGGGCTCGGTCGAGCGAGTTACACCAAGCTTCAGGTCGTGACTGGGTGGTAGTCGGCGACCGAGCAGCGACTGGCTCATTAACCATATGGTCCTTCCAATTCTCAGTCGCTTAAGGGTCAATCCAGTACGAATACGAACCTGCAACCAACCGTTCGCCTACACAGGCAACGGACCCTTGGCAATTCATACTTCGGACCACCACCATGGGCATAAACAAGTACTCCGCCAAGTCGCTCGATGGCGATGTCCCCGACAAGCCATTTGTGTTCGTGGTCGAAGGCCGCTATCAGAATTGGATCAAGCCTATCATATTGCTCGAATGTCTCAATACTGACTATGATACTGCGTGCTTGGACGGCCCCGCGACAAGGACTGACTGGTTCACGAAAATCCACCCACAAAGATACGTTCCAGCCTTGATCGATTCAATCGACGGCAATCGAGTCACCGCATGGGACAGTTCGCAGATCCTTCAGTTCCTGGCTACCAAGTACAATAAGGAGGGGAACTGGGGCGGCGCCACTCTGGCTGAACAGTTGGAGATAGGCAATTGGCTCACCTTTGAGACCGCCTCCCTAGGGTAAGCAGCTAATTTGTAAAGATTGTGACTCTAGCTGCCTACTAAACTTCTCTCTTTCTCGCAGACCAACCGCTAAGTACTGGGTGTGGTACGACATACGCAAGGAAGAGGACAAGAACCCACTGGCCCAGGAAAAGTAAGAAACCGGCTTCCAACCTGATTGTGAAGCCAGTGTGCAGATTGCTGAGCAAAATCTTGCAGAATGTTAAAGGACCTTAGAGTCCAATACGCCATTTTGGATCGACATTTGTCTCAGAAAGGTCAACAATGGTTGGGTCTCCCGGACCGGCCGACGATTGCAGACATCGCCGTTTATCCGTTTGCCGACGACCCTACCATGGCCCGGATGGGCATAGACAAGAATGACTTTCCGGCGCTGAAGGCGTGGAGTGATAGGTTTGCGAGCATTCCAGGCGTTGCTAAAGCGTACGCTGAAATGCATTCTCGGAAGGAAATCGAGATTGGCGCATGATCAACAATGTCCTTTGTCGTGGGGTCAAATCTAAAAATGTTATTTCTTGGTCGAATAGTCAGGACTTGGCTTTCCATAAGGGAAAGAGAGAATTTGAAATGACTCGAGCGTGCGTCACTCGCTATTATCAGAGTCAATGTAGCTTCATTCCCGTGTGCTGTTCTACACATGTCAGTCACCTCGAGGTCCTCTCCTCCTTAGCATATTTCAAATTTATAACATCTGCCTGGTTAGAAAATTCGAGACATACGTACATTGCACACTGTTTTGCACAGTGGTGTCAGCCACTGTCCAATGTTCGGTCGCCGAGAACGGTGCCGTGCCATCTCAAGCGGACCGATGCTTAGAGTCTGCCCTATGAACGGCGATGTGATGTGTTACTTACTCTAAAGAGACACATACTTAGCGACTCGTCGTCAGTTTGAATGAAGATCACCCGCGCAATGTCATCGACGGGTTACCTCGCCCGAGCAAGGGAACTACTGGCCCAAGTACCGCTAATAGGCAAAAGCAACCCTTGATGCGTAACAGATATACGGACTAACTATAATCAGATGGGCACAATGATTTCCCGTACATGATCCGCGGGTGGTACTTGGGAAAGGTTGACGATGCAGATGTCGACGCAGAACATATGCCTATCGCGCATACCGACATCATCCGGCTGCGAAAAGGATGCGTTGGAGCTGTATTCTGGAGCGCATATGTGCCACGGTGAGTTAAGAAAATGATGGCCGCAATGCATCGAGAGGCCGCTTTGCTGATGTGATCTAGTCCAGATGCCAACGCAGAAAACGACTTCTCCACTGGCGCACACTACGAGAGCTTGTGCGCTACCTTGCAACAAATTGACATTATCCATTGCCTGACGGAGAAATACTCTCACGCCTTAGGTTTCGCTCGCAATTCGAAGGACGTATGGGATATCTTTCGCTCTGGTCGTGTGGCCGGCTTGATTGGGGTCGAGGGTTTGCACCAGATTGCTAACAGCGCGAGCGTTTTGCGGAATTTTTATCGCCTGGGTGTTCGGTACGTGACGTTGACTCACGATAGCAACAACCTTTATGCTGATGCGACGGTAATATCTCTCCAATCCTGTTCTTCGTCCGGTCCACGACTGACTGGAATCTTTTCGCAGAACTCAAAGGAACCCGCACATCAGGGCCTTTCAAAGGAAGGCGTTGCGATGGTAAGAGAAATGAATCGAATTGGCATGTATGCAAATGTCCTAGAGCGCAAAGAGAGGGATTCAGAAACTGATTCAGAAACCAAAAAGGATAATCGATCTCTCTCACACATCCGTGGCAACGCAAAAGCAAGTCCTAGCCATCTCCAAAGCCCCTGTGATTTTCTCGCATTCATCTTGGTAAGGATTCTATGGTCGAATACTCTCGGGCATTGGAAAGCTGAACCTAAAACAAAGCTCTGCGTTGACGCACCATCCGCGTAACAGTCCCGACGAGGTTCTGGACGCACTGAAGGCGAACGGCGGAGTATTCATGGTTACGTTTCTGCGAAAGCTCACCGATGCTACCGATCCAACTCTCGAGAGAGTAGCAGACCATGTCCAACATGTAGGCAACCGCATTGGGTACGAGCACGTCGGGATCGGCTCCGATTTTGATGGGACAATGCAGACGGCGTCGGGCTTGGATGACGTTTCCAAGTTTCCCTTTCTGATTGCTGAGCTCCTTAGAAGAGGGGTAGGGGAACAGTCAATCAAGTGTTTGGCTGGCTTGAATATACTGCGCGTTCTGGACGCAGTTGACAAAGTGTCTGCGAGTATGAAGGAGGAAGGAGTATACATGCTACAAGACATCATCGAACCGGTGTGGGATGAGAAGATACGCAATCAAGTGAGAGAAGTCAGGGGTGTGCATGGATAAGACATGATACATTCCGACTAGTATAGTCGTTCAAACAGGAATCTGCGCTGTAATCTTTCCAACCTATAGGCTAATGGGGTAATTTTGCCTCTATTGCGCCCTCGTCCAAATCAACTTTCCGCCGTCGCCTCTCCCGAAAACCGGACTATGCACGTGGTCGTGGTAACTCCACATTAGTTGGTATAACCAGACGATCAGTACCGCGATGAAAACCGGACAGTTTCCATCTTCATCAACACGCCATGTTGTAAGTCGCACCAGCCTTTTCAAAAATGGCCTCCAGCCTGCATCGAACACGAGCTGCCCATATGTTCTCTTCCGTCCTTCAATCTTCTGGTACCTAGGAAAGGACTCCAGGTAGTGAATGTACTGAGGAGGTAGGTCATTCTCCTTTGCGCCTTCGAGGAAGAGGTTCTATACCAATGTCAGCGGCAGCAAAAAGACCTGGAGTTTGGGTCTCTCATGGCCATACCAGATACCGAGCACTGGGAGTGCCATTCGGCCTTTGCGGCCACTTCGCCTTCAGTGTATAGACCGTCAGTTTCACGCCAGTGACTCCCCGCTTCTCACTCAGTTCGTGAGCTTCCAATTGGATAAGGTCGTACACAACGCCACTTCCCTCGGTGATTAAAAGACGGTGGAAGTCTGCAGGGGTTAAGAGATGTGCAACGCCACATAGTGCTGGCACGTCAAAGCACTCTCCATTGTGCCGCAGCTGAAGATTCCCGCTCCCTCCATCAGGAAACTCCTCAATGCTAGCATAGCAGGGTTCTGAGTAAGGAATTCCGAATACGTCGAAGGTGAAGTATTGCGTCGGTACGCTGACGATCTTAGTGCTTAGTGGCGTGATTTTCCTTCCCTGCATTGAGCTCGATTTCATGTTCGACCCGTAGGCCAGGTACCACAAGGGCTTGTCAGAGAGTGCCCGAAGGGTTTGCAGCGGAATCTTTTTGTTAGTAGCCATTTGAGGGGTTTGATCAACTGTGCAAAAGGTTCATGCCAGTTGTGTAGTTATAGTACACTAGGGTATGCGGCATCATGAAGAACTCGGTTCCCGAGGTTGTGCAGTGCAGAATAGCTTGACCTCTCAGAACAAAGAGATTAAGTTATACGTTTGCAAAGGAGTTAGTTGACCCTCTCATAAGGAGCCCTAGAAGCATCATAGCAATACGTTATGGAAGCTCACGCTTCTCATGGCCGTTGAGCCCAGATTATGAAATGCCGCACTGCAGTTCTGTACTTTTCCATGTCGGCCTCGAACCGATCAAGCAGATTATCCCAATCCGCCTCCTCTATTCCCAGCATTTTTGCGTTGGCAATTGCGGACATGTTCATCACCGCTGCTCTCATGCATTTCCGCCCTCGCACATCCAGCTCCCGATTACTCTGGTACTTACCGACCACGATATCCCGCGTTTCGACATTCACATTGATGAAGCCACCCTCTTTCAATTTCGACAAGATCGTGTCTCTCGGGTCTGGGCTTTGCATGCATTTATCCGCAAACTTATGGAGAACATGGAAGGCTGTTGGATCGGGGCCGGACACGTTCTCATTCGCTGCAGGCTCAACCAGTTGTATCCATCCACCAGGTTTGACACATTCCATCAACCTATCCAGAAACTCTCCGATCTGCTTTGCTGCGATTCCAGGAAAGACGAAGCGTTGATGGACGAGGTCAAACTGCTGCTCCCATTCGGTAGGCAGGTCTCTTGACAAATCCATGAGGGACAGGGTAACATTGGGTGGCAACATATTAGATGGTGGAAACATCTCCGGCCTGTCGATCACCAGAGATTAGCATCTCTATACTGCTTCAAATCCACGGGCATCGCTCACGCAATGTCAAACCCCACAAACTCCGTCTCTGCCGGGAAAAGTGTAGAAGCATCGAAAATCCACGTTCCTCAAGTTAAGTTAGCACCAATAGTAGCTCAATGGGCGGTTTTTTTGTTACCATCAGCGGTTGCAGAGTCCAGTATCTTCTGCTTCTTCTTATTGTAGTCAATTGGGGCTTTGATCAAGCCGCCGAACGAGCCTTTGATCCACTCGTGTTGAATTTTCATCCGCTCAATTTCCTTCCGATTGTGTGGGAGCATATACGCTTTCCTTGTTTCTTCTAACCCATTCTCTTCGACATTCGACTTGAAGGACATATTGAGTACAGTAGAGGAGATTAGGGATAGGTTTAACGATGTTAACTGGTTCCTTGCTGGTTGAATCCGGATGTAAACGGAAACTGCACAAGCTCAATACAGCATCCGACTCTTCAACAAACGCCATTCTACAGATCACCCAGTCGGTCACCTGCCCACATTTCCCTGCTAGCGACTGCCGATGCTTCAGCACTGATTGGCTGGAGCCGGCCACCGAGAGTCTCTACCCTGGGGTATCCTTCGGTGTACGACGTTTCGTTGGCACCTTGACGGACATTTCGCTTTGGTACGACAGATGTGGAAGCTGGTATGGGAGTGTCTCGCGCATGCAGCGGGCCAACTGGAAATTTGTATTGCCGCATAGTTGCTCTTACGGTGACTACCCTAGGGTACTGGCCTGCCGCAGCTGTATTGTCATTGTACCTGGCTTCGCTTCTTTCACCAAATTGAACGAGGACCTCACGATGCTCTCTAATCGTGCAGGTGATAATAATGCGTGGTTTCTGAAGCGATTTGAGAGGGCTCTCAACCGCCAACGATCAAGTCACTCGTCACGTATCGATCTTGCAACAGCGGAGAACTGGCTCATCCGTCCTGATCTTCTGAGGCTGCTCAGAAGAAACTGCTGGGATTACCTTGAAACAAAGCATCTCTCTTACGCAGGCGGCCTTGGTGGGGCACCAGAGCTGCTTGCTTCCATTGCTAAGTTTTACAACTACTTCTTCTCACCGAGCCTTCCAGTCGAACCGCAGCACCTTGTAGTGGGCCCCGGCTGCAGCGCTATTCTTGATACATTAATCAATGATATATGCGACGCTGGAGATGGGCTTCTGGTCGCGGCTCCCATGTGGGGTTCGTTTCACTCTGATATTTTACATAATGATCCACCGCTAACAGGAGTCCGTCCACAGGCAGTTTTGAGATATACGCGGTTCTCCGAAATGGCGTGAAGATCATTCCTGTGCATGTGCCTCTTCACGACGCGGAAACGGCCGATACAGTCGTTTCAGCATACCGGGAGGCCGCGGCGAAAGCGACCTGCAAGGTACGCGGTATCCTTTTCTGCAATCCACATAATCCGTTGGGCCACATTTCCCCCGTGAAACTTATCGATGCTCTGCTTCAATATTGCCAGCAAGCGGATCTCCATTTTATTTCGGACGAAATCTACGCTCTGTCGACATTTGGAACACTGGAGGAGGAGGTGGATGAGCATGGGGAGGTTCTCAGATCCTCGTCAGCTGAATTCTATTCGGTGCTGCAACGTGATCTCGTGGCACTGGGCGTAGAATCGTCAAGAGTACATCAAATATACAGCATCAGCAAGGATTTCGGCAGTAGTGGGCTAAGACTTGTGAGATTCTTATACCCAACACGCAGCTAATCCATCGACCTAACATACAGGCAGGGATGCCTTGTTACGCAATCTAACAAGCAACTACGGATGTCGCAGGCTATTCTCAACAATGCAAAGTTATGCAACGTGGCCGCGGTCATGGTCGCTCCCATCCTTGACGACATAGAGAACCTTGCGACATTGGTGGATACCAACAAACGCAGACTTCGCGACGCTGCACGAACTGCCATCCAGTTCGCAGAATTTCATGGCTTGGACTACTATAAACCTATTGCTGGCCTCTATGTATGGGTCCGGTTATCGGCTAGATGCAAAACCTGGAGTGAGGAAGAGGACATTGTTCGACGATGCTCCCAAAATGGCGTGTCAATTGGCAGCGGGGCGGACTATGCTGAGTCCAACCCAGGTTGGTTTCGCGTTACGTTTTCTGTCCCGCAAGCGGAACTGTTAGCCGGTTTACAACGCATCGAGGAGGCAATGGACTATCCCATCAGGTTTCGAAGCACCTTGGAACACAAGTTGAGGCCAAACTGGCGGCAATGGCTGAAGCTTCCGAGCATGTGGACAGGACCTGTAAGGTTCTAGACGGAGTTAGGCTGAATATTGTGATTCTTTTTCAACTGCCAAGGAGGTCGTGACTTGAGGACGCCTCTATCTGAGAGGAAAGTTTCAGTGATTTGAGTTGGACTATTAAGAACGTATTTCTGTTACTAATTGCGCGTTATCATAACGTTAGTATAGCTCAGTATACATTCACCAAAACGCGTTCCCTACCGATGTTACTCGTGGTTGGCTCCAGTTCCTCGTCTTCCCAAGAGTATTATGGTTGAGTGAAGTCCATGTTCCACATAGAGATTCCAAGAGATATCTACATCAATTAAGCGAGCGGCCACATCTCAGTGAACGGTACAAACCGTAGCGTATATTTATTGACCTTGTCCCATTATAATGGCCATTCTAAGTACATTATAAAAGTATTGTTATATCTACAAAAAGTCCGGTTTAGCTTTCTTGATCTACCATGGTTCGCATAATGTTATCCTACGCTTAAGCCTTTGGGTTTGTGGTAAACAACCCATCTTGTTTAAACGCGTTCAGAGGAAGAGTAGAGCATATCCACAGATATTAAATCCATTGACATATAGATTGTCCCCTAACTAGCAGAGAAACAGAGAAAGGCTTTCCTGTCGCCGAAGTCTACACAAGTTCTACTATTTACTTAGCTCGGGGAGCAAGCTGAACCTTACTATTAGGCAAGCCAATCCAACTGTCAGCTTGAAGTTTGACAAAATCTGTCCCTTCTCCCTGCACCAGTGCCAACTCATAGTTTGTCAACAGCTCGGCTAGGATAACACGAATGATGATATCGGCAACATGCTTTCCCAGACATTGTCGAGGACCGAAACCAAACCGCCACATATTATGTCGTCGTGCCTGATGAGGGCCACTAACATCAGCATTCCCCTCACGGATATGGATAGAAGTCCTGAATATTACCTGGTCCTTTTGTCCAAGGTGTCGCCATGGATCGTACTCCTGGGCATTCTCCCAGTATGAATTTTCCACATTTATTGCATAAGCGTCGACGATGACATCGGTCTGTACCCTTTTAGCCCAACTCTACACTCTTTGAATGCGAAGAGAATGCGTACCTTCCGAGGAATGATGTAGCCATCGATCATCTTATTGTCCTCTGCGGACTCCGGGTTCGAGAAGGCTACAGTATGTGCATCAGCGTAAGAAATGTTACTGAATGCTGACATTGCGGTACGTACGTAGAATTGGATGGAGTCGAGACGCTTCCAGCACGCATGCGGCCAATAAACTATCATCATTACGAAGATACTCTTCGTATGACTTCAGATCCGTTACATATGGCTGCATCTCCAAATACACCTTCTGCTGGATATCTGTGTGTTGAGAGAGTCTCAGAATATTCCATGCAACCGCATGAGTGGTGACATCGAGGTTCGCAAACATGGACTCGTCGAGCGTTTGGAGTAGCTGTGATGATGAGCGGATACATAAGTTATATGATTCAACCTCCACGTACCTCACGCATGGAAAGTTTGTTATTTTGAACTGCTTCCCAGAGCGAGACGATTGCTCCGTTGTCGTGCGACGATGCGCGCTCGGCGGCATCTCGCACGAAGTCTTCCCATGCTTTCTGGAAGGCACGAAGACGTGATATCGCAGAGCGAGGAAAATACTTTGTGATTCTGAATCGGTTGATACCACCCATAAAGGTCTCCCTAAAAAGTTCTTCCCTTGGAGGCCCGAGACTGGAAAGTGTTTTGCGCTGGTCTGGGGTAAGCCGCCCGAAGAAGATGCCGGCGACCATGAAAAACGGACAGTACTTCAAGTCATTTGCTGGGTCGATGTGAAATGTACCTTTAGAGTTATTCCAAGGCTGAAGAAACTCCCTAGCATCGGAAACGAACTGGCCGGTCCGATTAATAGACACAGGTCGAGTGAAATGGCTATCAAAGTGTCCCCGCACTCTTTTCCATCTTTTCTGACTGACTACTCCGACGCATTCGCCCAGCAGTTCAGCAAAAAGCCATCCTGCATTATTGTCAGACGACTTTATATGAACGTGTGAATCCTTGTAGAAGGCCTTGATGTGGGCTGGTTTCGTGAGCACACTGCACAATGTCGTCAGAAACGGGTACACTCGTCGCACGAAAACATCTTCCCAATAGCAACTTACTGACATTTCGCGCTTGAAGCCAGACCAAATGCTGTATATTGAACCATATTGACTCCTCCACCTCCGCGCAGCATTTCTGCCGTCAAAAAACTTCTCAGTGCCTTGTCCATTTGGCCACTGGAACGGTACACCGGGAAGTGACTTCTTTCTTTCTACTGGAGACAGAAGCTTGAATAATTTATGTCTAATCTTTACCCGAATAAGCATATTGGAATAAACGTGGCGGAGTTGGACTGATACTCTGCTCACCTTTCTGAGAACTTCCGCCAGGGCTGCTTTTGTGGCCAACGTAAAGTATAGAGCGGCAATGAACAGGAATGGAGTTGCAAGTGCAATACTATGAGAATCAAGCAGATTATGAAGAGCTTTGGAGAGCATGCTGGCGTGTTTAATGGCAGAGATTTAGGATGTCTGGAGCGACAATGGGTTGCAATGTTCATTTTAAACCGCCATCACTAAAGGCAAGAAAAAGCAAGGTGCACAATATTGACGTAGTTTATTCCCCAACGTCCACTACTATCAGAAGTACATCTCTAGTTTCAAGCACGAGAATGGGAACGTTGTCTGGTCGGCGGCCGATATTCTGGCTCTCGGACACCGATTCTTGGGAAACTGTCCCTAGGGCACATGATGGACGTCTCGACGGTTGCGGAAATGCAAGATCTTCTCAATGTTACCTTTTTGTCCTCGAACGCACAAACAACGATTCATGCATTGAACCTGGTCCAATTCGTACAGTCCAACTCCTGGTCACAATGGATACAATGTCAAAGAACCTGTGCGATCTATTCGCGCAAGCTGTCATACGATATCCCGATAACATTGCTGTCGACCATGAGCAAGGTTGCCTGACGTATCGCGAACTTGAGTATTCATCGACGTTGCTCGCGAGGACGCTGGTGGACCTTGGTGCAAGCAAAACGTCACCCATTATTCTCGTGACCGCGCATGGAACTCTCAACATCGTTGCTATTCTGGCCATTCTCAAAGCCGGGAGTTGTTTCGTTCCGGTTGACCGAACGTCCTCGTCTACAGAAAGAATCACGCAGGTCTTTGAGACTGTTCAGAGTTCTCTAGTCATCAACACTACACTGAAACCATTCACGCCACCCTACGAGTCATGCCAGGTGTTACAGTTCAGCTCGATACCCCATGATGGCCCGCTTGAGTGGCAGCTTAGCCGTCCATTCATTAAGATAGACTCCGAAGATTTGGCATGTATCATGTTCACTAGCGGCAGCACCGGTCGACCAAAGGGCGTCATGATTTCACATGGATCATTATGTTTGTACTCAAGAACAAGTCCGGTAAACATGGACATTGGACCCGGTGATCGACTTCTCCATATCTTATCAGTGGCCTTTGATGGTAAGCCCTGCGTGCCCTTTACCCTAAGTTTCGTTAACATCCTCATAGCTTGCGCCTGCGTTTTATTCTCGACTCTTTGCAATGGCGGTACAGTTGTCCCTGCCGAGCCGGCCGAACTGTACCACAGAATCCCCTCATGCACCGTGATAGCAACAACGCCATCATTATTAAACAACCTGCCATTACCAGGTTCGGAAGATACGATGTTTGCAAATATACATACCGTCCTTCTGGGTGGTGAAACGGCAAATCCAGATCTGCTTGGTTCGTGGGTCGACGCCGGTATCCGAGTGTTTACAGCGTACGGATTGTCTGAGACGACGTCAATGGGCACAATTCACACAGTTGAAAGAGATCCAAGAACTGGAGGAATAAATCCTTTTCTGGTGGGGCCCTTTATGGACGAAAGTCCAATATATCTTGTCGACGAGGACTCAACCCAAGTCGTAGACGACGGCGTTGTAGGCGAAATAGTAATTGGGGGCGGCGGGGTCGCCAAAGGCTATTACAAAGATGAGCTAAAGACTAGAAAAAGTTTCGTTTACTGGAAAGGCCTCCGCGTTTACAAAACTGGTGATCATGGCCGATGGGTACGAGGACCGTCAGGTAATCGAATATTGGAGTTCGTTGGTCGCCGAGACCGATTCACCAAGAGCAGAGGCTTCTCTGTAAACCTCGATCGAGACGTTGAGGAGAAGTTATATCTCACTGGGAGGCCACTGGGCGTCAAGTCCGTCCACGCAGTAGCGACCGAGGCTGGGATCATTGCAGTGGTCACACCCTCAAATGTTGACACCGCCCTCCTCTTAAAACAGGCTGAAGGCACTATGTGTTCGTATTGCGTTCCGTACCGGATCGAGGCAATCGAGGACTTTCCGTTGTCTTCCAGTGGCAAGGCGCAATCCCAGACGATTCTAGATATCATTTCATCCATTGATAACAAGAATGCTGGCGAAACAACTACGTCCCAAGCTGAAACAGAGACCTCCGAGATCCTAAAGACACGAGCGACCACCGACGAGAGAAAGCTGGTGGATATCCTTTGTGCAGCAGGGGAAGTGCTTGGATATTCGGGCGGAAAGAGTCGTGAAATCAAAGGAGACGATACATTTATTGGAGTGGGTGGCTCCTCCCTTCTCGCCATCAGGCTCGTCTCCGCCCTCCGTAAGATAAAGATTAATCTCTCGGTAAAAGATTTATTTATGTGTCGAACTTTTTCAGAGATTGCCAAATCTGCCTCAACCACAATACCCCCAGACGCAACAGCACGATGGATTGCCGAAGATCCATTGACGGCACAAAATCTCGCCGATCTTCGCGCAAAGGCCTGTAGTAGGCTCGGGTATATTAACGACAAGTTTGACATCGGACCCTTAACCAGTCTGCAGCTTGAGCTGGCGATGCCGACGCTGTCCAATGACGCGATTAGTGTTAACCAAGCCAAGTTGAGCTACAATTGCGAATACATCAAAATGGCGGAAAGGGCGTGGACCGCAGTGTGGCGGGCCGAACCAGTCTTTCGCACCGAAATATCCTTAGCGATTGGGAGCGGTGCACAAATCATTCACAAGGAAGCGATCCGGACGCCGACCATTAAGAGTTATGACAATCGCGAGGAGTACGAAGCCGCTGTGAAGCATGCAAGCATGTCCGTTGGGCTGGGCTGCAGATTGGACTTCATTTATTATCGCCAGCGCTCTGTGCAGAATGGAAACCGTTCTGGAATCGACTTTCCGGGCGATAAGATTGAGCTCACGGTCGTGCTCACAATTCATCATAGTTTGATGGATGGTTGCTCGCTAGAGTTCCTGCTCGAAAATGTCGAGCGAGCTAGCAAAGGCAGGCCATTGGCACGCGGCAATTCTTCAATAGATGCCAACCTCGGACTTATCGCCATTCAGCGGATGCAGGACCGCCAGGCAAGGCTCTTCTTCGAAAACTATCTTAAGGACGTGCCACTGGAAAACAAAGCGGTTGAGAGATTACGGCTGGCGATGCGAGAAAAGCAGAGCGGTACTGTTCGTCAGCCGACGAATGCATGGTTTGCGCCTTCCGTCAGTATCAACACTGTAACCGATTTTGCTCGTAGAAGCTGCGTTTCTGCCGCTTGCGTATACTACTGTGCTTGGGCCATGGCGATTAGCGCTTTCGAAAGATGTGACAACATCGTCATAGGAGCCGTGTTCTCAAATCGAACGGCACTACCTGGCCATGAAAGAACAATTGGGCCCTACATGGCTACGTTACCTCTGCTTGTCAGCCTCAAGACAGATGAAGCCGTAAAAGATCTATTGCAGAGAATCATGAAGGATATAGTAATGTTGAGGGAATTCTCTTGGGTTCGCTCGGATCAGATTGGAATCGGCCACCGGCTGGGTAATATTCTAGCTCTTCAGCTGCCGCTCCCGGATGAGAAATCAAGCCCGCCACCATTTCAAGTCGAAACTTTAGAGAATTCAGACTTCCCACTTACCATGCTTATCGAAGCAAACGGACAACTGCGAATGCTGTACGACAATAGGCAGTTTGACGGTGCTGCCGTACAGCGAATCAGCGAGCATTTCAAGCATTCACTTTACAGTCTCACCAAAGAGACTCATATTGGAGACTGCATGAAAATCAATAATTTGCATGAGACGCTGCTCGCTCAAGCGTACTTTGCGACAACTGCTCCACGAGAAGAAACCATCAAGTCAGCGTTGGAGCGGACAGTCGACCGATTCCACGGACATGCTGCCCTGGAGGATTGTTCTGGGACCACACTGACCTATGGAGAAGTCGACCAAATGTCGAATGTCATTGCCCATCATATCAACAATAACCTGTCTGTAGGAAAAGTCGTTGCCGTCTTTGGTGACGGGACAATAAGATGGGTCGTCTCTATTGCGGGGATCCTGAAGACTGGGCGGGCATACGTGCCATTGGACCCTAAATGGTCCATTGATCGTAGAGCCACGGTTTTTGATGAGAGCGGAGCAACTGCACTGCTGCTGCCTAGCAAGACACAAGAGTCTGAAGCGCCAGCTACGCCAGGTCTGAAGATATTCTTTGCCGACAGCATTCTCGATGCCAACTACGGCGCAAATAACATCACCAGACTGCCTGATACCATATCTGCCGATGACAATCTTGTTGTGGTGTACACTTCGGGCAGCACCGGCAAACCGAAAGGCATCCCATTGACCAATCGTGGGATATTGGCGCTGTTGCAAAGCTGCCCCGAACCCACCATGTTTGCAGGTCCCGGAAGGCGGATCGCACAATTCATGTCCCCAGCTTTTGACTATTGCAACATAGAGCTCTTCAGTACACTACTCCATGGCGCGACGCTAGTCCTTCGAGATCCACGCGATCCGTTCGCGCACCTTCGCAAGGTTAACACTGCGACAATCACTCCATCGGTACTGTCCGTCCTGAACCCTGATGATTATCCAAAGCTCGAGCTCGTAAGTTAACACTACCTCTGAAGTTTAAGGTCACTACCACTGACCCCTGCATCCAGATTTATTCAACGGGTGAACCAATAACGAAAGCCCTGGTTAGAAAGTATAGCACCCGGTCATTGATGTTCAATGCCTATGGACCGGCAGAGGTAAGAATGAAATGCGTTCCTTGACACTTTTCCGCGGCCTAATAAAAGTGCAGTGTAGCGTTGTCACTTCATACACGAGAGTAATTCCCGGGGATCCCATCACTGTGGGAGTTCCCGTTCCCTCTGCGCGCATGTACATCCTGGACGAAAACCAACAGCCCGTGCCTGACGGTGCTAAAGGAGAGATATACCTCGCGGGTATTCAGGTGATGCGAGGTTATTTGCATGCAGCGGAGCTGACGGCCAGGTCGGTTTTGATGGATCCTTGGCATAAAGGAGAACGCATGTACAGAACTGGTGACTTTGGTTCTCGAGGCCACGACGGTCGAATTACGTATTTGGGCCGAATCGACCGCCAAGTCAAACTGCGAGGCTTCCGGGTAGAACTCCCCACAGTAGAGGAAGCAATCATGTTGGCCGGAGAGGAAGAAAACATTACACACTGCGCTGCGGCGGCCATAAACGGAACCTTGGTCGCATTCATCTCGTGCAATCCCTCGCAACCTATCTTGGATTCGAAAGAGATGAACACTCGGCTCCGCAACAGACTAGGCAAGATATTGTTTTCCGCCTCTATACCGCAGGAAATAGTGCAGGTCGAGAAATTTCCTATGAATCACAACGGCAAGGTGGACGTAAGGGCTCTGGAACACATCTACACAACGAGAATATCGGATCGCGCGGCACTTTTGCCATCGGCCAAGTCCGATCCAATTGAATGTAGTGTTGCTGAGGAATGGCGACAAATACTGCAACTGGGCCCCGATGCACATCTAGAGCCCGCGGATAACTTCTTCAAACTCGGCGGTCATTCGGTGTTAGTCCTCCTTCTTGCGAATCGACTCACCACGGCATTTGAAGTTGAAGTAACGCTACGCGAACTTCTAGAGGTACCTTCCTTCCTCGGCCAAGTCGAGCTTCTCAAGCATTTGCTGCAGGCCAAAAGGACGGGAAGCGGGTACACAGAAGACATTGGATGTCAAGATCGTGGCGGATTACCTGCAGCAGAGCTCACGGAGCTTGAACGACAGGTATGGCTCCAATACCGGGCCGCCACTACCGTGACAGCATTCAACATTGCCAAAGTCCTTCATATTAAAGGTTTCTTCGATGTTGATCGGTTAATTGGCTGCTTCAATACAGCCCTTGCCTCTGATCCCGTGTTCCGTACTAATATTCACGATGGCCCTCTGGGTCCAGTACGGGCTCTGAACGCATCTGCTCCTACAGCTTGCTGGGTAGCAGAGCTAAACATTGATGAGGAAGTGAATCGACATTTCAACGTGGAGTGCGACCAATTAATACGCATTTTCCTAAGTCCGGAGGATCGGCACGCACCACCAGAACAACTTCCAGGTATTCGAATCGTCATTGTCACGTCTCATATCATCGCCGATCTCGGCAGCATACAAAATCTGCTACATCTCACTTCCCAGGCCTACTCTGGGGCAAAAACGGCAGTGTACGAAACTCCGCGGCATCTGGAGTCGAACCGGTGGAGACGGAACACATCCCCCCATGAGCAGAAGTGGTGGATGGCCTACTTGAAGGGCCATGGCCACAGTGATCATAAGCTTCCTTTGCTTCGGGATTCTCGTATCGGTCTAGCTTCCGGTGTTTACAACGGCTCTTCGAAGATTCGCCAGTATAACGGCATACTGGTCACTAATTTGAAAGGTAGAATACGAGAGACTGGGATCACGCAACACCAACTTGCTTTGGCAGCTGCTGCACTCATGCTCCAATGGCTTTCGGGAGAAAATGATATTATACTAGGCGCTCCTGACTCAGGACGGCGATCCACGGTTGAAATAGAAGCTCTAGGGCAATTCCTTGACCGGCTTCCAATCCGGGTCAGGCTGCCCAAAGCCACAACCGGGGTTGAGCTAGATACCAACACAATTCTCACCCAAGTCCGCGACTCGGCTCACATGGCGTTGGCCAATGCCATTCCATTCAGTCGCATCCTGGATGCTCTCGGCTTCCCCGGTGAAGCGACTACTTCATCTCTCTTTGAATGCATGGTAACATTCCACACTCGCGGTGCCCGCCTCGACAACTGGGTTCGGTTGCACGGTTGCACTGTCTCGGAGTCCTTAGTTTTCGCTCGGGGGTCGAAATTTCCGCTGATGTTGGAATGGTTCGAGTCCGACGGTAATCAATGGACGGTCCACATTGAATATGACACGGACAGGTTATTGCCAGCCACCATTGATGCAATCGAAAACGCCTTGGACATTATCCTCGACGCCATAGCGAACAACAGTACTCTATCCGGATTAAAGGTACAATTGGGTAACGCCAATATTATTGGTTGAAAGTGTAAGTTCTGTTGGTAGTACCGGTTGATTTCTACTGGTACTAAAGCAAAAGATCCAGCATTTCAGCTTTTGCTATTTACCTTGCCCACCGCGCCGTATTGTTGTTGGTACCGTGAAGGAGTGACCAGCTGCGAAGAGCGTAGTGCTGTGGGATTTTGGGCGTTTAGTTTTCGCCGCACGAAGAGTAGTACAAAGGCAAGACTTCTGTCGACGCACTGTAAGAAAGCTTCCCACCCTTTGCCCTGGTGACTTACCCCCCATTCCACCTTTCCCATGCTAGAAAGTGGGGATTAACCTTGAAACTCACCTGTCTGCGTGGATAATAACGTCCGCAGAAGTAGAGCATGGGGATCGCGAGTTATTCTCAGGGGTGGAGATAGGGCGTGTGTCCAAGAGCCTTCTGTTCCCTAGTTAAAAAGGAGTAACCAATATGCGTACTCGGGTGGGACGATCCTAGAGCAGAGCAGTAGGCCTTGCACTGGTTTGTTGTAATAGCTTACATTCGTATCATTCACTGAGCAGAAGTTACTTGCTGGGGAAAAGACTACGCACGAACCAAATTCTAGAACAGTTTAGCTCGATAGAGCAGATCGTAAATAGCTATATGTAACGGATAATATAAATAGGCAGCCACATTAGGAGCTTTTAGATGGCGAAGAATTCCTGGAGTCTGGTGGCCGGGCAAGGAGATGGTGAACGTTCTTATCAGATGACGAGTATGCTGCGAAAGAACAATATCCGGGAACAGTGCGGCTGGTCTGTACGTCTCTTTTCGAAGTCGCAGATGAATAGGCTTTGATGCTCCTTTTGATTTCTAAGGGTTGGAGACTTTGTTGGAGACACGCGCGCGATCGGCTTGGGTTTCGGTGCCTCGGCATCTTTCGGCTTGAGATGTTATTGTCGGGCAGAAGAATATGTCAACAGGTTCATCCCCATTGTATGCAACAACGACATTGAGAAATCGTCCTTTTCGCCACTCCTTCTCAGCCTTGCGTAATCCACTGGCAAACCAACATGCCTATCGACATTTTGGCCATCATCACTCCCAAGCCTGGCAAGGCGGACAGGGTATCAGTTCCCAAATAAAAGACGAAGGAATCACTTCTCTAATTCGCTGTCAACAGTTGGCACAGGTTCTTACCGAAGCTGCTGCAAATGTGAAGGACAAGGAGCCTGGCGTCCTGCGATACCATATCAGCCGGGAAACCAAGGGCGATTCGTCCGCCTTCATTATATTAGAAACGTACGTGCATGTCATGATACACATTATCTGTTGTTTCACAGGACTCTACCAAAGGGCTGCTCAAACCACCGTGGTGACTAAGTTCCTTGTGACTGACATTGGGCAGATACCAGGATAAGGCTGCACTCGATGCACATGGCAAGGCAGAGCACTTCCGCAACTTTGGACGCCAACTGAAGAAGGAGGATTTGGTAGCGGGGCCTCCTAAGCTGTACTTTACAAAGCCCGTTGGCGGGTATGTCAGCAGGTTGTAGGCGTGAGGGGATGCTTAAAATGTAAATACCTGTGTAGGTGGAGGGGATTGGCTGAGGCGAGAGCAGAAAACCGAAAGAAACAACATGCCCTAGATTCCTGTTTTCGTCGTGCGATCTCCAACCCGTCATGCAGGTCGAGCTACTTACAGTGCGTTCCTGACAGGGAGCCAATTTTCAGAGCTTGGAAGTTATTGCAATCGTCTCACTACTTCACGCAAGTAGGAAAACTTAGGAGCATTTCTTTTCCGTGAAATCAAATTGTCGCGCCTACATCCGCCCGTGTGTCCCCATCCGGTGGTCACATGAACAGATTCAACCAATCTCCACACAATCATGGGGAGACGGTGTCCTTGAAATGCCATACCCAGGTAAGAAACATACAAGCACACATGCGGGGCTGAGGGGAATGTCAATGATCGCTTGGCAGAATTGAAGAGGTGACGGGACCGATTTCGGACTGAATATTGGCGGTCAGTGGAAGTAGAACTGTTATAACATGAAATAATAACATAAATAGATTGGTTGCTTGAACATTGTTGTGTTGTTAGGAGATTAAAGGAAGTGAATGCATGAATTGTGCTGAAATGCGGCCAACTCAGAACAAGTCAGAGTCTGAAAGGCGCTCTACCTGATAGACAGTCGAGCAACTCTGCACTCTACTATAGCTGTGATACACTAGAAGACTGCAGCTGCACTCACACGGGCACCCCTACATCATCAGTCACGTGATTGGTGGGATCGTAGGTCTATCTGTATGGAGATGGAACAGTTTCACTATCTCGAGCGTCCTTTGTATTCCGGGGTAGCATATCGGGTTGCTTGTAATTGTACGGAGTATTTGCGAACATGAGTGTGGTGTCTAGACCGACGCTTCGAATCGATATCAGTATTTAGGGTTGCCAAGACCAATCAACGTCAGCTCACTGCTGCCCATGTGCGGCCTCACCTTACAACCTCACTCATTCTTCCCAGCCAGAGTAGCTTCGACGCGACCTCCTCAAATCCCGCACCACGTATGACGCGCTACATCTAGAAGCGAATCCACAGCCTTCTGACACTGCCCTCCTTCCTTTCGCCCAATCTTCCACAATCCCGTAGTCGACACGTCGCAACAGGGCCCTCGATGCCATGAACCACGTCCGCCAAACCTGTCGACCTAAGCACCAGGTTTTAGTGCTCAAGTGCTATCCCAAGTTTCAGAAAAACAACGTCGAAGTCCGACCGAATTCGAGCGAGCTCAGCTACCTCTTGTATTATGCCAGCACGCGTCGGAGCAAGCTACAGAAGCTCGGGGACTTCCTGGACAAGCGCATCATCAAAGACGTGTGGAAAGGTCGCATAGGCAATGTCCAGGTGACCCTGGAGATTTGCAAGGCTCTCATCGAGAAATGTCCGCGAGAGCTACCGTTATACGCCGCCGCACTCATGCGCATTCTGCGCAATGTCCTCAACTCGGAAGATGTCACCATGATCGAGGCATCGGTGCCCACCTTTGAAGCATTCTGCGCCCACCAGGACCCCGCGAATCTCGCCGCCGACCAGGGCTATATCAAGCGATATGAGGAGATTGTGCGCCTATATGCCCTGCTCGCTAGCAAGGAGGGAATCAAGTCTCTCAAGGCGGCACCTAGTTGGCCTGTGGCCATAAGATATAGGAAGGCAGGCTTACAGGCGCTCAGGGCTGTGGCTTCATCCGAGTCACTTGGGTCTGAAACCGGACGCCAGCTAAACGTCATCATACCTACGGTGCTTTGGAACATCTGCTCAGGCGACGATGACTTTTTGAGACGGCTTGAAATGCGCGGTGCCGAGGAATCGAGGGAACAGGCTCTGCGAAGGCGTAGCATCTCCACTGTTCAGACAGCCGATGAAGGCGAAGCAGATCCAATGGCGGTTGCTGGGACGACAGAAGATGCCGACAAGCTCGCGGAAGAGGAAGTTGGAATGATTGCGATACAAGCATTAAAGAATATCTTCATGGGCGTAACCCGCGGGCAACTGCGCCTTGCGACCGACGCAGTCGTTCACTTCGTTGTGTCCTCTGTGCCATCCTCCTTCGATGATTCGAAACAGGTCAAGGATTGGAGCACAACGCTGATGGCAATGGTCTGTAGATGGGCACCCGTCCAGGATCGCTACGCCATTCTTGTTGTCACTACAGAAGCCCTTTTCAAACGCCCGATAGTTGAGGATGACCTCGGCCGACAGTTGCTACTCGCATCCATCATCAATAACCTCCTCAGATCCAATATCAATTTCATTGGCCTCAGCATCATGGATGTACTGGTGGGGCTCATTGTACATTCATTGCAACTTTTGCAGTTGGCGGGCCCAGGGAGTTCCATCGTTCCACATCAACAACAGGCGACCTCTGTTTCGGTCAGCAAAGCAAATCCTGACGTAAATTCGTCTGTCCCTATTGGCGGCGTGGTCATGGAGATCATCAAGGACCCGTCACCCATGCATGTACGCCTTCTGGAAACTCTACAGGCATGTATGGCCAGCTTGGCGACACATGTGTATTATTCGGATCAAATATGCGACATGGTCTCCGCCATCATGACCCGTCTAAAACCATCTTCACTCCCTGAGATTTCCTGTTCTGCGGAAGCTATCGAGGATCCGACAGGAGCAATACACACAGTCGCAAGCTCCCCGAGCCTTCGGGAAAAACAGCCACATGTGCACAAATTCTTCTCCTTTGAGCGTGCGAGGTTACTGGCACTACGAGCCGTCAAAGCCATCATCGTCACGGCCAACGAAGCACGGGCAGAGGGGAACAATGTTGCCGTTCCAAGGGCGCCTGTCACTGCGAAGGTCTGGGAGGGTACGCAATGGTTATTACGAGACCCCAGCAGAGAGGTTCGCAAGGCATATGTCGACGCTCTAATAACTTGGTTGAATATGGAGATGGCCAGGGATGATCTCAAAATCAACCCTATTCCACGGAAAAGCAAAGAGATCCGGACCGACGTTGCACGGCGTGCAGTTTCCAATGCCTCAAAAAGCGACAACCCTACCAGGTCCGACAAGAGCACTTTTCTGCCGTTGTTGCACCTTGCTGTATACGAGTCAGCCCTTGAGCATACTGATTCCGAGCCTGATCTTCTCCTGCTCCATCTCCTTCTCTATACTCTTGTCAACAAGCTAGGCGTTAATGCGGCTCGCACTGGGCTGCCAATGATCTGGAGGCTTCAAGAGGACATCCTGAGCCTGACTGACCCTGGATCTAAAGTCATGGTAGGCAGTCTTGTCCATGGGTATCTATGGGGCCTCAGTGCAACTCTGGAGTTCGATACCTCTTCTGTGGGCAGAGTGCTTCATGCTGAGATCTCGCGGCGCCACGAAAAGGGACTGTGGGTGAAAAGGATTCGCGTCCCACCCGTCCCCTTGGAATCCATCGAGACTCCTCGTGCCAATCCAATAAGCATTCCAGGAGAAGTCGTTCAATCAGAGGGTCTTAAGCCATTTGACAATCGTGGGGCATTTGTCGACAAAATCGCTGAAGGCTACACGGCTTCTCTGACGTCTCCCCCTAGCAGTCCACCTGGTTCACCCGGCCGATCTCTTTCGGTCTCGCTCGTGCCTCCGCAACCCTCAGAGCCGCCGCCCTGTCTACCGCCCAGTGTGAGAGAGGACCTTCTAGCGGATTGGTCGAGGGAGGTCTGCATCGCAACGAACGCAAAAGACACGTCCTCCGCCTCCGTGACTGGCTCCCGTACGGGGACTTCCGCGCACCACAAAACCAACTACTTGGGAGTCTCGATTCCCCATGGCAACCTGGACAGCGTGAACAGCTCTCCTATTCCTTCTCCGCGTCGTGCCCACAGTCGCCCTCCGAGCAACGCATATGGACTCGTAGGACGAGTCCCTTCACCCCATCGGACTGTCAGTCCTGCTAGGACTGGAGGAAGTACGTCCTCGATTCATTCAGCGGTGCGCGTCGACGAACTCAAGCGTGTGTTGTCTGGAACTGCGCCTCGTACTTCACACTCTTTCCGTCCTCGCAGTCAGCGCTATTCACCGGTTTCCACCTCCTCTGAATCCATGGTTTCTGTTCATAGCTTGTCGGAAGCCTCCTTTGTAACGACTGAACACGTGCATTCCCAAGTCGAAGAACCAGACGCCGAGCGAGCACCACGCCCAAGATCCTCTGGCCGTCCCGCGTCACCTTCACCCCAGACATCGTCGCAATCCCCTCCGACCCACGCGGCGCGAGAACGCGAGGCAGCTTTCGCTGCCAATGGCGTTCCCCCAGTTCCCCCTATCCCAGCCTCGCTTCGTGACCAGTCCGTCTCCCCTAGCGGTCGAGACCTAGAGCGTGGCACAGCATCAGCCCATGATGTTAATGGGGGTATTGCTGTGCGCAAGAGTAGGAGGCAGAAGCGAGGGACTGGCTCCGTACGCCGCCGCGGCGAGAGTCGCCCTAAGAGCAATGGCGATGTGGGTCTTGGGTTGGGCAAAATCGCGGACAGTAGACCAGACTTCAGTGGATTTCTCGATAGTATTGATGTTGGTGATGGGGACTTGGGTGGCGGGAATGGTAGGATCTTGAATGGGTTGGGGCAGGCGCCCTATTGATTCCGCGTACTGTATTATGATACTGATGGGCATTGGTATAACTGCGAGCTTGATTTTGTTTTGTGTTGGTGGTCAGGGACGTGCTTGTTGTATTTGGTGGCATATTTTGCAAGGGCGCATGCGAGGAAGACCCACTTCTTCACATTGTTCGTTTGTCTCGCCAGTATTATACCTTGTTCTGTGCATCATCATAGTATCTTGTTGTCTTGTTCGCTGATAGAAGTACAGGAGACGCTTCAGTCACACCGTCCCGTCAGTCGACCGTGACATCCATTCCACCATTACTCTCTGAGAGCGCACATACATGTAGGGAAGGGCTACCACCCTAAAACTTGGCATAAATCTCTATTCTTGCTGCTGGGTTTACCACCCAGGTCCTCATTACCCCATGAACGTCTCCTAACGGTGCCTCGATCTTCTATATCCCTTCGTGTTATGTTTGTCCTGCTTGGTTTTGACGTTTCGACGCCAGCGTCGCTGCTTTCGTCTCCAAGAGGCATGACTGGAAGCGGCCATTAAAGCCCTGGCGGTTCCCGGTGATGACCGCGACACAGCGGTGGTGCTATCGAGGTTGGACCGGCAAGGCGAGGCGCAACTCAAGTTAGCCGCGTCACCTCGGTATGCCCTAAAGATGTTTGTCCGTCGTCCTCACATGCGTGATGCAGTTCCTGCATTCCCCTTTTTCCGACACTCACTTATTCCTCGACTCACCCCACGCAAACTCCTTGGTCACGACCACCTGCCCCATATTCTTCAACCGATGGCCGCCGCCATCACCACCATTCCCATCCTCCAGACTCTCCTCATCGACCTTGTGCCCACTCTCCGCGCCTTTTCCTTGAATCACCGTCGTGGTGAGGCACATTTCGTCTTCATCGGGCCGCCACGCACCGGACTGCGAACCGCGCTTATTCCGAAAGATGGCCTTATGCTGCAGAGCATTGGCCTGCTCATCCTGACTCTCGGCTCCCTCATCCTCCTCCAGCGCCGTATCGAGCGCATTCGGGTCCCTGCGGCGGAATTTCCTCGTGCGCTTCTTGCTGATGGTTTCGATGGTGTTGAGTTTCGTGGAGCGGCCCGAGGGGCCGTCGCCCGAGTAGCCGTGCGACGAGGGGACGTAGTGGAAGACGACTTCGAGGAGGCGCAGGAGGATGGGGCGAAGCGTGGGGAGGCAGCCCGAGATGATACCGATGGAGGGCTCGACCGAGGACCAGATGAAGACGTCGGATTTGGCCCAGGAGATGTCGTGGGTGGAGCCGAGGCGGGTGATGGTTACGATGCGGTAGAGGGAGGCGAAGCAGACGCTGTTAGTGGGTGGAGGTTAGCATCGGCATTGGGGCGAGATCTGGGTTAGGTTAGGGGAGGGAACTAGGTGGGAGGACGTACAAGCTGCCGAGCAGGAACATGAAGCAGATGGCTATCTTTTGGGTGTTGCCCATTTGGAGCTTGAGGACGCTCTGGATTGGTACTGAGAGAATGCAGATGTCACCAAATAGGTTTATGATACCGACTCCAAGGTAAAACTGGCTACACATCAGCAACTGTGGGAAGGGAAAGTGGCAAAGTCGACCAGTGATTGTGACATACTTTGGCCTCATCCACCAGAACCACACCCTCCGAGTCGGGATACCATTGGTCCCAGTAATAACTAATCGGCCTGGTGTACAAAGGAAGAACAATATGGTTTGTGATCAGGTAGCCAGTGGTGAGTAAGACACACCACCACCCCAACCATGTCATGCCGAAGATGCGACGGTACAATGCAATAATGGAGAATTTAATAATGCAGACGCTCCAGGCGTAGATGTAAACATATGCGAATGTGATCTTGAGTTGGTTAGCATAGTTTCCCTAAGGAGGCCTTACCGCTTGCCACGGCGCTTTTTGCGAGGGAAGTGTCTTACAATGGTGATTTGGCGCATCTTGTAGCTGTCGAGTGTGTAAATATGTTTCCCGAGGCCATAGAAACCGCCTAATACTGTTAACTCATTGGGCCGTCTATCAAGTCACGGGAGAACCATACCTGCTATACAACAAGCCAAATTCCCAGCATTGAGCACAAGGCCCACGTACATCAACCAGTCATCCAGCTGCAAGCGGACGCGCTGATAATGGAGCCGAGTGAGGACCCTCAGCCCGACGAAGATGGCAGATAAGACAAATAAGACAATACCAATGGCGTTGTTTTCAGCCGTTCGACTCTCGTTGAGATCGAGGCCTGGCGGCGGATTCGCGAAGTAGTTTACAGCCATGGCGTAGGTCTAGGATGCACCACCAAGACAAACGACAGACCGATGAAGGCTTATTATGAAGCGAGAACGCTCGAGGACGGTCTCACCTGAAGGGACATGACTGGCTTTTTCAAGAGAAAAGGTCGAGGAGAATGCTGTCCCCTGTGCGATCCCCGTGGAACTAGGCCACCAATGAGAGGGAAGTCCCGTATCCGCGACCCACTCTGTGTTTTCGAATAGCAGAGCTTTGTGGAACCCTGGTCGCGAGTTTCGCTGCGCAACTTTGCCTAATTTTGCGGGAGATGCGTGAAAAACCTCCGACTATCGTGAACCTCTTGAGAGACGTGCATGGGGGAGTGGGTCGAAAAAGCAGCAGACATGAGGAGAGACCTGATGATCTTGCTTGATTCAGGTAGTTAGGAGAGTTTTCAGGGTCTCCTTCGGTTGGGGGACGGACGGGAAGGGTTCTGTTCCGCCGACCACCCCCACGCACGGCTAGTCCAGATTTCGACCGCATTTCTTGCCAATTCCCCTATGCGAGCAAAGCTTACCCCCTATAAAAGAGCCAATCGACGATGCAGTTGGATCGCCTTTTTGCTTTTTCCAAGCAAGCTGTGTAAAATCATAGGGGAATCAGCGTCCTATGAAACGCGCCTATGCCAGGCGTAGCTCCTGCGAAATTCACCAGGGAGGTGCTGTTAAGGTTGAGGCTAACTGTCGTCAGTTAGCGCAGAGGCAGCGGAAGATTGACCGATTGGCCTGAGAGCATCCGGGGAAAAAGGGCCGAAGCGCTTTCCCGCTCGTAGTTTAACGCGGGGCATGCTAAAAGCGTGAAAATGCCATATGCCCAGGTGGAAACCAGGGGCGGAAAGTCTGCGAAGGTGCTCAGCAGATGCCCCAAGTCTGCTGTTGATCCTCATATCCAACCCAGCTTCCCCGTCCAATCTTCTCCTGCTCGCGGTTCCTGCAGTTCTCCTTGCTGTTGTCACGGTCTTCCTTTCCCCAACTTATTCGACGGAGAGTTCCTTCTGCTCCACTGTTATCCGTTCCCGTTAGGTTGCATAGCTAGCTTCCGAAACCCACACGGTCCGCATCCCCACTAATATCAACCAATCCTCAGAACTTCCCCTCAGCTCTGACCTCGTTGCTATCTGTCACAGGCACCTCTCAACTCGCCATGGCTCCCCAACAGACCGTCAAATTCAAGGTTGCGGCCGCCCATGCCGCACCCGTCTTCATGGACAAGGCCGCCACAATCAAGAAAGTCGTCAGTCTGGTCGAACAAGCCGCAAAGGAAGACATCAAGCTCGTTGTGTTCCCCGAGACGTTTGTGCCTGGCTATCCTGTGCGTCCCAAATTCATCCCCCTTGCACTCCCTCAGTTCCAGGTTGACCCCTGACACATCTCCCCACAGTACTGGATCGAGTGCTATCCACCCCTCCAGCAAGTCTCCGCCCTCGCCAAATACGCCCAAGAATCCGTCGTCGTCGAAGCCAACAACGAGGACGTCGGCCCGCTGCAGGAAGTCTGCCGCCGCACCGGCGTCGCCGTCAACCTCGGCATCTCGGAGCGCATGGCCTCAGGCCACACGCTCTTCAACTCGCAAGTCATCATCGACAGCGACGGCTCGATCCTCGGTGTCCACCGCAAGCTGCAGCCCACGTACGTCGAGCGGCTCGTCTGGGCGCAGGGCAACGGGAGCACCCTGCGCAACTGGCCCTTGAGCCTGGGCTGGAACCTGGGCGGTCTGGCATGCTGGGAACACACGATGAACGGCGCTCGCCAGGCGCTGCTGATGCAGAACCAGCATATCCACGCCGGCGCGTGGCCGGCTCTGAGCACCATGGCGGGCTTCGAGGCCGTCGCCGACGCCCAGATCGAGGCTCTCATGAAGAACCACGCCCTCACGGCGCAGGTCTTCGTCATCACCGCTTCCAACTACGTCGATAGGCAGTGCCTGCAGTGGATGGAGGAGAACCTGGGGCCGCAGGAGTTCGTCAAGGAGGGCGGTGGCTGGTCTGCTATCCTGCATCCCTTCTGCGCGTTCATCGCTGGGCCTCATACGGGCGCCGAGGAGAAGCTCGTCGCGGGCGAGATTGACTTCTCGTCCATGGGTGCGGTCAAGGTCTGGATCGATGCCGCGGGTCACTATCAGCGTCCCGAGATTCTGCAGTTCAGCTTTGATGATAGACCGCACTGGGCGGATGAGAAGGCGAGGTCCTTCAGGCCGAAGATTGAGCCAAAGAGAGTCTCTGAGGAGGAGAGCGGTCCGCAGCAGTAAGAAGAGTAGAGTTGCGATACATGATCTGCATACTGTGATGGGGTCTCCTTGATTAGCAGGGTCGTATGGATGTCATCGTATATTCCCAACCTTCCCCCAGGTCTCAATTAGCATTGCCTTCGAATATAAGTTCTAAAACGATCAGAAAGGCTTCCCAAATCCTCAGTTCTGAGAAAAACGCCATTAAAGTCAAGCATGCATTTCTGCGTACCTCAGCACCATAAGCACACTCGTCACTGCTGCCCACTCCTGATATTCAGCTCATCTTTCCGAGCACTAACCCATTCGTGAACCTGAATCGACAACCAACCCACCACCTGTGAATGTCGATTGTGTGAAAAAGGTCTATCATCCCTGGCGCTCAAGTCCCCAATACATGCGGCATTGCCAACGTATTCGATGACGATGGCGATACAGCCATCATCTCGCTCCGCTCCCCACCCACGGGAAAGACTGCGCTCCAATCGATCAAGTCAGCATAGTCCCATGACGCTGTCGGTGGTGGGAAGGAGAAGCCGTAAGGCAGGGGGGAGGATTCGGATGCGTCCGCGGGGGATGGATCAGTGTGCAAAGGAGTATAGATGCCGATGGTACTTCTTGATGGCATACTGCTGGGTCGCATACTGGAAGTTCCTATTTCCGTGGTCGATGAATTCAACGGCGAACGCAGGGGGGAATTATTTGGGTGGGGGTGGGCTTCAGTGGGTCGGTTTGGCCCAAAGGCTAAGGCTGGCGCGTCGAGTGCTCTCCCTGAATGTTGCGTTGAGTTCAATAATTCGCTCTCACAGCGGCGAATAATATCAGCCACCTGCCGCAGCAACTTCTGCTCTACGGGCCCGGCTTCTCTTTCAGCCGATGCGAAGAGTTCCTCCTGGATGCGGCGGAGGAGTTCTCTGCGAAAACGGCGAGACTCTTCTGAAGGTGAATCGCCATCATAATCTGCCATGGTCAGCACCAAAACACATTAAGATGCACGGCAGGCATTACATGGAGAAGGAATATCTGCTCCGGAGACTTCTGGAAACAGCATTTGGTACGTATCACGCCACTTATCTTCCTCGAGGCGAAGAGGAGGTGATCGTTTGCGCAGCAGTGCGAGTGTCTCTCTGTCAATGCCTTCGATGGGTTGTGGTGCGGTCATTTGACACGGATCCGATCTTAGATGATTAGAAAGATCGCTGTCTGCGTCGAACATGGTGTAGCATCTCGGACAGAAGATTGGCTGCGCATGCGCGCGATACAGGTGTTCTCTAATCCACGTCAGTTTGTCAACTAGAAACAACACAGAGACACGCACTTCATCCGATGCACCGTAGGCCAACCAGGGCCGGGACAGGTGCGACGGTTACGGTACCTGTCCGGATCGTGTTTATAAAAAGGGCACGCAAATCGTGGACCGGTTTCCGAATCCTCAGTCGTAGCTATAGACACACGTCTTCTCTTGGTAGGACCATCATCGTCGGCTTCGTCGGGTTGCAAGCTATCATCGCCGCGTGCTCTCCGCTTTCCATTAGAGCCCTGAACGGAGCCGCGTCGACTGGTCGAATTCGCGCCAGATGGATGACCGCGTGAGGATGATGCTCCAGCACATTGAATGTACGTGGCGTAGTTCAGATTGATTTCGACTTTCCGCATGATCAAGTCGATCGTCGTGAGAGTGGCTTTGGACAACATGGTGGTGTGGACCGCCGTCTCTTCGCATTCACTATCGTCCGTGACTGAGTAGTCGCCTCCGCTGCCAGTGGAAGACAGCGAAACAATTGAGCCTACACGTTCTTTTGGTCTTTCGAGAGCAGAGTCTGACTTGTGTATAGTGCTTTCAATAACCTTGATTTGATCTGAATCGTGATTATTTTCGACGAATGCTTTGTTCCTGGAACGCTTAGCCGGGTAAGGGAACTATCCGGAGCAACATACCCGTGTACCTTGCTGCTTGTTTCCAACGAAGGTGCAGAAGTCGGGGGATTCGTGATACTGTCTTGAATAACCCCTTGACCAAAGGTTCTAATAAGCCCTCGTTTGCCTCTATGCCAGTTCCTCGTTGCAGATGGGGCCACGGCACTACCAAAATGGATGACTGGGGATTTCAATGTAATGCAAGGGACTTCAGGCGGTGGTGACGCTGTCTCTTGGTTGACAAAATCTGCATTGCACCGTCAGAAGTGGACCTGTACGGATATTCGAATAACTGCTCACATTGGTTGGCACCGAGAAACTCTAGAGGAGACAGTGAAACATCAGGGTCACTATTATAGCCCGAGTCCGCTGTCTTTGACGAGACGATTGAGTCTCTTCGGTTGGAGTCCCTGATGATAAGCCTAGGCGGGGCTGACTGGTCGAATGGGAAAGCTTCCATTTCTGCGCAGAACAGTCTGAAGATAGAGCGCGCACGCGGAAACCTAAACCTGAAGGCAAAAGCAATGGTTGTTAAACGTCAAAATCACGCAAACATCTTGTTATTAACATGTCGTTTGCCTGATACCTGGAGTACGAGATGGGAGCCGTGAGACGCCACTGCGCGGTTGCGCAAACAGGTTGGGCTGCCATGTGGATGATGTTGACGCCCCTGTCGAGATCCACGTGGAGTAACTCGGCGCAACGCTCGGTAGTCGTGTCATTGGTGGTGACTGCGTCGCTGATGCGGGTTTTTGGGGGCGATGGAGGAGGATTGGACGGGAGAGGCGTGGGTGAGGCTGTGTGGTGTTCGCAAAGCCGCGGGAAAGCCGACTGAGTGAATGCCGCTAAACCACTTTCGTTCCAGGAACAGCTGGAGAGCGTTCCGTCCTCTTCGAGTGCCAAGGTCAAGATGATAAACCGATAGATTTTTTCTTCTTCTTAGATGGGACGCTGCAATTACCTCACGCTTCGTGCACTCGTGTTATATTTCGGAATGTAGCCGAGCTGCAACCAACTTCATGGCTGAAAGTACAGGTAGGAAACGTTGCGACCTGCTCGGAAGGAGCTGCCCAGGCGCTGGTTGCTCAATGAAGTTCACAATTGGGTATATCACAGGGGCTTGGCCCCTAAACAAATCGAATGATGAATGTTACATGACCTGTGCCTTTTCTCCCGATCCCAACATGCACTTCCCATTCCGCCCTTCGCCGAGCTTACCCACAGCCTACAAACGCATAATCGAAGCAATTGGCACTGCGACAACAAAATACGTGGGGTCGAACTGGTACACAGGAATACGATAGCTTAAATGCCGCTAAGTGCTCCAACCGCTCTAAAACTCAGTACATAGGCGGCAAGGCGAAAATGTCGAGGACCACCTACCGATTAGCACGTCGACCTGGCAGAGGAGGAGGCACGAGGGGGTTGCCATAAGCGTCAACGCCGAGTTGCTTGCGGCAGTCTGGGCAGTACCATTTCGCACGCCGAGCAGGAATGTCATTTGAAGTCATGCCCACGCATTCGAGGTGAAACCATTCGCGTTCACACTGCTCTTGATTAGCGTGTGGATACAAGAGTATGGCAGGACGATCACTTACATGGTTGTCGCAGGATATCATCTCGCCGTAACTGACGTCGTCGCATATACAGTACCTTTCCTCGTTTGGATCAATGTCATCGACTTCATTGGCTTGTTCATCGGCCTTTTTCTTCTTCTTATTCTTGCTGCCTTGGGCACGCCTCACAGTCGTCACTGATTTTTGGCCATTCTCGGCCGACGTCACGTCTCCTTTGGGAGGTGGCTTTCTCCGGGAGCTTGTCCTGGTGGGGAGCGTCACTGCACTCTGGCCAAATATGCTGTGACGACGTAGTTCTCGCGTAGACTTGCCTGTCTCCATTGGTTTTGGTTCCTCACTTTGTGCCTTCGGAGTGGGAACATGGTGACGTGCGGATCTTGGTCGCGTTGCAGGTCGCTCACGCTTCGACTCAGCTTCCGGAACAACATCAGTTCCTTGCTGAAGCTCAGATTCGTGGGCGCGCTGGGGTACCGGTGGGGAAGGTTTCGAAGGCTTCGTTGCAGGTTCCGGTGCAGGCGGTGGGCTAGGCACTTTGGGAGCCATAACGGATTCGCGGCGGGGTCGCGACGAGGCTGCAGTGAGGATTGGAAAGGTCGGGGAATGGGGAGCGGTGTGGGGTGAAGTTTGGGCCGGTGTCGGTTGACGACTTTGTTCCCGCAGTGATGGTTCCTTGTTAGGCTCTGGTGTGGTTGGCCCAGAAGGTGCCAGTGGTACCGTCGTTGTTCCCGCTACTTCTGCCGGAGTGGTCGAGCTCTCGAGTAAGGCTTCGGTCGAGGGTTGCGTAAGCCCTATAAAAACAGGGGATGTCATGGTTGCATGACTTGTCGCGGTAGGAGGTGCGGGAGTGCTGGTCCAACCACTTGACAGCGGTGGTGGTATGATTGACAGGTTTGTCATCCGCATCCTTTTTGCTTCTGGAGGTTTGGAGCTATCTCTGGAAACGTGAGATGCTTCTCTTGTCCTGCCAGAAGTCTCGGTTATTGGCGCGGACGAGGAATCACGTTTTCTCTTATTTGCAGCTGCTGCTGACGATCTCCTCGTTGGCGTCACCGTAACCGGCTCAGAGGGAAAATTCAGTTCCTTGAGACTCTCTGCCGCTTGCTCTACCTTTCGTGCCGTGTCTACCAACGATTGCGCGTCACGCATAGCCATCTCACGTTGAGACTCTCGCTTCGCTCTCTTGGCTTCTTTGGCCTCATTCAGCTTCATCCCTTTATTCACAGTCGACGTGTCTTCTTTTAACGAATCTCTAAGGGGAGCAACGGGCGTTGCGAGGTGGTCCCCATTGACTACGGTATCAGAAGGTGTTACGAGTGGGAGCTTCGTCGAAGAGGATTGGTAGGGTTCCTCGTCAAGCAACTCTTCACCCGTAGCCTCGCAACGTGCCTTCGCCTGTTCGTAGTAGAAATGGCCACGCCCCTTCTTTTCTAACTCCCGCCGAATCATAGTATCGCTCGGTGTCCAGAGTGCGTTTTTCTTCATCGACTTACGAAGAACGGCCATTTCATACTCCGTCAATTTAAACCAAGGCGCATACTTGCTTCCGGGTTTAGCATCTGGCGGCGGTGGAGACAGCATTGCAAGCGCAGTGCTGGTCGAAATGGGTGCTGGGCCCGTTACACGTGGTCGGACCGGCTTCGGGGGCCTGGGTGTCCTCTCCTTCGGTCCCTTCAATTTGATGGACGCGAGCCGTGCCGCTCTGAGATCCGAAGTATCAGTATCCGAATCGGATGTGCTCGCTCTCGAATCTGCTCTCCCTGTGGCAGACGGGTGGCCTTTGCGATTCGAGGTGCTCGCGCCATGGCTAAAGTGCAGGTTCAGGCGAGGCGTGTTCTCGTAGGGCCGAGCCAAAGAGCGCGAAGCTTTGGGAGACACGGGTGCAGGCGTGGGATCGCGCGACGGGGGTTGGGGTGCTGCTTCCAGCTTCTTCCTGATGACTGTAAGGCGACGCACATAGCGGCTTGCCACCTCAGTCAAGCGGGCAGATTCGGTCGCAGCCAGTTGTTGGCTGTACAATGCCTGGTTCAGCGCAGAGGCAATCTGCTTGCGTAGAGCGACGGGGTCGGGGCGCTCAGGCCCGGGTATGGTGGGAAGTCTGCTATAGACTTCTGTGAGCTGGTGGACTGCATCGGTGGCATTGAGACAAGTTCGCTTCAGATCCTGGATGAGGCTCATGGATCGCGCCAGATCGGCTGGAAAGTACTCGGTGTAGTCAAGGAAGTCATTGACTGTAGCTTGGGCATCCGGATTCGCGGCAGGTGGATGCGGGAGCTCTGGAAGAGCGGCGTGCGCTTCGTTGTCGGCCATGGCGCATGGTGGAAAGCGTACTTAGGGTTCGGAAAAGGTAGCAGTAATACTGCTACGCGACTGAGAGTGCCGGCAAAGTTGGTGGATGAGCGTGTAAGTATGAGGGCGCTGAAACGAGCGGCGGATCGCGGTTTGTCGTTGGGAAACGCGACGTTGGTGACCCAAACGGAGATCAAGTGCACGGACCATAGGGCTTGGCGTTCCTGCACAAGCGGGTCGGCCCCGCCCCTACAATGCCATCAGGTCTGGACCTTCCCCTGGACTTTCACCTTCATTTTCACTTTCACCTTCACCTCTATCCACGTTCGTTATGTGATGTTCTGGATACAGATCACAGAGCGGTAGTCACTCTCTCAATCCAGCTTGTCAACAAAGCTCCATCACTGTCTCATCCGACTACTCAATCTCAGACCTACTACCAACATTGAAGTTTGATTTCAAGCACGAGACTCTGTTCTTCTCCCTAGATTTTTTGAAGCGGTGAGAACTTCGGTAGGTATTCTCTTTCGGCTGCCGACTACTCTCGTTACGTTGTGTTCTCGTAATCCATCACCTCAATCTTCCCAACCCTCACGCCAACTGGCAGCGGAATGGCCAACGGGAAACAACAAAAGCGCCTTGCGCAGCAGAAAGAGAGGATTGAACAATTCAAACGTGCCCAACGCTATTTAGGACTACGCCCTGAGAATCCAGGTGGTAAGCAGCTCCTTAGCTCTGGGTTCACCTGCAACAGGTTCCAAAACTCGGCGGACAGGGCATTCTCTCTGATCGCCACATAGTTCCTCCCCCAGTTGATTGCTCGAACCCCCTGAGTCTCCCCTTTCATCAATCGGTGGTGTTTGTTAGCATCGATGTAGAAGCGTACGAGAAGGACCACTCCAAGATCTTAGAGATTGGCGTCGCAATCCTGGATACACGCAGCCTTCTTGATACTCCGCCCGGCGTTGATGGGGAGAACTGGCGATCGAAGATCCAGGCACGTCACTTTTTGATCAAGGAGAACCAACATTTGCGCAACTACGAATTTGTCAGAGGATGTCCCGATCGCTTCGAGTTCGGAACTTCGACGACCATCCCTTTGGAGGTAGCAGCTGCAGCAGTGGAGGGATGTTTCTTGCCTCCATTTGGCGGATCGATGGAGTTGAACGACGGCATTGAACTCGAACAGCGGAAGGTGGTGCTCGTGGGCCACGACACACAGACTGATATGGAGTACCTCAAGAAGATCGGGTTCGACGCACTGAGGCAGGACAGTGTCGTTGATTGTCTCGACAGCGCCCTCCTCTACCGCACGTGGAGACAAGATCCTCAAATTACGTCTCTCGGCAAGGTACTGGCCGATTTCGACATCGTCGGCTGGAATCTGCACAATGCCGGCAACGATGCGGTTTACACAATGCAGGCAATGCTTGCTGTGTGCGTGCGGGAGAGTACCATCAGGGCTGCCGCACAAACTGAGGTTACGCTGGAACCCAAGGCGGCCGAGGAAGCTGAGGAAGAAGAGGAAGTTTGGCCTTGACTTAGTAGCAGGTCGCAGGTCTTCTGACATGGATATGGTGGGTGTTCCGAAAAGCTGAGAGTGTAAGAAAGCTGCGGGAGTTCTGAGGTTATGATCGGACGTGGCGGACATAACTTGGGTTCTGCTACTGTACAATTTAACAAGAGGATAATATTACACCTCCTATACACATCGTGATCGTGCAGGTACAAGGCGATGCTTCCGTTCCACTGAGACTGCAAGTCGTCAATGATGGTGCCAAGCCCGAGACTCCGCTGAACTTTCTCCCCTCCTAAGTTCCACTCACCCATACAGTAATTGACGACCCGCACCCACTTTTCCCTTCAACAACCCTCTTCTGTACAGGGCCTCATCGTCCGCTTGATCAATTCCAATCATTTTGGCGCCTGGACGGCGGCCTGCTTGCTCACTTGTCTAGGTTCTTGTCTTCCCGACGCACAATGGCGCCTGCGGAGGCGCTCACAGTCCCGATTGAGGAACACGGGCTTTCCGTGCGCAATTCCCCTTCGCCCAATCGATCACGAAAAACCTGGCATCCGCGAGTGCCCTTTGCGTCCCCCAACAACAGCAGGAACGGGACTGACGAGCGCCATCACTCAGATGCTGAGGAACCGGCGCGATCTGTTCGCTCGTCCAAAAGCGTATGGTGGAAGACAAAGCTGTTTAGTGGAATGGTGAATGATATACGAAGGAGGACACCGTTTTATTGGAGCGATTGGAAGGATGCTTGGGATTATCGCGTTGTTCCTGCGACCGTATATATGTACTTTGCAAAGTATGTCCCTTCGACACAGAAATACATCACAATGATACACAGAGTTGGCGTCTAGACTGCATTGCACCTCTACTCTTTTCCGCTCCGTTACCGCATGCCCCTTCCTTGGTCACAACTAATTCATAGATCAGTATTTTGCCTGCTCTTGCATTTTCTCTGGACATGTTCGAAAAGACAAACCGAAGTTTCGGCGTCAATGAAGTTTTGCTAGCTTCCGTATTTGCTGCTGTAGTATTCTCCATAGCAGCTGCCCAGCCGCTTGTAATCGTCGGTGTTACAGGTAGGGTAGAGAGACCTTCAACTATGTATGCATCACTGACAAGTTAGGTCCCATCACCGTGTTCAATTATACCGTGTACAACATGATTACACCACGCGGCACCAACTATTTCGCCTTCATGGCGTGGATAGGTATATGGGCCGCTATAATGCACTGGATTGTAAGGATGTCGACAACTTGTATTACGCCTGGCATACTGATATCGGTACAAGCTTGCGATCACGAACTCCTGTAACTTGCTCCGATATGTTACCCGATTCTCATGTGACATTTTCGGCTTCTACGTCGCCTTCATATACATCCAAAAGGGCATCCAAGTGCTCACCCTGCAATGGGAAGTCAGTGATGCTTCTGCCTACTTGTCCATATCCATCGCCTTGATGGTCTTCATGGTGGCATACATCGCTGCTATTACCGGACATTCAAACCTGTTCCAGCGGGATATCCGCAAATTCATCGAGGACTACGGCACGCCTCTCACGGTTATCTTCTTTACTGGTTTTGTTCACATCGGCAAGATGCGCGACATTGAGCTACTTACGCTTCCAACCAGCAAAGCCTTCTTCCCAACGGCTGACCGGGGCTGGTTCATCCACTTCTGGGACATAAGTGTTGGCGACGTCTTCCTCGCTCTGCCCTTCGCCCTTCTCCTCACAATTCTCTTCTGGTTTGACCACAATGTCTCCTCTCTCATCGCCCAAGGAACCGAATTTCCCCTCCGTAAGCCCGCCGGCTTCCACTGGGACATCTTCCTGCTTGGTCTCACAACCGGCGTCTCCGGCCTCCTCGGTATCCCCTTCCCCAATGGACTCATCCCACAAGCGCCCTTCCACACAAACTCTCTATGCGTCACTCGCACAGTCTCCGACTCGGACGACGAAGTTAACAAAGGCCACACGCGCCGCGTTGTCGACCACGTCGTCGAACAGCGCGTGTCCAACCTAGCCCAAGGCCTCCTCACTCTAGGCACCATGACGGGCCCCCTTCTCATCGTGCTCCACCTCATTCCACAAGCCGTGCTTGCGGGTCTCTTCTTCGTCATGGGCATCCAAGCACTCGAGGCCAACGGCATAACGCTCAAGATCCTCTTCCTCGCACAAGACAGACATCTCACGCCGAAGTCCGACCCGCTCCTGCGCATCGAGCGCCGCATCGCCGTTTGGGCCTTCGTCGCGCTGGAACTCATCGGCTTCGGCGCTACGTTCGCCATCACGCAGACCGTAGCGGCAATAGGGTTTCCCGTCTTCATCTTGCTTTATATCCCGCTCCGGACGTGGGTTATGCCGCGTTGGTTTACGCAGCAGGAGTTGAGCATTTTGGACGCGCCTACCGCGAGTCCTTTTACTATGGAGAGTGTTGGGGGCAATTACGAGGAGGTGGATGAGGGGATTGGGAGTGGGAGTGGGGAAAGGACACCAGCGCCGGGGCAGGAAGGGTTTCGTAGGAGTGGGGAGGTAGAGAGGGGGCTGGCTGGGGTTGTTTTTGAGGAAGGCAGGCGGAATGCGGAGGGGACGAGTCGGAGGAGGGCGAGTATGAGGACTCCGGAGACGCTGGAGTTGGATAATATGACGAAGGGTTGAAAGGATGTGGAGTCAAGTAACAACGTAACAAGGGATCACGCAGAAATGTGTTGCCACATGTTACATGTATTTGGCGACTGAAACCTGAAAGGCGAGTGTAGTCCTCGCGTGTTTGCCATCTGTCAGGTCTTTCCAGTGTTCCACTTCGACAATCATGCTCACATCCTGAGGCAAGACTCCAGGCTGCCATGAGGCCGTGATGGCCGCCCCCGGCGTACAACCTTTATATGGATTTCGATTACCGTAAGCCTCTTCTGCGCTATTGAGTCGTCCGCAGCGAGTCCGCAAATCCCCTTATCATGCTCTCTTTGACCACCGAATATGCCCCGATAATCTGCCTCATCCCTCCGAGCGGTATATGAAACCATTGCTTTTGCTCTCTTCTGGCTATTCAGAAAGGCAAATTCACTTGGATGTTACTGGAAGTTAGAGTGACGGGTAGTGTCTGCCTGTGTTACAGTCTGTTGTACACTCGTAGGGCACTATTCGTGTTCATGGAGCTTCTCTCTGACCACAGGCGGTTTGTAGTATGGCATGCTTACTGGCCGATCAAGATATAGTGTTGGAAGTGATTATTATCTCGTGACGGAATACTAATGCACTGCTCGGGCTGATCTGTCTCACACGACCGTTGAAGATAGAAGAGTGGCTTGTATTTCGAATGTTTTATCTCATTTCCTTAAGCGAACTCATATCGGCGACCTCCATCAAAAGCCTTTAAGCAATCGCACTGTAGAAGAGAAGAAAGTCCATAGTGTAAAGTAAAGCACAGAAATATAACGTTAAATGAATCGCATCATCTTGAATGACGGACCAGATTTCACCCATTCTCCGCCTACCAGGTGCAACCCACCTCCTCCACCGGCGACGTAACAGTCTCTTCAATCCTAATCGTCTGCCCATGATCCGGGGTCGCGCAAGTCAGCGAGTGCTGGAAGGTCTCCACACGGTAACATTTCTTGACATTCGCATCCTTCCAAATCCTATGCATCCTCCCCTGCGATGGATCGAAGCAAATGGCCTGCGGCCTGCCGCACGAGGAAAAGTCCAGACATCCAGCCGAAGACGTAGGAATGTAGAAGCATTCCCCACAGTCGTTCACATGCAGCGTGTAGGCCCCTTGCCAGTTCCGCAGGTCGACAGCGGCGCTGTTGTACGGGCATGTGCTCGGGACGCATTCCGACGCGACTGACATGTCGTCGCCATTGGGTCCCGGAACGGCTGAGAATTGACCGTTCGGAATAGAGACGACGGTGGCGGGCTCACGCTTGGCCAAAACAGGGTCGCCAGTGATAACGCGGTTGGGCTCGCTGCGGATGTTCAAGGCCGTGATGAGCGATGGGAGGAGGGCCAGGATAAGAGATGACTTCGGCAACATTTTGGGTGAGGATATTGATAGCTCCGCAGATGAGGGACTGAGGGAGGATGAAGGACCGGGGAAATAGGGACTGAAAGGGAGCAGATCCAATTAATGGCGGATGTTAGGCCTCGAGAGTGAAGGGAAGTCGAACCTGTTGAGTCCACTGCATCCTCTCGCGTGCGACTGTATGTCGCTTTTATATTCAAGGAAATGTCTATTCGTGTTGTTCTTGGGAACATGCTTCTCTTGTCTTACTAATTAGCGAGGTCGGAAATCGACTTGTTATGCTAGGTTACGTTGAGCACAATGTGGTCATTGCTGCAGCTCCATGTGTTGGATCAGTTGATCCTTCAGGAGATAGTCCGTACGGATACCACCAAATCTTCTGCCCACGAATGCCATAATAAACCAATAACTGTACCTAGGTGTAAAGTTTCACTACTATGTAGCGGAGCTTTTTGTTTTACGAAATGCTGCACTTTGCGGAAGGAGATGGGTGTACCTACAGAAGGGCCCTGTCTCTAGCTTATCCACGTTAGTACGGAGCGGACTACTTGTAAGTATGGCTGCTGAAATGGGGGCTATTTAATGTCCTAATTAGGAAGTCTGTGATACCAGGGGCAGTATACTCCGTACCGCATCATTCCACGTCCGACGAGAAAACAGGGGGTCGCAAGGGTTGCACCGATTACCGGTAGTTTTAAAGGAAGATAATTACCGCCCCTTCTCACGTCCGCTGAGAGAAATAAAGGCGTCGCAGGGGGTCGCAGCAATGTACTTGTAGCAACAGGGGAGGAATAAGGGAAGGAGAGGCTCTTATTGGTTGCCCTAGGTAGAGGCCGGGGAGAGGGCAGGAGGTAGGAACGGAGAGTGAAACGTTTATCTTGAAAGTATCCAATCCGCCGCCTACCTACTTTAAACCGTACTACATATACGGAGTATTCTATAGGGGGATGACCAGCGCTGGTGGCTGTGCTTTCCAGCGGGCGCGAAAAGGGGCGGTAGCTGAAACTACTTGAACTCAGCCATTTCTTTACTTTTTTGATGACGAGCAGCCCATACAAGTTCTATGATTGGGCAGATCTTGGAGGCGCCCAAGAAGTGCGTATTATCGTCAGAATGGAATGCGGTGCAGACTACGGAGTAGCTCTAGGTACAAGCCGGAGAAGACGCAAGAGGGCCGAATTGAGACACATGGGAAAGACGATATCGATATGTTCGTAGGCATAGCAGGCTGCGAAGAACACCTCATACCGATTCTCTATCACTCAGCATCTTTTCTATGTCAAGACCGCTTGCTGAAAAGCCAGGAGAAAACAAGAAACATGAATAACCAACAACCCATCATTCAGCCTCGATCCGTCTCGCCACAATCACACACGGTTCCTTCAAATGCCAGGACCGCAATCTCCGTTCCCCCAACATACGCGTATCCATTAACGTTGCAGTCCCACTCCGGGGTCTGTTTTTCGGCTCCGGCGCAGGGTCGACTTGCGGACGAAACGCAACCTCGTCCACAGTGGCGGCGATTTCGAAAATGCCGCTACAGAGGGCAACGATGCCGAGCTCGGACTGCACCGAGTCGCCAGGCTGAACCACTGGCAGTTTGTGCTGCAGGACTCCGGTCCATGAGAAGCGCTTGTCGAGGTCGAGAGCAATGCCGTGAGGAAGACCGGCTAGATGGGGTTGAAGGCGTAGTAGTGGGCTTATAGGTTGTGGGCTACGATTATAGATTGTTGTTCTCAGAGTGAGGAATTCGTCGACAGTGACCTGGAACTTGGCTCGGCCGGTTTGTATAATCTTGTTTGTGATTTCGAGGTTGTCCGGTGCCACAGTCATATCAATCCTTACATCATCCAGTTTGATGGCCTCGACCATGCGTGGCGAGAATCGTATACTGCGTAAGTCAATGTTGCCTCTCCGCCCACTGCCATGCTCTTCCCAGGTGCCACGTACGAGCTTCAACAGCTCATGACGATACCAGAATGCTTCTCGGCTGGCACGCTCAGCTTCGGGGGATATTTTGCTCGTGCTCACGACGAACTGACGTTGGTTTGCAGGGTTCAATGATGGTACAGGGGCGTGAGGATCCTTGAGATACAGCTTGGGGAGTGCCAGCACAATGCGATTAACGTGCCCGGGTTGAATAACCTCTTCGATGGAATTGGATTTGCTGCAGGTATCCTCTAAGTCCTCTTGTGTCTTGGGCGAGGAACGAACGTGGAGGGATACTGACAATGGGTTGGGCCAGGAGTTCCGTAAGTCTAGAAGGAGCAGACAATACTCATCGCTGTAATCCCCTCCGCCTCGTTGGCTAAGGAAGTGAAGGAAACTTGGATCTTGCATTTCCATCAAGGGTGATGAAGGCTGCCCGATGAAATTCGAAGGCTTAGTGGCGGAACGGTCTTGGTGTACTGACCAGGCGAAGTCGCCTGACAACGACACGATGTCGGGCCGTTGTAGTTGCACACTCGCGTTCACAGTTATGGCAACAGGGACGAACAACTGTCTTGTGAAGAACCGCTCTTCGACGTCTGACCTTCGCTTTCCGAGATGAGCATAATCGAACTGAATAATGGCATCGGTCAATCGCGTCCGTCCCACCACCTCGATGTCGAAAGCCGCCATCCCGCCAGGCGGTATCATAAGTGACTCTTCCTCGTCCTTCCTGCACCACTTCAGGGATGGATATTGAGCTAACTGGACCTCAAGTTCGTGCAGCTCTGCTGCAGGAAGATCTTTATTGCTCATGGCTGCTTGTAATGCCGAAGATGCGGAGTCTTGGAAAGTGACGTGAACGAAGTCCACAGCCGTGGTTAGGGAAGTGTTCTTCAGCGTCACTGTGAATGGTTTGCTCTCACCCTCCAGCAGCATCACCGATCCTTGAGGAAGCGACACGTCGGCCACTGTAAGAAGGGGTTGACTCTCAATGACTGAAAAGGTCAGAGTCTGCATTTTCGGTGCGATGGACGGTCTCAATTCTACAGCTGGATCGACAGCCGAAGAAGGTCGGGATACAGGCGCACCAAGGCACGCTGATAGGCCAATTGATTTCAGTTTCGATTCTCTCTCGGGTTTCCATGGCTCGGAGAAAATGGGGAACAAACGTTCTCGGCAGCCTGCGACCTTGACCAGGCACCCCGTTATGGTGAGAATGCCGGAAGTGCGAGCGATCCCAGTGATGGGAAATTTCTGGGTCCTGTAGGGGCCGAGGATGAAGAATTGCTCCTGTGCCGAGAAATCAACCCCATCCGCGGCTACTCTAAGGGATTCAACTTCCAACTCGAAATCATAGGGATTCTGCAGCGATATGATGAACTTGTATTCTTCATCCGCCACCAGCACTGTCTCAGTCGGGGTGGATGTCGGTCGTTTGACCCACGGATTATGAATGAAGGGACCCTCTCGACCAGATGTCGCGGACTTCATTTCGGCCGGACGATGAGGGACCAAACGCAGGTGGGCCGGCTCCTCGACTATCTGAATACCCCTCACCATGAAATCATCCCAGTAATCCGTGAGGACTTGTTGCAATCCCAACTTGTTTGCGGCGATGACGGTACGGGAAAGGTTTGCGTAGAGGCGAACTTGCTCGTCATGAGGAAGAGATACAATCACGTCGGTGCTGTTTGATTTCGGGGCAGTTCCCGGACCGGCCACTCGTAGTAACAAGGATGTAAAGTGTAGGACGCCCTTGAAATCAGGAAGCGCTTCGCAGAAGTTGATGCATAGGCGCAAGATGTCCAATTTTAAATTTAGGCTCCCAAATGACCGCAGCGATGAGGTTTCGAGTATATCCTCGATGACCATCTTGCCCGTTTCACCGTTAGGTAACTGTTTCGTGGTCATCCGACTGCTATCGAGAGAGGAATTAGAACCGGGAATTCCATATATTCTTCCCAACAGGCCGAGGAATTCGTCCATCCCACTCTCAATCTCACCCTCACCCAGATGCAGGGAGCCTACACCAGGCCCGCCTCCTCCAGTATTGGCAAGGGCAGCCAACCCAGCTGCAGGATGCACTCCCATTTCCGCTGCGCCGACTTTCCTTGCTTGCACAAGGCCGGGAATCAGAGACGTAATGAACTCCTTGATTACGATAGCTTTCTTCCTCTGCATTCCCAGGGCAGAAAGGACAGAAGCGACACCAGCGAGTACCACTACTCTATCTGTAGGGGTAAACCCCGATGATTCACCATGCCCGGGTAAAGCGCGGAAGAGCATATTTGCGATATCATTTCTTGTGGGATTAACACTTAGCCTAGGGACGGAGAGCCTCGGTTTTTGACGGAAGGGAGTATTTTGCACCAGATGTTGAAGTGCATCGTCGTCCAGATATCCTGCGGAAAGATTCATGGCGGTAAGAAGTTTGGAGAACCTGATGACGCATTCTGAGAATGCCAGTGGGGGAAGCGATTCGCCAGCAAAGTTTGAAGCTCTGTTGTATATAGAGAGGATCATATTGACCAGGTCCGGGATCAAGGCATTGAGGTTTTCCAGAGCCAGCTCATGGCTTGTTGGAGGGGGCAGAGTGGGCGCGGAAACTTCGCTAATGCTGTTGGAGGGTGTATGTTGTGGAGACTTGGTGCCTGATGACTTTTCTCCTGTCGGAGAACATACTTGCGGGATCTGAAGGTATGTTAGCAATGAATCAACAAAGCTGAACATGGCTTACCTGAAAATCCATGCCAGCCCACGCAAACAGTAACAGGCACACCAGAATGCTCTCAAGCGCCTTAGCGTGCCACAGATGGTCACTAAGCGCACGTGCCCGTGAAGCCCCTTCTGATAATTCTTTCAAAGCTTCATGCCACTGCCCAGCACATAGATATAGGGTACCAATGACGATGCTGATTCGTCCACGACCCTTATTCCTGGCACGCTCTCCAACGCCTCCCGAACCGAACCCATGGATAGAAACGCGGTCGGCACTAGCGTCTCTAGTTGCCGCTGGCGGCTTAGAAGATGTGCTGTTTGTACGACTGATGGAGTTTGCTACAGCAGGGATGTCGTCAAAAGTGGTCGGCGGAGTCCGTGTGCCTTGGGTGCTAGACGATGAATCATCGGTAGCAAGAGATGGGTTGGCTGATGGTAGAACGGGCATTGACATTCGATGCAGATCTCGTGAATTAATACTAGATGGAGAGTCTGGACGCGATACAGCGGGAATCTGTGAATTCCGGCGGGGAGACTGGGAACCAACTGAATCAGAATTCATCCATCCTGGATTCCCATCGGTAGGACTAGTCATTTGAGAGGCCGGCGAAGGTACGGTTGGTAATGCTTGAATGGATCGTGCTAAAGTAGTCATCTCTGCTAGGAGTTTTGAGGTCACGTCGCAGACGATGGTCTTCATAGTGGTGGTCTTTTGTTGCGAAGCGGGAGGGACATAGATCGTCTCTTGGGGTAATAGCGGGTGTGGTCCGGGAGTTGCACAAGCAAACATCATGAGCGTGTGCAGATATGCCTTAGGAAACTGCTCGCGAATCCGATCGAGTAGGTCAGTCATGTCATGCTGAGTTTCGTCCGAAACATGAGAATGGTCACGTGATTCATCCGGCCAAGGATACTCCGCCGCATCTCCAACGCCGATAATGAGGAGTGGTTCTCTGAAGATCTCGAAAGGAGCCAAGGCAGCCTGGGAAGGGGTCGGCAGAGATGTTGAGAGGTCGTACAACAGAGTCCCATGGGGAAATGCCAGGGGGGAGAACATATCTATCATCATATCAGTGGCCGCGTAACGTGTATTACGAAGAAGCACTTACTCCTATCCGGTCGTGAATCTGGACTAACATCACCTAATCGTACCATACAATGCGGTCGCAGTAGATCCACAAAGGCGAGGAATCGCGACCGCTTGATGCGACCCACGGGGAGCAATAGCGCCCGAATGCGCGCAGGCGCAATCGGGGAGAGACTGTCGACAGCCATAGTACCATTGGAAAGGGGCGGGCCAGCTTGGCCGCCCACTGTACTTCAGGGCAAAGGAGTAATGGACGGAGGCGCGACGGCTGAAGGCATTGCTGACGTCGGATTTCTTAGTACCTTCGGAGGTGCACGGCGGTGAATGTCGCCTCCAGGGCTGTTGTGCCAATCTGTTGTGGCGGTAGCTCCTTAGTCTAGTCCTCTTCCGTCACAGCCTGCGCCACATGTGGCGCGATTCCGCTAACCTGTATCCAGTCTCAGCCCTGTCTCGGACGACGACCATCCTACACGTCGTCCACCACCCACCCCGCCTCGCACACTCTTCTTTCTTAGGTTCCCATCCATCCTTCCACCTCTATGCATACGCCACTTGTGTTTCTTTTGATTTTAGTAGACTGTCGGTGTCCGCCTAATTCCTTACGTTTTGATTTCTCGCCTCTTTAAACCCTGAGACAATCATTGCCACCCCTAGTAGCTTGTCTCAGCAGGCTCCCTCTTGTACGTCAGCACGTCTACCGTGACCGCCGGCATATTTGTACAACCTCTGTCGTCTTCCTGGTTTCTTTACGACCAGCACCTACCTGGCCCAGGAAACGAGCCGCCATAACCCCACCATGTCGGGTATCGACTTCGCCCGTCTGCGCAATCAGACCCTGGCCGACGGCCAGGACAGCGAAGTCACTGTTAACACCAGAGCTCTGATTGACAAAGTTCTGGCCCGATACTCTAGCGAGCATACCACGCTGCGAGAGTTGATCCAGAATGCATCCGACGCTGGAGCCAGCACCGTTGTGATCAAATTTGAAACGGATCCATCATCCACGGTACCGGTGCCTCAGGGTGCCGACAGATGCATGCTTCTGAAGCATACTATTCAGCAGCACACCTTGAAACGGTTGACCGTCTCCAACAATGGACAACCTTTCTCTACCGCAGACTGGAGCCGGCTGAAGAGTATAGCAGATGGGAACCCGGATGAGACTAAGATAGGTGCGTTTGGCGTAGGCTTCTACAGCGTGTTCTCTGACTGCGACGAGCCATTTGTTGTCTCTGGGCAGAAGACGATGGCTTTTTATTGGAAAGGCAACACCCTTTCTACAAAGATGGCCACGATTCCTCCCGAACAGAGCTCTGGCAATACCACGTTTTTCCTGGACTACCGCCAAGCAAACCCTGCGTCACCGTCCTTCAGTCCATCCAAAATACCCAACTTGCCTACCTTATGTCAGTTTCTTGCGACTAGCCTGACTTTTGTCGGTCTGCAATCAATTGAGCTCCATCTGGACGATTTCAAAGTCGCTACATTTCTCAAGAAAACATCCCCTCCAACTGAGATATCCTTGCCACACGGGCTAAAGCCGACCACTGAAGGTGGACTTTTGACGGTGTCCAAGGTCACCTTACAACATTCCCAGCTAGAAGCGGAGTGGAGCAACGTTGTGGCGACTGCCCAAAATCCCCCGAGGCGAGCTGCCGAGGTGGTGCATTCCGAGATAAGGCAGGCTGGTTCTGCTTTGAAGAGCTTCTTCTCTAGGTTTTCTACTCCGCCAGTCCAGGCTTCATCAAAGCCTACCAAATCCGTAGCACCCCAGGACGTGCCTTCAACCAGCGGTGAAGATATATCCGGGGAATCCAAAGGCGTGATCTTCTTGCAGGTGTTGACGGTGGAGGTGCAGAGCAAAGTCTCGACAAAGTTCTCCGCAGAGATTGAGCGAGCAACAAAAAAGCCCCCACCGCGTACAACTCGTGTCGCTCTTCTGACGTCTCCCTTTCATGGTCCCACGGAGACGCTCTCGTCTAAATCTGGTAACACAGCCAATCTGGCCACTAAGATCTTTCAGCAAGTTCTCCCAAACACTGACGGCCGTATCTTCATTGGATTCCCAACAGCGCAGACCACGCCTTTCCTCGCTCATATCTCGGCGCCTTCGCTCATCCCCACGGTGGAACGCGAGAACGTCGACATGAATGCGCGATATATCAGCACCTGGAACACTGAACTGCTCCGCGTCGCGGGGCTAGCTTGTCGTGTATCATACAGTTTAGACATGGCCACTTTACGTGACAGAGCAGACAAGGAGCCCATAAGCGCTCTGATTCCGCAAGCCGCCTACATATGCAGGCAATTCACCGTTAGGAAATCTCACCCTTCTACAGTGCTGGGCGACAGAGTGGTCGAGGCTTTTTTCGACTGCTCGAAAGATCGTTCCATCTCGATTCTCGCCTCTACTGGTATCAAATCCAGCAACCGCGTTCGCATGCCTGCAGAAACGTTAAGCTTCTTGAAAGATGTGCCTATGGTGCCTCAGGAGCTTGCCACCGAAGCGGTAGAATTCTTTGTCCAGCTGCACAACCGGGGATTCATCTCTGAGCTTACTATGGAGGATATTCGGGATGGGCTAGACTCCCGGGCACTGACCGAAGAAGAACTGGTTGAGTTTTTGCGCTGGTGTGGCACCAAATTGGAAAGCGGCGAACTGGATCAATCAAGTGTACGCGCCTTGTTCGATGTTACGGTCGCGAACATCGGTGTCGAAGCCAACGGCGACTCAGGCAAGATCCTTTCATTGGCGGGTATCAAGTCTTTCGTAAATGCAGCGAGGACTATACCCGGGTTGCCGGTGCCGCCAGACACGATTCCCTTCAACCTGTCCAAAGGGCTCCCTACAAAGCAGCTTATGATGTTCAGTTGGACAGAACTGCACATAGTCCGTTGGTTGCAATTTCTGACATCCGACCCTCAGCTTGGTCAGTTGACCACAACAGAGAGCGTCGCGATGCAAGTTCTTGGTTCAGCTGCAAAGGCCTGGGATCAGTTGGACAATGCATCAAAGGAGGCTCTCGTCAAGACTCTAACGCTACATGCTGTTATGCCCACCAAGATGGGAATGCGTCGGCCTGCAGAATCCTACTTTCCCTCGGTCAAACTTTTCGATGATCTGCCCACCGTCAAACAGTTTGCCGGCTCGAAGGAGAAGTTTCTGATGGCATTGGGCGTGCGCAAGACCGTGGACCTGCCTACAGTTTTCGATCGCCTGAAGAAGCGCGACGCTTCCTTGAACCACGGGGACCTGATCCGATATTTTGCGTCTGTGATTGATGAGATACCTGCGAACGACCTCAACCAGCTGCGTCTCACCCCATTCCTTCCCGGGGAGGGTGCTTCTGTGAAACAAAATACTGTCTTTCAAGCCAGGGATTTGTATGCGCCCAGCCCTGCGGTGCTCAGCTTTGGTCTCAATCAAGTAAAGTTACCCTTCGAATTTCGGGCCAACTCTAGAGAGGCCAACTTTCTTTTCAAGCTGGGTCTGAAGCGGTATCCAAGTTCGATCACCATCTGCAGCATTATGCACCGAGCCGGGCAGACGAACAACCTGCAACTTTGGACTCGGGCCATGCAATACTTTCTGGAGAACTATTTCAGTAATGGGTACGGCGCAGAGCGCCGTGACGTCGAGGCAATTCGCTACGGGTTTCTTCCCACTGAGCAAGCTCCCTTCCCCAATTTGGTTGCTCCATTCCAGTGTTTCACCAACTCAAAGGCTGGCTGTCTAGGCTATGCAATACTGAGGGAGGACCTTCGACCTCACGCAGATAAATTTGCTGTACATCAAGACCCCGATATCAAAGACTGTGTGCAGCGTCTGCTCAAATCTCCCCCTGCTTCCAAGTTGACTGCTGAGGAGACCTTCGCGTATCTGGGTACCCGTGCAGGTGAATTTGACAACTTGGCAAACCGCTCTTTGATCCAGCAGATATCGTCTGCCAAAATCGTTCCCATCTTCCGTAGGTACTACGTTGATTCACACTCACCAGGGTTCGAGGATCGGAACAGACGCCAAACAGGAAAATCCGAAATGAGGATCCACCATTACGACACTCCGGAAACTGTATTCGTTGGAATGGATGAGGCATATCGGGGTATCATTGACTATGTTCATTATAACGGGGAGGCTACAGCGTTTTTGCTGAAGGTCGGGGCAAAGCACGAACCAAGCAGTCACGACCTCGCGTCGCTGTTGTGCGATAATCCGTTACGTTTCCTCAACACAATCGGACAGGAACGTTATCTCGATCTCCTGCGCAAACTAGCTGAGAACGCCGAAGGACTTTGGAAAGACAAAGAGTTGGTGGCCAGAATGGGTACATCTCCCATTCTTCTTGGGTATCGCGATATCAAAGAGGACGCCAAGAAACTTGTCTCAGTTGAAGAGGAAGATTCGAGCGACCTGGAGGACATGGATTTCCAACGCGAATGGAGCCTTAATAGGGCCAGTGAGGTAGTCATTATCGACGAGGTGCAGGCAATGACCAGATTTCGGGACTATATCATCGTCGCGCCCCTCGAGGAGCAACTGGAAGAGTTCTATGCGAAACTCGGAGTCAAAAAAATATCGGAACTTGTGAAGGCGGAGCGTCGCATAGGTGTGGCGACCCGAGATCAAAGTCAAGCGCAGAAGCTCCTCAAGGATATCCTTGAGCGAGCAAGGCTGTTCCTCCACGAATATGAGAGGGATGGTTCTAGGAAGAGTATTCGACACGACGCGCGATGGCTGGCATCAAACCTTCAAGTTCAATGCGTATCTGACATCTCGATTCGATACACACTCGCCGCACGCAATGTGACAACCTCGTCTACCAAAACTGCGGCTATCGTAAAAAAACAAGGGGGTGGCTACGTGCTGAATATAACCCCGAGTTATGATCTTTACGAGGTCTCCACCGACCTGACCAGAATCATGATCAATAGGCCGAAGCGCAACGATGCTATAGCACTGGAACGGATTCTTACCGAGCCTCTGAAACGCTTGCAAGCAAAGGGTATCAACGTCGAGCGGATCCTCCGCCGCAAGGAGCAGGAGGCTCGCATTGCGAAACAGCATGAGCTTGAACGCGAACAGGAGGAAAAACAACACCTAGCGGAGCAGGCGAGGGCCAATCACTCGTCTCAGCTTGATATGAAAGCCGATGCCAAAATGGACAAAGAGAACACCCAACAGCCAGCCATCAAGACCCCAGAGAAAACCCAGCATATGCCAGGAGCTTTTGGCACACCAGATCATGCGGAACACGCCAACAACCGTAACGCCAGCGATAACTTCATCAGTAGATGGACCAAGGAGATCTTTGGGAACAGGCCCGGGTCGCCATCAGTTCCACGCAGGGGTCCTCAAGAGCCCCAAGGGCCCCAGATCGATAAGGACGTCCAGAGCACAAGAGCCAACATTGCCAACGCAATACGGGACTGTCGACCGGTCGGTACGTCCCATATCAATGCTCGTCAGCACCAAGATCCGACCGAACTCGACAATGGAGGCTACTGCAGTGGTGAACAATGGCACAACCTACACAAAGCCTTTACCAGAAACATCAGCGGAACCACGGTGGACGTCTACTTTGGCAAAGACCAAACCGAGACGGCCCAGGATCTGGAGGTTCCGCTAGGCCACTTCCTACACATCATCTTCAACTTGACGCGCGTCTTTGGTGTGGACCCCTCGGCCGTCAACATCTTCCTCGACGGAAGCTCTAATACAGTTGCATTCAATATGAATGGAAGTCTGTTCTTCAACCTCGGCTGGTTCATGGCGCTGCACGGACCCAAGTTCACAACACCGGAGGGGAGAGAGCGTGCGATGGATAGCTGGTTCCTGACGTATTGCCACGAGTTGGCGCATAATCTCGTGTCCGATCATAACGCCCGTCATAATTGGTATAATCAGCAGATTGCGATCGAGTATAGCCCAAAGTATAGGCAGATGTTGAAAGCGGTAACGGAGGATGTTGCTGCTACCCGGCTGCTGAACTAAGGAGCCAGAGATGCCGGAGAGGAAGGGAGATGGAGGGTTAGGCTTCTTCGGCACCACTTCCGTTCTTCATTTGTGCTTTCGGGTTGCATACATGGCATTGAGCGAGGGCGCGCGCATCTATGTACTTTACGGTTCATTCGCATGTATAGAGGGGTTGCAAATCTGCAAGATGGTAGACGCAATAGATTTCATTCGGCATGTCACTATAAAACGCTATCCTTCCAGCGCACCGAGGCACCCCGAACACCAGCCCATTGAATGCAATGGGCTTAACTTCCCTACTTTCCCGAGGTAAGACTCCAACAACCAGCGTCACCAAGGGTCCCAGCCTGCAAGTCCACTTCTTGCATCAGCACCTTGAGGCTCTGTTACCGCGGTGCCAACTACAGATACCCCGTCCCCTCCAGATCCCCGTAGTCCAAGCCTCCCTGCCTCCTCGCCAGGTCCATAACCCGCATCACCTCCAACGACTCCTCCCACGGCATCACCTCGCTCTCCAGTTTCCCATCGCGGATACATCTCGCGCATTCGTCGGCTTCGTAGAACATGCCGTGGCCGCCGGCGGGGACTTCGCGCGTGACCGTCTGCTCGGGGAAGGAAGCGAGGGTTCCGCGCGCGTCGTTGGAGGCTGGGAGGAGCACATAGGATTGGGGGCGGTAAGGGGGGTAGGGGATGTGGATGTCGGCGAGGGTGCCTTGGATGCGGATGGGGGCGTGGGCGGAAGGGGAGGTCGGGGTTGGGTGGTGGGCGACCTTCCGTTACGTCAGTATCAAGTATCCAGAACAGTCGTGAAGTTTCCAATTCTCTAAGGGAGAATCAAGCTCATGAAACAGAGTAATCGGAAACGTACCCGCAGGCTCGTCGTAGCAATCCCCTGAGCTCCGCCGGGGAAAGTCAAAATCATACTGGTCGTCTCGTCGCAGCCCGTAGCCTCGTACTTGGTCATGGCCGACGCTACAGCTGGTGGACCGCGTTCCTCGGCCGGCACGATATGGTACAGAATCTGGAAGACCCAGGTGAGGGAGTAAACGCCCACTGTTCCGTCCTCCGTCAGCAATGTACAATTCACAGCGATTCCCGTCGCTCCACTTTCACAACCAACCCGTGCCAGAACAAGCCCATCCCACGAACCAGACCAAGGAAAGGATAATAAAAGAAAGAAGAAATCCGAATACTCACAATCCAACAGCGCACCCCCCGCAAGCTCCAAATTTACCATCCGATGCGCCGTGCCAAACTCGCCCTCGACATCCTTCCAGAAACTCAGATCCGCCCATACCCTAATCACCTCGCCCAGCTGCCCGCTCTTCACGATATCCCTCACTTCCTTGGCCACGGGGAAGAACCGCGTCCACATGGCTTCCATAAGGAACAGCTTCTTCTCGCGCGCAATGTCGATTAGAATCTGGGCCTGCGCTGCATTCACCGTGAATGCCTTCTCGCACAGGACATGTTTGCCTGCTTCGAGTGCGAGGCGCGCATGCTGGTAGTGGTGCGAGTGGGGGGTGGCGACGTAGATGATGTCGACATTAGGGTCGGCGACGAGGTCGGCGTATGAGGCGTAGGGGACGGCGGTTTCAGGTGCGCCGACTTCGTTGAGAAAGGTTTGGGCACGGGAGAGGGAGGAGGAGGAGGCGGCGGCGACGAGTTCGTGCTGGATGTCGGAGGCGTTGCGGGTGGTGGTTGGGATGAGGAGGTCTTTTGTGAATGCTGGGGTTGAGGATTAGGTGCGAGGACATAGATTAAGTGGGATAGAAGGAGTACTTTTCGCTATTCCTCCTGTTGCTGTGGGAGAGTTAGTAGGGGGTTTCGATAGATTTGTTGCGATAGATACACACCTAGGATGCCCCATTTTAGGGTGAAGGGACCCGTGTTACTCATGATGGACGGACAACGTGAACTCTTCGATTGATGACATCGTCGAAGAGAGTAAGTGACTTTATATGAATCTATAGAAGCGATTAAGCCTTCATGCAGTGCTACTACGCTCTACCCGGTTCTCGGAGACTGCTGCATGGTGGATAAATGGCAACGCTCCAAAATTGGGCTACCTTGCATTAGCTTGGGCTCCCGTAGGGCCCGATACAACACCAGATACGTCGAGCAGAGTACATTATTTCGCGACTGGCAGTGGCGCAGACGACTACATATGCTTGCTTGACCTTGATTTGGTAAAGGATGCAAGAACGGAGCCGAGATCGCACAGGATGTAGATTGACAGGTGTGGCTAGTGAAATAACAAGCTCGTGCATGCTAATTGCGCCGCTATATACCCGAAAGAAGTAATTATTGCTTTTGCTGTGAGCAGCATATATAGCCTTTCTATTCTGATGCACCTACAAGATGCAAGTCGCCCGATCGTACACTCGTCATTTGAAGCATCAGTGCAATGTTGCATCTGACTGTGGTATTTGACCCAAGCACGGGGTGACGGTTGCTTTGTATGAAATCTTCACGGAAGCCAGGTTTCCAGCAAAGATTCCGTTGCATTGCAGCTTGTGCCGCATTTACTTACGGGCAATAGCTCTGCGGGCCTTGATGGTATACCCGTACAGGGCATCCTTGAAGGCGAACAAGAACGCAGCGGTGATGACACTCTGCGTGACCTTGGGGCCGATACCTATTCACCGTCAGGGAAAGGAAGACTTTTGTAGACATCCTGGAGCTATTTCTTACCTCCATAAAGACCAGCATATCCCTCCTCCCGGATGATGCGGCGGAAGCTGCTGAGGATCGTCTCCTTAGGTCCATCCTTGCCGGCCACGTGCATGCGGCTCTTGACCGTGATATAGGGGTAAGTGATGCTGGTAGCCAACAGCTTCCCCAAGGCCCCGAGGTAGAAAGCGTCCGTGGGTGTGATACGGCGCTGCTTCCTCTCGAGCATGTTCTTCAGCTGCTCGAAGACAGTGTACTGAAGAATGGGATTGATGACCAGCACCAATGCCGGCATCACACCAGCGAAGAGACGAGCGGGACCCTCCTCGCGGATGATGGAGAGCAGAGTGCCCAACGTGCTAGGGGCTTTGGCGGGCTTCGCGCCAGGAAGAGTCTCCTCCGAGCCGGACTTGCGCGCGGTCATGCGGGTGTTGACGACCCAGATGGGGTTGGTGATGAGTACAGTGGCACTGCCGGCAATTGCTCCAGCAATCATCGATTCCACCGTGGTGAGCTTCTTGGAGGCGCGACCGGCCTTCAGGGCGGCCTTCTCGAAGAAAGCCCTGGTCCACTCGTACCCTGTCATACATCAGTCCTCCGGCCCCTGAAAAGCGTTGTCCTTCCGCTCACAGTAGTAGTAGACAAAGTTGGTAACGCTAATGCCGAAAAGTGCCGACTCCAGGCCGGCATAGAGTCCAGCAATGCCCTCGCGCTTGATAATCCGTCGTGCGGCATCGAGGGTAGAGGATTGAGCCTTCTTCGACTCAACCTGTGCGCGGGTGGAGAGGGTGATAAGGGGGTAGCTACCAATGATTAGCGGGCTATCATGACTTGAAGTGTGAAAGACCTACGTCAGAGCCATGGACAGAAGACCTCCCCCAGCACCAGCGAGCGCATGGGCGACATTGTCGCTCTGTTGCGCTGCCGCACTGGGCGGAGCTGCCTGGGTGGACTGAGCCAGCTTTTCCTGTGTCTTCGTGGCCTGGGACATGGTGTAAAGGAGTGGAGCGCTCGTAAAAGGTTGAAAGGGAGGGGAGGAGAAGGTCGAGAGACGGTCTGCAGTGGGGGGTTGCGAGCAACGAAGTCGGATTCGTAGTAATACAAGTACACAAGGAACTTCGCCCTAGGAAACAAAAGCAGGTGAAGAATAAACCCAAAAAGGGCGGGTCGTTAACATTATGAAGCGGCGGGTCCTCTTGTCCTGTGAACGTCACCCGCGGTCGAACCCGCACCTGCGCATTCCGTCAACCGCGAACGAGCCGAGGTAAGTCATGGTCACGTGCATTAATCTTCGATCCATGGATTCCTCAGAAGGTATCTAATCTCCCTTTTGGCATCTCCTCTTTATGCGCCATTGCGCTAACACTGCTAGTGACCGCTCGTCGGCCTCTTCACATGTCTGGTTTACTATCGGCGGTGTCGTTAATGGGTCCCTCTAAGAGTCACGTGCGCAAAGACACTCTCCATGTCCCGAATTTCCCTTTGGGGAGACGGTGTTACGGAAGGAAACGCCAAGGTGGCATGAGGACCCCTGAACATGTTACTGTGTAGAGGACTTGATCGAGTGCATGGATTGGCGAGTCAATGAAGGTACTGGACTAGTCCTAGCTCTAGCTGTTGAAACTAGCCGTCGAAGATTGCTGTACAGGGGACAGGCAGGAGTATCAAGTCGATGCTGAGCAGCTGTATCCGATGTGACAAACTGGCCAAAGTCAGTAGAAAGCATCACTTCCGCCAGGACACCGCCGGTGTAATTGGTTCTGTCACCGTCTTTTCAGTGCGATATATTTGGCGTAACTCTTCCGATGGTTGCCCCCTGACAGGAAGACGCTCGCGGATGAGAGCCGACAGACACCACTACACGTCGAAGCCTTTACAAAAGGACAAGAGGATGACCGCACACGAGAACCCAGATTGCAATCTGCTATTGGTACACGGCAATTGGGCCAAGGCAACGCAAACGTACACAAGGAGCGAGAAACCAGGAGTTGTTTCAGCGTGCTCCACACCACCTTGAGAGACTTTTCACATGTTCCCAACTTACCATGTTGAACCCCAATGGTAAGACCAGTTGATAGCCGGGTGACAGCGGTTAGCCAGCAAAAAACCCCGAACATCCATACGAACTCCCAAAATGTCATTTGGATCGTGACGCGCAGATACCTACTGCGCAGAGGAAACAGTCTCAGATGCCGGACCCGCGCCGGAACTGACTCCACGTCCTCTAGGAGCACCACGGCCCCTATATCCGAAGCCCCGCCCCCGCCCTCGTCCGCGACCGCGACCGCGATAGCTGCCGCGGAAACCGTCGACACTTCCTTGACCAAAGGTCTCCATGTTCTTTCTTCTTTCTTCCGATCTGAACTCCTGTCCTCGCCGAGAAGCTGCTTCTTCTCTGTCTTTCAGCTCACTAGATATGTTATCGAAGAAACTTGATCCCTTATCGTAAGCAGGCGGAGGAATGATAGTATCCTTTGTCCCGTTCGCTTGGCCCTCTCCTGACGGCGACCCAACGTCCTCACCGAGAGGAGCGCCTGACGCAATGGCTTCCTTTACAAGATCTTCCTTGTTGAACCTCGCATTCGCGGATTCAAAGTCGTATGGAGTCTGGGGAACCTCAATCTTCGCGTGGTGATGACCACCTCGACCGCCGCGGCCGCCGCGTCCTCCACGATTCCCGGCAGCATATCCTCCAGTGCCGACCTGCCGGCTCTGGCGATTCTGATCGTCAGCGCGCATCTCATTGACCTTTTGAGTTAAGTTGTCCAATGCACCTCCATTGGCTTTGTTCTGGGGAGCAGTTTTCGCACCGGCAAGCTGAAGATTGGCCATAGCTGCTGCCACCGCAGCAGTGGCCCCTCTTGTGGCATCGGCGATATTGGGTCTGCTCTGTGTTGTTTGAGCATTAGAAGTGGCAGCTACTGGCTGAGATGCAGTTTGAGGCGCAGTCCGTGTAGCCGTAGAGGTGGGTAAAGGAACGGCAGGAACTATGCGTCCGCTTTGCGGAGCTGTCACTCCTGGTTTGGGCACAGCGGTTTGAGCAGGTTGCGGAGGAGGAGGGGCCAGAGCAGCTGCAACGTCAGGCTTCGACTCTATAGGAGGTGGGGGTGGTTGCTTTGCTGCGCCCGCTGTCGGTACTGCGCCAACTGGCTGCACAACCGACTTTTGGGATGGCTTGTTCGTGCTGTCCGCTTCAGCAACAGCCGGCTGGACACCCGGCTTGGTGTCTTTGGTCATGGGAGGGCCAATCGGCGCAGCTGTGCTACCTGCACTCTGTGGCGGTTGGTTCTCATTCTGTTGACTGCGTGGGCCAATTGGCACGGGCGGTGAGAACGGTCCTGGGGGTTGATTGAAGCCACCTTGTCCAGGAGCATACCAGCCAGGAGGTGCTCCGAAAGGTGGCGGAGGCATACCATAAGAACCAGGGAAAGGACCTGGGCCACCCGGGAACCCTGGCTGTGGTCCATAATTGTTGAAAGGCGCATTCGGGGGAGCACCAAATCGGCCTTGTGGAAACGCACCGGGAAAGTGGGCGGAGAAATCGGGCACCTGGGGTTGAGGCGGTCGGTGTTTAAGTTGAGGAGGAATGTTTTCTCTTTCTCTTGAAAGAGGCTGCGGAACCTGGTGTGCACATCTCGTCAGCATTGCGCCTTGAATGAATGCAGGCGAAAGGAGAGAGTGTAAGAACTAGATCAGAAGGAAGGCAACGGAGAATATCCACACGGTTTTGCGCTCTCGGTGGTTTATGAGTTTACATCCGAAATGTTACATCATCTAGTTAACGGGGGAATATAAGAAGATGTGCGCTTACTCCTATGATCGCCGGGTCATCTGGCATGGGTGGGGGCGGAGCTTTCGGTTGTGCCTGTTGTTCTATCCGTAGATCCTTTACATCGCTTCCACGGAAGACTATCTGCTCATAAGTATGGTCTGAGGGACCAAACTCGTCTTTACCGTGGCGTCTGCCCTCGGTACCGAAAGAACGGACATCTTCGAGCGTTACCGTAGACTGTTCGGAATTGATCTCGACGAGAGTGCCCGAGTAGCTTGGACCGATGAGTATGGGCGCCAATTGCAGCACAGGAGATGAAGGACAAACCGGATATCGCTTTTCGAGATGAGGGATATGCGAGCACTACACGACACATGTCAATGGCAGCCCCGAGCATGTGAAGATCCTGCTACCAACCCAATGTACTCAGACATGACGACATGTAGGAGAAACCAAACGGGGATTTGCAAGCAGAAATTGGACCGGTAGGAAAGAAGTAAGAAGGTGGGCGACTGAAATGTGATTGACACCGACCTTGAGGGTGGTTGAGGCTGAGTGTTGATGAAAGAAAGAGGAGAGGTTGGGCAGCACAGGCGCAGTTGAAGGATCGTCACAACTTGGCATCGGCAAAACATCGGCAAAGTCAACATCGAAGTGTTCGACTAGTTGAACCACTCGACGCTCTTTGGTACTCATCACAATTCGATGTGAGCCTCTTATTAGCAATGAGTTTACCCGAAACTCCCTCCAACGCTCACGATGTCTTTGAGAAGCTTGAGACGTACAATTGGGACGACGATGTCGAGTTTCAATCTGGATTGAGCGCGATTCTTGGGAATAACTGCCCGCCGGAGCAAGCTGCGGAACTGACGCTGCGGGCGAGATGTTTTTACTACTCTAGGTTTGTATATACTGTTGATGATGTTGCGGCGGCATCATTTGCTTATGCATGTCCGCAGAAAACACAATGTGAACATCGACTTCGACGCCTACAGGGCATATCACAACGCTCGATCATCGAACGGTGCCCCATCCGGATCAACGTCCACGGAAGAATCTGCCGGCGGTATCCTACCCACTCCAGCAAATGCAAACGAGCCTCCCGTGCCATACCCTTCCTCCTTCGCGCACATTGTAGAACTCATCACAACAGGCCAACCCATCCCGGGTATAAGAGAGATACCGAACACAGTCCTCACCGGGCAGGGATCAGCGCCCGCGAAACCAAAGCGAAGGAAGCCATGGGAAAAGGACGAAACATCGCCAGCACCTGGCCAGGAACCAGCAGCTACATGAGAAGAGCAATGCATTCAAATCTTGCATATCGACGTTGATTGTACATACGACTTCACTTGCTGTCCATTTTGACATGATAGGAGCCAGATCTACGACATAACGAAAAGCTCCGAAGAGCTATATATTACTTTCTCGTTTCCCCATATATATTTCATGTCTCATCATATACAAACATATCACGCCCAAGGGTATACAGCAATGGCTCAACGTAAGGTATCCAACATCATGCACGCCAACCGGATAATCTCCGCATATATCAAGCATCGCAAAATTACGACAAGAATCCCGAGCTCTTCACAGCACCGCATCGAGCACCTTTTCCCGGAGGGCCTTCGCTGTCTCTTGGCTGTCCCACAGCTTTTTTTGGCACTCGAGGAACTTGGCCTTCCAAGTCGCAGCTGAATCTTGGTCCTTGCCCCCTCTGTCAGATTCTTCTCCATTCGGCCGATCATTCGTCACGTCGTCTTCTCCTGTCTCTGGTGTCGACGCCGAGATCCCTTTCACACTCCACTCTCCCACCAAGCCACCGAATGAAACACCGAAGTTCACATCAAAACTTTCCTTGATGTCGGTTGCTGTGCTCAACCCGGCTTCCGCATCGTCTTCATCTTCATCGACAGGACTTTCGTAACCGTCCCCGCCAACACGAAACCGTGTGCATTCTATCCGTCGTACGCCACCTTGCGGCCCGCCCTGCCCAAGGCCTACCGCAGAGCAAAGGCCAAGGCAGCTGCTGATGGCGATTGAAAGGATCTGGTCGGTAATTAATTTGGATGTAGCTGTGCTCGAAGTAGAAGGCTTCGAGTAGAGGGGCCTGAGGATGGCCGAGGCAAGATGTTTGGCTTCTGTACCGCGCAGGCGTTTGCGACGGCCAGAGAGAGGAGCACGGATGAGTTCAGCTGCCAGGGCGCGATTCAGACTCTCAGGAGTGACATGAAGTATGTCCATAGAACCTGGAGAGAGAGCATATGTCTGAGACGGCGTCGATCTTGGAACGTGTGAGGTTGACTCGGTTCCACCGGTATGTTCAAGGGTCCCATTGGCATATCCAGGAGGACCACTTGTCGCATTTGCACTCGGGACAGGTGGGGGATGCCCATTTCCAGCGGTCGAATGTTGCTCTCCATTGACGAGGACTGTGGGGGTTACCAATCGTACTGGGTTGCCAACATTCTGGGGCACTTGCAGGCTGAGCCTGTGGGGCCTTTGTGGACCGTTCTGCGCAGTACCATCCATATTCGTAGGCGATATTGCAGAAGCAGGTGTAGGAGGAAACCGAAAGTGGGGGTCCGGTGCTGGGGGGTCGGAATGCGCTCTCTCAACGATGGGTGTGAGGTTGCCGGGGTTTCTGCTTATGTCTATTACAGGTCCTTCCTTCGTCTTCGGATTCGCGGGAAATGTAACGAACGGTCCATCGCGCACAGAACGATTGCTCGGTGGGCGTCCACGCAACCTTCCAGTTGATGAAGCGTTATTGCTAGGCCATGCCGATGAGACCGCAGGCCCGTGTCGGCGCCGAGAGCGCGGCTTGGACGTGGATGGTGTTATCGCTGATTGTGGTTCGTCAAGATAGTCCGGGTGGGCAGAGAGAGGAGTCACAGCCGAGAGAGGGTGCGGCGTTGTGGGATTGTCATGGTTGAGTCGCCATCGCATCTGCTGACCAGACATAGGTGAAGCAGAATACGGTGTTAGATTCCTCCCGGTATTCATTCGACTGGGTGTGGATGATGAAGTCAGCGTGGAGGAAGGTGTGATTGCGGAGCCGGGCCAGTGATCATGTGCACTCAGGAACCCTTCCATGTGATCGGGATGGGCACTACTAGGATACGCCGACTGCGGCTGAAGCACATTTCCGAAAGCAATCGACGTATCGAGCTGAGGCCGTTTGCGAGGAGGCGTGCCTTCAAGAGTCTCGATATCGTCATCTCCCTCGTCGGCTTTTCTCCTTCCACGTTTAGGCCGGAACTTAGGGTCAAGCGCTCTTATAGCCAAATCCTCCTCCAAGGGCACTCCATCTCGTCCATTCTCAGGGAAAGGGGCATCCGGGTGGGGTATCTGGAGGTAATAGGGATGCTGCTTGCCGAGAAGATATTCGAAAAATGCATCAATGTGCATGGCGCGCATCCATCGCTTTAATCGTACAGAATATTGTTGCACCTTCTGCGTGCTTTGCCCTTTCTCGATATCTGGGGGTTCCACGCCCAGATCAAGCGCTAGCCGTGTCCATGTAGGGATCTCCTTGGAATCGAGCTTTCGTATGAGCTCGAACAGCGTCCATGTGCTGAAGGCTTTGCCATCACTCTTGGGTGGTGTGCGGAACAGTTTCCTTAGCTCAGAGGTATTTGTCGTGGTTGAGAAGTTGGGATTACAGTACAATATGAAAGCGGCGTAGGCATCATCGATGGTCGCGTCTGTAACATCGAGAGAAGGCGGGGAGCGATCGCTCGGGACAAAACTTGAGGCTATCTGCCTGGGTTGACTGGTGGGGGAGCGGGCGGAGAAGCGCGGGGAAGCGTTGGACGGGGTGGAGGGAGCGTGCGACGGGCGCTGCATATCGCCATAGAACTGTGGTGAGATGTGAGGGTTGTTGAGTGAAGCATTGTCAGGTTGAAGCAAGTGATTTGGGGCTTGGTGGATTGAAGACATGGGCGCGTGTCCATTGCTCTGAGCAGAGCTGTGTTCCAGGCCTGGATCAATTGCTGGCCCGGCAGGGTGCCGAAATGACGAGAAGGCCGATGCGGCGCTGGTCCCAGGCTGCTCGTAGTGGTTATGGGACGGTAAATGAAGGTTGTGCTCCGAATCTAGGCTTGCGCTATAGTCGACGTGCATGGTTCTGGGAGATGGGCGGGTGCCCTAGGGGCGATGAGGGCTGAGACCAGTGCCGGTCAGCATGCCATAGAATGGACGCTCTCTCTCTCCTCTTCCAGGTTGCGTAGAGCGCAGCGCTGCTAGTGAAATTGGTAGGCCATAAGGTACAAAGCGCAAAATATACTGTGAGATCCAGTGATAGATAACAGCGAGCGACAAGATGAAGTCGGCCCTTGAGCTGTTGTCGTCCTGTGTTGCTCTGTCTCCGGTTTCCTAGGGGCGGCTAATCTCACGCCAAGACCGCCAAGGTCCTATTTTTGGCCTTAAGCTTTGGGGAGCATTTTGGCCAATCAGAGCTCAGTGGTAATCAACAGAGGTACCAAGGTACATTAAGTACAGTATCCATGGATGAACAGAAGACATCGCAGCTCGGTAAAGAACAACACCGTGAGGAAGAATATCGAGAGCCTGGGTGCACCCTTCTACACACCATTGTACTGTGTAGCTTTTCTTATGGACCCTATCAGTAGAGAATCGAAATCTGGATTATACCTCTCTTCGAGCTCATAGGGTGTTCATCATGTATACATATACACGGAGAAGAGAAATAGTATGCATCTGTACCAAATTCACTTGCCACTTCACCGGCTATCCTGTGCTCCAGAAACGGCTTAAGAATTGTGATATGCTATCTTCGTAGACTGACGAGCCCAAACACCGTCATACCCGGGGTATCATATGTAAAGCACCATTACCCGACACCACGCCACTGCTGTCCTAGTCCGGCAGCATCCATCGCGCCCAGCGCAAGATCATACATTCCTGTCTATCACAACCATCAACTGGATCCGTCAGACACATCCATAGGCACATCTTCCTCCGGCTCATCCTTGTCCTGAGCAGTCGTACTGTTCTCCTCGTACGCTTGGTCCCGTCCAGCCGCGGGATGACCCTCAGTACGCTGTGGAGCAGTTGTCAAACCGTCACGCAAATGAGCAGGGTCGTGCATCTCGCCCGCTTGCGCCAGGTCATCCGGCCAGTCGTACTGCCAGCGTCCGTCAGCCTCGAATGGATGCTCCAACATGAAGTTGGAAACGTTGCTCTGCATTCTAGCGGTCTGGAGATATCCGGCAACTTCCCGCAGGATATCGCTACCCATCTGTTCCTTCGTCGCCGTAAACTCGGGAATCTCGATCAGGTTGTGAGGCTGCGCGTGCGCTTTGAGTTTGCTATCGTCGAGCAGTATGGTATTGTGCTGTCCGAAGCGCTGACCAGCCTGATGACCAGGGTGGTGCTTCTGAATTTCCTCCTTGTCCCAGATCAAACGGAGGTCCTTGTAGACCTGAACGTTCTGGTGATAATCCCCAGTGGGCAGGCCAAAGGTGTCGCGAGCCCAGGCAGCTACCAGCCTAGACTGCAGCTCCTCATCGAGAACATTCTTGACGATCTTATTGACGTTTGTTGGCATTGCGCTGGACCAGACCATAACGTGGAAGTTCTCGAATAAGTACTGAAGGAATGGCTTAAGAAATGGGCGTGCAATCATATACGTGGGCCGGTTGCGACTCGGTCTGTGGATCAGGGTGCCATTGAGATCCAAAACGATGAGAAAGGGGTTGGGTGGATCGATCACGATTGACTTCTGCAGAACCGTCTCCTTATACTCTTCAGAGGGCGGAGGAGCCGGGCGGTGAATCTTGCGGCTCCCTTTCTTGGGAGCGGCGCCTTGGTTCCCTAACTTGTCCGATGTCGGCTCCTCAGACCGACCTAGAGATCTCTCGCCGGTATAACCACGCTCCCCAGCAGTAGTTGCGGTACCCGTGTGGTAGTGACTAGCAGGCAGATGGTTTATGTGGCCTGGGTACATATGATGGGGATGCGTCGGTAGGTAGGCGGGTTGGTGGACGAAGCTCTGGGCCTGCGGCCTAAAACCGTATGCATGGCCAAAGTGCTGATTACCCCCCATACCGTAGGGAAATGGCGCATGTGGCATCGGCATAGAGAATGGCATATTGGGCGGCGGCGGCGGCTGGAAACCTTGCCAGTGCCAATTGGGATCGAAGAAAGGTGCTTCAGCGGTGTGGTGATGGCCGAAACGCGCAGATTGAGAATGACGAGGTCGCGGTGGGCGCCCGTCACGAGGGTCGTTGTCATCGCGGTAGTTCTGGCTCATCTTGATAGGAGCCGTTGCCGTGCTCGTGGAGCGACCGAAAGCCTGGGTTGAAATTAGGATATGGGTGACGGAGGATGGAGAGCTAGGGGATATACCGCGCCACTGCTGCTGCGTAGAACATGGGGCAATCGAGACAAAACGCTTGGCAAGTGCAGTTGGGCTTGTTTGACAAGCCAAGATGAGGAAATCAGTTTGCTCTCAATGATTGTCGATTATGTGTGCCCGTCCATCTGTTTGTCATGCTGAGGGACGACGGGGAGGGGTGAATGTTAGCTCGTGGACGGACCGAAAATCTGCCGACGCACAGACTCCCGCGGTGATCCGATTCGCAAAAAGTTGGGGAACCGTAGGAGCCGTTCTGGCAACGGCACCACGACTTGTCACGATGCCGCTGTCCTCCAAGCTAGAGCGTAGGATACAGGCCGGAGAAGACTATTCCGATGATGAGGAATACTACGAGGTCACCGATCGATCGTCACCATCCATCATCGACACGGGCGAAGGCGCAGACATACTGAGCTCAGATTCCGAAGACGAAGAAGGCTTGAAGGGAAACGATGAAGAAGAGGTAACCGAGAGTTCCGCATGTACAATATTTCAGCTAACTATGACCAAGTCAGAGAGCGATTCTCATGATCGAATCCAACGCCAAATAAGTAAGGTCTCCTTCGGAGCCCTCGCAAAAGCGCAAGATGCGCTTGCCAGGAGGGAAAGTGGGAGTCGGAAGAGGAAGAGGGGTGAGGATGCTTTAGCAGCGCAAGAAGACAAGCTGCAGGCTTTGCGGGAGAGATTGAGGACTTTGAAGGCGGAGAAGTTGGTAAAAAGTGCTGGTTCGGACAAACCCTCCAAGAGCTCCGCAAAATCGAACAAGAGGCACAAGGAAAATGAGGCTGAGGATGGCGACGATGGGGACGACTCGTCCGACTCTGACGGCGCTCCACGTGCGCGATCCAGCAAGCACGCCCCCGCGGTCCAGTCGAGCAAGCGCGCGGTAACGCGCAGACGCACGGTAGTGGAAGTCAAGAAGCCCACCTTTCGGGATCCGCGCTTTGATAACGCTGTCGCCGGAACTAAACCTGACGATAACACGCTGAAGCATCGGTACGGATTTCTGGAGGATTACAAGGAGTCGGAGATGGCTGAGTTGCGTGCTGCGATCAAGAAAACGAAGAACGAGGATGACAAGGAGAAGCTGAAACGTAAACTGCTGTCCATGGAGTCACAGAAGAAGGCGAGGGAGGCCAAGGAGAAGCAGCAGCAAATCCTGTCAGAGCACAAGAAGAGGGAGAGGGAACTGATCAAGCAGGGGAAACAGCCCTTCTATCTGAAGAAGTGTATGTCTGCTATGTGCGCTTTGGCCCGGGCATGTTTGCTGACTTCTATATGCAGCCGAGCAGAAGAAACTCGCACTTATCGACCGGTTCCAGAACATGAAGGCAAAGCAACGCGACAAGGTCATCGAGCGCCGGCGCAAGAAGGTGGCATCAAAAGAGCGGAAGAACATGCCGGCGGCGAGACGCACGACAGAAAGGTTTTAAGCTTCAGGTGGTGGTTTGGCGTGCGGTGCCGCCCGCTGCTCCTACACCTTATACGGCCCTTACCAGGGCCATAGCAATGCAATACCTGTTGAAGGATGGCAGTTACTAGTAGGGACGCTACAAAGCTGATCGCAAGGTCTGTCACATGGCTGCACATCCTGACAGTTTAATCGGACGTGGAAAGGTGGTTATACAGAGGAAGTGTGGAGGGGTGTTGAGGCTTGCTTGGTTGCGTCGTCACGTCATCGACGTCATAGGGGTCGCTGCGCGTCCAACTCCACCTTCCAAGTGTCGTCGACCAGCATGTAAAAGCGCCAGGGGCTACCGCACCGTTGATTGATCTTCATCGTGATTCTTCGCTTCTCACCTTTAGGCGAATCATCCAACTGCCACACTTTCTTTCCACGGCATTTTTGTTTTATTGATTGACCTGAGTCCAGGGCTCCGAGCACCAGTCTCACCCACAGAGGAAATAAGCAAACCATATTACTAACGACATGCCTGAGATTCCAGAGGAGAAGCCGCTCAATGAGTACGTCTGCTCCCCTTGTTTGTTCATAACTTTCAGCAGAGTTGCACTTCTTTCGCACCCATTTGCACAACACCGTCGTGTTCCTGACAAACCTGACTCCTTTCCAGGCTGCTCTCCCGCTCCCTGGTGGACGTGTACGTCGGCCCTGAAAACACCCACTGGGTCCTCCACGAGAAGCTGCTATGCTACCACTCACCCTTCTTCCGCAACATCTTCTACTCCAAAACCAACCCCACCACATCCTACGGTCTGCCCGAAGAAGAAGTTTACACCTTCAGGGTCTTCGTTGGATGGCTGTATTCCGGCACCGTCCCTGTCCCTAAGGAGGAAGACGATCTAAGCATCCTGTACGATTTGTACCTGTTGGCGGAAAAGTTACAGATCCCTAGCCTGATTCAAGCTATCCTTCACACGGTCAGGGAATGGTACAAATACACAGAGACATACCCGGGCCTGCGCCGCGTGCAGTACATCTACGCCAACACGGAGCACGACAGTCCCATGCGACACATGCTCGTGCACAGTGTGGCACGCATGCTTGTTCTCTCCGAAGACATACCTCAGCATTGGGATAAGGCGCTCAAGAAGAATGGACAACTGGCTGTGGACTTGATACGCGCTATGCAGGAATGGCGCCTGGATGAAGCCGTTGTGCCGGATGCGAGAGAAGATCCGTCGGAAGTAGGAGACTTGATGGACGACGAGGTTGGGTCACTAGTCGAGAGGCGGCAGCAGGGGGCAGGTGATCGAGTAGAAGAAGATGGTCCTCATGAAGAAATGGATCATGATTCTAATGAGGATACAGTCGTCGAGTCCCCCACGGCCACCTTTCCCGCTGTGGAGATCAAGAGTCAGGGGATCCACCTTAGATCGAAGGAACCGGAACAGGGAGCACAGAAGGATCAATCTCGCAATGACATTCGATTGTCGCTGAATGAGGTGCCTAATCAGGTCTCGCTGGATGACTACGGGACGCTGCACTAGGTTGGTGCTGTTGGATCGCATGTCACATTGACTTTTTAAGTTGGTGTGATTCCGGGACGACTTGGCTTCGTGCTTTCTTCTTGATATGGCGGTTTGGAGCTTAGGGTCTTTTGTTTATGTTCCCTTTTTCTGGGTTGCTAGGGGCATCTTCTGTCGAACCGACTCTTATTCCCATTCTCAACTTGTAATAATATAGTGATAAGATTGGCGACTGGCTTCAAACAGGAATATGGGAACGAATTCAGCGGTTTAATGGCTAATGGCCTTCAATCTCTCACTCCTGGTTTTCTGCTCCACTTCTTCGAAGGTAAAGGTAAAAGATATTCAGACACACACGAAGAGCAGCATGCACAGCGGCTTTCTAAGTCTAAGTGAACAACCCCCTGCACTTCTTATATAGTGCAGTTTTCTACGTCCACTCAAGCAGAGGAGGAGTTGCCTTGATTTAACAACGCTTGCAATAGTCTGTAGTGCCTCCATCTGGGTACAATGGTGTGAAAACCCTAGCCCTCTAATAAGGTGATCAGACTGCTGGCAGCTGGTTCCAACTCAGCACCATCTCCGGCGTTGTCCTCACCGTTGAACACATCAGGCCCTTGGGGTCTCGGGCCCACCCGCCTTTCTCTTCGCCTCGATGGCATCCCAATTCTTCCTAGTCGACCGGAGATCTGCAATAACAGCCTCGGCGTTCCTGCCAGTCTTCTTCGCCTGGGCACATGGAAAATTCTCGTCACAGATAAGAGCCCTCAACCAGTGCCGTTGTGTCGGCATCGGAGGTCGTGGTATCCCATACCCGACCGTTATCGTGACCGTTTCGTCCTCTTGTGACAAAAATGTCGGACCAGTTGTCGCTCTTTCAAGGCGAATTCTTCACTTCCATTGGGCTTCTGCGGCAGATGGTTCAGGGAACTTTGGTATGCGGTATTGACTCGGATGAGGTCTTGCTTCTGGTCTTTCTTCGAAAGTTTGCGGAACTCGGTAAGCGTCATGGTCGACTGCTGCGCTAGGATGGAGAACCCAAGTAGAAGAGAAGCGCATCTGAAGTAAGAGAGTAGGTAGTAAGAGAGAAGTAAAGCAGGTAAGAGAAGTAAAGCAGGTAAGAGAAGTAAAGCAGGTAAGAGAAG